TTCTGGCGGTAGACGATCGGAGCTGTACGTAAGGGTGACGATGCCCCGCTTGTTGCTGGATTCTTGCGTTCTATTCGCACCTCTGACAACCGAGAACTGCAGCTCTCAGCGGAGGCGCAACGCTGTCTTAGCCTTCAAGCTCAAGCACACGCCCTCATAGACAGCATACCATGGTGCACCATACTTCGAGCGATCTCCTATGCATGTACAGGTCAGATCCTGGGGGTAGCAAGTTTTCGAAGCGGGTCAAGCTTGCCCTAATATCGCGCCCCTAATATGTATAATTCCTGAGTGACTTTACGTGTTCACTATCTGACACGTAGTTATGCGCGTAGCGTACACGTTGGCAGCGCTCCCTTATCCCTCGCTGACTTGCTTGACGACGAATATGCTTAACATGATGACGATCGGCTGGATTGTCATGCTACTTGCCATGCTCGTCGATGCAGAGCCAGGTCTGCAGATTGGAATCAAAAAGAGAGCAGAATGCACACGCAGATCTCAGAAGGGCGACAAACTTTCAATGCATTATGTCGGCAAATTGGAGGACGGGTGAGACTTTTGTCGTGCATGCCCTAGCTTGCTGACATGGCGACGATCTCAGGACTCAATTCGATTCATCTCGCGATCGCGATCAGCCCTTCGACTTTACACTGGGCGCTGGCATGGTGATCAAAGGTAAGTGTTTCCAGCCAAATCTGACCGTTGCTCATCCTTCGTTCAGGCTGGGATCAGGGCTTGCTTGGCATGGCAAGGCTGGAGTTGCGCATGTTCACCAGGCTGACAGTAGCTCCGCAGTGCCCCGGCGAACTTCGCCGTTTGCGCATTCCTCCTAGTCTTGGATACGGCGACAGCGGCGCTGGCGGCGTGATCCCTGGTGAGTACAGGCTGTCCTCAGCGCGAGCATCACTTGACTGTCTGGTCTGAACAGGCGGAGCCACACTTCAGTTTGACGTGGAACTCTTGAAGCTAAATCAGGATGAGCAATCAGCGCAGCATGACGATCTGTGATTGGCTTGCCAATGAATCGCCGTTTCGAGAGACAACGGGATCACGGGCACGTGTATATGTTGAGCGCGGTTCATACCGATACAATACTGCCTACTCGCGTCTCTTGCTTAAGTCCCGGGCTTCATACCCACCTGAATAGACAGTCCCGTCAGCTAGATCAGCCCCGGGCTGAATGAAAGCAACACAGACAAGATTTTCGAACGGGCGCAAGGCAGAGCGATTGTCTCATGAGCTAGGCTGTGTCTCCGGTTACAGCATGTCTACCAACCGTGCCTATCTTGGGGCGTCGCTTATCGCCGCCTTGAGGAACTCCAGGGATCAAGCTCCTGCTCGACAGCAGCGCAGCGCGCAAAGATGAGCAATGGACGGGTCAGCCTGCCGGCTTCGGTCTTGGCTGCGCTTCAGCATCGCAACGGCGTCTTCCAGTAGGACTTTGATTGTGCGGCAAGCTCGATGCTGATATCTCTACAGCGTGCCCAAGGATTTAATATCATGCCCGTTCCCTGATTGCCGATATTCATCACCTCATCGCTTCAAACAAGCCTCCGATACTCGCCGCCATCTACAGTCTGCATGTCACGCTCTTCGGATCTTCAAGCCTACGCGCAGATCTCTTACTTTCGAGAGGGATGTTCAGCTTGAGCCAAATTCAATTTTCACGGGAACGCCAACGAGCTGCTCTCCGTCCATTGAATTATTTGAATCTGCAGCAGCCAAGCCATCGTTCTCAGCATCTGCACCGGACAGCTACTCCGAGAATGCCGAGACCAGTGCCTTGCGGCTGCCAATTTTGTCTCCCATCACCCAGGCTCAGGCGTTGTCTTTCGGTCATTCTCACGGAACCCTGGTCGATCCCTCCTTCGTGGGCTTCTTGCCCGATCGCAGATTACCTGCCACGTACAGTGTAGGCGAACCTGTGCACGAGCTGCGTGCAGTTGATTCAACGAAAAGCAGACCAATCACTTCATGATAGAAACCGCTGTAGCTGCCGATACTCGTGCGATGCCAGCTTCGCAGGTCCGCTATGTACACAAGACCTAGCCACAAATTGACGCTTGGCATAGGCTGCGCCTCCCAAGCTCATGGCAGCAGGTAGACGAGGCTTTGCGTCTGCCAGAGAGATCGAAGGTAGGCATGTCAGCTAGTGCATCCAGGCTGGCCCTGACACAACACTACTTTTCGCAGCATGGGAACTGCCTGACACGCCGTCAGAAACAACGCAGATGCACCGTGCGTGTGACTGTCACCTATATCGCGACAGCTGGCCGCTCTTGCGGACCCACTTATCGCCTACGATTTGAGGGCAATGTATATCGCGCACTGCTTCGCAGCTGCATGCTGCAAGCGCAACAACGAGCAAGTGAATCATCTGCGCAGCGAGCCAGGTCATTTTCTCATAAGAGACCTAATCTGACCGCTTGTTGGCGCGCTGCGGACCATATTACAACATAAGCAACAGCAAGATAGCCTCGCAAAGCCTGGTCGATCACCATTCTGTACATGACATGCATCTGATCAGGGCTTTGAGCTACTCCTTAGAATGGCTTCTGGTCCTGCTATACCTGGAAAGCGACAAGCGACAAGCGCTGAGCACTCATCGATAAGTATGAGTGCACGCTATCGCATTATACCCATGCGCAAATCGTACGCAATAGTAAATTTTGCTACTTTTATTTTTACTTTCAAATTTACTTTCGAAATCGTACGGGCCCTTAACGTTCTGTACGATCTGTACGCGATTCACCCCCAGTGAAATCATATGCCTCGCATGCCATGACCGTGCCAGGTCAGCATGATATCAACGGTCATTCGATCTGGGGCCTAATCGTTGTTGCTGCTGTCTGTCTGTCGTCATTCCAAGCATCTGACAACGCAGCTAAAGCGGCAGATGCAGTGACGTGCGTGCTCAGACCTCTCAAGATAACCCTGCCGGGATTCTGCAGTCGCTGGATCCGTCAATCTTTGGTCTCCTTACGCCTGCAAGATCCACATGAACCAGCGATCGAGAGCTCTGCAGGTTGCGAGCATGTCCAAGATGATGGCCAGCAGGCGTCAGCACGTTCGGCGTCATTCCGCAAGGCACGCATGCGGCTCGTGCTATCGTTAGAGACTGCGCCGGTCGTCGGTGTACTGCTCTTGCTGGCGACTGTCACTATCCCTGGCTCGGTTCTGCGGCTTGGCATCGTTGGCGACGAAGGGGTCAGACCGTACGACGTGCTGGTGCTCTTCATCTCGCTCGTGCGTACGCGCATTGACTCGGCTACAAGCGCTTACAACGACGCCAGGCATATATCTCCACAGCACTCGATGCAACAGGCGCACTACGATCTCTTGCATTCTGGGTCTCGCAAAAAGGCGGCGGATCCGGCGCTAGACTGTATCTCTACTTGTATTTACTCTTTTTCGCAGCGGGCGCAATTTTCGGCAACGTGCGTGTCGGTTCACAGCGAGGGGTCTTGATCTGATGCACGCTATGGCAGGATCCAGTTATTCTGAGGTACGCAATGCCATGTTTTGACGGCAAGGTCTTGATCAGCCTACAGCGGCACCGCATTCCTAGCCTACTTCACTCGTGTGAATGGCATCACACCGCCGACAGCATGGACATTCGCGCAGTTCATGGCATGCAATATTGCCTCTGCTGTCTTGGTCTCCTCGAATCCAACAAACGTGCTCCTTGCAGGTGTAAGGCCCTCTGGCTCCACCCATGCGTACACAAGGCTCAATAGAAACACAGGCATTCAATTTGAACTTTCTGACTGGCTTCACAGCCTACACCGCTCTGCCGTCGGTTGTCTGCGCGATCGTAGGATACCTCATTATGTTTGCGACCTTTCGATCATTCACACCGCGCGAGCAAGACGAAATTGTTCGCAATGACTCGAACAGCTCCAAAGATCACCCGCACAATCCTCCGCGCAAGTCCGTCCTACAGACGAGCGGACACGAATACATCCCCAAACGTATCCTGCCACCAGACGTGTCGCCTCGAGATGCACTCCTTGATCCCCGAGGAGCTGCTTTCTACACGATCCTCATGCTCGTCACACTGGCTACACTCGTGGGTACCAGTTTTGTCAGCGATGGAAAGGTGCAAGTCTGGATGGTCACAGCGCCCGCAGGCCTCCTGGCATTGGCACACGACATTGTGGTCGACTGGCGTCGATGGCCACAGGCACGAGTGCCGGCCCGCGCATCAGAAACGGTTTCAGCGCAGGCTGACGCCACAGCAGCAGTCAGAATACCTGAGCATGAGTTTCCACCCAGTCGCGTCAATCAGAAGCCCAGTGTCCGCATGTCATTGCCGCAACTGTTGCGCTACGCTTCGCGCAGATTTCCCGTGACAAGCACGACCGTCTCGCGCCTGCCTCTTCCCCTACTGCCCTTTGCATTTTCATGGTTCATTCTCGTGCGCGGTTTGGGCTACCTTGGGTGGATTTCAACATTCGCACGCTGGGCAGCAACAATGTGTGTCAATTCAGCGTTGACAGCTTTCGTCGCTGGCTACTTTGGCGTCATCTTATGCATTGGAGGCACAAACATAGCTGCCACGATCATTCTCGTCGAAATTTTCAGCGATCCAGCCTTTGCCCGCGCTCCACATATCGCTGCGAATCCCGAGATCTTGACAGTGGCCATCTTCTCATCCGCACTTGCCGTAAATCTGGGCGCCTTTGGCTTTGTGCCTTCGGCCTCTCTTGCGGGTCTGCTTTGGCGCTCAATCTTAGCGCAAAAGGGAATTCATGTCTCAACATGGTCGTTCTGCAAGTGGAACCTAGCGCCAGTCCTTATCCTATCGACAGTAGCGTCTGCGATTGTCTTAGCAGAAGTCAAAGGCTTTGGACTGCAGCTGATATGATATATTGCCGAGATAGCGCATCACGCATCACGAATCATAGCCATTGGCTCTATCGACAGCAAAGTTCCGATCGCTTTCGCTATCGCTAGACGAGCCACCGCCACCAAGAGGACGCTGATGACGGCCTTTGACCATGTGTTGCTTGCCTTGCGCACTTCTACTGAGACCAAGCTGCTTCATGATCTGGCGTTTGCGGATCTGGCTGGATACCGACGCTGCTCTGTTGTGCTCGATGTGGCGCGTCTCGTTGGCAACGCCTGGTGCAAGCTTTTGCCTATCGAAATAGCTTTGGAGAGCGCCGTCATCGCTACTGGAATCGAGCGCGGAAGTATCGAGAGCAGACGCGTCGCCTGGCGCGGGACTCAGTGCAACTAGATGACTTTTGCCGCTGATGGGCAACGCAAGTGTCTTCCGTACTTGCTGTCGTCCTGCATCGATCTCCGTCTCTATCTTGAGACGGTTCTCGATCATATGGATCCTGTCACTTTGATGAGCTGCGTTTGAGCTGGGAACGCGATATGCTCACTTTGGCCAGGTGACGCGTTGACCAACATCGATCATGCGGGCCAGCTCGGCCTCGTCGGGGTCCGTCAGAATGCGGACCCAGTCCCAGGCGCGAGACTTGGGCCAGATTGTTATACTGCCCTCGAAGCGCTGCAGAAAGACAGCTGACCAGTTTTGGCCCATCAATTCCGGCAAAAGCTCAAGGTCGCGCAAGACCTGCATATCATTAGCTGCGATCCGCAAATGACCGTCGCCGCTGACTGACCTTGAAGTTCTTTGTGAGCTCGATCTTGAGCAAGCGCTCGGCGGCAGACAGAAAGAATCCACCTCGCCAGCCCTTGCCTTTGCGATGTGAGACAGGTCGGCCTGGACTACCGCGAGGAGCGAAATTGAATAGATGGATGTGAGGGTTTGATTGTGAAACGATAGGATGCACGACATTAAAATACTTGTGCAGAGCGTCGATAGGAATATCGACTCGAAGTGAGCCGTCTTTGTGTCGGCCTTGGAACTGCCATGGCTTGATCTTGCCATCCTTTGACTTTGTAAGCAGGGTAACAGGATTCAGGATCCCGGGTACAGCGGCTGACGCAATGATCGCACTGAAGATCACGCAGTCGGGCGCAGTGTGGAAGTTGAGTAATTTTGTCGGACTATTTTGATCCATAGGCACGACGCTGACGTTGAGGATTCGGCCAGTTCGCTCGTATGCCTCCTTGAATGTTGTGGCGCCTCGAGTCATCCAACAGGCTTTCTCGGCCCATTGCACAGTATTGAAGCGTGCGCCCGTCTTGATCGCTCGGGGCACCCAAATCCGCACACCTTCCTCGCATGCTGTAATTTTCTCGGCCAGCTCAGGAATGAGAACGAGCCTAAGCTCTTCATCTGTGCGTGTGCAGAGGAAAGCAGCAACGAGCGCGCCTGCCGAGGTACCAGTGATGACCTGGGGGAGCAGATTGGCATCGAGCAGAGCGCGAACGACGCCAAAGTGATAGTAGCCAAAGGTGGCACCTCCGGATAAGCAGAGTGCTGATCGGCCGTAGTTGCGCGAGATTGTCTTGAAGAAGCGCGTCTTTTCTTCGCCGTCAATGGCGTCTGTGTGGCTAACGTAGCGTATGCAAGTTGCGACTTCGTCTAAGTATGCTTCTATGAGATCTTTGGTGCCGTAGAATGTCTCGCTGTACAATCTGAAGCCCTCGAGGCCCGCAAAATTGCTCCTCAGACAGACTTCGAGTACGGCGCGTACGCCTTCAGCGTCATCATGCTCACGCAGATGTTGTAGATTCTCCTTGACTCGTCTGACGAGCGAGGAATCGTAGTATGCCGAATGTGGGTTGGCCTTCCAGGGCCCATACCTGAGATGCTTATCGAGCTCGAGCGCGTGCTCTTTCCATTCGTCGTAGGACTTGGCGCTTCTGAGTCGACGGCGAAGTTCGCCCCGAAAGCCCCGCCATGCACCAAAGTATTCGGTGACATTGACAGCCTGCCGAACGATGACATACAGGAAGAATTCGAGACCGATGATCACAAAGATGATGAGGAGCAGAGGCCAACGCGCGAGGTGATAGGCCCAACCCTCGCGCACGACATCTGACGACTTGATGGTGGCTCGCTTGATGCGCTGTCTGATTGGCGCAAAGTCAGACACAGAGGTGATGAGCTCCCCTTCATCATCTGACAGTGCTCGCGCGAACGCTTCCATTGCCTCTCTGTCGATGTAGTCAACATCGAACTCGGCGGGTCTTTGGCCTTCGCCAGCCGGCTCGAGATTGTCCTGCGCATGTCTTGTGGTGCGCGGGTCCTTGAGCGATGGGCTGTCGTCCATTGGCTGCTCTCCTCGAGGCTCAGTGCGCAGCAGCTTGGCAGCTTGTGAGGCCTTGCTCTTGGCCTTGAGCCTAACTAATCACGGCTTACTTGGGGCTGGCCCGCGCCAGACCTCACGCGCTCTCGAGTTGAGCCTCACGACTCAAGCGCTACGGCGCAACGTCCGCGTCAATATTTTTGTCTAAAGCTGAAGCTTCCTGATCGAAGGGGAATTCCTCTAATATGTTGTCATTCTGCGTGTGTATCACAGCGCAACTGGTGCCGACCCGCGCACTACGAATGTCACAGAGTATTGAGCACGAGCTGGGTGCGGGCGTGGAGATATGGGGCGACGTGGTGATCCCGCCAGAAGTGACTCCTCTGAAGTTTGTCGCCATTGACATATTCATCGGATCGCGACAGTGTGAGGGCGAAATTGGCGAGGATGCTGTAGCCGTTCGCAAGGGCCACACTGACAGCTAGCTGGTCACTTATCCTAACCATCTGATCTGAGCTGTCAGATAGCGACGTCGTCATGTAGATTGCTCTTGTGACATACGGCATCAGCATCTTCATACTGCTGCTCATGTTCTCTCTGTACCCTGAGACCTGTAGACCGGTTCCTGCCTCTTTGGCCTCCGATACCATACCATGCAGCGCATTGTTGTAGATCAGAATCTTGTCGGGGTGGGCAGGTACAGGCGGGAGCGCAAGGCATTCATGCAGGAATTTGACCAATTGGTCATCCTCGTCAATCATTGTCTCTGGGTCTGCCAGAGCGCCAATGATGCGATTATGACCGTATGCAGACTCGAAAGATTGGATTCCTGCACCGCTCCAGCAGAGCTCGGCTCTACCCGCAACAGTCACATTAGATAATGAAATCCGCCGGAGCAGATGCCGTTGTAGCTCCCTGCCGTGCCACTTGTGCACAAGATTGGCCAGAGCACATCAGGTATTGTTACGGATACCCCGATAGACGTCGAGATAGGATCAATAGTCGTCGGGCAAATAGTCTGAGGCAGAGTCATCGGCATCTTATTCCGACAGAAAGGGAGCGAGGCTGTCTGCAAGTCCTTCGATGGTCGAACCGCCGATGAGACAAATGGTTCGGATCGCCGAGCAGGGAGAGACACGTCATCGCTGTTCTTGTTGAGCTAGCACGATCAGCCTGCGCTGAAAGAATGACTAGCTTGACTTTGGCCAGTGCGTTTCGCCTTTTCAGAACAAACGTTCACAATGCAAACCGCGACCTGAATCTGATCTGGAGAATAGCCGCTCGCGCATTGCACGCCATACTGGCAGTAGATGGCTGTGACATCGTACTTGTGACCACAAGTAGTTTCCTGATGCCCGCATCTGCAACGCGCAGAGAGACCACTAAGCTTGTACTCGATGACCCACTGCGTCCGCAATGGTGTGCCACTAGCGCATGGGTTAGAGCCGGCTGATCAAGCAAGCAGGCCCACATTGTCCGTGGCGGTCAAGAATCAAGCTCTTCAGGCTCTGCTAAGCCTTCTCACTGGCATAGCTGCTCCTAGACAGGAGCTGCATAGACACAGACGCTCACGAAAGAGGGAGCGAGTCGGTATTGACGTCGAATTGCACGGCCCCAAGCTTCTCAATGAGCTGATCGTCGGTCTCAACGCTTGCTCTGCTCATCTTGAACGCTCCATCGCTCGCCTTCGTCGGCCAAAAGCATTGCCAAGTCCGTACAATGACCCTCAAGATCTGAACCTGCTCTTGGTATGTCAAGATGACTTGAATCCGGCTTCGCTGGCAGCACATCTGCCCGGCCTGATCGCAGTCTACAACGGTCTACTTGAATGCAAGCATGACGGCGGTATGTTACTTGTGCCATTGCCCGCTGGCGCAGAAAGCAAGCTCTCGTGCGCGCTTGGTCTCCGTCGGGTCGCCGCTATCGCCATTAAGGTTAGCTCTCGCTTTCGATCCAGACAAAGCTAAAGCCAACGCCGTACAGGCAAGCTGTTCTGAGGCAAGGGACCTGATGGCACTGCTGCGCACTCATGTCGAGCCAGTCCGTTGTACTTGGCTTGATCCGCCTGCCCATCAGAATCGCATGCAACCGTTGCGCCTTGTTAAGCAGGTGACGGCGCATCCGTCAAGTGGGAAGGCCTCAAGAGCGCAGAGGATTGCTATCAAGCGAGCCAGGCGACACTGACATAGACATGCATTGAGTGCTCAAGAATATAAGCTATCTCCATCGACAGAGTCTTTCGCTGCTTCAAGTTGAGCTACGTGTACGGCACGTCGCGCATCTTCTAGTCGCAGGTCGAAGACGAGACATTCTGCCCAGGGCCCGAACGTAAATGTGTCCTTCTCGATCTTTGCCAAGACTTCCATCCAGTCCCGCTTCTCGTCTGCCGTGTCGGCATAGAATGAGATCTCGGAGCCGTCCCGGAAGAGGCAGCGGAACGAATTGGCAACGTAGGCGCGCTCGTCGTCATCGTTGGTGCGCTCTATCTTGCGAGCCACTTGCTCATCGTCCGTGTCTTCAAGGGATATCATCATCGAAAGATCGACAATGGCATGCGCCTGTTTCGTAACGTCATTGAACGCGACAAGACGACTGCCTTGCAAGTGGAATTGACGTCGACGCCAAACGTGGCAGTCTCCACCCATCTGGCTCAGATGACCCTTGTACTGGGTCTGATGGTACGCCAGAGCAGCGCGCAGACCCTTGTAGCACTGGTCGACAGTCTGTGGCAGCTTGACGTGCTTCGGCATGGCCGGCAAGAAGAAGATCTCGATCTGTATATACCCCAATACTTCTCGACGTTCTGGATTGGGCGAGACAAGAGGATACTGGAAAGTGCACTTTGTACCGAAGCATCGGTCTGCTATTTCATCGTAGATGACCTTTGTACCTGCCAATGTGCCGGACGGGCTCAGGTAGAGCATGAAAGGGTCGAGTATTGCGCCGCTCTTGACTTTCTTGGGAGAAGAGTTTGCAAAGAAGCGTTTTATGCCGGCAGGACTCGAGCGCGTTGGCGTGCCGGGCTGGGAAGTGGGTGTGCCTGGCCTGATGGCTTCGTTATCCATCGTGGTCTCGAACGTCAGCGAGAACTCGAGTCCGCGGTGCTCGATGAGTTCAAAGTCCTGAGCCAGCGTCACCGTCTGAGCGACATTGAATTTCGGTGTTGTGACGCTTGTCGATCCGTTGGACATCGTACAGACTAGCTGCACAGGCGCAAGAGGCATCGGCAGACCTTCGAAGCAGACCTTGTCGACTGTGACACCTTAATCAGGATCGAAACGGACTTAGACTGACAAACTGACGCTTCATGAGCACGCGGCCATGTCTTTCTGGCTTTACTCTAGCATATGCGCGTAGATCCTCTGGATATTGGTACTGCGCACACGTAAGCTCATGCAGCCATGTTTTTTGATTGGGCACCGACTAAGTCTTGCGGTGTGCGCACGCGGCGCCAAGGCGCAGGGCTGCCAGGCGACAGATCTTGGGAAGTGCTCGGACTAGGGCTAGCCGCCTCCACGCCGTACCAGCCTCGTTTGATCTCTTTGATGCGATAGGACTTATCGGCCGAATTGCATACGCTGTCAAGCGCATCGGTGGTACCCTCATGGAAATCGTTCGCTGTCGAACGCGTCGACAAGTCGAGTACGCGGCCATTCCCCTTTTCTATGTTGGTTACAAAGGTGGCGGCTGGTGTTGACGTGCAAGCTCTTGAGGGATCGCCACTGAAGTACACTTGATCGCTGCTTTGAATTGACGCGCCGCGGCTGGAGCTTACAAAAGCATGAGTAGCGGCAAGACGATCAAGCGCGCTTTGAGCGCCAGAGAGATGCTGACTGAGGGGACTTCCTAGAGGAGCCTCTCCAGGTAATTGACGAATCAAATCATCTGAAACGGTCGCTTCGCGAGCGCGCATCGCAGGCCGGGTAGCGATGCCGGCATCATCGCGCACGAGCGTGCCCTGTCGAACGAGACATTCTGAGGATTCCTCGGGCGAGCCAATAGCTGCTCGTCTTTCTCGTACACGTTGTTGGACACGCTCTTTTGTCAAGGCGGGACTAGTGCTTGGCTGGTACGGCTCCTCGGCTGCGTCAAAAGCAAAGTCACTGCCTAGCAAGGGGCTGTACATTGCTAGATCGGGCAAAGAGTATTCCTCAGACGCTAGCACCGCCGGCTGGATGTCAAGTGAGGTTGAATTCACTTCGTAAGTCGCGTGTGTCACAATCGGAGCTACTGGTAGCGGACGAGAACCAGCTGAGCTTGATAGAGAATCTTGCAGTATTGACTTTTTAGGCGAATAACAGCTCGAAATGTCCTGCATCGATTCCGCTGCAGCGTCACGGACGTCTGGTGAAATTTGCCCATCGCTAGAGATGTCTGTAGGGTTGCCGAGAGTCTCGCGCTCGGCGGAGTCGCCTTCCGATGACGTCTGACTTGTCCAGCTCGCTGTGCGGACTCCGGCTGACGCATTATCATCGTCGTCGAACTCGAGGACGTCTTCTCGCGAGGCCCAGGTGACAGTCTTACGGCGTGGTCTGGTACGTGCTGCATTCACTGCGACGCACAGCGCAAAGGCTGAGCTTGAAGAGGCTGACAACTCGCTGGCTTGACCGTCGATCTGCGATGCGGAGCGACTCGTTGCGGGCTGACGAGGACCGGCAAGCCCTCTGCGAGCTGGCGATGCTGGCAGAGACGCGCTACTAGTCAGAGAGCTCTTTGGCCATGTCGCACCCGCGTTCAAGGTCTCGGCATGGCGCTGCTTCTTGCTAGATTGATCAGATCCATTTGGCAGATCGAGTTCGGCGCTTGTGCTCGAGCGGCGCGACCCGCTCTTGTTGGAATTGAGGGACGAATTGGAGGTCTTGCGCAAGGCTGACTGAACGGGGTCAAGATTCTCTATGCCTTCATTGTTGCCGACAGACGGCGCAAGACCTATGCCAAGGCCTCCGACGCGTGTGGTACTCGGATCCGGCTTATTGCCAGCTTCTGCCAGTGTCCCCTTTGCCCCGCCAAAAACGCTCCCAAGAACGCTGTCGGATTGCTTGCCGGTCACTAAGAGTGAGGTAGGAAAGGCTTCGCCCTGTTTGAATATCGAGCCAGATACGAGTTTGTTGGTCTGCACAAAGCCATACGTCCTCGAGGTCTTACGCGATTCCTTGCCATTGCCGCCCTGTACGACACTGAGCATGCTGCCACGGGATTCGCTATTACTAGGGAGCTTTTCTGTGACTTTGGGCGATAAGGTAGGCTTCGATAGATCGACCAGGCCATCATCGCCGACTGCATAAATATCGCCCGTTGATGACAAACGGATCATTGGGCTGCTCTTGGCTGCGGCTGAGTCAGACATGCTGGCTGACAGGCCAGATTCTCGCTTTTGAATTCGCAACGGGCTCCACTTTGGCGAGCCGCTCGTCATGGCTTGCTGGCCGAAGAGAGGAATGCGAGGCGGTAGATGTTCGCCCGGAACGCGTCAGAGCAGCACGTGATCCGCCTGACCCGTCTGGCCACGTCAACATGTGCTTAGTCGTGCTTCCATTCGATTGCCTAGCTTCTTCATGTCGTTCTATCAAGCGTCAGCAAAGACACAATGCTTCCTCGACATTGTTTTGCAGACCTGAAAAGGCTATCGCAAGCAAGCGACGGACTCGATGAGTGGTGGACTTGCGCCTAGATCGTGTGAAAAGCTGTGAAGAGGCGTCTGAGGATCCAATGACATCTGTCGACTTGCCATCAATGCACCTTGATCTTCATGCGAACGAGATCAATGAGTTCTCTGGGACGTATCAGATCATCAGACTTAAACACAACTCGCAAGGTGCGAACCATGGTTCAGAGCTCATTGGTCACCGCTACGGCGCCACAGATGAGTATATGTATCAGCAATGTATCGTGGGCATATTTATATCATCAGAAGGCCGTTATTGGCAGATATCACATCTCCTGTGATCCACTGGGCTTGGTCGCTGCAGAGCATGAGAATTATGCCAGATATTTGCGCGGTGGTGGCAACCTTTGTGGATTTTTCGACGTTTGCCTGGAACTCGTCTGTCGTACTCCGATACATCTGTCGTGACATCGATGAGCACAGTGAAGAGAAGGATCAGCAAAAAGCATACGTCAGTTTCAACTGGGCCCGGATTGATGCAATTGGACGTGATGCCGCGATCCTTGAGCTCAGATGCCCAGACCCGACTGAAGCCTTCGACAGCGGCCTTGGAAGCTGTGACACGACAATGAGCGCGATTAAGCGAGACCAGGTCGGCACATACCGCCGTATACGGTCTGAGTGGGAAAGCCCATGCGAGCAGACACCGAGGAAACAGTGACAATACGTCCGCCGGCATGGTCAGGCATCAGCGGCACGACTGCCTGCGTCAAGAGCAGAACACCTCGGACGTTGACATTGAAGGTGTTGTCGTACAAGTCAAGTGTCGTGTCCGCTAACGTGGCATTGATGGAGACACCGGCATTGTTCACGAGAATATGAATTTTCGAGCCGAAGAGCTCTTTGGCAGCCGTCAAGACTGTTTTCGCTACATCCAGCGAGGCCATATCAGCCTTGACCGAGCCTAGTTCAGCATCCGGAGTAGTCTTTTTAAGTTCAGCGATGAGCTCTTCGACTTTAGATTTTGATGATTGGGACGTGAAAGTGAGCAGGACATTGGCCCCCTCCTTGGCTAGATCTCGAGCAATCTGAGCGCCGATGCCACGAGAGGCACCTGTGACGATTGCATTGCGCCCGGAGAGCGTCATCATGACCTGGGTTTGCTGGACCTAAGAGACGAACCAAGCGCCAAATTTTATTTCCTCAGCGTGCGCCAACTGTGCTAGCTTTGGCACCATGTCAGACGTGATCGTGGGCTCAGAAGCGGGCAACAAGCTTCAGGTGGAGTCTGAGGCTCGTTGCAATCAACGACGCTGACGTTTGACTCGGTACAGGCCACCATCCAGAGACGGTTGATATCAGATGGTTACGCTGTTGAAGGAGACGAGGTCATGGTCGGTCCGACCAGCCCTCTATCTGCCGATAGCTGACAACAGGTACCCAGGCGGAGTATGTCCTCGTCATGCTGGCCAACAAAAAGTCGGCAGACCAGATCAACGCCGAACTGTCTGAACTCATTGGCGCTGCCGACTTTAAGCCTGACTTTACTACCTGGCTCTTCACAGTCGCCTTCCCCGGCAGCGCCCGACAGGCAGCTGCTGTGGTCCCGCCGCCTGACTCATCACAAATGCCTGCCTTGGCCGGCGGTGCTCTTTCAAATGAGCCAGCATCAGGCGGCACCTCTCGCATACTTACTCTCGAGGAGGATAGAGGACATCGCTCGGACTATGCCCATCGCAGACCTGTCCATCGTCGCTCGCACAGTCCACAGGGTCGAGGAGACCCTACGCGAAGGCGCAACGGCAATGGCGTCTTTGGCGCTGCCATGGGCGATCTCAGTAGAGGCGACAGATCAGGAGGACCAGACAGGCGGCGAGATGACGACAGACGTAGAGGTGACCGTCCTTACGGTCGCCGTGACGACTCTGGCGCAGCTAGACGATATGACGGCGACGGTCCTTTCGATGGCAGGCGATACCCCGCTGGCGAGGCTGCATTAGCGAATCGACTCGGTCCTCATCCGCCTCCAAATGAAGTGCAGATGCAAGATGTGCGCTCGGCTTTCCTTCTCTAGCTAGACGTCGACTTATGAATCTGTGAGCAGGTCTCCAACGGAATGCCTCCTGCGTTCGGCACACCATTGGCAGGCATGCCTATGAATGGCTTCGCTTATCCGCAGGGCGCGTTCCCATCGTACGGCATCGCACCAGGCTTCATGTACCCTGGCATGCCACACCTTCAGCGTACTCTGCCCCCGCTACCGACTCGGCCCGCGAAGGAAGACATTTGCAAATTCGGTACAAAGTGCAAGGACGCTTTTTGCCGGTTCTCACACCCCAGTCCAGCCGCTACCCTGGAGAGCGGTCTCGTGCTCAGCACTGAAAATTGCGAGCATCAAGCTGACTGCACGGATAAGGCAAGTCACAGTGTGCCAACAGGATACTACTGACCCCACCGGACCTGCAGGACTGCCCAAAGCGACACATCTCATCAGCGCAAAAGAACCCAGAGCTCGTGCAAGCTTCAGCGATTGCGTATCTTTCGAAAGCGCCATCAGCGCCACAGTATCCGCCGCCGTCATCGTTCGGTCCATCCCATAAACAAGGCGCACCTTGCAAGGTACGTGGCGGAGATCCAGCACAGCGTGCAAGGGCTAAGTTCGTGCTAGTTTGGGGCCAAATGCACTCGACCAGGCTGCTATTTCGTCCACCCTTGGGATCATGCCGGCGCCCAACAAACGACATGTCGGTTTGGTGCAGACTGCACGAGAGGTGTGCTCTTCTGGCTCGATTTAACAGCGTGCATGACTCAATATCGTGCGCAGCCGATTGCAAATTCGCTCACCCGCCTGGCCGAGCGCGCAAGACGCCGAATCTATCGCAGACGTTTGGCGCTGCAAGCATCACAGCAGATGCGCCCTCAGAGCAGGAAAAGACTGCAATGTCTGAGCGCATGAAGCGATTTGGCATGCCAATAGACGGCGAACCCGAGAAGATCCTGCCGAACGCGCCGAAGGAGGAATCATCGGAGGCATGAGATCGTGCGAGAGCGAGAGGCATAAGTATGTTCCTCATCTAATTGCAGATCTAGAATCGTCCGGCAACGCTGTGAAGAAGTTGCGTGTTCCCGTCTGTTTTCATTATCGCGGGAAGATTGCGGGATGCTTTTATTTGATGAGTCGCGGTTATCACGACTGAAGCCTCTTACCGCTCAGCGCTCGGCCCGCCGCCATGGCTTCGCCTCTCATGCTTCTACCTTATAGCCCAATCGTGGCTGTCCGACATGGCGGAGCGAGGACGCTCACAGCTCATCAAACCTCTGCTAGCTGTGTCGAGCATGAGAAGCTCGCGCCCTGGTCTCCACATGGACAGCAAGTCGAAGCGTCCCATAGGTGCAACACAGAGGCCTCTTTCCTCCTTGCTTCGTGTGCAAAGGAAGCCCTCGACGCCAGAAGACCTCAGCGTCTCCCGAGCGCGTGCAAAGCTGTGGCTACTGACGTCTGTCATCTCGGCCGTCGTATTGCTCCACGTCCTCGCCGGTGTGCGAGTCTCCCCAGGCAGCGGCCTTGCAAGCTTGACGTCTGATGAGCGCCAGTTGACAATTTATGGCGAACCAAAGCCGGGTCGAACTATTTTAGATAACATACTTGCGACTTATAACTTATTATTCACCAACAAACCTGTCGTTGTAGAGCCCACCACGAAGCATACAGCGTCGGTCATCTTCTGTCATGGTGTCACTAACACCGCGGCGATGTGGCAATTCGCGGCTCAGGAGCTAGCGCCTTATCTGCCTCACGTCAGATGGGTGCTGCCGAACGCGCCAAGAGCTCCCCTGACCATGCTCAACGGGACCATCAGTTACAGCTGGTTCGACATTGCCGCAAAGGGTGAAGCAGCAGGCGAATGGCCCATTCCAGAAGATGAAGCTGGCATGATGAAGGCCGCTGCGACTATAGACAATCTCATCGCAGCAGAGGTGCGAAGGGGCGTTCCTGCGTCTCGCGTCGTCGTTGCCGGCTTCTCTCAGGGCGCTATACTGACACTCCTCGTCGGCTTGACGAATCCGAGGCCACTTGCTGGTATGATTTCACTAGGCGGCTATCTGCCAATGAAGCAAAGCATGCATTCTGTAGGCTCAGTCTTGCCTACCGGGCGCGGCTGATGCCCCTGTGAAGCTCATACAGCCGTATGCCCGAAACGTGCCGCTATTCATTGGCCACGGCATGCGTGATCACGTCGTTCCGTGCGTCCTGTCACGTCTATACTGCCGTTGTTGATGCTTACCTGGGTGACAGTTATCAATGGGCGAATGCATCAGTCTCATATCTCGAGCACCAGCTTGGCATGACGCGGGTGACGATGAAAACCTATCCCGGTACGACTGATCGACCTAGTGCTCTACCGGATTGACCTTTGTGACGCAGAGCTGGCCCATTGGGTCAGCGCAGAAGAGCTGCAAGACTTGCTGCATTGGCTGCAAGACATCCTTGCGATCAAGTGACCCTGACACGCATGCTTCTCGATGACGCGAGGAGTCCAGATCGACAGTGATTGGTGCGGGAGACATATACGACCATCCCGCTGACGTGTCATCGCCATTGTAAAGTAATTGGGCTTATTCGAAATCGAACTGCGCATTTGGGCTATACTGCCAGATGCCAACGTTGCCATCGTCACCGCACGAGAGCAGCAACGATGACTTGGCATTCCAAGCAGCCTGGTAGCAAGCGCCTTGATGGCCGCCCGTGAGAGCTTGCAGGGGCGTCTCGACTGTATTGGGCTCACCGCCTCTCGATGCATCCCACATGTAGATGCTGCCGTCTTCTGAGCCCGAAGCAACCAGCATCGTGCCGTCCGCTAGTGAGCTACCCAGGAAGGACGCGCGGATAAAGTTGCGTGAACCGACGTTTGAGTGACCTTTGAAGCGACGGAGCGGCAATGCGCGAAGCATGCGAGTATCCCAGAGGCGATTGGTATTATCTTTCGATGCGGAAAGCATGCTGATGCCATCGTCGCTCAACCTGACAGAAGTCACTTCGCCCAGGTGCTGGTTAATCGTTTTGACGCAAAGACCGGACACGCAATCCCAGACCCGCACCGAAGAGTCTTTTGAGCCAGACACGATGAGATTGCCCATGCCATTGAAGACCACTGACGAGACGGATGAGAGATGACCGGAGAAGGTCCTCAAGATGTCGGCAGTAGTCGAGTCGAACAGTCTCAAGACCTTGTCATAACCTCCTGTGACTATATGTGAGGCTCCGCCTGGATGAAATGCGAGTGAATAAACATCGCCACGGTGGCCGTTCAAACATGATATCGGCGTCGCAGAGCCGGCTTGCCATAGCTTGACAGTTTTGTCAGAACCTGCACTAGCTAATACGCTGACGCTTGCACTCTGGAACGCATCGACGCTCCAGATGCGTCCGCCGTGAACGAAAGTCTCTATGCACTCAAGAGTGTCAGTGTCCCAGATCTTGATCGTCGTGTCGCTGTCGCCTCCGGCGCATCAATGTATGCTCACTAATTCAAACGTCATGATACGCACCTCGAGCCGCTGACAAAGTTGGCGCCAGACTCGCCCAAGAAAGCAACGCATTTGACATTTTGTGTATGCCCAGAAACGCTTGTCATGTGCGAGTTGGGCAGGATGAATGACGTATAGTCGTACAAAAGGCTCGTCAGCCGAGGCTTAGCAGTACGATGACGACATGATTGGATCTGATAGGCCGCTGCCTGATCAAGCAGCTCCTCTAACCGTCGAGACGGGATGTATGTCTGCGTGTCCTTTGCGAGCTTTTCGACCTCGAGCATGTGACCGAAGTGAGCCACGAGCTTCTCGCGACCTGGTAAGATGCCCTCCCAGTCCCTGAACGAGCCTGCGGGATCCTCGTGAACCGACTTGGCGCTGAGCAGATATGAAAGCGATCTGAACTCGTTAGGCGTGCTCTGATAATGCTCAAGAGGTTTGAGACGCTTTGTCAACAGATTTAGCGCTTTTTGCGTCTCCCGGTGTTCAATGAGCTCGAGAAATTGCTGCTTGAACACACAGAACATGAGAGCCTTTTGCGTGCGCAGCATGGGCTTGCCGAGCAGCTGATCAGCCTCTGCCCAGTCGCCTTCGAGAATACAGCGCTTGAGTCTCTTGTACTCACTCGTCCGCTCATCTCGTTCCCGGCCTTTCAGTGCCGCTTCATCGTGCAGAACAACCTTTGTAGCATTGAGACCTTGGTCGTTGAGGTACTGTTCGATGAGGAGCAGGATTTCCGTCCGTATCCTGGGATCCTCCCGGCTGATCAATCCGTCGGGCTGTTCGAGCACGTCTCGAGCAACAGCTTGCGTCGCTCGAGCTCTTTGAAGCAGCCGAGCTTGTCTGATCTCCTTGCTGTCAAAGGGCTCTGCCTTATCGGGTGACTTTGCCCTTCTGTCGTGCTCCCTGGGCGCATCATGTGGGGCCCACGAGGACGTGCTAGGCGCAAGCTTGGTCTGCTCAAAAAGATAATCCCAGCGCCCGCTCGCAGAGTTCGGCGCAAGCGCTTTGACCGGCAACGGACGAGTCATCTAGTGCCCTGCATCTGTGCCCAACAACGCAGCGCGTCGTCATGTAGGATGATCATGCAGCGCGTGGGAAACGCCATGCGGGGCACTCCCCGCTAGGCCTTCTGTAGCGGCTGATGCACCTCTCGCGATACAACTCATTCGCGCATGGAATCACAGGCTTTCTTCTCATCATGGGATTGGCGCTCGCATCGCGTATAATTGTCAAGGAGCGTCGAGGCTTATGAACCTGTTCATGCATAGTCCGAGGGACGGCGATGCAGTCATATCCGTGGCAGAGCTAGTATCCGCAAAGAGCGGCGAGATGGCCGGTAAATCTCGGATCGATGTCATACCATAACACCTGCTGAGCCGACCGCTTCGTCACGCTGCCCGAAGTCAGCATGCGAAGTCGGTGCCGTCTCGAGCGCTAGTTGCTGCCCGTCCGACCTAACAATCAGAGAAAGTTTGTCGAGCGTTCGTGCTGGCACGGCAAGTCGCTGCCCTCGCATCCACAACGCAATCTTCAGCAGTCTAGCCAGCATTGATCGAGGCACAGCACGGCACCAGCAGGCTGGCTGTGTCTATACGAAGCAACCAAAATTTCGATTTCATTTCGCGAATACGGTCAATTAACACGGGATCAAATTTCTGCGGACGCGACGCGCTTCGAGCTCCATTGCACATTGTACGCGTGTTACGTGCGCCGATGTTCCCTATTAAGATCTCGCAGCTCTCGTCTGGTCTCAACACACGGAGATCTGGTACACATCACAGCGCTTATGCAGGCGCGACGAGATACCGGCCGGCTTGACTGGGTGCTCCTCGCGAGCGCGCTGTACCTCTGTAGTCCCCTCTTGGTGCCTCTTGGCACGGGCAGTCTGTTCGGAGGCTCGCTTAACAGTGCGGCAGATGCCCTGACCAGCAAATCGCTGGCATTTCTCGGTGACGAAGCGACATTTGGACATGATTCCTACCTGTCCGCCACCGATCATGCTGGCCTGCCATTGCCTCTTTCGCAGTCAGACTCGCTGCCCAGGGTTGAGATGCGGCCTTTCTTATCCGGACAGCTAAACGCGCAGCGGACGTGGTTTTCAGAGCCCAGAACGCGCTTCCATTCCACGGCTTTCTCGTCTGTTTTTGACGTCGACGGCGTAGAACCAGTACAAAGCACGAGGATAGCGAGAACAGTCGCTCTTGCTCCTGCATATCGCCGCCCGCCACGAGCAAGTCGATCGCGCAGGGGCAGCAATCTCTTCTTCCTCTACGCGACTTCGCCGGAGCGGGCCATACAGCAGTCCGAGTATTGGCGTCATTACCTTTACTGGGGTCCGGGCAGCACCAATGTAACGAGGCATCCTGACGACACGCTCGAAGACGATCGACGAGGTCCAGGCTGTCTTGTCGCTGACAACTCGGAGATGCGGTCGATCGCCGGCATCGCGAAAGAGCTCGATCCACAGCGACCTGCGATGCTCAATGCACAAATCACGTTCGATGACTTGAAGCTGTCCTGCACGATGTCCCCCGGCTTAAGGGAAGCCTCGGTCTACGACGATCGAAAGCGCTTTGGCGCCGCTTTTGGCGCAACCACAAGCAGAGAGACTGTGCTCAGCCTCGTATTGCTTGGCTGGAAGGCAGCGCACGAAGAGCAGCGGCAGACTGAATGGTTCCTTATCTTGTAAGTCCCCAGGGCGCATATCGTCTCTCGATTTGACGGGTGCTTGCAGAGATGATGATACTTTCATGGTGGATCCACACAATCTCATCGATTCGCTGAGCGACTTCGATCCGGATCAGGATTGGTTGCTGGGAGGCTACAGCGAAGCTGAAAGACAGCAATACAGGTTTGGTCACATTGCTTACGGCGGTGGCGGCATCATCATCTCACGAGGCCTGATGCAGAAAATGTATGATAGCTGTAAGTACGGCAATATGCAAAACGTCCGGCGAGCTGATACTGCGCAGATGATCAATGTCGATCAGAGGATGCGATCATTCGCGAACGGCAAGGCGATGGCAAGATCACATACTGCGCTGCTGTCGCCATGGAACAGATCGGCGAGTACAACAGGCTGTACGGCGTTCGCAGCAGACTTGCCGAGCCCGCAACGCAGACTGGTAGCAACAACGTTGTCACACCGCTCGAGGGCCTGAACCAGATGGATCTTGGAGCAGATTGTGCGTTTGTCATGGTCCACTGACGCAATCCTTGCTGACACGATGCAGCATCCGGCTTTTTTCAGAGCGGCATGCGAGTCCTCAGCGTGCACCACTACAATTCCTGGACGAACATCTTCCCGTCAAGTCATATTACAGCTTTACCCTTTGCGTCCGAGTACCAAAATCCGGCGGTCAGAACGGTCGCTCTGAGACTTCTCGCAGCTTCTGCTTGGGCACTCGGCGGCAGCAATCTGTTCAGACGCAGCGTGTTCGATGATGGGAAAGTCGTTGTCGTTCAAGGATACAGCATCACCGTATATGCCAAGCCTCTGACAGCCGAGGATCTCGACAAGACCGAGTGGACATATCAGCCCAAGATGGAGCCATACAGACCGCATAGACCAGGACTGAAGGAAGGAACCGACAAATTGACCTACTATCTGTCGTACGTCGTCATCGAGGACGACGACACGCATCAACAGCAGCTCCTTCTTTCGCAAACACAGCAGCGCAGTATTCGCCGTGTTCGTCTCGGTTATAAGTGCACCACTAATCTCACAGACTACAGTGAGCGGCCAGTAGCTTCCGACATAGAAACGATTATGTTCCTGCCTCTCATCGACTGATTGCTTCTCTTCGACATTCGATAGAGTACTGGATGTCATGTACATTCTGCGATCCAGCGCTCGGCTCAGACTGTGCTAGATTGCGGGCTGATGCACTGTTGTAGGCCCATGCTTTAATGCATGAACCCTTGGTCCCATTGCGAATTACACCGGACAATTTGGTGGAAACGTGACATCTCCAGACGCATCAAGCGCGCGCAAATGCATTGCTGATACATATCATTGGGCTTCATGCATCGTTATGTCATCGTGATCGTCATCATCTGCGCCTGATACAGGTGGCGGTGGAGCGCGCGCAGGTGGCGGACTACTCATGACTTGCTGCAGGACTGCGTCACCGCGCACACTTCTGACGGGACTGACAGGCTCATCCTGACTTGCTTGGCGCTTCGAATTGGCGCGCATCGGCATGACACCTGTCGCATCATCGAAATCAGACGATGATGCTCTTGGAGACAAATACGACTGACCCATCTTGACACCACCTAGTGCTGCCATGCGTGCGGCAATTGCTTGCCGTCGCTTGAGCTCCTCTTCTTCTGCGCTCAGCGCGGGCTCGCTATCTTGATGCAGCTCGTCTGGCTCTTCTGATAAGTTCAAGCTGCTTTCATGCGCTGAGATGTCCTGGGGCTCGGCAGGCAAAGATGGAAGGGCACGCATTGGATGATTGATGGCTGCCGTGGGCTCTGCAAGAGGTGCATCCAGCGATACTGATTCTTCCTGAGCCGCTTCTGGCTCGGCCGTTACATCTTCCTCCGACATCGCTGTGACGGGCGCAACACTGCCTTCGACCGCTGATGACGACCCCTCTGTGTGCTCGTCTTCGTTCGCTGGCGGCGGAGGTGGGAGGTGTCTGGGTGCATGTGGCGGAACTTCTGCTGTGCTTAGCGCGGAGGGCTGAACAGGTGCTTCCAAATCGAGAGGCTCTTCCTCATCGATGATCTCGGGCAGCTGGTCTATAGCTGCTTCGTCACGGACGTCCGTTAAGGCCGTCTCATCATCCGCAAGCTCGACGGTCTCGTCGGGATCTGCAACCGAGCTGACATGATCTGCAGGAGGCGCAGGCAATTCTCGAGGCGGCGCATGCGCTGCGTGAGCGATCTCGCCGTCAAGGTCTTCGATATCCTCCTGCTTTCCTGCTTCGTCGATGTGCTGTGTAGAAGCATCCAGAAGTGGCTGCGCCTCTTCAACAGGAGCTTCCTGCAGCGATGAGTCTGCGTGCTCTCCGATGTCACCTCGCGCGATGTCAGCATGTGGAACGGCTGTGGCATCCTCTGCTACGGATTGCGATGTAGGCGCTTGGTCGTCCTGCTGAGACGTAGACGGTGGTTCGACGGATGAATCTGGTACTGCAGCAGATGGTCGGCTCGGTACCGGGAGCATGCCTGCGTTTGGCTGAGCGCGATCAAACATAAGTCAGTCATGAGCTTACCCATCCTTTGCCCTCCCATCGCAGCCATGCGCTCCTCGAGGGACCGTGTAGTGGGTTGTGGCGCATCGGTCTGCATCCCTTGCGATTCCGTCTCTGTCGGGTCTGCAGCGGGATCAGCGGGCAGCATGGGCTTCTTGCTGGGTGGCGGTGGTGCGAGGCCGATACGATGACCGCCTAGTGCTGCCATACGACTTGCGATCCTTGCTCGTCGTTCTGCATCGCTCTCTTCTTCTGCTGCAGATTCGTTTGTCTGTGTCGGCACAGGCTCTACTTGTTCGGCTGCCATCGCTTCGTAGGCTTCTGGCTGAACAAGCGTGGCGCCATCGACTCCGCTCGCCTCTGTAGTCGCAGGCAGATCATTAGCAGAAATGTCTGGATCTGGTGACGGCTTCGGCGCTGGGACCTTTCGTCGTGGCGGCGCAGCACGTTTGGGCATTGCAGGCAAGACGACAGAGGTAGGAATCGGGCGAGCGTCTGCGTTCGGAGGTACTGCAAGCTCTGCTGATGGCTCGAGCGTGTCTTGCTTTGACGGCGGCAAAGGCAATGCGGCAGCTTGCTCGACACCCTCGCCCTTCGGAGGCGGCAAAGGCGTGAGCGGTGTTTGCACGCGATCTGCAGGAGCATCTGTATCGGGTGATAGAGCTTCAGCGGTTGGATCAGCAGGTGTGGGTACGTCTGGCTGTCGCCGTGCCGGTTTGTCTCCAGGTGCAGGGATTGCAAGGCCTTGTAGCGCGGCGATCCTGTCTTTCAAGCTGCCTCGGTCTCCCTGAGGCTCGCCCGCATCGACTGAAGCTGCGTTCGAGGCCATGGACGGAGCAGAAGGAGCAGACGCAGGTGTACTAGCTGCAGGCGGTGCCCATTTCTTGACGGGTCTCCGCGGTGCTGCAGGGGCTGGCGTGGGCGCACTAGCATCTGCTTGGGCTTTGTTGAGGAGTGCGATGCGCTCCTTGAGGCTGAGCGCCTTGGGTGGCTCGTCTGCCATGGCTGCTGACGCTGTCGAGTGAGGGTTCGTGCGTCGGCGTTGCTGCCACTGCGCGACTCGCTAGACACCTCCGCCAACGCAGCCCCGTTGACCCCCCCACAGTCAGGGAAGATGGCAGTCGCCAAGCAGTCCAAGATGTCCAAGTATGCTAGCTATCTCTTGCTAGCGCTCACGCACCCGGACGAGCTCAAGGCGGCGATATCCTACTCGCTCTGGCGTGATCCGCTCAACCGAATTGAGGACGACCGAGAAGCGAGTGGACTGGACAGACATTCCATGCAGCGATGCTGGTTCTTCCTCGACATGACCTCTCGCTCCTTTGCAGCAGTCATCAAGGAGCTCGAACCCCCCGTTGCGCGTGCTGTCCGTCACTTGATACGCTCGTCGGCATCGGAGTCCACGCTTATACGCTCTTGCGACAGATTTGCATCTTCTATCTCGTTCTGAGAGGCCTCGACACCGTAGAAGATGACATGACCATTCCCCTCGCCACGAAGGAGCCAGTGCTCGTCAGCTTCCACGAACGGCTGAGCGAGAAAGGCTGGACATTCACCGGCAGTCAGCGCAAGATTCACATTGCTGCCACTCAAGCTTATCTCTCCCTGCAGATGGCCCCGATGAGAAGGACAGACAGCTCCTCGTGGAGTTTGACAATGTCATCCAGGAGATGGCTTTGCTCGACGAAGGGTCCGCTCAGGCCTCCCTGTCAACTCTGGAACGCGCTCATAAAACCCACGCAGTTATCGCACCGTCATCACTGACATTGCACGGGAGATGGGCGCAGGCATGGCAAAGTACGCTCGCATGGCAGACGAGAACGCGGGTGTCTTCTCGGTCGACACACTCGCCTCCTTTGATCTGTATTGCCACTACGTTGCCGGACTCGTCGGCGAAGGGCTCTCGCGCATCTTCGCTGCCAGCGGACGAGAAGATCCTCAACTGGGGAAGCAACTCACGCTGAGCAATAGCATGGGGCTCATGCTGCAGAAGACAAACATCCTTCGCGACTTTAGGGAGGATATCGATGACGGGCGGCTCTTCTGGCCAAAGGAGATCTGGGGAAAATACGCAAAAGAGCCGAGAGATCTCACACTCAAGGAAAACAGCGAGGCTGCACGATGGGCACTGAGCGAGATGACCGTCGACGCTCTCACGCATGCAGTCGATGCCCTCAATTATCTCACCTTGCTCAAGGATCAAGCTATCTTCTGCTTCTGTGCTGTTCCGCAAGTCATGGCGATCGCTACACTCGAGGAATGCTTCGACAATCTCGATGTCTATCAGAAGAACGTCAAGATCCGGCGGACACTGACTGCTTCTGTGTGCTCTATTCCGTCAGCCAGATCGGCCGTGCTGATACGCTGCGTAGCTGATCTACAAGACTGCCAATCCGAGAGACGTCGCCTACTTTTTCCGTCACTTTGTTGGCAAGATCAATCAGCGAAAATCACCCGCCGATCCATCATACATCAAGCTCAGCGTGCTAGGCGGACAGGCAAGTCGTCACCTACCTGTGCCTAGCTCGTGCTAGTTCTGATTGCTTGTGCAGATTGATCAATGGTGCGAGACGAGGTACCCATCTTGGGTAAAGCCCACAGAGGGCAGACAGATCCCCTCGACAGTCGAGGAAGCGACTGCGCAGGGATTTTCAGACGCCCGCATTCGCCAATTACCTTCGCTGTCCGAGGATGCCCAGTATGCGGCAGAACAGCTACGTCTAGAGAGTGGCAAGATGACGTCGGAAGATATCCGCTTCATCTCGTACGTCCCTCTCATCTCTATACTTACTCAGCTGAGCAAAAAGCGCAGAATTGTCGTCGCTTTCGTTGGTCTCATTGCTGCTTTGCTAGCAGGCATCGTTGCGCTGGCTATTTGGTACATCAACCAGCCGGGCGATGTGTCGGTCGCAGATGTACACAAGATTGAATTGTAATTGCACGCCATGATGACAACAACAAAAGTGTGGATAAGTCTAGTAGACGTAGAAGCCTTGACCGCTCTTGCGGCCGAGATGACCTGCAGCAACCTTGCGACGAAGCAGGACAGGGGGGCGGTACTTACTGTCGCCCGTCTCACGATGCAGCACCTCACCTATCGCTAGGACGGTATCTAGGCCGATCATGTCTGCTAGTTGAAGACATCCCAGTGGCTGGTTGAAGGCCAGTAACGATGTCTGCGGACCCACTCAGCACGTTTGTGACAAATCGTAACAGTCTTGCCTTGTCGATATCTTCCTTAGAGGCGACTCCTTCTTCGAGACAGAAGACTGCCTCATTGATGTACGGTATCAGAATACGGTTCGCAATGAAGCCGGGCGTATCTATGAGCGCACACAAGCTTAGCTAATGATAGTTCTGACGTCCTTCGTGCGCGCCTTTGGAGACTGTCGTCTCTTTACCACAAGCCTCTGCAAATGCCTTGGTACGTGACATGACGTCCGGTGTAGTTTGAAGAGCAGAAATGAGCTCGACGAGTCGCATGACGGGTACGGGATTCATCCAATGGCAACCAACGACGCGACTCGATGATGCGACTGTCGAGCCCCTCTTGACTCAGCAACGAATGCACTGAAGGTGGCTAGTCTCACGGATATCTTCTGGTGATGATGCACGTTCGACAAGACTGCCTGGCGCAGGCACTGCGGCTGCGGCAAGTGTCGTCAGTGAGATTGAAGATGTATTGCTCGCGAGGATAGTGCGAGCGGACAGGGTGGAAGCCAGCGTGCCGAAGAGAGCTTGCTTGAGTTCCACCTGCTCAGGGATTGCTTCAAAGACGATATCGGGGTCGTGGTCGGTGAGCTGGGCGAGAGTCGAGACGGTTCTCAGCCGAGCTAAAGTCGCCGTTGCTTCTTCATCGGTCGTCTTGCCCTTTGCGACTTCTTTGCTCAGGAGCTTGTCTATCTCACACTCTGTCTGAGTGTGCTTGCATGCAGGTCTGGGCCAGGCGCACCGAAGAGGGCAAATCCTTTTGCGAGCTGTTTCTCAGAGGAGTCGTAGAGGATCGTATCGACGCCGGCCACTCGTGCCGACACATAAGCGATCCCTTGCCCCAGCTGGCCAGCGCCAACGACGGCAGCTCGCTTGATACCGTGCGCGCTCACGGCAGCAGAGTAGGCTCTGGACAGCATCTGCAAAGGGGACAAATGCAAGGGCGCAAGAAGTACAAGCAACGCGTTTCTATGCGATCAAACGACTCGAGCGAGCGAGCGAGCAAGCGGGGAGAGGGGAGATGATTAGGGCTTGGTCTCGTCTATCATGAGGGCCAGCCTTCGCTTGCGGTAGATGAAGAACTGCGAGAGGACGACAAAGTCGAGCAGGATCGTGCCTGCGCTGCCGACGAGCCAGCTCAAGTTGACCCAGAGGTGGTTCGCGTCGAGCGAGGGTATCTGAGACTTGCACGGTCAGCGACCATGCACAGTGAGGATGGGAAGCAACGTACGAGGATGGAGCCGACATAGGTGATGTTGCCGAGCAGCGAGAAGCAGAAGAATGCAAGTGAGAGGCCCTCGCATCCCGTCTCTACATTGTGGTATATCTGCGGTAATCCTGCTCGGCGCGGTCAGATCGGCCGGCTGGAGATAGCTAGAGGCGCACTAGAGCCGAGGTAGGCTGCAGCGCTGAGCCAGCCAAAGATCTGTGCTTGGGTATCCCACACCTCTCGAGGTTGTCTGTGTTGGCCGGGCACTCTGTTCATGCCGGCCTGCCTCGAGAGGATCCACATGACGACGCCGGCTAGGATGACGGCAAGGAGGGCGAGCAAGTAGAGACCGATCGTTCGAGCGACGTGCCTCGGTTGGGAAGAGGTTGGGCGCTTATCATCGGCCAGCGCGTCTGGTTCGGTCGTCGCTGCCGGTGCGGCATGTGATGATCTTCTGAGCAAGGGGCTCGTCTCTGTGGGTTCTATGTAGGCTTGTGGATCTGTCGGGAGATAGTGCTCGGGGTGGAGTCGCCTTCTCCGTCGGTACCAAAAGAGCTGGACGATGAGTACGACGTCGCAGAGCGTGTAGTACACCGCGAGAAAGATGATGGTGGGCAGCAGGCCTTGCTCGTAGGCGCCTATGAGCCCCGTGATGTCGCCTGTGAGCCAGATGATCAGAAAGGCCAAGCTCAGTCCTTCGCCAGACTTTATCCGATAGCATTCCACGATCTGAGGGCTGAACACGACAATCCAGGCTGCCAGACTGATCCAACCACACAGTGAGCCAATGTCGAGTCGAGTGATGGCAGGCTCAGGCGCCATCATCGACCCTCTGGCGGACAGCATTTTCACTTGACTCTGACCGCCCGCCGCCGCCGTCGCTGCCGGTCGTCAAGTCACGAGTTTCTGTCGCGCAAGAGCGGGTGGCGCAGATCTCTCGCGTCGCTGCTTGCTAATTCTAATTCCAATTATTTCGCGCGCGAAAAGCAACAAGATATCGCCTGCCAAGGGTTCTGTACGCAAGCCAACTGTCGACGCACAGGCGATCCTTTACTGTCGATAGCATCTGCCCAATCCGCACTTGACCGGCAACATTCCACACTCCTTTCTGGCAACCGACGAAACAGTCTGACGACCGCAACCGTACCGCCTTTGTTTCGCAATCCACCGCAAAACTCTTAGCCTTTGGCGCAAGATGATCTCGAGCAACACACTCTCGCTTACCGCCCTGCTGGTCATGGCTACCCAAACGCTCGGCGCTGCAGTGCCTACTGCACCAGGACCGGGTGCCGTCTTCAATGCCGGTACACCTTGTCCGATCTCTTGGACGGCAGACACGACTGGAACATGGACAAACGCTTCTATACAGTTTATGACGGGCAGCAATCTGGCCATGAGCACTCTCTCCACCGTCGCATCCGGTCTCGACATGACCAAGCTGACCACCTACTCCTGGACTTGCCCGGAAGTGAACCCTAACGCGCAAGTCATCTCTCCCTCGAGTGGGTTTCCACGCCAAGCTCATCCTCCTGGACCGCAGGCCAATCTACTTCTATCAATTCCAGAACAATGGCGATCCCTCGACGGATACCTGGACTACCCGGTTCACAATCGCAAGCGATTCAGGTGCAGTCGTTGCTGCGCCCCAATCAACACAGCCCAATGGCCAAGCCATCCCATGGGGTACCGGAGCGCTCGCATCAGGTTCGTCGTCGTCGTCCTCCTCCTCCAACACGACAACCTCGAGTACGAGCACATCTCCCACCACAACGAGCACCTCGAGCTCATCAACGCCCACAGGATTCGCAACCAGCGTCACCCACTCGCCCACGCCCGGTCCGAGCACGACCACGACCATCACCGTCGATCCTTCGGGACATCTGCTTGCTGCAGCGACGACGACTGCAAAAACAGGTGCAGCTCTCAAGCTAGCCCTCCCGAGCTCGCTAGGACTCGTTGCTCTGATCGCATTGGTTTTCGCATAATTCCAGGCAAACGTTGTGTCGCATATTGCAATCCTATGTGCCCCGTCAATCTGCTCTCGCTCTCGTCAATGGTTCATTTCCCGGTTCATGTATACAACCACTACTACTCTGCCAGCGCCAGGACCTGCGCTGTCCGCGCTGGCGTGTAGACCTGTGTGAAGTTTCGTCTGCCATTCCATTCCATCGGTTGCGTGAAGAACTCGGTTGAAAGTGAAATTCGATCATGCCCTCCGAATGCTTTGCTGTCGTCGCTAGATAAGACGACCCTGTATTTGCCGGGCACGTCCACGCCAACACGATAGTCCACGTAGCTGTTGGCCGGATGAAAGTTGAAGACGAAGAGCAGCCCGGCACGCTCGAACACGATCACCTTGTCGCTCTTCACCGATCTTTCAGCATCGGCTTACATCAGCAGCAACGAGGTGACTTACTTCGTTCTTGAGTGAGATATAGGCTTGCGGTGCGCTAAGCCAATTGTATCGCGTTTCGAGATTGTTCATCGCTGCGTCAAAGTTGTAGAGATATTTGTACCGCAGGAGCTTATCATCGATGAGGTTAAATTGTCTGCGTGCATATTGGAATGAGTTGCCATTGCCTTCTCGTGGAAAATCCAGCCATTCTGAGCGGCTCCTCAGCTCAATCCAGAGTCCAGCTATTCAGCACACACCAGGGTGACCGAATTCGTTGCCTTCGAAATTGAGGTATCCTTCTCCGCCGAGCGAATGAGTGAGCAGTCTGTCCTCCTCGTCAGTCATCATCTGGATACCAAAGCAGAAGCGCACCTGATCATCTTGTGCAGAGCAAGACCGCGATCGATGACCGGCGTTAACTCAGAGATATCAGACATGTGCGTGTACATCTCCTTGTCCATCAGCCAGAACGCAAGCGTCTTGTCGCCCACAAGTGCCTGGTCATGCGATTCGCAGTAGGTAATGCTGTTCTCAAGATGTCGCCGGTTCGTGAGCGTGAAGCAGATGTTGCCCAAATCCCAAGCGTAGTCATCTGTCTCCTTGAGCAATTTGATCCACATGTCCGGCACGGCCATCATCAGACGATAATCGAAGCCAACACCGCCCTCTTGCACAGGTCGACATAGCGCTGGCATGCCAGAGACATCTTCTGCGATCGTTATAGCGTTGGGATAGAGGGTATGGATGAGATCGTTCGCCTGCGGTGACAATCAGATTTTGCGCCTCAGGCTATAGTCTGATCAACATACCAGCATCAGGTAGACCATCGCTTCGTTGTCAACGCCAGCGCCAAAGTATTCATGATAGCCGCCAGAGAATCCTGTGCCAATGCCGTGATGTGTGTACATCATGCTCGTCACCCCATCAAAGCGAAATCCGTCGAATTGGTATTCCTCCATGTAGAAGCGCAGATTGGAAAGCAGGAACCGCAAGACCTCGTGAGAGCCGTAATTGAAAATTCGGCTGTCCCAGAGCTCGTGTTTGCCCTTCTGACCGCCGTGGAAGTACATGTGATCTACGTGCAAGCAAGTCTTAGTCTAGTGCTAGCTGAGATTGGGCGCAGGGCTACCTGTGCCGTCGAATTCGTTGATGCCATCTGCAACATTTTTGCAAGCGTGCGAGTGGACCATGTCGAGTAGTACGGTGAGTCCCATGCCGTGCGCGGTGTCAATGAGTTCTTTGAGTTCTTCTGGTGTGCCGTATCGTGAGCTGACGGCGAAGAAGCTTGTGACCTGATAGCCAAAGCTGGCGTAGTACTGCTCAACGGGTCAGCGCAGTCACTGAAGGCTCATCCTGATCCTAGACGAACAGCGTGTTCCATGACAGCCATGAGTTGAATGGTATTGTAGCCAAGTTCCTTGATGCGCGGCAAGACGTTGCGTGTGAATTCTGGGTATGTTCCAACGCGCATTTCGGGCGTTGATATTCCAACTGCGCTCGCATTCAGCTCTGTCCGTTTCATAACCACACAGAGACGTACCATGTGCTTCGTAAACTTTCACTGCATGAGGCTTTGGTGGTCGTGGGTGCTTGAAGACGTACTTTTGTGGCGGATTCCAGAAGCGCGCGTCGTAGATGGGTGATACGCTCAGATCTTGCGTGACCCGCCTGCTAGCGCGTCAACGCTATCACCGTAATTTTATCCGAGGGCTCACTTGATCCATGCAGGCAGACGCTCGATACGATGGCCGCCGTCGACGGTCATCGAGATCTGTGTACTGTTCAGCACGGCGCGCCGCTGAAATACGAACGAACCTTTATCTTTGAGTCATGCGGAATCGCAGGCTGTCCCCGCAAGGCAGGCACGGTGCATTCCCACACGCCGTAAGGCGACTTTTGCATAGGATGTGATTCGCGGTTCCAACCATCTGTCTGCCTCTTCAGATAAAGATGGCGTGACCTCCAGTGCACGCACTGAAGTCGCCAATTAGATTGGCAGTGTCTGCATGCGGCGCCCATTCTCGATATAGTATGTCATTGTTGGGTTGCACGATGAGGCCGAACGACTGATAGCCAAGCGAGAAAGCGTCGAGACCACGCTCTGATGATTTGATGTCGCTCTTCCATTTCTGGTAGAGCGCATAACTGCATGATGGCCTCGGCATGAGCCCACCATATCAGAGTCTGTATACAGAGCTTGCCGTGCTTTGAGGTCACCTTTGAATGGCTCGAGCCTGTCCACGCGAGCAGCAAGTTAGCCCACGCTCGAAAGCAGCATGCCAGGCAGCTCGACGACGTGCCATGGATCAATCTTGAGCACGCCTGTGCCATCGGGCACTGCGGAGGTTGCTTCTGGGAGTGGTGCGACCGCCATAGCTTCGCCCACCTCTGCAGCTTGATGTGGCGGCACTTGCTCGAGCTCAACGCGAGGGCGTCATGCTAAGCCCCACATGCCCCGCAGAGATATCAACCTGACAAAATTTCTGCTTCGCTCAATCCTTCGGGATTTGCGGCAGACTCGTCCCTTACCCGTGTTGCACGATGGCCAAGATTACATAGGCACTGAGTGTGTCAGGACGACGTCGAGAAAGATTCGATACCTCTGCGATCATCTAAGCGCCCTTTGGGTCCTGATCAGCTCGGATCTCTCAAAGCAGAGCATCAACCTTGCAAGTAGCTTTTGCAGGCTCTTGACAGGCACGAGTATCAGCCCGGGTCGGTAGATCGTACATACAATGCATCAATGACAGCAGTCATCTGGGATTTTTGCCTTTTTCTGCGTACATGAGTCTAGCGAGGAGCGAGTCCATCATTGGGTTCTAGTGCTTCTGCGAGACTTCTCACGAGACTGCCCAGAAGCACATCGTGACTGCGAGCTTCCTTGCCGAAGATCTCGGCGTCCTGTCGCTTTCATGTGAGCCTCTCAGACGAAATTGAGAAAGAGGGGCATACCAGTGAAGTGTCACTTAACTGGCTGCAGCAAGGACGCAGATGCTCGCTTGTCTCTCGCCGCAGCTGGTTGATGTCGATGTTGTTCGTCATACGCACAACCGGCCGATATTCTGTACTTAGAGTTGCAGCATTCGGCCGTCCGGATGCGCCCAGGAGCTGATGTCGGTGCTCTTCTGTATAGAAGTTGAGATGGCGCCAGATCAGCAGCAAAGAAGTCTCGACCGCGGCTGCGATACGAGTGTCAGAATCGGAAAGCTTTGTCGGTCATCAAACATACTCAGTATGGCGCGAGCTCTGCGCCTGCTAGCATCGATGAGGCTACTGAGTAAGCGTGTTTTTTGATTATCGCTTAGTCTACCGTCGCGAGACGAGTCCAGGACGACGCCGAATTGCTGCATGGGAGATAAGCCTCGGTCGCAAAGTAGAGTCTCCAATACGCACAGCTTCGAAATCGCCCGTATTGACGTCGAACAGATTCTCCAGTTGGAACTGCAGCTCTCGGCAGTCTTCGATCTTCGTCAGGAGCTGACCCGCAAGCTCCTGCATCATTGTGAACGCGTTGTAGAGCGTCGGAAGCGAGCCTGCTCATCGTTGATATCAACGAATAGTGGCAGACACGAAGGCTTGACTGACCCGCGCCGCGCGAGGCAGCTTGCTCATTGAAGACTGCTTGCCAAACCGGCCTAAACCGCGTCGAGCCAGACTTGCGCGAATACGCTGTGAAATAGGAGAGCAGACTGCCAGTAGCTGCCTCTCCTGCATGCTCCACCGCTTCGCTGAAAGCTCGCACACCGCCGTGTAAACCAGGCAAGGTCTGGCTGTCTTGCTCGCGTTCGGTTTCGCTTGTGGGCTCGACAGTAGAGAGCCACTGCTGCTTGCCGTGCAGGCCCGAGAATATGCCGAGAAGGGCGCTATGTATGCCACCAAGACTCGTTGGCGACGCGAGATCGTCGTCAGACGCGACAGCGACAGCTCCGCACATGAGCTGGGCAATCAGTCGAGTCTCTTGCAGGCCGATCAGGCTAGGCGCCTGGATGACGGCATGTAGGCAAGCAATAAGGCCATCGCTTTGTGCAATGGCAAATTGCAGTGCCTGCCGAGCAGCCGCGACGCTATCGTCACTAACGCTACTGATTGTGAGAACGACGAGCTGTAGCGCCGGCAATAGGAGTTGATGATAGCGCTCGTTCGGAGAAGGGATATATGACTCGATGTCTGCACAGGTGTCAGGCTGTGTACTATCGCTTAAAAGTGTGCGCTTACCCATGCCTTCAGGATCTGATTCAGGCGGTGAGCGCAAGAATGTGCAAGCGCCGAGGGCAGTAAAGAGCTGGCTGTCGAGCAATGTTTCGGCACCAGACCGAGCGGCGGCAATTCGCATGAGGCAGGAGACCTTGGCCTCGTACACATAGAGCGGATTCAGCGTTTCTGCGCAAGCACTCAGCATGGTGCCGCACTGTCAAGAGGCGAGCGTCTTACCTGGATCCTGGCTGAGAACATCCTCGATGCGAGTTTCGGCGTCCTGAAGAGATGAGCAGATACTGCGCAGATAGCCCTGCTTTGCAATTATGCCGATCAATCGCATCTGGGATTTCATATCGCCGTTGAGCTGCACGATAGCATCAAGTGTCATATACGTAACCGTTTGCCAGATCTCTGAACCCAACAAAGCGTCGCGGCACAAAACCGGTAGCAGTCGATCGGCGATCGATAGGATGATTTGCGAGTTACTAGCATCGATGGTGGCTCTGACACGACCCGAGTCTGTGCCAACCGCCGACATAGCATCATAGGAAGGGTCTGCACCGACATTCAATTCGTAGGTTGTCGTAGGGGCTTTGGCGATTTCCGTCTGAGCTATCGCGTGACCCATTCGCAGTAAATTGAGAAGCAAGACGCATAGGTTGCCACGGACGCCCGACGTACTGCCAGGTGTGATGATAGCTTGAGCGACCGAGCGCAGGATGCTCTGCAGTTTCTCGGTAGCAGCTAAGAGCGAATGCTCTCCGACACCAGCAATCTCGCTGGCTGTTAGACCGCGCAAAGACGTGATGATCATGACCCCAGCAGACGCGAGAAGTTCGGCAATCGCATGTTCGGTGTCTTCAGCACGTAGCGGAGGCAGCACTAAGACGAGCAGGTTCAGCAAAAGCTGCGACACGCTGGTTGCAGGCAGGATATCGAGGCATCGCGCGAGAGCAATGTCGAGGACCTGGCGCCATGCTTGTAGCGCATGCAAACGAGCGTGTCTGATCTCGCGCTGTTCGTTGTCTCGCGATAGGGCTTCTAATATATCTTTGGTCTCGTCGCGCACCGATGCCTGCTGCTGTGGACTGGCTAACTTGCCTTGATGTTGCATCGTCTGCCGTCCCTGCGCCAGGAGTTCAGTCACGGCGATGAGGTCATACACTTGACAGCCATGAGCATTGACTTGCAAGCAGGCTGCAAAGTTGATTTCTGCAAAGTGTACCAGATCAGGCGCAGATGCGGGCTGCTGCCTAGTGAAAGTGAAATCCAGACTGAAGAAGATCTCCAGCAGGCGAGGCGTGGGCTGTTCGATGTCGGCATCGACTTGATCCTCTGCTGACTGGTCGGCAATCTGTTCACCAACAAAGAGCAGCTCAAGGAATTGCTCGAGTTGACTTGCACGTTGTTCCGCTGCCAGAGCATTGATTTCGAGGGCAATTGCTTCGAGCATCCAAGCCTGGCCGTGCAGTGTCGACGTGATGGCATCAGCAGTGGTCATGATCGTGAGGCCGGAAGTGAGCTTGAGAGTACCGGCGTCACGACCATCATCGAGAGGCGGCAAAAAGGGCGTCCGCGCGAGATGGTCGAGGTAGAAATGCTTTTGTGTCCGCAAATAGCGCCGCACTGCGACGCCGGTATAATCGTGCCCTCCCAGCTGACGAACGAGATGATAAGCCCGCTCAGCGACAGCGCAATCGCTCGCTGTGACTGGCCCGTCAAGCAAATCGAGCACAGCCTGCAATGACGTTCGTTTGCCGGGCGCATCTTCAATGATGAGCTCTTCGGCTTTACTACGCACGTCGATGCCTAGCAACAGGTGCGCCAGATTGGGTGCAGCCGTGTTGATTTGCGTATTCGTGAGGAGCAGGTCAAGCGCCGCTGTGCGCGTCAAGTCTGTCGCCCGCCCCTGCGACATTGCTTCAGGATCATCAGTCCGAAGGCCGCTACCCTGGTCATCTAGTCTATCGATGGAAGCATCGATACAGGCTGCAAAGCCGGCGACGATCCGCAGGGTTTCTGCGGATGATTCGATGAGTCCGACCAGCCGGTTCATCTTGTTTCTATAAAGGTTGCGGAAGCGGTCGACTTCGCTGAACGGTGGAGATTGGGCGATGATAGAGAGCAGATTGACTGCGTTGAGCGGAATCTGATGGTTTTTGTCGGTGCCGACTAGCGAAGCGATTGCAACTACCACATCGCTGGAGTACAGTAGATGCTCGTCGATTGTCACCGCACTACGGATTCGCTTGAAGAGATCAGTCGATAAGTCCGGCATCTCTGCCAGCGTCGGTAGAACGACCTCGACGAATGTATATTGCAACTCGGATGCCCTGAGCAAGATCGACAGCGAGCGTCTTACAGAGGCCAGAAAGGAGGGTATCTTGCTGGATTGCACGGCATCGAAGCCGGCCGAAGCAACGATGCATATCTCGCGCAGAAGATCTGCGCCTGAAAGTAGCTGGAGAAGCAGCTCAAAGCCGGGATTGCTAGTGAGATTGTGGATATTGCTCGTGCTGAAGGTGCCAGCTTGCAAGTATTTTTGCGCGTCGAGCGAGGCGATTGCGCGATCGACAAAGGTCAGACAGAGGTCTGCGAGATGCCACTGCTCGATAGGATACTTGTATCTTCGGTCGCGCAGCTTCAAGAGGACCTCTTCAACAACGAATCTGAGGTAGGGCTGCATGTTGGGTATTAGTCGCCTTTGCCGCGCAAGGTCCGGTAACGTAATGAGTGCAGTCGAAGCCGTCTGGCGATCGTCAGCAGCGTGAGCCGGCGAGGGTATCAAGCAACTCATCAGATTAACAAAGGCTGCGTTGCGCATTAGTCTGCGAAGGTATGCAAGAAGAAACGCATGCCTGTGGTGTGAGGATAGGTCTCTCCGGGCACTTCTACGTCTTCCAGCTCTGACAAGATACCTCCAGAGTCTAACGTGTTGCGATTGAGCTGATTCTTCTGCGGTGCGGTGACGAGGATCTGGTACTGCTCGAGCGATTGCCAGATCTGCCTAGCGATTTCTATGGACGTTGTTGTGCCATCGTAACGCGCAAAGGCAGCAACAGCATCAAGCAGAGCAGCTTTCAGGTCGAGCGGGATGGGCCAGACTGCTAGACTGAGCAAGGTGGCAATCGGCTTGTACGACTGGTCTTCGTACAAGCTCGCCCTTGCCAACGCAGACGACTGTACGATGCATCGCAAGAGCCGCACGAACGACTTGAGAAGCTCAACCTCTTCTGGCGGGATGTCACCTGCACCGTCTGCGCCGTAGCTATTGCTGGTATAGTGCTGTTGCAACGAGGTAGCGTAAAAGTTGAGAGCGCCAAAAAGAGAAGACCACGAGCAGAGATTGCCTGGCCCACCCGCCCGACTAGCGAGGAATTCATAGGCATGTGTGGCGCTCTCTGGACCGTCAGACAGGCTGGCGAGCATGCCAAAGAAAGCGCGGATCAGACCAGGCGTGCGAACTTCTGCAGCCCATCTGAGGAAAGCAGGCAGACGGTTGTCGGCATACTCGTGACCAGCAGCAGATAGCTGCTCTCGCCAGAAAACCAAGGACGCATCCTGACGACCTGCGTAGAGGGTAGAAACCAGGAGGAAAAGTGATTCTAAGTCCTTGCGAGGGGGAGCAGCAGGCGCTTTAGGATCCTCCCTTGTGTTGCGTCTGCGCGTCGAGCGCATGCTACTCGCAGAGCTCTGCTGACCGGGACCTTCTTGTACACTAGCATACACGCGATCTTCTTCGCGGTGTTTGAGCTTCCGCAAGAGAGGCGACATCGAGGTGATGAGGCTCGCGAGAAGTACATCGAGTTGATACAGCACTGCAGGTCGGAAGGCGGCTAAGTCGGACGCGAGCGTCGACTTGCTCTCGAGCGTACGATCGAGTGCGGGCGCTCCTCGAGACGATGACAGTCTGACTGATCCCGTCTCGACAGCGACGAGGCCTAGCAAAGGTGGAGCCGAAGTGGATCTGACGAGCTCATCGTAGCCTTGCCAGCTCGTGCTGGTCTGCACCCATCGTAGAGTAGTCTCTCGCAGAAAGTCGAAAGCTCCTTCGGTGATGCTTTCATACAGCGCGTTCTCTATGTCGGTAGAGGACAGTCGAAGATCTTGTGGCTGCAAGGCGCGAGAGTGAGCATGCTGAGTCAGCCAGAGCGTCCAAGCAAGCTGCAATGCTGCTTTGAGATGAGCTGACGACCACTGTGATGCCGGACGATCTGCCGAGACGGAAGCGAAGAGCGCATTGACTTTGCTGATGGCGGCAGCAGACAGGGCAAGGGCTTCCGGACCCCGTTGCACGAGCTCATCGGGCCTGTTGACGTCGAGCGAGTGAAAGGCAGATGCGTCAAAGTGAGCCATGACGGCCATGGATAAGAAGAGCGTCGCTTCATCTTGCTCGTCTGCGCTCTTAAGCCAGCTAAGGATCTGCATCAGGTCTTCAATCTCAAGTTGATGAGCATGAGACAGCCAGTAGATGGTCGAAGCGATGGCACGTCGAGAGGCATGATGAGCTTGGATTCTGAGCGCGTTGATCTCGTAGGAGAAGCCAGGCTTGGGCTGTCCACTGCTGGCGTGAATCGCTTTCGCAAGCTCGGCTTGCGTCGCCATCTCCAGCAAGCCGCGAGAGATCCAAGACTTTGAACCCGAAGCGTTCGGTGGCGGGGGCTTAGCGGTGCCAAAGCTGCCGAGAGGAGCAGGAGCAGGCTGTTGAGGCTTGTCCGCCTGCGTGGACGCGAGCAAGTCCTCGACACAAGACGACAGGATCCTCCTGAGATGATCTGGCGTTGCCTCATCCCAGCAAGACTGGACGACTAGCTGAAGTGCAGCCAGACCATCCTGCTTGAACTGAAAGTAGACGAGAATGGCCCGTTCTGCTGCCGTGCCTGGGGCAGCCTGATCTGAAGTCGACAGAGCATCGACTTGCTGACTTGTCACGCTCGAGACTGCTTGGGACAGCAGTGTGGCAGATAGGCGTTCGGATAGATCGAGCTGATCAGACAGCAAGAGGGCTTCCTGTACGAACTCGCTGTTCATTCGCAGCGCTGGACCTGCAGGAGGTCTCAAGATGCCTGTCCTCTCTAGTGGTGAGCACTGTCTCAGCTTGGCCTGACGAGAAGGCGCACCCTTTTCGACATCTGCTCGTTCTGCTTTGCTCTTTGAGGGAAGTGAGAGCCATTGTGACCAGATAGGCAGGCTCTGAGTGAGCTTGATCCGTAGCTCGTCCTCTCTCACAATTTCGTCCCTGTAGGCTGATGCGAGACCGAGTGCTTGGAGTGGCTTGAGCAGTGCCGCAAAGTGATCGAGCGGCAGCAATTCCCTGTCTGCCATGCCTTTTGCGTCACTTCAGAGCTGCTGCTGCAATCTGCGGAGGTCGTCTGGGCTCTGTGCAAGCTGAAGCGGCGGCGCGTCGCGAACATGAACGGGCGAATTTTGAGAGCGTCATCCACCGACTTGGACAAGCTCTGACAGGATGACAGACCAAGGACAGCTCATCTACGTAGCTTCTCAGCTCCAAGCAAGCTTTGGCGCAGACGCACAGGCGAGAAGGGCTGCCGAGAGAGCTTTGCAAGACTTGCAGTCCCAGCCGGGATATGGTCAACTCTTGCTCACTCTCGCACAGTCTGACCGACTCGACGGCGCTGCTCCTTCCTCCTCAAGCGGCGTACAGCTTGACAGATCAGTCAGACAAGGCGCAACGCTGCTCTTCAAGAACTGGGTCAAGCTCAACTGGGACAGGGCAAGTCTGACGGGCGCGGTGACCGTCGATCTGGACTCATAGGCCGATATCATGGCGCGCAGGAGGATGCACCGTACTCGATTTCAGCGGCAGACAGAGCGGAGATCAAGACACAGATCGTCGCCGTCATGATCTCGCTCTCTGCCCTGCCGGCCTTGCAGATACAGCTAGGTGAGGCCATCTCTCTCATTGCAGAGTCCGACTTTCCCGAGCACTGGTCGGAGCTCTTCGACGTAGGTTCAAGCTCTTCGCGCGGCTCAAAGCGCTCATGTTGATGCCATCTGCAGTCCCTCATCGCTGCGCTCAGTCCAGACGACTATGTCCTCAACAACGGCGTCCTCCAGACAGTCCATTCGATCTGCAAACGATGGCGCGCACAATTTAGATCAGACGGCCTTTTCCTCGAGATCAAATATGTTCTCGAGCGCTTCTGTCCGCCTTATCTGCACCTCTTCCAGGCACGTCAAACGATGGTCACGTCTGCACTGCTGACGCGCTATTTTCCGGGTGTGCAGCAAGTCGATACGCTGTTGTCATCCCCTGAAGCTCTCCCTGCACCGCGTGACCCGATGACACTGTCACGAACGCTCTTGCTGCTCTTGCAGATCTTCTACGACCTCAACTCGCAAGATTTGCCAGAGTACTTCGAAGATCACCAAACAGCCTTCATGACACTTCTCGTCAAATATCTGGATTGGGACCGTCCAGAGCTGCATCTCAACGAAGATGAAGACGAAGCCGGTCCGCTGGAGAAGATCAGATCGAGTATCTGCGAGATCGTCGAGCTCTACACTCTGCGATATCTCGACGTCTTTGAGCATATGGAGCAGTTCGTCGGTACGACTTGGAACCTGCTCACGACTATCGGTCAATCTCAGAAATATGACGTCGTACGTTCTCTTCTGTACAGACCATGCTGCGACTAAGCCGCAAGCGCACAGCTTGTGAGCAAAGCAACACGGTTCTTATCCGTCGCGGTCAGGATGCCCTCCAAGCGCGCACTCTTCGAATCGCCCGATACGTTGCAGAGCATGTGCGAGCGCATCATACTGCCCAGTATGACTTTGAGAGGTCGGAATTCACATCCTTGCTATATGGCGAGCTGACCGGATATGCATCTGGCAGAATTTGAGGAAGAAATGTTCGAAGAGGATCCGCCGGAGTATGTACGCAGAGATCTCGAGTCTAACGGTACGTCTCGATATGACTATGGAAGTCAAGAGCTAACCCAGCATAAGCAGCGGAGAGCGATACTCGGAGACAGGCAGCAACAGAGTTCACCCGGGCTTTGATGGAGCAATTTTCCGAGCAAGTGACAGCCATCATCACGCGCTACATCGCCGCATACCTCCAGCAATACAAAGAGGATCCAGCAGGACAGTGGCGCAGCAAAGACACTGCGATCTACCTGCTCACTTCGATCGCTTCGACGACCTCGACTATGCAGCACGGCGTCACATCGACTAACTCGCTCGTCAATGTCTCTTCATTCTTCAGTGATCACATACTACCCGATCTTCAAGCGAGTGCCAACGTGCATCCCATCATTCTGGCAGATGCGATCAAATTCGTCTATGCCTTCCGAAGTCAACTCACGCGAGAACAGCTGCTCAGCGTCATCTCGCCCCTGGGTCACCATCTCGGCGCGCAAAGCTACGTACTGCACACATACTCAGCAGTGACGATAGAGCGCATCCTCTTCGTGAGGGTCAGAGGGCGATCAGTGATCACACAGCAAGACCTGCAGCCTTCCGCAAACACTTTGCTTATTACAGCCTTTTCCGTCATCGAGCGAGGCAACTCTCCCGAGATGCTTGCTTCCAACGAGAGTCTCATGAAATGTCAGTTCTCTCAGCCTGACATCGACGCTGAACTGACACCCAGCAGGCGTAATGCGGACCATCTTGACCACTCGAGAGGGCTTAGCGCCGAACGTATCGATATTGCTACAGCATCTGACGAACATCATCGTCGAGATCAGCAAGAATCCGAGCAATCCACGCTTTAATCACTACACCTTCGAAAGCGTCGCAGCTCTCGTGCGATTCATGGTAGCCGCCCAACCTGATCTCCTCAGTAGCTTTGAGGGCGCTTTGTTTCCGCCCTTTGAGTACATCCTCGCGCAGGATGTCAACGGTCGGTGGCTCATACTTGCGCTCCTGCATGAGCTCATGACATGAACTGTCCATACAGAGTTTACGCCCTTTGTCTTCCAGATCCTGTCGCAGTTGCTCGAACTGCACACGGACGATCTGCCGGCCACCTATCTGAGCCTACTCGATCCGCTCCTTGCGGGCACTTTATGGACTCAACGGGGCAACGTACCGGCGCTTGCTCGACTCTTGCGAGCCTTCCTCGCTCGTGGAGCATCCGATGTTGTGTCTAATGGCAAATTGCCGGCGATACGGGACATCATTCGCTATCTCATCAACGGCAAAGCCAACGATGCTTACACATGCGATCTTGTCGAGGCTCTCTTCGAGACTGTGCCCACGTGCGTCTTCGCAGCTTGAGAGCCGGATCAGCTGATCGGGTCTCGCAGACCGGCACTCGAGCCGTATTTGCGCGATTTGCTCATCCTCATGCTTACTCGACTGACATCAAGCAAGACACCTACCTTTGTGCAAGCTTTCATTCGTACGATCCTATTCCCGATCGCAGTCGGCAAGCCTGGCCTCTCGGCCGATGAGCTCATTGCGCAGATCGAAGCAATCCAGCCCGGGTATGACATTTCGATCTGCGACTGCAGTGACGTTGCTCACGAAGGCTGGCAGACTGTTCGTACAAATGCTGCAAGCGATACTGCCAGATGCTCAGAAGGCGCCGATGAAGAATCGCAAGATCATCGAAGTCGGCTTGTCCGGTCTGCTGAGTACGTCTCAAAGGCTGCAGACGCCGCCCATGTCGAATGCCTGGTGCGTACACATCCGAGTCCTTGGCCTTGCGCTGATGCGGCATGTCAGGCCGGGCACGCTGACGACACTGTTGAAGCTCTTCCTGCAGCATGCAGATCTGACATCAACCGGCCAAGAAGCAGAGGACGACATCGTCATCGCCGATCTGGAAGAGTTCGGCTACCAAGCCTCCTTCTCCCGACTTGGAGCTGCCGATATCAAGCGAGTCGACCCAGTCGCATCCATCATCGACACGCGAGCACACTTTGCGCAAGCTCTCGCTGGAGCAAGTCGAGCCACGCCAGGCAAGCTACCGCCGATGATTGCAGCAGTCGCGCAAGACCTCAGGGGACCTTTTGAAGCATACCTGCTTCAGCAAGATCTGAGAATTGTATAAGGCACCGATCGGAGCTCGGTTTCGGCGCTATAGCTCATCATCGGCGCTTCAAGCTTGATGCAGAGACGACGTATATTAGCACCGAAGCGATGCTCAGGTCCACAGGCACGCTACGAGACATTGTCCCTGTCGACTGTCCGATACGCGAGCTTGGAGCCACTTGCTGCCTCTGTACTCTACCAGGCGACTCACTGTGCCTGACGCTCATCGTGACCATTCAGCTCAGAAGGCTTGTGAACCTTCAAACTGTGAAAGAATGCAAGCGAGTCAACAACAAGGGATGACAAACTATGTGGTGCTCATCAGAGCGTGCCGTGAATGCGTGGACGACGTCGAAGTGCGTGAAGTGATGAACGCCTTTGTGTTGTCAAGATGACGTGTGCATGCGATGTATCGGACCCTTCTGTACCCTGCATCCTCTGAGTGTAGAGCCTGAGATCGGTCTTGGTCATGCTGGAACACTTGGGCGCGTCCCAGCTGCCTGCAATGCTGATCAAGCGCGACGCTGCCAGCACTCGACAGCCTGCTGCTGGCAAGATGCCGACCAAGGAGAGCTTCACGCTGACTCGCGATGACATGCTGAACGACATGGCGAAGCTCTCTAGCTCGTCAGCCGTCGCCAAATCGTTCGACAGTCTATCGGATCGTCCTCTCCATCAGCAGCCTCAAACGGCCTCGATCACCTCAACAGAGGAAGCGAGGGAGTTGCTCGAGCGCTATCAGGCCATGCCAGCACGAGCCACACCCGAGCAATCGATGGCCCTGGCTGCACACTTTGTCCGTTCAGGCAGAGATCTGCTGGACAAGGCAACGCTGAACGAGCAGTTGGGCGTCAAGATCGAGAGCACCATGCGCAACATTCACGATCTCAGGAGCGGTCTGGGCGCATAGCGACAAGGTGAGAACATCTAGTGCACGCAAGTCCGCAACTGTACAATGACGGTGATCGTGCTGGTTTATAACTTCACTTTGCCGGCTTTGATGGCAGCCCAATCATCGCGCGAGAACCTGCTCGCTCTCTGTCAGCCCGACATCGACTTGTGGAACAGACAAAAGAGACCGACGGAACATAGGTCGTGCCCTTGAGCCAGTAGACAGGATCTTGCACCTTCAGAGGATCGACACCTTCGTTGCGCAGGGCGACTTTGACTTGCTTTGCCGTACCCGTCGTTTCCATCCTGTCAGGCGAAGCGTCAAAGAGAGCCAACAGCGGAGAGCTTCAGACTGACTTGGGCACGATGCGGATAAAGAGAGGCTGGGCATATTTTGGCAGACGGGCAGCGACGTGTCGAGCTACCTTGTCGTAATCAATCATGTTTGTTGCTGGCACAGCGGCACAGCCTGCGCGACCATCGTGGCCGGGCAATTCGACGCCATAGACGTTGGCTTCCTCGACAACTTCGTTGAGCGCAGTCGCGACTTGCTCCGTCGAAACGTTTTCAGACTCTGCGCGCGGAAGTCAGCAACGGGCAACGGAACATGTGAAGGACGCACTCCAGCGGAAAGTGTCCCCGAGACGGTCCCCAAAGAAGCTGAAGCCATCTGCATCTTTGCGCAAGAGATCGCCCGTCCTGAAGTAGAGGTCGCCGGGAGCAAAGACATCAGAGAGGATCTTCTTCTTCGTTGCTGCCTCATTGCCATGGTAGCCAGTAAAGTTCTTGAACGCCGACGTCTTGTCGATCATCGTGATCAGCTCACCGGGCTCGTTGACGTCTGCTCGTACGCATCTGCCCTTGGGATCACGGTAAGGCTCTTCCGTCAGAGGATCGATCTTGATGATACACTGGTCTTTCCTGCGAGTGAACGAAGCGATCGTGCCATCTCGACCTACTGCACCCTCGCCAAAGGGTCCGGTGTTGTAGTTGAAAAGCGAGCCGTTGCCTTCTGTGCTCGCAAAGAATTCTGAGATGGCCTTGACGCCGAATCGTTCCTTGAAGCGGGCATAGACTTCTTTACGCATTCCGTTTCCATACGCCAGTCTGACTTTGTGATCCTTATCATTGGGCTGAGGCGGTACAGCGAGCAGGTATCGGCAGACTTCGCCGACGTACTGGATGACGGTAGCATCGCTAGCACGGACTTCGTCCCAGAAACGCGTTGCGGAGAATCTGCGACCGATGACGACGGAGGAGCGAGCTGCCCACGACATGGCGATGGCCAAGAAAGATGCGGTGGAGTGGTAGAGTGGCATGGGTGTATAGATGCGATCGCCTGTCTTGATGTGGTTGACCCAGCCCCACATGATCGATGCGACTGCTCTCCATGTCAGCACGACTTCAAGCTGGCATCAGTAGACGTACAGCCAATGCGGCCGTGCGAGCAACTGGCAGCCTCTGTACATCATCCTAGCATTTCAGCTCTGTCTGCTGATGGTCCAGCCGACGTACTTGGCAGGCCGGTCGTTCCGCTGGTATATACAAGACAGCAAGGGTCTTGGAAGCCAATCTTGTCGCGATGGCCGACATGCGGGAGTGGCTGGGTGCTCATGTTGTTGATGATCTTTGCATCGACAGTCTCTGCATTCTTGCACGTCGGCATGGAGCTATTGTGCAGACCTTCAGACCATTCGTCGTCCCAGCGCAAGAGGCGAGCTTCAGCGTTCTTTGAGGCGAGGACAGACTCGATGTCGGCAATAGACGATTCCAGATCGTGCTCAAAGACGACAAATTTGGCGTCGGCCACCGAGATACAGTGGACGAGGCCTTCGCCAGTGAGGTTGTAGTTGATGAATGCCGGGACAGCGTCGATGTACATCAATCCGAGCCAGAGGATGGGGTAGGCTGGCTTGTTGGGCATGTAGATCGCAACCACGTCTGCGTACCGAAGACTGCTCAGCAACGTGATATCAAGCTGGATAAGCTGAGCCGCACCCTTTCGCTTGATACCCTTGCTGAGGAAGAAGTGTCCCACCTGATGGGCTTTATCCTCGACCTCCTTCCAGGTGAGCGACTTGCCATCACAGATGTAGCAGACCGCATCCGGCGACTTCTTGACCGACTTCTCAAACTTGTAGTAGAGCGAGTTCTCATCAGCTCGGTCGTTCCTCTTGAGCCTGTCCAACCTCGAGCTGCGTCAGACCCTTCTAGTCTCGAGATCTCACTGTGCGGGACGTACGAGAGTGAGCCGGCAATGAGTCCAGCGCCTTTGGCTCTATCGGCAGAGATGCCATGCTGGGCGTCGAGGTACATCCATCCTAGGATACCTGCTGCAGCTTTGATGGCGGTCGCTGCGTGCGAGCAAGTCCGTCAGCACTCGCACACACTCTAGGCGGCTCAGTCCGCTGTGGCTGTGCCTACCTTGCATGTTGTTGGCCTCTGCTCGAGCAATGCAAGCTCGAACAAGCCGAGCCTCGGTTTGGCGAACCTCGGCGAACTTGTGACCATAGCCGAATGGAGGGACACGTGGCAGATTGGCACGGTATGCAATTACACACTCGCGCTCGCGGCATCATCCCCTGCCGCCGGCTGGCCATACAGCTTGGCCACTTCCCTCGCTACGACCTCTTGCGTCAGTTTGGGGTCAGTACCGGGTACATCGATGACTTTTCGCTCTTTGTCTAGCAAGCCGACGAATTCGTCCGGCAAGACATCGCGCTCGAAGTCGAATGATGGGTGATCTTTTAGACTGAGCGAGACGGCCGAAGAGAACTTGGCTGGGTGCGCTGTTGCCAACGCTATCTGGTACGTCTTCGTTGCGCTGAGCAGGGTATCAGTACTCTATATTGGAGACATGCAAGGAAAGGCTCACTTCTGCTTTGCGAGCCGTTGAGCCGCTTCTAGGCCAATGGCAGTATGCGGATCGACGACGTATGACTTGTCAGCCGTGAAGAACGTCTTGACAGTCTGAATGGTCTGCTCATCGCTAACGCGTTCCGCGCAAAAGTCGCGCTGAGCAGCTCGCAACACCTTGTCGCCCATGACCGCCTTGCCCTTTGTTTTCAGATCACTCATCCAGCCAGACACGATCTCGCCGGCCTTTCGTATCCTCTCGTCATCGCGGGTGTGCCCGTTGCTTTGCGCAGACGTCGTAAGGCATTCGTGCGCGAGATACCAGAGCAGGCGCTCAAAGTTGGAGGAAACGAGAATGTCCATTGCAGGCGCGAGAGTCTCCTTGACGCTCTCGCCGCTAGCCGATTGAGTAGCTTGCGCTCCATCTGTAGATCCATTGACGGCTTCGGTCTGCTTCGAATTGTCTTTGCTCGCAGTGGCAGTGGGGTCTGCTTTCTCGTACCGCCCTGTGCGCCAGAAACGCTCGAGGATATCGTTCTCGTTGGTAGCGATGATGAGCTGGTCGATCGGTAGGCCTATCGACTTTGCATAGTAGCCAGCCAGGATGTCGCCGAAATTGCCAGTGGGGACGGCGTACTGCACTTTGACTTCTTTCGCTTCTGGCGAAGCTGGGTCTATTCCGAGTCGTTTGAGTAACGCAAAGTAAGAGGAGAAGTAATAGACGATCTGGGCGAGAATGCGAGCCCAATTGATCGAGTTGACAGCGCCAAGGTGATATTTCGCGTTGAAGTCTTTTTGCGCAAAGCAGGCTTTGACGATGTCTTGACAGTCGTCGAACGTGCCCTTGACGGCAAGATTGAAGACATTTGCATCTGTGACTGTCGTCATTTGCGCTTCCTGTATGGGCGAGACGCGTCCCTTGGGATGCAGGATAAAGATCGATACGTCTTGCTTATTCCTCAACCCGTAGATTGCCGCACTGCACCAAGTTGAGCTCGTCAAATCTAGCACGGAGATGCAGCGTACCTTCCGGTGTCGCCGCTCGTAGCGCCCACGACGGTCAGACGCGAACGTTCAGCAGCTTGCTTGCCCTTGTTCTTTCGCGCTAGGAAGAATTCGAACAGATTGCCAAGGAACTGCAGCGCGACGTCCTTGAATGCGAATGTAGGTCCGTGAAAGAGCTCGAGGATGTAGAGGTGCTCGTTGATCTCGTGCAAGGGTGCGACTTGATCATGTCGAAAGGTAGCGTAGGATTTGGCAATGAGTCCTTCTAGCTCGCTCTGCGAGATCTCTTTCGGGTCAATGTAGAGCGAGTAGACTTGATACGCTAGCTCCTGGAAAGTGAGCTTTGACCAGGTCGTTGCCCAGTCTTTGGGGAGAGTAGGCAGCTCTGCAGGAATGAACAATCCTCCGTCGGGCGCCAAGCCTGTGAGGACCGTCTACACTACAGCGTCAGCTCGGCTCGTCAGTAGAGCTAGCTGCCGTCTTGCCTCTTCGAAAGTGAGCCTCTCTGGCGCACCACGAGTGCTCAAGTAGCGCATTGTCTGCTTTGTAGGGTGAAGCTCACTCAGGAATTTCTGACTCGCGTCACGCTGAGATGTTGATATCGTGGGTAGCAAGCCATCTGAGCAGTCGCGCACGTCATGACATGACACAGAGGCCTTCCAGAACAGATCTACACACACGTTACAACTATATCGAGCCTGCCGTATCTCAACCTTACTCCACTACCCTGCTCGTTGTCTCGTCATAAAGGATATTCAGGCCACTGACAGTGCTGTTGCGCTTTGTGCCATCGTGTCCAGACGCATTGCCGCTCATCGAAGCTTGCGCCAAATCGAGGGTGAGTTTTGTTTCGAAACTGTCGGAAGTGGCGGCCTGCTGCCGTACAGCTCTCTGATATTCCTTTCGATGCCTGAGCGCCTGATAGATCTGTGCGCTCTTGGCGGGTATGATGAGTCTGTAAGCGAAAGCGACATCAGCTCTCATGCGAGTTGCGAGACACAAACTATACTTACACCGTGTTGCCCCAACTGATGCCCGTGGATGCAAGTTCAACGAGTGCCCAGTCGGTCATCACTCTCGACGTATCAAAAGCGGTGATGAGCGCAATGGTGAGTGAGATCGTGCAGACGACGGCGCCGACGAAGAAAACGACGGCGATGACCGATCTGAGCGCCTCCAGCCGGTGGACATATCCCAGTCTCTCAATTGTCTGCAAAGATGTTGTGCGCGTGTGAGCAGGCACACTGAACGTTGACTCCGGCTGGCTCGACCATTTTGTCTTGTCTGTCGGTGCACATTCCTCGACGGGCACGAGGTCGCGTCGTCTTGTAAACTTCAAGGACTCCGAGAGGCGCTTTAGCAGTACGCAATTGAAGACGTTGGCAGCCAAGGCGATCTTGATCTTGACTATCCAGACAGCCGCGATTGCCTTTCCGAGTACGAGCAGCTGGCGATTGAGCTTCTGAACAAGTAGTAAGGAGGGCGCAAGCGCTTGTAGAGCCGCTACAGCTGTTGCGGGATTCGCTTGAAAGGCAATGCTATCGCTCTGCAGCTGAGAGCGAAGAGGCCGAATAATATTCAAGATCTGACTCCATTTGTGATCGGCAACGAGCGATATTGTCAGTAATGGTCCGAATATGATGATGGGCGTGATAATCGCAATGCAGTTGAGCAGATGTGGCCTGATAACGGGCGTCTTGGCCGACATGATGGATAGCGCTTGTATATTGGCGATGAGGTGGCTCCAGAAGGCGAGCCAGAGCGGCGCCCATGTGAGCGCATGAAGTGAGATCACGCTGCCTAAGGCGTTGATGTCCCTGAGGATGTATGCTCGATGATACTGCACACAGCTGAAGATGATGACCGCTCCCGACATGATCTCGAATGTGCTTCCCCAAAGAGGCTGACGAAAGCATTGCGTTAGCTCTGTCAGGCTCATAAGAGAGGACGAGATGCTGACGTTGATGATCCAGAAGGAGCCATCTGGACGAATGACACGTCTGATGAAATGAGTCCGGTTACCCATTGCCCAGACTAACATGTAGAGGGTCGTCACGATGATGTGCCCGCCGGAAAGTGCAGCGAGAGCCCATAGTCTGCCTTCGAAGCCTGGCGAGGGCTTTGGGAACAAGAGCGGCTCAAAAGCCGCCAGGTAAGCCTGAAACGGATCGGCAGTCGACGCTGCTGCTAACTCGAGTGATCCGTGCATCTGCATCTGACGGTCGCTCGCGAGCGTAGAAGCTAGCGCTCGACACGACTGCGGAAGTCATTGTGCCGAGACGAGGTCTAGCTGGATTCGTTCTACGCTGAACGCTGGTGTGCATGGACAAGTCCCGTTCACAAATTGCGCGTACAATGTTGATAGCGCCCAAAATTCGGGAGGCGTCAAAGGGTTGCATCTTGATCTTCTTCGCCGCAAGCGGAAAAATATAATCCGGGGTAAATTTCCTGAGAATCAAAAGTAGGTTGTAGGCTGATTCTGTTCATGATGATACATGATGATCATTGACGGCGATGCTTGATCATGACGCGCGGCAAAGCAAACATGAGAAAGGCTCGGGCTAAGAAGCGAGGGCCACTCGTATGATGCAAGCAGGTTACTATCAACGAGCTGAGCTCTTCCACGAAGCAAGCTAGCAGACCTCTGCAAATGATAGTATCGATGATAGCGCGTCATGCTCATAATGCTTCGTCCACGAGCTTTGTATGATGGCAAGGAGCCAGATGTGGCCTGCCGCCGTTTCGACCGAGACGAACGCGCTCTCTTTCGCCGCATCTCGCGCTGACAAGAGCTGATAGGCCGATCATTGTGTAAGGAGACGAGATGCACAGCGCCATTGTAGGCGTTGCATTGCGAGATAGAGTGATCATCGTCTCTGGTGCTTGAAGAAGCCGAAGCTGCTGAGCCAAACTTGCAAGGGCGACGGCTGCTTTGGCGATCTTGCAGGCTCTTGTACGCCCATTGCACGTCTGTAAGCTTGGTAGTCGCTCAACATGAACGTCGCGGACGACCAAGCAATAGCAGTGAGGAATGGCCAGATCATCTGCGTGTCTGTCAACGTATGCTCACATCCAAAGGCTAAGGGGCGCTGACCTGATCGCGCAGAGTCAGGTACGCAATCTTTGCCCAATCTACTATCACGGGTTGTGCGAACATGTCGCCAGTGGACGCAAGAGCTGCATCCTCCTCGCTATCGATCTTGACAGGCTCGCCCTGAAGCGGTTCGGTGCTGCTCCTTTTTGCCGGCTTGACATACGGCGCGATTGAGAGCAAGTAGCCTTGTTCGAAGCGGAAGTCAGGCACAGGCACGGGCAGAGGCTTGCGAGCAGTCCGCGCGGTGCGTCGTTTCGCTTCTGCCTCGCTGTCAGAGGGAACCATAGAGTCAACCGAGAGGTCGTCTGCCAGCTCGGTGCGGGCGACGCTGGCCGCGAGGGGCGCCTTGATGTCTGTTCGTAGCGCTTGTCCGACATCTTTGCCCTCACTTGAGCTCAGAAAGGGTAACGTCGATGGGTTGACTTGTGCCATCCTCTGATCCTCGCCGGCGTAAGCAAGGCAGAGAGAGGGCAAACACGTCACGAAGCGCGCGCGTCTCCTCCTCCTCCTGGCGGGGTCGCTCGACAGCAGCCCCTTCAGCCTGGCGCTGGCCGGCAAGTGCACAGCATGGCCAGCAGACGAGGCCCAGGTCCGAGCATGTCGAGGTCCCGCTCAAGGGCGACACTCAACGCACAAGGAGCTGCTGCCTTGACATCCACATTTGCCGCTTCCATCGCCCTAGAGGGTCATCCCACGCCATCTTCAGAGACGCCCGTCGCAGGCAAACATCCCCCTATACAGCTCGTCATCCTACGACCGACACTACCGGATGAACTCGTCTTTGCGTGCACTGAGCTGGCCGCAAAGAGCGTCAGAAGCAATGTCGAGCTTGTCGAGCAGCTGCCCCGAGGCGGTCCTGGTCCTCAGTCTATGCTCTACAGGAGCTACCAGCGTAGAGTGGACAGAGAGCGAGCTGCCAGTCCTGCTCTGGAAGACGAAGCGTTCAGTATACCCGACGATGAGTCAGAATCGCCCGACCAGCACTGGTCTTGGCACATCGAGTCAGCTCCCAGGAGGCTTGAAGATGACTCGCGAGCTGACCCGTCGCCCCAGGTTCACTAGATCAGAGCATCTCACACCCGGCAAAAGTCGCATCACAGCCTCTCATGACGACTTCATCAGCCTGTCCCGTCGTAATTCCATGGACGAGGACGGCAAAACAGCAATACCCGGGCCAGACGAGCTCTTCACCGTTCGCATCACCTACAGCATCACGTCAGACGGTCAGTCGTCTGCTCGCTGAGATGGCCATCGTCTGAAACGGCAGGCTTCAGCCATGCGCGCGTTGGGTCATATTCTCGCAGTGACACGACGCGCCTACGTCTTCATACCCTCTTCTCCCATCGATGATCCATCATATCAGCACGACACACACCGAAGGCAGCACACTCATCCCACAGGCCGCTGGGCATGGTCAGGTCGCGTCGGCGAATTGCTCGAACGGTCCGAGCAGCGATGTTTCGACACGGCCGGCGTCATGATCGATTGCTCAAGAAATGGCGTCCTGTTGCCTGCCGCACTCGAAGATCTGTTGCGACAGTACGCTCTGCTCGGTATCAATATGGTGCAGCTCTATACGGAAGACACCTACCAGATCGAGGATGAGCCTTTCTTTGGCTACTTTCGAGGCCCATACACCCAGGATGAGCTTCGCCAGATCGACGACTATGCTCATCAATTGCAAGTCATCCCGCCTCGCTGGTCTTCGCTGCTGACGAGTATCCTCGCAGTGGCATAGAGATCATTCCTTGCATTCAGACACTTGGCCATCTCGGTCAGATCCTTCAATGGCCCCAATTCGGCAGCCTTCGCGATACACACGACGTCCTCCTCGCACAGTCTGAAGAAACCTACGAGCTCATCGAGAAGATGATCACCACAGTTACCGCTCCTCTGAGATCGAAGAGGATCCACATCGGCATGGACGAAGCGAATGGCATTGGCGAAGGCCGCTTCAGACAGCTCTACGGCTACCAAGACCCAATACACGTCTTTTTGAACCATCTCGGACGTGTCAGAGAGATATGTCAGCGTATTGGCGTCAAGCCTTTGATCTGGTCAGACATGCTCTTCTGCCTACAAGCCAAAGATGCTTCTTTACGTGGCTATTACGATTCAGCCAATCCGGCTACGCCAGAGCTCGTCGCTACGCTAACAAAAGGGGAAGAACTCGATCTGGTCTACTGGGACTACTACCGTCAGCTCATTCGGTTCTTCCTGCGCTCGTGCTGACTCACAGCAGATACCCGTCCGGAACCGTATGCCAATAAGATTGCGGACCACTGGGATCTCCTTCAGAATCCGCCCTGGATGGCCAATGGCTGCTGGACGTGGTCAAGGTTCTGGTGTGCACTCAGCTTCACCTTTCAGACCATCAGACCGTCCATGCAAGCAGCCAAGAGCAGCGGCGTCAGAGATGCAATGACGACCATCTGGGGTGACGAAGGCAACGAGTGTGACATGTAAGCCCGTCTTGCTGATTCGTGGGGCGCTTTACTGACGATTGGTGTAGATGGAGTGCACTGCCAGGCATTGCCTACTTTGCAGAGCATTGTTACACTCGCGAGGACGAGGTCGATGTCGAGTTGCTCAAGGCCAAATTTGATGGCGTCTGCGGTGGTGATTTCGACGATTTCGTCTATGCCTCAAAGCTCGACGATCTAGACCCACAGAGCCAGCCGAGTGACAACAAAGCGCGGCTGGCGCCCAACATGTCCAAATGGCTTCTGTGGGAAGATCCGTTCTACAGCCTCTTCTCGCCGCAGTACAGAGGGCGTGACCTCGAGACGCACTATGGCGATCTTGCCAACTATCTCGAGATGGCTCTGTCCTCTCAACCGACTTCGCGCACACCTTATCTGCCACCCCAGGCTTTCGAAGAAGTACCTGCCAACGAGCACTTGCAATTGCCTTATCTTCTGTCAACCATCCTATCCATAAAGTGCCATCTCCGCGATCGTCTCGTACATGCATACACGCACAACAATCGAGAAGATCTGGTAGCTCTTGCAGGCGAAACCTCAACGAGCCGGCTGAGCACGCTGCGAATGCTCATCGACGATATGCACACACATCATCGCGATCTCTGGCACTCGACTCTCAAACCTTTCGGTTGGGAGGCTCTCGATCTTCGCTACGGAGGTCTCAAAGCCCGTCTGAGCACTATGCAAGACCGCATCAGTCGCTATCTGGACGATGACGACGCAGACGTGAAGCATCTGCCCGAGCTCGAAGCTATCAATCACCTAGTCTATCCACACGTCGGTCCTGCCCTTATGCTGGACTATCATCGCGTCAGTAAACCGCAGTACGTATGAAGTCGTCATCTGTCGTCAAAAACATCGATCACAAGAGGTTAAAGCATTGTTGTACGACATCCAGTAAGATGATACACGCATTATCGAACTGTTTACACGAGTGAAAGAGGACCTGCACCGCCTGAGGATGCCCATGTCCATACTGTGTGCAGAGTGAGGATCATCACGAGCAGGCGAGCCAGAAGGTTCGAGCCTGCAAATTCTGTCAGCTTCGGATCATCATGATGCGACAAGACTGACGCATCGCATACAGAACACGCTGACGAGTCGGTGCGCGCATAGCGAGGAGCTCATCAGCAAACGCCGCGTTGCCCTCGATCGCTGCTAAATTACTGTCTGTCGACATAGCCGTGCCAGCTTTGAGAGCATGACGCTGTTGTATGCGCTTGATAGCAGACAAGATCGGCTTGCGTTGTGTCCACGTAAGGTCGTCATCGTCGGTCTTTGACGCTTGCCGAACGCGCTGACGCTGAACTGTCTGACCGAGTCGAAAGACTTTCGAGACCTGACGAGGGCTGGACCCGCTGGCAATCGCGACCTTTGCGCTCAGCCCAGTCGGGCTGAAAAGCTTTTTGAGAGCCTTGCTGGTCTGCTTTGGCTCATCCTCTGCCATGGCCGCGAGGAAAGACTCTTCGAGGACCTTCTCCCATTGCCTTTGCTGTGCAGCGAATGCGACTTGTCGATAGCCTTGCACGATCTTGTCCATTGCTTCCCACCATGTATGCTTGCTTGCGGCCTCTAGTGCTGCGCGAGACATAGCCTGACGTCGGGGACGAGAAGCGACAAGGTCTTGGATAAGCCCGGCATAGAGCTGAACAGCTGTCGGGAATGTCGCGCTGTTTGCGTCGAGCAGCTCATGCACATTGTTTGGTATGTCGAGTGTCTGGAAAGTCTGAGCGGCTTTTGCATCATAGGGTGGTAAGATGGGCGAGCGCTGAGGACGATATTTCGCAATCGATTCTGCGTCGTTCGGCACGAGACGGTTGAGATCGAGCAGAAGGCCTGTTGAGCCGTGCGTGACGAGATCGCAGACGCCTTCGGCTTGCAGACCGACGACAGGCAGGCCAGATGAGAGCGCTTCCAGGACGACTTGCCCAAAGGTCTCTGAAGCGGAGGGAAATGCGAAGATGTCGGCAGATGCAAAGCATGCGGACAGGGCTGCGCCGGACTTGTGGCCTGTGAAGTGCGCATCGAGACCGTACTGCTTGCAGAGCGCCGCCATGTCACTTCGAGCGGGTCCATCGCCAACGAAGACAAGCTTGCAGTGAGGCATCGCATCGCTCGCAGACTCTACGATCGTCTTGAATGCTTCTACAAGGAGGCGGAGGTTCTTCTCCCACGAGAGTCGGCCGACGTAGAGTATAACGACACTTTCGCGGTCGATGCCAGCGTCAGCGAGCCCATCTGCGAGGTAAGGCGGCGGAAGTGCAAACTCGTCATTTGCAGACAGATCGCGCTGCTTGACGCCCCAGGATGCTCGCAATTCGTCGCTGCGTTGTGCAGGGCTGAAGAGGGTGTTGTCGACGCCGCGAGACCAGATGCGCAGATTCTGGAAGTCATGCGTCGCTAGCATGCGAGCAGTCGACGGACTCGGACAGAACGTGATAGCACATCTACATGCTGTCAGTTTTTCCTCAATCACGTGGGGCAGGATCTCACTTTCCGTGAAGCGTTCGCTTGAGCTTCCACATTGTCGAAGTGAGCCACGAGAAGCCGAACATTGACGCATACCTGCCTCATTCTATGAGGAGGAGCGCCGGGAAGCTCGAGTGAGATGCGTACATTGCGAGATTGGTATGGTAAGAGCTGACGAGGCCGACTTCGGGCAGGAATTGCTCGACAGCAGGCAATGTTTGAGCACCTGTACGCGTTGTCAGACCTTGAGACTCAATCGAACGTGATAGACTTGCCGAGGAAGATCGGATCGACACAGTGTATCACGTCCGGCTTGAACTCGAGCAGACGTCGGACGAACAGTGGGCGGAAGAAGTTGAGCTTGAGGCCTGGGTAGATGAGCAGAGGAACTCCGCGCGTGCCGCATACTTCATGACCGGCGTAATGCGTCAGGCCGCTCTCGGGTCCTAGGACGATAGCTTCATGGCCTTCGTTGCGCAAGTGTTCGAGCAATCGCGCTAGGGTACGCGTTACTCCGTCGACCTTGGGCAAGAAGTTCTGCAACGTGGTGAGCACAGCCCATCGCGACTTTCGTGGTCGGCTGTACCTCTGTGATGATGGCAATTCGCAGAGGACCGGCTTTTCCTGCGATCTGTGGCGCGTCTGCTTGTGATCGCGCTGATGGCTTGCTAGATGACGCTGGGGGAGAGGGTACGTAGTCTCCATCGAGAGAGAAGAGTGGTGGAGTCTCTGTGCCCGCGATCATTGCTGTCCACGCCTGCTCTATCGAGAAGGCCTTCCTCTCGTGTCAGCGGAAGAGGCGAACACTCGCTGTCGTGAAAAAGATCTGCATTGCTAGCGCCTGAGCGATGTAAACAGGTCGACCGAAAGTGCCAACGTGCGCAATTCTTTGCTCCTTTTGTTTTCGCGTCTCAACTTATCAACGCAACGTGGCAACGTGACATCGACTTTCGCGCGAGACTGACGCCGAATTGATGCAAGTGCAGTCCGATGCTACCACACAGAGCACGTTCAGAGTTCGACAACAAGTTTACTAGCAGAGACGCCCTTGAGCATCTCGTCACAAGCAGGCTGGAAAGCCTCCAGACCTTTGCCCACGATGCGAGCATCAGGCTTGCACTTGAAAGAGCCATTTTCGAGAGCTCTGTAGAGGTAAGAGGTGTATATAGCATCGCCGCTATCTTTGCTCGTAATGAAGCTGCCCCAGAACGTCGAACCTTTGACGCCAGCGGGCATCTCATCTGGCATAGCCGTACCGGGCGCCGCAACTGTTGCAACATGTTGACCGCCGAGCTTCTCGATGATCTGAGCACTCTTGACGATATCGGCCGGTGTCTGACTGGCGCAATAAGATCCAGCGCACTGTTTTCCCGAGAGTTCCTTGACAATCTCTTCGACGGGCGTCGTATACTCAAACGTATACGATGCACCTAGGTCCTTGCAGTATTGTGCGTTGCGAGAGCTCGTGATTGCAGCGACTTCGTAGCCGGCCGCTTGGCTGAGCTGAATAGCACATGAGCCGACAGACGAGCTGCCACCCCAAACCAGGACGAGTTTGCCGTTTGGCTTGGGATCAATCTGAGGGTACGATAGAGCAAGGTGATCCTTATCGAACAATCCTACGCCGGATGTCGAGAGCGCGAGGGGCAAGACAGCAGCTTGCGAGAACGTGACGCTGTCCGGTAACTTCGATACGACGCGGGCAGCCGTAGCAGCATAGTACTGGTAAGCGCCATTGGTAGGCTTGTGACTGTCCCAAGCGTCACAGTATCCGACGACCCTATCGCCGACGCTGAGATGCTTGACATCCGATCCCACCGCTGCTATCTCCCCCGCACCATCTGAGCCGATGATGGTCGGATAGTCCTGGACGATGATCCCCAGCTGCTGCACATAGGCATCCACACTGTTGTACGGTATCAGTAGAGCAGGCTGGAGTCTGCTGGCAGCACGCACGGATTGATTGCCACCGCTTTCAGGCGAATGACGACTTCGTGAGGTTCGGGTGTAGGCATGGGCGCATCTCCGATGGCGAACGGTTTCTGTTTGGCCTCTTTGAGCCAGGCTGCTCGATTGGCCATGTTGGTCGCAATGCGAGCAGAGTGGAAGATGGCAGAATGGGCATGATGGGCCCGTCCCTGATAATGGCAGGCACGGCGTCACGCGAAGAGAGTGCAGCCTGCCACATGGCGCGGGCTTGACTCCGCGGGGTTGTGAACGTCATCGATAGCAGTGACGCTAGGTCTGTTCATCTCATGGTCGAGGTATCAATGATGCGACTGACAGCATGGCCATACAACAACAGCGTTCACAGCGGCTTTTCGTTGAGCATTCGCGTCGGATGCTGCTCGTCTGACCCGAGTCCAAGTCCAGCCAAGAGATTCTCTGCCGAGATCCTGGCCATCTCGTGACGTGTGTCAAAGTCGGCACTGCCAATGTGCGGCAGCAAGACGCAACGCGGGTGTCGCGCCAACCTGTCGTCGCCAGAAATGTCGGGTTCGCCCGCGATGACGTCCAAGCCTGCGCCCCAGATTTGACCCTTGTCTAGTGCGTCTGCCAGTGCATCGTTTGACACGATAGGTCCTCGTGATGTATTGACTGTGCTCGGCATGCTCAGCTCGATCTGGAGGTACAAGCTTGTGACTTGCCGAGACAAGCAGTCTTTGACATCTTGCTCAGGAACGCACTATCGACGAGATTGCGTGTAGAGTCGTTCAGACTGCAGCAGACAAAGAGGACGTGCGATTCTCGAGCCAACTGATCGTGATCGCGCGCCGGTTCCGTCTGTACTTTGCTCTTTAGCCCGTACAGGTCTTCCGATGCCGGCTGGCCAAGCTTGGAAGTACAGTAGATGACGCGAGCAATGCCAAAGGGGATCAGTCGAGCCATGGTCGCTTGAGCAATCCGTCCGAACCCGATGCAGCCAACTGTCGCGTTTCTCAAGTTCTGGCCGCAGAGTAAGAGCGGGTGCCAAGGTTGTGATGGCCACTGAGACCGAGCAACGAGATCGATCGACTCTCTGCCCAGTCTCTGAGCCATGAGAGCGAGCATAACGGTGATATCGGCCACTGCATCCGTCAGACAATCCGGCGTGTAGCCCAGTCTCACGTTTCTGCTCCTGAGACTTGCCAAGTCAATGTGATCGTAGCCCGCACTGAACGTCGAGACGACTCTGCAAGCGTCACCGGCTGCAGAGAGGAGCTCTTCGTCCACTTTGTCTGACAGGGTGACGAGCAGCCCTGCAGCTCCTTGGGCGTGTTCGAGCATCCAGGAGCGCGGCGCAGGCTTGTCCTCGCGCCATTGTACAATCTCTAGCTTGTCAGCTCTGGACAGGAGTACCTTTTGACCGGCCGAGGGCAAGTTGCGGCTGACGAGGACTTTGAGGGACATCAGCGCATCAGCCGGTGACGCCAATCCTGTGGGGGGCACGCGCTCGAATTGGGTCATCGATGATTCGTCGGACAAAGTGGCTCTGCGGTCTGAAAGGGATCGATCAGTCAAGACGATCGCGAGATTAGCAGTGAGGATGAGCGCAGTGCGGGCGAGCTTACTCGAGGAGCTACTGAGCAGACCGAACCCACCGCTCTCGCCGAAGAGGCCATGGAAGCCAGAACTGAGCGAGGAGATCGGCTCGTTGCCCAAGTCGGTCGATCTCAACATCCGTGCAGCGCTTCACTTGCTCAATGACGATATCGAGGCCTGTCACGATCTTGCTGGATCTCAAGAGGGCAATCCTTATTCGAATCATCTTCATGCGATCTTGCACCGTCGCGAGCCAGACTATCCGAACTCAAAGTGAGCCAACCTGGAGCTTTTGCTGAGCCGATTGTGAGAGCTGATGGCCGGATCGACAGGTACTGGTTCAAGCGGTCGCAGAATCCGATGATGATGAAGGTGTACGGCGGCAATAGCATGGCGGCAGCACAAAAGGCCGCCTGCGCATTCGTGGACGAAGTCGAAGAGGCTGACAAGCAAGGCGGTCAAGCGAGGGCTGATGCCGAAGGGAAGCAATGGCAGGAGATTACTCAGTTGGCGCGAGGGCTGATCGATCTGTTGTCGCCGTCTGCTAGCAAATAAGTGTAGAGGCTCATGTTCTGTATCTGCTTTCTCTCTCTGCTGAGGAAGGCCGTCCTGCAAACATGATCTGCATCGATCCTGCCATGCTAGAATACAGCCGAGACCAATGCCCAGCAATGCGATACCTCCCACTCCTCAGATGAAGCCAATCTGACCGCGAGGATGCTCAGCACAGGTCTGCGCGCGGTATCGATCAGACCGACCTTGTTGGCGACCTCGAGAGCGTCGACATCTGGGTTGAGCCGCACAAAGGCCTTCTTCTTGCCATCCGGTCTACGCGCGCACGACCCGCCATCAGCTTCTTGGCGTTCGTGAGACGACGAAAACGTGAGACGACAAACCTGATGAGGGTGTTGATCTTCAGCGCATCGACCTGGTAGAGCTTCTTGACGGCATCCTTGATCTGGTACTTGTTCGCCTTGATGTCGACGATGAAGACGAGCGTGTTGTGGTCCTCAATCTTCTTCATGGCCGACTCGGTTGCGAGCGGGTGGATGATGCATCTGTACTGATCCATTCTCGGCAGGTGCGTCACCGCCTTGCGCTGGTACGTCGGCTTTCGGGCTAGTCTCAGCGTCTTGGGTCGATGGAAGGAGACAGAGGTTCTGATCTTTCGCAGCGTGTGCGAGTGGTTGCCCTTCAGGACAGCCTTCTTCGCCGTCTTGGCCTTGGCCACCTCGGGTTTGGCCGCATCCTTGGACGCAGAGCTCTTGCCCTTGCCTGTCTTTGCTGGTGCCATCCTTGCTGACGAGAGTCTTGCGTTACCCTGTCGCCTCACAAATTGACAGTGGTGTCTTTTTAACCGAGTTTGACTTGGTACGGCGCGCTTCAACAGCTCCTCAGAGGCTAGCTGCGCGTTTGTGCTGTCGCGCACAGCCCAAGCGACGAGGATGTTTCCGCAGCCGAGAGTAGACACCGGACCGCTAAGCTCTCCTGCGCCTCATCCAGAGACGAGCATGGCCCAACGACCGCTACCAGAAGGCTGGATAGCAGAATACGACGAGACCTACCAAGCATACTACTACGTCGATACGCTCCAGACACCGCCCACGATCACCTGGTCAGATCCACGAGAAGATGGCTCGCTGTACGCCCAACACTCGCCGGCCGGTCGTACTGCTCCCCTGCAACCGGTCACGCTGACGGGCCATGCGCAAGACCAAGCCAGTGCAGCACCTAACGACGCCCAGCGAGGTTTCTTCAGTACCGCCATTGCAGGACTCTCACAGCCCCATCAAGGCTCCAATCAGACCATGAGCCAGATGGCACAGACGCCGGCCTACTCTTCCGTTCCGCCTGCGGGTCAGTCGGGCGGCGGTGCAGCTGCAGAGTACTATGCCAGCGCGCCCAGTCAACCCTCGCCTTACCCTCAACAAGCGCACTCGTATCCTCACCAAACTCAGCAGCAAGACAAAGGGCTGGGATCGAATGTCCTGCTCGGCGTGGGCGGTGCAGCAGCGGGTGCGATGCTCATGAGTATGATGGGAAAGGTCCGTCTTTGCCACGTCTTAGCTCGCGAAGGGGCGCTCATCACCGCATCTGGGTCAGAAGAAGCACCATGGTCATCAACATCATGGCTTCGGTCGTCCATCTGGTCCGCCACCCCATCACGGTGGAGGTGGCCTGTTTGGGGGTGGACAGGGCATGTTCGGTGGCAATCAAGGCATGTTCAGCGGTGGCCAGAGCCTCTTCGGCGGCGGCGGCGGTGGCGGCGGCTACAATCAAGGCGGCTATGGTCAGCATCATCAACATCATCATCAGAGCCATCATGGCAGCCACGGAGGTGGTCACCATGGTCACCATCATCACCAAGGTGGCTTCTTCTAGCCCGACTGTATTAGACTGTGACGCATCGAGACCAAGACGACTGAACAACGACAGCAATCTGCAGACTGTACTATGTACCACGACAATGCAGTTCATCTGTGTCAACAACATCTCACATCGACGCCCGCGTGATATCCAGGCAAAGAGTGTCTACATGCTCCGCTGGATCTTGTCAAGCAAGACGCCCATCTTGGCGTTTGTGTTGGGTTGTCCCTTCTTCGTACGAGCGTTATACTGCTTGTGTTGCTCCAGCCGCTTCTGCCTGAGCTCTGCCAGCTCTGTCTCGCTGAGTCGCGGTCGCTTCTTTGCTGCTGGCGCAGGCTGCTCGAGTTTGGGCTTGGCAGATGGTTTCCGACTCCGCGCAGTGAAGCCTTCTTCTCCGCTTGCGTCTACTGCCCTGCTGCCCGATGTAGATGTCTCTGCTCCTTCCGACTTGAGTACCCTATTGTATGCTTTCTTAATCTGGGCCTTGTGAATCAAGGTCTGCTTGATCTTTTGCGCTACAATGGCACACCATGAGCTGGCATATCGAGGCAATCGTTCAGCGGCATACCCTTGCCCCTGTACATGCCATCAAACGGCTTCGGACCGACTTGGAAGCCCTTTTTCTGTGCAGCTCCATCGGGTCGAGATGACAAGCTGCCACGAACGCCGAGAGCACCTGTGTTGGCGCCCGACGACTGAGGACCTCGCTGTTTGCCTCTTGATGACTTGCTCGGTCGCTGTGTCTTGCCCATCCTTGGCCGAAGAGGAATCTTGTCAGACCCTTGCAACTCCCTTCATCTGCTCCGCTGCCCCGAAGTGCCCCGCTGCCATCGTCCACATGGTCTGCTGGCTATCTTCCCTCTTTCCTCTGCTCCCGCTGCTCGCCAAAGACGTCATGAGCAACGACAGTCGCCTCCAGAAGGCGATAGACACGTACAAGGCCTTGACGAGCGTACCGACGGTCGACTCGGCCGTTCTCCACAGAGACGCCGCGGGCACATTGACGGTCCATCTCGAGCTGAGCCAGCGGTCCCATCTCTTGCTCAAACGTCACAAGCTATCACAAGATATCGTGCAGCGACAGGGCCAGATCATCACGAGTAGACCATGCCCGTCCGGCGAAGATGTCGCGTTTCGTTCGATGCAATACTCGAAAGATCAGCTGTATCAGCTCTTCGGACGCAAGCAGGCCGCGGGCAGCAAGACCAAGACAACCAGAACGATAGAGCTCAGGCGTGACTCGGACTGTCTCGGCGAGGTAGACACGACCAAGCTGCATGGTGATATGTACGCGCCCGGCGGCGTACTCGGTACAGCAAGCTGGCACCTCAGCGACCGACAAGTCGCCTTTGTATATGTTGCCGAAAAGCCAGAGCTTACTTTCGAGCACGAGACGCTGCGAGAAGCTTCGTCGTATGCCTACGATCCTACTTTCGGCGAACAACACGATGGCAAACGCCATCCGCTGCTCTTTCTCGTGACCTACGACTTGCAATCGCGCGAGTTGCTGTGCAGAGGGATTCATATAGACGCTGCGCAGCAGAATAGACATTACGGCCAGTGGATCTTCAAGTCTGACTCGGCCAGCGATGCGCTCGAGCTCTATGGAACAGGCTATGACCGTTTGCCAGATGGGCGTCAACTTGGACTCGTCTTTTGCACAAACCGACCAGCTGGCATCTACCACCTCACGATCGTCGCCAGTAGTCAGAGCTTGAAACCGACAATGCTCAGTGATCCTGCGATGTCCTGTCGTAGTCCGCGCTATCATCCACAAGCGGGCCTCATATACCTATCCAGCCGCCTCTTCGGACCCCATAATGGCTGCTGTCAGCTCTGGAAGCACGGACGAAACCAGCCACTCATTGCTGAATACTCGCAAGCTCCAGAGGCTGTCGAGCCGCCCAAGTTTGCTGGCGTATGGACCGAACAGCTTCCTTTCGAGCCGTTCATCACATTAGACGGCAAGACGCACATCATGCTGACGACGATATCCCGCAGCCGCAAGATTGTCGTCGCTATCAATACAGACGACGGTGCTGTCCGATGCCCTTTCGCCGGCGGAATGGAGATGGGCAGCTGGACTGTCGTTTCAACCGATGGCAATCAGTTCGCGTTATGCTCGGTTAGCAGCCCTACTGAGCTACCGAGATTGTACCTCTACGACGGCGCGCAGACGGTGCCCTTGCAGGCCGCTCGTGCCACTGCGCAGTGTGAGCTCTGCTGCGTTTCGAAATTCCGTTCGTCTGATTGCAGTACAGATGGATTCAGCGGCTTGCGTACAACGATCAAGCCCTTCACAGATCGTGAAGACTGCGAGGCCATCATCCTCCGCCCTCTTCGCAACGATACCAATCCCGCTATTATAGCACCTCACGGCGGTCCGCACGGCACGATCACGACCGACTTCTTTGCACCCTTTGCCGCACTTGTCGAAGCTGGATTCTCCATCGTCGTGGTGAATTATCCGGGCTCGCTCGGCTTTGGTCAAAACAGCGTTGTCGACCTCACGAAAGATCTGGGCGAACTGGACGTCAATTCGGTCATGACAGTCCAGCGCGAGCTCATCAAATCGGGCGTCATTCCTGGCTCAAAGGGGACCCGGTTCCTCATGGGCGGCTCTCATGCCGGCTTCATCAATTGTCACATCTCAGCACGCTATGCATCCGAGTTCGATGCTGTCGTTTCAGACAATCCGGTGACTGACTTGCCGAGCATGTTCGCAAATACTGATATACCGGAATGGTGTATTGGCGAGGTCGCTCTACCATACAGTTTCACCGAGCATCCCTATTATCTCGATGACGACCTGCACAAGACCATGCGCAAGGCTTCTCCGTCTGCTCATCTGACGCGCACAACAAAGACGACGCCGACTCTGTTGCTCATCGGCGAGATAGACAGGCGCGTTCCGCAAGATCAAGGACGGGCCTGGTACCATGCACTCAAAGGGACGGGCAATGAAGTCGAGATGCTCGTCTTCCCCGAGAACTCCCACATACTGAACCATGCAGAAGCAGACCTCATCAGCTTCCGCGCAACGACAGACTACTTCCTCAAGCGTGCTGTCTTTACCAATGCAATATAGACTTGTAATGCGAGACTATGGTACTTGTACATAGCTTTGGTGGTAGCGCTGCGATTTCCTAGATTTACAAGCACAAGGCGGCCGAGCTAGAAGACCAATCTTGGATGCCAGTAAAGGCTGCGCGGTACTACAGGAGGAAGCCCCCGTCTTTCTCTCTTTTCTTCTCGATCGGCTTCGATGGTGCTTCGCAAGATCAGCGCAAGACCGTTGTTGCTGCATGCTGCTTTCAAGCGTAGGATGTTTTCCATGAGAAGGTCGGCAAGGTTGTAGATCTCGATGACTTCCAACAGTGGGAAGATTCTTAAATCAATGCAAGCCAGGAGTTCGCGGTCGTTAGACACTAAGCTGCCAAGACGCAGCGTGCGCAGGTTGCGCATGCGCAAGTTTTGCAGTCCAGTCACTGTAGTCGCCTCCGTCCAGTCGAACATCAAGAGATTAGGGAGTGTCATCGTACGGCTCCCCGGTCCTTCGGCGATTTCAATATCGTGTACATGCAAGTAGGTGAGTGTTGTGCAGGCGAAGTGGATGAAGCCGGCGAGGTGCTCCAACTTGATTTTGCGTGTCAAAGTGAGCGAGCGCAGCTTAGAATGCCAGGAAGTCTGCCATGTAGTCTGTGAGTGCGCAGGCAGCGTGTTGCCTCTAGCAGGCCAAGTAGTGGTCAGTGTCAAGCTCTCGAGAGCCGGCAAGCGGGTCACACAACTGCCGAGCATCTCCATCGTGGCTGCACAGCCTTCAAAGTCATAATGCTCGCAAGCGTCGACGAAAGTGAGGCTTTTGACGTTGGCACATGTCTGGACCCAGTTGAAGACGTCTCGAGCTTGCGCAGGCGTGTACTCTGGCGTGGGGTAGGCTCCGAGGACGACATCGCCACGATGAGTAGTGCTGCGATAATCTAGCGAGAGTGTCTTGATGCTTTTGGCCAGAAAACGGGTGATTTCTTTGGGAGCGTCACGAATGGCAACAAGCGCAGCGGAGTCGACCTTGAGGGCCGACAAATTGGGCAGGGCTGCTCGATTAGCATTACTCAAGACGTTCAGGGCAGCTTTGCCACCCCACTGCTGAGAATCGTAATGGTCTCCGCTGATCATGAGGGCATTGATAGCAGCTCCGAAATGTGGATCGGCGAAGCAATCTAATGCCAATCTCGACAGCTGACCAGGGCAGTGAACAGTAAACATTTTGTCCTGCACGGGCTCGTCAGCGACGCGTATCTGAATAGACCATATGTTGAATCTCGGGCGAACCTTGTAAAGATATGGAAGACATGCAGCTCTCAGACGTCCGCTGATGTGCCTCAAGGTCAAAAGATCTGTAGGCTGAGCAGTCGTTGTCGAGCCTTTCACAAGGATCTTGACGATCGTGTCGATGACTTCTGAGGGCATTGTGTCCAGTGCGGCTCGTCCGGCATCGCGCGACATAAGCGCCTGCTCTGCAAATTTCATTCTTTGTTGTGCTACAGCGAGTGAGAGTGAAAAAATTCGGAGCGGCAACGCTCGGGTTCATTTACTGTGTTTCCGAAGGCGCCGGCAACGTCGCAAGTCTTCGGCGCGTCTCTCACATCACCTACGCGATCTTCGCTTCCGAAAACGCCCTCGTCGTTACGACTTTGAGGTAGTCCATCGTCATTATTGGAACTTAGGAGGTCGTTTATTTGACAATTTCGTAGCATCGTCGCAAGCTTGATGTGACACGAGATGAGAGATCTTAGAGAGAGGAAGGGCTTTGTGCTTTCATTATTGTTCCTGTCTGCAATATGGACACTGTGGGAGACGCTCGAGTGCATTCAGCGGGGCGGCTGTCCACGCGGTAGATCTGGGGATTTTTGATTTCTTATCGCGTCCACTTGGCGCTTCAGCCAGCTCGCCCACCGCCAAACCGGGAGGTATCCACGGCGAGGTCTGATGTCCGACATCGAGGCGCTCAATGGGCGCACCAGACGAAGACGAAGGCTGACATTACACGGTCGCGTGGCTTTACTGCTCATTGGCGAAGCACTCGCGAGCTTAGCAGTCTGGACCGTCGCGCTTGCGCTCTTTGCGCCATCTGCGACTAAGCGACGGGTCCTGAGTCTATGCGTCGTCGCTTATACGCTCGGGCTACGGCACGCACTCGATGTGGACCACATCTGCGCAATAGATCTCGTAACACGTAGGATGCTCGCGCGACCAGGTCTTACCCCGCCTTGCACGGTTGGGCTCTACTTTTCGCTTGGGCATTCGACCATTGTGATTGTGGTCACGATGACGGTCGCCATCAGTACGGGTGTAGCAGCACATCTGAACGGCGTGGGCAATGTTGGGGGCATCTTGGGCACGACCATCTCGGCCTCGTTCCTCTTACTCATTGCACTCATCAATATCGCTCTGCTTGCTCTGATGCTACGCCGACGCAACCGGCTTGCAGACACTACATCCGATGAGAAGTCGAGTAAGCAGGCAGAGGTGGGAGTGCCGCCCGCGTTAGGCTGCATGGCTCGCGTGATGCGCCCATTTTTCAGACTGGTAGACAAGCCTTGGAAAGCCTACCCACTCGGGCTAGCCTTTGGCGCCGGCTTCGACACGACATCAGAGATTGTGCTGCTCGGTATCAGTGCCCTAGCTCGGTCTCCCGGGGCATCCGGGGGAATCAGCACATCAGAGATCATGATCCTGCCCGCACTCTTTGCTGCTGGCATGACACTTGTCGACTCGCTCGATGCTTGCTTCATGCTTTATGCTTACGCCTACCCTATCGAGACGCGTGAGAAGGGCTGGTGGCGACGCTTGCACTTTATAGAGGATCACGATGCGGCACTCGCAGGTACTGATACCCGCCCTCTCGACACAACCACGACGACGAACATTTCCATTTGCCTGACAGTCGTCTCCATCACCATTGCACTGTTTATATCGCTTGTCGAGTTTATGGGCTTGGCAGCCGCTCAATGCGATGGCTGCGCGAAAGCTGCTGCAAACGACCCAGGTCTATCTGGTCGATGGTGGCGGTTCTGGATTGCACTCAACGACAATTCAGGCTACATGGGCGCAGGCGTCATTGCACTCATTGCACTCATCATAGTCTCCTGGCTGCTCGGCACACGCATACATAGGCACAGGTCTCAGACATGCTAGATTTTGTTACTGCTTGAGCAGACGCGCTGCGAGAATGGCGGCTCCCACAACGGATGTGCCGCCCATGACTTGCTGCCACTGACCGCTTTGCGCCAAAGTCAAGGCGACAGTGTTGAAGACGAGCGAGGCAGCGAAGGAAAGCGACTTGCTCGTCGCGACACCGGCAGCGAAGCCGACGGCGGATAGTGCTTGCACCCAGCCAGCAGGTTGCGAGACGACCTGTGGGAAGAACGCAAGTGCGCCGTTGTGCAGCATGTCGAGGACACCGATACCGGCAAAGGTGGAGCAGACGAGATGCGTCAGATCGGTCTGTGGAAGGTTCTGAGCTCTCGCAAAGAGATAGTAGAGCTGAGAGGCCGAGTTGATGATGACAAAGACATTGCTGAGCGAGAAGTTCTCAAACTCCCAGCCGACCATCCATAGACCGATGCAGACATTGCCTATGCCGGCCATTAGCCTTTGATCGCGAAATGATCACAGATAGAGAGCTCACCAATGGAGTACCATGGCGCGTAATTGACGGCTTCGTTCTGCTGGATGGTGTGCTCGCCTGACCACAACCGGCGCAGATAGAGGAGATGCAAGACTTGCTGGGTGCTGAAAAAGGCAGCAATTGCAAACGGATGACCGGCGAAAGCGACGTGATGCTTCTCCGCGATCTCCTTCATGTTGGGCGAAGTGGTCATGCCGTAGAGCTGGCAAGCAAAGTTGCCAGCAAAGGCAGCCGGGGCCATCCATCTGGCCGTAGAAAGTGTGACGCCCATCCTATCGATCAGAGCGGTCTCGTAAGGCAAGTCGTCGTACGTTGGATCGTCAGAAGTCGCAAAGTACTTGTCCTGCGCCTTGTCGAACCAGTTCTGTCGTCTGGATGAAGTGTCTGTCGGAAGCAAGCTATCTCCCGATGACATGAACTGCTTGATTAGATTGCGTGGACTTATATGCTTCAGACCGGTGACGAGGAGCCGGCCGCCGGAGGATGACGATGATGACATTTCGGCCGAAGTTGCGCGTCGATCGCTGCTCCGGGGCAGATGCTCTTCTGTGCCCCGTGACAAAACAAGTGACGCGCGACAAATCCGTTCATTTAGGTTTGGTTGATGCCAGCTCCTGGAGACTAGCACCTGCAGGAAGATCTGACGTGCTGATGTGACGGTCTGCATGTGACTTTGCTGTTCAACCAGTGTGCCCGTGCTGGCTTGCTTACTGTTGCATCAGCCGAGCAAGCATTGTCGCAAGGCATCGAATTGGCTGCTCTGCTTGATCAGGCGGTAAGCTCCAACAAGGTCATGGGAGATCGCAATGAGCCGCAAAACGTCCCAGAGGCATGCAGAATGAGGTCAGTCCGTGTTTTCGGCTCGTCAGCTGGAGGGCGATCCGAGCGATCGCGTCAAGAATTTTTGTCTTTGTTGTGAGCACGTTCGCGAAATCTTGTGCGCAGAGGCAGCCTGTCCTCTTGCAGGACTTGGCTGCTCGGCTACTGGTCGAAAATGGTCGCCGTGCAACATGTGCTCTCTGCACTGGCGACCATGAGCACAGTCTACAACACGACGCCTGCAGATGATGCATCGATACAAGCACACCACCACCCATCGAGTCTCCATTCGAGCACTGTCTACTTTCTGCGTCACGGCGAAAAGCCCTTGAACGGAGCAAACGGGCTATCGCTACAAGGCCAAAGAAGGGCAGAGTGTATCAAGGATCTCTTTGGCCCGTCTTCCGAACGCAATGTTGGCTACATCCTCGCGCAGAAACCTAGACCGGACGGCAGACGATCGAGGCCGCTCAAGACTGTCGCACCGCTCGCTGACGCTCTCGGTCTCAGCATCGATACGGACTGGTGAGTCTGGCATACGTCGCAAGTCATGGGAAGGCTTGACGATGGCTGCACAGTGAACGAGAGGACGAGCAGTGCGTGGAGAAGAAGATCAGACGGTTCACATCAAAGAAGCATCCAAAGGGCAACGTGCTCGTGTGCTGGGAGCATCGCGCCATGACGGACATTGCGCGAGAAGTGGGGGTGAAGCATCTGCCAGAGTATCCGGATGACAGGTATGACCTCATCTGGGTCGCGACGGGCAAGACGATCAAGATTGAGCACGAGCACTGTCCGGTCATCGACACGGTCTTGTAGAGTTGGCAGTGAGAGCAGTAGAGATAGAGAGATATACACAGCGGCAGTGTTATTGTCAACAACAGTTGCGTCAATGTACAATTCGACAGGTCGTGTGCGCGCCCTCACCCAAGTGAGCTTGAGGATTGCGATGGAGCAGTCTTACCAGCCGAGCTGCTTCGTCCTCTGAGCCCAGGAGCGTGAGCCAGCTTGAGATATGCTGTGACCTGCTCGGCGCATCTCAGACCAATCTCACACCGCGTCTGGAGTGATGCGAGACGGACCCGGGCAAACGGACGAGCATCCGACGAGAAGGTACTGATTGCTGTATGGGCATCGGCTCAAACTCGTTGGCATGGAGCCAGTCGAGCAGCGTATCGTGCAACAGGGTCGGCGGCAGTTGACCGATCTTGACCAATCGACCTGATAGCTTTGCTTTGACTTTGCTGAGCGAGCGATAGTGCGACGGCAAGTTCGGTTCGTCTGGGCTGTATGGACCGAAGATGGCGTCGAGATGATGAAAGTAGCCTAGCGTCCGTCTGCCGACGCCAGAGCGCTGGTCGTGGGAAGCCGGGTCGAGCCATTCTCTGTGCAAGGGCGTGGTGCCAACATCGCGCGACCTGAAATGGTCGACAGAGATCTGCGCTTCCTTGGGCTGGTTGAAGACGAGTATGGCTCGACCTGTAGCTTCTAGCTCCCTATCGGGCACCATGTGGACTGTCCCTCGAGCTCGTTCAGCCACAGAGTCCGCTTGCAGTCTAGCGGAATGGCTGACCCGAGAGGAGCATGCTCTCTGTCAGACCGTCCTGGTAGACTCTCTTGCGCAGGTCTCGCGGGGTCATGGTCGGACTGAGTCTGTCGAGCATGATGACATTGTGCTGTCGTCTGGGCTCAGCAGATTGGATGGCTCTCTCCACTCTTGCAGGTATCGAACTCGCTGGCACTGTCGCCGACGTGCTCGCTCTTGCCGCCTGACGGTAGGACCTACAAGTACAGTTCAACATCGTTCGGGAGAGAGACAAGTCAGACGGATGGAGACACGAGTCAAAGTCAAGTCGGGTCGAGGTCGATTGAGGTCGAGTCTGGCTGGAGATCGGCCAACGCGGGATTTGATAATGAATCGAATCGAATCTGCTCCAGACAGGGATAAGGAGGAGCACCCTCTTTTCCCGGAGGATTTCCCCAGAGAAACAGAGGAAGGAACAACATGGGCAATGCTCTCGTGTGAGAGTGTGCAGAGACTGATCGCCTGACTCTCGAGGGGCACACGACAGAGCAGACATGGTCGACGATCAGAGCCCACGCAGACCGTCATCCTACAGACGGACATCACCGCCCGCCCCCTCAGAGGGAGCTCTCGGACGAAGGCGAGTGGATCCCTTGCAAGATCCCACGGGCACAGAGCCCGGCATGACCGAATCACCACCTGACTACCGCACCGACCGGAGGATCATCAGGCAACAGACGAGACAGGTCACGGGCAACGATACCGTCGTCGACGCTTTCGCTCAGGGAACGGGCGACGTCATCTTCCGGTCTGCCAACGCAGGTCACAGCAGACCTGCCACCCAGTTCTTGCTCCACCTCGCCAACCTGAGAACCAACTCGCCCGTCTTCTCCACCTTGCTCGAGGAACCCGACGCGTTACCGAGACTGCCGCCGCTCAACCTGCCCTGCATCCAGGTCGAAGAGGATGCAGAGACGCTCCATATCCTGTTCCAATACTTCTACCCCCGACCTGCACCCGTCCTGTGCTCATACAAATTCGGCGTCATCAAGACACTCTTCTCCGCCGCCCACAAGTACGAAGTCTTTCGGGCCATCGATGCAGCAACGACGGAGCTGCGACAGTTTGCCACCGTGCAACCTTTTGTCGTCTATGCCGTCGCGACCTCCATCTCGCCGCCTAGCGAGGAACTGGCCAGAGAGGCCTCGAGACATACACTCGTCCACAAACTCACCAAACTCAAACCGTCCTATTTCGGAGGACTGTCCGGCATTGCAGTCCATCGGCTCTGGATGCTCCACAACTCCCGCGTCGAACTCGGCAGAGAGATCCTCATGACCACCCCTCTCGCCAAAGATCCGGACCATCTCCACTGGTCAGTCTCTCGCGCTTGCTCGCTTTGGCCCATGCTGATCCGCGAGCAGTTCGGAGATGAAGCTCGTCGAGCGGTTCTGGTACGAGGAGGTGAGAAGGATAGCCGACGAGATGGTGCCCAGCTTAGATATCGCTGCACGGTGCGCTCCTCCCTGCCACCGCTCGCTCTGTGAAGCTGATCCCTCAAGCTTGCACAGACTGGGCGTACGAGAGCCGAGCCACTTGCAATGCGTGAGATGCTACCAGAGCATTCTCAGGACGGCCGATATCATCCGCAGAAAGTCAGTCCACTCTGCTCGCTCGTGTCATGACGGAAAAGCTCATCAGCTGTTCAGGTGGTCCAAAGCACCGAGCACGGTCGTCTGAAGCGCTACATCTGGCTCATCGGTGCTCAGTATTTGATACACGAAGTTGGGTCACGATGCATGTTGTAATTCCCCTTTTGCAAGAGATGATGCGACTAGGAAGGATCATAGGTCGTCGAGGCGGTGACCTTGAAGTACTCCCACTGACCCTGGTCTGGCTTTGTCTGCAGAGGTTCCCATCTGTGCCCGAGTGATACCGCATGTCAGGTTCAGTCGGAGACAACAGGAGAAGCACGAGGACGGACGCTTTCCATTCTGCCATCTTGTTGACGAGCGAGAGCTCATCCTTTGCTATCCTGAGTACCTCCTCAATCTGACCTAACCCGATCTCTTGCTCGATCGCCTCGATCGCACCCTCTCCGCCTTCCGTGCCAGCAGAACCGGCATACTTGGTGATGATCTCCTGCCGGTCTCTCGTGATGGACTCGACAGACTGTCTGTACACCGTCGAGGCGGGCACCTGACTATCGAGAATGGACAACGTCGTCTTGTACGTTTGTAGCAAGCTCTGAACGGGCTGAGGGTGCACGTCCAGACCGTAGATGCCCGTGCTACGCTTTGAGCGCACTATCGCCTGTAGCGCTCGCCTTGTTGCCCACAACATCTTCCCCTTTGAGCCGTCCGGTCGACGTCGATGGCGCGAATTTCTCGCAAAGGTAAAATCGTGGTGTCACTCACCACCGACCGATTAAGATGGCCTCGCTGGTGTCCATGAGAAGCCTGACGGCAGCTCACCGACTAGCTCACATGGTAGCACTGCCCTCGCTCATGCTACAGAGCTTGCAGCGAGATCTGTCGGGCATCTGGGCGCGGATGGAGGAGCTCTTTCCCTCGCTAGTCTGGGCAGTACCCAAGAGCAGGGTCTCCCACTCTCGCAAGAGTATGCGATCGGCCAACAAGGGCTTGAAAGCCAGAAGCAGTCAGTCTGGGAGACGTTCCGTCATCTGTTGGCTCACTGCCCCTGCGTCTTGACAGACATTGTCCATTGTCCCTCTTGTTCGCAGCCTAAGCTGGCCCATCACTTTTGTCCCCATTGCTACAGCCAATTGAGCAGAGCGTTCAAGGCCCGCAACCATCAACAGACTGCACTGGCATGAGACAACAACAAGCAGGACAGTTCGCAGATCGGGGGTGTTGTATGTACATTGTAAACCGGAAGAAAAATAAGCTCAGGGTGATCCTCTGGGAGGACTGTCTGCTTGGCCTCGATCGTCATCCGAGTCCGACAGTAGGCGAGGTGAGGAAGTGGTCGATAGCGCACGCATACGCGGCGTCATACTGTCATACTTTGTCGTCGTCCTGCTCGAGCGAAAGCTGTGTGCGCCGGGCGAAGAAGCTCCTTCTTCCTCTTCGCTCCCGCTCGCTGTCTCCCCCTGCGCATGTTCGTCGTGCTCTCTCATTGCCCAGAAAGAGACTTCGGCGTGCTTGGGGCTCCTTCGACGGGGTGATGCGTTCAAGGTCTGGCAGAGAGCAGTGGCGATGGCATCCGACTGTGAGCTCTCGCCGGATAGAGAGGACGCGTCTTCGGAGTCTGAGCTGGGCGTGATGATGGCCACAGATCTTCTAGGCGCAAGCGAAGGCGTCGTGCCCGATTGCGTGCGGACGAGTGCAGACCGAGGCGGTGGTCGTTCCACTTGCGATTTCCGTCTCACCGTAGGATTGTCAGTTTCGGGCGCACTAGCTTTCGCCATGGTTCGACAGAGCAATCTAGCAATATCATCCATCTCGTCCTTTGTCCACGTCAACCGACAGTCCAATTCAAAGAGGACATCGATCTCCAGTGCGCGCAGTTCCATCGGCGTCAGACCTCCTACTTTGGCCGCTCTCGTTTGGGTGATATGTGAATCGGAGATGAACTTGCTCGCGACGAGAAGGGTGGCGAGGACGAGCCGGTGCATGGTGAAAGTGTTCATGGACACAGGCGGCGCTTGTTCCCTCTTTCTGAGCCTGAAGCGGGACTTGCGATCGCTCGGACGCGTGAGATCGAACGAGCTGCCTGTGATACTGGAGGCCGAACTGGAAGAAGTGGACGCGAGCGAGGGCAAGGAGGCGACGGAGTCTAGCGATGCGAGCGAAGAGAGCGACGAGCTACTCGAAGACGCTGCATCTTGTCGCCTGAGCGCAATCTCGTGGGGTTGTAGTATCCCCGTGCGCAGATAAGGCGCAGTCAGGTCGGTAGGCTCGTCGAATGATTTGCTGCTCAAGGGTGAGACAGTGTCTGTCGGGTCTGCTGCTTTGGGGAGACGATAGATATAGAGCAACAGGAGCAAGATCGCATCGTGACTGTAGGGCGTATACTGGACCAGTCTGGTCAGATAAGCCCGCAGGCCGACTTCGGGAGGTTGCTTGGCATGAAAGCGCGTTATGGGCTGCGCAAACCCTCATCAGACTTGGGCGGCTCGGGTCACTCGATCACAAGACGTACACCTTTGGTTGTAGCCTCACTGGCCAGACGGGTAATGAGGTCGGCGGTCGACTCGAGTATGGCATCAAACGTGTGCTGTTCATACAACGCACAGAGCGCGCTCGACGTCGTCCCGTCCGTCTTGACAGAATTGAAGGTCTTGCACTTCTTTGCCTCGCCGGCAGGCTTGAAGGCTGTGTTGCTCTTCCGTCTGAGCATCGCCTCCCCCCGTCTGGCCAAGCTCGCGTCCTGAATCTCGCTGAGGCGTCACTCACTCACTCGTCACTCTGACGATCTCCAAATTGCGCGTGACTTTCGGCGAGAACTTTGACCGGGTCGGCCGGAAAGTCAACGTGTCAACGACGATCACCTCGAGAGCTGAGTTGGCTCAACAAGGTGAGATGCGTAGACCAAGGCTAGCACTAGCCAGTCTGGCCTGTCTGTTCGCTACCGCGACGGCGAGCAGTCTTCCCGTCGTGGTCTGGCACGGTCTGGGCGATCGATTTGACGCCAAGGGACTAACATCTCTGGCCGACTACTTCAGAGAGAGCGTGCCGGATCTGTTCGTCTACTTTGTCAGGCTGAGCGATGACGGCTCACAAGACGCCAAGTCGTCCTTCTTCGGCAATGCTGCTGTCCAAGTCGCCCAGGTGGCCCAAGATCTCAGATCACAGCCTGAGCTCGCCCGAGGGTTTCATGGGATCGGGTTCTCTCAGGGCGGCGTACTGCTGCGAGCCTATGCAGAGGTGTTCAACGACCCGCCTGTGAAGAATCTGATCACGCTGGGGAGTCCCCATATGGGCGTGAGCGAGCTACCGCCTTGCCGACCGGGCGATCTCGTCTGTCGCGCTTCAGAGTGGGCACTCCGAGCGGGCGTGTACACAGACTATGCTCAGACGTCAGTCGTGCCCGCTCAGTACTTCCGCAACCAGGACGATATCGCGCCTTACTTGCGCAAGAACCTCTGGCTCAGGTTGATCAATAACGAACGATGGGGAGACGGACAGGTAGGCGGCAGCGAGGATTACTTGGACGAGCACGAGAGCGAAGGAGCAGACGAGTCCGAGCGCAACGCGACCTATGCCGACAACCTGGCCAGTCTGAGCAACCTTGTCTTGATCAGGTTCACAAAGGATATCACTGTCATTCCTGCCGCTTCGACCCAGTTTGGTCTGCTCAACCTGACGAGCGAGCAAGGGCTGAGTATTCCCATGCACTCACTGCCGATCTACAAAAGAGACTACATCGGTCTACGTCGACTTGACCAGGCAGGTAAGATACAATTCGAGAGCTGTGTGGGCGCACACATGGAGATCGACCAAGCCTGTCTCGACCTCATGCTCCACTGGATCGAGCCCAGTTCAGCCAAGAATGCATTCGTCATTCAGTCATGACCATCATCTCACCCTCATCTGTTGTCTGATTGTACATGTTTTCTTTTGTCTCATGAATTGACTGCATTGGCGGGCTTAAAGACAGTAGATCTGTACCGCTTGAGCTCCTTGATGCTCGCCATGATGTCGTCCCTCGCGCGGTGCTGTTGGCCTCCCTGCTTGGGATCTCGCTCTTGCCTGGGTAGACTGTACCACCTGGCCACGAGCTCCTTGACCGACGAGACATCGACGATACGATAATGTAGACATTTCGCAAGCAGCGGCATGTCCTTCCTGATGAAGTTGGCGTCCGCATGAACAGACGAACCAGCGAGGACGGCACTCCGGTCGTCTGGAAAGTATCGCTTGACGTATTCTGTCACTTTGCGATCTACTTCTTCGATCGAATGCTTCGAGGCGATGCACGCTTGGGTCAGACCCGTCCCGCTGTGTGTCTTTGTGCACCACTCGTCCATCTGATCCAGCACGCTCTTGTCTGTCCTGACGACATACTCTATCCCTTCGTCGAGCAGCGTGAGATCTTTGTCCGTCACCATCGCCGCAATCTCGATAATCCTGTCCGTCTTCAAGTTGAGGCCCGTCATCTCACAATCCACCCAGAGCAATCTGCCCCTTTCGGGCTGCCAATTATTGGCCTCGAGTGCAGAGGTACCCGCTTGGGCAGTCAAGGAAGTGCCATCGAGTTTGCTTGTGGCGGTGAGCGCACCCTGTTCTGGCTGCTCATGAGGAAGGCGTAGGGATGACAGCTTGTCGGCGAGCGGCGCGGTCATGCTGCGCCTTGCCAGCTGCCTGAGCCACGCCAGACTAGCCGATGAGATCGACCGGGTGGACGCGCGTGGCGCTTCGAAGTGTGGAACAGCTCGAGTCGACTGACGTCTTCACCCCTGACGCGCGCCGTTCGGACGAGTGGACGAAGGAGCGAACGACAGCTCACCCGCCAAGTGAGATCAGCCCACGATGAGGGCGGGCTTGAAGAGCAAGTGTCCCATGCTGTCAGCGCAGAGAGACAGACAAGCTGACCTGCCTGGCAACGATGCAGCCATCATCTTGCTCTCCTTCGTCCTCGCCATCGGCTTCCTCCTCGTCATCCTCTCTTGTGCTCTCTTTGGTAACTGGCTTCCCCTCCTCGTCGGTGAGCTCAATATACAATGCACATCCAGCTTGCAGCATGCTGACGAGCCTTGTGGCACAGCTGCCACGTTTGTCTTTGCTCCGTTACCCAATGCACTCTGCGCCAGATGTGGAGGTGCAGATGACTTCTCGACAGACTACAGCAGGCAAGTCTGCGCTTGCCTTTCCGAGCACTCCTTCGTACTCACCTCGCTCGCTCGCTCGCTCGTAGTGGCCCCGTCGACTTTGGACACTTTGTCACGGCAGCGACGGTCATCACAGGTCTCGCGCTACCGCTTGTGCTCATGCACAGCGAGATCATCCACCCCGCTGCTTGCTACATGAGCATAGGAGGCGGTGCGCTCGTCTATGGCACCAGTACGTCGTTTGTTCCCCCTCTCAAAAGCGTCGCACGCTCACGCCCCAGAGATAGTCATCACTTACAGCCATTTCTTCTCGCGGAGTGACGAGTACTAGCAGAGCTACGTTGACGGAGGAACTGTACTGCATATGCACTGTTGCTATCATACAACACACCACCCCTTCTCCTCCTGATGGACAAGTCGCTTTCCGTCATCGCCCGTGTCGCGTGACTTGTCCGTGTTGCTTGCGCGAGTGCGCGTCGTTTCTTCTTCTTATCGCGCGACCGTCGACCAATGCTCGAGCTAAAGGCGAAATGCGACGCCAAAAAGGCAGCACAGGCAGCCTTGATCCCCAACGAATGGCGTATCAAGGTACCCAAGTCACTCAAGAACGTCCTCGACATCCCGAGAAGGGCAGGCATCCTATCGAAGAAAGAGTTGCTTATCACAGAGCTTGACGACGTCGACATCGCCCTTGCAAAGCTCGCAACCGGCGAATGGTCGAGCTACGAAGTCACACTGGCCTACTGTAAACGAGCAGCTATTGCCCATCAGCTCACAAACTGCCTGACTGAGATCCTCTTTGACGATGCTCTGGCTCAAGCTAGAGAACTCGATGAGTACTTGGCCCTTCACGGCAGACCAAAGGGACCTTTACACGGTATCGTACATCATCTCTGCGATCTGCCCAGCTGAGCATGCGCCTTGCAGGCATACCGATCTCCCTCAAGGATCAGTTTCCTATCGACGGCGTCGAGATCACCATGGGTTACGCTTGCTGGCTCGGCAGAATCTCAGACAGCAACGCCGTCCTGGTCGACGTGCTCAGAGAAGCAGGCGCCGTCTTTCACTGTCGTACAAACGTACCTCAGACAGTATGTCGTCTCGCCACTTCGTGCGAGATCGATGGCTCATAAATTTGCGTGCAGCTTATGTGGGCAGAGACGTACAACCACGTCTTTGGCCTGACGGTCAACCCCTACAATCGTGCTCTCACTTCTGGCGGCTCGTCCGGAGGCGAAGGTGCCCTCATCGCCCTGCGCGGCTCGATACTCGGCGTCGGTACAGACATCGGGGGCAGCGTTCGTATACCCGCAGCCTGCAATGGCCTCTACGGCTTCAGACCCTCAACGGGCAGGATACCCTACCAGGGTGCGATGAATAGCATGGTCGGACAAGAGACCGTCGAAAGCGTCATCGGACCGCTGGCTCGTAGTCTATCGACCATCAAGAAGTTCTACCAAGTCGTGCTCAATGCCGAATGCTGGCGACGCGATCCCAAGATACTCGACCTACCGTTTCGTCAGGATCACTACGAGCTCACAGCCAATGGCGGTCACGATGCAAAGTACTCTTTTGCGATCATCAAGACCGAAGGCTACGTGCTGCCAGATCCACCGATCTTACGCGCTCTCTCGATCGTGGCGGACGCACTGCGCGAACAAGGACACGAGATACTCGACTGGGACGCATCGGATCACCGCGAAGGTGTAGAGCTCATCAATGAAATCTTCCAAGCCGATGGCGGTGCAGATTTCATCGAGCAAGTGGGCGTATCGGGCGAAACTCACATCCTCAGCGAACGATCTGGCGCTGCTCTCTCAACGCTCGAGGTCTGGAAGCTCAACCATCGAAAGGAGACATATAGAAAGCAGTACCTAGACAAGTGGGAAAAGGCAATCAGTCCGATGACGGGCCGAGTCGTCGATGCCATCATCTCGCCCGTAGCCCCCCATACTGCGCCAAAGCACGGCCAATACATCTACTGCGGTCACACATCCATCTGGAATCTGCTCGATTATCCGTCTTGCGCTTTCCCGGTCACAAAGGTGCAAGCATCACTGGACGCGCCCGATCCTGCTTTCAAGCCCCTCAGCGGTCTCGACGCTCAGTGTAATGCACAGTGTGCGTCATCGTGCTTTTGGCGACTGTTTCGTGCTGACATGTTCAGCAGATGATGTTCGCGAGACAGCTGGCTCTCCTGTTGCGCTACAGCTCACAGGCAGACGCCACAAGGACGAACACTTGTTGGGAATGATGCAGGTCTTGCTTGACAGCCTTGCTCATTCGGATCAGTACGACCCACAAACACTCTAGAATTGGTTACAACAAGTTGTTGTTGCTTTTGCTGCGATGTTGCCACTCATACGTTGTACGGTATCCACTGAGAATGTAGTCTCTTCTTATCTTCTGTAGATTATACTGTCGTCAAATGATCCGCCAGAAGTCTGCAGAGGTGCCGCTGCCGTCTCTGCCGCTGCAAGACATGCTGCTACGTTGGGCTGGAAATTGCCTGCTCCTCTGATCAGGCTACTCACTGCAGCGCAGCGAGCGAAACATACTGTGGCCGAGTAGCTTGTAGATTCCGCCCTGTGCAAGCTGATGAAGCTGCAGCGTTCCGACATGACAGAAATAGACTGCTACACCTCGTCTGGTGTATGTCTCGACTGTCTCTAGCAGGACCTGAATGGCAGAGGCGTCCATGCGATTGTCCACGTCCGCCCTGTTCAAGCCTGAGCACAGCAAGAGAGCAGCGAGGGCAGGACGTACCAGTGGAAGACGAGTATCTTTGCTTCGCCTCGATAGGGTGCATCACTTGGATGGTGCCGTCGATGCCCATCTGCTCGATGTCAGCCTCGCGCACATCCAGAGACGTGCGACTTACAGATCTCTAACCTACGAAGCCGCTCTTTCAGTGCGCCAGCATTGGCTGTCCGCGTATGTTAGTTCGGATTGGCGCCAACTTCGCTCGTACGCACCGAATGTGAGATTTTCTCGGATGCGAACGATGAGCGTGCCGGGCGTCTCGTCCATCTCTGGATCGTCGGGGTCGAGCAAATCCCAATTGGAAGTACCGGCAACCCGTCCGAGAATTCTGATGTTCATATTGGAACCTTTCTGGACGACCATGATGAGTGACAGGGCGATGGACACAATGATGCCAGTCTGCACGTTGAACAATGTGAGAATGAACGTGATGGTCATGAGGGCCAAGTCGTTCCAAGCCTGCATCTTCAGGAAAAAGTGCACATCCTCCGGGGTCTCTTGCAGGATGGAATAAACGACAAGACAGACGACGCTCGCAAGGATGCACTTTGGCAGGAAATGGAGAAAGCGAAGCAGGAAGAGCGTCGTCAGGAGAATGCATGCGCTGGTGATGAGCGATGCCATGGGCGTACGAGCGCCGGCATTGGCATTGACGCGAGACCTTGTGATGCTGCCGAAGCCAGGCAGTGTGCCGGTGATGAGCGATGCGCCTAGATTTGCACCGCCCAGTGCGACAAGCTCTCTGTTTGGGCTGACAGAGTAATTGAAGCGCGCAGCCTGGCCTTTTGCAGCCACGATACTATCAACGTAACCGACAATGGCGATCGTGGAAGCAATGCCAAGTGTGTCGAAGAAGTAGTCAGATGTATGATGCATGGGAAAGTGTAGCTTGACTTTGCCTGCTGTGACGTGACCCAGGATCTTCAAGCCTTGCTTGTCCCAATGGAAGACACTCGTCAGTATCGTAGCCAGTATGACGACTGACAGTACTTCTGGAAAGTACTGCACCCATCTACGCTTGGCCACGAGCTTCTTTTTCGCAACCCTGGCGCCTATGAGTAAAGCTAGCGCGACGGCCGAAATGATTGTGGTGAGTCGATGCAGGGACCAGACATGGCGTACGAGGAAGATGGCCTTCTCAATGGTATTGCCTTTGCTTGCTTTGGTCGTCTCGGCCAGTGTCTCCAGACCGAGCATGGGAATGAGTTGAGCAATGAAAATGACAAAAGCGATGGCAGTCACGAAGCCGCGCAAGAGCGCCCGCGACAGAACGGCATCCATGAAACCCAGCCGGAGAAAGCCGAGCAGGAAGGTGATCAAGCCCGACTGGAAAGTGATCAGGCTCGCTATGGACACGGCTATCTTATCCTTTTCGTGCTGGGGCACAGAATCTGGCAGATCTGCCCAGACAGACTGTATTGCTTGCCCTATGAGCAGGCAGAGTGCTGCCTCTGGTCCTACTGATAGCTGACGACATGTGCCGAGTAGGGCGTAGATGAATGAGGGAATGCAGGCACCAAACAGGCCGTGGACCGGATCGATGCGAGCCAAACTCGAAGCGTACGACATGGATTGAGGCACGAGCAGAAAGGTCATGGTCAGGCCAGCAAGGAAGTCGCCTGTGAAGGTGCTGATGTCGTAGTTGGGCAGCCACTCGAGAATGGGCACGTAGTACTTTGATCTCTTCTTGACCGTCTTGCGCATCTGCTGCCAATTCTCCTTTCGTATTGCTCGTCTTTGCTCTCTACTGATCGCAGCAGCAGGCTGAACAGTCGAATCATTGGCAATGAAGGATGAGCCATAGCGCTGGCCGCCTTCGAGGTCATCGCCTAGCAGACTGCTCGTCTCCGTCCGATCTCGTCGACCTCCTGATGGACTCGGACTGCGTAGATTTCTTTGTGTCGACGCACCCGCACCGCCAAAGTCTCGTCTGAGCGGGCTCTGGGGCCTCGAGACATTCGGCGTCGAGGCCAGCCGAGGTGTGTTCATGGCGCTCAAGCAAAGCTCAGGACGATCTTGATGTCATCGTAGGCAGTCGCGACGCGTACAACAAATTTAAGGCTACACCGGCGGCGGCGGCGGCTGCGGCGGCGGTGATCTGGGCTGCCCAAGCACAAGGTCACCGAGAGTAGCAGACCATCTGACTCGTCTTCTGCTCGACCGATCCGGATCATCATCATCGCCTGCGACCTCATCGTCGGTCATATGAAGACTCGTCTCCTCCTTCAAGTCAGGCGCGCCGACAAAGGGTCCAAAGAGGGAGCGACGAGCATGCCGCCTGCGCGTCGGTCGCCAGACGGGCGGATCGGCTACTGTATGTCGCCTGCGTATGTTGAGATCGCTCGCATCCGGTCCTTCGTCGAGCGAATCGATCGAGATTGCTAGATTGTCGTCTGTCAATGCAGATTCGTGAGATTGCGAAGCGCGCATAGACGATGACAGCGAGGCACTACGCAGGTGCCGCCGTCGTTCTTGTGGTCGAAGGGCGAAACCTGTGCGCATGAACTGTCTCAGCGGGAAAGTTCACCTGACAGAATATCTGCGCACCTGGGGAGGAAGCACCAATGCCGATCGACAAACCTCGAACGGGAGCCTCGTCGTTCATCAATGAATCATAGAACTGAGCTATGCGTCTCGCGAGGCCTTCCTTGGTACTGTCATCCGATTGCTCATCGTATGACCAGCCAGCATCCGAAACCTCGTTATCCTGTGTCGTATCGTTTGGCAAGAGAGGCTGTTCTTCAGGTCGAGCCGGATCGCTCTGACCACTCTTGAGCGAGACGATCCAGACGCCGGTGAGTAAGACGATGACGCCAAGTAAGACAAGCAAGAGCTGCAAGATTGTCATTTGGTTCCACTGATCGTAGTAGATGAGCCCATTGAGTATGGACGAGACGTTGAAGAAACAGAAGGAGAGCGGCATGACGAGTGTGGGTGAGACGAGTCTGAGAGACTTATTGAGATAGGCGAGTTGGCAAAGTGCAGTGAAAAGGAGTGCAAGGACGATAAGCCAGGTTGCGCCCTTGGTGAACTGATTCTGCCCGAGCACGGTGAGAAAGAGCAGATCGACGCCCGTCTTTGCAAAGAGGAGACAGAATCCAGACAGCGTGCCTGATACGCTGCCGTATGCGCAGCCGACGAGCAGTCGTCTCCGTGCGAGCCAGACCATTCCGGCCGGCTCTTGCTTCTCTACGCTCGACGAGGTATCCATCACAGCCGATCCGGCCGTCACGGTCGCGCTATCAGAAGTACCCTGCTCTGTCGTGTCGATCGAGGTGGCATCTTCTTTCTTGCGAGGCGCAGGCGCAGGAATGGGATCAAAGTGAAGAGCGTTGCGCGGGATCGCTTGTGAGAGGACAGGTGCAGACCAACGGCGTGGACGCGTATGGGAATGAGAGTGACCATGGCTGAATCGTAATCGCGTCGGTGAGCCATGCGGGCTCTTGCATGCGTGCGTGCCTTGTAATATATATGTCTTTAGCAGCTCCCGCTCGAGCCGGTATTCCATCCAATGGCTCTGTCATCGAGGGTTTCAGCTCTTCGCGTGCGAATACAGAGTAGCGACGAACGAAGAGCGCAAGGATGATGACGGACAAGCCGAGCAGACCAATCCAGATGAGAAATGCAGGACGGGCGTAGAGCCTGACGAGCTCGTCTAGCGTATGAGAGGGTTCCGGTAAGATACCAAAGACGGCGATGAGGGCGGCTCCGCCTGCGATGAGTATGGTGCCGACGACCAGGAAGCGTGAGAAGTGATCGCCGAGCAGGATCCTTGAGAACACGGCATTGCTCAGAAGCGAGATTGCACCCAGAGGCGCTAGCACGACGATAGGCAGTGCACCGAGCTGGAAGATCGAGCCCAAGATATTAGAGGTGAAGAAGATGGTGAAGCCTGTGATCCATAGGCTGTCAGGTCGGTCAGATCAGCAAGCTTTCGCGCGTCTGTCCTGCCCATGGGGACGTACGGCCTTCGCCAGTCCTTCTTCCTCGCTTCGAGTGCAGCCGCTTCATTCTGCAGGTGAGACTTGCGCTGGATCGTCAGGCCTGTGGGGACATTGAAGGTCATCAGTCCCGAGCGACGTAGACTGATCGAGCTGGGCTTGCCTAGCGATTGGACAAAGGATGCGAGCAGGCCGACGATGACGCCGACGGCTACACTGATGTGCGCATCTTCCTCGAACATCACCTTGAGCCCATCCGGCTGATTGTGCGATCGGCGGCTGAGCTGAGATGTCAATAGCAAGCAGCCTTTCGTTTAGCGCGTTCGCGACTTGCCACAGCCTTTGCGAGCACAGCGGCGGCAACAAATGCTCATCGATGCTGCTATGCTTGACTTGCGTCGCTCGACTCACCCTCCTCAGACGACCTGCGATCGATCTGGCAGCTCGCAGGCGGCGACATACGTTCACCGTCAAGAACGGCATCTTACGACGTGTCGAGTCAAGCTCGCTCGATCTCAGCGGCTTGCGAGGCAGACTTGAAGCAGATGCAATAGACCACAAAGAGTCCACGTTCGCTCCTGCCGCCGAGCCGCGTCTGGCCATACTCAAAGATGACTCCCAAACGCTCTTCCATGGCGTACAGATCCCCATCAAGCCCAGACCGCCAAAGGATGACGAGTGTTGCATGTCTGGCTGTGCAAGATGTGTCTACGACCTCTATGCTGAAGATCTGTCGGACTATTCGGACGCATGCAAGAAGGCGCAAGTACAGTTGACTGAGCTACAAGTGCCACAGAGTCAATGGCCGAGCTCTTTGCCACGCATGCAAGCTGCAGGCGCTGCAGAACCACCCTCTGATCTCAGTCCTACATTGTCAGCCTTCATGCTGCTCGAGAAAAAGCTCGCAAGCAAGCAGTCCCCTGCCAGCACCGGCTGATGCGCAAGCATCCTACCAAACCAGCGTTCGGCCATTTGACATTTGGATTTTACTCGTGACTTGTATCGCATCAGAAGCCGGACGCGATTGTCAACAGAGCCTCTCAGAACTGTCAGCGATCGACAATCAGCGGCTCGCGAGCCGCTCCTCTGAGCCGAACAACACAGCGTACACAAGCTGCGCTCTGAGGCAGCTTTCAAGCGCAAGCCAGCCAGTTTCCAGATGGACCACTGTCGGTCACACGAAGCTGCGCAAAGCAGCAGAAAGACGAAGGGTACAGCGCGCAGACGCGCTAGAATGCATCTTTTGTCGACGACAACACGTGCTGGTAGGCCATGCGGATGATACAATGATGCGAGTGAGTTTGATCTACGAAGTGATGCGAGGAATGAGTGGTGATGCTGATAGGGTACGTGCTTGCTCAGGTGTCTGCACATACTCGAACAAGGTAGGCTTCTGGTCGGCCTGCTGAACGAGTTCAGCTTGGGTATTCACAAGTATTGGTCCAACTGGCCGAGCCTGAAGACGGGTAGCCGCGCGAGAGATCAGAGCGGCCGTCATCGTGTGCCCTGACCGAACGAGCCTGGCCGGCTGATCTTGGCGTCATCTGAGCGAAAGACAGGCCTGGATCGACGACATGAGTGTCAATCTCTGTGTCGGAGAAGTGAGATGCGGCGTCGTCATACGACGACGATGAGGAGTAGCCGGACTCGTCGCTCGAGCTCGACATAATAGTACAAGTGAGAGTTACGCGGAATGCTTGCTCAACAGGCTGTCTCTGATATGTAGCGTCTCCAGATAGCTGCTTGATGTCAGCACGGCCCAGACTGATAAACAAGGGCAGGGGCGGATTCGAGCTAGCGCGGACGGGCTGGAGCAGTGTCCTTGTGGGCAGACCGCGGTGACAAGATCTTGCCGATTCGCAAAGGGTCGAAAGAGGCAAGATAGACAAGATCAGCGCCGGATTCACTGCACTGCTCGCTCCGCTTCACTGCTACTCGAATGAGCCAGCCAATCTGCCTCTGACGTTCGATGATTGACTGATAATGCCTGTCGTGCACTGTCACACGATATTATAGATATTGTATTGTCCGCGATATACACGCGTCTGCGATCGAGCTGATCGGCGCTTCCCGTCATGGACAGCTGAAACGGCGGAAAGTTGCACGCCAGCTCGTCACGGAATTCGCATAAATTGGACCGCGTCTCGCCGCAAAGCCTCACTTCCGACAAACGCGAACTTGGCTGCTATCGATCCTGTCAACTGCACAATCTGCCGATATAGTCGTCTTGGTACTCGTGCGAGCATGCAAAGACGAAGCCTAGAGATTGAGCTGATAGGCCGATCGAAGAAGGGTGTGACTTCATCTGCGCTGCCGCAGCGAACGAAGAATGTTGCCCGTGACCCACAGGAACTACCGGAGCAGCTTACGGGCATCATGGGGAGGCGCACTCGCTTGCAATGAGGAAGAGTTCTGGCTCGACAAGAAGCCGACAACTGCGGTCGAGTCCTTGCAAGACGCTCCTGATCATGGCCCCTGAGGTAGGCTGGCTGGATATCGGAGGATGGGGGACTCCCATGTGAAGCGTTGCTGCGAGCCTCTTGTTAGCCAATGACATATGATCTGCCCTACCGCAAGAATGCAACCATTGGAGAGGCGCACGGGCTCGTCGGGACAAGACCGCGGTCGACAAGAAGACAGCAGCCGCTTTCGACTCTTGCCGCTCTCGACAGAAGCACCAGAGGCAGGACTTGCAGACTGCCGCGGAAGGAGCTTCTGATCGGGTCGCTGCAACGAGCGGGTGAAAGCCAATGACAAGTGGCCTGCTCTTGGCACGTCACTCGGAGGCCCATTTGCTCGTCGGAGAAGATTGCGGTCCAGACTTGATGGCGATCTAGGGTCATGCTGACGATCGACATCTGCGACCTCTGAAGATGGACAACAAGAAGAGCCAGGAAGTCGAGAGAGTCGAGCGTGCGATACCAGGCGCTCGCCTCTCTCTACAGGTGTCTTTCATAAGTGTTTCTTCCATCATATACAGCTCGAGCTTATCGCACGTGCTAGCAGAGCTTTGCACTGCTTCCATCATGGCTGGAGACATCATCAATGCATTGTCTGCCTTGCCAACTTTGAGCGCTTCATGAATTTGAGCTTGCACGCGCGTTGTCTTGTCGTTCTGAGTTGCTCATCAACGCTGCTAATCTTCGTCCAAGGTCAGCTTCAAGGCAGTGATGGCCATGAGCTACGGTTGAACCAGTATGGACGAGCTTGCGACAATCTCTTGCTCAAGGCCAGGTCGATTGCTCGCTCGGCGACATTCGCTCAGAGCGCGAGATGACCTCATCGAACGATTCGATCGACTGCAAGTCCTCGGTCTGCAACGGGATGGTCCCAACGCCTTACACGCTCATGGGCGCTTCTCCCGTCTCGATCAGCCCGGTCATGGCGGATGCGTCAACACTCTGTCTTGGTCACAAGACGGCCAAAGGTTGCTAAGTGGCAGCGATGACACTCGTCTTTGTCTCTGGAAGCTCGGCAGACGACCTGATCTACCTTATTCGCTCGGTCTCGAGAGGGTCATCGAGACGGGACACTCTGCTAACATCTTCTCTGCCAAGTTCTTGCCTCACTCGGCCAATGCTGGCTTGGTGTCTGCGGCAGGCGACGGAGAGATACGCTGCTTCGATCTCAACAAGGGCAGCGGCAGTGTGCGGCATATGAACAATAGTGGCAATACATGGGATATATACTCTGCGCCCACGCCTGCTTGTACTCGCATTCTTCGCTGTCATCGCGATCGAGTCAAGAGAGTCGCGCTCGAGGACAGCGCCCATCTGTTCCTGACGTGCTCTGAGGATGGCACGGTCAGGCAACACGATCTACGGATACCTCACCTTTGCCTGCCGAGAGACCAGTACCAATGTCCTGATCCGCTCGTCGATTACTCATCTCATTATATGTCACTCTACACGCTCACAACGTCGCCATTGCGTCCCGAGCTCATGGTCGTCGGCGGCTCGAGTCCTTTCGTCTATCTGCACGATCGTAGAATGCTCAGGAATGCCAACAATCATTGGGGCCTAGCCAGCAAGCCCGGCAGGATCACTCAATGTGTCCGTAGATTCGGTCTGCCTGCCACATTAGCCAGTCCAGCCGAGCTCGAGCGATCAGAAGTATACACAGCCGAAGGCGACAATCACGTCACAGCTGCTAAGCTGAGCGAATACAACGCAAGAGACGTGAGCTTCATCTATCGTCCCTTTCGAAGCTAGCTGACGGGCCGGTAGCTACTCGTGTCCTATTCAAATGCGAAAGCAGACGGAGTATACTTGTTCGACGTCTTTGGCGAGACTCACGAAGAGTCGCAGGCCTTACGCTCGCATAGGAGGAGCTCAGCAAAACCAAAGGTGCCTGCCAAACGAAAACGACCGCCTCAAGTCAACTTGCCCAGCGAGACCGATTCGCACAACTCCGAAATTGTCACCCTGGCAGATGATGAACCGAGCTTTGACATCCATGACGATGGCGGTCTTTACGAAGACGCAGGCAGTGAAGACATTGAGCCAGATTCGAGCAGCGATATGGAGCTATCTTCTGGCCAAAGTGAACAGTCGTCGAATTCCGATACGGGCACTGCGCGTGCTAGGCAACACCAAGCCATGCTCAATCGTCAGAAGCGAGAGCGCAGTCTCGAGGGCGACGTTCCCATCGTTCTACCTGTTCGACAGTACAAGGGCGCGCGCAATCAGGAAACAGTCAAGGATGTCAATTTTGACAGCACTGGCTCACACGTCGTCTCTGGATCTGACGATTCGCATGTCTTCATCTGGAATCTGCAGACGGCAAGAATCGAAACGATCCTCAAGGGGGATTCCGAGATTACCAATGTGATCCAATTCAATCGGATCTATCCGCTCATGGCTGCTTCTGGACTGGACAATACGATTAAGATTTTTGGACCGGTTGACGAGCCAGCGTCAGAGCATGTGAGAACGGCTCAGGCAGCAGAGATCTTGCAGCGCAACGCGCGACAGGGTGGACGCGAGAGAGGTATGCGAGCGTTCAGCGCGGCCGACATGGTTGCTTTCCTTTCTGGCATGCAAGGCGACGCGGAAGGCTCGGACGCAGAAGAAGGCGATGGAGCGCGACGACAGGTGACGATACCTCTGGCTGCGCTGAGGGAAAGATTCCAAGAAGAAGGCAACACCGAATGTGTGATCGTCTGAAGCAGAGTTGTTGTACATATGTTGTAGTACATTCGCAGCTGGACATACAAGCAACAGTGAGGATTACAGATCAGAACAACCACAAAGTCTCGACTGTCTTCGAATCGGTGACTTCGAAGACGCAATTCGGGTAGCCAACGAGTCGGGTGGGTGCTTTGAGCGTCAGATCGAGTGCATCTGCCGCTCGATCAAGCTGCATGGGTTGCATGGGCTCATTAGACAAGCCCCACGATGCAATTGTCGTGCGAATGGCAGGCATCTGATGGGGTATCAGTAGGTGCATACCAAGCCTGTCGACACGGCTCACCTCGTCTCCATTGATGCCCGTCTCGTCCTCTGAAGCATCTTCCCGTCGGAGAATCCAGTTTGCTCGCGCAAAGCTGCCGAAAAGGACTGCTCTTCTTATTTAGCTGACATCTGTATTCCTTGCTCTTACTGACCTTGTCCCGGTAGGTTGCTGTGAAGGATGATCTTGATGACGAGATTGTCCGGACTGACGAGGAATTCGATGCCGAGGTTGAAGTAGGAGTAGAAGCATGGGTTGCTGCCTGTTTCGCTGACTGTATGTTGCGAGTGTATCGTCAGACGATCCTGGGCACAGGTGAGCGAAGAACGAGCGGGTCGCGCTCGAGCTCACATCCTCCTTGTAGAACTGCCGTAGCGGTGGTCCGAGGTCGCAGAAAAGGTCCTCGCTTGTCGTCTCGTTCAGCCGAATGACGATATCTCGTGGCGAGTCGGAGAAGCATCGCAGCTTGATGGCTGAGCAGCCTGCCTTTGGGCTGAGCAGCACATCAACGCTTTTCAATCCATTCAGATGACGATCATCATCTTCTGCTGGGCTGGGCTTGGCGATTGGCAAGTAGATGGCTTCGTTCATAACGCGTGTCAATCCGACCGTTGGCGTCGTCTGAGTCAACGAAGGCCAAGTGACGATCAGTCTCGTCAGCGGTTCTTCCACGGTCTCGTGTGAGCCGTCGGAAGGCGTGGCATAGCCAAACATTGCTCCCGGGTAAGCGACGAGCTGCTCGTTCGGGTAGCCAGGATGGGGTACAGGCGCGTAGGTCGGTCCGAATAGACGCGACAGGCTGCGTCGGGTAGCGTACAGACGTTCTCTGGCTGAGGTGGGACTTTGTGCTCGCTCTGTACGGAGCGTTTTGGCTCTGTAGATGACATGATCACCCGGCGCTTCGACCTCAATGAGCGATAACCGTTGTGTCGAGCCCGGAAAGACGAGTCGTAAGGGTGGCTTGCTCAGTATGAGCACAATCGGCGAGACAGATGGCTTCTGTCATCTGCTGTCAGCTTGCACCGAGCTCCGTGCGCACTGCTGGACGAACCTGCTCGCCATGGACGACGCGCACGGTAGGAAAGGCGAGTCGTTCGGAACGGAGCAGGCCGAGAACATCCCAGAGTGTATCGCCCAGCGCAAAAGGACCCAGGCTGATGCCTGCTGTCAGCTGCAGCCCGCTCGAGCTTGCCGCCATGGTTGACGAGGGCAATTGAAGTGATGGTCACGTGCAAGGCACAATTTCCAGGAGGAAGCGCTGCCAGAAGAGCCCACCAGCGCGACAGTGGCCACCTATCGACTGGCTCTCAGTAGGCTCTGAGTAGCTCGTGCAGCTCCGAAACTGCTGCATTAGCTCAGCGACAGGCTCAGCAGCTCAGTCAAGCCATGGCGCCGGCCTCGCCGACCGGCCCTGCTACTCGAACTCGCCATGGTCAGACTCGAGCGAGTGCAGCTTCAGCGAGCTCCGCGCACTCTGGGGAAGCCTCGGGAGGTGCTAGCACGACCAATATGGCAGCTGCGACGGGTGACAGAGCGTCGACGAGTCGGTCGCCCAGCGTTTCTTTGCCAGCCTCTGGCTCGGTTGGCCTAGCTGGCTCTTTGCCGCCTTCCTCTCTGTCTGGCGGCCGAGATGAGCAGACCTACGCCGCCAGACTGAGCGATCCATCTCTGCCGACCTCTGTCAAGCTCAATCTGGCTTCAGAGATCCGAGATAGGATCGATCTCTATCAGCGTGACAGCGAGTATATCCACTTTCTCGACCACTTGCTGCCCGTCATCCTGGCCATACTCAAGGAGGGCAAGGTCACCTTCAACACCAATACGAACGAGCAACGTCTGCGCCATGTCCTGATCGAGACGCTACACAGGATACCTCATTCGGGCAAGCACAAGGACCACGCGATGGAAATGATGGTCGTCGCTCTCCAGCTTGTCAGGACAGACAATGAAGACAACGCTTGCCTCTGCATGAAGATCTTGATTGATCTCCATCGCTCATACAAGGACATCTTGGCGCCTACGGTCGATCAATTCCTGTCGACTGTCAAGGAAATCTACGCAGGCATGACCGATGCCGTCCCAAGAGTCTTTGGCACCAATCCCGATGGCACCGGTGGCGAAGCCGTACCAGATGTGCTGCCTTCCAATGCGTCGAAAGACCTGGTTGCAAGTCATCCCAATATCATCCCGACTGGTATGACGAGCTTCAAGCTTCTGACCGAGTGTCCAATCGCAATCGTCTTCCTCTTCCAAACTTACCGCGATGTCGTCAGCCGAGAGATAGAAGTCTTTGTGCCCCTCATCTTTCAAGTTAGCTTTTGCGACCTGCGCTCATACAGAACTAAAGTTTTGCTGCAGTTCCTAAGCTTGCAACCTGCTCCTCAAGCTTACGCGCACGAGCAAGCTAAGCTCGCAGGTGACCTTCATATCGGGATCGCTGCAAACATGCAACGCAAGCGCGCAAGGTTTCAGGATCTCCTAGTAGCTCAAGTCAAGGTCAGCTATCACTGATAAGCAGATAGCCTGCAGCTGACTTATTCGGCTGTACAGACAATGTCATTCCTCGCATACGTCTTGCGCGTTGCGGACAAGACGCTCGAGCCGTACCGTGATCGGATCCCTGAGATTGCTATCAGGCTGCTCAAAGACTGCCCGCCTGACGCTTCTTCGAACCGCAAAGAGTTGCTAGTCGCAACGCGTCACATTCTGTCGACGGCTTTCAGGAGTGCATTCGTCAATTACATCGATGTCGTGCTAGATGAGCGAGTCCTTGTCGGAGCTGGCGTCACACCTCACGAGACTCTTCGGCCTCTCGCCTACAGCATGCTTGCTGATCTCATTCATCACGTCCGCATGGAGCTCAGTATCGGTCAACTCTCTCGGGTAGTGCAAGCCTACTCTTGCAGTCTTCATGACCCGACCTTAGCCCCTGCCATTCAGACGATGTGCTCCAAACTGCTGCTCAATCTCATCGAATCGATTCTCAAGAAAGATCGTGAAGAGGCGACGAAATTGCTCAGCTGTATGTTCGAAGCATTTGTCCGAAAGGTCGAGGGAATGGCAGAGGTGCGCAAGGAATGGACGCGGTGGGCTCGACCGAAGACTGCAAAAAAGGCCGAAGGCGAGGAAGTGGATGAGATCGATATCGAGCGCAGACGTCCTATCGCGCCTATGATCGTCATGACGGATCCTCAGCCTGATCCGGTCAAGGGCAAGCTCGCTTCTTACATTTTTCGCTCCAGGCTAATGCGTTTGCAGATGCTCGCTTTTTGTTCCGCAACCTGATCTTCGGCGTCAAGACTATCTTGACGGCGCTGAAGCACCTCGGCTCACCCCTGCCAGATGCGGATCAGATGGGTCGACTCTTCACAGGCTGTATACAGTGTCTGTCTATCTTCGATACGCGACGCGAGGCCGGGCGAGAGGCGAAGGATGTCACCGATGGCTTCTGTGCCATCTTCCTGATCACGGATCTCATTATCTTTCAGGAAGTCATAGACAAGCGCATGGCCTTCTTCCTCGACGAGCTGCTGCAGAATCACGAGCTGCTGGCTATTCCCCAAGCCTTCTTATCAAACGAAGCAGTCTCACAAGCCTTTGTTGGCATCTCATTCCGCTTCCTAGTCGCCCGCCTCGATGAGATCGGTAGCGCAGACAAAGAGAAGACAAGTGTCATGTTGCGACTCTTCAAGATGTCGTTCATGGCTATCACCATCTTTCCAGATGTCAATGAGATCGTTCTGCAGCCGCTCCTGGGTCACATCATCATGCAGTCGCTCAAGCTGGCGAGTAAAGCACCAGAGCCGACCAACTACTACTTTCTTCTGCGTGCACTCTTCCGCAGCATAGGCGGAGGTCGCTTTGAGCTGCTCTACAAAGAAGTCCTGCCGCTACTGCAAGCTCTGCTCGAGAATCTCAATGGGTTGCTAAATGCTGCCGAACGATCCAAGCGAGATCTCTTTGTCGAGCTTTGCTTGACAGTACCGGTCAGACTCAGCGTCTTGCTGCCGTATCTCAGCTTCCTGATGAAGCCCCTGGTATTGGCGCTTCAAGCCGGTCCCGAGCTTGTCAGTCAGGGCTTGCGAACACTCGAGCTTTGCGTCGATAACTTGACCCAAGAGTTCCTCAATCCGCTCATGGCGCCTGTCATCAACGACGTCATGGCTGCTCTGTGGAAGCTGTTGCGGCCTGTGCCGTTTAACCACCAGCATGCTCACACGACTGTGCGCATCCTCGGCAAGATCGGAGGGCGCAATCGACGCAATTTGGGACCCGTTAAACTCGAATGGCGTCCTGTCGGGCCAGAGGCGACGATCCCCGTGCACTTCGATGGTCAATTGCAGACAATCAGGCTAGCGCCTGTTGTCGATCTTGCACTCCGCATGATCAGACGGGGAGATATCCACTACAGGCGCAATTCGTATATGCTCTTCAAGCATGCGGTCGTCATCTTCCTGAAGGAGGTAAGCCCACATGCGTTGCGCTTGCGCATTAGCTGACAATGCCTATAGACTTTACCTTACGGCGAAAACGAAGACACCTTTGGCAATACTGTCCGAGGCTTGTTTGAGTCTGCTCGTGTCGACGAGTTCAGAGAAGAAGCGACCGAGTTTCTGATGCGCTTAGCTGAGTATATTTTCGCTCTCGAGCTACGACGAGAGCCGATCGACGGTTCGATTGGCCGACACGTCCTACCGCTCTCTTCGGCAATGATCGACGCAATGGCAGAGTCGCTCGCATCGGCAGAGTCCGAATATCTTCGCGAGACGGCTGCACACGTTCAGCGCATCGTTGAGGGGCTCATCGCTTTCAGGGATTCTGCAGATCCCCCGAAGCCTGCCTTCGTGCATGCAATCCTGAGACAACTAGCAGCTCGGCTTAGCTCGCTCTGCTACGACCAGTCTTGGCAGCGGAAGACTGGGGGTGCCACTGGTATCGCCATCTTGACGTCCAAGATGCAGCTTGGTCTCAACTGGATGCTCGATCATGAGCTCGAATTCGTTCGCGCATTGCTGTTCACGCTTAAAGACATGCCATCTGACCCGCCCGGTAATGTCGGTGAAGTCTCGCAAACATTGCTACACATTCTGGGCACATGTAATGCTCCGCCAAGCGCACAGATCGAGGCAGGCCCGGATCCAAGTAAAAGCGCAGACGCAATGCAAGTAGACAAGCCCAACAGCGCGAAGCTCGCTGCAGACTCTGCGCCTGCAGAAACTCCCAAGAAGAATCCCGCACTCGCTCAGCAGTCCAAAGTGCAGAAGCACAACTTCCTTATTGGCATGCTGATCATTGAGCTGTCAAGTCAAGTCGAGACAGTACGTGAAACAGCCAAGGCATCCCTCGAGATCTTATCAAAATCGACTGGAAAGACCGTCACGGAGATGCTTCGACCTGTGCGAGAGCGGCTGCTCGGACCGATCTTCAGCAAGCCGCTTCGCGCGCTAGCCTTCTCAATGCAAATTGGTCACATCGACGCAGTCAGCTACTGCATCACGCTGCGTCCGCCACTTATCGATCTCGAGGAGAACAAAGATCGCCCTGAGGCATCGATGGAGACACCCCTGCTCAGACTATTGACGGAGGCGCTTGGTATCGCAGACGCAGAAGACTCTGCTCTGACAGGGCGGGCAACGCAACACAAGAATGCAGCGCTTCTGACGACACTGCGCGTCGCTTGCGTGAAGCTTTTGTCAGCTGCAATGGCCACGCCTGAGTTTCTGTCTCCCAAATACAATGCGACAAGGATGAAGACGCTGGGCATATATTTCAAACTGCTCTACGTTCGCTCGCCAGATGTCGTCAACGCTGCCTATTGGGGCCTCAAGCAAGTACTCAATCAGCAAGGCAAGTTGCCAAAGGACCTGCTACAGGGAGGTCTACGCCCAGTTTTGACGAACTTGTCTGACCATAAGCGACTCACTGTGCCCGGTCTGCAAGGCTTGGCTCGTCTTCTTGAGCTGCTCACAAGCTACTTCAAGAAGGAAATCGGTCAGAAATTACTCGATCACTTCCGTGCGCTTGCGGAGCCCAACGCAATGACGACCGCCGCTTTGGCGCCTCAGAACGAGCATGGCGAGCTCCAGATAATGGCCGCGATAATCAACATTTTCCATCTATTGCCATATCCTGTCTCTGTCGACTTCTTGCAAGATGTCAGCACGCTCGTCGCCGATGTGGAGCTACATCTCCGCAAAGCTACAGCGAGCGTCTTCACTGAGCCATTAGCACGCTATCTCAACCTCTATCCTGCCGAGTCGACTGCATTCTACTTCGCTCGCATGAGTGAACAGCGATTCATGAGCAGCTTCCGCTTCGTCATGGCATCTGGTCATGTCGATGCCCTAGCGGAACGTATCAATGAGCAGCATATGGAGCTCTTCTCGCCAGCTTTCCGCGCGGAATCACTCGACTTGTCTACGCTGCACGCTGCACTACTCATCAAGCTATTCTGCGAGCACGATGCGTCGTGGATAGTCTCGCGTCCTGGCATAGTAGAGCTCCTCATTGGTAGATGGCAGTCGCCACAGCGTGCAGAGCGTCTGGGCGCACAGGGCATCTCACATATGTCGCAGTTGGCCGAAGATGCAGCGTTCTTGGACATCTTCCTCATATATCTCCGGCAAGCCGAGCACATCGACCTTCTTTTCCGTATGCTTGACGTATACACCTGGCGCTGCCCATCCGACCGCTTCGCACTGACTCGATTTTACTACGAGACAATCGCAAAGAGCACAGATATCGCGTTCAGAACACGCATACTCAGTCGCTTCCTGGACATATTTGCCGACAAGACGATGCCACAATCTCAGAAGACTGCTGCTTTGCGAGTGATCATCAATCCAATGCTCTATGTCGCCTTCTCCCGAGGTAACAGCGAGGCTGGCTTGGTCGACGCAGTGATCATCAATAGATTACATGCGACTATCTGGCAGCCAGGCTTAGAGCATCCTGGCGGCTCGCCCGGCGGCCCAGAGGAAGCTCTTCTCATTGAGCTGTTACACATGTCGACCCTGATCGTCCGACATCGATACTCGTCGATCGCCGAGAACAAGAAGGACGTCATCAAGTATGGCTGGAAACAGATCACAGTCGAGGATATCACGGTCAAGCAATCGGCGTATGCCCTCATCGCTCAGTTTCTGGCCGTTTACGAATCTCCAGCACGCATTGTTCTCGTCATCTGGAACCATCTTTTGCGGGCGCATCAACTCGAGGGTCGTGCTCTTGTCCGAGAGGCACTAGACGTGCTTGCTCCAGCGCTACCGTTCAGGTCGAATCCAGAAGAGGATCCACCTGGCTGGATCGCCTGCACTCGCCGTGTGCTCGCAGAAGAAGGTCACAGCAGTGTGCCTCAACTATCGCACATCTACAACCTGTTTGCGCGACACTGCGACCTCTTCTTCCCATATCGCGGTCTCTTTGTACCCAACATGGTCTCCTCATTGAGCAAGCTCGCCTTCGGACCACTCAGCACTGTCGAGACGCGCGTCCTGACTGTCGACGTCATTGATATGCTGCTGCAATGGGAACGACGTCGATTAGGCAAATCTGTGCGGCCTGAAGGCGCCGAGATGGAGTCTCTAAAGACGCCTACTTCTGATACGTCTGTGCCTAAGCGGGGTCGCGCAGGTTCTGTAGCTGCATCGAGCGCAGGCCTCGCGTCCGGCAATTCAAATGCGTACAGTATACCACTGCCGAACCGTGACACAATTATCAGCACGCTCATTCGCTTAGTGGCTTTTGCTTCAGAGCCGATTTCGCGGGGTGGTGTCGCCGCCCGAGCAATGAATCTACTCAAAGAGTTCCTTGGCGGTGGCATCTGGGACGACGTCAGCCCAAAGCTTGCCTGGTTCAGCCGGACACTTACGAATGCAGAGATCAATGAGCAGACTCTGAACACCCTCTGCAATACGATCGATGTTCTCTGCGTCGTCCAGTCTTTCCGGCCTGACGCTTGGGTGCTCGACAATCTCGGCACGATGATCAAGATCATCGAGAAAGTCACGTCAGCATCGGAGGTCAGATTGCACGTGTCCCTGCGACCGATCCTCGAACGGACCTTTGAGATCCTGCCTCAGCGTGACTCCAAAGGAGAGGATGAGAAGATGACGATGGGCAAGTCTATATATACGATTGGCGCCTTCCCGGCTGATGACATCTTGATCGCAGCGGACGCCATCACCGATGAGGATGATGATGTCGTTAGGTTTACTAAGTGGGCGACGATGACAATCAATGACGGTCTGCGCAGCCTTAGCAACATCCAAGGCACCATTGTCATTCTACAGGCATGGGTCAAGCACAAGCCTGAAGTTACCGACGAATTCCTCGGCCCTCTTATCCGCGTACTTACGCGCATGACGAAAGAGCACTTTGCTACTGCCAATACGCCCGCCTTTGAAGGCACTTCACGCATCTTGATGTCTACCCTCGAGATCCTCCGCAGACGGGTCTCGCATCTTGGTGAGCAGAGGCGCTGGCTGCTTTCGGCACTTGTGCAAATTGTCGAAAAGTCGCCAAGCACAGAAGTATGTCGATTCGTGCTCGAAATGATGTCAGTATGGATCAAAGAGCGCAAAGAAGCGTATCCGACTGTTCGCGAGAAAGCCGGCATCTTGTCAAAGATGATGACCTTCGAAAATCGACACGATGACGCGCTACTCAAAGACTTCTTGCAGCTTATTCTGGACATTTACACCGACCCAGCGCTCGCCCGGACTGAGCTTACTGTTAGGCTCGAGCAGGCATTCTTGCTCGGCTGTCGCAACAGGGACGCGACGATCCGCACGCGTTTCCTGGAAGTTTTCGACCGCTGCATCGATCGCTCGCTGTTCAGTCGATTGTACTACATCCTCGGAGTGCAGAATTGGGAGTCTATCGGCGAGACAAATTGGATTCACCAGGCGCTTGACCTTCTGCTCGGTGCGGTAGATGCGAAGCGCAAGCTGTTCGCTGGCCTTGCGCCAAGTCCGGTACCCAATCAAGCCTTCGTTGACGCGCTCGCTGAATACGAAGTCGGCGGTCTGGTCAATGCAGCGCGTAGACTGCTCTATGCGGACGCGACTACAACGCATGTCATGTGGATCTCGACGTTCAAAGCCGCTTGGCCTTGCATCACTCGTCGCGAGCAGACGGATATGACGCGCTTCATTATCTCTTTGCTGGGCAAAGAATGGCACACGAAGAATCGCGATCGTCGACCCAACGTCATCCAGACAATTTTGAGCAGCGCACAGGCGTGCTCACCGCCAGTGGCGCTGCCACCTCATCTTGTGCGCTACCTTGGCAAATCTTTCAATGCGTGGCATGTCGCTCTGGAGATCATGCAAGATGTCGTCGAGGACCCGCGCGAGGATGACGTAGTGCGCGACTGCACTTGCGACGCACTTGCGGAGCTCTATTCGGACCTGTCCGAGTACGACAATTTCTATGGTCTTTGGCGACGTCGATCGTATTATAACGAAACGAATGCTGCCATCTCATTTGAACAGCACGGCTTGTGGCAACAAGCACAGGTTCAGGTAACCCGAAGCTAGTATTGAGACCCTTGTCGCTGACGCACGTATGCAGTATGAGGCAGCCCAAGTCAAGGCACGGTCAGGCGCTATGCCATTCACAGAGTCGGAATATAACGTCTGGGAGGATCATTGGGTGCTCTGCGCACAGAAGCTTCAGCAGGTACGTCGACGACATTTGACCTTAGCCATGTCTCATGCGCAGCGGATCGCAGTGGGACATTTTGACCGACTTAGCAAAGCACGAAGGCAATGCTGACCTCTTCCTGGAGTGCGCATGGCGGCTGTCAGACTGGCAAAGCGATCGCGACTTTATTGAGCAGTCGATCGATAACATGGAGTCTCAGGCCACGCCTCGCCGACGAACATTTGAGGCTTACATGGCGTTGGTGAAGGTACAGGCTGGCATAGTCACGCCCGGCGAAGAAAAGAAGACCGATGCTCAGCGCTTGTGCGACGAGGGCATCCAGCTTGCACTTCGCAAATGGTACTATTTGCCAGACATTGTCTCTGAGGCACATCTGCCTTTGCTACATGTGTTTCAGCAATTTGTCGAGCTGCAAGAAGCATCTCTCATGTTCAACAGCCTATCGCAAACTACTGCACAGAATCTCGAAGCCAAATCGGCCGAAATCAAAGGCACTTTGCAGACGTGGCGCGAACGTCTGCCAAATCTTTGGGATGATGTCAATATCTGGAGTGATCTCGTGGCTTGGCGTCAGCACGTCTTCTCTGCAATCAACAAAGCTTATCTGCCACTCATCCCTGCGCTCACGAGCGCGAACGGCGGTGGCTCAGCAGCAAATTCACATGCATATCGCGGTTACCATGAGACAGCTTGGATTATCAACCGATTCGCTCATGTTGCTCGAAAGCATCATTTGCACGAAGTTTGCATCACTTCGCTCACAAAGATATATACACTGCCCAACATCGAAATCCAGGAGGCCTTCCTGAAGCTTCGAGAGCAAGCAAGGTGTCATTACCAAAGTCCCACGGAGCTCAACCAGGGCCTCGAAGTCATCAACAATACGAACCTCATGTACTTCGGCCCGGCGCAGAAAGCGGAGTTCTTCACGCTCAAGGGCATGTTCCTCGCACGACTTAACTTGCATGAGGAAGCAGCGCAAGTGTTCAATCAAGCGGTGGGTACAGATATGTCCTTCCCGAAAGCATGGGCAGAATGGGGCGAGTACCACGACAGAATGTTCAAAGACAATCCGAACGATCTCAACATGGCAGCCAACGCCGTGTCTTGCTACTTGCAGGCCGCCGGGCTCTACAAAAATGCTCGAGCTCGTAAGATACTTGTCAGAATACTTTGGCTGCTCAGTCTCGACGACAATAGCGGGACGGTGGCCAAAGCATTCGATCTCTACAAAGGCGACGTACCTGTATGGTACTGGATCACGTTCATACCGCAATTGCTCTCCTCGCTCTCGTATCGAGAAGCCCGATATGCTCGCATAATCTTAATGAAGATTGCCAAGACTTACCCACAAGCGCTGTTCTATCTGCTCAGAACAACTAATGAGGACCTCAGCGCAGTCAAGCGACAACAAATGGCAGCCAAGGCTCGCGAAGCTGCAAAGAAAGACGAAGAGGCGAAGATCTCGGCTGCTGCAGCTGCTACGAACGGCACGGGCACTGAGTCAGGCCCTATACCAGATGCAAGCAAAGCGACAACGCCTGCACCAGCTTTGCCGGTGCAAGCTGCTGCAGGCATTCCGACCTCGGTACCACCCGGCGTTGTACCAAACCAACCGATCGCGCCTCGTCAACCATGGGAGCATGTCGAGGAGATCATGTCCATCCTCAAGACTGCCTTCCCACTGCTTACGCTCACGATGGAGATGATTGGGGATCAAATTCAGCAGCGTTTTAAGCCGACGCCAGAGGAGGACATCTTCAGGCTAGTCAGCGCGCTTCTCAATGACGCTCTTCAACAATTCATCGCTCGAGCTGCATTTGTCGATGATGACGGCGCCCTACCTCAGCCGACCGTGCAGAACGTTGCCCGGTTCGCAGAGAATTTGCATCCCGGCCCGCTCAAGACGAACTTCGAGCGCGACTTTTTGGCTTCGAAGCCGAATTTGCAAAGCTATGTCGCACGATTGCAGAGATGGCGAGATCGATACGAGGTCGTACTCGATCGCAAAGCAAAACGTCACAATCTGGAAGTCTGCTCGCATTGGCTTGTCGAATTCCAATATCAGAAGTTTGACGAAATCGAAGTACCTGGACAGTACCTCAAGGTGACATGAAAGTTTCAGCTAACTGGATAATCGCTGATGTGCTCGAGCAGTACGAGGACAGCAATATGAATTTCGTCAGGATTGGACACTTCCAGTCCAAATTCGATGTCAGCAGACTTTCGGGCATCTGCACACGCCGCCTTACTATCGTCGGTCACGATAGTAGCTTGCACTCGTTCGCTATCCAGCTACCAGCTGCGCGACATTCGCGTCGCGAAGAGCGAATCATGCAGCTTTTCCGCATGCTCAATTCGTGCGTCCCACGCAGTCTCTTAAAGCAAGCGCTGATCAGCTCTGTTTGCAGACCATTGACACGTAGGAAAGAATCGAGGAAGCGTAATGCTTTGTTTACGGTCCCGATCGCTGTGCCACTCGCGCCTCACGTCCGCTTGCTCGAGAACGATGCGTCCATTGTCAGCTTGCAAGACATATACGAGAACTTTTGCCATGAACGTGGCATCGGCAAGGACGACCCTATCATTCATTACGCTGAGAAGCTCAGACGACTTGCACAAGCCCACGCTGCTGTTTCACGATCGACACCTCAGCGTCTGAACACAGCCGCGACGAAGCTCGAAGCGTACGAAGAAGTACGAACGAAGATGTTCCCCGACACGGTCTTGAAGAATGTAAGTCGCTGCTCTCGCATAAGCGAGCAGTAGGGTAACATCCTGAGACAGTACATGGCGCGATCAATGGTATCCGCGAGCGATCTCTGGCATCTCCGCAAGCGAATGACGCAGCAGCTGGCCAGCTTTATCTTTATGACCTATGTCTTCAGTATGGGATCTCGGCTACCTTCGCGCATCCTCTTCTCGCGAGTCAACGGTGGCTTGCACACTTCTGATATGCTGCCGAGTGAGCCCGCTTGCCCGTCTTCATGCAGTCCCGTCTGACCTAGCCGTGCAGCCTTATCGCCTCAAGCGCCCGAATTTGCCAATAACGAGGCTGTCCCATTCCGGTTCACGCCGAGCATTCAGAAGTTCATCACAGCGGTAGGTACAGAAGGCCTGCTGACCTCTTCTCTCATGGCAATCGCTGGGGCGCTTACGGAGGAAGAGGACGATCTCGAGCATCGGCTGTGCATCTTTGTGCGCGAAGAAGTCATTGCCTGGCACCACATGCAGCACAAGACCCTGCAAGACAAGCTCGTACGCGCAGCCACGGTGTCCAACGTCAAGAACATCGTTCGGCGCGCTCAATTGCTCAGTTGCAAGATCGATCGCGAGAATCAGCCGCTCGGCGTCGTGCCCGCGAACCAGACCATCCTCGAGCTGCTCAGCTACAGCGCGAATCCACAGCGACTCAGTGCTATGGATCCCATCTGGCTACCATGGCTGTAGACATTCCTTCTGTTGTACATTGCACGCGAAAAAGCAATCACGTGATTTGCTCCGCTGCGTCCAGACCACCAGAGACCATTGCAGCGGTGATCTCCTCTCCCGCACGCACTCACAACATGATACTTGTAGTCTGGCATTCTCAGCTACGACTGCGATCTGTGACGTCGGACGACCGTTTGCAAAGCACTCGCAACTTGCTCGGCCTCGGCTCGTGACGTAAGTTCAGCAGAGCTCGAGCAGATTGGGAGCATCTAGCGCAATGTTAGCATTAGCAGTCAAACAAATGTAGGCATGACGGTACGCTGGTAGTCTCTCGCTGCACAATCGCGCGAACAGGCAAGAGCTATACAGCAGAGGGTAGCGTTGGCGACTTCGGCTGAAGGAGTACGTCACTTTGGCCATCAAGCCTTGGCATGTGCACTGGGAATACATGCAGTACGATCCGGATGATCTCATGAACATGGAAATATCAGAACAATCTAGCCAGACTTGGCCACGTGCGACGAGCGGTTCGATATTGCCACCGGTACGCGCTCTCGACGAATCAACCCAGCGCCGCCAACAACCTTCTGGGAGCGCTGTTGCTTGCATCACAGATCGAAGACAGACTTGTATAGCGACATCGCCTGAGATCAGCATCATGACCTGGACGCTGCCACAATCCCCCTCGGTAGTTGATCAATCGCTGTCGTTCTCATCAGCGAGCACGACCCTGGACACCTCGACGAGTCTAAGCAAGCACGACCCTGGACACCTCGACGAGTCTAAGCAAGCCTATTGGACATGTTCCTTTGAGGCCCTTAGTGTGGGGCAGAGCAAGTCGCACCTCGATCTCTACTACGATCGTATGGTCCAGGCAGCTCAGGAGAATCTCGACAACCACTTGCGCAAGGCCAACAGGGTCGACAAGCAGCTCGAACACTTCAAGGGCGCCGTTCAGAAGATCGAAGAGATCTACGACGAGGCAGCTCTGCAGGTCAAGATCCGTGAAATCACTGTGACTGCTATCAAAGCAGCTCGTCCCGTTGCCCCAGAGGTTCACAAGGACGACTACCTCAAGGTTCTCATGGGCGACTGTCCTTCCATCTCGCCCATCTCAGCCGGCATAAAGCGTCCCCTTGGCGACCTGGACGACACAGGCTATGACGACATTTCCGAAATGTACAGTCCGCCCAAGCGTTTTGGCTTCGGCGGCGGAATCCTCTCACGTACGATGCAGGTCACTCCGCCAGCACATGGCTTCTCGGCTCATTACCTCGGTCCGCAGATGACGCCGGAAGAGTAGCAGCTGCAGCAGCACTACCACTTGCCTCGTCACTGTGGCAAGCCAACGCAAGTGCTCTCAATGATCTAGCGAGGGCGTCATCCTTGCTCGAATGCGCTCAGCCAAGGGCCCACAACAAGCTGAGCGAGTCAAAGCCTTTGTTCGGAGAGGGTCATGTCCCAATCATTGCACTTGACGGTCTTGAGCTGGCTTGGGCGCTTGAACTGGCCTTGGCTTGCGTCGCGTCGTTGCTTGAGCTGTGACGTGGGCCAATGATAACGTCCGAGATCTCTGGCCGGTGACAGCATAGCTTTGGCATAGCGAGGCAGAGTACGATCATGCAGACGTGTGCATAGTCATCTTGGTCGGTCGATATGGTCCTTGCCAGTAGAGGCTCATCCACCCAGCTGGTCTCTCACGGATCGACCAGCAACCTCGGCGAGGCAAAGTCGAGCAAGCAAGCACGGAGGCACAGTCATCCGATCAAGCGCAACACTTCCTCAGGCAGGCTAGCTGGTACAGGCAAGGCAGCCTTTGCATTCACTACGCTCGCCGACGATGCCCAAGCTCAGGAGGAGGCTCCGGCTATCGTGCCCAGGCGACACTCCAAGACCAATCTGCACGGCTTTGGCGAGACAAAGCGGCCAAAGCAAGCTCGCAAAGGCAGCAAGGGATCAAAGGGCTCTCGTGTCAGCTTGAACGAGCTAGCACACGAGGAGACAGGCAACACATCGCGAGATGAGGGATGGGAGAGCGCTACCGATGGACCCTCGCCCTCTGACCAACCTCTTGCTCGGGCTGCGCTACTACCGGACACAGACACAGACACAATAGACACCAGAAAGCTCATTGATGCCCCTATCGCAATAGCCTCACCGCCAAAGCCTTCCCCGAGACCGTCAAATGCGATGCCAGCAAGTGGCACGCCGCACAGGCATGCTGCAACGGCAGAAGCTGCGCGTGGTCAGGCGCACCTGGAATCCCGAGACTACTTTGATGATAAGCATTCGCCTATCCTGGCAGGCTCGCCCAGCCTCAAGCGGCTCTTGCCACAACAGATCAGGAAATTGTCCTCCTCTTCGACGATACGATCGTACAGATCAGACCATTCGACAGCGAGCAATTATGCTGCACCACGCATGTCTTCGAGCCTGCGAACAAAGTCTGCCGTGCGGCCCGTGCTCGATGTCAGTCAAGCCCAAGGCGACTTTCACGAGCCCTCGCGCGCCCAGTCAGACTCGCCTGCACGTGCTGTTGCCGGCCCGTCAAGTGTCCGCCAGCTAGAGACAACGCCCTTGAGACGAGCTTCACACAACAGACAGGCCTCAGCAGCATCCAATGTCTCGTCCGCACGAGCGGGCAATCAGTCCATGTCGGATCTAACCCATCGTTTGCGAAACGCAGCCGGCGCGAGCCCGAAGCGCGAGACGGCAGGTTTCGATCCGATCAGGCGAGCGTCAGGCTACTTTGGCAGCATCAAGAGCCTTGCCAATCTCGCCGGTGCTGCCATCGTCAGTACGACTTCGGTCTCGCCGCCCTCTGCCGCGCCCAGTCAGACCCGCCATCCTCTCACGTCTTCAGAGGGACCTCCCGCACGTCCAGCCCAAGTCACGTTCAGGACGCCAGCAGTCAAGACGCCGAATCACATTGTGTCAAAGTTTGTCAGCTCGGCTGACCCACCTCCGCCTACGCCGCTGTCAGAATCGCCGCGCGATATGGCCTCTGGATCACAGCGCGGCGTGCCGAGGAGCATGTCAGTTGCTTCGCTATCTCGCACTCAGCACAAGATGAATCTACAACGAGATGCGCCGCTTGGCATCACGATGCTCGCTGGCACGACGCACGGCAGTCGAAGTGATCTCGCCCTCTTGCCCCAGCTGCCATTCTCAAATTCGCCGCGCACATCACTCGGCCAGCCTGCTTGGCCTCATGGCTCGGAAGTACGTTTGGGCGAAGGCGTGCCTTCACCTGACGAGCATGGTCCTCCGCCCAAAGTCGGTCCTCTGAATGCACCAGCGGGCAAGTTGCAAGCACAGGCTGGATTGCAGAGATGGGCTCAGGCTATCGTGCGAGAGGCCGAGCGCATCGATCGCGAGCACGAGACGATCCGACGCTTTCGAGACCCGCTCCAAGAAAGCTTCACGCGCGTCCTCGCAAAGCGCCCAGAGATCGCCGCGGTCACGTCCAGCTCGAGTTCGAGCGTCTCGCGAGGTCGCATGTCGGACAGGTGACTGACTCGTCTCGCGTGTTGACCGAACATGCTCACACTCGCTGCGCAGGTCTTCTGGGGCCGGCAGCAGACCTGACTCGCTGCATCGATCTGCTACGACGGCATGAGCATCTGTGTATGTCTGTATGTACCCTAGTCCTTGCATTGCTCGCCATTGCTCGAATCCTGGAGTCGCGCATTTCGGTCTGTGATCGACGCCTGGACGCGCTTTGCTGCTAGCTGCACGCGCGAAGGGCTCACCGACAGAGATGTCGTATGCCTCGCCGTCGCCGTTTACGAGCGGACCCTCATCTCACCCGAGCGTTCAGCGTGCGCACTCGTCTTCCAGTCAAGTCCATCTGAGCGCGAAAGGTTATCGAGCTGCTTCCAGCCTCAAGGACGAATGGGAGGAGGACGCATGGAATGAGGGCTCAGACGACGAGGCAGACTATGCCAACGGACTCGAGCGAACTGCTGTGCCTCTGGACAGCTGGCAGCAGCCTCACCTCGGCGAGCCCGCAAGCACGTCTAGCTCCAAGAGCGAGCGATCCAGCTCGGTCGGCCCATCGCTGACCATCCCCTCGCTCAAAGGCAAAGGCCGTGCCCCCTCACCGCTATCCCCAGCGTCAGTCATAGCCTCAGATCTGTCGCGACCCATCTCTGCTTCGTCGTCAGAAAGCAAACCTGCCGCGAGCTGGTCCATTTGGGATTACTCGCCTCTCGGTCGACGGCAAGAGCCTCAACCCGCTCAGAGACGAGAATCTGGCTTGGGAAGCGACACGAGGCCCGATGATGGACTGCCTGCTGCCGGTGGCTCGGGCAGGTCCACGCCGACACTCGAGAACAGACGAGTCGCGAGCGCAGGCAAGCACGGCGCTCGTTCTTATTCCAATTCGTCTTCCTGGGTCACCGTGGACGCCATCAACAACCGGGGAGACGACATGGACGAGTCGCAACTACGGATGGTCGATGGGCCTAATATTGAAGGGCTCATGCTCAGCGATCCCACGCCGCTCTTGACGCGCAAAGAGATGGAAGACGCGATGAGACCCGACATTGACGACATACTTGCAGGTATGACCTGCGCAAAGATGCTTGCGCAGAAACTGATATTATTGCCAAGACCCAATGAACGCGCTCAAGAGATTGAGGGTGGATCGCAACGGCGAATTTGTGCGCCAAGCCGACCATTTAAATGCGCTCAGCTCGTCAGCTACCTCAAACGTTGCAGATCAGTCATACGATAGCAAAGACGACGACGACTCTGGTGATGGCGTGACTTTCTTCGAGAGCCCGGCGAATGCGCAGGAGAGGCGCGATCGCAAGAACAAGGAAAAGTTTGTGACTTGCCTGTCAGCGGAGAGCATCGACCTGAGTGAGTCTTATGACTGATAGCTGCAATTACGCTGATTCAGGCTGAGCAGCTCAACTGAGGAAATTAGCATGGTCTGGCGTGCCGGACGAGCTAAGGCCGGCCGTCTGGCAGCTCTTGCTGGTCAGTCTGCTGCATCGACGTTTTAGACAGACACTCATCGAGCAATGACAGGGCTACTTGCCAGGACCGGCTACACGTCGAGCTGCTGCACTATCACGGAAACGGCAAGAGTATGCTGAAGCCGTACGGCTGGCGTTCTCTCGCGGTGAGGCCAATCTCGATCCTGCGATATGGCATCAGATCCATATTGACGTACCTCGCACCAATCCCGGAGTGAGGTTATGGCAGTTCGAAGCAACTCAAAAGGTAATAGATTTTGTTGCATTCTTTGCATTCGGCACTCATACGATCGCAGGCTCTCGAGCGAATATTATACGTTTGGGCAATCAGGCATCCTGCCAGTGGCTATGTCCAAGGCATTAACGATCTCGTCACACCCTTTATGCAGGTCTTTATATCGAGCTATATCGATGCAGATCCGGAAAGCTACGATGTCTCTGTTCTGCCCGCACATGTCCTGTCAGCGCTCGAAGCCGATAGCTACTGGTGCCTGTCCAAACTGCTCGACGGTATACAAGACAACTATATATTTGCTCAGCCAGGTATCCAGCGCCAGGTCGCTCGACTGAAGGAGCTCTGCAAGCGCGTCGATGCTCCTCTGGCAGCTCATCTCGAGGAGCACAATGTCGAATTCATTCAATTCGCTTTCCGATGGATCAATTGCCTTCTCATGCGGGAGATGAAGGTTAAGAACATCATCAGGCTATGGGATACGTATCTGGTACGCTGCGTAGTCTGTAGCCAAATTTGACTGACGCCCCAACGGACACACAGGCGGAAGGGACTGACGCGTTCTCCGATTTCCACCTTTACGTCTGCCTCGCGTTCCTCGTCAAATGGAGTGACAAGCTACGGTCGCTCGACTTTCAGGCACGCAGCCTCTCCGTCGTGGTTCATACAAAGAGCTGACACGAGCGCGCAGGGCATCATCATGTTCTTGCAGTCGCTGCCATCGACGCAGACCTGGACTGATACCACCATCAGACTCTTGCTCAGCGAAGCCTTTGTCTTCTCTGCCCTGTTCAGTGGCGCTCAAGGTCACTTTGAGCGCAAGTAATGCATGTCACCTCATAGCGCACTGCTGCGCACGTTGCCGCCAATCAAGTCGCGCCAAATTTTTTCGTTCGTTGCTCGCTACCAACAAGTGTTGGTGAGATCTGACCTGATTAGCTCTGCTCGTTGATCATCATCCAACTCATGGGAAGATACTACTCCTCTGACCGATACGCTGCTCATGATCAAGCTGCGGGGTACGTCACGTCTGCGCCTACCGACAGATGTTTTCTCTGGATCGGCGCTGAGATGTCAACATGGGACAAACAGAGTGAATGCTCGCTTCAGCCTGATCCTGCCGTCAGGATACGACCTCTGCTGCGTCGAAGAGCCGCCATAAGTTGACTCCCGTGGCAATCTAGATCATCTTGGCCGACCTTGTGACTCGTACATGGCTGGCACCGCTTCTCGGTTCAGCCTGTGAGCAACAGCAGATCTGTCTGCTCAGCTGTTTGGATACTCTTATTCGAACAAGTATCGCTACAATGGTGGCCATGACGCTGAAGCCCAGGCCAGCGCCTTCGCCATCGATCAGCAGACAAGATCACGCCAGCTTGACTACGCCAGTCGAGCCCAACATCACACGAACAGGCAGCTTTGGTCTCAGGTCAGACAAGCCGAGATCTGCTCTTGGGCTCATGCGCCGCATGACCGGCACTGCATCCCCCTCGCCCAGCACACCTACGCTCGACAAGGGCGAAGCGACCTTTGCGCCACTGCCTCGTCGTTCGCGTTCGATTGGCCCTCTTGACTCGATGAGCAGCAGTGTTGCCTCTGCTCTGCCTACGCTCGATGTCAGCGACTCGCTCGGTGGCAAGCGCAGCTTGTCCCTGACACGCCTCGGTCGATCCACTAGCGACGAACGTAAGTCGCGCTCCCATGGCTTCAGCGGCCTGTCTCCTGTCAACAGTCGCGACGGAGCGTCACCTCACCACGTTGATATGCGTCCAGCCGAGCCTGTAGCTGCGACTGCTATGCAGGAATCCTATGTCTCCAAAGTCGCTCAGCGTCTGTCGGATGCAATCAACAAAGTCTTTCCCGCAGCGCCGGCTTCCCTCGGCGTCTCCGTCATTTCATCGACACCTGCCCAGTCGGCGTCAGCACACACTTCTGGGCCATCGGTCACGCTCAACAATGAGCCTGTCATTGTCTGGCGAGGCCGTACCGCGCCGCTATACGCTCGAGCGAAAGCCGTCGGTGATCTTATCGCTAGGTACGTGCGCAAATGTCTTCTCCGTTCGCATGCTAATAGACAGCTTGCGCTACAGCGAGCTCAATGATGCCATGCACGATCAATACCTGCTGCGCTCTTTACTTCGATCTGCCGTCCTGAAGACGCTCGCAATCTACCTTTCGCGCCTCGAATCGATCGTCATTTTGCCTTCCGCCGATCCAGGAGGCATTCTCTACGTGGCAAAGACGGTCAAAGAAGCCGATGCGGCACCCTTAGCTCAGCGCTTCGACTTTGAGATTGTTCGTTGCGCCTGGGTAATCAGCGCGAGTCTAGATTCTGTCACGCGAGACAAAGCCGGCATGCAGGTACCGTCATTTCTGTCCGACACGCTGAAGCCCTGGAAGCAAAAGCTGGACGGTCTCATCAATCGCATCATGACGCCGTTTGTCGTCGAGCTCAAGGCACACGGCGCTGCCATCGTCGGTCGAGCTTGTCTCGAAGATCATACTTCGTCTGCTTCGCCACCCGCATCTGTGCCCGGATCGCCCGCTATGTCGCCGTCTGCAGCAGCTGCAAATTCGCAGTTTCGTCTGCCCGCGCTATCGCGCACAAGCACGCCTACGCCAAGCATCACTAGTGTGACCAATGGTCACACCACAGCTTTGCCTGCGTATCTGCGCGAGTTGTCCGCCTTCTTGGAGGCCGTCAACCGCACCTTCGACCGGCTAGCGCTGGGAGACGGCGCTACTCGCTGGCTGGTCACGCTCTCCAGTCATCTCATCTGGAAATTCATGCTGAATGCTTCAGCACGTCCAATCGGCAATGTGATCAATTCGCATGCGTTCGAGGATGCAATCGAGAATGCACACATCAAGCGGTCAATGCCTGGCAAAGCGTTGCTAGCTCGCAGCAGTTACCACATGCCTACGCTTGCCTCGCACGGTATGTCCTCTGTGTCTGGCAAGCCGCGATTGTCGCCACCTCTCGAGCATCAGAAGCCTGACGCTATCTTGTCGCCCGAAGCTGCTTCTAGTGCTGTCGTCGTTGCTGAGACAGAAAGCTTCCAGCAGCTCATGACCGCATTCGCGTCCCGAGTGCTGTACCCGGATGCTCATCGATCTTGCTGTCATCAGCACAGGAGCAGACTACTCAGACGAAAGCGACCTCAGAATGCAGTGCTTGACGTCAATGGCGAGGGGGCTATTCCTTTGACCGACCGTTCACCACCTCGCTCAGAGGATGGATGTCCACCGTTTTCGGTCTGTGACAGCTTAGACGATATCATCACTGCCGCAAACCAAGATGATATACATAACGATCTCGCAAAAGAAGCCATGTACGAGGCTCTCATCGCGCTCGCAGCTACACTTGTCATCTTTCGCCTCCGATCGAAGCCAGATCTACTCAAGAAGGGCCTCCAGCTCGTTGCGCCACCAGTCACAGCTAGCGTAGCTGCTGAGCCACTCACGCCTGCAAAGCTACTCAGCGAGACCGACGCGTTACAGTCAGTCAAGCCCGATGAGATCTGCCGGCACATCAAGGAAGCATTAGAGCGAGCACCGTCGCTCATCTTGCTCCATGCGCTGGCAGCGATGATCTTGACGAAGCCTACCGAGACTGCGACAGCCGAGCTGGAGCCTGTTGAGCTCTTCAGGCTGCCTCACGAGCTCTGGAAGATCTCGTGGGCAGACTACGTCAAGATGCAGAAAGGGTTTGCGACTGCAGAGGAATGGGAGTCAGAGATCAGCTGGGAGATGGACTCCGAAGTCAAGCGATTGACGCTCATCCGACCGAGGCTCGAGAGCCACTCTTACTGGAATGGCATGTCTGTATGGCTTGAACTGCTCAGTCTGGCTGTCTTGACTGTCTGATAGAATGCATCCCTTCTTTCGTCCGTCGTCATTGCCCTTTGCTAGCTCCAGACGCGCTCTCTCTCTCGGCTCGGCTTCAGTCGGCAATCACTCACTTTTGTGCACGCACACCACACGCACCCCGCTCACAAAGATGTCCAAAGAAGCGGGCCTGGACATGGCTCGAGAGAAGGAGGAGGCTGCCGCTCGATCATCAGGCGTCAAATCCTTCCTGAGCGGCGGCTTTGGCGGTGTCTGCTGTGTCTTGACGGGTCAGCACATCCAAAAGACCTCGTCTTCGTCATCTGACATGCGAGCTCTGCGACAGGCCAGCCGTTTGATCTCACAAAGGTCAGGCTACAGACTGCTCCGCCTGGGACCTACAACGGCGCTCTGGACGTCGTGAGAAAGACGTACAAAGCAGATGGCGTAAAAGGGCAAGCTCGAGCTCTTTTCACGGCGTCACCCGCTGCGTGCTCACTGTGGGGATGTGAACAGCTTCTTCAAGGGCATGGGATCACCTCTTGTCGGCGTCACGCCCATGTTCGCAGTCTCCTTCTGGGTCGGCTCCTCCTTGCATCAAAGCGAGGCCAGATGGGCTTATTGGGCAGGACGATAGGGCTACGGCATGGGCAAGAAGCTCGTCTATTCCTTCACACCAGACCGCAGCTCGCCCATCTTGAGCAACGGAGAGCTAGCAGCAGCGGGCTTCTTCTCTGCCCTACCCACAACGCTCGTCGCTGCACCCGTCGAGCGCGTCAAAGTCGTGTTGCAAACGCAAGGCGATAATCCAAAGTACAAGGGACCGATAGACGTTGTCGGTAAGCTGTACAAAGAGGGAGGAATCAGGTCGCTCTTCCGTGGCACGCTGGCGACCGTTGCTCGCGATGGACCGGGCTCAGCAGCGTCGGTGACAGTTGCTCCTCAGCTTACCTGGCTGAGGCAGTCTGCTTTTGTCGACAGGTATTTTGTGACCTACGAAGGGGTCAAAGCAGCCATGACGCCGCCCGGACAATCTCCCAACGATCTCAACTTTGGATCCATCATCACCGCAGGAGGACTTGCGGGAATGGCAATGTGGTCGTTCGCTATCCCACCAGACGTGCGTCATTCTGAGCCTACTTCTTAAGGCATCTGAAGCTCATACACGCGTGCAGGTGATCAAATCACGGCTACAAAGCTCGCCAGAAGGCACCTACAAGGGTTTCATCGACTGCGCGACAAAGACGATCGCAGCAGATGGTCCCAAGGCGCTCTTCCGTGGCTTCTGGCCAGCCATGGCCCGAGTGAGTATTTACATCTATCGCCAGCCAAAGCAGGCTGACGTTCAACGACAGGCATTCCCCGCAAATGCTGCCACCTTTGTGGGCGTAGAGGTTGCAATGAACGCAATGAACAAGGTGTTCTAATGCATGTCATTTCAATCGTTTCTCTATCATCATCCGTCTAGGCTTTCTTCTCGAACACATACAGATCTGTGCGGTACGGGAACGCAAAGTGGCCCTGATCGTCGAGTGCCTTCTTGTCTGTCGCTTCTGCTAATATCTTGCGCAGATTCTTCTCGACTTGTTGCTGATCGCTCTCCGACAAGTCTGTGATGAATGATTTGCTCAACGCTCGGTCCACGACGCCGTCAACCGTTGTGGGAATCTCACGCCGATATGTAAAGTGCTGGGATTGAACAAAGTGCTGGCTGTAGCTTGGCTCGTTGTAGATCTGCTTCCACCATGCCAATCGATATTGGGGCGTTCCCTTTTCGTGCTGCTCGTACGCGTCCCTGATCTTGGCCACCCACTGCGCAGCCTCTCTGTCTTCGAGATTCCAGATCATACACCACAGTCCTCCAGGTCTGAGCACTCTCGCAATCTCCTTGATGGAAGCATCGTAGTGAGGATGAGCCCAGTGAAACGCCTGAGCGATCACCACCGCGTCCGCCGAGCTGTCCTCTGCCGGGATCTCGGTGAAGCTGCCATCTTTAATGCTGAGCTCGATGCCCTGAGGTGCGTGGGTGTTGCGTTCGAAGTCTTGCCGCATGCCCTCTGCAGGCTCGACGGCCAGGATGGAGCCAATGTGACCCGATGCAGTCAGTCCGACTTCGTTGGGCGGATGGAGGAGCATGCGCGTGAAGATGCCCGTGCCAGGTCCTAGCTCGATGCTGTACCCCACCAAGCTGCCTCAGTCTCGGAATACTGAGGCTAGATTGTGACTTACAGAGATGCATGCTTGCGTCCTGCGAGCAGCTTGAAGATCTCCCCGATGGCTTCGATGGGGTAGCTTGGCCGTGCGCGGTCGTACAGACCCGACTTGCCAGAGGCTGAGAAGGCCGACTTGGCCAGTGCATGGACGACCATGAGGGCTTGTCCAGCCCAAGAATGAGAGTAGAGGCAGGGTCAGACTTGACTCGAGGTGCACAGTCCTTTGCCGCGTGGCAATGCCAAAATTAGAGAGTGCTGCTGATGTCCTCTGCCTCTCCGAGCCTGACTCTCTGCTGGACCATATCATCTCTGTAGCCATGCTCTCCGTCCCCTCGCAGACCAGCAGCTCGCGACCAAGACGAGCATGCGAGCAATCACCATCGTCGCGTTCGCCTCCATCCTCCTCTCTGTCCTTGCACAACGAGGTACGGGACCGCCTTCAGCTCAAGATGAACAATGAGCTCAAACAGATGTCTTCGTGTACAGGCGGAGTCGGAGTCGGCCAGCTGATCCAATCGTGGCTCGGCCGCGATAACAAGCTCGCAACGCGCCCCAAATCAGTCGTCAGCGCCCTCCTCACTGCACCGGCGCCCAGACCAGCTTCACTCACCTCCCTTGCATCTGTACAACAACCTTCTCGCGGGCCTGCACAAAGTGATGACAATTCGGGCGCCGTGTCGGCTCGAGTGCCTGTTGGCAAACAAGCCTCTCCGGTCAAAAGCGTGAAGGCGACGAGACCGGATAGGCTCGCTGCTAAGGATCCAGCACGACTTGCTTCGAAAACATCCCCACAGCCTGCAGCGAGCGTATCTTCTTCGGATGGCGATGCAGATGACGATGCTCCGCTCACGCCACAAGATCGCGCGCTTGCACGCGCTGTCGAAGCATACTCGGACGGCCAATCTGTACGTCTTACTCTGATATCAAACGCGGAATATTGAGCATGCACAAGCAGGGTTCGGCACGTCAGCTTGCAAGAGTCCTGAAGCAGCAGGTGCTCGCAGCCTCGAAAGACTCGGTCGGCAAATCTCGAGCTCTGCAAGATGCAGGCGTGGTCCAGGACGAGATCAAGAAGCGCTACAGAATCGCGGCATCGTATATCGGTCAGGGGCTCCAGGCTGGCATGTCATCGTTCGGCAGTCAGCAGATCAGAACGCTCGCGGATGCTGTCAGAGCAGCTGCGTAGAATTGCAATCACTCTAGGCCCTCGCGCCACCAGTCAGACTTGGAGCCTCCTGATGGCTTGCGCGAGTCTGAATGCGTCCTCTTGCGCGGCTCTGTCTGACCCTTCTGCTGGGTTGCCGCATCTCGCTTGATCTGCTTCAGCGTGCCCGCTATGGCCAGCGTCGGCCGCGGTGAATTATCGGCAATAGGCGCAGGACGCTGGCCTTTCCTCACGGCCGCTTCCCAATCGTCCTTGAAGTGACGGTAGACAGCCATCGTCGCCCTCGCGTCATCTATCGAAGAATGCTCGCCTGCTTGTATATCGATACCGAGAAAGAGTTTCGCGATCTTTTTGAGTGCAGGTCGCTTGGTCTTTGCTAGGTCATGTATGGGCGCATGCCGAGCTGTATCACGTATGGCATGACTAGGATGTTTGAGCATGAGAGCCTATGAGGGCTGTTGTCAGTCGCTTGCTGAGAGCACGACAGAGCGGGCGCACCTGGGTGTCGTTATGTATTGCGTGACCGACGAGGATCTTGCCTTCGATGATATCTGCAACTTTGCGGGCTACTTCCTCGAATGTCGGCGCTGCCTAACTCATGAGGGAGCGCAAAACCAAATAATGGAAATGCGTACCGTCTCGCAGGTCTTGCTCTCTGACGCCAGAGACGAAGGTCCTATAGTCAGTCACTGCTTCCTGAATGCAAAAGGATCAGCTGCTCTTCTCTTGCATGGTATCGGAGCATACCTTTGGCCGCACAAACGTGTCGTAGACAAGAACGCCAAAGTAGTTGACAATGGACACGCGTGCGAGCATCGACTCCTCTGCATCTGGTCCTACGCCCACAAACTCGCAATCGAGTGCTACGTATTCGCCCGGTCTGTGCAAGCATGAGCTGCGTTCATCGCGGCATGGAGAGCGACTGACTTTGCCTTGCGGCCCGTGGGCAGGCTGGGAGTCCCCAAGAGTTCGTCGAGCGTGGCTTTGCGTTTCCCTTTGAGATCCTCAACGGGCGCAACGATCTTGTCAGGCTGAGTCACAAGATCTTGCGCTAATTGTCTGTCGCGATCGTTCCTCAGATCGTCTGCGAACCACATCTCGCTCTGCAGAGGAGCGCTCGAGATGGACTCTGCGATTTTGAGCGTGCTCTGTTCTGCGCCATGCTCGCGATGTACTGTCTTGAGTGGAGGACGATGATGCGAAGAAGGAGAAGAAGAAGAAGAAGAAGGAGGAGGTGAGCTGTCCTTCCGACGACGCTTGGTAGGCCGTTCGACTGGGATCTTTGCCGGACTGGAGCTCTGTCGAGTTTGCTTGAGTTTCTGCAAGCCAGACAGCCGGCGCTTGTGAGCTGGTGATGAAGACAGCGGTCCCCTTGTGACCTTACCTCTTGCAGCTCTCTCCAGTTGGAAGACGGCGCTCGCTGGACAGTGGTCGTGCTCGTCATGGGTCGACTCGAGACCTTGCGACGGCGCCAGAAGAAATTGTTCAGACGACAACGTCAAGAGGTCCCTCAGCCGTCGTGGTCATGCTCTTTCTCATCGGCTTGGGTCTCGCGGACGAGAAGGACATCACCGTCAAAGGTCTCGAAGCTATTCGTGGCTCAAAGCGAGTCTACCTCGAGGCCTACACCTCAATTCTAGGCGTCGACCAGGCCAAACTCGTCAGTCACTCGCACTCGCCTGCATAGCCGTCCGAGCTCATGCGGCAGGCAGGAAGCATTCTACGGCAAGCCCCTCATCCTGGCGGACCGTGACATGGTCGAGACAGAGAGTGATGCGATACTCGACGGTGCAGACAAGGATGATGTCTCCTTTCTCGTCGTGGGCGATCCCTTCGGGCGAGTCAGGCCTCGTCATGAGACAGACGATCAGCAGTGCTGATACAGCGCTGGCATGAGTAGGGCGACGACTCATACAGACTTGCATCTCAGAGCGACAGCATTGGGCATCACCACGCGCGTCATTCACAATGCCTCCATCATGAACGCAGTCGGCGCATGCGGACTGGCGCTCTACAACTTTGGCCAGACAGTCAGTATACCGTTCTTCACAGACTCCTGGCGACCGTCGAGCTGGTTTGACCGCATACACGAGAACAACAAGCTTGGGTTGCATACGCTCTGCTTACTCGATATAAAGGTCAAAGAGCAAAGCGAGGAGAATCTTGCAAGGTCAGCAGAACAAGCCGTGCTGGGCTTCCAGTGTGCTCGTGCTCACATCGCTTCCTCTCGGCAGGGGCCGAAAGATATTCGAGCCGGCGCGGTACATGTCTGTGCCCACCGCTGTCGAGCAAATCTTGTCGCTTCTTCGGGCAGCGCCCACAGACGGCAGCAAAGCAGCACTCGACCCAGCAGAAACGCTGGCCATCTCTGTCTCTCGCGTCGGTGCAGAAGATCAGACATTCGTCGCGGGTACACTCGCTGAGCTCGCACAAGCGGATCAAGGCGTCTTCGGCGCGCCTCTACACAGTCTCGTCATCGTCGGACGACGGTTCCATCATCTCGAGAGAGACTTTGCCGCGGGATGGGCATTAGATCAGGAGCGCTGGCGCTCGACAGCCGATTCGGTCTACCACTGCAGGAGCTAGCAGAACCAGTCTGTGGAACATTGACCTGTCAGTAGCAATCGATTGCAAGTAAAGCCTCGTTGTTGTACTCTCGTTGCCGATCGCAGAGGCGTTGCAGATCAGAGGTCGTTCCAGGCTACGTTGGTTGCCGAACAGTCTAGATCTTGAATAGAAACTTGAAATTACCGGCGATCCAAGAGTGAAGAGTATCTCGCCCAAGATCGACGTCAATCGGTCCCAGTAGACGGAGGGGATACTCAAGCAGAGTCAGGTGCACTCGGGAGGCAGAAGTGAACCTTGCAGATCCGTGGGATTTCTGCCTTGTGCTTGCGCGTCGTCGGCGGAGCTCACGGAGTCACCGCCGACGGTGAAGTCCACGGCGATAACGCAAACGATGAACACGAAGCAGCAGACCGACTCGAACTCGTTGAGCGCGCCCAGTCCGTCGGGGAACAACTACTACAACCAGTCTACACCCGTCAGAGGGAGATCTGTCCTGCCGCCTCTTCAGAACCTCGTCCCCGTTAGAGAGGGCCAGTCTCAGGGTCAACAGAGCCAGCAGCCTCCCCAGCTGCGCCACTTGCTCTTTACAGATCCTGTCAAGCCTCGCACAGACGACGCGAGGATGCAGTCGCAGCTGCCGCCGATGCTCTCGGGCCAGTCTAGGCAGTATGCACCCGCAAATTATTATGTTGCAGGCCAATACCAGCAGCCACCTGCTCAGCAACGACACGTGCACGAACGCGACGAATCTGGCGACGACGATTCTGGTGAGAGTGATTCGCCAGAAGGCTCTCATAGCCAACATCGCTCCAACAAGTCGAGGCGTATCCAGTCCGAGTCTGTCTCTGGTCACGGCGGCTATGAAGGCTCAGGCTCGCCTCGTCAGACCGACGAACCGAAGAAACGCAAGCGCAACCGTCAGGCACTGAGCTGCTCAGAGTGCAAGCGACGCAAGATAAAGTGTGATCGCAAGATCCCTTGCGAAGCTTGCATAAGACGGAAAGAGCCAGAACTGTGTCGATGGGAGGACGCGAAGAAAGTACTAGCACCCCAGCCATTCGCGACGACGACAGATCTTGACGCGCTGAGAGCAAAGGTCAACACGGTCGAGCATGATCTCGTCAGCTTACGCGAGATCGTCTATCGCGCTCATGCCAACCCATCGTCACTCATGACTGACCCTCCGCGTGTGGCCGTCGGACTCGACTTTCCTCAGCCTCGCCGCTCCTCGCCTAAGCCTGCCGTCACGATGACGGTGCCTCGTGCGCAGGATATGGACAGCGACACTGAAGACGCTGCGCTCGTTCTTGAAGAGCTTGCGCTCGGTCATAGGCGGAATCAATTCGACCTCACCTCTCGCCAGAAAGGAACAAAGAGCCTCTACATCGGTGATCCGACAACGGAAGAGAAGCCGCGCATCAAGCGTTTCATGTTGCAAGATATTGGGCCCGAGGACAAGCAGCCTTCTCAGAATCAAGTCGGTCTCTCGCCGACGAGTGCGCTCTCCAAGTTTGCAGATCCGGTCTATCGCAACAGTGTCATCCTTTCGACTGTCTTGGAAGTCTTGCCTGCTCGTCCTGCAGCCGATGCGCTTATCGCTCTCTACTTTGACGAGGTCCATCGTGTGACCGCTGCCGTGCACAGGCCAAGCTTCATGTCTGACTATGCGTCTTTCTGGGTCATGCTGGACAAGGGGCGTCCGCAGGATGTGAGCTACAGCTGGCTCGGACTGTACTGCGCAGTTCTCTGCAATGCTGCCTGCACGGTCGACTGCTACAAAGATACAGGCAAACGAACGAATGCGTATCTCGATGGCTTCTCTCGCGAGGATCTCATCGCGCTGCCCCGCGTATGGCATGATGCTTCACTCACTTGCCTCAGTCTGGCCGAGTGCATGCGGTTCCCTCAGATCAGAGTGCTGCAGGCCGTCATCGTATTGTCTGTCTACTTCAGCTTCTCAGGTCAGAAGCAGGCAGGTCACATCTGGACGGTGACTTGCATCAAGATTGCTCAGCTACTCGGCCTGCACCGGCTGGGGTCCGACGAGACGAAGATGCCCGCAGATGATCCGGCATGGCCGCCGGGCTCGAGCTCGCTCAAGCGCGAAATGGCCAAGCGGATCTGGTGGATCATCGTCTCGATGGACTTTCATAACAACGACAAGATGGGCTTGTCAGATCCTGTGCTGCGCGCTGGCGATTACGATACCGCTCAGCCGTTTAACCTGGTACGCTCGTCTGCTGCTCTCGTGCGATGGATACTGAAAGCCATGTGTCAGAATGACGACGATCTGGGCTTGCATGTTCAGGTAACGCCCCGACCGGTCACTGAGATCACTGATGTCTCGCTCGATATTGTACGCCTTTTGCGGAATGACAGAGCTGCACTGGCTGACGCTCGCGTGCAGTTCAAGATGCGCATGGCCGAGCATCACCGTCATGTCATCGCCGAATTCCGTGGGCCCAATGCAGTCAAGTACGAGAACGTTATGGAGATTGACAGGCTCTATCGAGCAAGGTAAGCACACAATCGTCATGTGCGGTCAGCGCTAATGCAGCAAGACAGCTTGGCCGAGAAAGGACCACAAGTCGCAGCCGAGGCGGATGATGAAGGCCTTGATCTTAAGATGACCTGGCTGGTCAACATGTTGCGATCCGGCATACAGAATCGATTGATGCGCTTGCACCGCCCATACATGGTCAAAGGGTTTCGTGACATCCGCTACGCTCATTCGACTCAAGTATCTGTCTCTTGCGCGCGCACAATCCTGCGCTGTCATCGCGTCTTGCACGCTACGAACGCGCCAATCATGCGTTTCTGGTGGCTCTTCTTCCACTCCATTGGTGCATCAGTCGTGCTCTATCTCAATGTCTTCAACATGATCAAGACCAATCACTCGGAGCAAGAGATTGCCGAGCAGCTAGCCGAGCTTGGTGGTGCCCTTGACACCTTTCGCTTCGGTACAACCTCTTGCTTCAACTTGGTCCGCACTGTCGCCAGCGGTGGCATGCTAGCCCTGAGTTCCCTACGTGTACGCTCTACTCTCAATGAGGCCGATGTCCGCTGACTCAGTGCTACAGGATGAGGCGGACAAGCTGCTCGCAGACCGGCGTACCTCAGGTCGAGTGGCGAAGCGTAAGAGCAAGGCAGATGACAACTCTGGCGACGGCTTTGCGAGTACCTTGAAGCGAGCTGCAGCAGCGGCTCACACGGCCCAGGCATTCCCAGCTTCGCCTCATTCCACGTCACCTTCGACGGGCAACGACCCGATCGTTAGTCCGAGTCTGTCAAACACGAGCCATCCTTCACATCGTGCAAGTCTCGGCTACTCGGATGTCACGACTCCGGACAGCGGGGTAATGCCGGACCTGGGCAGCGATGCGACGGCGCTTCTGACTTCGATGGGCTTGCTCGGCGGTAACACTCAAAGCAAGGCCGGCGCTGACTCGAACGGGGCAATGCTGCCGCCGTCTGATAACAACTCCTTCGGTCCTCTCGACATTCCTTTCGAGCCTTACTTTGGTCAACCTGGCTTGCAATACACTGCCCCGGGCGCAGTCTCACTGCCGGAGATGCCAGGGGCTGAGGGCTTCGATCTCAATCTATGGACCAATTCTTACTCACTACAGGGTACCGGCTTCTAGTCGTGCTTATATGTATGCAAAACTGCACAACGAGCGGCTGCTATATGAGAGATCGTCGTCGTATTCCAACGTGACTTGCAAAGAAAGTACGGCAGCCTGCAGACTCTTTGATATCAGAGTCAGATTTTCGCTCAGAATGAAGTCTCGTCATATATTGACAGACCGGTAGAGCCTTGAGTCTCCAGCAGAGCTTTGTGCTCATGTATGAAGTATTGACATCACAAGTTAGTAGGCAATATGTGCAGGCTCCTCAGGGCATCGACGTGTCGAGACTTGGCGCCAATTTCGATGCGACGTTTGTCGCATTCATAGCCTCGGAGGACAAGAAAGCGTAATATGATTGAATCAAAACAAGGCCGAGTAACATTGAGCGGGACGATATAGCTTGGATGCGGCTGCTGGGGTGTGCATAGGAAGTTTGTCAGACTGACTGGTCGGGCGGCTAATATGTTGTCACATGAATTCGTGCAGTGGTCCCTCTACCGCTCACTCTCACGTGATCAACACGCGCTGCATACCAAACAGAACAGTCTGACCGAGTGTTTGCAAAGTCTGGCAATCGTAGGCCTACGTAGACAGCGTAAGGTGAAGACACACGGTTGCCTGCTGTATTCGTGGGACCATACAGTACCGCCCAAGCGCGATGGCGCACACAACAAGCAGAATTTATCGGCCGTCCAACTTGTCGCATGCAATGACACTGGACGACAGCGTAGATAGTCACTTCTCGACGCCTTCCAAGGCAGGCTCGCAGTACCGTTCGAGCAAAGTATCAGGCCCCTCGCCCTCGAGGCAGCCCCAAGGAGAGCTGCATCAGCGGTCTGCAAGCGAGGGGTCAGACAGCCTCTCAGGCGGCGAATCGCAAAGCGAGACAGGGCGGCAACTATCTGGGTACTCACGTCGCGGGAACGACTATCGAAGTGCATCGTCAGGCAGCCATAGCCGCTCAGACAGCTTCACAGATCGATCTGACAGTGAACAGGAGCAAACAGACACGCTCGACCGTCGTGCACGCATCGTCTCTGGATCTGACTCGTCGGATGGCTCACACGCTAGGCACCACTCTCGCGACTCGCTCTCGGGATCAGAGATCGAGCTCATGATGTCAGACGATGATCATCTTGCGCGCAAGCTCCAGCAAAGTATAGGCAGGGGCAACATCACAACTTCTACACCCGGCCGACCAATCCGACGCGGCACAGCGAGCAACAAGAGAAATGGCATCCGCGCAGAAGACGACCTGAGCCTCCATTTCTCGCCTTCTTCTGCCTCTGAGGACGAAACGACGCGGGCCAGTCGCACTCAGCACAGCCGCAGCGCATCAGACGCAAGCTCGACCTCGGTGCATCACGTACACACATCTGAGACGTCGAAAAGCGGCAGTCGTGCCGTCGAGATACACCGCAGCTCTGGCAATGTGGTCAGTATTCCAGCGTCGACATTCGATCAGCAAGCACTGGGCGAACAATCTGCAGAAGAAGACATCTATCTTAGCGGCAACAAGACAGACGCCTCCGGCTTCAGCGCGTTCGCTGGCCATCTTAGACAGCAATTCGAGGATCTTCATCTAGCGCGCGTCCAGGCTTCGGCGAAACGCAAGAACGTACCTTTGCCCTCGGCCGTACTACCAACGCTTGCGGAGATCAGCGACAGTCCGCTAGCCGTGATGTCTGCCTTCAGACAAGACCAGAATGCAACGCCTGTACCGACAAGACGAACCGAAGCGGCTTTTCCTAAACCAGAGACGGTAAGAAAGACAGCGACCTTTGCGCCGACCCCTCCCATGAGTCGACAAAGATCTTTTGGTGACAACATCACGAATCAAACCTCCTCGCCCTTGCAACAAATCCAGTCCATCAGGCTTAGCGAACCAAAGACGCCTGCGCCTCGTGTCAGATCGAGCGCTGTCAAAGCCAAGACGACCCCTAGACCAGTCGCGCCTGCCCGGCTCGCCTCATCTTCAGCGCCAGTACAAAGCCAGCCTGCTTATGCCAAGCCGACTGCCGCTCACTCGGCACGTGCGACCAGGCCAAAGTCAGCCATCAAGCCGTCGCATCACTACGAACGAGACGATGCGCTAGCACTGCCTGATCAAACCTACTTGACCGAAATCGCAAGCAGTCCAAACAGAATCCGCAGTCGCGTGCATCTCAAATCAGCGCGTCCAGCGCCTGTCGAAGGTGTGTTTGCCTACTCTCACCCTGACTGTTGCTGATTTTCTGGCGCAGATGAGCCACTCGCTCAGGCACTATCGCAGCTGAAGCAACGTCTCGTCCAGCTCGAAGACGAGAACCGCTATTCCACCGCGCGCGTGAAAGAACTCGAGCAGCATCCAGCAAGTACTGCCGTGCCTCGACAGACAGAGCAAACGCAGACTTCGCCACATGCCGCGCCGCCGAAAACTCACCGAGAGACGCTCAATGATCAGCTCAGACAGGCACAAGATCGTCGCCAAAGTGAGCATCCAGCTATGACTCTTGCCTTTTGCTGAACCGTTGTGACAGCCCTTGCCGGACATGTTCAGGGCATGAGAGGTCACGTAGAAGAACTTGACCAATCGATTCATCTACACCGCGATGCCCTTGCGGATCTACAGAAAAATTATGAGCAACAAACCCAGACAACACCCAGCGTCCAGCGAACAGGCCGTGACAAAGCTTGGCGCGGCGATGTCCTGAAGCTTCAGACCGGACTTGATCACCTTGCATCAGAGGTGCGCGAAGCACGTGATCTTGTCAATCGCCTCGCGACCGAGCAGCCCACGCCACGGCCTGCGCGTGCTAGCCACCACGCTACCGTCCAGACCGCAGTCTTGGGCAAGCATGCAGGCATTCAGACCTCAGCCGAAGCCTTCGCCCTGTCTTCTTCAGCTGACCGACATGGCTCGAACTTATGTACGCAAGTTGCCGAGGCCAAGCGCACGCTCGAAACGGTGCCCAAAGATCACGGACCTCACAACTGCTCGGAATGCTTACAATTACAGCGCGAGCAAGAGGCCGCTGAGCAAGCAGAAGCACAGCGACTGGCTGAACTCGAGCGTCAACGACTTGCAGAGCTAGAAAAGCAGCGCCGCGCTGCAGCGGAAGAACGTCGAAAGCAGGAGGAAGCCGAGGCTCACCGACAAGCTCAAGCTAAGATCGACGCCGAGATCCAGCGCATTAGTCGCGTCAAGGCGCAAGCCGAAGCGGCTTGGCAAAGACAGCAGGCACAACGCGGTGCAGACGAAGATGGCTACGCAGGCGAAGTCGACGATGATTCGCGAGAGCTCAGCCGATCTCTTTTGCCTCAAACAATCATCTCGCGTGCCATCCAGCAGAAGGAAGAAGACTTTTGGGGCAAGATCAGGTATGTCATGTCTTAAGTGCAATGACTCGTAACGCTCATGGAGAACCGCAGCATTTACGAAGAGCTATCTGCAACCTTCACTAAGATGGATCCGGCTGCTAATCCCGTCAAGCGCAAAACATTGGCAGCACATCTACAAGAGAGTATCGAGGTCATTGAGATTGAAGTAAGCAAAGCTCACCAATTCTCCTTTCGAAGGCTGACAAGTCTACAGGCTGCCGAAATCCGTCGCTTCTATGAGCTACTCGAATTCACAGGCCCTGTTGACGAGCTCAAGACGATCAAGAAGCTGCGCAAGCAGCATCTTCGCAATCACTAGCCGTGTCGTCGTTCTTGTCAGGCGCCCCAATGTATACTTGACGTACGCGCGTTTGATTGACAACAACATTGATGGTTACAGAGCTATGCTTCTGATTCTGCGTTCTCTTCGCTGCTCTGCATTTGATGCAGGGCCTTGAGACTGGACTCGATGCAGGAAGTAATCTGTTGCTGCACTTCGACAAGCGTCCTGAGCTGCTTCTGCACCGCTTCGTGCGCCGGATCAGCGTGGGCAGAAGAACACGCATACTCTGCGCTATGACGAGACTTCTGCAAGAAAGTCTGCAGATCCCTTGTGAAGCTTGGACGATCGGCGGAGCCGTCTTCGATATCGAAGAGGGGGATCAACCGCGGGAAAGAGCGTATGCCGCGTTGATGTTCTCGCTCTTTGCCTTTGCCCTTTGCCTTGCTCAGGCTATCCGCAAAGCTTGCTTCTGTCACAGTTGGCGGCTCAACCGGCTCGTCCGTTGTTGGCAAGGGCGTTGCGCGGACAATCAGCTCAGGACTAGCTTGTCTGACCGTCTTTGTACTCTCCGCTCTTCCCAGAGCGGGGCGAAGACTCTCGAGACGACGCAAGGCTGCCTCTGCTGCTGCCTTGCGAGGATCGCTCGTGCTGGCGTCTGCGCTCGCAACAGCAGCTGGCTCATGAACGGAAGCAGATGGCGCAGCGCTTCCTGATTGTGCAGCAGTCTCAGAAGTCGGAGCTAATGCTGCCGTACCTTCGCTGGCCGATCCTGGCTGACTTGAGGGTGTTGCAGCTGGCTGTGCCGAGCCGGTCGACGGTGGTATGATCCTGTAACCAGGACCTCGCGACGCGATAAACTTGCGAAGCGCATTTTCGGTTTGCATATTTGGATGAGGCGTATACGGCAATGTGGAAACAGCCTCTTCCGTTCTCGGTGGGTCGCCGTTGCCGACAGCGTGCCTTCGCTCTAAGCCGGGCGGTCTGACAGCAAAAGGGTTGAGCTCTGCAGGAGGCTGTCGACCCGCTGGCATTACCCCCGGCTGAGCAACAGGTGGCAGGTCTGTCAAGACGCTCCGTCGACAGGTGGGACAGCTCTGTTGACGCTCGAGCCAGCTCTTGAGGCAGTGGAAGTGGAACACGTGGCCGCAAGCGAGCTTCTTGGGCGTGTCGTTCGGGCCCTGCGCCGGTAGAGGCTGCTGAGTGATTCTAGTGGTCGTATCTCCTTCAACAGGAGGCGGGCGGTCCTCTGGATTGCCGGGACGGGCTTCCATCTCCTCTCTGCAGATGATGCAGGTCTTGTCTGTCATGTTGTCGAGCTCTGACAAAGTCGCATTGGGATACTTGGTGTCCATGTCTCTTGTCGCAACGCGGTATCGACGCAGGTCGCGGACCTTGAGGACGAAGCTTCGGGCGGTAACGTACAGATCGCGGAGGAGATTGAGCGGCAGGCCGTAGAAGGTGACGATGAGCGCAAAGAAGAGCGAGTAAGTCACAAGCTTGATGAATTCAGTCACAAGCTCGACATGGAGCAAGTGGATCGACTTTGCTTCCCAAGCTTGCTCTGAGCGCATCTCGACCACATTGAGAGCATACTTTGCCGCTGTCGCGAACAGAGTCGCTAGCAGTATCGCGTACTGCGAAGAAGATAGATGATCAGCATACTGGTATTCGGAAAGCGACATGGAGTTGACCTCTGCAGCAAGCATAATGCTAACTGATGGGCCGTCAACAAGCACGGATCGCACAGTGAGGCGGATGGCGATAGCATCGATGATGAGTAAGGCTGTGATGACTGCCGCCATACGCATGTGGAACAGACGGGTGACGTTGGGCATCTGCTCCATCTGTCACACACCAGCTGGATTCAGCTCATGGCGAAGCTGCAGTCAAAACTGTACTGACCCATTCGACGCGATCTGCCGCTAGCCAGTGAAACATCTTGACGAGTAGCAAGGTGACGAAGAGTATGACGAACATGGTGTCAAACTCGTCTCTGAAGATGGTGAGAGCGAGCAGCGACTCCGTGACTGCATACCATGTCCTCTCGTGCAGCCGCTTGGGACGCTCAGGATGAGTTCACTGTGACGTGTCATGCAGACGAGAGATGCTTACCTCGAGCTCGATGCTCCTGAGTGTGCCGAAGAAGACGGCTTGAACGAGCTTAGCGAGCATGATTGCGAAGAAGAGGCCAAAGTTCCATAGGATCTGTTGAAGGCGAGCTCAGCTGAACGTCAGAGCAAGCACTGAGGCAGTGTAGCTAACAAGGATGGAGGCATGGCTCTGTCCGAGGAAGACTGCAGCGCTGTAGAAGTTGGAACGAGTCCTGAAGGCCGAGAAGATGATGTAGGATGTCAGCAAGCCTGAGAATGCGCCATAGGCGAGTAGGCGCATCGTGGCAACAGCGAGCCGGCGCTGAGCACCTGCAGCTGCGCTACTGCGGCCGCTACCGAGCTAGTGTATAGACAGGTGTCCCCGAGTGTTCGTCAGCGGGTGGAAAGATCGCTGTCAGCTGCCTTTGATGCTGACTGAGGCAGGCAACAGTCGATGCGATGATGTCGCCGTCGCGCTGCGGCCGCTGAGCTGATCAGCTCCTGATCCAAGCTGCCACCTCATCAGGCTCTGCGAGGGCGCCAAACCCCCTCAGAGGATCGCCATGAGCTCCGAAGGTAGCGCCATGATTCGCTGTACATGCGCAGCTGCTCAGTCTGAGCGACGGCCGACCGTACGGCGCCGTACTTGGGCATTGACGCTACTCGCTGCACTCGCCCTATTAGCCTTCAGCTCCTGCCCCCAAGGTAGGCGTTCAGGAGTACCTGTAGCGCTACAGCTCATGCCTGTTCTTGCAGTGTCTGCACAAGAGCAGCAGGTCCTAGGCTTAGCGGACGAGGTACCGCCGCCCGCGCACGCTTCACAACCTGTCGAGCCGCTATCACGGCAGGACGAATCAGAGGAGGATGATCTAGACATTTTGAGAGATACAATCGCCTGGGAAGCGGGCTTCGATCGCGGCGGTACCACAGCGTACGACGAAGAACACACTCATGCTGAATCGCCCGACACATTCAACGCGGACGACATCCAATATGTCCTCAGTGACGTTGATCTCACGGATGACGGCGAAGCAGAGCGGGTAGTCGCAAGCTTAGTGAACGACGACGGTACCGAAGCGTCCGTCGAGGTCATCGTAGACGTTGCCGACCAGCTTCAGGCACAAGACGCTGTAGATCAGGCGGCGGGGCCGCAGAACGCTGACTGGTCAAATTTCGAAGAAGAATTGCTCGAGCTGGCCAAACTTACCGCTTACGAAGCTTCGACGCAAGTGCCACACGAGACTGCCGCACGTCACGCAGCAGAAAGCGAGCCGAAGCGACAGCGACAGGATTCGCCCAAAGCAAACCGAGCCAACGCAGAACAGCCGCAGCTTAGCACAGATCAAGAACGCGCGCAAAGGCTATACAAACGCGCGACACAGCTGCTCGACATGCTGCAAAACACGGTGCCTGATTACACCCCGCCGTCTTCGTCGACACTTTTGCCGCCTGCCGGCTCGGGTCCGAGCGAGGAGGATACGACCAATTGGTTCGCTACAATGATCAAACAGCGCGTCAATCTCGAGCACTCTGGACCTTTTTCGCCTTTGCTCCGTCAGCTCAGTCGAGGCCTTGACAGCTTACAGACTGCTCCATCGGATTCCGCTACATCAAATGACGCGCCTAGCAGTTCTGCACCCGAGTCACAAGACATGACGCCCCGTTCCGTGCTCATGAAGATCTATCATGCTTTCAGCGGAGGCCGACAATTCCTCAGAGATCCCGCCGCCGGGTCAAAAGCTGCAATGGCAAAGCTGGCCCATCTCAGTCGACTTGCTGCGCCAGAGAAGTCTCGAAAGACAGTAGCGATCGGTCAGGCAATGCAAAAAGTGCTCGAACTCCTTACAGAAGCAGAGAGCCTAGGGTACAATGACGCCAAGCTCTTGCTTGCCAACATTCATCTCTGGGGTCATTACACCGTGCCTTCGACGCCTCAGCTGGCCTTCAGACGCTACAAAGATATGGCAGACCAGACAGGGAACTCTACAGCACAATCTATGCTCGCCTTCCTGTATTCTTCTGGCTACAGAGGAGCTGCGGATACCAGCGTGGTTCAAGGCGTTGGCGATCAGCCAATGGCATTACTCTATCACACATTTGCTGCCCTTGCTGGTCTGCCGGAAGCTGAGCTGGCGATAGGCTACCGTCATTTGGCAGGTATCGGTCTCCCTGCGAGCTGTCAAGAAGCTCTGCCATTCTACAAGAGTGCTGCCTCCAAGGCTATCGCCGAATTTGAGAGCGGCCCGCCCGGAGGCCGGCACCTGCCGCCGTCGAAGATCAGATTGGCAGACCTTTCGGGCGGCGTGTATGGCGCTGGTGCATCTGTCGTATCTACCGGACCCAACGCAAAGATGGCGGCTCAGACGCCCGGCACGCTCACGCCCACTACTCGCCAAGAATGGGAAGACGTCCTCGAGTTCTATCACTTCCATGCAGACCGTCATGACGCTGGCTATATGTTCAGGCTCGGAAGGATTTACTACAACGGCTTCGGCGGCGGCGTCGTCGCTCAGCTAGAGCGAGGCGAGGGTCATGATGACCCCGGCGGCCGTGACTTTGCAAGAGCGCTGAGGTGGTTTGAAAGGCTCGCACGCTCTGTCTGGCCACGGGACCCGCCAGGCGTTGTCACATTGACCCCGCAGCAGCCCGGTCAGTCTCAGCAAGCTACGATCAAAGCATACGACGACGCGAAAGACATCAAGACAATCATTGACGATCATTCTCAGATGGTTGCAGGACTTGCCGCAGGCTACCTCGGCCGCATGTATTTGCGTGGCGAAGGATTACCGCAAGACTTTTCAAAGGCCTTCCTCTGGTTCAGTCGTGGCCTCCGCTCGGGCGATAGAGAATCTCAGTACGGACTCGGCTTGATGTATCGTGACGGTCTCGGCGTCCTCAGAAATCCCAAGCTCAGCGTCAGCTTGTTGCAAGAAGCCTCTGCGCAAGAGCACACAGATGCGCAAGTTGCTCTTGGCAAACTTTTCTACGGTATGCAAGTAGCCATATGTCGCAGCTGCGCTGATCACAAAAGCTAGATTCGGGTGATTACCTGGCCGCCGCGCAGTACTTCGAACACGCAGCTCGTCACGGCGACACCTTTCAGTCTTATTACTGGCTCGCAGAAATGTCAGCACATGGCCTCGGCCGACCAGAAATCTGCACCGTAGCTGTGGCGTATTACAAGATCGTTGCTGAGCGCGGCGATTGGAAGCACGAGGTCTGGTGGGAGGCAGAGCGTGCGTGGGCGAGAGGAGATCGCCAAAGAGCCTTCTTGGGCTACTGGATGATGGCTGAGCGAGGCTACGAGCAAGCTCAGAACAACGTCGCTTGGATCCTTGACCAAGGCAAGCACGCCCGCAAACATCTACAATCTCTGACTCACCTGTATACATGCGTTGACAGACAAGCGCGCCTTGCGCATTCCAATGATAGATGGCATGCGCCGCAACATCACGGACCGGCTCGCCCTGACATTCTGGACGCGCTCAGCAGCTCAGAACAATATCGATGCATTGGTGAAGATGGGCGACTACTACCTAAGCGGGTATGGGACATCCACTGGCGCACCTCAACCACAGAAGGCCGCAGCATGCTACTCTAGTGCCGCAATGACGCACGTCAGCGCAATGGCCATGCACAACCTCGGTTGGCTACATGAGAACGGCATCGGCGTCGAGAAAGATTTCCACCTCGCTAAGCGATACTACGATCTCTCCTTCGAGACGAACGCACAAGGCTACTTACCAGCCACGCTGTCGCTTCTGCGGCTATATGTTCGCAGTCTTTACCATATGCTCTCGGGCTCGAGTACTCATAGCCTATCGCTCTTCGCGCCCGATGCGACGACGGACTTGCCGAGCAAAGCTCAGCCGAGAAAGTGGTGGTCATTCGGCGACCTGAGATCGGAAGCTGCTAAGCGTTGGCAGAACATGCTCGAAGAGGATGGACAGGCCCTGCAAGCTGTCAACACAGAAGACGGCGCTGGTGGAACCAACAGCGTTCACGATGCGCAGCGTGCGTTGGTGGGCAACGAGGATCCCGTGCAATGGGCACGGGCAGCGCAAGCTCGCGAACGAGCGGAAGAAGCTCTTCGAGAGGCCGAAGAAGATGACTCGCTATTCGGCCTGGGCTTGGAGGGCTCGGACGACTTTGCGGAGACGCTACTTATTCTAGGCATCTGCTTCGCCATCGCGTAAGTACCCGATCTCATGCTCAACCTATCATGCTCAATGCAGGTCTGCAGATGGCTCGTCTATGTCCGCCAAGCACGGCAAGACGCAAACGCGAGGCGAAGACAAGACGCTCTCATGAATAATCAAGCGCTAATTGCGCCTGTAGATTGACGGAATGTTGCTTGTGACACTATGCATTTGCTGTTTGCCATCATCATATGCGTCTATGGGGTCGCGCGTCCTGTCCATCTGAGAACAGAAGACTAAGCAGTCAGTTTTCTGCTAGTTGATGAAGCTCTCTGCGCGCACCTTGGATACAGAGAACAATCTCTGACGGTGAAGCGGTTGGTCAGCCAAGCCAGACATCGCTCGAGTCCAAGACCGTAGCCGCCCGAGTTGCCCGATCCTATGCACGTGTAAGCCCAAATTTGCGTCAGTGTGAATCTGGCTCACCGTATACTCTCTGATCGGTAAACCAGTAGTACGGTGTCGGATCGATGCCTTCACGCTTGTAGCCTTCGAGAAGCTCGTTGATGTCGGAGATGCGCATCGAGCCGCCAACGATCTCGCCCACATTGGGCATGAGTACGTCGACACTCTCTGTGTATCCAGGATCTTCCGGGCATTTCTTCATGTAGAATGCCTTGATCTCCTTTGGGAAGCGACAGAGGAAGATAGGTTTGCCTATGCGGTCAGTCATCTGTCGCTCCGGCGCCTCTGAGATATCTACACCGAGCTCATGTCGTTTGCCGTCGCCAGTCAGGATCTCATTATCTTGCAAGTATTTGATCGCGTCTTTGTAGTCCATTCGCATGAACGGTCGAGTGGGGGGTTTGAAATCTGGGTTGAGTTGTTTGAGCAAAGGACCTGCGACCGGGTCTTTGAGAACCAGCTCGACCGAGCCGCAGATCTGTGACAAGATTTCAGCCGACATGATACCTTGTACGCAAGCTGCTGACCATCTCTTCTATATGTTCGAGTAAGTCGTCAAAGGTCAGAAAGGCCAGCTCGGCTTCTACGTGTGTATACTCGGACAAATGTCGGCGTGTGTGACTATCATGGCGGCGAGATCAGACATGCCGGCAAGTCTGACGTGGATAACTCACCTCTTCTCTGCCCGGAAGCTCTCTTGTACGCAGAAAACGTCGCCTAAGGCAGGCAGACAGGTCTCGAGGTAGAGCTGACTTGTCTGCGTTAGGTAGGCTTGCTGACCATAGTAGTCAAAGCTGAAAAGCGTCGAGCCGCCTTCGACTTGTGTTTGTACCATACAGGGTGGCGTGACTTCCAAGAGCCCAAGACGCTCATAGGTCTCTCGGAATGCCTTGAGAAGTGCAGCGCGTACACGCAAAACGGCGGATGCCGTTTCGCCTCGTATGACTAGATGGCGGTTATCAGCGAGCAGATCAGCGCTTGCTGTCTGTAAGCGAAGCCGATCCGTCAGATCAAGTCGATTTAAGGGCAAGGGTCACTCACCTCTGCAACTTTATTGGTGATGGCAGCCTCGCCTCCCGGAGCCGCGCCGAGGACACGCCACCAGTCTGCCATGAGCTCGTGACCGTCTGGCGCTGTCTTGCCTTCGGGCAGTGCAGTGATGGTACCCGTGATCTCCACGCTAGCTTCAAGATTGAGAGTGAGCGAGTCATACGTCTCGATCTGTCATCGTGTACGTTACGCTCAGCTGTGGTCGGAAACAAACAACGTTCACGAACGAGCTTGCCGGACAGGACACACTGCAGATAGCCAGTACCGTCCCTTAGGACGAGGAAGGTGAGGCCACTCTGCTGTCGCAGGCGATGGACCCAGCCAAAGACTCTGACGCGATGCCCTCTGTTCTGTGTTGTCTGACGGAGCTTGATTTTGACCGCTTGGGCTCCTTCTGGCTCTGTGATGACGACGGCCTTTGCAGCTTCGATCTTTGCAGCGTCCGAGTCTGCCTTGGCTTTCGCAGCCGCTTCATCTCTCTGTTTTGTGTCCTGAGCTTTTTGCTGCTTGCGCAGATGCGCTTCGTGCAGCTTTTTGGCCTTCTTGAGCGAGCTCGAGGTAGCTTCTACCCATTCTTGGCCTCCTTGAGCAGGTGCAGGCTCGTCTTGGGTAGGAGAGAGTGCTTTGCGTACGAGCACTTTGACCTCTGTTCCTTTGGCGATATAGGCTCCCAGGGGCGACTGGAAAGGTCTGCCGATGCTGCCATCGCCCAGTTCATCCGATCCGACCTTGTCGTCGACGTAGACAGCCGCTTCGCCTGACATCTTGTCGTTTCACTCGAGGCACACACTGACAGGTATCTTGCTGGCGACCGAGGTCGGCCGAGAGAAATGTTCTTCTGCCTTGCACGCATTGCCTTCCCCGGCTGCCTGCGTCGATCCGACGATGGCGGAACTCCTACTCTACATGGGCGAGCCCCAAGGCGATGAAGGTGGCCTGTCAGTGGTCCGCTTTGGTCAGCCGGTCAATGTCTCTCGCATCGTTCTGCAACCTACAACGAGCAATCGGAGCGCGGCTTACCCCATAGGAACGATCATCGTCTGCTTCCATCTTCTCGCAAGCTCAGAGTCCGGTCGATACATCAAGCTCAGACCGGTACAGCACACGACAGCCGAACTCAAGTATGATCTCAGATCAGGTCCACAAGCTTTTCCGACCATGCTCCCATTGACCTCTTGGGGTCTCTTGCTGCTCCTGCACGGTGACACGCGAGGCTTAGAGATTCTCGTCTACGGTCGTAAGCGCGAGATATCACCCGTCATGCCCGCGCCATCGTCCGGTTCGCGAGCAAGCTCGAGAGCAGACAGCCAGTCCCGGTCTCCTGAGCTTGAAGACCGCCCAAGACAAAAGCCCGTCGAGCTACTGTATGATGTCGAATCAGCACTCACGATCGTCAAGAGACTCGAACGTCAGCTCATGGCAGAAGTACACCAGATACAAATGAGTGCATCTCAAGCTGATCCGTCAACCTCATCAAGTGTGCCCTCTGCTTCTTCATCTCAGCCTGGTCCCTTTGATAGCCAGTTGTGTGGAGGAGGTCCGCAACCGTATCACAACGCAGCAAAATCAAGTAATTTCATGCGCAAGCCATCGCCGGAGCTGCAAACCTCTGCTCGCTCAAGCTATCGAGAGCCCGCCGCACGAGAACCCCCGTCTGCCGTTACGACCCGCTCGCGCACGCCATCGGACGGTGCACCCTCACCTTTGCCTCAGTGCACCAGTCCAAGTCGTGCAGATTCGAGCGCTGCGCCGCCGCCTCTGCCACAAGCCAGAGCGTCTTACGAGCGTCGCAAATCCGCGAGCATGCAAGTCGATGGCCCCGCTTCGTCTGCTTCGCCTACTTCCGATCCCAGGCGACCTCGGCCTCGTCCCAAAGCAGCCTCGACCGAAACAGACATATGTCCGCCGCCGGTTTCGCCACAGACTGACGCCAAGATACCTGTCTCGGGCCTTTCTCAGCATTGGCACGCTTCGCGATCACCTACAAGAATGTCCTCGGATACTTCGGCAACCCCTCAAAGCATTTTGTCGACGCCGCTCGGCAGTCTGGGTACACCACAGGATAGTCAGGCAACGTCTTGCGATCACTTGCCTACGCCTCGAGAAAATCAAACCACGCCTGCCCTTCGTCAGCCAACTCCCCAGCTTCACCAGACTACGCCGCAGCTTCACCAGCCAACGCCTCTTCCCACTTTTGCGACGCCGCAGATTTCTCTCCCAGCGCCAAGTAGCGGTCGAGCTATCCCGATCGCAGGCTCGAATGTATTGATTCCCTCGCGAGCGACATCCACTGCAGGATCTCGAACGCCCCGGGCAGGCATACCGTTTGATGGTTACCGTACGCCGCTCGGAGCAAAGTGTACGCCCGGCAGTACACGTCTCGACATCAGGACGCCCAACATGGTACCTTCGGCCAGCTACAGAATCAGACCAGACGAGCCAGAGCAGCCTCCGCGCGTCAAGTCAGCCATCGAGATCTTTCTCGAGGACAATCCGACAGACGCTCATCCTCGCGATCCTCGGGTGAAGTTACAGCTCGCGAAGAAGCAGCAGCTCCAGACTGCGTACGAGCAATGGGATGAGGGCGACATGGGCACCCAGTCATCCGATCAGCTGAGACATTTCGTACACGATCTCAACCTGCTCGTAGCTGAGTCCAAGCAGCTCATGTCGTCCGATAGCTTCGTCTACGAGCTCGTCGAGCGTGTCATCCGTCAGCATTCTGGAGGCATTCGCGAAATCCTCATGACGCCCTTGCTTGAGAACTTACTCAGGACAACCCAATCCTATATGCTTCGTCGCAGAAGCACAAAGACAGATCACGACACGGTGGAGGATGTGCCGAAGGCTGAAATTGCTTTGCGATGCTTCAAGGTCTTTGCAGCTGGCAGTTGCGATCACGCTTTGCTGCTCCGTATCACTGAGCTCGAGCCTTGGAGCCAATTGGACGGAATCTACAAAAAGCTTATTGCAGACTCTGCAGCAACGATCGACGATTCGGCGGAATCAGTGGAGCTCAGAGAGGCGATGGAAGATTTGGGAGAGATGCTCAAGCCGTACTACCTCGTCAATCGATGTCGAAGGTCTCTCGATGAGGCCGCACAGACAAAATCGCGAGACCATGACCCACTGCCGACTGTTCGCGTCATTCTCGAAGGAGCTAGCCCCAGCCACGCTGTCGCATCTGCTGTTGCCTACGTGCTCAATCAAGGGACGTGTCTCGAAGGCATGCTCGTCGCAGACTCGACTGAAGCTGTATCATACACGACTCTGGACATATGCTCCCACCTCGCCAGAACTACGCCTGGTTGGGCTTGTCTGATGCATGCCGCCAGCATTGACACATTGCCTGCCCGCCCAACGGTCGTGACGCCAAATGCCAAAGTTCTCAAGAGTCTCAGGTCGCTGTGCCTCACACGGAGCGTACCGAGTCGCACGTCCGAGGACGACATTGCAATGACTGATCTGGTCCAAGCTTTGCACTTGCTCTACTATCAAGTCGCACTGCTACACAACTACGTCCAGTCAATTTTGGACAGCTCCGCAGATGACCGAATCAATACTGCTCCGAGTACTGCAATGGAGCTCTCTAGCCGCGCTTCGATGCTAGCTGAGCCAGCTGTAGGTGCATCGCTGAGTGGGCCTCGACGAGCTGAGCTCAAGACACAGATCTATCCTGCGCTCCTGTCGCATCGCCGAGTACTGCTCGTGACGACACATAACCATGCAAAGCTCAAGCCCAAGGTCAACGGCAAGCTACGAGCATTCTGGTCGGAGCAGACTGCCGATCCTGATATCTTTGCTACGTTGTGGTGGTCCTGGCAGGGCACTTCTCTCCACCGAACGGTCACCCAGCTCCTGTATTCACGCTTATTGACAGCGTGGCAAACAGAGGGACAAGGTATGACTGATCTAGCTGTCCTCCATTTCAGCAAACTCAGTATACCTCCTCCGACTCGGGAAAACACCGAATCTCACTTCGAGGAGCCTTCCGTAGCATGTTCGCTATTAGCATGCATTAACCGTGCCATTTCGCTCCAGGCAGCAGTCTCACCAAAAGCACTTGAGCAACGTCGGTCGTTCGTTGTTTGCATGATCAAGTTCATCCAACAGATTGGTACTCATCTCAAAAATATCTGCGCCGACATGGCTACGCTTCTCATGCAGCACAATGTCCTCTTCGGTTGTTCGCGCTTCGAACTCTGGGCAGACCTTGTCGGCAGATGCGCAGAGTATATCGCGGAGATCAGGGAAGATGTATATGTGCCAGAAACGCTGCTCGCCGTCGTCAATGCGACTGCAGCAGAGCTCGAATACGCGGCCAACGGCGCTCGATCGTGTGCAAGAGTCATGACTGCCACTAGAGCGCGCGTACGGCTGCTACTGAGTCAATTAGGCGAGCGTACACGAGATCCTGAGCCGCTTGTCAGAGCTTTGCTCGATGCGGATGCTTTGCGACCGATTACTGCAGTCAGCAGCCTGCTCAGCATACTGCCCAATGCGAGCAAACTGGACAGCCGCAAGTGCACGCAATGGCAGCACGCGCTCCAGCAAGACACTGAAGAACTTGCAATTACACTTTGCGCAGCAGGATCGTTGACCCAGACGGGTCGGCGACTAGTGCAAAGCACATTGTTGGCTGCGTGTACGTTCAGCGTATCCCTTGTAGACATCTTCAAGGCCATCATCGAGTCATTGTTCGCAAGTGGTACCACCGAGCCGACCTTCACAGCAAAGACGAGTCTCTTCACGACCTTGATTGGAGAATCGAACATCAAAGTCGCGCTCGATGCGTTGTGTGAGCAACGCGCAGAATTCAAGGGCTATCTAGACATTATTCTCGACGCAGAAAGGCGAGGTGTACCACAAGTGCCTGGCAAGCGCACAACCGATCTCGCACCAATAGCTGACTGTGATTCCGCCTGCCAAGATTACAGCTGCGCCCAGTGCATGCGCACTTTGAAGCCGAGGCTGGAAATCTCGTTGGACAGTAAGAGATCCCGCAGATCAGCGCCGAAACGAAGCTACCACAGTACAGAATATCGCCTGACTGATGCGGATGGCCGCTAGGACCGTAGTGTAAGTCTAGGCTACGTCAATGCCGTACACTGATGACGTGCTGTGGGGCAGCGTGCACGTCAAGCAGACTATTAAATGAATGCAAGTTCATGATTCTCTAGCTATGCTCCAGGCTAGCTCTGAAACTTCTCAGCGCACTGTGCGCGCAGCGCTGCCGGCCAGTATGGCTGATGCGTTGCTCTGGCAGGGTGTGCCGACGCCTGATGCTGAAGGCATGTCATGTGTGCGCTTCGAAGTGCCCGTCAATGTCAGCAGAATAGATCTCTTTGCGGACGATCCCTCTTCAAAGACTGCACCAGGAACGCTCACAATTCTGCTACATGTGCTGCCACAAGCTGCGTCTGGACAACAGATTGTCGCTCGTCCGGCCTATTTCGAATATGTCAGTATACCCTACGACCTCACGGCGGGCGCCCAAATGTTCCCTACCGGCGTACCACCTACGTCTTTTGGCATCTTGCTCGTCCTTCACGGTACTTGCGTAAATCTATCGATGGCAGTGTACGGTAACAAGCGCCCGCCAACGAGTTCGAATGCGAGCAAAGCTGCCTTTGACGCCCTCAAACATTCCACGAATCTCGTGCCTCTCGGCCAAGCTGATGCGAGCGCACGACGTTATGACATGCGCAACGCAATGGAGCTTTTGGACAAGTGCCATGTTCGAGTCAACGTCGAGCTCGATGGCATTGAGAGACAAATCATGGGGGGACAGAAGGGGCGTGATACCGTCGCAGCGGATAGCTCCACGACCAGACATATCACAGCTGCGTTGGCGAGCCGAACAACGATAAACGCTGACCAAGCAGTCGCTGACCTGACATCAACAAGCGCAGCGAACGGCCGCGCAAGATCACTGCGTTCAGACGCGAATACGAGAGACAAATCCGACATAGCTGCGAATGCCAATCATACTCACTCACATCACTCTCTGGCGCCTCCGTCAGCAGCAGACTCTGGCGGTGAGGCAAGCAGCACCAAAAAGCAAGGATGCACAGATGCCATCCGAGGGCTAAACGATGAGAGTATTATCTCCTTCCTACAAGATTTGACGTATGCGCTGCCGATCAAGGGAGAAATGACAGAGAGCGTCTTGCTAGCGCTTGAGGACGCCTACGAATATTGGTCAGAGCGCATGTATGCAGAGATGTCGCCGCAGAAATTACGCTCCTTTGTTGAGGATCTTTCGCTCGTTGCAAGTAGATCGAAGAGACTTGCCAGCGAGCATCGCTTCGTATACGATCTAGCGCATCAACTTGCGCGCTTTCACGTCGACGGTGTACGAGTAATGCTTACGACACATTTACTCGATGATCTCATTGCGCAAGCTGCTTTGGCAAAGGAAAGAATCGTCGTCGCGATCAAGCTGCACGATCTATTGGCTGCATGCTCTTCAGATCATGCAGCCCTATTACGCATGACTGAGCCGCACAATGCAGAGCTGCTGGAAAGAATTGAGGCGCGTATGCCGGCCTCGCCCACGCCGCTCGGGCACCCTCTACGTCACGCTCGATTGCTCATTACCTGTCGTGCACGTCTGCGTCGTCTTGTCGACCAGACGGCCGGCGATCAGACTGTGCTGGCGCTGCGAAGAATCTTGGGTCAGGCTCGTGCATCGCCTCACGTTGCTTCGGCTGTCGCTTGCCTTGCTTACGACCTGCCAGTCGTCGATCGTCTACTAATGCAAGTCCCAGAACAGCCCTCGCACAATTGCGCACTGTTGGACGTCTGCAGACTTCTGCTCGAGACTGCGTCTGGATTGGCCTGCCTGTTTCGGGCAAGTGGGGGGATCCATGATAAGCAGACTGGCGCGCAGCCATCCTCTATTGATGTGGCTACACTGATCAAACTGCAAGGAAGATTGCCAGCGTCTAAACGCATCGCTCGCGATTTGCTATCGATCGACGCTGTAATCAGTGCTTCGCGCATGCTGTTTGGACAATCAAAGGTCCTTATGCAGTATGTAGAGCGTGTGGGCGCCCAGCACCCGACAGATTCACGCAGCATGCCGCTCGGCGCCATGGCCCTTCGCAGAGACCCTTGCTTCGTAAGCTGCGCTCTCGTATGCTGCGAGAAGACGCTGAGCGTAGTCTTCAGATTCTGCCAGCACTCTGCGTGCATCGTCCAGTTGCTGCGGTCGCAGATATGAGCGGTGATCACTATAAGTCAGAACATAACGAGGCATTCAGATATTTCTGGACAAGCCGATTCCGCAAGCCTGATGTCTATGCACGCTTATGGCGATTGTGGCACGACACACCGCTCGGCACGCGCTTGCTTCGCATGATCCCCACTGCCCTAGCACAGGACTGTAGAGGCAAACCCTTTACAATCTCGAGAGCTGCTCACGTCTGCCTCACCAATATAGAAATCTTGCGCTTGCCGATGCCCGCAGACACGGCTTCATGCGCTACAACTCTGTCATCTTTGCTCGCCTATCTCAACGATCTCAACGATGCGGAGCTTACTCGTGAACCATGTGGCGACCTGGAGCAGAACGGGGCTCTTATGGAAGCCCAGATCGTGGTCGAGGAGATGATGAGAGTGCTTCGCGACATTGCGTCCGCTCTTTACGATCTCGAGGACATAAAGTTCGAGCAAACGAGCATGGTCGAAAAGATCCAAAGCTGCGTGCAGATTGAGATCTGCGCAGACCTTGTCGGCAGGTGTGCAGAATACCTATGCTGGGCGGGCAAGCCTACACAAAACGTTCCGATCGCGTCTGCCATCTGCGCAGTCGCAACGCAACTTGACGTGCTGTACCGCGAAGACCACTCAGATGCTTTGACAATCACTTCGACATTCATGCGAATACGCGCAATGCTTGCATGCTTCGGCAAACGCGTACAAGAACCAGCCAAGATTGTTCGCACAGTCGTACAATCATGCGAGAACCATCCAGTCTGCTCATTGACGCTACTTCTTAGCCTGCTACCGGATCTCACGACAGCAGGGACACTTGATCCAAAGCGATCCGCAAGCTGGGCGGCGGCCCTCGATTCTGCTCTGCCCAAATTAGTAGGGACTCTGTGTGCTGCTGGCGGCTCCGTGGATATTGGCGCTCAGCTCATTTTGCAATTCTTCCACATCTCACACGCGTTGAGCAAAGACTTGCCGGTTGGCATCATCGAAGCCATGCTGGAAAATTTATGCGGATTCGCGAACGATGAGGACACGTTTCCGATTCCGAAGAACGTAGCCAACCTTGTGGAGCTATTCCAATCAGACGGCATGCTGCATGAGGCATTTGAGGCAGCTTGCGAACGACAAAAGGCCTTCAAAGGTCGGCTCATCCGTTTCCTCAAGATCGACAACGATCACTCCTCGGCATGGCGACAACGCCGATCGATGCTGATCGATTCGCTCCAGGACGCTTCCTCGAGTGCACACCGAAAGAGAGCGAGAGGTCAATCCGACAATTTTGAGCGAGTCACCAGACCGCATCTGGCGTTCAGCCAAACGCCTCAGCGGGTCAGCTCAGGAGAAGAAAGCAAGGAGCCAGACGTCACCACGGGCGGCAAGTCCTACCCAGCTTCATCATTCCGCGAGCAGAGCGCAAACGCGCCGCCAAGTCGTCCGGCATCACAGCATGTGAGTGAACACCAGACGTGAATGCCCTCGGTGCGCTGACAGCGATCACAGGTGGACGTGTATCAACGCAGCAATGTGAGATCGTGAATGCGTACAAATATGACAACAACAGTGTGGTTGTAACTTTTCACGCAAAGTACTCGCTTTCGGTGGCGTCTCGGTCAGGTGTGACGGGCGCGGCTCGCCTGGTCTGACTCTTGTTGCCCATGCGATGTAGTCTCTTGCGGGTTGCCCTGATGGGCATGAGGTCGGCCGATCTGAGGCCTTCGCCGGATTGGCCAGGCACAAAGGGCGCACTGCGAGCTGTAAAGTGTTCGGGCTTGCGCGTAAACGGACTGAGCGTGTTGTTGGAGACTTTGAGCAACGAGATTTGAGCGAGTGAGTCGCTTTCCTTAGAATCTAGTATGATCGCCTCCTTCCCTTCGCTGCGCAAGACAATGCCATGCGACTCATAGTCTGCTTCGGAGGCCGGAGCAGGCGCAGCCGTTCCTTGGGATGACGCCGATCCAGAGGGCGAATAGGAGCGAGCTCGGTCGACAAAGGAACGAGGATCGGCTCTGCCAAGAGCCGAGTGACTTCTGTAGCTGGGTGGACGAGAGAAGGATGTCTGACTGTAGACCGACATGGGAGGTCTGAGGAAGGGCTGCTCAAAGTCACGGAAGCTGCGGGCATCGCTTGTGGATGCGTTGGCTCTCATTTGCGGTCGCTTTGGAGGTGAGCCTACATTGGCCGCTACGGTAGACGCGTCATCTGACGCTGTCGATGAGCGAGCATGCGAAGGCTCGAGTCGCATCTGTGACTGGGTATGAAAGACGCGAGGGCGAGTTATCGTACCGCCGCCTACGGCAGGTATACGTTCCCAGACGAGCCTGTCTTGCCCCTTGTCAGATGAAGCATCGAGTTCGATGGAAGACATGGCATCGGCTAGCGCGGTTGTGCTACGCGAGTCATCGTCGACAATGTCACCGAGGCCATGAGCTCGACCTTCCTGTGCGATCTTGCCAAGTCCCCCGAAAGCACCGACGGTCGAGATAGCGTCGTCGCGCATGCCATAGGTGGGGTCATAGTTCTCTAGCGCGTCCGGTACAGAGTCGGCATCGTATGACCGCGTCGCAGATTCGGCAGGCTTGCGAGAGGGCTGCTTGACCGGTTCGGCAGCCTCGACTGGCGTGTCTTGCTCCTCTGAAGCATCACGAGGGCGATTGCGATAAGCGACGTGGGTCTGAATCTTAGCTGTGGGCTCGAAATTACGTCTGACGCCTGCTTTGCCGCCGGAAGCACTGATGACGCCCTCGCTAAGCCATCGTTGACTGAGCTTGTGGATGATGCTAGGCAGATCTGATCTGAACATCTCGCGCAGTTGGCCCTCGATCTCCCTCTGGATGAAGCCTTGTATCGCGCCTACGCTGTCAAACGTCGAGGAGACCTTGACAGACTGGAGGGGATCCGTCTTGAAAACAAGGGTGATGCCCTTTTGTTTCGATATGACGAGGATGATGATGGCATGCAGCTTGAGATCTGACAGCCGGAGCTTCATGGGCACGATGAGAGGAGCGGACGCAAAGAGGATAGCAGGCGTAGGCAGCAGATCCAACGTGGGTTTCGTCTGATGAGGTAACGGATTCGCTTGTATTTTCGTCTCGAGCTCGATGTAGGCGTCGCCCGCATAGGTCAGCTTGAAGATCCCTCTGAAGCGATCCATGGCGAGGTCACCAATCTCGAGGACATCGAGGTCCGGTGGCTGCAGACCCTCATCAGTCTGTCGCGAGCAGGCAGAAGCGGAGTACGTACGACTGAGCCCATGTGGAGCTCCTTGACGTTGATGACATCAGCGATGATGGGCGGCTTCTGTCCTTTGTTGAGCGCCTGTCAGTTTGCCATCCGTCAGCCGTGCCTTTGTTGGCCTGGATGAGAGGTGATGCTGACTTGATGGAGCAATTGCCTGGCATCTGCATAGAACCCCTCGCTGAAGGCAGGCCACTGAAAGGCAAAGGCCATGTCGGGCTACTCTACGGCTTCCTCGGGCCGATCATGGTCATCGCTTGTGCTGAGACATGCTGCCCTGTTGACAAAGTCGAGGAGCGAGGAGGAGCGACAAATCAATTTCGAGTCCTCTGTCGACGGTTGACCCACCCCCTTTGCTCCCCTGTGATGAGCCATGTAGACCCCCAACAGGCTGGCCAAGGTGCCCCTGGGCTTGTGGAAGACTCTACGCACACGTCTCAAGCCAATGGCAGGACACCAGAGGCTTACATCGATCAGGCACCTCTCGATTCTGACTTGCTCGAGCACGACAGAGACGACGAAGAGGATGATGATGATGATGACGACGACGAGACTGATGAGGCAGAGTACAGCCTCAGTCATGCGCTCGATGAAGTCAACGATCAGGACTGGGAGAATGCATCGGGAGGTAGGCACCGTCGGCCTGTCCGGTATGATGCACAGGCTGAAGAGGCCTCGTGCAGATCTCACGAAGCGGTACAACCGTATGAGGCAGCATGTCTATGCTTCTGCTGCGCCGTCTGCAGCTTCAAACAGAGCAGAGCAATCTGCTCCTGCCTCTCACTCCGTCCTACCGGCTGCCAACTCGCGCAGGAAACAGCTCGAGAGCGAGACGCATCGACCGTCAGGCAGCACGAATGGCAAGGCACCCGTCCATCAGGACAAGGTCGAGTCTGCCCTCAACGAGCTCGCCCATCGCTTCGGCGAAAGGATCAATCTCAGCGATGCTGCACTCGGCGTTGGCGTCACGCGCAAAGGTGGCAGCGAGCGCGTCCTCGTCAAGGACAAGAGCGACAGAGCGACGAACGAGCAAGTCCTCGATCCCCGTACCCGCCTTGTTCTCTTCAAGATGATCGGGCGAGGCTTGCTGGATCGCATCGATGGTTGCGTCAGCACGGGCAAGGAGGCAAATGTATATCACGCTGTGGGCTACCCACTCGATCAACCGGAGAGCAAGGAAATCACTCACTATGCGCTCAAGATATACAAGACGTCTATCCTCGTCTTCAAGGATCGAGATCGCTACGTCACCGGCGAATTTCGTTTCAAGTCTGGCTACGCTCGCTCCAACCCGCGCAAGATGGTCAGGTTATGGGCAGAGAAGGAGATGCGCAATCTTCGAAGAATGTGGGCTGCCGGCATGCGGTGCCCTCAGCCTATCGAAGTGCGCAACAACGTCCTCGTCATGACCTTTCTCAGCCCCGACACCGGAAGCTGGGAGGCTGCACCGAGGTTGAAAGATGCCAGTCTGCCCCGAGAGACGATCGATACGCTCTACGTAGAGATGCTGCAGATTCTCAGGACGCTCTACTGCGTCTGTCACCTCGTGCACGCCGATCTGAGCGAATACAATGTCTTGTGAGCCCCGACAAGCCCGAGTTTGCTCAATGACTGACTGGGTGAACTCGGCTCTCAGGTATCACCAGGAGCACCTGTTCATCATCGACGTCTCACAATCTGTCGAGCATGACCATCCTCACGCCTTCGACTTCCTACGCGCAGACATCAAGAATGTCGAAGAATTCTTCAATCGCCGCGGCGTACAGACACTCGGGCTCAGAGAGACATTCGACTTTACAATAGGCAACTGGGACCACCGCGATCTCAGTCTACGGGTCATTCGCGACGAGCTCGCGAGACGTCTGGCACTAGAGCACGAAGCAGATCAAGCAGCGGAGGCCAACACCCTGACAGCTGGTGACCTCAACAGTGAGCACAAAAGAGATGAAGACGCCATCTTTGCAAAGTCGTTCATTCCGCGTACACTCTACGAGGTCTACGATGCCGAGCGTGATGTAGAGACTGTGCAGAGAGGCGAAGGGGATCAGCTCATCTATGGTAAATTGACTGGCATGGACCAGGTCGAGACGGCCGCGCAGGACGGCATCGAGAGCCAGTCGAGCGAGGACAGCGGAAGCGAGAGCGAGAGTGATTCCGAATCTGATAGCGGCGGTGACGACGATCGAGTGCGCGTGCTCAAAGGAAAGAAATTTGAGGATAAGCAAGCCAAGAAGGATCGCAAGACTGCGACAAGAGAGGAACGTCGCGAGAAGCGCAAGCACAAGATACCGAAAGCAGAAAAGAAGCGGCGCGTCAAGAAGACGTCAGGCAAGCGCTAAGCATGTGACTTTCTCCGCATATGTTGTTGTAATGCAAGTGCATTTGCGTACAACCCTATGCTTCCGCTTCTGGCTCGTAAGCATCTGTAATGGCACCCAATGACGCATTGGTGACGTTGCGGTAATACTGCTTTATCCTGTCAGCTCGAGAGATAGCAAAGAAGGGTGTAGGCTGACCTTGTAGAGCGTGCCCTGGGTGACACGAGGCGGCCTTGGCTTCCACTGCTTGCGTCGCTCTGCTAGTTCTTCCTCGCTAAGCAAGACATCGAGCGTGTTCTTCTCGGCATCGATTGCGATGATGTCGCCATCCTTGATGAGTGCGATAGGACCGCCCAATTGCGCTTCGGGCACGACATGACCGATACAGAAGCCATGCGTACCACCGGAGAATCGCCCATCGGTTAGACAAGCTACATCGAGCGCTAGTCCTGCGCCCATGACGAGACTGGTCGGTTTGAGCATCTCTGGCATGCCCGGTCCACCCTTCGGACCAAGATAGCGCAGGACGATGACGGTCTTTTCGCCCTTCTTGATCTCACCATTCTCGACAGCATGTACCATGTCGTTCTCGGTGTCAAAGACTCGCGCTTTGCCCTTGAAGGTCAAACCCTCCTTGCCTGTGATCTTTGCTACTGCACCGCCTGGCGCTAAGCTTCCTTTGAGAATGCGAATGTGACCGCTGGATTTTAGAGGCTTCTCTAGCGGCCGGATGACGTCCTGACCTGCTGGCAGATCCTTTGCGTGTTCGAGGTTCTCGGCAAGTGTCTTGCCCGTCACAGTCATTGTACTGCCATCGATGAGACCGTTCTTCAGCAAGTACTTGAGTACACTGGGTATGCCGCCAATCTTGAAGACGTCTTCCATGACATACTTGCCACTCGGTTTGAGATCTGCGAGGAAGGGCGTCCGGTCCGAGACAGTCTGGAAATCGTCAATGGTGAGCTTGATGCCGACGCTGTGAGCGATAGCGATGAGATGCAAGACTGCGTTGGTCGAGCCCCCGAGGATCATGACGAGAACCATGGCATTCTCGAAAGCTGCCCGAGTCATGATGTCGCGCGGCTTGATGTCCTTCTCGAGCAAGTTCTTCATTGCTTCACCGATCGAGTCTGCTTCCGCTTGCTTCTCGGGATATTCTGCTGGGAAGCTACTAGAGCCGGGCAGCGTCATGCCGAGCACTTCGGCTGCGCTCGCCATTGTATTTGCAGTATACATGCCACCGCAGGCGCCAGAGCCAGGACAAGCGTTCCTGACGGTATCGTATCGCACTTTCTCTGCCGCTTCTGTCTTGCCCGCTTCGAGGTACTTGCCGTACGATTGAAAAGCGCTGACAATGTCGAGCTGAGGCTGGCCCTCGCAGCTGCCGGGACGAATTGTGCCACCGTAGACCATTATGCCAGGTCTGTTGAGTCTGCCGAGCGCCATGAGAACGCCGGGCATGTTCTTGTCGCATGCAGGCAAGACGACCATGCCATCGAGCCAATGACCTCCCGCTACAGACTCGACACAGTCTGCGATCAAGTCGCGCGATTGCAGTGAATATGACATCCCGAATGTGCTGCCCTTTGCACGTCAGCGGCCATGCTACTCGGCGTCAAGAGGGAACGAACCCCATTGAGATGCCGTCCGAGATGCCCGGCGTGCCGAAGTGGTAGCCCGTCAGGCCCGCTTTGGCTATAGACTTTTTGACTCTTTGGCCTAATGCAAGTACGTGATTGTTGCATGGATTGCCTTCATACCATATACTCGCGACGCCGATCATCGGCTTCTGCAAGTCTGCGTCGGAGTCTATGCCTTCTGTAGCGTAGAGCATAGCCTGACTCGCTCCTTGGTCCTTTGGCTGCGTGATCGTCTTGCTGAATTTATTCAGGCCCTTGGCGTCTTGCGCCCTGCAGCAGCTCGTCGAGAAGGCGTTGCAGCACGACATGTTGCTCGTGCTTGCTATCCTGCTAGCTTGTCTTGCCGTCCCCAGCAATCTAGAAGTCATGGTCCTGCTGAGCTGCTGACTCCCAATTCTGTTCCTTCCTCAAAAATTCAATATTCCGGCGCGAACGACGTGACGCTGATTGGCTTCAAGGCACTGTTTGCCGCTTGATCTTCCAGTTGTCCAATGAGAGCAGCGTCTACTCTGCTTCATCCTCAGCGGCTCCAGATGCGCGATCATCGACAGATGAGTCTCATTCAATGTTCGTGCATTTCTTTACAATGCTTTGGCTCACGGCCAGCCCGCCAGCCTTTTAACCTGTCTCTAATGGTGACTCGATGGCTTATGACTCGGACGCATATGCGTTCTGGGCAGCCTGGAAGCCGCTGTCCAATCGAGTCTGGATCGCCTGACCTTGGCTCTTGATCTGGGTGGTGGGTGCCAGCTTGATGAGGCAGGCAGCCAGGGCATCGCTCGAGTTGCGGAGCGTGTTGATATCGTTCTTGGCGAGCGAGCCGAGCTTGAAGCTGTCGAATTGGCTCTTGGCTGCGATGATCTCCTTGAGAGCCGAGAGAGTAGGCGGCAGGATCGTGTTGTTCAGCGTGTTGAGGGTGGTGGTGGCCTGTGCAGAGGTGACAGAGGCAGTGTTGCCACAGTCAGCAGTGGCATTCTTGATGTCGTTGCTCGTCTTGAGCGCGGCAGTGTGCACCGAGTAAGCGCTGCTGTACGTAAAGGTCTTGGCTGCCAAGCTCTTGTTCAGCGACTGGGCATCGGCCGCCACAACGTTGAGCTGGCTCGTGAGCGCAGCATACCTATTCTAGCATCAGCATGGAGTAAGCTGTACGACGGTCTGCAGTCTCACTGTGCAACGGCGGACGAAGCGAGAGCGGAGACGATGGCAAGGGTGGCGAAAGTCTTCATGTTGCTTGCAGAGGCTCGGAGTCTGAGGAAGAGGGAACGAGTCCTGGGCTTTATAGGGCAGCGCAACGTTGTGGAGCATCCGGACTATGCTAGTCTCGCTGCAGGAGATCGATGACACGAAACAAGCGTTCTGCGTACGCATCTGGTGGGACAGCGGGCTTGCGGGCCATTAGTGGCTATTCGAGTCGAAACATGATGCTTTTAGATCCGGAGTCATGTCATGGAGCTACCCCGGACTGATCATGAGGCTGACTGCAGAGACCGATCACAATCGGCTGTGTTTGGGGCTAGGACAGGCAAGGTTTCGACAGCGCGGCTAGCCAAGCGAGATCGCGTCAGAGGAATTCTATTTGTGCAACAACATCGTCAAATAATCCTGCAGCAGGCAGAGCGGAACAAACGGATCTAGACATATTAAGGCCTCACGTGTATGCGAGGACCGGAGAGGTTTGAAAGCCGACAGTCTTTCTGGGTGCATCGGTGACCGAATCATCATCGCCGTCGTCTGGGAGATCTAGACCGTCGTCGAACCGTTGCATAGACGTCCGTTGGATATTGACGGCGAGATGGGCAGAGCGTACGGAGCCCATCGATGCAATCTGACTATTGACTTTGGATTGCGACATGACCGACGTGCTTGTCATCCGGGCGCGCAGGGTCGAACGTGCGTGTAGCGTGTAGAGAAGAGTGATACCGTAGCAGGAGGGCAATATGGAAGTGAAGGCCATAGAGACGTTGGATATCGCATAAGTCGTCGCGTAGGTAATAGTACCTGCAGCAGCACAGAGCGTCGTCAATGCAGCCGTCTCGAAGCTGAGCCGAATGAGCTGGAATGGGAAAGTCAGCTTTGCCCAAACTCAGACCGGTTGTGCATACATTTTTGACGAGCTCGTCTACAGACGGGTTGAAGCCGCGCTCTTTCTTGACGCTCTTGAGACCCCAGCAAAGTGTGGCAGTGATCATGATGTCGGCGGTGACGCTCGACACGAGCCAGATGAGGGTGACGATGAGCAAGAGGTCGTAAGACATGATCAAACTTCCATCAATAGATCTGATCTCGACGTAGGTGACGCCAATAGCGCCTGCCAAGCCGCCGAGCATGAAGATGCCAATGATGACTGGAATGAGCCTATTGTTGCCGCACATCCGGTAGCTCCGCTCCGCATAGAACGATTGCACAATAAAAGCGATCAACTGAGTGAAGGTTGATGCGAGTGCATCGCTGACAATGGTCGTGGAAATGGCGCTGTCGCTTCTGTCTTGGCTGACGCCATGTGAGTAGAGTGCCTGCGAGCTCATCAGCTCCGCTGACTGCCAACGAGCACCTCCGCGCACTTGGAAATTGAGAGCAGCATTGCAGACTTCGAGAGCGCAGACGACGCCGACGATCCACTTGATCAGCGGGCGGTCTTTCGGAAACACGACAAAATAGTCCAACGTGCGTGCGAGGATCCAGCCGAGCAGCAGCAATCTGTCATCAGCACCTGCGTCAGCATTGACTTGCTTCTGTTCAATCTCGACAGACGTACGACAAACCCCATCCGATGTACTCTGGGCCGAGTGTAAGATTGGCGTCAAGCTGGGGCGCAATCTGATCGTCATCCCAGCCAATTGGGTCGGTCGTGTTAAGTGACTCGTAGGCTCGCGCGGCCAGTCTGATGAAGCCGGCGTCCATATCTCGCGTAGGGGACCAGAGGCCGTCTATAAGTCGTTGGCCGGCATGGAGCGTGCGGCGGTGTGCTTGCTGCAATCCGAGTCTGTTCGTGAGACGCGAACAGGAAGATGCTTAAACATGGTTCGGCCCGGCTTGGAGCCCGTCTGATCATGATGCAGAATCACGGAAGGGAGATCGACATGATGCTTGTTGGCCTCCAAGGCGCTTATCGACCAAATCCGGCTTCGCGTTTCTCAAAATAACGCGTACCGCCTGCGCCACAGGACGAGTCGATATTTAGCTTAGGTCATGGCCAAGACGGTCAAGACTCCCGCAATAGTGTCATCGAGCTCAGCGGGCAAGCATCGCTACGCTGGCCTGCGAAGAAAAGCTCGATCTGGCGAGGCGCGGTTAGCAAAACGCGAGCATGCGCTGACGGCACAAATTGAAGCTGGCCTCTTTCACAAGGCGCTAAAGACCTGCAGACAGAGTAAATGAAACTGCCTCGGTGGCTCGTCTGCAATCTGCTGACACATAGCTTCCAATCCAGTCTTGAGGATTCAGCCGGACTCGATAGATCACCAACGCGTACAAGGGCAGATCCTGCTGGCGCTTGAAGATTACACAGCAGCGCTTGCGCTCCTGGAACATGTCCCTGCCTGCCAACTCGAGATAGCCTACTGCTGCTACAAGCTAGGGCAAGTGAGCCGGACGGCGGACCTCCTGCAGCATGGCGAAGATAGCCTCGACGAGGGCAAAGCGCGTGGCTTGCGCTTATTGGAAGCTCAAGTGGTGCGTCCGCATTGCCACAGCCTATCGATGTGCTTAAGCTTTGTCACTGTACAGAGGTACAAGCAAGGAGATTATCGGGAGGCCCTCAAATTGTATGAGGACCTCCTCGAGTCAAGCGACCCTGTGAGCGCATCGATGCTGCGTCGAGCCCTACTGATGCATCAGCATAGGCGTCACCTGAGCATGAGGATATTCAGAACAACTTGCAAGCCTGTCAAAGCCGCTTGGCCTTTGCATCATCGTTACCCGATCACATTGCGAACATGTCTACGCCAGTAGAGATGCTCGAGGCCACGCCGATACAATCGCTCATCGCACAACATCCGCGCTACAGACCGACGCAAGCGCCCGCATCGATCATATCCCTCAATGCAGAAACGAATAGCCAATCCAGCAAATTATCAAAACAGCCCGCCGTGGTCAAGACGCCAAAGCTACCGGCACACATTGCCGCATTGCCGCCCGCAGAGCGACCTGCGCCTGATCCAGAGCGATGGCTGCCCAAGCGCGAGCGGTCGACCTGGCAGGACAATCGCGCGAAGCGTGAGAAGGAGCGTGGGAAGATCAAAAAGAAGACTGCAAGCCAGGCGGGGCTCACACAAGGATCATCTGCTTCTGCGCCAGCTGCGAAGCCTGTCAACAGCGCTAATGCGAAGAAGAAAGGCAGCAAAGGCAAGAGGAAATAAATGCATTTCTGTTGCCAGCCTGCATCTGTTGGCACTCCCCACATTGTGCTTGTATGGAAGGTGACTGTGCCCATGACTGCATGAGTGCATGACTGGACGGACTGCCGGCCGAGTGAGTCACTGCTTTTTTGTCCGATCGCGCCAAAATTTGGTCGACGCCGACGACGAGAACTCGGTGGGCGGCGTGATGGCAGACGTGGTCTTGATAGGTCAGCCGGACGTGAATCTGCATGTCTTCGCTTGTGCTCACATGACCACCGACTCGCAGACAATGCGGATTCTTTGTGGGCCAGATCCAGAGCTTGCTGACTCGAGCTGACAACGCATCCCTTGCAGCACCTGGAATCTGTACGAATATCTTTGCAGGCTCGGCGCCCATGTGACGGTGTATCGATCGGATCTGGTCAGTCTAGCAGAAGTGCTAGCGGCACATCCCCAGCCTTCCCATCTCGTCATATCGCCCGGACCCGGTCATCCTCTTCGGGACTCGGGCATCTCGATACCCATCCTGCAGCACTTCACAGGCAAAGTGCCCATCTTGGGTGTATGCATGGGCTTGCAGTGCATGTACGCTCAGTTTGGCGGCATCGTCGACAGCGTGGGAGAGATCATTCATGGCAAGACGAGCGCAGTCACACACGACGGCAAGGGAATCTTCAAGGACGTCCCACAAGGCATCCAGTCCACTCGCTATCATTCCCTAGCAGGCAATCTGACCTCTCTTCCCGATGTGCTGGAAGTCACCAGCCGCACCCAAGGAGGGGGCATGACTGCAAACGGGCACGACGTCGTCATGGGCATAAGACACAAAGTCTATGCCATGGAAGCTGTACAATACCACCCAGAGAGCATCCTCTCCGAAGGCGGTCTCGCCATTCTGAACAACTTTCTCCAGCTTACCGGTTCTACCTGGGCTGACAACCCACAAAGTGGTCTTGCTGCGAACAAGGACGCATTGCCCAAGACGAATGGTACTGCAAGCCAAGCACCTACAATTCTCACCAAAATCTTCGCCAGACGGCAAGCGGATGTGGCAAAAGCCAAACGGACACCGGGCCGATCTCCTGCCGAGCTCGAGTCCCAGCTAGAATTGCACGTCGCGCCGCCGCTCATATCGTTCTACGATAGACTTTTGCAAGATGGCAGCTCGACCGCAGACGCAACAAGCTCACAAGCTAACAGCAAAGTAGCCCTGTTGGCCGAAGTGAAGCGTGCATCGCCATCAAAGGGCAACATACTGCCTCCTGATTCGGCCTTGTCGTCAGCCACGATCGGCTTGCAGTATGCCACTGCAGGCGCATCCGCGATCTCGGTACTCACAGAGCCTGTTTGGTTCAAAGGATGTCTAGAAGACATGCGAGCGGTGCGTATGGTCGTGCAAGCACTGCCGAACCGGCCTGCTATCCTGCGCAAAGACTTCATCTTTGACATCTATCAAATAGACGAGGCACGACTGTACGGCGCGGACACCGTGCTTCTCATTGTCGCTATGTTGGACGATGCCACGCTGAAAAAGCTGTACGACCATAGCTTACTACGAGGGATGGAGCCCCTAGTCGAAGTCAATAATGCGGATGAACTCAGGCGAGCGCTCGCGATCGGCGTAAAAATCATTGGAGTCAACAACCGCAACCTACACGACTTCGAAGTTGACATGTCCACTACGAGCCGGATGGCAGATGTCATTCGCCAGCAAAGGGGCAAAGAGACTGCGCGCGAGATCATCCTCATCGCTCTCAGTGGTATCACAAGCAGGACAGATGTGGAGCAATACATGTCGCAAGGCGTCGGTGCCATACTCGTTGGCGAATCTCTAATGCGTTCAGAAGACAAATCTGCCTTTGTACGGCACCTGCTCGGCAAGAAGCAGAACGGGCACACTGCACCAGCCCCTTCGCGGACACTCGTGAAGATATGCGGTGTCAAAACGCCTGAAGTCGCGCTAGCTGCTGCAAAGGCGGGTGCGGATTTCATTGGTCTCATCTTTGCGCCAAAGTCGAAGCGGTTTGTTGACATGCAACAAGCGCGCAAGGTTGTCGACGCCATCAGACAGACGCCTATCTGTGACCAACAGATCCCCACGAGCAGCAACGATTGGTTCGCCAGCTCTGCTGCTCGGTTGAGCCGCCCACTAGGACGGCCTCGCATCGTGGGCGTTTTTCAGAACGCGCCGCTGGAGACTGTCCTGCATACGGTTGAGACTCTTGAGCTCGATGCCTGCCAGCTGCATGGCACTGAACCCGCAGAATGGGCTCATCTCATCAGCGTGCCCGTCATTCGAGCGTTTCATGTCGATCAACACATGCAACAGAGCGACATTGCAAAAGACCCTTCGCTCGCTCAAGCTTCAAGGCCAAATCTGCATGCACTTGCGCTCTTCGACACCAAGATAGCAACAGACGCCCAAGGCCTGTCGGGTGGCGCTGGCAAAGCGTTCGATTGGACAGTAGCGCGAATGATCGCCGATGCCAGGACGAAAGATGGCTTGCCTGCCTTGCCGTTTCTGCTCGCAGGCGGTATCGACGTTTCCAATATTGCCAGCGCAATACGACAGACCCAGCCGTGGGCAGTCGACATCAGTGGCGGCGTAGAAACAGACGGCGTCAAAGACATTGGCAAGATCGAGGCGCTCTTGAAGGCAGCCCGTGAGGCCTGAACTAGATCACAATTAGCATTGTTGTTGTGCATTACGTGCCAGAATCGATCAGTGCTGCGACTGCAGGGGTGAAGATGTCCCGTGCAGCTAGTGAATCGAGCGCGCGATTCGCAGCTGGATCCCAGCCGAGGGGAAAGAGGTTTGCGCGCGGCTGGCCTTGCCGACGAGCGTTCAATTTGAGCTGGTTTTTCGCCGCAAACGCCTCGGTCACCTTGGCAGCATCGGTATTGGAGGGTATGATAGGCTCGATGATCGTGTGCCTTGGCATGAGTTGAGCTTGCGTATCGCCGGACAGAATGCGATGCCAAGTATCGTTGAAAGACGGTAGAATGTCGTCGACGGAGCGCTTTTCAGTGGGTGATTCGAGCTGCACATTCTCGATGGTAGTAGTCGGGATAAGGGGCGACATGGATCGCGATCTATTGCGCGTCATGGACGGTGGTCTGAGCGGAGCGGCTTGACCTGATTGAATAATGAAACCGACGGGAAATAGGGACCTCGTCTCATTCCACGGCAAACGACAGAGTGCGCTCTGAGGTATGGCATGTTTCGGCACAATACTGACATCGTATTCCTCGGGCAGGCTACGAAGCCAAGGCTTTGAAAGGGGTGGCATGCTATCCAATACTCGTTCCACCTGATGCTCAACCGTCAGACGATGACACAGCGCACGCCGTTCCAAGACGAACCTGGTCAAATATCGACATATCTGATCTTTCCGAGTCATCTCGTGGGTATACAGTGGCAAGAAAGATGTCGTCCAGAACCTCTTGCTGCCGGCCAACGTCTTGTAGATAATGCTTGATCAAGGTGTCCAGCAGCATCTTTGGATTCGACATTTTCGCTTCCGCGTGTACGATGCCTTCTTTGCTTCGGTCATGATGAACGAGAGTAAGATCGCGGCTGGCTGCTTTACCACAGTGTCGCACTTGCTTGCGTTGCTCCTCGGCCACTTCTGAGTAGAGCGAGCCCGTCGCGGGCATAAAGTAGGCTCTGATGAGGCTCACGATACCGGGCAGATCCGGTGTCGCTGTATCAAGCATGGCTCGGTAGACATGCTGCATCGGCGTCAGCAACGGCTTCGCGAACAAAGCTCGGTAGCTGACTGCTTGGCGAAAGCCAATTGACAGATGAAGCCATCTGTCTGCCATGGCGGCTGAGTTTTCGGCATCCGCTATCTTCATGAGCCGCGTTCGAGCGTTGTCCTGCCTGATGCGGGCACCCAGGCCCGTGGTGGCAGTCTGATCAAGCGCAAGTGCGTTTCGTGCAGCGTCGACATTGCGCAGCCTGATCCTTTCAATCTCGTCCAGTACCTGCAATGCCGGCCGCAGGTTATCGCGAACCTCGTTGAAGTGCGGCAGGAAGGCCTCGAGCGTTGCGAGGAGGAAAGCAATGAGGATTGGCAACGGCGCATCGAGATCCTCTATCTCGCGCGAGGTCATTGCGAGCTTGCCCTCGTTCGAAGCCATGCGGGAGGATAGCCTGAGCAGTGCTGCATACCGATCTGCCATTGCACTTCGTCACCGAGTCATAGAAGAACTTTAGAGACTTCAGCAGATTGCAGTTTGGCGCGCTTCTCCTCTCCTCTCCGCTCCTCTCCTCGTTAGCCTCTTTGCCGCTCTCAGCGTGGCCCAAACTCATTCTCGCACACTTCTCCTGATCATCGACAGCCGTACTCCAGCAAAGCCATATATGCACGCGATTCACGAGTCAACCTGATTTCATTCCTTCAGCACTCGTCATCTATTAGCGGCAGACTTCAAATTCCCCACGATGGTCCGTGTCCGTCCGGGCGGAACGGTCTGTGCAGACGCATCTAGAGGCCCACGATCGCCGCAGTCCGCATCGCCGTCCGCTTGTCTGCATCTAGGGTGACAGAGATCGCTCCCAGCGTTGCTCGCAAGATCGCGCGGTGCGCCTTCGCGAACCACTTCACGCGTCACCCGCACCGAGGGCGAGTCGGCTCTCACCGATTCTCCGTCTGCCCTCGGTCACATCGAAAGCCTGTGTAGCGATAGTCGAGCATGTCACTCAAGGCAGAAATCGAAACGTGGGTCGCTGCGCTGGACGCACACGATCAGCAAGACTACGATGCCTCGCTTGATCATTTTGCTACCATTGCGGTATCGAGCAAGATTCTGTTCAATGTGCGGCTCGCACCTAGTGATAGACAGCGCTTACTGATGCGCACCAGATTGGGATCATACATGCTGCTTTAGGCGCCCATGACGACGCAATCGCATACTTTAACCGGTCTATCAAGCTCGATCCGTACCTAGCAATATCCTACTATCAGGCCGGCGTCTCACACTTCTTGCTCGGTCGCTACGATGCAGCATGTGTCGAGTTCGATCTAGCTTACAAGGTGGGCTTGAGTGCAGTACCTCAAGCGGCTCTTTGCTGACAGCCTGCCGCAGTATCTGCGACATAATTCCACGGTTGACTACACCCAACTCGGTCTTCAATTCCGTCTATGCAGCTGCGAGGTACTTTTCAACACTGCGCTCTGTCTTCTAGCTACTCGTCGAGAGCAAGAAGGCATGGGAATGCTCAGAAAGGCAGCAATGGAAAAGCAGACGGATGACCATGCCGTCATCGATGAGGCCATCTCGGACGGAGCAGACGGCTATACAGTCTTCAGCGTACCTGTAGGAGTACTCTTTCGACCGCCGGAAGCGAAAGTAAAGAATCTGCAAACTCGAGATTATCTTGGCAAATCGAAGCTCGTCGTCGCCTCTCGCAATTCAGACGCGTTCGTTGGATTCTCGGGCGTTCAAAAGCTAGCGCAGCTCGGTGGCTTAAGCGACTTGCCGGTCAGCGAACCACCAAAGATATCGATATCATCCGGACCTTTCGCCGAGCCCCAGAAAGAGTACATCGATACGCCTATCGAGCGGCCCTTTGAACGACGCCAGGAGCCTCTCGCTTCCAGTCTGCAAAGACGACCGACGAACAACACAGAGAGTGTTACTGTACCGTCGAGGGAGCGATTGCCTATCGTCAAGCCGCTCACCATCTCACGACCAGGCTCAAGCTCGTCTCTCGCGCGTTCCAGCGAAGCTTCCAGACCGCCCGTCCGAACGCGCTCACGGGGCCAAGGCTCAGAACCCTCGATATCTGAGAGTGACCTCATCGACTCGTATCAAAACGATAGCGGCATGGTGGCGCCCTCGGACACTCCGCCTATTAATCGCATCGAAGAATGGGCGCAGACGAGCGGGCGCGGCCAATTCCAAGACAGCGATAGTGGCTACAGCTCGGTTGGCTCGAAGACCCAGCCTCGGCCGTCCCTAGCAGTCATGACAGATCTCAGTCCTCCCAATCGATCACGGATGGGGCTCTCTGCTGGCCCGTCTGACGGCCGTCGCGGTCAGGACCTATGTAAGCCTATGGAACCCTCACACCGACCGAAGCTCACGCTTGTGCAGTCGAGGATATAGACGGCCAATCTCAGTTCGGTGGAGCCAGCGCGGTTTCGGCCAATATGAGCCGCATCCGTCTCAAGCTGCAATATCGCAAGACAACGCGCGGCATGGTAGGCCTGCTACTGCCTGGCTCGACGCGAGCTAACATTACTCGCAGAGCATCGACTCTTACACGGACCTTGGCGAGATTCGCAAACAGCTTCTGCACAAGTTTCAGTCGGGTCCACTTGCGCTGCGCTACCAAGACGAAGATGGGGACGAGATCGCGATCGAGGATGAGAGCGATTGGGAGAGTGCGATTGATGCGGCAAGAGAGTTCGCGCAAGGTCGACCGGAGGGCAAGCTCAAGCTTTACTTAGAAGATCAGCGTGGATCGTAGATAATGCATGTACATGTACAAAGTGATTGCGACATGCAAAGACTATTAAGGGCCATCTAGTGGGCTGCAACTGCATTAAGCAGGCTGGCTTTCCAATCCGGCTTAAGCTGGTCCTTCTCAGTCAAGGGTGTGATCTCGTTCGCATTGCTGGGCGCTTGCACGCCGCCCGAGTGGATGGTCTTGCCTGTCTTGCGGATCTTCTCCAGAATGACATCAAACGAGGGCGTCTCTATCGAAGGCACGACGACCGTCACGAGCTGACTCGGCAGATCCTCCGTATGCTGCTGTATGCCTGAACAACGAGCTGACGTCAGTGCAAAGTCTGCAATGACAGGCGCTCGTTCTCACCTTCAGTCTTGTCGAGCACTCGCTTGATAGCGCCGGAGCCTGAGCGCGGCCTATTGTCAGCTTTAGGCGCCAATGAGCGAGGGCTGACTCACAGCCACCGCAGCTCATGGCGACGTTGAATTGGTACGTGATTGACATGGCTTCGAGAGTTCCTCACGAAAGCTAATGCTACTGCCTAGCAGGGCGGCGAGCTGATCAGCGCTGCTGACAGATCAAAACCACAAGACGTCAAAGCGCGCGCTTTCTCACGCGTTTTGCCACACGATGTCAAGCATGAGAGCGGTTAGCCTCGTCACAGGGGCAGTGTGCTGTCCTATCACAATGCATTCACAGTCAGCTTCTCCTCCAGACAATGTCGCTGCTGGACAGGGTACGCTTCGGCAAAGCGCTCAATGATGCGGCTTCAAAACCGAATGATATTGTGTCTCGAATGCGCTCAAGCGGCTGGTCTCGCGCGAGTGACGAGCAGGCACGTTCGTCAGGAGACGAAGAAGACGGAGAGACTCAGCCGGGTTATGTCGAATCGGCACAGGAAACTCTGCAAGGCGGCCTAAATGCTGTCCGGGGCTGGTGGTCGGGAGGGTCGAAGCCTGTTGAGCCTGCGGAAGCACCCGGTCCCGTCACGCAAGAAGGTCAATCGATCTGGAACAAAGTGACGACCGGTGCTGCGGCTGCTAGAGAGACCGTTGTCGCTCGCTTTGCAGGCGACGAAGACGCTGTCGATGAGAATGGCGATACGCACCTTATCCGAGTAATGAAAGAGTCAGCAAAATCTGTTGCGAGTCAGACAGCACTGAGTTTCCGTTGCAGGTATCACATAAGCAGAGCCAACACATCGTCGGATCTGCCAGTCTTTCTCTTCCCGCCTGCAGAGCGTTCGCGCGCTCCGCGGCCAACGGCAGTAGAGCAAGTCAGTCAGCGACAGCAATACCGATCCGAGAGCGAGTCATACGCAGCGAGATTCGAGGCAAGGCGTCCGGACACGTATCTGGGCAACGGCAAGCCGTCCGAGCTGGAATACAGAGCGCCAGTCGATGTGCGACAGCCGGATGTCAGATCACATCCCGAACGCGCACAGCCTGCTTCCCAGGATTTGCGACGGCGTATGCGAGAAGAAGTTGGGCAGGCTGGACTTCAGACTCGAGCACGTCAGCCTCGCGTGGCCGAAAGACCAGGCGTTCAACGACGAGATGGCGAAAAGCAGACCGACCATCGCGTCCGTGATAAGCGTGGCGGAGAGCCACCGAATACACGGGAGAGGCAGCCGGATAGCAGAGGGCTGCCAAGCGATCCTCGCCGTCGTCGTGTACAGTGAGATTGGACTTTGTCTGGGTTCACCTGCCGGATGTGCAATCTGTCCCACTTCCCACTTGCGCTCATGTATCTTGTCCGAGCAATGCTAAGAAACATCCAGTCGTTTCGCTCGTATCACGGCATTGAAGACTGCAGGCAAGACGGGAGGACAGCGCCCAGGAGGTTGTTGCTCTCTCTAGCCTCTCTGAAATCGCGCGTGTCTCGATGCATCGATGAGCACATTCGAACGGCCAGCTCCGGCCTTGCGTTGATCGCTTCATGGAGCCGCTCCGTCTTTCCTGACTCTAGCCTACCACTTCGCAGCCTCTTCTACATATATGTTGATCTTGTTGCGCCGCATAGCGGCAGCTGCGCCATGCCGACCGTGTTCAAACGTTCAAGGCCCGACTGGCAGTGGAAAAATTGACCCAGAATGCAGCGAGGTCTGGGTGAAGCGCGGCAGCCTACGATCACAGACCAGACATGTAGATTGAAGTCTCATCGGCCACCGTTGCCATCAAGCTCGTCGGCTACGTGTTCCACAAGACTTGCTCGGCTTGCTCGGTGACAGCCACCCCCCGCTCACTTTTGCTCTGCAATCCATAGCCTCGACGAACCGCTATGCTTAAGCTCTTCCTCCTCTCGACTCTGCTCGGTCTGAGCGCGGCAGCACCTTCGCCGCGCCAACAGGTCACTGACTTGACAGGTTCATCCTTGTTTGTCCCACTTGCATTGTCGCTTACTGCCTCTGCTCATCGCAGCCAGCATGCTGCTGACGTCGCCCGTTCTGAAGCCTACGATCAACATGCGACATACAGCCGGCGTCCGTGTTACAGTCAGCGAGACTCATGTGGTCTCGCTTGTTACAGTATGAGTCATTCCTGACTCCAGAGACCGATATTGATGCACGCCGCCCAGGCGCCCCAGGGTGTCTGGTTGTTTGAAGATGGACCAATAGAGTACTTGCACGACAAGGCGTATATGGACTACGTTCTCTCCGCCAACGTCGACCCGTCTACCTCTAGTCAGGCTGCCGCTCTTTCTCTTTCGCCAGCAAATGAAACGTACAGGCACGCAGATTGGCTGTCCAAAGATGTTCAGAATTGCTGCAAAATTGTCAGTGCTCCTTTGCTGCGTTGTTTTGAGCTCACGTCCCAAGCAGACCGTCTTCTACTGGCTCCATTTCGTATACAGCGCCCAGAACGGTTTGTCTACCGATCGCACCCTGCGCATCGATTGCGCCTGACGCAGATTGGCAGTGGCAATCAGTCTCGACAACGCAAAGACCGAAGTCGCCTATGTCTGCAACGATGCAGGTTTACCCTCTACGCCTTTTCCTCTGTGCACAGCTCGCTTGCCCAATGGTCTTTCGACTGGTCCGTACTCTGATTTGCAACAGTCTTGAGGCTGAGCGACGAGCATCTGACAGTGGGCAAGGGTACTGTGACGGATCCTGAAGTCCGCTCGCGTCGGGTTGGCACCGTGTAATATCGAGAGAGCGCCTCACCCTGTCCTGGATGCAACTCGCTGTTCCGCTGGCCTCGTCATTAGCAGAACAGACCGATCAGACATGCGCAAAAGCATACGCGCTGGCTGATGCTCACTCCAATCTTTATGTCCTCGCAAAGCTGTGCAACCCGAATGCCAGAAGTAACGCGCCGCGACAGCGTGATAAGTTGCCGAAACACTCTTATCAACCCGGACTACGCTATTTCAGCGACTATTCAGCAATGCGAGACCGGAACTAGTACTTGTGCTTATGACATGACAAGTCTGCGGTCGATCGTAGCATTAGCTACAGGGATCCGGGTTTCATTGCTTGCCACCGCCACGAGGCCCCTGCGGTACATGTTCCACAAGTACTGCCTGTCCGGTTCAACAATTACTCCGCAATGCCTACCACGGCTATATTCCTCAAGCTGCTAATCTTCCTCACTGCGATAGCGCCATGCATGGCAATACCTCCCCTGTTTCCAGATACGATCGATCTTACAGGTCCTTCACCGCCGGGTTTTCCGGGCTTTGCTGACTGGGCTTGCTGGATCTAGTCGGTCTGACACTCACCTGCGGGATAATGAAACCTCGTGCGTCGATACACAAGGGAGCAAGGGTCAGATTGTTGATAACGCCCTCGTTTGATGTCGAACTGCTTGATGTCCGGCCTTGCCTTTGCTCGTAGGCCCATCTAATCTCCTCTTATTGCACAGTCGGCAGCTGGCGATACGCTATACGAAGATGGGCCTCGAGAATATATAATGGAGAAGGTCTATATGGACTATGTCCTCCTCTCAGATGTGCAAGTCACCACACAAAGTACAATGCTGCCTCATTTTCGCATCGCTGTCTAGCTAAGTTATCTATTGCAGGCTGGCTTTCGGAGGACATCAAGAATTGCTGCAAGATCGTATGCATGCCCAACATCTGCCGCGGAAGCCTCTGATGATCCGCAGACCGCCTTCTTCTGGCTCATCTTCGAATACACGACGGAAGCCGGCTACTGTCGGGCTCAAGCTAGATACTTGCAAGCAATACTGACCTGTCTGTTGCAGTGGATGTCAAACTCGATGAGGAAAAGACCGCAGCGGCTTATGCCTGCAACGAATTCGGCGGGCCAACAGATGGCTTTCCGCGCTGCAGTGTCCCCTTGCCCGACCATATCGAGCCAAGTATGTTCGTTCGCTGAAGGCAGTAGGTAGCTGATGCCAAGGCTGGCAAAGTCGACGACTGTGTCAGCGTCGATGCTGCCCTGCACATAAATCGCATTGTCGATTCATGAATGCAGCGCAAATTTCTCGCACACCAGACCAGATCCCTTGCGCCTTTGAGCGATGCGACCCGCTTGAATCCATAAATGCCGTAGCCTGGCATGTCACACATCCTAGATATGGCATCGCTCTAGCAATCTGTCCACGCACGACGAGAGCGAATGCGACGACTTCGCTCTGGAGCTGTATGTCGTCCTGGCGATCAGTTCGGTTGCGCTGACACTTTTGCAACAGCTCACTTCTTCCGTCTTCATACCAACATATATATCAGATGCTCGCCTTCGCTTACACGCTGTTTGTGGCCTCAGTCGCTGGAATCGCGTTGAGCAGCGCACCCGATAACCGTGGAGATCTATCCTTCACCGTTGATGGTCGGTTTCTGATCTCCTCGCTCGACCCACTCACAGATGACCTCGGCCGGCAGCAAATGTCATGTTTCAGACCTGTGCCTATCCGCTTGCGGCAGGCGGCTCGGCGGATCAAAAACTCGCAAAAGCGATTTCGGTCACGATCAGCCTTTCGGGTAATCCGATAGAGCCCACTCCGGTCGGCAATCTTGATACAGTATGGCGAAGACATCATCAAAAACTTTCGCTGACTGTCATGTTGTCCGCAGTCCACCGGCGGCCAGGCTGGCATCATCGTCGCTGTTATGTCCTACGGTACGTTCTGCCCTCGATCGATACATGGTATCCATCTCATGCGGACTGGCTAGCCAACGAGATCGATCCGTACTATCAAGTCGGCATCCAATTTGATGTCGATACAGTCAGCAGTGAGCGTATCGCAGACGAAGCATGCGCCCGTTGATTGGTATCCGCAGGCTGTTGCCATGGGCAGGGAATGGCCCTCATCAATCTTCGTGAGCATTCTGCTCCACGGGCCATCAGACAGCTGAGCGTCTTGTCTTACAGATCTCGATGGTCGAATGACGGATACCGCTGCAAATCTGCATCTGAGTGGGTTGCTGTGTCAACGCGACGTCGTAAAACTGATTGCGTCGATCAGCCTGCGACAGCAGCGGTACATGTCCTTTCAAGCCCCATAGCGGCACGAAGCTTTGCCCACATGACCGCTTCGCCATCTCCGGCAAGCACAATTGATTCGCAATGTAGTTCGACTGCTATGCTTTGCAACTTGTCCGACTGCTTTGCAACTTGTCCGACAACCCAGGGTGCTGGTGCGACTCTAGCGTACAATTTTGCGCCTCATAGCTCTACAGAGTATGCTGGCCTGAGAGAGGCGATGGTAGTGAGGCTATTCTTGATAGCGCTGACCGCTATCCGATAGTCGCGAGCATAGTATGCGTCGCGTAACGCAAAGAGGCCATTTTCGACAAGGGTATCGAGCGTGCCACTGAACTGCTGAAAACCACCTTGCAAACCGAGAACGGTGTGTCGGCCAGTCAACTCTTGCATGGTATCTGTGCCCAACCAGGCTGCAAAGGCAAGACAAGCGACGGTTGTCCCCAACGCAGCGCCCGCGAGTACTTGCTCTTTTGTGTGATAATCTAACCTGACGCGTGACCAGCACACACTGACAGCAAGCAAGAGAGACACGGCTGCAAACAGTAGTCTGCTAGATTGTCCGAACAAGGCACGCTTGTCGCCATGGAGCTGTTGCGCTGCGTGATTCGCGCCTGGAATAATCATACGCGCGCGAGGATGAATTTCGAGGAGCATGAAGCAGAGTGCGAGGTAGACGCCGATGAAAGCCATCGAGCTCGAGTGGGTCGATGGCATGCCGTAGGTGACCTTGCCGCTACCGGTCGGTCGAGGTTGTCGAATACAATGCTTGAGCAACTTTGCTGCATTCCTGCATCAGCTCGCGCAGATCGCACAACGGAGAAGGGCCGCTAGCCTGTCCATGCTGCTGCTATTGCGCCGAGAATGAGGTAGCAGCTATGTGCGTTGCGGAGCTGAAGCACACCGAGCGCGCAAAACGTCATCGTTATCGCTTGCGTCTGAAGTCGCACTATGTCAGCTGATGGCAGCAGACATGAGGCGACTGACTTCTCTGAGCACTCGGAGGTACGCCGCCCGTACGCGACCTTTTGTCATTGTGCGGCGGAGGGCGAGACTGGGACAGTTGGGGACGAGTCTGAACAACAAGCTCAAGTCAATTGAACGCGTTTCCGAGCTTCCGGCTCAGCGAGACGTCGAGGGTGTCAACAGTGCTCCCGGCCATGCGCAAAACTACACGAGTACATAGGCTGATCATATCACACCTTGCAACCCACTCAGAGATCCCTGCTTCGAAGCAAACCGCTGCCTGCCTCCCCAAACACTGCCAAACTGGCATATCACGCATGACCTCTCAGGAACGTACACGGCACATCGACGCAGCTTTGAGGAGATCGCTTGCCACTGTACACGCAGAGCTGCCCTCAAGATAGTGCGCATCGTGACATTTGCGGCTACATATCCGGACCGTGGTCGTCACGGCGACTGTCGGAAGTTTGATACGTCCCCAAAGTTGCCCGAAGCTTCACAGCAGGAAGGGACTGTAATCGTGTTGAGCTAATCCAAGATGTACAAAACCTTCGCTGTCGTCCTTATGCTTGTCTCCGGGCTCGCAGCAATGCCTGCAAACAGCCACGCCGTTGTCGGTGACAATTCGAACAGTGGCGTGGGAGGCAACGCGGCCAAGAACACAGCCGCCTTGGGCAATCGCTGGTGCACGCTCTCGCTTACAGATGCTGTCCACCAAACCTACAACATCAACTTTAGCCTTCTCTATTTGGAAGACGACAACAAATACTTTGAGATCCTCGACGAGGGTAGCCCGTTTGCATTCCCCAATCTCCGCGCCAAGGCTTCGTCCTATCTTGGATACGACGCTGCAGAGTTCAAGTGTAAGCCCTGTTTCAATTTAATCGTCAAGCGCTGAGCGCTGAGTCGAGCGCAGTCCCAACCGGCCAGCCGGCCCAAATAGATATCACCTTTTACTCGATCTCCGCCGAGGGGCTGCTTACCTATCATCTCTCACCCTCAACCGTTAAAGGCCACGGGTCCGTTACAGCTGACTTCAGGCAAAGCGTCACAAGTCTCAAAGGCGCGCAGCTTGACCGCTTGGAACCTTGCTTGCTCCACATCGCCGAACGGTCTCAAGTCCCCGGTTGCTCGCCTCTTCTAGCTGCAATGTCTAGATTGCATGGTGACATTGGTTGTCAGGCTTCCAGCAGTATAACAGGCGCGTTGTTGCCTTGGTACCGCATTGCTCGCGTTGCTGCCTCTTTCGTGTTACGCGCGAACACCACACTTTCCGGCGATTTTTGGGCAGCCAACGGTATACATAAGGTACAGATCGGCAAGCCTCTACATCAAAATAATCGATACGGCAAAGTACACAGAATGCTGGCTAGATTTTTGACCGCCTTCCTCCTCATTTGCAGCGTTGGCCAGATCGTTGCCTCAGACAGAGGTCAGCAAGGAGTCAGTCCTGACGACGGTACAGATGGTGGCAGCAGCAGCGCAGGCGCGCCAGATATCGGCATCGGCAAACTCGGAGGCGGGCCCTGCGTGCTCACTGCCACGACGACCGATACTCGCGTCCATAAGATCGCTTTTGCCATCAGCTACGTTGACACGGTTGGCGTGATTGCCAACCTCATCAGCGAAAAGGGAGGCGAATTCGATGCAGGTACTGTCTATCCACACGCATTCGAGTACCTCAAATTCCGCGTCGCCGAGTTCAAATGTTAGTCACCACGTATCTTGCGAAGTATGGCTCATCGTCAAGCAGTCCCTAAAACTCAGCCTGCACAACTCGACCTGAGCTTTTATTATTCGCCTTTGGACGGCTCGCTCGCTTACCACCTCAGTCCTTCCACGGTGTACAACAAGGGGTCAGTGACAGCGTTACAATCGCGTGGTGAGCTGACATTTCTACCAGTTTGACCAGCTGGTCGCTTGAATGCAACAGGGAACCGATTCCAAAGCTCTTCTGAGCCCTATGATGCGAGCAATCAATCTTTTGGTGCAGCTGTCAATGCAGTCTCACTCTTTCGTACATTCGGCAGTGCCGCAAGCCTTCCGCAAATGGATCAAATCGCAAGCTTGATTGGCTTTGTGCTTCATCCACTTTCTCGCTCAGTCACGAGAAGCCCCTGCACATTGCGACAAGTCGCGCCTATACGAAGCGTTGCCTCATCATTCCATACAACCCCTAAGGACCGCCCATCTCAGGAAACGCTGCGAACAGCCTTACATTGACAAGATAAAGCGAATCAAAGCAAGACTGCGCTTCTCAAAGATGTTCTCCCGATTCGCCTGGGCGTTTCTCCTCGCCTTTGGCATACCACAGTCTGTTGCTGCACCCAGCAAAGGTCACCATAGCGTTGGCTCGCCTGGTGATACGACAGCAAGCGTGGGTACAGCGCATGACATCGGCATTGGCAAGCTGGCAAGCGGCTTCTGCGCGCTTGATGTGACTGCAACGGACGGACGCCATGCCAAGATCAAATTTGAGCTCATCTATGATGCAACGGTGGGAAACGTCTTCAAGCTTCAGGGTGAGGACAAAGGCGAGTTCCCCATCGGGGATATCAGCCCCATACGCTCCGAGTATGCTGGCTTCAGTGTAGCAGAATTTCAATGTCAGTCAAGCTGAGCGATCCTCTGCCCAGCTGAGCCTGTTGTGAAACAGTCCCCAGCTTCCAGCCTGCAGAGATTGATCTCGTTCTGTACTACAATCCCGGCCAAGCCTCCCTTGCATATCATCTCAAACCCTCGCAGCTCTACAAGACCCGGTAGCCCGATTGCAGATAGCAGCAGGCTCAGCTGATTTCGGCCGCAGATTGGCCGATTGGTCGCTCGAATGCAATCAACAGAACATCCCCTTGTTTTCTTAGCAACGATCGTCGAAAGCGTTGTCTGTTCCATTGCAATGCCTTACCGGCCTTACCGACCAATTCGTCTCTCAGCAGTTTGCACCAGAATCATTGTGACTCAGGCGCAATGAATACATGGATCTGGTTTCTATGCGCATCGGTACTGCAAAGTATCGCTGCCGCTCGGTTCGGGACTCACTGTGTGCTCGATGTGACGACAGCAAAGAACGCCGTAGGCGAATACTATGACTACTCGATTGGTCTCACACTTCGCCATGATCACACTGGCGCTATCATCAGAGCCATTGGAGATGAGGATCAGGCTGTCAAGATTGGCCAGGCCCTGGCCGTCAAGAGCGAGTACGGCAGATACAAGGTCGCCAAGCTTGCATTTCCCCGAACGCCCAGCAACTCAATCGAGCTTTGGTTGTTCAAGGACTTCGAGGGCAAGCTTTACCATCGGCTCCCGTCGTCAACCATCGACGGTCTATCGTGGGTCTCAACCAAGCTGTGGATGCGAGGCTGACCTTCTGCGACAGTCTGACGCAATCGTCGCTCTCATGCATAAAGGGGCGACACGGAAACAGTGTGCCTGTTCCGCAGCTCATGAGCGATACCTAAAACGCATTGCATTGTCATGGTAGCACTGCCGGCTCGCTTGTGTGTGATCGCGATCGCTCAGCCGCATTGAAGGAAAGGATGATGATTTCGATCTTGCTAGCAAGCTTGGCATCGGTCATGCTCACCGCAGCTGCACCTACTGCACCGGCGGTCAGTGTGACCGGCACTAGCGGTAGCGGTGAACTGTTCAGTCGTACCTGCAAGCTTCTTGCCAACACGGAAAAGGTAGATGCGGCAACGGCGGCAAGAACGCATGCGCCCATCAACAGTCAAATTGACTACATCATCTGGTTTCACCTGACGTGGAACTCTGCAAAGGGTGTCTTCGATCAGGCTGTCGCTCAAGCCAGCAATCACCATGAAACTCCGGCGATTGTGTATCCCTATGTCGATTGGATGACCTCCGAGTTTGTTTGTGTGCAACTTGTTTTCTGAGAGATGAGATGCGCGGCTGACGGGAAATTCGGAACAGTCAAGATCCCGGGCGAGGTCCCGGCTGGAAGCAGCTATGTCGACATCACGCTGTACTACAAGGTCAGAACGGGCGAGTTGGCGTACCACCTCTCGCCGTCGATCGTCAATGGTCTGACGTGAGTCGCTTGTAAGAAAGCGATAATGTAAGAGAGCTGATGAGTGTGCAGCCTGATCAGCTGGTCAGTGTCGTGCCAGGCCTCTGATGGAAACACGGATGTCGATATTCCACGTCTGTATTGAGCCAATGGCGATAGTCGCAATGCATTTGGTCTCCTAAGCATCACGTTTGCCACTAATCTTGGTGGCGTCGGCCGGACAGTATTTCTTACCTTGGAAGGGATCAAAGTCGCACTGCTCGTTGCTCTCGCACGTGAGGTTGATGCCGGCCAAGCCGTCCGTCATACGACCATCGAGGTCTGTTTTTCAGGAGTCAGCTCTTCCGACGCGAGTCAAGGAGAGCGTTTACGAAGATTGATCGTAGCTTCACCCTTGGGCGTGCAGCAAAAGCCACCGTCGAGGGGCAGAAAGTCAATCTTGGCCTCGTAGTAGCCTCCGTCGGCATTGACAAAGTTGGTGATCGTGACGGTGCTGACGTCGCCTTTTTGATCCTATCGAAGGAATCAGCAACGAGCCAGGCTGTCACGACCAAGGCACTAACGACCGCGACCTGGCCGCTTGTGGAGCCATCACTGGCAACGCTGAACGTCGACTTGACGTTGCTGTTGAGCAAGAAGGTGGCAAAGCTGGAAGTCTTGTGCATGTAGGTGCAGAGCTGGTTCACCGCAGTGACTATACTGATCGTCAGCCAAGATGGTAACAAGCTACTGCAGACTTGCTATCAACGGTAAAAGTGAGCGAGCTGCGTTCTTGCAATGCAGGTGCGCCGAGCGCAAGTCCCGAGAAGAGAGCAATCAGAGCCGTATACATCATCATTCTTGCTGATCTGGTTGAGAGTGTAGGGAGGCCGGATACCCTCTATTCAATTTGGGAGCGTGGAGATGGTGGATAAGGCGTTGTATTTCATGAGTTGCAAGGGGAGTCGGTTGCCTTAGCGATAAGTTGCGATGTGACGACACATAGATGCACGGAACCGATGCAGCCAAGCTACGAGCAACAGCCCTGCATGCGGTCAATGAGCACGCGCGGAACGTGCACTATAGGCGCGTACACATGTAAGACAATCAAGGACACCCAAAAGGAGCCCAAAGATGGCATTGAAAGGCCCTGCATGGCGTATGAGGAATGATGATCAAGTCTTTGAAGGCTTCACGTACATATCACGATGCAAGCGAGGATAGATAGGATGCCTGATCCACTGGTTTCGCATATGCATGGGCCCGAGCGACAGTGTAGCTTGCCTGACGCCTCGAATGAGCTGCCACGTGCAATGCGATTCCTCAGTCGAGCGCACCGACGAGGCAGCCGCAACCTCCTCTGAGCTCCTCCGCCTCTTGCCATTCATCTCGGGAGCTTAGGCCCTCTTCCAAGTCGTACGGTACCTGGCGTGGCAGGGCATGCCGGACAGGCGCGGTCAGAACAAGCACAGGCTGCGAGAGTGTTTGAATCGACTGCTGGTCAGACGACATGTCCATTCTGACGTATTGCTTGAGCAATGCTGCTACACGTTGCTGTGCGGTGCGACGCGTGAAACGCTGCGGAAGTCGCAGGGCGACCCGTGTCCGCCTGTTGCGCGCATTCCGAATATTCCGCGATGCCCCATCAATGCGCGGACCCTTTCAATTCGGAATCACCTCTTATATAAACCGATGGCCATTTATTCCCAAATCTCACTGCTCAAATAGACTATCCCGTTGTGCAGGGCACTCCAGACTCTCGGATGACACAAGATGACAAGCTTGTCGTGCCCGAGTCATCAAGAACAAAGCCCGGCGAGGCTGGCGAGACAGGCTCAATTCGGCCGCTGCCAGAGCTAGACTTTTGCTGGCAAGATGTCTGCTTCACCAAGTCGGGCAAGAAAGCTCCAGTCCAGATCCTCAAGGATGTCTCTGGACGCGTCAGATCAGGCGAGATGCTTGCTATCATGGGGTCGGCTTTCGCGATCTACTGGTCAAAAAGTGCTGACACGTGTAACACCCTTGCAGACCCAGTGGTGCCGGCAAGACCAGTTTACTCGATTGCCTGGCTGGACGCGCCAATGGACAGACTACTGGCAAGATCATGCTCAATGGGCATACCTCGTACGATAGAGCACAGCTCACGACCTACGTCGAACAAGACGATGCGTTGCTAGGCGTCTTGACCGTCGCAGAGACTTGTTCTTTCGCCGCTCGATTGGCTTCACCGAGCCCGATTGGCAAACATGAGTTGGATAGACTCATCAGCGACACCCTTGCCTCTGTCGGGCTTTCCCATGTCGCTGGCAACCAGATCGGCACGCCCATCCAGCGAGGTCTGTCCGGTGGACAGAAACGTCGCACCACGCTTGCTGCAAGCATGGTAACGCGTCCTGCCGTGCTCTTCCTCGATGAGCCCACTTCGGGCCTCGACAGCACGTCGAGCAGCGAGGTACTCCAGGCTGTGAGACGTGCTTGTCGTGCTCAGGGCACAATCGTCATCGCCACGATCCACCAGCCCTCGTGGGAATCGCTCTCGCTCTTTGACAATCTCCTGCTACTCTCGTCGGGCAAGACGATGTACAACGGTGAAGTGTCTGGATTGCCCGATTATCTTGCTGAGCTCGGTCATTCGCTGCCTCCGTACGCCAACCCTGTCGATCTGGCAATGGACCTCATCAATACTGACTTTGGCACCGAGGATCGCAATGCGGCGATCGCCATGACGCAGCTATCTCAGTCACGCAAAATTGCTCACGAGGAGGTGCCCGTAACGGCCTTGCCCGAGACAACTCATGGCCACCGTCAGACGTATCTCTGTCAGCCGTTGAGAACGACAGGCCTGCTCATGCAGCGTCAGATGGTCAATTATTCGCGCAACATCCTCGCATACGGCATTCGACTTGCCATGTTCGCTGGCATGGGCGCTATGCTCGCTCTCATCTGGATCCGACTCGGTACAGACAGTGGCAAGATTCAGGACCGACTCTCGGTCTCCTTCTTTAGTGTCGCTTTCCTGTCGTTCATGTCTGTCAGTGGTGTGCCTAGCTTTCTCGAGGAACGATCGGTCTTCATGCGCGAAAGAGGCAATGGCCTGTACAAATCATCCCACTTTGTCCTTGCGACTTCGATCGTGACAATCCCTTTCATCTTTGCTTGCTCGCTTTTATTCACCATTATCATCTATTTCTCCATCGGACTCCACCCTGGCGCCGGTCACTTCTTCCAGTGGTTTGCTCTTCTCTTTCTTGCCATCTATGTCGCCGAAAGTCAGGTCCGTGCTCGCGATCACGGCAAGGACGTCGTTGATGATATCTTGCAGGTCTTGATCATCAGTGCAGCCTTTCCGATCTTCGTTGTCGCTCTGGCACTGTCGGCCTTTCTCAACGGCTTTTGGATGGCAGTCCAAGGCTACTTCATTCTGGCGAAGAATCTGCCCAGGTTTTGGTACTACTCTTTCCATTTCATGGACTACGAAAACTTTGCCTTTTCGGCAATGGTCAAGAGCGATCTCGAAGGCGTAACGTTTACCTGTCCCGGCTCAATCGCGGACGGAAGCTGTCTCTGTCCGTATCCATCCTCGCTCATTCCTCTCGGGCAATGTGCAGTCTCGGGCGATGATGTGCTCAAATCACTGCAACTCGATGGTATCTCCATCAGGTTCTACGCTGCCGTTCTTGTCATCATCATCGTCATCTACCGTCTACTATTCTGGGGTGCGCTGGCGCTACGACGCCGTTGATCGTCCTGCCAGACGCAGCCATCTGCTCATACTTGGTGGTCAGCTTACCGCTGCAGCATGTAGAATAGCACCCCTGTATCAGGCTCAGAGCGTATACAATGTTGTGACAGACTTGTACCCCTCTCATATATGTCGACACGATGCGATACGCGTGATGATTCGTGCATGTGGCGCGCGCGTGCTCTGACTTGGACGACAATTCTCGATTGTGCCGAGAAGCCAATGGCGGTCAAGGCAGCCAAGCGCAAGGAGTCGCTGATCGGATCAATCCGCGGGACTCTACTGACATATGACAATCTGCGAACGGTACGCATCGATGCACGCCTGCCCCGCTGTTAGCTGATTCTGCATGATGACGACGATCAGGCCATCTTTTGGCAAGTCGAGCGGCGCCGAGGCCCATGGCGGAGCTGACACTCACACTGAATAGGTATGTCGTACAGTACTACTTCACAAAGTCGTATCGCCACTTGCGAGCAAGAGGCGTCGCTCCAACACTTCACGATGGCTATCTCTGGCTAGCAAAGGTAAACCCCTCACGGCGACTCCTCCTTCCCCAGCTGAAGCAAGCTCGCACGGCGTACAGTCTGTCTTCAGTCTTGTGCTGTCTACACCGCCAGCGCGAAGGAAGGTCAATCAGCAGCTACAGGCGGCCGAAGACGACATCATCGCCAAAGTCGCGCCCAAGCATGAAGGGCTCTCTTCTAATGCTACGCTACCTCACCATGGCATGCCGAAAGACTGGGTAGAGGGCGAGCTGGAGAAGATGGAGCAACTCAAAGCGACAAAGTGGGCCGATGGGCGTGTCTCGGGCGCCGTCTATCACGGTCACACTGAAGGCGAGATTGGTCAAGTGATACAACAAGGTAGATCACTGCAACGCTGGACTGTCCAGGCGCTGATCCACTGACAGCGATGGCGCGCTTCATTCTCACCAATCCACTCCATCCCGATGTGTTTCCCGGCATTCGCAAGATGGAATCCGAAGTCGTCAAGATGTGCCTCGCCATGTACAACGCAGACGAGAACGGCGCAGGCACGACTACCAGCGGTGGCACAGAGGTACTAGACCGTTCTCAATCGGCTCATCGCCAGCTGAATCCAATGTGATCTGTCGCAGAGTATCCTCATGGCGTGCAAAGCCTACCGCGATTGGGCAAAAGCTACAAAGGGCGTCACGGAGCCAGAGATGTACGCGCGGCTCCTGCAGATCAGAGCTCCAGACTGATCTATGCCAAGGATCATTCCTGTGTCTGCGCACGCGGCCTTCTCCAAAGCAGGCGATTACTTCGGTATCAAAGTTCACACCATCTCCGTTGATCCCGTTTCGCGCAAGGTCAACGTCAAGCAGGTCAGACGCGCCATCAACAAGAATACAATCATGGTATGCAAAACAGTCTCGGCACTTGTGATCATACTGATGCAATGCAGCTGGTCGGATCTGCGCCCAACTTTGGCGACGGCATCATCGACGACATACCTTCTCTGGCTGCACTTGCGCTCAAGCACAGGCTCGGTCTGCATGTGGATTGCTGCCTCGGTTCATTCCTGGTGCCTTTCCTCGACAAGGCCGGCTTCCCGAGCGAGCCTTTTGACTTCCGTGTCAAAGGCGTCACGAGTATAAGCTGCGACACCCACAAGTATGGCTTTGCGCCCAAGGGCAGTTCGGTCGTTCTCTGTGCGTCTTCTACCATGTCGTTATTTGCGTCGACCTGACATATCGACAGACCGAAACAAAACATATCGCAAGTATCAGTATTACATCATTACCGACTGGCCAGGAGGCGTCTATGCGTCACCCTCGATTGCAGGCTCGAGGCAAGCTAAGCAGGTTTGCTGTCAGCGGCTGGTACTGACAGCGATTGTTGGCTTGCAGACCTGGTGCACTGATCGCAGGTGCATGGGCAGCGATGATGTATATGGGCCAATCGGGTTATGTCGAATCCTGTCAACAGATCGTTGGTGCCGCGAAGCGTATCGAATCAGCTATTCGCACCCAAGTACCCGAGCTGCACATTCTAGGCAAGCCACTCGTCAGCGTTGTTGCGTTCGATTCCGACGTCGTCGACATCTACGAAGTCGGAGATCGATTGGGCAAGAGAGGCTGGCATCGTCAGTCGGCTCACAGATTGAGCTCGCGTTGCTGATTGCGACCCGTTCACAGTGAATGCACTACAGAACCCGCCCGCTTTGCATATCTGCTGCACCCGACTTACCGTTGCTGCCGTCGAGGACCTGATCGCCGACATCAAATGGGCAGTGCAAGAATCAAAGTCTGCTGGGCCCGGCAAAGGAGACATGGTCACCTTATATGTCAGTCAGCTCCAGTCCGATGCTGCTCGTACTGATGCGAACCATATAGGGATTGGGCCGCTCGACTGTCGTCGGACCTGGGTTGGTGGCAGAGATGGCCTCGAGATACATCGACACGCTCACACACTTTGCGGGCTGAAGAGCCGCGCACGTCGATGCCAGATGCTTGCTTCAGTACAAAGCAAGATCATGATGTGTACCACACAAAAGTCTTGATGCAAACACGACTGTATGTCTCGATGCGTTGCTTATCTATGAATCGATTGGCTGGCACAGCGGCTGCGCTGCACGTGCTGCTGCTGCATATTGACCGCCGAGGAGGATGGAGGCGTCTGCTTCGCCGCGTTCGACGGCGTCCATCTGCTTGCAAAGATCGTAGTTGATCTTCTGCGATACGACCGAATCGTGCTTATAGTCCGGATGGGCATGAACGAACTGGCGAATCCAAGTAGCTTGCGTGACGAGCGTGCCGTTGGCGCGCTGCGAGATGAGGTCAAAGTACTTTGCAAGTTCGCATCGGGTGCTGATATCGACATTGAGCGAATTGAGGTAGCCTCGTATCAGTCCAAGCAGACCCGGGAAGCCATCATCTTTGCCGTTGATGATCTCGTCAATCGACATGGCTTCGTATTCTTCGTCTACTGGCCTCAGCTCCGGACTTGCTGGTAAAGAGGGCGTGCTCGCGCGAGATGACGGTCGCGAGCTAACGGGCGAGTCTGGACGCTCTCGAGACCCGCTCGGCGCGCCGGACCGCTTGCTGACAGACCGGCCTCTGTTGGAGAAGACGTCCTTTCGGAACCAGAACTTCTGCTCCTTGCATGCATTCCGCTTGTGAGCAATCCCCATGTTCTCGTCCACCTACTCACACGTCAGCGCATCCGGCTATACGACAAACCTGGCAGACCTTTGATATGGGCATGTAGAAATTGAGGCCGAAGCTGAGTATGGCGCGAGTGAGCAAGACGATGAAGACGGAAAAGGCGGCATTCTCAAAGTCGGTGAGCTGTACCTCCATGCTTCGAAATTCGACACGCCAGCCTATGTCAGAGCCCGGAGGGGGTGGCTTGAACCTCAACGTCTGCCAATTTGTGGATTGCAAGTTCTGTACGAGGTTGAGCTTATCTATGTGATTTGGGGGAGCTAGATCTACCTCAAAGTGATCCGAGCTGACCGAGTCGTCTTGGTTAAGTGTTTCCGCAAAGATGACGATGGGATCGCGTATGAACAAGTGAGCAATGTGATTCGCCAATAGCTCGTCGAGGCCTTCCAGGAATCTTTAGCCAGCTGATGCGACGTGTCAAGTGGAGCTCACCCGCAGACAATAGTTGTTGTCGGACCTTATCGTTGATGGGCATGTCATTGTCATTATACTCTGGCCGGTTCATCGGATCGTTGGAAATGTACGAGTCTACGCTGTCGTAGCGCGATTTAGGTATCCTGTACTTTGATTTTGATAGAGGCTACCGATTCTCTCAGCGATGCAGGAGGAGCTAAGGCAAAGGAAACACACCCTGAGGCCGCGTTCTTCCTCTGTACGATCGTCGACGCTACCTGCGATGACGTTCCATCGGCAGTCGACATCGGCGAGATAACCCCTGAAGATAGGCGCAGCAGCAGTGAGAGCAAGCTGACAGTCCAACGGCCCATTCATTGAGCACAGAGCTGAGCTCAGAGCGGACGCGGACTGACCATGATGGGTCCGAGCGGTACGAGAGCATCGTAGACGCGCCGCGCTTCTGCCACGCTGCAGGCTTGAAAGGTGATTTGCAAGCAGCAGCAGCCCATGCCAAAGCCCATGGCGTCCATGTAGATATGATCAGGCAAAGCTGCGCCCTCTCGGGCCTCTGTGAGACCCAGCATGTCTCAACGACGGATCTCGCTGTGGACCTGCAAGGCCTACCCCTGTCCTCTGGAAAGACGTCGCGGTCCCAGGGAATGGCGGGATCGATGAAAGGCTGCGGTGTACGGCTGTCGCGGTAGATGGGCATGTTCATGGCGACTTTTGAGCCTCTCCGCCGTCGAATGTTCGCAGAGAGTGTGCTGTCCGGAACTCCAGACTGAGTACCGGACAGTGCTCAGGGTCATAAGACGTACGGGAAGCGAACGTGAGGATTGATCATCTCGTCTGGCAGGAACAAGCTGTGACTGGCTTGACCGGTTGGCTCGTGATGAGGATCAAGAAAGACGCCCTTGACGCCGAGTCGGGGAAATGAGGTCATTGTGATGGGAACCTCGTGTCGCTTCATCTTCTGGCGGGCAAGCTGCCGTCTGCGAGCACACTCGTCCCCTCAGCACGGTCATGTCGAGAGCTCGCTGGCTGACCTGAACCTCATGTTGGTCTCGACGGACAGCAAGTCGCGCAGAGTGGCTCCGTAAGGCGCACCCGGTGTTGACTCAAGCATGTAGCGTCCGTACTCTGGGTGAAAGGTGGGCATGACCATACTGCAGCATCGCAGTCAGCTCGCGTGGTCGCAGCGTGAGGACGGGTCGAATGGACTTTGCAAGGGGAGCGTCCAATCTCGCTCTGTCCTCGTCCGCCTTGAGCTGGTTGAGGATCTCCGTCTGCCGCAAGCTCAGTCGTGCGTTCTGATGCTCTTCGTCGAATGAGACGACGACGTATTCGATCTCGTCCCCCCACAGCAGTCCATCGCCGACTCTGTCCTTGAGCCGATTCCATATGGCAAGAAACTGGAGGACGCCGTGATCGCGGACGTGCTCTGCGTACTTCTCTGCTTCCGCCCAGTCAAAGGGAGTGCCGAGCACGAGCAAGCCCATCGTCGGGCGTTCAGCGACGTCGGTCTATGCGGCGATCAACGACGTCAGCGCCAGGACTTGCTCGCGTTGTGGACTTGACCTCGTCGACTCGACTGACTGCCCCCCTTCCGACTGACAGCGACGCTGAGCGGTGGCAATGGTCGAAGCTGGCGCTAGCTCGGCAATCTGCTCAGCACTCACGTCGTACAAGAAAGCGCCAGGCACGCTCGTCCTCAAGCGAGACCAAGGACTGCAATGGACGCCTCGACCAGACCAGTCATCGTCAGGCGACCTCATCGTACCTGCCAGCGACATCTCCAGTCAGTCTTGTATGCGCTTTTGTCCTCGACTGCGCTGATCTGCAGCGTGCAGGCATTTTCGCATCCAAGGAGGGCGCTGCAAAGGTCATCCTCAAAGTCGTCACTACCGATCCTGTCACTCACCAAGAAGCCAGTCACTCCTTCCTGTGCGTACCGCTCGCTCTTGTCAGTAGATGACTAAGCAGTAGAGAGATGAGCAGCTTCACATCGGCAGCTTCAGCAGTGTCTGAGCGCGAAATGTTCAAGCGAGAACTATCGGATGTCGTCGCTTCCGCACGAGCTGCACAAGAGGGCGCTGCTGCGGAAGCCACCAAGAAGCGCGACAAGGGCAAAGGGAAAGCAGCCGATCCCATACAAGATCCGGCCGTGCGAGCGCGCTTGTTACGACGCGATGCTGAGCTTGGCCAGCTCTTCAAGGATCTCGTCATGACCGATATCATACCCGAGTCTGAGTTCTGGGAAGGCAGAGAGCATCTCTTGTTGGCAGAAGCGTTGGCGGATAATCAGACGAGGGGTAGATCGGGTCAGATGGTCGACCCGAGACCAGAAACGAGCTCGAGCGGCGAGCTGACCATGAAGATCACACCTCAGCTCATTCACGATATTTTTGAGCAGCTTCCTATCGTACAACGTGCGTACAACGATAATGTGCCCAAGCCGGTAAGTCTTCTGCCGCACTCTGATCCCCCAACTGATCAGCGTGCAGCTCTCGGAAGAGCAGTTTTGGCTGCGCTACTTCCAGTCGAAGCTGCACGAACGCAATCGTGCTTCGGCACGTAATTCTGACAGCCTCATGAAGGACGATCCCATCTTCGACAAGTATCTTGACTTGCCAGACGATGGCAAGCAGCTGGTCATTTCACAATCGACGCATGGCTGACATTTCCGGCTGCGTGCAGACCTCGAGCCACAAAATCCTATCGATGAGCCTATCTACCCTCTCCTGAATCTCGAAGCTACGAGCAACGATCACGAAGAGGTCAATCTTCATCGCTACTCACTCCCGGCGACTAACGCTAGCTTTGCAGACCGGCAACACACGCGACTATACCATGCAAGCAGGCAAACAGAAGGGCTCGTTGCCGCTCATGCGAAGGTTCAACGAGCATTCTCAGCGCATGCTCGATATCGCTTTGTGCGTCCTTTCGGCCACCTGCTGACAGAGCTGACTGTGTATCTCAGAGGCGAATCTGATCGCCGGGCTGGCGTGATCGATGGCGGAAACGCAGGCGTATGTCTCAGTCCCTACTGTGCACAACAGCTGTTGAACGATCGTACAGGCTCGCAATTACTATTCCGACATTGTGCTGGACGACCTCCAAGACACCCGCGAAGACGACAGGATTACGCTCAATATGGAGCAACAGGCCAAGCATTTCGATACGCTCGGTACACAGTCAGGCAAGAGGAAACTGACAGAAGATCAAGTCGAGGATGTCTTTGAAGAGACTCGTCAGCACTATCGAAATTGGGATCCTGATCTCAGCCAGGCGAGTCACCTTGTCAGCCGCGCGACGAACACTGCTGACGTGTTGCGTCTAGTTCAAGCCTGACAAGTCAGTCATTAACGAGACGGCCGAGTCTCTCATGCGCAACATCCGAACGCGCTTCCAGGCAAAGGAGACGAAGCACAGCTCAGCCTTCCCGGAAGGTCTCCTGCGCGAGATGGTCTCTTGCCAAGCAGCAGCCAATGAGTTCCTTCGGCTCTACTGGTCTGCTTGCCTGCCTGCCCGTCCGGATGACATCAGTCCGGCGGCTTCGGCTACGCCAGCACAGAAGGCGCAAAAGGCCCAGCGCATGATCACATACCTTGGTAAGACGAGTGATCGGATACAAGTTGTCCTGCAGAGCGCGCGCGATCAGCGCGTCGATGTGGAGCTCGTCAAGCTTGCGCTCCAACCGTTGGAAGGGGCAACCTCTCGAGCTATGCTGCATCACCATCGCAACCAGCAGCGGAATTAGTACATAGCCCACCGCAACCCCATCTCGTTCGATTACGCAAAGAGTCAAAAGAAGTCATGATCAGCTCAATCGTTGCTCTCGTAGTCTGCTATGGCGCTCTGGCCCTTGCCGCCGTCACACCTGTACTCACGCCTGGCAAAGTCTTCACCGAGAGAGGTGTTGCCGCCCAGAAATGGCAGGTCAATTTTATTGGCGTTGCTGTCATCCCGTACAACAACGTAGACACCAATCAGTGCAACCTAGGCGGTGGCAGTGGATCGGTGGCAAGCTACCAGATCACTGTCTACGCGGATAATTCGATTCAGCCAACCATTGTTAGTCCGAATTTGTCCTGCTTGGCCCCCTTTCTCACGCACGATGGCAGGTTCGCGCTCAGCCCACGACTACTTACGTCAACCAGCACGGCTTCAGTGCAGGTTTCTGGAAATTCGAGATCAGCTCAGCCGGCACGTTGACCACAAATTGGCAATGCTGTAGCTGTGTGCTTGTTGGTGATGTTCGTTGCGATCTTACCCTGTCTGTGTTATGGCTCATATCCGCACAGTTCTTCATTCCCCCGCCAGGATCGATCGCACAGCCGATCAAGCCCAACACCATCGTAGGCGAGCAGGTACGTATCCATCCCTCGCTCCCGCTTGCAAGCTGATGTCGTCCCATAGATTTGCTCGCCTAACGTCGGCGCAAATAATGTCGATTGCAAGTCTCTCGGAGTCACGAAACCGTTCAGTCAAGTCACGGTCAAGTCAGGCTCGCAGTCGTCCATCAGCCCTATTGATGGCTGAGCGACCGTGACGCCACGTCGCAATCTGTCCGCGTTGCCATGCAGACCCTGCTTTGCTTTTGAACATCGCGATTCGATCTGAGCTCATCGCAAGGTCGTGACGATGCGGCTGATATCCTCACTCTCGCAGGTCGTACTCGTATTCGAGCTTACCATCACTGTCGCTGGCCGGCATCATTTTCGAGATGGTCAGCCGTCACCATGACCTACATCGATACCGATGACAATTTGACCTGCAGACAGACATGCCAAAATGCGCTTTGCGCGTGATGGCGATGCCTCCGGAACATCACAGAGCTACGATACAATCGTCATAGGCGCAGGCGTCGGTGGCATCGTGACCGCCACCAAACTTGTCGAGGCGGGCGAGAAAGTCTTGTTGCTCGAGCGCGGCGGCCCATCTACGTTTGCCACAGGCGGAAGAGACCAGCCATCATGGCTTGCGGGCTCAGATATGACCATCTTCGACTTGATTGGCTTCAAGTACGCCCTCAGAAGAACGCAAGGCCTTTGGGACACTCAAGTCAACGCGACGGTCCCATCCATCCTCGGCGGCGGGGGTGCTGTCAATGCTCAGCAGCATTGGTGGCCACTTCAATCGTATTGGGACAAATTCACAGGCTGGTCAGCAAGCGAGATGGCCGGACATGTTGCTGCCGCATCTAAGCGTATTCCCACAACGATCCACAACAGCCCCGATGGCAAATTCTGGGGCACAGTAGGCATCCACGAAGCCGGGCAGGCTCTGGCCCGTACACTCGGTTGGCGCGAGCTCGACTTCAGCGCAAACACGCAAGACAAAGACGGCGTATTTGGTCGCAATTGCTTTTCTGTTCGCGAAGGCGAGCGCGGCGGCGTACTTACAGGCTACTTGCCCGATGCGCTCAAATCGCCAAATTTCAAGATGATGCTCGATACAGAAGTTGTCGAGGTCATTCGCCAAGGCCTGAACGTGACCGGCGTGCGCACCAAGACAGAGACGTTCGTTGCAAACAAAGTCGTTCTGTCCGCAGGCGTTTTCAATACTGTCCGGCACCTCTTTCTACTCGGTATAGGGCCGGATGCGCAAGTGGCTGCGAGCGGTAGCAAAGTGCATAAAGCGGACTGGATAAATCTGCCCGTCGGCGAAGGCGTGCATGACAACGCGGCGCCCATCTCGTTCAGATTTAATCACACGGGTGTGATCAGCTTTGACTATTCGGATCCGCTGAACGTCCTGAGCAAGACCAGCCCAGCTGCTCAGCGCGCTCTCAAGCATACCGGCGAGCTTACCTGGCACGGCACGCCGTCCGTTGGATTTTGGAGTGTGAAAGCCAGCGATGGTGGTCCGCCGATCTACTTGCAGACGGCTCTGCTTGCGGATCAAGCAGGCCATCCCGGTTCTTTCGGTCTCACGTGCTGGCTCGCTCAGGGCTTGCGTAGCAGAGGTGTCATCGGTATTGAGCCCAGTGGCTACATGAAGCTCATCAAGTCACCCTGGACCTCAGACGAAAAGGGAGTCGACCTGCAGGCTGCTGTCGATGGATGTCTCGAGCTCCTTAACGCGGCAAAGAAGACAGAAGGCTTTGTACCCGATGCTGCAAGTGCAGCCATTACAGACGCTGCAAGTATGCGAGCTGCCATTCTGGCTGGTACAGACAAGGGCAACACCCACTGGGGCGGCGGCGCCAACCTAGGCTCGGTCGTCGATAATTCTTGCCGCGTCAAAGGCATGTCTAATCTTTATGTCAGCGACGCTTCCGTGCGCAACGAGGTCAACATCGGCAACTCGCAAGCGCCCGTCATCGTCGTCGCAGAGAAATGCGCCTCTGAGATCATCAAAGCTCAGTGAGGTGCTTCTGTGTCTGTGCAATGCATGTACAGACGGCGGTTCGCCATCGAAGTTTCGCGAAAGGCCTTTACAGGCCTTGACTCGAGTGATTGGAGGGCCTGTCGATTGCAGATTGCTGCTCAGTGGGTACTGAGCCATTAAAGAGTCCCGCGAGGATTCGATGATGCTTCGAAAGATCAATGAAGCCAAAAATGTTGGCGAACAAAATCAGACATCAAGAAGAAGGGTCAATGGCTGTATCGCATTGAGCAAGGGCTCGAGGTCCGCAAAACTAAGAGACTGCGGTAAACTGATTCTAGTAGCTCATCCTTGTATCATCTTCCCGATGATTGAACAGCTCCCCCGGCGCTGAACTCGTGGCAATTGGTGTAGGTTGATCTGTCCACGTTGACGTATTGACATCGCGTCCGCGTTTGCCTCGAGCGGCATTGATATATCGCAAGCTCGCAGTGCTTGAGCTCAATGTCCGGTCTACCTCGACCCAGCTCTGCCCTGGCCACCAGACCTGGCACCAGCACGAAGCGGTCCTCTCAGGCAGCCGGACTGGGCAAGCTAGCTGCATGCTGACTTGGCAGGAGCTGACATGAGCGAATAGAGTCTAGCAATGGTCCGGCAGGCTCTTCGCTCTACAAGCGTACCATGGCAATGCCAACAAGCTCGCATAGTGCCGTGCAAGCATCCGATGGCGTACAAGGATCGACGCAACGTCGGCTCCAGAGCCTGACAAGCGGCACGGCGAGCAATCCATCTCGGTTCCTCACTGGCACGAGCACTGTTGCCACTCGACCGGCCCAACCTGACCGTCTGGCCGCACAATTAGCGCAAGACAAGGCCGAACGAATCACAGCAGCCCAGCTAGCTTCACTTCAGCGGACAATCAGCCAGGCCGAGGCGCAGATCCGCTCTCTCGAGGCAGATGTCAAGCAAAAAGACCACAAGATTGTCAGCTTAGACAGCGCTCTGACTGTACTGAGGGAGAAAGAGAGTGAACGAGAGGAGGCAGAAGTCGAAGAGTCTAACGCTCTCGCAAGCCTGCAAGAATCGGCTGAGCAATTGGCTCGCGAGCGCAATGAATGGCGAGCTCAATATGACGCCGCCATTGCTGAACTATCCGGGATGGAAGCCAGGTTGAAGCAAGCAATGCATGATGCTAGCCAGAATGCGCTCCAGATAGCACATGCGCAAAAGCAGACCAGCAACGCGCTCGCTCAAGTCAGCGCACTCAAGCAGGAGACGTTGAGGCTACAAACCGAACTTCATGCCGCCTCGCAAGAGCGCGACTCACTGCAGTCATCTGTAGGGAAGCGAGAAACCCAGCAATCGGACGCAGAGCAGCAGCAGCGAGTACAAGATCTGCTGCAGAAGGAAATAAAGTCTCAGCTCGACCGCAACCTCTCGCTCGAGAATGATAATGTCAAGCTTCAGAAGCAACTCGCAGCACTCTGCGAGTCGCAGGAAAACACGCAAATTCTCAGAGAAGAGATCAGGTCGCTCGAATCGCAGCTCAAGGCCACCGACGCGCTTCGACAGCAGCTCACAGCGCGAGAGCAAGATTGTCTGGAATTGCAGCGAGAGCGCGCAGAATGGGCCGCTTATCTCGATGAGGATGATACAAACGCGCTCAAAACGCCTCGCTCAGTCACAAAGGCGCTCGCATCTAGTCGCATCGAGCACGCCCATGCCATCGACACACTAGGCAACGTACAAGCGGAGCTGGCTGTCAAAACGGCACTCATCGCGGAGCTCGAAGATCTTGTCGGAGAGCTAGAATGCGAACAAGTCGTTTCTTCTGACCGATATGCTCAGGCAGAGCAGCACGTACGGCACCTCGAAACCTCGCGTGTGACAGACAGTCGAGAGATCCAACTCCTGCGTGAGCAGTTGCAGACCTACTCGTCTGAACAAGCCAATTTCGATGCCGAGAACAAGTACGATGCGCAGAAGGACAAATGCATCAGCGAGCTGGAGAGTATCATCGACGAGCAGAAAGCGCGAATCAGACAGCTCGAGAAGGAGCAGCAATTGAAACAGCAGGCCCACATGGTAGAGACGCCCCGAAAGACCAGAGCTAGATTGGACGAGCTCCTGAGCGAGCAGATCAAGAAGAATGCACAGCTCAGCACGGGTAAGCTCGCGTCACGTGCGCTTCCTTGTCTGCTGACCCTCATCGCACAGAGGCCGCTCGCTTGTACTCGGACAACATGCTGATTACGAAAGAGATCGACTCCTTGCAAGCCAGATTCGATGCACTTGCTGCACAGGCGTCTGACAAGCGAATTGTGCCTGCGAGCGACAACGCTACTGCTGCGCTAGAGCTGCTTCAAAGACAAAAGGACAAGCTTCTCGGCCAGTTGATCGAATACGAAAAGGAGCGTCAGGCAGAAACGATCGTCACCGAGGATGGCACCGTGATCAACCGTCTCGTGCCTCGCGAAGAGATCGAGCAGCTTCAGGAGCGCTTCACAAACTTGCAGAGCGAAGTGGAGCAAAAAGACAAGGCCAAACAGAGGCTGAGTGAGGCATACGCGCAGAGAGCGATGGAGCTGCGCGAGGCGATTTACGCAATCCTCGGCTGGAGCGTCAAGCCGCTGGGTGAGCAGCAGTATCGTCTCACATCTGCATATGCGCCCCAAGACCACGCTCTCGTCTACGGAAAGTCCGAGAACGCCGGCTATAGTCTGACGCAAGGCGGTGATACACTGCAAGGATCGCCGGAGCTAGCCAGCACGATGCAGTTCTGGCTCGAGCAAAAGCAAAACCTGCCAGGCTTCATGGCGAGTCTTGCTCTGACGCTGTATGATGCCAGCACGAACGCCAGTAGAGCTCAGAACATTGTTGTCTCATGAAGGAGAGAGCTGCTGGCGTGAATGCAAGTCGTACTTAGCAACAACAAGGATGCGATCTAGATGAGGTCTATGCTGGTCTACTAGCCGAACAGCTTCTCGAGCTCGCCGTAGAGTACAAAGATGATGGCTGAGCTCGGAGCTGCTCGTGCGATCGTGATGCCGGCGCCAGAGTAAAGTCCTTTGATGCCACGTGAGGCGTAGATGTTTCGTCCGGTCTGAAGGAAGCCGGTGGGTTTGCTGTGCGTACCACCTCCCATCTCGTCATGAGTCTGCATGGCGCTCTTGATACTGTCGGCGGGAAAGAGGATGGCGTTGTAGCTCATCCCTGCAGATGCGCCGGCGAGCATCAACTGCCAAGGCTTGAGGTCTCGTCGCGTGAAGGTTGGTTCTGCACCGGTGACCGCCTGCTGGCGCCGACGTGCTCTGATGAAGTAGGAGGAGACGACCTCGAATGCGAGGAACCAAGCTGCCGAGCCGCCTGTCTCGCGAAACAGGGTACCTGTTTGTCCGAGCCAGAGGCCCCGGAAGCCTTTCTGCGCAATCTGCTGACGGGCCAAGACCAGAGCGCCAGGAAGCTCGGCAGCACGAGCTCGAAAAGACATTGTCTCTGCCTTTGCTTGTGCCGTGCTCGTCGAGAATGCAGCAGCCGGCGCAACTTTGGGCTTGAGCGCGTTGGTGGCGAGACGCGATTGAGCGGACGCTGGAGCGGAAGCTGGCATGTTGGACTCAAGCGTGAGCATTTGGACTTGCATGCGGCACTTGATGAGCTCAATGGGCGTGAGAAGGAAGCTAGCTGCTGCGCCTGCACATCCTGCGGCTACGAGGATCTGACCGATGGGAGGATGACCGGCTGCGGCTGCTGCTTCGTCACAGGGATAGACCGACCGGAGTAGCTGTCTGGTCTGATTGTAGACGAGGAACAGTGCTGCATTCTCTGCCATTGCACCGATCAAAGGCATCGACAAGCCCTTGCGTCATGATCGTCATTAGCCTGAGCGCAGTGTCTGAACGTGTCATAACTGACCCTGTAGAGTCCTTTCGCTCCCTCACGCATGAACGTCTGCGTGAAGCAGTCGACTGGCCCAGTGAAGCGCTGTGGCCGGTCCAAAGGCTGGGACTGCAGTCTGACTTTGACGAGATCGAAAGGATGCTCGAATAACTTGGACGCCATGCCGGCAGCCGAGCCATAGGCTATATCCCGCCAGGCAGGTCGACTGGCGGCAGCTGTAGCCTCATCGCTGCTGGCCGCTGTCATGCCTGAGCTGATGCCGTCATCGACTGTGAAAAAAAGCGCGCTGCTGTACGTTTCTCAGTCTTGCTGGGAGGCTCAAAGCAGACTCACGCTGGCGCCAAATCGTCCACGTCAGCAGAGCACTTGACCCCTTGCCCTATAGCTCCACGCTCTGCTCTGTCTCGAGCTGTATCTGCCTTTCGACGCTGTACGACACTTCGTAGCAGCAGCGCATGACAGATGCACTCTTCAGCAAAGAGACAGCCCATGCTTGCGGCTTATGCACTCCTTTTTCCCCCTTCAAAGATGAAAGAACAGCAAGATATCTTTGATCGTCTCGACCTGCTCTCTGGCGTGCGCTCCAACGAGAAAGAGTCAGGACGCGGGCGTGCTCGAACCGGCCTCACTCGATGGGGATTTGCAAACAGAGACTCTGCGCACGGCAACAAGGCTTGCGTTTCGGTTCGCAAGACCTGCCACGTGTACGAGCATGCGGGCGACGACATGTTATGCCTATCGAACAGATAGCTGATCTCTTTCTCCCGCCACCGTCACGCGGCCCAACACGCTTTGACCTCTTTCGAGATTTCCCAAGCCGTCTGCTGAGCTTCTTCGATGTTGTGGCATCCATGCAGACAGGCCATGTTACTTACTCGCTCGCTTCTGCGAGGGACATGTCTACTGGTTCTTGCAGCTCTCCAGCTGGGTAGCTCCACGCCTGGCCTGTATGCCTTTGCGCTCTTCTCGACCAACATCGATGACCTCGTCCTCTCATCTGTTGCAGCTCCCGTGAGAGCGACTCCGCCAGCCAGTGATGCTCTCGCACAGGTCCAGAATCTGCTCGGCGATGCCTCAAGGCGCGCTATGGATGCTGTCAATGGGATCGGCCAAAGCTCGGATGCCATCGATGTAGCCGGCAGTTTGTTGGCTGCTGTCAGGTCTACCATCGAAACCATAGCTGATCAAGCTCGATATCTCCCAAGCAAAGCAGGCATCAACGCTACAGACCCGGCACAATTCGTGCGCTGGTCGACAGAGCCAACTCGAATTCACTTTGGTCTCGGCGGTGTCTGCAGCGAGTCCGGTAGCAGCCTACTCACTTGCGGCCACCATCGATCGATACGTCTACAGAGACTGCATGCGCTCTCACACATGCTAGCGATTATGCATTGGATAGGTCCGGCTGCTCAGGCTGACGTGGGCCATCGCTGACTGTAAAGCCAGTCTTTGTGGTACTGATTGCGACAAGCTTGCCCACCGCTCTGTCTACAAATGTTCGCGATGTTGCCCTCGTATCACTGTTGGTGCTCGTCGCAAGCGACAAAGTCCTCTTTGAAGTGGTCGCGCGGCCAGAACTGCCCGTCGATTCGACCGGTTGGCGAGCGCTGTCAATCACCCCGGCCCTTCTCATCTTTGATCGCGCGCGAGTCTGGCGAGAGAAGACTGCCGCCCACCATCAACTTCTGAAGGCTCGCAAAGGATGAGCCAGGTCAGACAGAAAATCGAGGGGAAAGAAGGATCAGACAAGCCAATGTTGAATTCCTCAGCCGCATAGCCTCAAAGCTCTTTCGGCTTCGTCCGTCGTGCTCAGCTGGCGTTCTGCAATCTGCGTTCGACTAGCCTATCGGCCTGTCTAATTGCTTGCTTTCGGCCTCGGCCTAATTGCGTGATGCGTAGTGGCCAGCTTTGCCGGACAAAGCGTAGTTGATCAGAGGGCGTAGCCGCCTCGTAGAATGGATATAACGATTTCTGCATCCTCTGCGAAGAGAACAAGAGAAGGCAGAGCAGCTTACCCGGGATGAGGTGGCTCAGGAGTAGCCCATGCATCTGCGGCACCGAAAGATCAGCAGCCGATCGACATTGCTTGCAGAGGCAGAGTCAGCGCGTCATGCGGAGTGTCGACAGAGCGCTGCATGAGCAAGCACGTCCGACAAACTTTAAATGTAATGCCATCATTCGGCAAGGGCATGAGAGGGATCCGACTCACGGCGGTAGCCTGTCATCCTTGGAAAAGCACGTCAGTCTTTATTCGACGGATATCGTGGGATGTACGACAGGATCAGATGTCCCTAAAAGGTCGTCATCAGTGCTGCTCGAGGTATCTAATCTCGAGAGCTAAGACGAGGAGCCATCTCTGGTCTCCCATTCCTTTTTGCTTCTCATCAAGAGAGAGAGTGAAGAGGAGTCTGCGAACGTCGACGTACATGCATTTGCGGGTGTACATATTGATCGGATAGCAATGATCTGTCGACGATGCAAGGGTCAGCCTGAGCCCTCGCGCGTACTGCCACAGGCAGGAAGAGGAGGTGTCAGATATTGAGAGTTTTGGTATAATGTACGTTTCCGCATCGCCGTGTGGCTCCAGAAGCAGAACTGTAATATAAACATATTCCATCATGTAGAGAGTAGATAGCGAGAGAGTGAGTCAAGGCATGAAGACTGACTTTGCCGTTCACATTGGCCATCACTGCAAAAGTGAAAATCTGCTCGCAAAGGGGTCAGCTCTGTGGGTCCCGTCATTTGCGGACAGAGGAGGGTCAGTTGGTGGTGCATAAGGTCATCAAGTATCGCTCTTGTCGAGCAGGTATGTCATTGATTCGAGACTTCGGGTAGAAGAGCTCGTGGAGTCGCCAGTGAAGGCGACATTCATCAAAGAGAGAAGTCGATGATGGCTTGATGATGTCAACTCACCTGCCGTGCGAGTCGCGCACGATCAAGATGGAGATGGTTAGCGCTTGCCCATGGCCGCGGCAAAAGTGCGAGCGAAGCGCATCTTCGCTCGCAATCGGTCGTTTGCAGGCCAAGCAGAACGCGATTTTTCCAAATCCAAGTGGATTGCCACAACATCCACCGGCCATGACATGATCTCACCTTTCCCCTCACGCCATTGCCAGGCCGATACCATCTCTGCCCTTACATGTCACACACCGTCCCCGCGAGCAGGGTACAATGCCATCGTCAACAAGACTCGACCATGAGGCGAGGTTGGTCTTTGTAGTCGGGACATGATATGCCATGGGCAGGACGAGCTCGAAGCAACTTCCCTTCTGTTCGATCCACACGACGACGCGTCCTTGGCCAGCAATGGCCAATGGCTGGGATGTGATGCCCTTCACTGATGCATGCGGAGTGGTCTGATAGGTCTCAAAGAGCCTCCCATCGGACACATAGTGATGATTAGCACCTGTGTCCAGTAGAAATGTGGCTTCCAGCTGGCTGTCTGCTGTTGCCAGCGCATAAACGTCACTGGTCTCGTTGTTTACACTTTCGCGAGCTAACTTGGCATGATTCGAGCCTCTCGACCCGCCAGGGTCGCGAGGTTTGTACCAGCAGCGGTCCGCGGGGTGACACACTTTGCCACAATGCTTACAGGGCTTACGACCCTTGACCTTTTGGTGTTCACGTCTTGACATGTTGCTTGACTGGGCCGGGAAAGCCGATGCANCTCCTTCCGAGTCCGCAGTGGAGCCACGCTTGAGGATACNGACGACGTCTCGGAGCGCTGAACGAGATTTGCCTGGGACATACTCGTCCAGATGGTATTTTGCCATGCCATAACCCGAGAATCTGTGCGGGTCGATACCATCGAGCAGAGCGAGGGCCATAGCTTCTGAGTCCGCCGACACTTTGCTGTCAGATTCGCGTAGCTCGGCGCCGAGAACTTCGATGCGGCGGGCAAAGTCGTCCAGCGATTCGCCTNGTCGCATGAAAATTTTNTTGAACTCCTCTTCCTTCATCTTGAGCTCCCTTCGACTGAGCTTGCTGTAATTGTCAGTCAAGATCTTCCAGGCTTCGTAGCCTGTCTCGACTCCTCCTATATCCCTGCACACGCCCCGTGTGCAGCGTGCAGAGATGCGTAGGTAGGCTTCGATGTCTTTCTGACTGTCTGAGATCCGTGCTACGGGGTCGCATTTTGAGGTCTGCGGCTCTGGCTTGACGCTTGTGCCGGATTCGCAGGAGGTTTCGGGCTGCGCCACATTCATCTCGACTCCCTTCACTCGCTCCCAAAGGCCGTGCGACATCAATTCGATTCGCATCAACTGGGACCATGTTGTCCAGTTGGATGGCCCTTGTAGCTTGTCTTTGTCTTGCCAGTCGGGTGCCTGCATCTTTTTGAAAGAGCTAGAGACTGTAAATCTCGAGAAACTGTGCGAGTCGATACCATCGAGCAATCTAAAGGCCATAGCTTCTGAGTCCGTCGGTACTTTGCTGTCGGATTCGAGGAGCTCGGCGCCGAGATCGTCGATGCGGCGGGCGAAATCGTCCAGTGACCCGCCTCGTCGCTTGTACATTTTTCTGAGCTCCTCTTCCCTCATCTTGAGCTCCCTTCGACTGAGCTTGCTGTAATTGTCAGTCAAGATCTTCCAAGCTTCGTAGCCTGTCTCGACTCCTTTAATATCCCTGCACACGTGGCGTGTGCAGCGTGCAGAGATGCGTAGGTAGGCTTCAATGTCTTTTTGACTGTCTGCGATGCGTGCTACGGGGTCACATTTTGAGGTCTGCGGCTCTGGCTTGACGCTTGTGCCGGATGCGGACGAGGTTCCGGGCTGTGCCACGTTCACCTCGACTCCCTTGACTTGCTCCCAAAGGCCGTGGGACATCAGTTCGATTCGCATCAATTGGGACCATGTAAACCAGTTGGATGATCCTTGTAGCTTGTCTTTGTCTTGCCAGTCGGAGGCCCGCATCTTTTTTTGAGAGAGCTAGAGACTGTAAATCTATTGAAGGTAGTCCTACAGGCAACCGGTTAGTCAATCTATATCTGGTACAACCGCGGTGGCCTTAGGCACCCAAAGGGGTCACGTGATAGCAAGCTGGGCTTGCCTCCAACAACCCTACGCGCGATGGGGTTTATCTGGCATGACATCACTGTCACCAGACTATCGACAGTCCGGAGCCCCGCCGGCGAGCTACGCAGCTTGGTTCTAGTGACAGATGGCCGATAGAGAGGCAGAATGTCTCTCCATTGTGGCAGCCTACCTCCGGCGCAATGGCTTCGCGGAGACTTTGACAGCACTGACTCAAGAAGCTGGATTGTCAGCTTTATCGCTCGAGACGACAGTGAGCCTCGAGGAGCTCATCGACCGACACCTCTCGGCTCGACTGGTGGAAGAAGATGCTGCGAGCGAGCCTTCGCAGGATGTGCTCGAGCAAGAGGCATGCCCGCCCTGGCCGACACGGGTCACAAAGTCACTCATGACAATCCATGCGACCAATGTCCTTAGCGTCGTCGCCCATGACTTGCCGAGAAGGACATTTGATACCTCCACTGCAACGTACAAGCACGAGCACATCCCTTGCTTTGTGACAACGGCGGCAGACAAGACGATTAAATTCGTTAATCTGCAGACTTACGAGTTGGAAGAGATGTACTCGCCAGCTGCCGGCCCGACGCTTTGCGTGACTTTCCATCCGACTCATCCTCAGCTCATGCTCAGCTCGGCCATGGACGGCACAGTCACGCTCACTGATCTCATCGCGAGACAAACTATGCAGACAATGAAGAACCATTCGCGCTACGTGGTCAAGACGCTCTTTGATGACTCTGGAAGATGGCTAGCCTCGCTGGGTTATGATAAGCAAGTAGTCTTGTACGAGCTGGAGCAAGTCACGCTAGACGAGGACGAAGATACGCCCAGCACGCACTGCAGCATATCAACAGTCTCGTATGTCAAACGATGGAGCAAGCAACTGGGCAAGAATGTCGAGGCTGGACTCTTCGTTGGTCAAACTCACTTCGTCTTCACTTGCCGAGACGATAACCATCTGCAATACGTCTCCCTCAAAGACAGTTTCGCCATCAAGCTCTACAATCTCAATGAGCTACAAGACTCGCACATCTCCTTCTCGATCCTTGCAATGACCTGGCATCCGTCGAAGCAGTACATCTCATTGCAGACCGACACGCGCATCTCCCGAATCATCCTTGTACCGCCGCATTCGTCAGAACGCGTGCGGACCATCTATACATCGGCAGAGCAAAGCGAGTGGTCTGTGCCCAGGCACCACTGGCTGTCCAGGGGTACGCTTGTCGCTCTGACGTCCGACGATGGTATCGTTCGTCTGGTCGACATGAAAGGTCGCGTCATCAGCAGCTACAACGCCCACGGTCCTCTTGCGCCGGTACCGGTTGACGACAGCCGAGAAGAAGCGCCGGTGTATAGCAGCACGTCTGAAGTCGTCAGAGCGCGCCAAGAGGCAGAAAGAGGCAGCTCGATCGTTCGTGATATAACGGTCCTGGCAGACGGCACGATCATCTCTGTCGGTTTCGACAAGACCGTCCGGATCGCTCGCCCATACATCTGACTGAATCGCCAGGAGGGGATTGGTGTGCAGCCTATCGCCGGGCACGATCCTGAGCAGCTAGCTTGCGTCGAGCTCGATACTTGGCTTCGCGACGATAGGAGCGGAATGCACTGGTAATCAGACGAAGGATATAGCTTCCGCTGAACAGAGCAACGATGACGATCGTCAACGGAATCGCAATGCGCCAGAAGTAGGTTACCGAGCCTTGTATCTCGGCAAACTGCATAAAGTTCTGGCCAAAGTAGCCAGTCAGGAAACCGAGAGGGAGAAACACGATGGTGACCATAGAAAGTGCTTTCATGCTCTCGTTTGTGTTGAAGCTTAGCATCTGCTCAATTGTCAGCTCCGTCGTCATACCGAGCAGCGAGCTCACATTGAAAGTATAATCGACGAGTTGCTGACATTGTGAGCCAAAGAGGTCGAGGCTCGAAAGCACGGAATCCATGTGATCGAGCACATCGCCGAGATAGAGGCGAGCACGAGGACTGACGTAGCCGATACGAGGCAGCTCGTGGCCTCTGCCATCTCGAAGAGCTTGGTCACGCTCCCTGTGAGCGGATTCGGGCAGCACGGCCGCCGCTCTCGATTCGTCGTCTCTTTGGAGTGCTCGAATGAGTGAGTGGATGGGTGTGAGCGTGCGCTTGAGAGTGAGGATTTGGTTTGAAAGTACGAAGAGATGCTTGACGGAATCTGTCTCTGCTCTGATGAGCGTACGGTCCTCGACGGTATTGATGTGATGTCTGAAAGCCTCGCAAAGGTCGACCAGTCTGTCGACGACGGCATCGAGAACGCTTTGGAGGAGTAAGCTCGGATCTTCGCTCGTTCGCAGAAGCGAGCTCTTGTCCCTCAACCGTTCAAAGATGGGCTCTATGAGCGGATCGATGCCCGTCTGAGGATCGATATCGTTCTGGAAGATGGTGAGGAGTGTGCCATCCTTGAGAAGATAGATCGAGAGCTGCTCTGTCTCGTACGGTACGCGATATGCCTTGGTGACTTTGAGTATATCCTTGCGAGTCTCGGAGACGCGCGGCTGAAAGACGGATCGAGCGAGTCCATCCTTACGCGAGTTTGACGAACGTGTCTTGTCCGGTCGCGTTTGCTCCTCCGTCGCCGGCTCTTGCTCGAGGGTCTCCTCCGCGCTGGCAGCCTCTAGCGAGCTAGGGTCCGAAGAGTCCTTGCGCAAAGCGGCTGCTGGTCGGCGGGCACCTTTTCGGAGCCGATCAAGCAGATGATTCTGATTCTTTGCGACCACAGTAGGTCGAGCGATAGCCGAATAGCTTGGCGGGGGTTCCATCGCGCTGTCTCCGCCTTCAGACAGTAGCGCAAAGATGTGCATGTTCAGAAAGAGCGCATTTGCATAGTAGTCAGACTTTGAACGCGTCTCTGAAATGTGGAGGGTGTCCTCGAGCGCGAGCGGATGGAGCTCATACTTGAGCGCGAGCGTCTTGAGGACATCCCAGGAGTGTCCCGAGACGTTGATGTACCTGACTTTGCTCCAGGATGGACGAGGTTTGTGCAAATGCTCTATCGCCTCTTGATTGGAGAGCAGCATCTCATCGTGTCGCGTGTCGGAGTAGTCGACGATGCAGACATGGATGGGCTGATCCAAGTCATCAAGCTGGGCTGTGCGTGGATCGATACCTTGGTCAGAGTACTGCGGCACCCACGCATAATGTCGTCTGCCTGCATTTTCACTCGCTTTGGCAGACTGGGCAGAGGCGCCAGACGCGATACGCCGAGCAGACTGGACACCGAGCGCTGCTGATCTCAAGCTCGACGTCGTCCGCCCTTCGCGCAAGCTGGGCCTCAGTCGGTCTTCCATCCGCTCGATCTGACAGGGAAGCCTGATCTCAATGGACCTGCAAGGGTTTTGCGTTGACTGCGACTGCCCCGCCGCGCGACTCCGGCTACCTGCTGACCGGCGCTTCCTCACGTGCCGACTCTGGCTGACTTTTCCCTGAGACATGGCAGATGCGCTGTTCTACTTTGACATCAGCTGTCCATATGCCCTGATTGCATCGACCCGGGTCGAGGATGTAGCCAAATTCACGCAAGCCACCATCGAATGGCGACCCGTTCTTCTCGGAGGGCTCTACCAGCTCACTTCGGCAGCTCAAGGCGCTGCAGGCTCAGCTTCCGATGCCATGCCTCCTGCGCGAAGAGCGTGGGCTGCACACGACCTCGAGAGGGAGCTGTCTCGGTACCAGCTCGATGTGCGTTGGCCAGCAAAGCATCCTATGAAGACCGTCGACGCAATGCGGTTGCTCTGCGCAGTCCCCTCTGCACATCGCATCGGACTTGCCAAAGCGCTCTACAGGGCCTACTGGATGGACATGCAGGATGTCACCTCGCACTCTGTCCTGCTGAGGATCGCGAGACGGACCGGCCTCAGCAGAGAAGTGCTTGGCTTTCCTCTCGACGAAAGCATCTTTGCAACGACACAGTGGGCAGACGACTTACGATCCAACACTCAGGAAGCTTTCGAGCATGGCGCTTTTGGAGTACCGACCTTTTGGCTACAAAAAGAGGAGAAGATGCTCTTTGGCCAGGACAGGTTGTGCTTGCTCGAGGCGCATCTGTCTGCTCGACAGCGGAACGGGGACCTCGAGTCTGTCAAACATATCAACAGGCTGATGCCTCGCTGCCTTCGTACAGCCCCGGAAAACAGACAGCGTACGCTCAAGTTCTGGTTCGACTTTTCGTCACCTTGGTCTTTTCTTGGCTATACACAGCTGCAACGGGTCAAACGGGAGCTCGGCGACTCGCTCAAGATCGAGATGAAGCCGTTTCTGCTCGGCGCACTCTTCAAAGCTGTTGGCACGCCCGTCGTACCGAGCCAGGTTGCTATGCCTCACAAGGCGGCGTACATGCGGCAGGATCTCCAAGACTGGGCAGAGTACTGGTCAGCTTGCTCAGCGCAGACCTATCCGCCTCTGCCACCTGTTAAGCTCGCTTGGCCAGACGAGTTTCCCATCCGGTCAGTCATTGCGCTACGTGTCGCACTCCTCGAGCCGGCCGTCATCGACTGCATTTGTAGGCTCTACTTGTCCTCGATTGGCCAGACGAGCCTAAGCGATATGCAGATCGGGCTGGATGGTCTCACAACAGGAATATCAGCACAGCAGCAGGCCTGCTCGAGGTTCTCAACGATGCTGGTTTTCCTGGCCAGATATTACTTGACGCCGTCACGACAGGCGACCGCGCAGAATCCCTCAAGGCGGCGCTGAGGACCAACACAGATGAAGCTGTCGCGCTGGGCTTCTGCGGCGCGCCTACATTCCAGATTGACGAGCATCTTGTCTGGGGACAAGACCGTATCAACGTCGTTCAGGATCTGCTATCGGGCTGGTCGCCCGAAAAGAGCCGCCTGAAGGCGACAGTTGGTGCCTTTCGTACGTCTATCAATACGACCGATAACCAAGCTGATGCGATAGTACCATAGCGCATTTTGATTATCGTCTGTGAGCAATCGAGTGTTGTTGTACTCCGTCTCAAAAGTCACTCGGTGACAATTTGCTGCTTGGCTGATTGCTTTGGGCTATCGACGGGGCGAACGATGCCAGATTTGAGCATCGTCTGCACGACTGAATCGTTGCGCCAGACCGGGTTTGACTCTGCGAGTGACTGAGCAGCGCCTAGCAAAACCTCTGTGCTTGGCCTTTCGATGCGCGTCTCGACGAACGAATCGGCACGCGACTGTCCGATGTTGATCATCATGACTGCAAGTCGTATGAGTCAGGTGCTGACTTGATCTGCTTGGTTTGGAGGCATTACCTTGCTTGCCCGCTTCGTGAGCCTGCTTGACTAGTCTGAATGCGCTGTAGGTGGCTAGCGCACTCCCGACGACGAGCAGATTGCTTGCGTTCTCAACGAGCGAGTGAGATCGCTCCTTTGTCTTTGCAGGCACGTTCTCGCCGAAGAAGCACACGCTGGCTTTCATCGGTCCACTGCCGCAAGAGATACACTTTGGCAGATTGAACGTCGAGTAGTTGCGGTTCTGCAAGTCGACATCGCCGTCTGGATTCGTGCGAGGTTCTGTCCCGGTCCTCTCGAGTTCGGCTGCATAGGCTGCCCATTCCGGGTTGAGCGTCGAGAGGGTATCTTGAAATACGTCGCGTGAGATTTCATGCTTGCAGTCTGTCGTGCTTTTTGTTCAGCAGAGTGTAAAGCCAGAGGCACGACACTGACTGGTACAGTGGACATGCTTGAGAGTTCCGTGGAGCTCTAGGATGGTCGAGATGGCTTGCGAAAGAGAATGCGAGGCTCTATGATGCAGTCGATCTACGTTCTGCATCACATGAAAACATATCAGCCCTTGAAGCTCATACGGTCGGCTGCACCTGCTTGTGTGATGATATAAGGCGCGAGACCCATGTACTGCAGCGCTGCGATGGCATAGTGGGAAGGATTTGGCTGTGCCAGTCGGACAGGTGGATAGCCCAAGTAGCTCCTCGCCCAATATCTCTGCCTGAACCTCTCCGATTCAGGCGCCATGAATTCGCTGTAGAAGATCGGGCGATAGGTCTTGTTGATCGTGTAGGAACCATTGTCTCCGCGGTAGGCTCGTATGCCACTATCGACGCTGACGCCCGCGCCGGTCAAGATGAGCGTCTTGCCGCGTCCTTGCTGAAGGAATCTGATGAGAAGCGAGATTGCATCCTCGGCCGTATGCGATGATGTGAATGTAGAGGGCAGCGATCCAGTGTTGACAGGCAGCTGCGGTACCGAGATGCGCATCGATCACAGTTCTGCCTCGACACGCGTGGCAAGGTGATGTGCAGGAGTACGCGTCAATACTTTCTGTGAGAGAAATCTCGTGGCTCGCGACTTTTTGAGGCACGACGACCGAAGGAGAGCTGCTACTTTGACTAGCCACAGCCGGTCACAATGTCGTTCTTCAGGCGAGCAGGTGACTCGTCGGGCTCAGAGTCCGAAGAATCCGAAGAAGAGCTCTTGTCGTCCTCTGAGGGCGAAGGAGAGGCGCCCGCCAAAAAGTCGACGATCAACCGTTCCGCTTTCCTCGCAGGCGGTGATGATGACTCTGACTCTGACGACGATGACGATGAGGATGACATGGATGCCTCTGGCTCGGATGAGAGCGACGAGGATGGCAACAAGAAGTCCAAGTCGTCCATGCGCAGCCGTTTCTTAGCAGGCGCAGACTCGGACTCTGACTCTGATTCTGATGACTCGACGTCAGGCAAGAGAGTCGTCAAGAGTGCGGCAAGCAAGCGCGCAGATGAGATCGAGGCTATCGCGAAGAAGATGGACAACGGCGTCAAGATTGATGACTGGAATACCATCAACGCAGGCAAGCGACTGCGTTCTGATCAGCCCGAGCATCGCTGATGGATGTCTTCGTCTTGCAGAATTTGACAAGCTTCTCAGACTCGTCATGCGCGTGCCGGGCACTATACCAGGCTCCATCCAGCCTCTGGCCCCTACTTTCCTCAAAACCCTCGTCAGTCTCGACGAAGCCGTGCCCAAGGCAGGTTCAGCAGGCAAGAAGAAGATGAACGCCATCAATGCTCGCTCGCTCAACACCATGAAGCAAAAAGTCAAGCGATGCGTCAAAGAGAACGAAGCCGTGCTCGAGAAATACAAAACCGATCCGAAAGCGTACGAGATCGAATTCGAGGGCGACGAGCCGGAGCAGAAGACGAAGAAGAAGCGCGCAAAGAAGGTGAGCTGATACCCAATTCGATCTTATCAGTCGCTGATCAGTCCTTGCCGCTTGCAGACCTCTGTGCTCGAGGAGGGCGAAGGCGCCGACTTTACGACCGTCGGTAAAGGCGGCAAGGCGACAATCTACACGACCGATAACATCTTCAAGTCACTCCAGGAGCTACTCGAAGCACGTGGCAAGAAGGGTACAGACCGAACGGAGCAGCTCGCATCCTTTGAGCGACTCTTTGCGGTCTGCGACACGCCTTACTCCCAGATTCGAGTCTTGCTAGCGCTCATTAGCTCCTCTTTCGATTACAACCCTGTCATCCATGCTGCTTTGCCCATCGACTCCTGGAAGAGCGCCCTCCAGCGAATTAACGATCTGCTTGTCTTGCTGTCTAACAACCCGCGGTACATCATACAGGAGCAGACAGAGGACTATGACGATTCTGTTGATCGTACACCACCCGCTGACGATAACAGCACCATTGTCAGAGTACGAGGCTCTGTCGTCAGCTTGATTGACAGACTAGACGACGAATTCACCAAATCCCTCAAGGATATCGATCCTCATGCATCTGAATATGTCGACCGACTGAAGCACGAACGCTCGCTCTATGATTCGCTCTTCCGCGTGCAGAGCTACCTTGAGCGCGTTCAGCAGAACGAGAATCTGCAACGGATCATCATGCGCCGAATCGAGCATGTTTATGCAAAGCCAGATGCAGTCACCGAGATCATCGAAGCGCAGCTGTCCGATCTACCTTCGGGTCTCACGCCAAAGGCCACTCGTACTGCTTCTCAGCTCATGCAAATACTTTGTACGTACTTGTACAGACAAGAAGTCGACCCTCGTTTGCGCGGAAGGGCCATGCTATGCCACATCTATCACTATGCGCTCCATGACGAATACTACCGAGCGAGAGACATGTTCCTGATGTCTCATGTGCAGCATGGTGTCCACGGCACCGATATCGACACCCAGATCTTGTACAACCGTACTGTTGCCCAGCTCGGCCTTAGCGCGTTCAGGATTGGCCTGGTAGCAGAATGCGAAAACACTCTGCGCGAATTGATGGCCAACAGAGACAGCCTGAAACGATCGCTTGCGCAGGGTCTAGCTCTTCAGCGTCGCGGCCCAGGTGCAGTCGATCAGATCTCGCCAGAACAGCAAAGATTCGAAGAGGCTCATCATCTGCCGTTCCATCAGCACATCAACCTCGATCTACTCGAAGCCGCTTATCTGACTGCCTCGATGCTGTTCGAGATCCCCCAGCTTGCTCATGAAGCTTACGATCCCGAACGCTACACTGGCATGAACAAGGGCATGCGGTCGAGATTGTTCAGGCGCAACTTTGACAGCTTCGAGAAGCAAGTCTTTGTTGGTCCGCCGGAGAACACTCGCGACTACGTCATGCAGGCTTCGAAGGCTCTTCAGCAGGGTGACTGGCAAAAGTGCATCGACTTGATCCATTCGATGAAGATCTGGAACCTCATGAACAACTACAAGACAATCAAGAACAACCTTGCCATGTATGTCAGACTGCCCCAGCGTTCATCCGCCTGACTGACGTTTCGCTGCAGATCGATCAAGCGCAAAGCTCTGCAAACGTACCTCTATACCCATGCCGCTTTTTACGCCAACGTCTCGATTACAACCCTTTCGGCTGGATTCGCTATGCCAGAGCAGCAAGTCTTTGCACTTGTCTCAAAGCTCATCTGGAACGAAAAGCTGGCGGCTTCGATCGACCGTTCTAGCAAAATTCTATCGCTTCAGCGTGCAGATCGTACGCAACTTCAGCAACTTGCTATCACACTGGCAGACAAGGCATCGCTCATGCTTCAGGACAATGAGCGTGTAGCATCTGCCAAGCTCGGCGACGGCGAGCAGAAGAGCTTCGCGGGCGGGTCTGGCGCTCGTGATGGTGCAGACGGACAACGACGGGGAGACCGTCCACGTGGTCGAGGTGGTATGCGCGGTGGAAGAGGCGGTCTGAGAGGCGCGTTCAACGCGCCTTTGGGTCGCACGGTAGCAGCAGGAAGATGAAGCAACATGTACACCTGATGCATTTGCTTGTACTCTACCAATCACCCTGGAATCTTGCAAGTGTTTCATGCGCAGTCTCTGCCTCTCGACGTGCTGTCCTGCGTCGATAATATATCGGACAATCCGCCGATGTGCAAATAACGTCCTGATGCAGCGAGCCTTGACATCTTTGGCATTGCGTCCAGAGCCGAGCATACGCCGTTTCGAATTGAGACGCCAATGCCAGCTGAAAACGACGTTAGCGATCAGTAGAAAGAGGATGTGCCTACTTACTGTTTTGTAGTAGAGCTCTGCCGTCCGGGGCGCACAATTCTTGCACACGGCTACATCTGTGAAACAGTCAGTCGGGCCATCAATTCATGGAAGAGCGTACTCTGGCCCTTCTTCGGCACTATCGTCGATTTGCAGCCGAGACAAGTCATTGTCTTTTTGACAAAGCCCATCAAGCCGCCCTTTGTCGGTGCCTTGATGCTCACAGCGCGCGTATGGTCGCCGGCCACTGTGCACAACGTCAGCACCGACCGCGACGATCCGCAAGCAGTCTTACACAATGAGCTTGACTTTTCGCCCATGATGGGCTCGAAGATGCGCATAAGAGGTTTCGACAGCTGATTGTCAAGATAGTACCGTGTATCTATCGGCAGATTATGATCGAGAACGTAGATGGGATCTTCCGACTTTTCGTATGCCCGAGCGTCTGTGGTGCCTTTGATGATGACGAAAGCTACGCGATCGCCCAAGCTAGGTGCTGAACCAGCGTCACGCTTCCTCATTCGCTCAGCAAGCTCCACATGCGCCTGCTTGGCTTTGTAGTCGGTCTTTGCCAGAGCTTTGGTGATGACCAATTGCGACAGATCGATCTTGTTTTGCAGCAAATCTGAGATGACTTGCTTCACGTACTCCTCAGCGCCAGACAAATCTCGCTCGATCAGCATCTTATTAAGGCAAGTTTCGATGACCGTCGACACTAGCTGACAATTGTCTCTTCTGACCGTCTGCTCGAACGCATTAGCGAAAGCCATAGGGATAGAGCTCAACCTTACTTCGATGCCTTTGGTGTCCATCTTGTCATACCGATCAGGCCGCGTCCAGTACAGGCCCGCGTATCGCTTTTTGCTGATCAGCAAATAGGGGTAATAGACTTTCTCGAACTCGAGCTTGATAGGTCGCACGAACTTCTCAGTCACGTAAGCGGCAGCTTCTGCGCCGAGCTTCATCGTTTCTGCGAGATCTTTGGTGCCAAATCTGACCATGACCGAATCGGTATCACCATAGATGACTTCCGCGTCGTTCTCGTAGCCATTCTTGGTGTTGTATTTGTCTTGCACTTCCTGCTTGGTCCTCTCGATCATTTCTCTTCCGTACGCGGTCGTGCTGGTCGAGATAGGCAAGCAAGGCAGCTTGCCAACAGTAGCGCCCGTGAAGCCGTACACGGAATTAGCGCTGATCTTGAGTGCTAATTGACGACCATCAAGCACGGCGCGCTTGAAAGGATCAGTCTCGTTCTTCATGTCGTTCTTGGCTCGTTTTCTAGCAGATAAGAGATCTTCGAGGACAGTCGGCAGCAGGCCTTTACGCTTGTGAGACTTTGCAAAGAAATCGCCATTCGGCGTCATGATGTAGTCCTTGTCTATCAGGAAGCCGAGGCGGTCGATGGTCTTCTTATCCATCAGCGTTGTATAACAGAGATTGTGCGCCATCATGATGGAGGGATACAGCGAGCTGAAATCGAGGGTTGCTATCGGTACGTCATAGTAGCCGCGAGTTGGCTCGATGACTGTCGCACCTTCATACTGTTCATCGGAGCCTGCATACCAGAGTCAATGTGTGATCAATGTGTGCGTTGTGATTTGCGTACCTTCGCCTTTCAAGGAAGGAATCACATAGCCTTCTTCGCCAGCCTTGCGGAAGAGCTGAGACACGACTTTAATCTGTTGTCCACGCGAAAGCAGGTAATTGAATGGCACGCCTGTTACTCTCGCCATCTCGATGTAGTTGATGAAGCTCATGAGCTTGTCGAGGAGCCGTTGCGGTAAGTACGCATCCTTGAGACAATACACCGCTAGACGACGTCGCGACTCGGGTGTACCGTTTTGTAACTCTGTGATAATTGAATGATGCACATCTTCCTTTTGCTCGCCTGTGCACACTTGTGAGCAGATATTTGCCTGACAAAGAAAGGTATGCACCCAAGAAATGCGCGCAGACCGCATTGAGAGAGTAGCTTCTGAGCTTGTGATCCCTTTGCATGACTTGCAGCACGTCAAACTGTATGCGTCCGTCCATGGGAGTCTCCTTGGAATCGCGCGTGCCGTAGGCTTTCGACGAGAAGCGAGACTCTTTCGTTTCCACCATTTTCTCTGCCGAGCGGGCTGTGAGTATGTGTTCATGCTCCATCGCAGAGTCAACGCACTCGATATTCTGCTCATATAAGCAAAATCGTGCACCTTGAGGTGCTTCGCTCGAGCTATGAGGTACGGGATATCAAAGTTGGCAATGTTGTAGCCGATGATGACGTCTGGATCGGCTTCGACGATGAAGTTGCGCCATTGGTGTAGCAGCTCCTTCTCCTCTTGGAAAGACAGCACTTCCGAGCCGACGATGCCTTGACAAGTGTTCAGCGTGAAAACGTTGCGGATGAATGGCTTCTGTTCGCCTTGCCGGGTAACCATGTTTGCAATCTGAATGACGGGGTCAAATTGTGGCTCCGGAAAAATACCCTTGCGACCAGCGCATTCGATATCGAAGCTGAGGATGCGGAGGGGCGCAATCTTAGACCATTCGCCTTCTGGCTGATGCGGTACTAGCGCATCGCATCTAACCAATTTTGATTAAGATGATGTTCCGATTGAGGATAGAAGCTAGCGTACTTGCAGTCCAGCTCAATCTGGCAAGTCGAGATCTTGTCCATGTCCGGTCGTATGCTGTATTTGCCTTTTGCAATTTCGAGCCAACTCATGCCTTGTATCTGTCAGTCGTGCGTTCGAGATGAGCAAACGCCGCTCATCTCTCAGCATACGGACCTTGTTGGTGATCATAAACTGCATGAGGTAGCCGACGTTGCTTTCAAACGTTATGGTCTCGGTCTTGCCGAAGAAGTCGCCCATCTGAAGCTCAGCCTTTTCGAACAAATGTAGAGGCGTGGCGCGTTAGCTCAGAACAGGACAGTATAGCGGGTGTGACTCATTTCTGACTTTGGGCACGAAGCGCTGTTCTGTCAGTGTGAGCTTGATGAACGGCGTCACATCATCGCCTCTGTAGCCCCATAGACTGCGCCTGTTGTGCACAGAGACAGAGTGGACCGTCTGGCCCCACTGGGCAAGTATGCGCTATCGCGATGTCAGCACCGTACGTCTTGTTAGCAAGGGGCTCACATTGATCTCGGTGTGCAATTTGGTGCAGTCCGAGTTCTTGAAGCCTCGCGGTGCGGCAACGTAAAAGTACGGCCTAAACTCTCTGACGTGCACCAAGACAGAATGGCCAGCCTGTCCGATACTGGCGAGTCAGCAGGTATGAAGCAGGCTAGGCCGTGATGACAGGCCTCTGTGACACCGAAGATGCGGAGAAGGGGACCGTCTGTCTCGCTCGCTTCGTCGATTTCGATCTGCTGAAAGACGATGTTCGTGGTGCGCGCGTCGATCACGCCGACAGACGGTCTTTGCCATCGCTGCTCTTTGCCTGAATCAGCAGCTACATGCGGAAGCGTCCTGTCAGCTGATGAGATGTCTGTAATGCAAGAGCGCTTGCCTACTGCGTCGTCCAATTTCTCGAGCACAGCTTCAAAGGAAGGCTTTGCTTGTGCCGCTTTCTTGAGTGTCTTTGAAGGTATCGAAGGAGGCCCGAGGCCCATGGACGAAGGCAGAGCATGAGCGCCAGATGGCTTGACATCCTTTCTGGCGCGCTCTTGCTCCTCTTTGAATTGAGCACGCGCTTTGAGGACGTCGATGTGCGTGTTCGTCGTCTCCTTGAGTGGCGTACCCAGTCTGCGTCGCTTGAAGATGGGAGCAGACTCATCTTCTGATCCGCTCGAGTCTGCCATGGCGGGCGGGCGTCAGTAGCCTCGAGCCTGGCTTTCGTCGCGATTGATCGATTGACAGCAGCAGAAGAAGCGCGTCACGTCGTGGCATGCTCGCAAAAGAGCCGGCGCATGCTCAAGGTGCCTGCTTCTAGCTTGGGCGCAGAATGGGTCGCACTATGCAGTATAGAAGCTCGGTTCTCTGCAGGCTCATTCGTGCGAGCTGCTGTCGACTCGTGCTACAGCTATCCGAGTGACCATGGAGCGGCGACTTTCGATATCGTCTCGGATGACAGTGGCCCTTTCGAGGCACACGCTACACGGCATGACCCAACACTGCAAGACTTCAGATGTACACGTAGGATCGAGCGGGTTCTGCACTCTCCCGACACGCCCATCGAGCAAACATATCTGTTCTACATTGCCCGAGTTCCCAGCAAGCCGCACGATATAGCGCTTCTGGTGGGCACAAGCTATCCAGGATCATGCAAACGGTACACAGCTTTCAGGATGAGTCAGGCCGACTCGAGGCTTGAGCTGCTCGAAGCAGTCCCCACTACGAACGATGGCACAGATGACCGCAAGCAGATCGACGAGGCGCGCAAGACGGCGGAAATGCTGCTTGCAGACCTCGATCGTCGCGCTCGAGTGCTGCCGGAGCCGTCACACAGCCCTTTTACTATCTGCTCAGCTAACGTTGAAGCTCTCTGCGAGGTCGGCCCTGTTTGCCATCATAAGTGTACGCTTAGGATGCGTGTGACAGAGGCTAAAGGATAAGCATGCCTGGATTATCGACGCGTTTCCGAAGAGAGAACTTGCGGTCAAGCATCTACAGGAGGTACGCAATGTACACACGTCTAATGCGCTCGCTCAGCGTGCATGCAGGACGCGGGCTTAGCTGCCTATACGATTTGTCTGTTCGACAAGCTGTATGGGCCAGGTGGCCAACCCGAAGGAGGTTTTGTTGACATTGGCTGCGGCAGTGGTTTGCTGTGAGCTTGACGAGGCTCCCTCCTCGCCGCTGATCAGCTCGCAGGGTTCACATACTTACACAAGCGGGATACCGTGGCTTTGGACTCGATGCTCAGCGAGATACGCATTGGGATCTATGGCAGAGCTTCGATGGCACCTCGGCGGATCTGCGTCAGATCGAGCTCAATCTCTGCAGCCAATTCACTTGCGCAGCTGAAGAGCTCCCAGCGGGCGCACACCTGATCGGCAACCATGCAGATAAGCTGACGCCCTGGCTGCCCCTTTTGGCTGCAAAGTCACACGCAAGTGGTTTTATCAACGTTCCTTGCTGTCCTCATACACTTGATGGTTCCTTCATCGCACAAGTCCATCGTATGCCCGCAAGCATTCCTGCTCGAATGCTGTATGGGTATGGCAAGCAAGGCGGCATGCGTCTGAAGGCTAGTCGATCGGAAGCTTATCAGGATTATCTCTGTGATCTTGCTTGGCAATGTGGCTGGGTCTCCATGCGCGTCACCATGCCTATCTCCGCCTTGCGCAATGTCGCACTCATCGGATTGTCACGCACCTGGCACGATGCCCAGCTCGATAACGTCGATCAAGTCACCCAGGTGCAGCAAGCGGTCGCGGCAAGGCTTGAAAGGCTCGTGTCAGAAGCTGCAATAGTCAAGGAGAGCTAGCGAGTGTCCATCTCGCCCTCTTCTATCGTCTTGTCCGCCTCGATCATGCTGGCATCGACCGACTCGTCCGGCCGTTGAGCCTCGCGCCGCGATCGTCTCGGCTCGAATTCGGGTGCAGAGGGATCGAGCTTTGTCGGCCTGTCATCTCTCGTCTCGCCTTCCTCGAGCGAGTCAGGTGACTTCATTCTCGATGCGGGACCGCTGTTGTCCGCACCGGCGTCTTCGTCGTCGAGCGTATGCTTGCGTCGTTCGGCTTCGGACTGTTCCTTGACGGCTGATGTCAGATCTTCGAGTGCCTTGACGATGACGTCGAAGCCGTTCTTGCGGTGCGTCCAAGCGTCGGCGTATTTCGTCTGGTCTGCCAAGAGCGAAGCAATATCGCTTTGTAGCCTGTCGATATTCCTGTCATTGCAAGAATCAGCTAGCGGATCTGACGCGTCGGGTCTGACTGACTCGAGAGAAGCAGCTCGTGTCGCCGACTTGTTGATGTCCCTTGTGACAGCATCGTAAGCAATCTTGTTGAGTCGGTCTTGCTGTGCCAATGCGAGCTCGTTCTGGAGCGACGTAATGTCGTTCATAGTCGCTTGTCGTTCCGCGTCTGTCGCGATGATGAGCCAATGCCAAGCCTGGGCAGGAACAGTACTGACTGATTCGCGTGACCTGATCCGCATAGCTCTGCACCTCTCGTGCGCTCGCTTGCATCACAGCTTTACCCTTGCCTTTGAGCAGGAGTCCCTTGACATAGTCGAGCTCCATCTCGAACAAGACATGCTGTGCCTCGCTAGCGACCAAGACATGTATATCAGCACGAACCTGAGCCACGCGATCTCGGCTGACATTTCTTCCTCGCTGCGAGCATCGCTGGCGGCATCGCTGAGCTGCGCAAGAGCGTAGAGCCTCGTCATGAGCTTCTTGAGCGGTCGCTCATCGTTGAGCAGCTTTAGTCGCAGCAAATCTGTCGCCTCACAGTCAGTGAGAGTCGTTCCAGCTCGTACCAGGCTTACCTTCGTCGCTCATGACGCGCAGATGACTGACTGCTCTCTCTAGATCTGACAGCTGCCAATGGCGACGGCGCACGTAGCAGGGTGAGAGCGCATCACGTGATCAGGGGCTGATCGCCGTACTGCTCCGGCAAGTTTCGCAAATTGATCGTTGCCACAAGTCATCACCTCCAACTCAGAACAATGGCTGCCCGTGCTGCACGTACGTCTAGTCCTTGCACTACATCACAATGCACTGACTTGTACGTTGAATCGCAGAAAACTCCCTGCGCGGTCAGCTACACGGCTTTGCCCAACGCAAGTAACATGCTCATGTTTGTTTGTTACAGCCACGCTTCGCAAGAACTGGTACTCGCCCGAAGTGCTGCCCATCTTTGCAGTCGTCGGCGTCGCAGTAGGAGGCTGTGGATGGTACCTCGCCCGCCTCGCTCGGGGTCCCGATGTCGTCTGGGGTACGCGACCCTTGTTTTCACGCTGCACCAGCAGACATTGACAAATTGAGACCCACAGACCGAAGAGGTAACCCGAGACCTTGGGAGCACATCAAGCCCGACCAGAACACCAAGCTCTACGCTGTCAACCAGGAGTTCAAGGAGAAGTGGCGACGCGACAGGCTCTAGATCAAGCCACATTTGGCTATCTCGCCACTTTGTGTCTTGCGTCTAAGCCATCGCAAGTCGCAACTTCGATAGATTTCTCAACCTTAGATCATTAGACTCGCTGGGAGAAGGTCAACTTCGCATCTAGATGGCCTCCTTCACGACTCTTCACACTCTTTGCCGACCCGCGTGTGCGGTAGATCCGCACTCGCACTAGATAGAGATACCCGTTCCAATGCATTCACGCTAGGAACAGACGCTAAGTTTGGTGCACTGAGCGACGCCATCGACTGACAGACTCGAGCGCGATGTCATCGTGCGCTGACGGCACAAGTGGCGACGGCGCAAATGCCCCCGAGAAGCGATGCGACTGACTGATGAGCATGCTCTGACGCATCACGTTTGCTTGCATATTCTGGAGAAACGTCAACTGAGCAGCTAGCGCGACCTGCTTCTGCTGGATCTGCTGTTGCTCGCGTGCCGCTGCTGGATTCGCGATGCCCAAAGGTACCTCGTCCGAGCTAAGTTGAGCTGCTGCGCGTAGTGCCAGCGGAACGTCCTCGTCTTCTTCAGCCAGTGTGCTGCTCGATCTGAGGCGTGCGAGGGGTATGTCTTCGTCCCTTTCGCTGACCGGGGCAGCTCGTGCGAGCTTATTCATGCTCTCGTTGCGCCGAGCCAGGATGGTCGCGATGGGAGCATCGCCACTGATCGAGCTCGCGATAGAGAGCGGGCGTGCTTTCGCACCGCCAGATCGTCGCCACGACTGGTCAAGATCAGCTGAACTCATGCGAAAGTTGGGTAGCCGAATCTGTGGTAGATCGGATCGTCTCTTGATCAGCTTCGAGATGGGTTCATCTTCCTCGTCGTCTCGCGGAGATTGACATGCCCTGGAGGCCACAGAATGCATGGTCACCGAACGAATTTTCGAATCGGAGGGAGGTAGATCTTGTAAAGTTTCGACACAATCGTCTTGTTCATTCGGCTTGACCGCTTCGTACCGCTCATCGTCTGAATCAGAGTCAGACCGACCGTCGAACCAGCTTTCACTGTTCTTCGAAGAGATACGGAACGACTGATCAATGATAGTGCCCGACAGGTCCAAGATGGCACTGCTGTCGTTCATAGCAAGGTTGCAGCCGAGGTCGATGTTGAGCTCTGGCGTGGGCGTCTCCAACAGCTCGTCGATCCGCGAGTTTTCGTCACCATCGTCTACTGTCTCGTCGATTCGAGCGTGCGGAATCGCCTCACATTTTGGCAGTGCGCAGATCGAGGCAGGGCGGGCGTTGATGACTATCGTCTGTCGCTTTGGCTTGCCAAGACCGAAAACTGTCTTCCGATTAGCGAGCCTAGCTGCCACTCTTGCTTCCTCGTCTGCAGCTTCTTTGTCTTGCTGGATTCGCTCTACGCGCTCGAGCTCCAGCAGCTTATCGAGCTTGGACAATTCGCGCGTCATGACCGGATCAGGTGCGCTCGCGAGCAGCTTGCTATTGCGCGCAGCCGTATTACCGTATGCTGAAAACATGCTCATGCGTTTGTCGTGATCATGTGTCGAGCTGTCGGACTTGGCAGAACGAAAGGCGCGACTGTATCGATTGAAGGGCTCTGAGTCCACAAGGATCTTGCCATCTTCCGCAACGACGTCATGGAGCTCTTCTTCCGCCCGCTCGACCCATCCACTCGCGGTCCATACAAGGCCGCCCGTATTGGCGAAAGAGCTATACTTGATGAGCTTCACCTGAAGATACGAGGCTCGTACTCACCGTTGCTTAGCGCGTTGATCTTCCTTTCGTTTGTCGAGCTCATCCATCAGACTGCTACCGTACAGCTTACCAGGCGGTCTAGGTGCGACGGCCGATGCTGACGGCGCTCCATTCTCTGGATTTACCGAGAGGTCATCCTCCAAGTCTTCAGCAGCTTGCTCTTCAGCCGTGCGCGGTGCTCTCCCTACGAAGCCTTGAGCGAGATCGTCGGAATCATAATCGTCCTGCAAGAGTTCCGGCAAGACGATCGTGCGAGGTCGAACTGCTCCTGGAAAGCGTATGCTTCTTGCTTGTTCGAGCCTCTCGGTCGCTTTGGGATCGAATCGAGAAATGTAGCTGCCGTCAGAGATGTCGACTGATTGTGCTGAAGGACAGGGATCCGCATCGCTGGGCGCTGGCAAGAACGGGGAGAGCATAGCGTGCGAGCTTTTTGCTGGCGACAGTGACAGAGCTGGGAGGAAGCTCTGGTGCGAATTGTCCGAGCCATGCTCAGAGTGATCCTCACCCGGCAATGGCAATAGGCCGTCGTGCCTAGATCGGAATTGACTCTGTCGCAAGGTGGTATCACCTTCCTCGTTTCCGGGACTGGAACTTCCGCGATCGAAGCTGATCTCTAGCGGACTCGCAGTGTCGGTCATCTTGCTAGGTGTCCGCTCGCTCACTGAGGAGCAACCATGACGATTCAGGACCTTGTCGAGACCCCATTGAGACATGCTTTCGTCTTCGTCTCTTGACTCGAGACTGGCACTCGACGTTGCAAAGGCAGTTGCGCGCTTTGCCGGCGTACTCTGGTGCCATCTTGACTCGGGCGAGGAAGATGCAGGCGAGAAAGAGAGTGCATCTTCTGAGATCGCCGGCGAGAGCGTCTCGACAGGATGCTGTTGCGATTTGCGTACGAATGTCCTGCCGGCTGTGAAATCGACATGGGCGAGCGGGTCATCGTCTGTGAAAGGTAGAAAGAGGGCAGAGAGGTTCGCTCGAGGTCTTGGTGCTATGAGGTCGTCGACTTGTCTATCGTCCTCTTCATCATATTCGATCAGTGCGGCAGCGAGCTGCAATCTGCTGAATGCGGGTGGCGCTACGTAGAGATCACTCTCGTGCGCATCCTGGCCAGAGTGGCCAGCCGAGCCAGTGAGATGACGGTGGAGCACAGGATCGGCCTGAGCGTGTGTATCGGTGCCCTTGCTTGCATGTGTCGACGCACCGCTGGATGGCCGATTCCTCTTCTTGCGACGGCCGAGGCCCATTGTGGAGCGATGTGATGACCTGTCAAGCTCGAGTGAGTCGAGCACGAAGGACAAGACGCGCGCTCTGGCGGTCAACGCGTCAAGAAGCTCCGTGCCTTCGACGGATGACGCGATCAGTGCGTTTGAATTCCAGCAAGCCTGACAGTGGTTCAATCGAGATCGTCGTGGGAGTCAGTACAATGAGACTGCATTGATCGGAGACCAGTATATTGCTCTTGCGTGAGGTCGTCGTACATTTGCGATTGCACATGAACAGGTACACGGATGAGGGTAGCCGGAGCGAGTACGTAGGTGGCCTGACTACTTGCCGTACTTTTGGAGTTCCCATTCTCTGTTGTCTAGCGGGCACACTTGCCTCGTCTTGAGCCATCGACTGTGAGGACCTCTTGTCAGCTTATCGAGGTGATCGATGAGGCACGGACAGACCTGATACAGTGCATGTGGTAGATGTGGTTGCAGACGCCCCAGGCCACCGTGCAGTCCTCGCTACTCGAGCTGTTCGGGTTCGACTGGCACTCGATGCAGACGTCCATGATGTGATTCCGACAGATCGCACAGTTGTCGACGGTGATATCTGCATCGAGGCCCCGGTGAGCACCACGCCTCGTCCATCAGTCAGATGTGCTGACCCCAGGCCCACATGGCTACCGCGTTCCACTGTAGCTCGTACGACGGGTCAGCAAAGTCACTGCAACGACCCCTCCGAGCGACTCGCCTTTTTGACCTCGAACCGCTTCGTCTGCGTCTGCTGCGGCACATCGAGCGAAGATCAGCTCAGCTTCAGCCTATTCATGTCAGCTTGATGTACCTCTGGCTGTGTATCGACCTCCATCGCACTCATCTTGCTGCTGACTGGTCGCCGACGCGGTCGCGAGTCTTCATTCATAACCGCCGCCGCCGCTGCTTGACATCCACCCGGGCTCTGACCACTTTCGGCCTCCTCTGGGCATACAGCATGGCTGTGGCTCCTCAGTTTGCACTCCATAGACTGCCGGGCGGCCCTGCCAGTCGGCACTCGATCGAGCTCTACATCGACTTTGTATGTCCCTTCAGCAAGAAGCAATTGCTCGGCGTTCGGGACAACCTCCTACCGATACTGCCCAAAGATGTTGCCGTCATCATAAGACAGTCAGTCCTGTCCGCTGTAGCGGTTGGAGTCCCCTGAAAGCAGCTCTGCAGAGTTCCCCAGCCCTGGCACGCCGCGTCGACGCTCGTTCACGAGGCAGCAATAGCAGTCAGCAAGCTCGTCGATGACGCTCAAACTTTCTGGCAATTCGCCTATGCGCTCATGGAGCACCAAGAAGAATACTTTGACGAGGCGGTCGAGAACGAGACGCTTGCGTGAGTTGCGGACTATCAGCTCTCTGTGATCCTGTCGAAAAGGTCACAAAGCCTGCGGATGACTGACGATCAGCGCAGTCAGATAAGACGCAGACTCGCCAAGCTCGCTCATGACTCTGTTGGCGTCGAAGAAAGTGCTTTCCTGGATCTCGTCAAGACCGGTCAGGGCAACAGTGGCAACAAGGTCGGCGCAGATCTCAAACTACAGGTCAAGCTCGGTCGACAGAATGTGAGGTTCATTCTCCTCGTCATGACAGGCATAGTTGACAATCAGAGCAGGGCATTCATGTGACGCCTACCGTGTTGCTTGACGGGCTCGTCGATCCGTCCGTCTCGAGCAGCTTTGGCAAGGTGAGCAACGTGACTTGCACGCATGCAGCGCTGATGCCTCTCACTGGTAGGACGAGTGGGCCAAGTATGTCAAGGAGAAGCTCTCATGACTATCTGTTCACCTGTAGCCACGCCATCATGACATAGAGGATCGCATCACATTCTGCACCGTTGTAGAACACGCTTGCATGTACCTGACATGCTCGTGTGAGAGAAAGAGTTGTCCAGACTGAGTATGCTGCGAGGAGTGCCGCGCAATGTCTCGGATCTAGGCCCAACCCCATGAGATGGGCAAAACGCCGGTTGAGAATTCGCCAATGGCAGAATAAGAGCCCGTGCTCATGTCGAGCGAGTTCTCTGCGCATCCAGGACATCTGCGCTAATCCGTCAGTACCCTTGTAGCAGGCCAAGCGCTAGAGCTTGCCTATCTGCAACGGTAGCGATGACGGATTTGCCATTGGCCGTATTCGTGACCTTGACCGATTTGCCACAGTGAGATGGCTGGAAACGTGAGGCAGACAAGGCGACAATCATGGCAGAATCCGAATTGGCGGTACCGCATGCGCCTGTCGCGCCTTCTTGATAGTAGTCTGGAGCCTTCTCAGCGAGATATAGCGTGCGTGAGATGAGAGCTTACAAGTTCCTTGACCACCCGAGAAGAGTCCGGCGGCAATGCTACCGACGCTAGAGACGATAGACTGAGCCGATCTCTGCGCCTTGCGATGCTTCTTGACGACTGTCTTCATAGAAGTATCGGGCGGCGTGTCATCGGCATTCCCACTGCTAGAATCGACCGTCTTGGCGCTGTCCCCGCTTGAAGTCGATTGGGTCGTCTCCGCCTGAGTGTCTGTGCCGCCGGACGAGGCATCGTCTGCGTCGTCATCGGTGTCATCAGCATCCTTCTCCTCCTCCTCACCGTCATTGCTAGCCTGAGAGGCCGCAGTGGAGGCTGTACTAGAAGTAGAAGAGTCCCATGCGGGCGCTGCATCATCTGACGTCTCGTTGGTAGCCGTGTTGGACGAGTCTGTCTCGTCTTGCACGGCGGTCTTGTCGAGTGCGCCAAATGGAGCTGTAAAAGTGGTAGGATCCGTCCAGGAGCCCTCGTCCGCTACGCTGTGGTCGACGATTTGACGACGAGCATGGTGGCAAGCAATGCGTTTGGCTATTTTGTGCTGCATCAGTGCGTTTCTGTCCTGTCACGCAAGCTGTCACTCACACTTTGTGGTCTGAGGCTCGCGTGCAAGGCGTCTCATGTAGCTATGACGCTTGCGACGTCGACTGGCATACGTGTCTGGCGCAGCGTGAGTATCCGCGTCAAGGCTGGGCAACGAAAGACTGACGACCAGTGCCCATATGCTGACTGACAGCACGGACAGCCTGACCGCGGTGAGATCAGACCTTATAGCAGAAGGAGAGCAGTCGATGTACCGAGCCAGCTTGCGAGCTCGAGATGCTCGGCAGGAGAACGCAAAGGGCGAGAAAAAAGTGGGAGAGGATCATCGTGATCGTATTGCGATGAGGTCAGGGTGTGTGAACGAATGTGTTGATATGCGATGAGAGTGAAGGCTGGAGAGAAAGGATGACGATCAACGTCAATGTAGCCTCGTGTTGGGTATGAGTGCTTGGGACCTGCCCTGCGATTTCGTGCTTTGTCTTTGCTCGTACCGTCAAGGTCAAAGCGAGAGAGAGGTTTGCGAGCAGAGATGGGCAAAGTTGCCGAGAGAGGCACAAACTACAAGGTGGCAGCGCGTCGAGGGATAGTCGTTCCTCGGCAGGGCAAGACGGACAAAGCATGCGATCGCTGGAGCTGGGGCAGTCGCTACAGTCGATCATAGTTTGAGGAGAGACGAGGAAGAGCGACTCGATGCGTGCAGTCATCCAGCGTGTAAAGAGCGCATCGGTGAGCGTGGACGGACAGATCGTGTCATCGATTGGCAAGGGCTTGCTCTGCCTGATTGGTGTAGCAAGGGACGACACGGCGAAAGATACGGAATCGATCGCAAAGTCAATCTTGAAGCTGCGGCTCTTTCCCGAGACGGCGAGCGATGAGAGTCCACAGTGGAAGCAGTCTGTCGTAGACATCAAGGGTGACTTGCTCTGCGGTAGGCCGGGCGAGTGATGCGCGTACCAACTGCTCATCATTGTCGGCGTAGTCAGTCAATTTACGCTCCTTGCTCTGACGTCAAAGGGAGCCAAGCCAGACTTTCACGATGCTATGGTAGGCCTGACATGCAGTCAAGACGCAATGGATGAACAGGACATATTGCTGGACAGGCACCCAATGAGGCAAAGACGCTTTATGAGCAGCTGCTCTTTCGTCTGGGGCAGTCCTACGACGGCAAGATCGCAGACGGCCGGTTTGGGGCCATGATGGACGTCAGCCTGGTCAACTGGGGCCCAGTGACTGTGAGATTGCGTCCCTTCGCACTCATCGAAGCGAGTTGACATACTCGTCGCAGATCCAGCTGGACAGCAAGGATGACGGTTCGCCAGCTCGATCGGCTTTCGAGGAAGCCAAAGCGGCCAAACGGCTCGAAACAGAGCAGCGTCGAGCGCGCAACGAGGCCGACAAACGCGAGCGACTGAAAGCCTATGAGACTCGCCAGCAGACAGAGTCGTGTGGCTGAACGCGACAGCTGACTAGACATCTGCAAACGCGCTCCGCCTCTCGTCTGCTTCTGCCCATGCCGGCTTTCGCTTGGCGTGTATGACGCGAGAGGGACGAGCAGAGGGTATCACCGTACCCCATCGCGAACCCGGCCAGAGGATATAGGCCACTCTCGCATCGATAAGCTTGATGGGTATCTGTCCTTTTGGGTGTCATCGTGTCGCAATGCATCATTGCCGAGAGCGAGCGCTTACCGGTCCAAAAGTGTTCGAGTCTGTAGAGTGGAAGGACTCGTCGCCTTCCACCCAGCAGTGTGCTTCAGGTCTGGAGGGTGCACCCAGCTGAGCAGGCCATGCTGGCGCAGGACAGGCAGACTCACACTTTGACGTAGCGGTCGGGATAGGGTCGTCTCGTCTTGACCAGATCGCCCGGCAAGCCGATGATACGCTTGACAGAGGTACCGTAGGGCGGTATAGGGCATCTCATGACGACGACCTGGCCACGCTGGTAGGCAGACCACCAGACCGAGCATTTATCGAGCAAGACGACATCCTCGTGCAATCTCGAGCTATCTGGGTTCAGAGCAGGCTGAGACGGACCGTCGATGAGCTTGAGCGTGTAGGAAGAAGAGGTCATCAGGGTGGCTGACCTGCATCGATCGACCGGTGATGCGTGCAACGGAGCCGATGTTGTCCTCGACAAAGATGGCGACGGGGAGCCATAGCAAGCCACGGAGGACTCGTCGACGGAGCGCTGTCCTCTCCTGCTGCTCTGCGCTCGTCTTTGCTCCTCCTCGCAGTCGAAAGGCAGACGCAGCTCGAGCGAACAAGCTCATACGCTCGACACTGCACGCCAGCAGAGAAACCTCGCGCTGTCCTTGGCCGCCGAGGAGGATCAGGAGGAGGAGGAGGAGGCAAGATGTCAGCCAAGGGAGCGAACGGCAAGCAAGATGACAAGCTACGAGCGATACGAATGCCAGACGGCGACCCCGCCCAGTTTGAAGGCAAGGGCTACGTCGAGGCAAGCAGACAGATGCCATTCAATATTGAGAGCAACGTTGATGTTGGCAGTGGACAGATTGTAGACCAGCTCTTGCTGCCCCACCATATCGAGTGGATCAAGATCACCTCTGCTGAACAAGCCTGGCACGCCATCAGGTCGATGCAGATCAGAGGAGCGCCCGCCATTGCATCACTCGCAGCACTCGGACTCGCCCTCGACCTGCTTCGCCTTGCCCGCCATCAAGGCTTGGCAGACGAACACACCTACGGCAAGACCGGCTCGCCAAGCAGCGATGATGCCTCTGCAAGACTTATCGCAGAGACAGACAGACTCTGCGACTATTTGCTTTCCTCGCGACCGACGGCCGTCAACTTATCTGCTGCTATCAAGCTCATACGCAGAGTGACGCAAGCGAACAAGTCTGAACCAGCTGAACAGCTAGTGCAAGCTATCGTCAAGACGTGCAAATCGGTCTGGCAAGATGACATTGCGCGCAACGTGTGGATAGGCATGAACGGCGCCCGCTGGCTGCTCGAGACGCTGGAGCGCGAAGGTTCGCTCAAACCAGACGAATCGGTCAACGTGTTGACCGTACGTGCAAGTCGCCCTCATGCCCTATTCGACGTTGACTGTCACACCATCCGCAGGTCTGTAACACTGGCTCGCTGGCTACCTCGGATTATGGCACTGCTCTCGGCGTCATCACTGCGCTTCACGAGCTAGGCAGACTAGAGCACGCCTTTTATGCTCAGACGGCACCGTACCAACAGGGTGCTCGTCTGACATCCCTCGAGCTGCTATCCTTGGGTATACCGGCGACGATGGTGCCCGATACGGCGATTGCCGCCCTGTTGGCAGGCAAGAAAGAGGGAACACCGCGCATTCACTGCTTCGTCGCAGGTGCAGATCGGATCGCAGCAAACGGCGATACAGCCAACAAGATCTCAACGTATCAGATCTCCTTGCTCTGTCATCACGTTGCTTCGGAGCAAGCCAGGCCCAAAGTCATCATCGCCGCACCGCTCACGACGATAGATATGGAGATGCAAGACGGCACGGGCATCGTCATAGAGCAGAGACCCCAAGAAGAAGCAAAGACTGTCAGCGGCGTGCTTCGCGACGGTCAATCGAGCGGCAAGGTCGTCAAGGTCATGTTCACGCCAGAAGCAGCCTCGGTCTGGAACCCTGCGTTCGACGTCACGCCTGCTGGCCTCATTGATGCCATATCGACAGAGGTCAGGTGTCTTGCCAGCCAAGATGGCGCATTCCAGCTCGGGACGCTCTCTTGAGAATGTACAAACAACATCTTTAGATTGACAACACCGCATCTGTACGCATTGGTATGCATCAACCTCGCAACAGCGAGTGCTGTCCTTCTCCGTGATCTGTCGACGAATGAGCTATCGAATACTGACACGACAAACTCGAGCTCACCTTTGAGTGATGCTCCTTTGGCATTGGCAACTTCGCGCAAGTAAGCCTGCTCGTGCGCACTGAGCTGCGGGCTGGCAGAAGAGTCTGTCTTTGCTCGTTTTGCATTCTGATCCAAAGCTGGTGGCGCACTAGCCTTGCCTCGCTTCTTCTGATTATCCCGTGCGCTATGAGCCTCCTTGCGTATTGAGCGCTGCAGCAAGACTTACGAAGCGGTTGGCTAGGTCCTTCCGCCTGCGAGACAACCTCAGACATCAGCTACCAGTGCGATGGGAGGGCAGGTTCCTCACCGTTGTAGCGCTTCACGCTCACGTTGCTGCTGAACGTCCAATGCGGTCACTTTGCTAAACTTGTCCAGAAAGCTGCCGTCATTGCTGAAGATATTCTTGATCGGCTTTGTGTCGCTCAGCCGCTGTGCAGCGCTCTCCGGCGTCGGGCTTGCCATCTCAGCTGCGATAGCTCACACGCTTCAGAGCATTCAGCAGTCAGTCTGACCAAAGGTGCCAAACTACGAAGGCGCGACGCGACACGCTTTAACCCAAGGCTGCAATGGAAGGCAATGGCGACGATCAAAATTTCTGCAGGCTCCAGCTTCGTCAGCGTGTGTCCCATCAGAAGACATTGAAGACGGACAAAGTCATCCTCGACGGCCATAGCCCAAGGAAACTTATCGCGCAGCGTCTTGCTGAAGAGCTTCTCGATGGGAACATTGTGCTTGCGAGCCCAGACGACAGACAGACGGGGGTCGATGTAGTTGATCTTGGAAGTCGTCAGCGAGACCTCTTTGCCTTCTTCTCTGTCGAGAGCCTGCATTCGCTGTGCTTCGATCCGTTCGGTGAGCTTGGCAATGCTAGCCAGGAGCTTCTCTTCGGTAAGTCTGCTCGAGATGACACCGCTCTTTCGCTCTTCCGCAGCGTCCTTGTGCTCAGAGTCGAGATGATCAAGACGCTTTTGCAGTATAGCATCCGCCTGAGGCTTCTCGCCCTCAGCGACGAGCTTGGTGTTGTCCTTTTCAAACTTCAGGCGAGCTTTCGCTTTCTCCTTCTCGAGTAATTCCACCTCGTGCTTGTCCATCCAGTCGTCGTCGAGATCGCTCTCCTCGACTTTGTCGACGGCTTCGACTTTCACTTTGCCCTTCTTCTTCTTCGCCGATCCAGACTCGGACTGCAAGTTAGCCAAAGCCACGCGTGCCCTGTAGCGCTGGAACTTGACAGCGCGCAGCTTGTCCGCAAGCTTCTCCATGGCAGCGCTGTGGGTCTTGCTGACGGAGCGCTGATGGTTACACAGAATGGCGACTTGTCGGTTCGCACGGTTGTAGGCGAGCAACTTGTCCGGTACACTGACGTCTGCCGGTGTCTTCTCAAGTTCGCGCTCGAACGTCGATGAGGCGTTGTAAGTACGGAAGACTTTGGCTGATAGGCCGTTCATGTAGGTGCGCAGGTGCTTGTTGAGCGTCAGAGTCTGTGCATGGCCATTCGTCCGTCAGTCATGCGATCAAAGAGCAATCGTGTGCGACACTCACACTCATGCGATCAAAGAGCAGGTCGCCATCTGTTTTGGGATCTTTCTTGAAGATCACGAGATTTTTGAAGACCTGCTCGTCAACACGCGCTTCTTGCACGAAGCGAATGGAGTCTTTGCCCAAGAAATCAAAGATGACGATGTTGGGCGGCTGTAAGGTGATGTGCTCGTAGCGAAGCGAGCAGCAGCCGACAGTATCAGCTTCGTCGTCGCCTTTCTCGTTGCCAGCTCGAAGAGCGAAGATATCGATGAGGTACATGCAGGTTGCTCTCTGTCGAATGACCATCTCCTTTGCTTTAAGCTCTGCACGATAGTCCGTTCGGATACGGTCAATGTGATTCTACGGACACGAGATCAGTACTGATATGCACATTCGATAGCAGACCGACCTTGAGCTCGCGGGCCTTTTCAAACTTTTTGTGGTCACTTTGACCTTTGAGTGAACTGCCAGCGGCAAGGAAGACGTATTTGAAAGCATCGTTGATGTTTTCACGCCAAGTAGCAAGCCATGTGACTGTATTGTCATGCTCTACCTTGGCCCACGAGTGTCCTGCTGGCGGCTCAGGCACCTTTGCATCTTTCCCAATGTTGAGCGTGATCTGCTCCGCTTGCAGCCTTTTCTGTTGGTAGATAGACTGATTGAGCCGAGGAAAGATGCGAACGGACAGAGTCTACGAACCTTTAGCTTTCCCGTCTTGGGGTGCTGGCCACGTCCTCGGAACAATCCGGGCGGTTCGACTCTGAAATTGCCGACCTTTTCTTTGCGGCCGTTGAGCAGACAGAACTTATACGGCTCTTCGAGGGCCTCTTTGTCGGCTTTGACTTTAGCTTTCTGGTCCTTGGTCATCGACTTGCGAGCTTCCTTCTCGCGTTCAAAGTGCTCAAACATGGGCCGGAAATCACAGCGATCGAATTCCTGGATGTCGATGCCATTCGTCTGTGCGACAACAATGTAGTTCAGCGCAAGCTCGCTGAGAAAGACATTGCCTTACCGGTGGATGGTCTTTTAGGACTTCCTGAAAGTCGGCAAAGAAATTGTCAACAAAAGTACGATTCTCGGCATGATCGCTCTCGATAAGAGCTCCGAAGAAACCCGCGACCTCTTCGGCTTCGGGCGGCAGATCGACCGGCTGACCATCGTACAGCATCTTGACGCCGTGGGGGACATATTCGGGCGGGAAGAGGATGCCGTTGTGCTCGAGCGTTTCCCATTTGATCTCACCATCACCTTCGCCCTGAGTGAGCCACCATTCGTGAGTCTCGTCATCCTCCTCTTGAGCGGCGATGAGAGCCTTTTCGTCGGCATCCTCGCTGTCTTCTTTCTTCTTTGACTTGCGGGCTTTCTTGGGCGGAGGCGCAGCAGAACTGGAAGGCATCTCATCTTCATCCGACTCTTCTTTTTTGGCCTTGCCCTTTGACTTTTTATTCGTCTTACCGTTGGTCTTGCCGTTGCTCGTCATCTCCTTCTCTTTCCGTTTCTTTGAGGGTTTGGACGAGGAGGCCTGAGCGTTGCTATCAGAGGTTGAAGCGCGTCGGTTCGGCTTGGCTGGTGTGGCGATGGGTGCGGCATTGCCGTTGGCAGCGAACCCGGCGAGCGAGACTGCAGCTTCTCTGTCTGCCGGATCAAGTGCCATGGTGTCAGGATCGGGTACATCGGATATACCGTTGGCATCCTGAGCCGACGAGTCGGTCTTGTGTCCGTTGGCCAGTGAAGCCATGGGTACGTCGTCATCATCATCCGAGTCCTCTGTCTTGTGTGTCTTGCCCTATGGTTCAGCAAACATGAGGACACTCTCGCAACGACAAGGCACACCGTCGCGTACCTGTGAGCGCTCATTGGGCGCGTCTACCGAGGTCGAAGCTGCAGAAGCGACGTCGAGAGTAGACGCAAGCGGTACGTCGTCGTCACCGTCTTCGTCGCTGCTCTCTTGTATCACTCGCTTGACCTTTTTGCTGGCCAATGCAAGGCCCGTCATCCTGGTCGCGAGCGGCAGTCTTGTGAAGCTCGTTGGACTATGTCGCGCAAGGTGTACGTGCCTGACGAGCTGATGTACACTATGCAAGCAGCCAAGAATGAGCCGCACGGTTCGTCGAAGAGTACCGAGTCGGTGCTCGGCTGGCTTTTCGAAGAAAATCTGGCTAAGGCAATTCAGTAAGTACCACATTCTTACGGCCTCGAGCAAACACCGACACTCGCTTGCACGGGCCAATGTCTGCCATGTTGAGGCAAGGAGCGCTATCGGTGGCCAGGTCTGCCACTCGTGGCTATGCCACCGAGTCGGCCAAGAAGATCACCGTGAGTCTGCCTCCCATGGACGCTGTATCAATGACCTGAACTGCCCTGTCACGTCAGATCCCTGTCCAGGTCTGCCGAGCTGCTGTGCGAGACTGACAAGCCTCTTACACGATCTTGGGGTCTGGACAGCTCAATGGTCTCTCGGGCAAGTACGCCGGCGCGGCCTACTCTGCAGCTCTGCGCAAGAGCGAGGACACCCTCAAACAGGCGAGTCCGCCCGCTCGATGCTGCTTGAAGCGGCATTGACTTGCAACGAGTGCAGGTCGAGACGGACCTCACCGCAGTCACAAAGGCGCTCAAGGATGACGCTAAGCTCTCTGCCGTCGTCTTCAACCCGACGTTGTCCGTCCAGGAGAAGAAGACCGGATTGACCGAGCTCTTCAAGAAGGCAGGTGGACGAGGACGGCTCACTCATGCAGTCATGGACTGACTTCACGCGTCTTCTCCAGACTGGCAAGACGCCCAACGATATCACCAAGAATCTTTTTGACGTCCTCAACGAGAACGGAAGACTGCATGACGCTGCCAAGGTTGTCGAGGACTTCCAGGAGATCATGAGCGCACACCGAGGCGAGGTCGTCATCACAGTGACGAGTAGGTCGCGTTCAAGCTCTCGGCAGCATTGGCTGACGCGATGGCGCCGCCACAGCCGCTACACCGCTCGAGTCCTCTCTTCAGTCTAGGCTCGAAAAGGCGCTCAAGCAGAGCGAAGTGGGCAGCAAAGCGAAGCAACTCAAAGTCGTCAACAAAGTCAACCCGAATGTGCAAGGAGGCCTCGTTGTTGACTTTGGCGACAAGTCCATCGATCTCAGTGTCGCAAGTCGCGTCAACAAGCTCAATGCTCTTATTGCTGGTATGCTCTAAATATCTGGTTGTCTCAACAAAGGCTAAATCTTTGATCTGCTAGAATCTGTCTAGAGGCTACTCGGTTGAGCCATTGATTGCATTGTCCGCCAATCAGGTGGTGACATTTCGCACAAAGCCCAGCGCGCCCAGGCTGAACCCGATCAGTCGGCCTATACGATCGTTACCTTTGCGTTGCTCCTGTCTGAGCTCGTCCAATGCGTCCAAGATGGCTTGCTTCTCCATCGCGTCTGCTTGACCCACCGAGCTGATGATGCTTTCGCCTTGCGTTCGCAAGAAGACTGCTAGAAGCGCCTGAATTGCTTCGAAATCCTGATGTGACCTCAACCTCTGCGTCAACAGCTTGATGAAAGGTACGAGCTGGTCAGGCGAAAGACTGCGAATTTCGACGTCGATTGTCGAAGGTGGTAGGCTGATGGCATGAGCAAAGAAGCCTGCATCTCCATCAGCATCAGCATCGGCACAACGTGGAAGGCCGACCTTGCGTATCCTCAGTAAGCCTTCGAGCGAACTCGCTATCAAATTGCGCAGTCTGTAGACCGACGCGAGACGTAATCTCGTCTCCATCGGTGGCATTCTGTCCGAGCTGCGAGCTCAAATCGAAGCGAGTCTCCGTTCCTGGCAAAGTGGGCAGGAAGAAAGGCGCTTGAGCAGGTGCTTTGGGTGGCTCGACAGGCTTGTTACGACTTTTGATCGTATCGAGATTGAGAAGCGTTTGCCACTTGCTTCTCGGCATCAGGGTCAATGTTGCCAGACCGTCGCCGAGATACTTGTCTAGGGTTAGCTCTGATGCGGCTTGATCCTCTTCATCCGCTAGCGCATCCAGGCCTTCTGCCGCATCCTCACTGACTGTCGGTAGACCGACAAGCTCTGGACTTTCATCATCGACGACAGACCGCAATGACACTTCCGCAAATTGTGCTCGATTTGCCCAAAGGAAGACGCCGACGCTGTCGATGTGCGCAGTCGCTAGGAAGTCGCCTGTTGGCGAGAAAGTCAGGCTTGTAGCAAGACTCGCGCAACGGAAGGCGTCGATCATTTTGCTAGTCGGTAAGTCGAAAGTCCGAATGATGTAGTCGAGCGAGCACGCAATGAGCCAGCGAGAATCTGGTGAAAATGCCAGATCTAGTACTCGGCCGCGAAAACCAGACAATTCTCTGACGGTGCGCATCGTCTCGATATCGACGATACGGATGATCATATCATCACAAGCTACAGCGATCAGTCCGTTGTCGCGCTGTAGCAGCATCTGGTAGATGCCGGAAGCAAGCTTGGTTGTGCGGACGAGCTTTGTCGTGTGAAAGTCAAAGAAGTGTAGATCGCCCGATAGGGTTGCGACTACTGCAATTTGATTTAGTGCGTCGACTGCGACGCCGGAGACGGACAAAGCTCGAGCATTTGTTCGTCCGTTTGTCAAAGAGGAGCGAGGTATCTGGAACGCCTTGCGCCAGATGCCAGACTGCAAATTCCAGCAAAGTACCTGACCCAGTTCAGCGTAGCCGACAAGGCCAAAGTGACCGCAAGCGGTAACATGTACGCATCGAGCTGAGCCAGACACTTCAACGGAGCCCTGGGGTACGCCCTTCGAAGTGCTCGACAGGGTATGCGCGCCCTTGCGCTTGTTGCGAACGCTCCAGGAGTATGCCGCGGGTGAGGAAAGATGAGTAGTCAGGACATTGTCCCAGTCAGACGCCCGAGCGGTCGAAAATGCCATGCTGGATATTGTCGCGAGTTTGAGACTATCTGCAGATTTGCCGAGCTGCGCTGCCTTCTTCGTAGCGCCTTGCTGGCTGAGCTCATGCGATCGTGACTCTCGCACCACGCTAGTATATCGCAATGCTTGATCGCGACCCGCAGAAAGCATCGCTTTGCCGTCATCGCCGTAATATCGTATGAGGTTTGGCGGCTTGTGATGGCCAGATCGGTGCTTGAGGAGTCGTGGAGGAGAAAGTGGAGAGTCGAAGAGCCATTGCTTGATCGCGTTGTCTGCTCCGGTTGTGATCATGACAGGCTGACCCGGCAAGAATTGTACGCCGCCGATACTATCGTCGTGAGCTCGACGCTCCAGGTGCAATAGCTTTACGAGATTGGTCGCCGGTGCATCATCGTCCTCGTCACTGCTTTCGTCGTCTGCGCTCTTGAGATCCCAAATAGCAAGATCACCGGACCGTGAAACTGTGGCCATCGTATGCGATTCATTGTCTGCGTGCGCGACGTCAGCACCATGCGTTTCTCGAACCCCATGAGCGTACCATCACGGAAAGCGATGCCAGCGATGGATAACTTCTCGGATCGTTCTGTCATCTGATCAGTAGCAGCTAGGCTCATAGACGAAGCAGATGTCATCTGTACAGCTGCAAGAAGATCGCCCGCCTTGACGTCGAAAAGCGTCACGATGCCGTCTTCGAAACCAATGGCCAATACATCGAGTGCAGGGGATTGAACGAGCTGTGTGACTGCGCTCTTGCGACGATTCACGCTATTGCGCACCTCAGTCGAAGCAAATGTGTGAATCAGTTGTCTGCCGACGTATCAGCATAGACCTGAAATTCTGCTACGAGCTGCGCACCCTGTAGAGACGTTCCAAATAGCAAGCTCGCCTTCGCGCGACCCAACAACGACCTTGTTGATGTACGTAGAGGGATGCACGAGCTTGGTCGCGGTAAAGTCTGCCGGGAATTCGATGGTCGTATGCAGTCCTGCGTAGGCGTGTAATGAGAAATCGTTTCATCGTCATCGATGCAGCCACTCACCATTCATGAGTGTGTCCCAGACAAACATACTCCTGCCGTCTTCAGCGAGACCGACGAGAGTTGTGCCAAATATGTTGAGAGCCGATATGCCATTCTCTGCGACTCTGCCCGTTTGCGATGGCGGTGATTTGACGGGAAGCGGCAGTGTAGCAGTCTGTTCGCAAGCAAGACTTAGTGCTAGTAGAGCGTCACGATACTGTTCTCACGATCTTGCCACGATAGAATCGCCGCACGCCATTCTGGCCTGTTTGGTCTTCTGGGCTCCGATCAGGATCAAAGCTGGCTGCCGTATGTTTCTTGCTCGCAGATCCGTGATTTAGAAGGCCTGCATTGTCGACTGCAAAAGCTGCATAGACACCCCCGCCGCCATCCGCTTTGCTTCCCTCATCTGTCGTTGCAGCAAGCGCAGTGATTGTGCCGCCACAATCCTCGCCTGCCAGTATGAGGCTGAGCGTTTTGACGTCCCACATTGCCCATGAGCTTCCCAGGCATGTGATCAGGTTGAACACCGGCGTCTTCAGATGAGGCGAGGAGCGGCTCAATAACACGAAGGGGATGTCATTCGAATAGAGCGAAAGGGCCCGAAACGGTGCGAAGAGCCTCCGCTTGTCGACCTGTCTTAGCTCGAGATGACGGTCTGACGTCCTGCTGCTTGTCTGTTCGTGCGCAAGGCTGGCGTCGACGGGTAAGTCGTTCACAGGCGGCTCTGGAGATGCTCTTTCTTTTCCTTTCAAGCGACCGTCTGCAGCGACGCCGGGAGATGCATCTCCGGCAGGAGCTGTATCAATCGGCCTGTGACTGCTTGATCGTAGTCGCTTGGCTACAGGTGTAGCCATCGATGAGGTGGGAGCAAGCTTAAAAAGCGATTTGCTGCTTTGACAAAATTATGATCGACACGCTCCACCTCGAGCGCGTCAATAGAATTCTGAGAGAAATCTGCCGCGAGCGCCAACGTTGGGGGATCCACCGAGGCTGCTGCGTGACATAAAGCTGACCATGCAGGTCAGATGCTGCGGTACCATACTCCCTACATCCTCAGCTTGCATTTGAGTCTCGCGACCGCAATCGACGCACTTGACGCGGGATCGGCAAGGCAATAGATCGCGCTCGAGTCGCGTCTGTTATTTGCTGCTCTTTGGCTGCCGAACGCACGATGGCACGACCGAGTCAGAAGCAGGCGTCCAGGGCAGCATTACTTAGCTCGCCGGCATCCAATACGCGCCGGTCTGCTCGGTCTAGCTCAGTCATTGTGGAGGAAAGCATGCCCGAGACTGCGACAAGCCGTGCTCGGTCGACACGCAAAGGCAAGAGCCGCAGCAAGAGCCAATCTAACGACATCTCTGACGATGGGTCAGATCATTACACAAAGCCTGCAGCGTCCGTCCAAGCTCGCCCGAGACCGAGAAAGCGGACGACCTTTGAGGATCTCAACAAAGCAGCTCCCTCTCCAAAGCAGGCTACCCTGCAACAGATGGCAGAGAGAGCCCGGACGCGACAGAGATCTGGAGGCAGCGACGTACCCGTGCAAGGTACATCGCGTAGCACGGGCATCATCATTGAAGATGCAGAGACGGGCAAGGAGGCAGATTATCTTGTCGATATGCCTACTTTCGCAGACAGTTCGACCGAGGCCGAGATGCCCAGAGCATCGCGATCTCGTTCAGAGTCTGCAGCAGACCACTACGTTGGCGCACTAGAAGACGACAGCATCACATTGCCGTCGCCGCCGCCGCCGCCTGTACAGGAAGATCCTGGCATTGCCGGGATGCAGATCAATGAAAAAGGCAAAGAACGAGCTTCTGAACAAGACGAGGCAGGGGCGCAGATTCTCCAAGAGCCTGTCGATCTAGAGCGACGTGCATCTACGCCCAAACGACCCAACGCTCGCACAAACGACTCTGCACTACTTGGCATCAGACAAACGCCAGGTCTTGCTTCACCCTTTGCCTCACCGATCCCAGGAAATGCCCCATTCAGCACCGCTCGGCGAAGTCGGACGGTCTCGAGTCACCTTACGGGCACGCCGCTTGTCAGAACAAGGGACAGACCCGGCTCGCCGACGAAACTGGTCACTACGCATACGACTGACAAATATAACATAATAGCCCAGCTCGTCTCACCTGGCAAAAAGTCAGCTAAGAAGCGCGACGCACAAGTACCAACGCCGCCGAGGAGCAAGTCGTCAGGCGAAGATCACTCTTTCAACAATCGTTCGGCGAGCTGGCAGCTCAAAAGAGCTACCATCTATGACTCTGAGGACAGCGAATTTGATGCTACTGAAGACTATCTTCAAGGCGTCAATGCGCGTATACCGGGGGGAGCCACAGTGATTAAGTCTTGGCCAGTCGACGAGAACACTGTCTTCCTCCTCAAGATGCCAGATAGCGAAGACGCGCAGATCTTTGTGGACATAGCTGCGCTTGGCGATAATCCAGAGAGCATGACAGATGTCATCATCGATCGCATGAAAGAGCGTGCTGACGATCATACCTTCGATGAGGATGACTTTGACAGCATTCGCACAGGTATGTAGCACTCCACGCATGAGTCCAAGCAAAAGCTCATACGCATGTTCAACAGTCATCGGACAGCAGATAGCCCAGCTCGTTGATGCCGAGAAGGATCCAGACATACCTTTCACAGAGCTTGAAGATTCTCGCAAGCTATCGCCTCCAATCACTTCGACCGACGAAGAGGAGCTTGGCCGCGGTCAGTCTAGCCGTGCTTGGCGTGGACAAGTGAGCTCATTGCTTCCAGCAGCAGCTCGCAAAGCTCGTCCGAGGGCCAACAGCCTGCGGGATTCCGACGCCTACGTGCCACGCGTTCCTGTTCGTCAATCTCCGCGTGTTTACCACAGGCCACCAACTGTTCCCGAGCCGCCGGAAGAGGATTCGCTTAGCGCTCAGAAAAAGCCTCGTAGCAAGCGCATACCTAAGGCAGCCCGCACAATTGCCTCACCTGTACCATCCACAGGGCGGCATGAACGTCATCCGCTGCACGAGGTCCGCGATGCCAGTCTCGACAATATCCTCGATGGTATCAATGACGACGAGAACGATCTAGTGCCTCTTCCGCACTCTCAGCGCGACGAACGCGATGACTATGGCGGCTACGAACCGGATCCATTCGATGATGGTCCAATTGTCATGCGATCTGAAGACGAGGAGGAGCAGCTTGAAGACTACGGAGAGCCTTTGCGCGATCAGGATTCGGCTTCACCGGAGCCCGAGCCTGAGCCAGTCCAACCCTTCATGCCTCCGGATGCGCTGCTTGCACCACTGGATCAGCCTACCACAGACTCTCAGCGCTCTGCGCCGCTACAGAGTATGCAGGATCCAATGCTTCAGACAGAGGCCGGCATGGTAGCTGCTGGAGCTAGCGCAACAGGAATTCCTATATCCTCTACGGGAGTTGAGCGCTCGCCGCCTGCGATACAATCGCCCGCAGAAGCCCTGAACCTCGCATTTCCCGGTCAGGAGCGTCAAGATCTGACAGAGCCGCCCCGAGCATCCACGCCAATCGCGGAAGATCTGGACAAGTCCATGGAATACGTTTGGAGCCCGGCAAATTCGCCGAGTGCGGCACCGCCGCCTGCCCCTACATCTCCGCTTGCCGCTTCCTCTAAACAGTCTTCGCCTGAAGCCGAGCAGCCTAGTCCTCAAGCCCTGTTGCCAGCACTCATCAGACTGCCTCAAGTAGAGCGCGCAACGCCGGCAAGATCCCCCTCGCGCGCATCTCCAAGCCCAGTGACCGAACCTTCACCTATCATCAAAGCTTCGCCCGTCAGACCAACTCGCTTCGCTCGTTTTAGCCCATCGCCTCAGCGGCAGCCGAACCCGCGCGAGGCTAACGCACAAGCCGGTCAATCGAGTACGTCTTTTCCGCGTGCCCAAGCATCCGCTTATGTGAAGTGGCAGCCCCGAAGATATACAGGCCGCTCGAGCGGGAAATCCTCACGACCCCTGGCCGCATCGTTCAGCTTATCGAGAAAAGCGTCGATACAGGCGATTTGCTGTTGAGTTCAACAGAAGTTGAAGCCAAGTTGGAGCCGTTCACGCCAATCAAGCGTGAATACGTAGCAGGCACTGCCTCTGTCGATCTTCGCAGGCGGCCTCTCGAAAGCCTAGCAGATTTCTTTGTGGACTTTGAGCCGACGCCCCGGCGTACGCCCTATCGTCGCGGCATGACTCCAGCCTTCAAAGCAGCGATAGCGAGGTCGCCTGACAAAATTCAGATCAGCGAAATGAACGCCGACTTCTCGCGAGCAGCTATCGAGCCTTCAATTGATCAGAACGCTCAGTCTTCCGATGACATGATGCCTGATGAGCAGACAGACTCTGACGACACAGTAAATGATGATCTAGAGGAGCCTATGGAGTATGCCGAACGATCCGAAGCCCTTGCTGAAGCACTGGCACCAGGCGTACAAGAGCGAATTGACGAGCACAGCGAGTCGGAAGTGCCCATTGAGCTAGAGCTGCCTTACGAGCCGGAGCAAGATGATCAAGACGAAAGTTTCCGTCCAGAGGAATTGGCAGAGCAAGAAGATTCGATGGAGCCGGAATATGTGGATCGCATTGAGCCCATGCCGTATCTACGAGACGTTCCGGTCAGTCGACCAATCTTCGCAAATAAGCCAATTATCTATCAGCCACAAGCGCAAACGCCCTCGCTGATACGCTTCTACGAACCGTCAGTGCCGGCGTCAGAGCCTCGACCCGTCCCTTCGGTCCATTTGCCCGACGTCAAGCGTACTGCATCCGTGGTCACTACTCCACTGGTAGCCGAGCTTACTGGTGCCATGGCTTCACCCATCTATGGTCAATCGATGACAGAAGCCTTGCCCGTGCCTATCCCAATATGCGCGCAGTCGCTTCCTGTTCAGGCGCCGAGGCAGACCATAAGCCGCGATCGTAGCATGGCCGAGCCCGTCACTGAAGATATTGATCTGGAACACACGCCAGAGAATTCTGTCCCTGAGAGCGAAGCAAGCGAGGCGGAAGACCCTTTGCCACAAGCAGCGCTTCTGTCCCCATCAGCGTCAGACAAAGAGACAACTTCTTCCAACCGAAGCGCTCAGCATACTGATCATGTGTCCCGTACGAATGTGCATCAGGCCAGTAGCGAGGAGGACACAGATCTGGACGAAGAGCCCAGCCAGGCGTCCGAGGCAGAGATCGACCTGATAGAAGCCGGCGAGCTCAGCGATCAAGAGAATCTGCCGGCGAGACCTCTCAGGGCAGGCCGTGCGCCTTTGCGTGCTCAGCCGAGTCGCAATACGCGGCAGGCAGTAGTTGAGCCTCGTATTGGGCGTGGCCGGCCGTCTGTTGAGATGCCTCACCTGCAATCGCCGCCTACAATGTTTCCGCCTGCCCCGCGAGCTTTCCGGCCAACGAGGCAGCCACGCACCCCTACGCCCTTGATTCAGCAGGCCTCGACGCAGCATGCGCCAGCGGGCAGAGCATCTCACAGTCGGCAAAGCTCTGCTGCACCGATCAGCCCTTACATCAGAATCACTAGTAATGATCCTGCAGCAGCTGCCAAGGCAGCGGCAATCCTCAAGATCGAACATTCTTACGTTAATTGTGGCTGGCGGGACAGGAGTTCATCCGAGAATCCAATGGAGCTCGCTCAGCTGATACACAACGCCGAAGTGGAGCAAAGCATGATAGCTGAGAATCGACGGTCACCAGAGAAGTCTGTTGCTTCTGACAGCCGTTCGAGGCGCATGTCCGATCGTCTGTCAGCTCGACCGCCTCGGCCGTTAGCAAGACAGCTCGGCGCACTGGGTACCGAGCGAGGCTGGACGAAACCACACTGGAAAGCGCTAGAGAATGCCTACTTTGCCATCAAACAAGAAAACGTGGGGAGCAAGGTTGGCGTCAATAAGGTCGCAGAACGCTTTCTGCGCGAGCAACAGATCCGATTGAATGAAATAGTCGATGATTTCGCCCTGTAAGTCACTGCCAGCAGTGCTATCACGCGTACTGACTCGTACGCAGTGACCAGATCAAGGCGAGAATTGAAGCTATGCATTGCGTCATACGACGAAAGCGAGCCACGAAGCGCTTTCAAGAGGCTTTGAGGGCCCGGACAGTTTCGCATGACGAAACGGGCGACGACTTTTCGCATGCAGCTTCTGGCTATGGTCGCGAGTACGAAGCGGCGAAATCAGAAGCGGCGCGAGTGAGCGTCCGCTTACAACACTCGGACGAAAGCCACAGCTTTGAGCTCGAGCAGGATGCACCTGCTCGGCCAGAAAAGCGCCTACCTCTGCCGCCACGTTTCAATGCTTATACTCGCCCTGCCCAGCCAGTGATGCACATGCCGCAAGTATCCACCAGTCGTATGACCCCTGCAAGCTCGACCCCACGACTCGCAGCGAGTTCAGCGAGAGCACAGTATGCCCCCAGATCGCCCGCAAGACGACCGCGAGCCGGCATCAAGTCGCTCATCAGCACTTTCGAAGGCATTGCGCATGCTCAACGTGAGGATGCCGAGCTATCACGCTCGCTCAAGCGAAGAACGTCTGACGATGAGATGCTGACTCTGCCTCGAAAGAGAAGCAGACAAGCTGCCTGAATGCATCCATCTCTGACATGACGCGCATTGATGCGTGTCCTCGTTCTTTGGTTTGTAATTGGGACTTCCACCGCACCGTCATCGCGTCATCAGCGAAGAGCAGCATCAGAAGCGAGCTACTGGCCGCCGAGCGGGCCGCTGCCCTGGTCCCGCATCACTGCTGAGCATATACAGCCCAGCATGATTCGAGCGCAGCCAGGCAGCGAGTGCACCGTCTTGGCAGGTGACCATGCCGCGAATATGCCAGACACGACCATCAAGGGCGCTATAGCAGCCTCAAAGTCAAGCGTGCGACAATCCACCGAGCTACCAATGCCAGGCAGACCAGGCCACCTGACGGACGATCAAGCGAAAGGACTTGCAGAGCTCAAGAAGCTTCTGTCTGAGCATCTATCAGCTCACCCAACGACGCCCTTTCGACGAGAGCTACTGACAGATGACGGCTACCTCTGCCGGTACTTGAGAGCCAGGTCTTTCGAAGCTCACAAGTCCAAAGATCTACTCCTCAAGAGTGAGGCTTGGCGCAAGGATTTTAAGTTGGACGAGCTCTATTCGACTTGGAACTTTCCTGAGCAACGACAAGTCAAGAAGCACTGGTCTGTTTACTTTCACAGCACGGATCGATTTGGACGGCCGATATGTGTCAACCATGCCGGTGTCAAAGACTACAAAGCGCTTTGCAAGATCGTTTCGCCTGAACGGTTGATACAAAATTTCGCAGTCGAGGTTGAAACAACGATCAAGCGACGCTATCCATCCTGTACAAAAGCAAAGGGATCGCTTGTTGATTGCTCTTTGCTCATTCTCGACCTCAAAGACATCAGTCTCTCCCAATTCTATTCGATGCGTTCAGTCATCCATACTCTGTTGACATTCTCGCAAGACGTCTTTCCGGAAACTTCAGGCCGCATCATGGTTATCAACGCTGTACGCACCTCTCAGTGCATTGCATAGCTTGTGCTGATGGTCTCGATAGCCCACTGCATTCACTTACATCTGGAGCTGGGCGCAAAGTTATCTTGCTCAACGGACGATCTCGAAGATCAGCTTTCTCGGACATGACTACTTGCCGAAGCTTCTGGGTGCGTAGTTTGTATGCCACCCTGACTGCGCTGACAGATGGGCGAGCAGAGATAGCCGACAGAGATGCACTGCCTCGTCAGTTGGGCGGCACCTGCAGGCAATGCCCAGAAGGCTGCGAGCATTCAGATCTTGGTCCGTGGCACTGACGATGCCGACCAGCAAAGTACGCATTATCTAGATGTCTGCATCCCTGTACATGTATTTCTAGCACTTTGTGTCTCTCTACGAATGCTTTGTATTTCTACACATGCTGCCTGAAGCTGCCAGAGTATACCTCTTTTTTCGCCATCTAAGCAGACACATCGATGCCGCCGTTTATGTGAATGACTGTGCCAGTGATGTAGCTCGACTCTGCGCTCGCTAGCCAGACATAAGCCGGACCGAGCTCGCTTGGCTGCCCCGGCCGGCCGAGAGGTGGTTCACCTTTACCGATCTGCTTCATAGTATCGGCATCGTTCGAAGTGGGCTGAAAGGGTGTGAAGATGATGCCAGGAGCGATGCAGTTCACCCTGATGCCCTTTGGCGCGAGCTGGAGCGCCAAGGACTTTGTGAAGGTGGCAATGGCAGCCTTCGTGCTGGAATAATCGACGAGAGAGGGGTTTCCCATTGCGGCTGCTACCGAACCGGTGTTGATGATCGAAGCGCCTCGTTTGAGATGTGGCATGGCGTACTTTGTGACGGCAAACATGGTCCAGATATTGGTGCGGTAAGTGAGTTCGACGTCATCCAAGTCTATCTCTGCAAAATTGTCGGATTGTTTCTGACGCGCACTGTTGTTGACGAGAACATCAAGTCTGCCGTAGGTCTCGATATGCTTGTCGACGACGATCTTGCAGTTGTCTCGTTTTGTGAGATCATAAGGGAGCAAGAGGCACTTTGTCCCTTCCTTCTCCTCGATCTGCTTCTTGACGTCATCTGCGTCTTTCTGTTCTGCTGGTAGATACACAATCGAGATGTTCGCTCCTTCGCGAGCCATGAGGAGCGCAGCTGAGCGAGCGATGCCGGAATCTGCGCCTGTCAGGAGGCATGCTCGCCCCTTCAGCTTGTTGCATCCGATATATTCAGCAAGCTTGGGCTCATTCGTCTCGAGGTCATAAGTCTCCAGGCGCGTGAACTCGGCCATGGGACTGGAAAGCAGATGAGTTCTGGCACTATCTCATAGGAGCAGCAGACGAACTCCATCTTGGCGTCGAGACCTGGTCTATTTTGTTCCTGGGGCTTGATTGATTCGACTGGGAATGCCGACAGCTTTCCCTCATAGTGTTGATCTGCCATTGCTCTGGCTGGGTGATGGTCTCAAAAGATATACGGCCTGCGTCGGGGGTGTTGAGGTGGCCGCTACGACCGTTGATCGATTATCATGGCGATTTCGTCATCGTCATTTCCGAATTGCCATCATCACGGTGACCGCCCTCTGAGCTTGCCCTCGATCAGACCAGAATCTATATAAGCCATGACATCTGCAGTGATCGATGCGTTGCACGGCCAGCCTAGCCTGAGCAGACACACAATAAAGACTCGCACAGAGCCAGCCGCATTCAGCGGTGCAAATCATAACTCATTCCGTAAGGTTGCCTCGTTCGACCAAGCTCGATGCAGACGCTCCTTGGCATACCATGTACACCTTCGTATGGCTCTCTGCTAGTCTTCGCGCTCACACCGATCTATACGATGCCACCTTTCTCTTTGAAACCGCGCAGGAAAGCCGTGCGTAGGCTGTTCGAGAGTAGTGCCGACCTTTGCTACAGCAGCAAAGGGGGATCACTAACATACGATGGTATCAAGGGCAATGCTCAACATACAACCGGCTTAGATCGCGACTCTCTCATGAACTGTGCGAGCTTGCCAAAGCCCCTGTCCGGTAAGAAACCATGATCATCGAATTCACTAGCAATGGTCAGGCTGACTTTTTTGCGCACACTTAATCTGTTGCCGTAGCAATCCGACAGCAATACATGAAAACATATCAGGATGCGCAAGCTATTGGTGCGAAAAGTCTGCATAGAGCTGCCACAGGGCCCGATGACTTGGATCCCTTGATCCCATCGTACGATACTGATGCCCCTTTGCTGATGAAGCAAAGGTCGGCACTACTCGTATAGTCTACGAATGGCTTTCTTGCGCGGTTTCGAAGAGAAAAGTGCGGTCACTTACCTCGGTGTAAGCGCGGAAACGAGCGGAGAGCCACACAAAGGTGTACATGGCATGCAAAGGAGCGTCTGCATCGAGCTTGGTCGGACGAGGCGATCTTGCTGAATGGATCTGTGACTTGCACTCCTGAATGTGGCTGGCTCTGTCCGGGTCGCTCCCGCAGATCTGTGCCAAATGTAGGCAACGCCGATATGCGCAGCATATGAATCTGCATCACGTCATCGTCATTTGTCATGAGTCAGACGATATAATGGGCATTCTTGACTTGGAGGCACAATCTGGGGCCCCTGACTTTTTCGTTCTCAACCGTAGCCGAACGTGCCTGTCTGTCGTGCATATTGAGCGTGGCAGCGGAGCGACATCATTCGTTTTTGGAGGGGAGTCCGCTTAGGTCCGCACGGGGAAACGTAAATTAAAGTGAGTGGTAGCAAGGATATTTCGAGAGCAGTCGACACGAGGCGGCAGAATCCACCCAGCCGGGCATTGCACAAGCTGCATCTTCCTGCGCACTCGAGAAGCACGAACGTTCCGCAGGCGGTCGCCGTAGCTGAAAGAGCAGAGTGCACGCTGCTCGCATCCGCACATTTGCTTTCGGAGCTTCACCTAGCAAGATGGCATCAGAGCGATTCGACGGCTCTGCGGACCCTTCGATCGCACTCCGCGGTCCTCAACTGACAGCGGAGGAGAAGAATGAGATTGCAGACAGAGAGAATCCAGCAAACTACTCTGATATCGGTCTCTTGAGAGACTCTATCGCGCCACTCGACTCTTACACTGAAGATGGTCAGTTCGGGCTCCTGCAAGCTTGCGGACCAAGCTCAGGCGTTGCGCACACACAGGTGTCTACTGGGCCGATCTGCCTGCTCGTCAGCGCAACGCCTGGATCACTCGCACCGAAGGAGCCGAATCGCGGCGCGAGTTCGGCGTCGTCTGGGCCATGTTCAAAAAGGATCCCCTCGAGCCCATTCGCCAGTACTTTGCCCGCTATGTCGCCACAGGCATGGGTCTCTTCGTCGAAGGCTTCACTCTCTTTTCCATCGGCAATCTTTCGGCATTGTTCAGTGCGGTCTGGCCGACTTGTTGGTCAACTCACACGGTCTGCGCGGCAAATTGGGTGTAGGTTCCGGTCGATTCATGTCTCTTCGTATGCCCATACAGCCCACAGATATGGCGTCAACTACCTTGAAATCGTCGGCATTATCATCGGTCAGATTCTTGTCGGAATCGAAGGAGGTGAGTATCGCGTGCCTATTCTGTAAAACCCACTCACCCGGTCTTTTACTCCTCTACTCCTTGTCTCAATGACCTGCTGTCATCAATACGCACATATTCAACAGACTGGATCGGTCGAAAGTTCGGTATGATGCAAGATGCGGTCATTATGGCGATCGGCACGTTGATGCTTATCGCGTCCTGGGGGACGTCTCTTCAAGGCTGGGTCATCTGCTATGCCTTCTCTCTGCTCTTCTATGGCATAGGCGTCGGCGGAGAATACCCCATGACTTCAACACGGTCGATGGAGGGCGTAGGCAGCGGCAGGAACGCTACCACTGCCGACAAAGCACATAGAGGTCGAACAGTCGTTCTCGCATTCCTCATGCAAGGATGGGGTCAATTCATCAATCAAGCCGCTCTCATCATCCTCCTGCTCATCTTCAACGGCGGCGGCAACCCTCCGTACAGCAAGAAGACGGCCCAATGGACCTTCAGACTGTCATTCGTCGTCGTTTTGCCATTCACGCTCTGGCTTGTCTACTATCGATACTACAAGGTCACCTACGCAGATGCTGCTCTCAAACGCTCTCGACAACGCCTCGGAACGTCTGGATACGATGTTGCGAGTCTCAATCTTGCACTTCGATATTTCTGGCCTCGTCTGCTCGCGACGACTATCGGCTGGTTCGCCAACGACTTCGCGTTCTATGGCAACAAGATCTTCACGTGAGTCTCTCACGAGCACAGACGTGCTGCTTACTGACGAACACCTCTATCCTCATAGATCCGAATGCAAGTCTGCTGAATGTCATGGATAGTTGACACGTGAGCTGACACGTCCTCACCTCGTCTGCAGTCATCAAGGTCATCAGCCCCCAGTCGAAATCAGTCGTTACCAGCTGGAATTGGTCGCTGCTGAACATTGGTATGTCCAGAAGCGTACGTCTGTCTCCGACTTACGGGTATGCGCGACAGGCGTGTCTCTGGTCGGTTATTATCTTGCTGCTTTCTTCATTGATGCCAAGCACTATGGCCGTGTGCGCATGCAACTCGTCGGCTTCCTCGCAGACTGTGCGTATTGGTCATTGTTGATCTGATACGACAAGGCTGATGCGTCCCCGCAGTCGTCTGCTTTGTCATTCCCGCGTTTGCTTACAAGACACTCACCAAGCCTGGCTCTGGCATCAAAGGCTTCCAGGCTCTGTTCTTCCTGTCCAGCTTCTTCCAACAGTTCGGTCCCAATTGCGTGACCTTCTTGGTTGCCGCAGAAGTCTATCCGGCGTCGATTCGAGCAACAGCTCACGGGTGCCTTTCTTTGGCCTGACATATCAGAGCTTCACTGATTGCCTGATGGTCTAGTGTCTCCGCTGCTGCCGGCAAGTTGGGAGCTCTCGCACCCACAATTCTGTATAACTATATCGACGCCGAGACCAGATTCAAGGTCGTCCCTTGGTTTGCTCTGTTTGGCGCCATTGCCACGTTCTTGTTCTTGCCCGACGTCACCGGCCTCGATCTGCGAGAGCAAGAGCGAGCATGGGAATATCTGCGCACCGAACGCGAGTACCACGGCGTTGCCATCCATCCGAGACATCTTTCCATTTGGGAGATCTACGTCCAGAAGCGTCATCGTCACTACAACCCAGCACTCGACAGACAAGAGAAGATTGACGAACTGCGTGATCTGTACAAAGGCTACACACGGTCGAAAGCAATGGAGAAGGACGCCGAGAGCGAAGATGGAGTGGAAGCTGACGACTATTCGTTTGTCAGCGATGACGTCGTCGCCTATTTCAGCAAGGAAAAGGGCAGCTTGGCACCCAAGGCCTCGCCAGGCTCTGATGAGACCAACGTCGCCTTCCACAACGAGAAGCAGAGCTGATTGTGCATGCTCTCGAAGACTGTCATTTTCATTCGTTCATTACAACATGTTGAATCATTGAAGCCATTGATGTGTAGCCCCCGCCGCGCGCATCGCGCATTTGTCGGTATTTATCCTAGCGAGTAGTCAGTAGGCTGTCGGAAGCGTGCCTCGCGTTGACTGTCGAGCATCTACAGATGCTCACGGCATGAGCAGCTACTTGGGTGATCTCAATCCCAGTACCGCGCTGGCATCTCTCGCTCGCAACGTGCAAGACCTCTTGCCAGCAGCCCAGCAACAGTGGTCAAGATCGACTGTCGGCGCATACCTCGACAATCTAGCAGGTCTAGAAGGGGATCGTCAGTCTTGTGAGGCTGGCCGTCTATGCGTGGTCTCGTATCGTACTGACGCATGCAAGACAGTATATTACTGGCTCGGAGGTTCGGTAGCACTCGCCTTACCGACTCTGCTCGCGCTTTCAGGGCGCACCTCGCAGGCTAGCAAGCAGACCCTCAGCAAATCTGCAAAGAAGCGTAAAGCCAAACGGAAGCAAGCCACTACGAGCGGCAATTCGACTGACGAGCAGACTGCTGGCAAGATGGATGTGCAGACGCCGCCCAGCGTCATCCTTCACTGGGGTCGCGAGAGGTGTGCAGCTCGTACAGCAGTCTTCTGCTTGCACTCACAGACAAAGCAGGTACACGATCGAGCTTCCGCCAGCGCATGCACCCCTTTCAGTCTTGCGTTCATTGATCCAGCAAAAGACATCGGTCGCGCCTGAGCATCAGAAGCTGATCATCTCTGGCTTCGTAGCCAAAGATGATGCCGCGACGATGGCCCAGCTCGGCTTGGTCGATGGACCGTCTAGCAAAGCACAAGTAGAGGAGCCCAATTTTTCGAGCCTCATGAAGGGATGGGGCGCAGCCATAGGTTTGTATAACGACGGCAAGAAGAAAAAGGAAAAGAGGATAACGCTCATCGCTGCGGCCGAAGCAAGCGGCAGGGTCAGCGACCGTCCTGAGGGAGTAGCAGGCCAGGGGTCAGTAGCTACATCGGGCCGAAAAAGTGCGGCAAGGGATGAACCGACGCTAGTACAATCGATCAAAGCGATCTCTGATGACGCTACCCAACGGCTCGAGACTCAGATTGTCGAGCTCGAAGGCTCTGCCTCTGGCCATCCCGTCGCGATTTCTGCAGACCGCTTAGCGAGTCCGGCCCATGAGGACTCACGACCCGGCACACCCAGTCAGACAGTGCCATTGCATGTACGACTATCGGAAGCGCTGCTCCAGATATTGCTCAAGCTAGATTCAGTCGACGTGCCCCCGGAATGGCAGGAGGCGAGATTGGCACGCAAGAATGCAGTCAGAGAAGTGCAAAGCAAGCTCGACCGAGTCGACCGCGCCAAGGAGATGCTCGCAAAGCATTCGAGCACAGGCTAGATATAGTGTTGTACACATAGTGGATTACTTTACGTCCGCAATGTCGCGACATATATCTTTCACATGTCAAATGAGCGAAATGGAAATTGTGCAGAAAAGGGATAGAATCGCACCCATGAGCTGTCGCTCGAATCGAAGCGGGATGGACTTCTGCGGCAACCAAGAAGGTCACGCAATTGGGACCGAGCTGTTGGAAGGAGCTCGACAGGAAGACAAGAGTCTGGAAGCCTTTGATGCCAGAGCTGGGCTTGGTGAGTATCTTGTAGAGCAAACGCGGGAATGACAGAACGCGAAATCGTTGGCGAACCAGCCGATAGTCGTCGCGAGCAGACGAGGCCAGAAATATCGAAGTGCAAGCCTGAGACTCGCAACAACGTATGCAGACGTTCCGAGGCGTTGACGGGAGCGTTTGAGAGCAGCAACTGCGTAGGTGACTTTGTAGTCTCAAAGGTAGACAAGCCAGAGCGTGAATGGCGAAATGACGACGATTGACGATATGAAGGTCCACTGGACCGTCTTCTTGCTGTACGGAGGGTTGCCGTCACTTTTGAAGATGAGCAGAAGGAGGATGAGAGCGACTTGAAATGGCAATTTGAGCTCGTGTCTGAGTCATCAGGCCGTCTGGGGATCGGCTGCATTTCGACGCGCACAGATCGCACAGACTCCCTTCCGGCGTTCTCCGTTCTAGTGCTTCTAACGTACCCACGCGGCACGTGTCTTCGATCTTGCAATACTGTCCATCTTCTATGTTGCTTCTCTGGCCCTCGGCGCGTCAACGCCAGCCCCAAGTCGCTCCTCGACCTGCCCGTTTCGTCATTGAGCAGATATGGATCAGGAAATGAAGGACGTCGCCTGCTTGACCAGACAGTGGGACCTGCCGACCGCCCTGTATCCACTGACTCCGCTAGCTATACCTCGATGGACCAAGTTTGCATTGACAAAAGGCGGTATCGGTACGGCCATCGCAACGCGCTCGCACCTCGCTGAGAGTGAAGATGAGCTCATGTTCTTGGCCGATGAACACATCGTCATACTTACAGAGCTACCGAGTCATGTGCGGCCTCTCTCTGTCGCATCGACGCTCGATGAAGAAGCGCAAGAGCCTCGCTTATATTATCTTGTAAGTGAGCCTTTGAGGGGCTGGGCGCGGCCTGACATGCTTGCAGGGCTACTGTCTCGTAAGCGATGGGCACTGTCGTACGTGTGTGCAGCTCTGACTCGTGCACTGACAGGGCGTGATCGGTATTGTCGACGCAAGATCAATCGAGATCCAAGGCAAACTCAAGCGGCCGTACTTCACACGCAGAGCACCGAGCACTCCCGTCATCCTGAATTCGACAAATCTGCACGTCACACCTGTCACTGAGCAGTCTGATCTGTCGCTATGTCCGAGCGAAGCTGCATCAATGCTCGCTTCACCCCAGTGTGCCAGTCCAGAGCAGCCAGCATTTAGCAAGTCCCCAGAAGCTCTGCTTCCTCCCACACGCTTTCATGAGCTACACGACAGCGATGCCACCGCTGTCGTGACAGTCATTGCCCCAGACGAGCAATCCTTCGTCGATCTTATGCTCGCCGATACATCAGACGTCCGGCGCTCCGCGGCGAAAGAAATCCGCGACGAATGGTACTTAGACAAACTCGCTGCGGAAGCTGTGGATCTTCTCAGGCCGTCGACAGGCGACTTTCTGCCAGCCCTTTCGCCGCTCGACGAACTGCTCTCAGTCACACAACGGCAGCAAGTGCATCAGCCAGCCCAAGGTCTCCGGCGCTGTCATTCATTCTCAGAAGTGAAGCAGTCGACCTCTTCGAGTCTTGCGCTGCCACCTCGTCAGCTCAAACGACGATCTCGGTCTTTCTGTGAGCAGTCAGCACGATGTGACTCTGCTCGAGCCGTGTCGCCTTCCTCGTCGCGCTGCATTGAGCCGCCGATGTTCTCGGCGGATATCTCAGTTATCTCGACAGCCCAGACATTATTTCAAAGTCACGAACAGGATACCAGCTTCGATTTTGTGCACTCGCCTACCATATCAGACGGCGACCCGAGCGAGATAAACGCTGTCAACTTTCCTTGCGTAGCGCTCGAGTCGAAGCGATCTTTGCGCAAGTCTGCAAGTTTCAGATCATTATTGACCAAGCGACCATCCTTTCTCCGAACCGAACCAGCAAGTAAATCACATAGATCATCGTCGCATAAGCGCACAGGATCGGTGGCATCAAGCTATGTGGCTATGAATACGAGCAAAATTCAGAATGTCTCAAAACTCGAGCAATCGTGGCTCAAGGCCATTAAGCAAAGTCCGGCAACGACGAAAGCTTCGCGGCCTATGCGTACAATGACTCGCAAGGGCCTGCCGAGCTCGATACGTGGTGTTGTCTGGTCTTATCTGGCAGAAACCCATCGATTCGCTCGACCTGGTCTCTTCGACAAGCTCGACAAGCTCCCGCCGCCTTTGTGCTGGAGTGACATTGAAAAAGACCTCAACAGGAGCTTGTCAGCCAGGTTCGCAACGACGACGAGCGTAGCAGAGGGGCATGTCGACCTCGCTCGCGTCCTCAAAGCTTTTGCGCATCACCTGCCTCATATTGGCTACTGTCAAGGATTGGGTTTGATTGTCAATTGCTTCCTGCGCCAGATGCCGGCAGAAGATGCTTTCTGGCTTCTTGTCGCTCTTGTGGAGTCCTACCTGCCAGACTACTACTCGACGAGCATGTCGGGCATCAAAGTCGATGCCGCCATCTTGGGCAAGCTTTTGGCAAAGACGGACCCGAAACTTGCGTGCCAGATGGCAAAGCAGAAGATCTTTCTCTCCATGTTTCTGACACCTTGGCAACTTCCTCTGTTTGTCAGCATCCTGCCCGAAGAGACACTGGTTCGCGTGCTCGATATCTTCTTCTTCGAAGGCAGGGAGACGCTTCTGCGGGTTTCAACTGCGCTTCTCGAGCTCAACAGGCTAGACTTGCTCGACGCAAAGTCGGAAATGCTCATGGGACTCCTCCGACCGGCACCAGGAACGCTCAAATGTGACATCCTGATTCCCGCCATGTTTGCACAGCGATGGAAGAGCTCCCAGGTTCGTGCACTTCGCAAATCAGTGACAGCGTGACATCCCGCACGTGAGTAACCCGTCAGACTGTAGATTCACGCGGCCAGCACGAGCTTGAGAGTAGAGCGATTGGGATTGCAGCATGACATCTTTTTTTATATTTGCACATGACAGTCTGGAGATATTGCTATCGTCATCGATCAGTACTCGGGATCCGAACGGGGTTGTTCAGTGCGGTCGAAGCCAGCATTGACGACGAGTGTTCGGCCGTCCATCTCGGCGCCATTGAATTTGGCGATGAGGGCTTCTTGGGTGCTCTTGTCGGCGACGCGCAAGAAACCGAAGCCTTTCGAGCGGCTCGGGTCGATGCGATCCATGACGACGGTGACGTCTGTCGGGTTGAACTCCTCGAAGAAGCCAGCGAGGTCGTTGTCTCTGACGGTCCAGGGCAGACCGGCAACAAAGACTGTAAGTTTATTCAGCCTGACTGTTGAGCATATATTCAAGTCGAAGCGTACCTCTGGTATCTGAGGGAGTGCCCTGAGGCGCACGACGCTGGGGTCGGCTGCCGTAGCCGCCGCCTCCACGTCGATCGGAGTAGGAGCCTCCGCCGCCGCCTTGACGGTCGCCATAACCAGATCGGCCGCCGCCGCCGCGACCCTCACGATCGCCATAGCCTCCACGAGACTGGTTGCCACCATAGCCTCCACGATCACCGCCATAGCCGCCACGCTCATCCTGTGGTATACCCAAGCATGAGCTCTTGTCCATTTTATGATGCCCTCTGAATTTTTGTCGAGCCAGAGATGAAACTGACATCGTAGGCTCTGGTGGGCGTAGTCGAAAAGCTCATGCGAGCCAGAGACTGCGCGGGCACTCTGCTTGCACGCTGTAGCGATCTGATCATTGATATTGACATCTTTGTCGGGCGATAGAAATTTGCGAGTGACAAGCCGTCAAGGACTGCCGAGAGTGGGGGAGCAGCCGCTTCTTAAGCGCGACGTCGACAAGGCGCGCGGCGCTCGGTAGGCAGACCCGATGGCAACTCCCTCAGAACCAGCACCTGCTGCGAGGCTGTCTCAAGATGTGGCAGAAGTACCGGCAAGTCATTCTTCTCAGCCATCGCTTGCTTCGACACCGCTGCTGCCAACGCTGAGCAAAGCGACGACGCACAACTTCAGCAGTGCTCTCTCGACTTGGAAGGGTCAGCTAACCCGCCCGATGTCTCCACAGCTGCTCACATGGATTGCACTCACCAGAGATCAACTTGACCGAGTTGCAGCGGACGCTTGACGCACGCGGGCTCGAAATCGTCGAGAACCAAAAGGAGAACATGGTCGGCCGCAAGCGACTGGCCGAGCAGACGAGGGGTCCGCTAGCGCCAAGTCTTACGTACATGAGCTCAGGCCAGAATGTTGTCAGAATTCCGCAAGGTGCCAGACGAGGAAAAGGCAACATCGTTCAAGGGACTCCTCAAAGGTTCGCCGGCGCGTCATAGACACCTTGGCTTGCCCTGATAGCACTTCACAACGATCAGCTTACCAGGCCGAAATTGACATGCTCACGAAACGCTCAAAGATAGCAGAGACGGCGTTCCTGCATGTCTATAAACTGCTTGCCGAGGCGCCCGACCCATTTCCCTTGCTTGACGCGGCAGTGGTCAGCCCGTCATCTGTCAAGCCGCTTTAGCACTGACGAGTCGAGAGTAGGATCAAACGGCGAAAGCGTCAGAAGCTCGTGTTCTCGAGCTATCCCTGAAGAGGGCACAAGACGAGGCTGCCACGCTCAAAGCTCAGCTTGCAGAGGCTCAGGCGTCTGACAAGGAGCGTCGGAAACTGGCTGAACGCGCCGAAAAGCTAGAAAAGAAGGTGCGCCGCTTGCCCGCTCACATGTGGGGATCTGCCTTAAGCAGTAAGCGAGCGTACAGATGGACGATACGGTCAACGAGAAGGTAACGCAAAAGGAAGCAGAGCTTCATGCCATATACGATGAGCGGCTGAGGAACTATCAAGAAAGGCAAGTCGACGCGGGACGCCATGCTCGACGGTTTCGCTTGCTGTATGCTGACACGGTCATCTGCTTCAGAGAGCGAGATCTAGAGAGGCAGGCGACTATGGCGCGAGCTCAACTCCACGACTTGCGAAGCTCAAATGATACAACGCAAGCTCAACTGATGAGTCACTCATCAAGAAGAGGTTCGTCAGCGCTAACATAGCTGTTCGCGAGCTCAACGCTGGTCGAGCAGATCAAGAATCACAAGCGCGTTCGGCAGAGATCGAGCTCATCAATGCCGATCTCGAGCGAGCCACTGCACGAGCAGCCGAAGTAGAGCGTCGCAATGTGAGGACAGTTCTGATCGGTGAAAGCTAGTCTGACGATCACGCAGGAGAAATTGCGCGCAGAAATCGAAGCACTCCGACTGGGGAGCGAGAGCGATGCAAAGCTGAAGAACCTTGAGCTGCAACTAGAAGAAACCCAATCCGAGACGAGTAGGCTACTCAAAAGCTTGGACAGTCAAAAAGAAGAAGCAGCACGAGCAGCGGATCTATCACTTGTTCGCCTCGAAGCGGGCCAAATGGAACGAGCCGCGCTCGAAGCAGAAATCGAGACTTTGCGACAGCGCCTTGCCAGTCACGACGACTATGACGAGGTCAAGCGAGAGCTAGAGATTATGAAGGCAAGACAGCTTGAACCGCGAGCGAGCAGCAAGCTAATTCGAAGCACAGTTTGTGGAGTTCAGCAGCTTGAACGACGAAGATTTCAATGACGCAGGAAGCATGATTTCTTCGATGGAAATGCGACTGCCGAATCCCAACGCAGACAAGCCCGGCGCGAGCAAAGCGAGACCGCTCGAGCAACTACTCATGCTCAAAAATAGGAAGCTTAGCGATCAGGTAACGGCACTTCGGGTAGCCCACGAAGATCTAGGGTCATCGGAGCGAGCTCTTCAGACAGAGCTAGTCGAAGCACAGACTCGGTTCGAAGAAGAGCGTGCCCTCAATGCTCGACTCGAAGCAGATCTCGCTCGCGTGAATGGTTCGAATAGCAATGATGCAGAGCCTCGCCTGTCGACGGGCAACGGACATGCGACGGAGGAGCCACTAGCGAGCCTCAGCTTGGGCAAACGAACAGTGTGTCGAACAGTACCCTAAGTAGAGCTCAGACTGACATGAAGTCAGGGCACGCCAACCGTCAACGGAAGTACTGCGGAAACGTCAATATTGCCCATCATCACGAGTCAGAGAGATCGCTTTCGACAGCGGAACACCGAGCTCGAAGAGGTCAGCAGAGCCATGAAGGCTGACAAGGTTCGCTCTGAAGTATGAGGACAACAGGAATTACGGCGCCAATTTGCCACAATCTCAGAATTACGGAGCGAGCTCAAGACACTACAAGCCGACAACCTAAAGCTGTACGAGAAAGTACGATACTTGCAAAGCTACAAGGAAGATGCTGGCGCGAGCAGAACGGGTCTGGCATCCATCTTGCACCCGAAGCGCGACGAAGAGCTTGGCAAATACCGCGAGCGCTACGAGAACACGATCAATCCATTCGAGGCTTTCCGAGGCAGGGTGCGTCTGCTTGTCACCGAGGAGGAGCTAGAGTTTATACAAATGACAGGAGCAATCGCGAGCGATACAGGCACTCAATCCGATCGAAAAGATCCTGTTCGGTCTGTCCAGGCGGGTGCTCACCCATCGGCTCTCGCGCGCGCTCTTCGTAGCCTATGCCATCGCACTGCATCTCGTTGCGCTGAGCGCTCTGTATGGGTACTCGGAGACGACTGCCACAGTCATCCGCCCGCCCGATGACATGTCTGTTTGATGATAGGTTGCTGTATGTATTGCATGATTGAAGGCGCACTCATATCGGAGCATTCTAGCGCGAGATGTGACAATAAATACGCCATTAAGTTACACGGGCTATAGCTACGAGCCTGACTTGCGATGCGATGTCTCATCGAGAGAAGGCGGGGGCGGTATGACTAGACGAAACATAGGAAAGAGCCGAAGACGGCAGTCAGACTGACGAGACTCAACGCCATCGTCAGTCCGCGCGGCAGCAGGATGTCCTTGTGCGCGCTCGATGCGGTAGGTGCTGTCGTTGCGCTAGACGTAGCAGGCGGTGTGCCCGAGGCTGTGAACTCCGGTCGCGTGTTAGATGATAGTACGACACCCCTGGTTCGATCCGATGTTAGCTTTTCAGTCCACAACGATGACGTGAACACATACGGCGTCGCGGAACTGAACGCAAAGTCTGATGTGACCGGTTGCGCAGAAGTAGGCAGACTGTGAGACAAAACAAGAGTCAGGACCGAGGTGGCGATGCGAAAAGGCAGTCGACTCACGCAGTAGAAGTAGTTGCAAAAGGCGCTACTGCGCCCGTCGCTGTGTCACTAGCGACGCTGTTGATGACGCCATTCACCGTGCCTGCGGCTGACGAAACAGCAGACAAAAGTGAAGGATCGGCAGATTCGCCGGCATAGGTGTACACCAGCGGCGGGAAGGGGGCCGCTGTTTGCGCTGATACGTGTAGACTAAGTAGTAGGGAAGCCAGCAAGGTGAGCAAGGCTGTCCGTGATATCATTTTGGCTATGTCAGATCGTCTGAGACAGTCTCGAGACACAAAAAGGCGGCGGGCAGGCGACGTTGCCTCACAGTCTCGATGATCGCCTCAGTGTCAACAACGCTCTGCTGGACGATGCCGATCACCGTGTCGAGAGCCTGATGTGGTGTCTGCTGCAGTCCGAGACCCTTCAGCTTTTGGCAGGTCGATTCTGAGCGGGGTAGGCTTCAATTGGCCGGTTTTATTTTGAAGCGCCACGTGTCAGCGCCTCCTGATCTGCACACGTCGCACGAATTGCTTTGAGCTTTGGCCTTTGCAGCGGTCGCAGCAGCGCTGACGATGAGCTCGCTTGCAGCGTCCCGTCGGAGGACCTCGTCGGGCGCGAGCAACCATCAGCCTGGTACATCGTCTGACAGGCTTCGGCAGCATGTAGCCAGCTACGGGAGCTTAGCCCCCGCGCCTAATCACAGCAGCCTGCTCCTGGCTAGCAGCCGCAGGGCGCCCTCGAGCGAAAGAGGCAGGCATCTGACACGCGAAGCCCAACTCATCAAAGAGAGCCAAGAAGAGAGCGAGACCTTGAGGGCGGACACTTTATCGCCTGTCTCGTCGAGACCTCAGTCGCATCACACCCAAGGAGAAGACGATTTCCAGGACCTGCCCTCATTCGGCACGTTCAGGATCATCCATCAGACTCTCGGCGTAGCGCTCTCCGCCATCATATTCTGTGGCTTAGCTTTGCCTCCCTTGTTCGGCTGGCCGCCTCGAGGTTCAAGCAAGCGTCAATTTTACTATCCGCTCTTGCCGCAATTTGTGCAGGTGAGCACCCCGGGTGCATGCGAATGACCGCTCACCTCGCGCAGCTAGCGATTGGCGCGACGGCGTGGCTTGCGACAGAAGGCTTGAGAAAGCCACTCTTGCGTGCCCTCACCTTCGACAGCCCTGCTACAGTGCCGCACAAGCAGAGTCAGCGCGCAATGACCTGGCTCTGTCAAGCGCTGCCCCTCGTCGGTCATACTGTCTGTCTCGAGCTGTTCAGACTGTTTGCCATCTGGCTTGGCTTCAACCTCTCCTCATCCGTCGACCGCGATAAAGACAAGCATGAGCATCCACCGAATAGCTTCTTTCGAGCTTATTACCTCGGACTCGGCTGGGCCTTGGCGGAGCTCATCATCAAGACTCTCGACTTTTTGCGCGCAGTAGATCTATACGAAGACGTACTACCGGCAGACGATGAAGAAGTGTATTGGGAGCAGATAGAACCTGAACAGACGGCTGCAACGCCCGGCGCAGCACAGCGCACGACCTCACCTCGCTTTGAACTCGTGGATGGCAGCGTAGACGAGTGGGATCTCGATCTCAACGTTCGCGCTAGCAAGAGGAGAGCCATCGGCGCTGCGTTCGGCGTACATCTTTATGAGCTTCCTCTCATGCTCATCATGCTCTGGCGACTGGACTCGTGAGTCGGGCCCTGCGTTTCAGGGTCCTGATGGGACTGACCTTTCATTGCAGCGCACTGCTCGCTCTAGCGTTCACGATCGCACTCTCGCTGCCGTTCAGCCCTGTACCCCACGTCTTTACCGCACCTCTGTCAATTATGTGGCCTGCCGTGGCTATTCTTCATATCATTCTATCGATCATTTGGTCACTTCATGTACCCAAGCTCGGCATCGCTGCTGTCAGTTATATGACGCTCATAATCTCACTCATGTCCGTCTACGGGTGTCTTTCTTACGATATGATGTGCTGACAAAGCCCACAGAGCATACTTTGGGGCACTGGCGAGCTATGGCGCCTTGGCCTGAAGAAGCCTGTGCTGCCCCTCTGTTCACGACGTTTGTAGTGCAACCTATATTGTCTCTGTTGTCCGCACACATATGCAATACGCTAACGACCGAAGCAGTGAGCATGCATGACCCGGCCATCTCGCATAATGACGATCGATTTCTGCTCCGTCTCGGGCTGCCGAGGTGCAGCGCCCCAATCGACCTCCTTGCCTTTGAGCGACATCTTTGGTGATTGAAGCGACTTTTGACTTGCTTGAGAGACCATGCTCAATGCACGGGGCCGGATGAGATCAAAGTCGCTCTCCTGCTTGCGCTCGACAAGCTCTGACTGACACACACTGCAGACTCGAGAGCGACTTCGCCAGCCCAGTTCACGCTCGACGAAGAGCAGTTCGGTCTGGTCCCAGACGTCTTGCGCCGTCAGATTGCTCGTGGCAGTCAAAAGATCGGTTTCCGAGCGACATGTATCGATCATTGTGCTTACTACCGTCCGGAACGCCGAATATTGGATACCCGCACTGCTCGACCTTGACCGAGATAGATCCTCGATCAGCTGACGCATTAGGGCAGGCAGGGCGACTCGTTGACGTGTTGCATTGGCAACGAGCGCGAGTAGGGCCTGATTGAGCACACTAGTCGTCAGCGAATACAGTTCGCCCTTCGAGCTGGTAGATGCAGCTGTGCTCATGATCGACGAGAGCAGCGCGTGCCAAGCATCAGTCGCTGCTTGCTCTTGATCATCTGCGGCGCAAACTTCGCAAGCCACTTTGCAAGCCTGTCCGATGAGCGCCTCGCCGTCACCATACGCGTCTGACAGAGGATCTGTCGCGTGCTCCATACACCAGCTGAAAGTAGTGAGTGCAGCTGCGCTGCCTCGGAGCCGGTGACTGAGCCAGACAGAGGCGTCGTAGACGTTGTGGCTGCGGCAAATCTCCTGCGCATGCACTGTGGCCGCTCGCGAGTGATATGTGAGGTATTGCAGCACTTCGCCTGGGTCGTATTCGCAGAGATCATCCAAGAACTGATCCTGATATTGTGGCTCGAGCTGAACAATACCAGCGACGTCTGGTAAAGGGTTGTCAAGATCGTCAAGCGGATGTAACAGAGCTCGAAGGTACGCATATCGCAAATTGGGCGCGTCATGCAGGGCAGCAATTGCAGCATTGTGGTTCGAAGACATCTTGGTCTCGACGAATGCCACTGCCTCTTGAGCTCCATGAGCAATTAAGGTCGGCATGCCCTCGAAAATCTTGCTTTGTACGCTTCGTATATCAGTGACATTGGTGTCTGACAAAGCCGCGTCGAGATCGGCGAAGAGCCCATCGTTATCGTCTTCGTCCGCCAGAAGTACCTCGACGTATGCTGGCCAATCACGTTTGTGCCGATGTCGCGACTTGAGTATGCGGTAGAAGCCAGCACTTTCCAGCAATCTGACTGATTCCTCATCGTGGTCATCAGGTGCATAAACCGATAGAAGGTACTCGATCGCGAGCTGTCTATCGGCGTATGTGCTCAGATCGGGATCGCTCGTCAAGTGTTGAAAGATCGTCCAATACGCCGTGCGTGAGAGGCTAATGAACTGCGGATACTTGGGCAAATTTCGAGCGACAAAGATATGCAGGAAGGTCAGATCGCTTTCGAGAAGCCTTGTATCGGTTTGACTGGCAACATCGAGAAGCACGTCGATTATGCCTTGCCGGCTGAGCGTATCCATACGAGAGGACTCCTGATTGAGGAAGCTATCCTCGAATGCGAGATCTAGCACATCTAGCATCGCTTCAGCATCGAAGCGTAGTAGTGCCGTCGCGTAGGGATATATCGGCTCGTCTTCGAGGGATGTAGTAGTCAGCACGCTGTCGGCTGCGCCACGCGGCCACGCGATGCTTCGTCTAGAGAGCAGGAAGCCATATAGCAACCTTCGAGCGCGATTGGCTGCCGTGACTTCAATGACGCGTTTGCTGGGGTACACAAGTCCGGACAGTACGTCCGATAGGTACGGAAAAATCTTGTACGCTTGCGATGCTGTCGTTTCTGCGTCGTTCCGCTCAGAGTTGTGCAATGCGTCTTCGCGCCGACGCAGAATGCCAGCGATCATGCCGATCAGCTCGACCAGAGGGGTAATGTAGTCAAGCATTGATTGCGAGTAGACGTAGATCAGTGCATCTTGTAAATTATGCCTCCTACAGAGCTGTATTGCTTGATCGATGTCGAGACAGTCCGCATCGACGTGCCATAGGATTTGCTCTGCTTCTCTCTCTTCGCCTGCCCGCTCGTGCATGTCGACGAGTCGCTGTACGATTGGTATAGGCGGTCTTGGCAGCTTGTCGGCCAATATGAAAGGTTCAATGCGTGCAAGATAGATGCTCTCTATACCATGCTCCAAATACGCTTCGAAGACATCGTTGAACAAGTAGTCATGCTCGTTCAGCGCTAAGCAGGCGCGGGTGCAGACGCCGACAAGACCCTCGAATAAGCTGCTGCGATCGACGCCGCGGCCGTCCGAGCTTGCGTGCTGACTGATCATTCGCTCTTCGGAGAAGCAGTAACGTAGGGAGGCGTTCATAATCTCAAAGAGCTTGGGTCGTACTGTATCGCGCCGCAGAGCGTCATCTTCGGGCAGACCGCTCGTTCCGCCTTGCGCCTCGCCTTTATAGTATGCTGTGGTGAGTTCGATAGCTTCGAGCAAGCGGCTACTATTGACGAGCTCGAGCACGCGATCTGCCCAGGAGAAGGGTATGCCGACTTGCAGATCGACTGATGTCTGTCACACTGGTGTCAACGGAAAAGAAATGAAGAACAGTCAATCACGCACAAGCCAGAAGACTTTGCCTTTGTGAGCACGCAGGGTCTGCAGAGACGCTTCTCCGTCGCTTCGCTGCGCTACGACATCTCTTGGCGGATCGCCAGAGGGAAGGAAAGCGAAATTGGGCCGTCCTCGAGCAGTACGTTGTTTCGTCGTTGGATCTATGATCTCCATACTGACTGTGCTGACCACGAGGAGAGCCTGTATACCGCCGCGTGAGCTGCGAGCATCGTGGTGTTGTAAACCGTACCCTGGGTGAGATCCATAAGAGATCAATTATATTGTCACGGCTTTGCCACGAGCTGCCTTGCCGAAAGATGAGCTGGGGCGCGGCCTTTTTATCTGGCGATTCAGCAGGTGTTGCAGCAGCTACGTGGACAAAGTAGACTTGGTTACCCCAAGCATAAGCTAGCAATGGATCCCGGGCGGCGTCGCCCGCTTCATCTGCAAGCGCTGCACGGCAAGGGAACCAGGCTAAAGCACCGAAAGCGTCTGGCTTCGAATCCTCCCGCACGGCTCGCCACCAGGTTCGCGGGCTAGGCTTGAGGCCAGCTATGAGGATTTTGCTCGCTGTGATGATCGCTACGAGAGCTAGGTCATCAGAGGTGTGTGGCAAGGGACCAAGTGGCAAAGGCGCCATGTCGATGACTGAGATCGGCTTACGCCGTCTGGGCATCTTGAAGCCAACATGATCTATCGCAGTTGTCTGCGGATCGGATGGTCGCCTTGTCGAAACGATCCTCGAGGAATCACTAGGGTATTGTCCTAGTATCCTGACGACATCTGTATTAGCCAGGCCGAAGACTTTACCGAGCGAATGGTAAAAGGTTAGGCCTGACTCGTCAGAGGAGACGATGGCAGTATGCCGTAGCCCAACAAATCCGAGTCTTGTGATCTTGCTTCCAATAAGGTGACCCTCTGCCCGGCCTGCGACGACCAGATCGAGCGTAGTAGGTGGTACGCTTCTAGCGGGTTGAGCAGGCTTCGTGACGTCGTAAAGATGTATTGCGCCATTTGCATGTCCAACGGCGAGGAAGGAGTGGTCGTGCGAGATTGCCAGAGCGGTGACTGCGCCCGCTTCATTGGCTGTGATGCGATGGGTGTGAGCACAAGAGCGCTGACGGGGTAAAAGACTGACCGATGGCTTCAGAGCCGGCGATGCAGCGCAGAGTCTGCGTGTAATCAAAGACAGATACCCAACCTCGTTCATGTCCGATGGCGATGAAGCCGTTTGCCGCCAAGGTCGTTGGCGCACCCAGCAGGGCTAAGTGAGAGAGCGCAACGTTGGTGGGTTGCTGTGCGCTTCTTCTTGGACGTGTTTGAAAAGCTCGCGCGGATACTTTGCGTAGAGGCGTCCATCTGAACGGATCGGATCGTTGCAACGCGGACGCTATCCCTGTCAAACTGGCAGTTGAGGCAGCTGCAGACGTCTGGCCAGATTGATCCTGGCCTGTCACATCGAGCAGCCTGTCGTGCCGCAGGGAAGAGTCGCCTGCTTCAGACAGATGATCGAGCACGGAAACAGAAGGCGAGAAGACCGGTCCCTGACGCCGCGGCAGATCAGAAGCGCCAGTCGCAACAGAGGCCAGCGAAGTCTGCGAGGGCAGTCTCCGGATGCCGGTAGCAACATCACTAGACTGTGCTGAGATCGAACGCAATCGAGACACTTGTGCATGCATGAACGCCGGTCTCTGTTTTCTCTGGGGCAATCTGGGCGTGGCGAACCGCTCGGGCGCGCCTAGGGTTGACGTCGATGCAGACAAGTCCTGCTCGGCGCTTCAGCTACAAGAGCAGAGCTGTCTTGTACTTAAAAGTCACCTCGATAGGCGTGGCATGGCCATTGGCGGCTCGGTCAGAACCGTCGGAACTGCCTGGCCCTCGAGCGACCGGCGGAGCTTGTTCGAGGTGATGGAGCGTAAAGCCCGCCTCTGCCTCGCTTGACTGAGGCACGGTACTCGCAGATGCCGGCTGACCGACTTTGAAGGTCTCATCCTGGGCTGTGTCGTTGGCATCCAGCGGCCTGATGGCTTGTGTATCGTCTTCGAGCTGCAGCGCAGGCACAAATGCATGGGTCCGAGCTTTTGGCGTCGTCGGTGAAGCTGAGGACGAGCTATGCCCGTTGTGATTGGCGCCAGCGAATGACTGCGGTTCTTGCTCTACGTCGAGCTTGAGCTTGGGGCTTGACCTTGCTGGCTCCTCCTCGAGATGCTCTGTTGACCACTTGGACGAGCCGTTCATGCCCGTCGTGCTGCCCTTCCCGACGACTGGCGGCCTGCCGAACCGGCTCATGATGGTCTATCGATCCTGCCTACTCATCCTGCTGCACTGCTGAAGCCACTGCTGGCCGGGGACGTCTTACCGTCGACACTACCGCGCTCGTTGACCGTCTCGTCTCGAGCGAGCGTATCCTCGACTTGTTCACAGCAGCTCTGGCACACCGAGCTGATGAACAATGATGACCGAGCGAAGCCTGTCACGACCGCTCTTCTCTCCGGTGCAGCTGCGGGCCTCTCTGTAGGTCAGTCCTCGGTAGCCAGCACTTGCCAGCAACAAGCTGCAACAGCCCTCTCTCGCCTGCAGACATTCTCTTCTTCCCCATCGACACCGTCAAGACGAGGCTACAGTCCAGTCAGGGCTTCTGGTCATCGGGTGGCTTCAGCGGCGTCTACAGAGGCCTCGGTTCAGTCGTCGTCGGCTCAGCACCAGGAGGCACGCAAGGAGCCCTTTAGCTCTTGCCACAGCTGATCGCACCAGACCTCCCCAGCTGCCTTCTTCTTTACAAGCTATGAGACACTCAAGACCCGTCTGCCTCATTTGCCCGGCTGTGACGGCCTTCGGCATGAAAGAGGCCAGCCTTTGCTGCACATGTTGGCCGCAAGCGGCGGCGAGATTGTACGTATGTCGAGCATGACAAGTCGCATGGTCTCAATCCGTGCTGGCTGGCAGGCAGCTTGTCTGATTCGGGTACCCACCGAGGTGGTCAAATCGCGAAGTCAGGTCTCCCTTTACGCCGATGGTCAGAAGCAACATCAAGGCTCCCTGTACGCCTTACGGCAGGTCATTGCGCATGAAGGCGTTCGAGGATTGTATCGAGGTTTCGGCTCGACCGTCGCTCGAGAAGTTCGTCCGCGCGAGCGAAAAGCTACTACGACAGTTTCATTGACTGAGCATGTGCAGATACCGTTCACTTGCATACAGTTTCCGATGTATGAACGACTGAAGCTTGCGCTTGCCAAGCGAAAGACGACGAGCGGCTCGGTTCAAGATCTGTCTCTGCAAGCTACGGCCTTGTGCGGCAGTCTAGCCGGCTCCGTCTCTGCTGCACTTACCACGCCCCTCGACGTTGCGAAAACGCGCATCATGCTCAGCCGGCGAAGCGTACGTCTCGCAGAATCTACGGTGACAGATGCTCATGTGCAAGGTTGCTACAGGGATCTGCAGTCCCGAGTGAACAAGTCTATTCGAGTCAGATCTTGCCCACAATACGGCGCGTCTACACAGACGAAGGCCTGGCTGCACTTTTCTCGGGCGTCGTGCCGCGGACACTGTGGATAGGCTTAGGCGGTGCAGTCTTTCTAGGCGTGTACGAAGCCTCTTGTAGGACACTTGCATAGACCCGTTCTGCCTTTGTGCGCCATAGTCCGTGGTATACAGGGCCTCGCGAGCCGCCTTTGCCACTACTACAATTGCATGCATTCAACGGAATGAGTAGGTTTCGCTCGTCACTTGGGTAACCTCGTCTACCGTCACTGGGGTTATGCGCCTTGTATCGGCATTGGTAGTCAATTCTGTTCCGAACTCTGTGCGTAAACGAAACGCTTGAATGATTCTTCGAACTACTCGCCGGCCATAAAGCTCTCGCTGCACCGCGTTGAAGGAGTCCAAATTGATCAGAAAGAGCTCGACGTAAGCAGTGCCTTGGTATATCGAGCCGTTATTGGTATGGATGAGCGGAGCCTCGCTGTCTCGAAGGGCGCGTCTGCAGCGATACCGGCTGCACGCCTGGCACGATCGCGGGGCCGAATACAGCCAGCAGCATCGTGCTGCATAGTACAGCGCTTGTTCTCCAAGATGCCAGCCATTTCAGCCTGCGTGTTGGCGAGATCACTGCGAGCTGCCTGGAGCTCTGCCTGCAGGATAACATTGGCTGCATGAGCGCGAGTGATCTCAATGTTCGAATCGAAGAGTCCAGTGTGCAGCTTTTTGATGGCCACTTCGCAGTATTGCACAGATGCTCGTCGACCTCTGAGTTGTAGACGGAAGCGTGCCGCGTCTTTTGCGCGTGTCTGCGCAATCTTGGCTTCATGGTCCGCAGCAAGCGCATCGCGCATGCGTCACAGCTCTGACTCGTGCTCAGCGCGGGAGAGAGGTCCTTCGAGCACCTTGCCCAGTTCAAAGGAAAATCTCTGCAGTTCGACACTTGGCATGCGTTTTTCAGGCATGGAAAAGACGTGGCTCGCGGGCATGGAGACCGACGCGGACTGTACTACTCGGTATGTCGTGAGGGCATTCCGGGGCGGCTTCTGTTGCTAGACCTGCTTCTCTCGACCGACCATGACGGATGTGCGGATAAAGCAGGCAAGTTTGATTCCGGTGCATCGGACAGCCTTTCTTCCATTGAGGCATGACTCCTGCATTGAAGCACCGAGGATCCACAACACCTGAAGTTGGCCCTACTACACTCTGCCGCGATGCTAGGAGGAGCGTTCGTCTACATGTCTGGTCTCTGAACGGGCGTGTTGTTGAGTCGAACGAGCAAGATCCACCATTCTTTCTGTGTGACTGAGAAGACGGGCCATTACGAATTCGACCGCAGAGGGTGTATACTGCTGCTGGAGAGGGAAGCGACAAGTAAGATGACAGGCACGGCTTTGGACGCTTGAGCAGCATGTCCCACTCACCGGCCCCGGATCTGCTCCACACTCCTGACGCGACGAGTAACGCGCTGGCGACGATCTGCGACCGCTCAACGCATCAAGCGAACGTCTTAGCATGCGTGGCTGCGTCGTATTCGACGTCTTCGGCACCTGCTTTGGCTTCGACAACGTCATTGATGAGATCCACAAATCCTATGCGCAAGATCTCGAGCGAGCAGACACGAACGCCCAAGCCGTCTTTCTCTCTTGGTTCTACCAGACACAGCGAGACTTTACCGCGAGTCTGCCTGGCAAGGAAGTCGGTCTTAGCTGATTAACAATCCGGCAGTATCTCTCACTGTCGGACACTTACACGCCGATTGCCCAAGTCTTTGCCGCTGTCCTCCCGCGAGTACTGCGACAAGCTATGCCTCATCTTTCAAAGATCGATGAATCTAGGCCCAAGCTCATCACAGATCAACTCAAGAGCTTGCAGCCCCGCCCAGGCCTACTCGAGTCGATCAAAAACTTGGAGGAGGCCGGCCTTGACGTCTATGCATTCACGAACGGTGCAGCGGCAAGCACAAAGGCGCTCTTCAGCCAAGCGTACGCACAGAGCAGCGGCATGGACACAGCCTTCCTCTCTCATCTGGAGGCTCGCATAATCAGTTGTGACCAAGTCAAGGCGGCAAAACCGGATCGCAAAGCTGTCCGTTCGTCACATTCATGCAAGACCTATGCTGATAGCTGAGCAGTACGACCTCGCCAAAGAGCGCACCATCACAGACAACGTCGAACATGCCTGGTTCGTGGCCGCACATCAATGGGATCTCTTGCCTGCGCGAAATGTAGGCTACAAAACGGCATGGGTCTCGTACGAGGAGCTGGAGCCAGTCACATCGCTCTTCGGAGAGCCAGATGTGTCAGCCGACAGCTTGAATGACCTGTCTGATAAGATCATTGCCAGCACCCGATGAACCTGAGATGATGCAGAATGCAAATCCCATGGGGAACCCTGATACTAATGCGATCGTCCTCGCCTAGAGCACAACACTGTCCCAAGCTCGTCCATACTTGATCATTTGCAGCCCAGACCCATCGCTGCGTTGATGAGCAACTCAGAATGACAAGACAACGCGCATCCAGGCTCGGTCTCATGTAGCGCTCAAAGTTGGCAAGGCAGACGATGCATTGATGATGTCTCCAGCCATGATGGAAGCAGTGCAAAGCTCTGCTAGCACGTGCGATAAGCTCGAGCTGTATATGATGGAAGAAACACTTATGAAAGACACCTGTAGAGAGAGNCGAGCGCCTGGTATCGCACGCTCGACGCTCTCGACTTCCTGGCTCTTCTTGTTGTCCATCTTCAGAGGTTGCAGATGTTGATCGCCAGCATTACCCTAGATCGCCACCAAGTCTGAACCGCAATCTTCTCCGACGAGCAAGTGGGCCTCCGAGTGACGTGCCGAGAGCAGGCCACTTGTCATTGGCTGTCACCCGCTCGCTGCAGCGACCCGATCAAAAGCTCCTTCCGCGGCAGTCTGCAAGTCCTGCCTCTGGTGCTTCTGTCGAGAGCTGCAAGAGTCGAAAGCGGCTGCTGTCTTCTTGTCGACCGCGGTCTTGTCCCGACGAGCCCGTGCGCCTCTCCAATGATTGCATTCTTGCGGTAGGGCAGATCATATGTCATTGGCTAACAAGAGGCTCGCAGNAACGCTTCACATGGGAGTCCCCCATCCNCCGATATCCAGCCAGCCTACCTCAGGGGCCATGATCAGGAGCGTCTTGCAAGGACTCGACCGCAGTTGTCGGCTTCTTGTCGCGCCAGAACCCTTCCTCATTGCAAGCGAGTGCGCCTCCCATGATACCCGTAAGCTGCTCCGGTAGTTCCTGTGGGTCACGGGCAACATTCTTCGTTCGCTGCGGCAGCGCAGATGAAGTCACACCCTTCTTCGATCGGCCTATCAGCTCAATCTCTAGGCTTCGTCTTTGCATGCTCGCACGAGTACTAGGCCGACGTTGTAAGCAGATCGTGCAGGTGACAAGTCGATAGTAGCCAGATTTGAGCAGGTCCGAAGTGAAGGAAAACAGCGAGACGCGACCCAATTTATACACATGCCGTGACGAGCTCGCGTGTAACTTTCCGCCGTTTCAATTGACAACGTATCAGGTAGCTTCGGTCACGCGGTCACGCGCGTAGATCGCGGTCGAAAACAAAGTCAACCACCCTCAATGTCAAGCTGTGAGAGGCTGCATTGGGCTGCTCCGCGATGCAGCAAGCTGGGAGCACACGACGAGGCCAGAGTGATACATGAATGCAAATGCGATACAATGAATGATCCTCTATGCATCGGCTGCTCGTGCAATACTGATGTTCCTCTCGTGTTCTGCGACCCATTGCTTGACGCGATAGATTGTCGAGCCTAGACCCGTTGACAAGTCCATCAGCAGATCTGATTCTTCATGCTCGGGTAAGACGCGATTCTCATCGAGCCATACTCGCTCTAGGGTCGAGTCATGTAGGCTGCCTCGCCATTTCCGCGTATTTCGCTCGACTTGCAGCGCCTGTCTCTCTGCAGGCGTCGCTGACTGCAAAAGCGGCTCTGGTGCTGCTTCGACGACGATAGGTGGTTCGACCGAGAAGCTATTGAGTGCCCCTGCTCGTATGAGCGTCGCAATCGCGATGTCTAGCTTCGTCTGATACGCAGACCAAGGATCTTCGATTGCGCTTGTAAGATGCGCGATACCTTCTCTCGAGAGCGCATATGCTATCAGGGATCTTGGTTCGTTCGAGCGATGTAGTAGCGGATTGTAGTATCCTCCGCCTGCTGTAAAGTCAACAGGAAGGTCCAGAGTAGAAAGGCTCACACGCACGCAATGATTCCCGGCCCCAAGTGTGACCGAGATAGGTGATATCCCACGCTCTTTGTCCTTTGCTCGAGTTGCGACCGGTGGGCAAGCGTCGCCAGATGTTCAGCCAGCGCGTTTCGAGATCGAACTCCGCATCGACCGTGTCCGCCAAGATGAGGACTGACGCGGCTTCGTCATCCTTGAGCTGTCGCAGCAGTTGCGAATGCGTATACCACAGCGCGATATCGTCAGCAGTAAGTTGTAGCAACCTATTGCTCTCGAGCGGATCGCGCAGGAGCGTTTCAGGGTCATCGAGAGCTTGACGAGTAATCTCAAAGTCGCCCTCGAGTTCGACTGTCCCATTCGAGGATAGTCTCGTACGCGTGAGTAGATATTGAACCCAGTTTGAGCCCGCTTGACTATATATGGCTTCGTCGACTGTCGGCTTATGGCGAAGCATAGCATCGCGATCGCTAAGAACAGCTTCCGTAGAGCGCCCTTCCTGCCATTGCACCGGGTAGCCACGCAAATAGCTGTGGAGCAGCTTGGCTTCCGTCCGATCCAATTTGACAGACGGGCTGAGCCATGGCGAGCCGACTTGTAGCCCTCCGATCTTTCGGCCTTCGACGCCTCTGGATTGCATCAGCAAGGTTCCTTTGACCTGCCGCTTCCGCGAGACGCGGTCTGCTATCCACGCAACGAGTGGCGAGCTTGGCGAGAGCGCGGGCGCGAATCTGACGGACAGACCGAGCGCATCTGCTAGCTTTTGACTTTGCCGCCGCCTAGATGCAACGAGCCTGGCATCGTCACAAGGTGTCTGCACGATATAGATTGACTGAAACGTGAGCAGGGGCGAGTGACCGTCCTGTAGCTCCTTGTCGGCATAGCTCACCGGACCGTGCTGGCTATCGAGATGCTTCCGGAACGCGAGCGGATCGGTATCGAATTCCGCCAACGCTCGTTGTTCTGTCAGAGCTGCATCTATCTCTGCCGCGCTCAGCTGCGTCTCCTGCCCGATGGGCAGTGTCTTTGACTGGTGCAGCTTGCCGCTAGAGACGACGAGGACGAGGAGAAAGACGAGAGATCCCATGGCTATTCCCAGCCTTCGTGGTGTGATCAAAGTAGCCCATATTGATGTCTTACGGGGCCGCGTGTCGAGCTCATCATGCATGCGCCAGCCTACTTCTTCTTTCAGCCTGGCTGTTGACTTCTCGGATGTATCCGAGGTCGGCGATGAGAGAATGGCAGGCAAATGACCCGCGGTGTTGTGTAAGACTGGGCTAGGCGGTAGCGTGCTGCCGTTCATGTCCAGGTGAACAGACTGCCTCGCGCTCGCAGACCGTTGCCTGGCGTGTCCCCGTCCGAAAGAACCTGCAAGGCTGGCAGTGCGCTGGTGCGCTCCGCCGTTCTGCATGATCCTGCTATTTCGAGCCGTGACTGGCGAGTCCGCGTAAACTGTGTCGGCGAACGAAGAGTCGGCGGACGGAGGAGCAGAACTTGTCGGTAGCTCGGTGTAGCCGTTGTCAGACCTGTTCTGCCTCATATGATGGTCATCGTGAGCTCGTCAACAGCCTGATTGTTCTTTCGCCTCGTTCGACGCGTGTTCCGCGCAGACGCGTTTTCCATTGAACGGCTCGCGTGCCCAGCATAGAAATCATATACCCAAGGGGTCCGCTGTCTAGAGCCTTTTTATTCTCCAGGTAGCTGCAGGGCCACTGCTTGCGCTCGCAGCTTGCCTTAGCACGATGTCACAGGTCGATAGAATAGGCCAATCTGCGTCAAGGGATATGCATTTTTGCTCATCGTGGTTCGTCGAGCCACTCCAGGAAGTCTGGCGTGAAGTAGGTGAGCACGAGTGTCGCGCCTGCCAGGATCAGATGAGCCACGACACCACCTTTATAGAGCGAGACGAACCAGCACGAAGCATTCCCTCGACCGTCTCGAATGCCATCTGCTTGAGATCAAAGACACCTGCCCTCGCGCCCGCATGGACCATCGCAAACTCGCCAGACACCTGCGCATATCCGTCAGCAGAGTATGCGCATGCGATCCGGGGCCGCACTTGGTAGCAAGCCAGTGGATGGTTGGGTGTGATGATTCGCGCTTCTGCTAATATGTCGAGATAGGGTGTGGCCGGCTTAACCATCAGAATGTCTGCGCCCTCTGAAGCATCTCGTAGCTATTATGAGCTGCATCAGCTACCCTTGAGGCTATAGATCCTGAAGTACTGACTAGAGCACGTTTGGCCAGACCGCGAGCATTCGGCGGCAGCTGGTAGCATCTTCGGTTGCCAAAATTCGGAACAGAGCCGGCTGCTTCTCTGTCGAGCTATTGCCACTTAGATGGAGTACGAGCCAAGACGTGCAGTTCTCTGACCTGAAGGGACCGTAGCATCCGCTCGCAAATTTGGCAGAGTAGGCCATGAGGCAACATCGATTTCCGTAGCCGGATCGAGTGAGATAGTCTTTGATTGCGCCGATTCGACCATCCATCATGTCAGAGGGTGCGACCTGATCACAGACCTCACGTGAGACCAAGTACCGGCTCAGACGAGATGACCGGACCATATGTGCACCGGCTTCCGCGTAGGCCAGCGCAACCTCTGCTATCCTCGCTACCGAAGGAGGCGGATCGATCGTGCCGTCATCACGAAGCAGACCTGCGAGTCATGCCACTCAGTGCGAGTTGGCACTCGGTGAAGTGTACTTGCCGCAATGACCGTGGTCTGTATACTCGCACAGGCAGACGTCGCACGAAACAGTGACGTCCGGAAAGCTCGATCTGATGAGCTTGACGCCTTGTATGACAGGTCCTTCTTGATCGTCAGCTGGCGTGCCTCGATAGTCCTACGCGTCGGGTTTCAGCCAGCTGTCTTGTGTTGCAAAGGTGACAGGGTCACCTTTTGCGCCTTGAGCGGCACGCCAAAGAGAATGACACTGCGTAAGCCCTTGCGGACGAGTGGCTCCAGGAAGCCGTGCAACTTGTTGATACCCCATCTGCGGCAAACGGCTTGACACTGAGTCATGACAAGGATTCATCTGCGCGCCGCCGGACCTTTTCTGGCCAGGCAAGCTAGCGATAGTGACTTCTGCTTCGGGATCGTCGGTGAGGAAGATGGGATACATGAGCATATCTGTGCAAAACTCGTTGGCTTTGTTCGACCTGATTTCATTCCTGCAAGATTGCTGGAGGCACCTTTTGTCAGATGTCGCTCGGCTTGCAGACGTTGGGTGAGCGCAGTGTTGTAGCCACCCTGAAGGTAGGCTCCTCGAGGAATGTCGTACTGTGCATCTGACATGGTCGATGAGGTCATCAGCACACAGCAAAGAGTCGCGTTTGTCCGCGTCGTCTGCTCGTCTACTCAGGCTCGAGCCCTCAAGCCACACCTCAGCGCCCCCCACATGACTTCGCTTGGATTGGAGTCGGCGCTCAGCTTTGACTCGGGCTCGGGCGGACCAAGCAGCTGCGTACCGCCTGCAGGGACGAGTCTGCTCATCACAGACACGCTCGAGTGTCCCGCCACTTTCTTGACGACTCATCTCATCAAACTCGCCCTCAAAGGCGCCCAAGCTAGCACAGGACTCGTCGGAGCTCCAATGAGTACTGCCAAGGCGCGAGTGATCGTCCTGCTGACGAGTCAGAGGGAGGAGCATTACGTTGCCATCTTGCGTAAAATGGTCAATGTGCACTCAACCAGCAAGGATATTGCTGACAAGCTGCCCGCTGATCAGGGTGTCAATACAACCTCTGAAAAAAGCAAGGGGCGACTGACTTTCATCGATGGTATGAGAATGACAGCCTCGGACCCGTCCGACGCGCTACAGTCTCTTTATGTCGCTCTCAGCTCTGCGATCGACCCTTCTGCGAGCGATGACCACACGGTGGTGATGTTAGACGATCTCACGATGCTTCACTGGCTCGGAGTCGACAGCTACGCGCTCATACGGTTCTACAGAGCTCTGATAACTCTCACAACAGTGCGACGCACTGGCTTGGTCGTCATCTTGCATTCGGACAATACGGCAATCACAACAAGCAACGCAGTAGCCAGCGATCGTTTTGCTCGCGAAGAAGACCATTTGCTCCGCTCGCTCGTGTATGCCTCGCACGTCTGGGTCAGATTGCGTTCTCTGCGCACGCAAAGCACGGGCGAACTCATCGTCCAGCGATGCCCTGCTCTCATGCAATCTCATCCCCAGATCACCAGCGGATCAAGAACACATGCACTTCAGTACAAGATAGAAGACAACGGACCTCGCTTCTTTGCCAAAGGTACCGCAAATGGCTACCTATAAGCCTCATCTGTCGCGCCGCCCTCTTCTCGAGCAGATCTCTGTGCTGCCCTCACGATCGATGCCTTGGTCGCATTGCTTTCGGGAGATCGTAGCGCACGCAAGACAGATTCGTTGGCTTTCATCTTCAATCGCTTCGATTCTGCCAGTGCTGCACGAGCTATCGCTCGACGCTCTCGTTCGACCCGACTGCTCTCTCGAGATCGGTACCATTGTGACTCGTCAATCGCTTCCTCGTCGTTCGAGAACGTCATCTCGTCCACCTCGACTGGACTGGTCAAGTAGGCCGAATAGATACCTTGCGTCCACGACGTGTTGCCATCGAATGTAAAGGATCCTGAGCCTGTTGGCAGCGGGAAGAGCTCGGAGGCACGAGGCACCGACAAGTCACCTGCTGTACCCGAGTATAGCCCGTGACTCGGAGGCGTCATCAAATGCCTGGGATCTTGTGGCGTGGCACGCTGAACGAGTTCTTGGGACGGTTGCCTCACATTGATGACGGCGTCAAACGCAAAGGGATCGCTTGCAAATCGCGACTCGCCCACAGTCTCTGCGCTGAAATACTCGGGCGATCCGAAGCGCAGCTGACGCTCGCCAGACGACATCCGCATCGTCTCCTCCGGTATCGATAGTTTAGCCAGACGGCGCCGGCTAGGATCACGGAACAAGTCGCTTGCATCGGCTGTCGTGAGATGCCTCGGCCAGTCCGAGGGAAGCTTCCGCTCTGCCGAGTCGATAGATGGCTCGATGAAGTTTGAGAGATAGCCAAAGTCTTGCGATAGCTGTGTTCTGTGACTCTCCCGCCGGGACAGCGTTCGCAATGCAATGTTCGGCTGAATTTGGCCGCTGAGCTCCGTCCTCGCAAAATCTGTGTCGCCGATGACATGTGTTTCAGAGGCTGTGTAGTCAGCTTTCAGAAACAGCGGCAGTGGCGTGTCTCCTCGCGACGACCCATCTTGCTTGCGCAGCGCGATGCCATCTATCGAAGCAACGTTGTCTGAGCTTGCGCTTTTGCGAAGGTATAGCTCGTTCGGATGCCTTGCGCGCATGATTGCACATAAAGCGACGACTATGGAGATCAAGACTGGCAAGACTGCGTTCCAGATGTCGGCGGCAAGTTGCGCTGCTCTGACGCCGTTGAGTACGTTGCCTTGCATGACGATCGCTGCGGTCCCGAGCGCTGCATGCATGTGAGGCCACGCGATCAACATCGAGATAGTGCATACCCAGTGCCAGGAGTAAGAGCGCTTGCAAAGCTCTTGGACGGTCGGTTTGCACGCTGGAGGCCGAAAACCTTCGCGAATGGTTTTCGCGCGTCGAACGAACGTATGACCAGCCTGCCATGTGTCAGCCGGGACGACAAAGCGCTTGGAGTTGACTGACATGCTACAGCTACTGCGATAGTGGCTGAGAAGCAAGCCAAGATCGCTTCGATCAAGTCGTCGAGAGGCTCGATGAGGATACATCGCGTCGGACCCGCATGAACAAGAGGCTGCCGAACTGTGCTGAGTATAACGACGATGAGGTCGGCGACAGGTATGAGGAATGCTAGCGACAGAGCTGCTAGCAGTTTCCATCGTCGTGACCCTTCGCGACGGTCCAGATGGAAGCTATCCAATCGAATCGAAGTGGCGGCATGCATTTCGCAGGCGAGAGCAGGCGCCAGCGATATCAGCGCCAGGCGTAAGACTCGCAGACCGACTGCACTGGTCAGACAGATGCTCGACTCCGGCGTATCGACGGGTAAATTGGCTGAGAGCAGCGGGATCGTTGGATCCGCATACCGCCACGTCGAGCCCAAAACAGGCAACAGGGCAAAGACTTCAGCGAGACTGGCTGTGCAGAGTAGTAGCGATAGGGTCGCAGTCAGCTGATGGCGGGATCTGCTGATGAGAATCGCCAGTGAGGTGCCGAGCAAGAGGAAGAGGCCAATTCCCTGGAGACATGAGAGTCAGTCGCGTGTTGGGGTCCGGTGGCAAAGACTGACATGAAATGTGAAGAGCAAGATGGCCACACCGTCGGCATAGTCGAGCACTTCTGCCGTCATTGCGTTGTGTAGAGTGCAGTCAAGCGAAATCAGTCATAGAAACAAGCAGCCCGCACGGACCTGCTTTCGGGGATCTCTCGCTTGTGGACAGCAAGCGATCCGCTTTCCGCAATAATCACAAAGCGACTGCGTATGAGCAGGCGAGGACACGCGCAGCACTGGAGAGCAATGGATTGGAGTTACAGTAGAGATTGGTTGCAGTAGAGTTCCACCTTGCCGAGTAGTATTGCATGAGCTCGCTGTTCGCCTATTGCTGCTTGCATTCGCTCGGATCCTGATTGGAAACAGGCGTGACGCCAGTCGCAGCAGGCGGCGCTGTCGCTTGCAGTCGCTGAACTCTTCGTCCAGATGCTGGCAGCTCGTCCTCGTCATCGTCATCTCTGGCAATGCGATCAGGTCAGCTTCTTGCTGCGGCATATAGCCCCTCGGTCAGACGTACTCATCATCTTCCTCGTCGTCAAACAGCTCAGAGTCATCTTGGTCGTCGGCTTCCATTCTGAGAGCCTTGCCGGTGAAGTAGTCGACAGCGCGAGGGATGACGCGCTCCTTGAGATCTTCGCCGACCTGATAGTCGAATTCGAGCCTTTCGTGGAGATCATCCTCATCTTCTGCATCTGCGTCATCCTCATCTGACGGTGGCGCAGGCGGCGCGAAGAAGGTGAAGAAGCTTTCAGTCGGGATCGACTTTTTGATGATTCTGGTTTGGTTCGTATCTGTCGGTCCAGATAAGAGTTTAGCGGCAATCCAGAGCTACAGCGTGCGCACGACGCACTCTTATTGCGCTGCTTCTTCGTCTCGATTTTGACAGTCAGGTTCTTACCGTCTTTCCACTTGATATCGCAGCCTGCTGCATGATCATAGACGAAATCGCCCTCGTACGAGACCGTATCCTGATAAAAGTAAGTCTTTTCGAGTGTCTTGTTGGAGAAGTATGCTTCTGCGCCAGGACCGAATTCGAAGACAAGCTTGAAGCCAGGTTGGGGCTTGGATAGCTCGTAGTCGACGCGCAGATCGATGAGGAATTTGAGCGCCTCTGAATCTCTGTCGGTGATGAGAGAGTTGATGCCCAAGTGGTTCTTGAGCGCGGTCAGCCAGAACTCGGGCACGCCGGCAGGAGCCGACTGGATCTGTTCTGTCGTCGGAGCGGGTCGCATCTCTCTTTCGGTCTCTTCCTCTTCCTCATCATCTTCATCGAGCAAGGCATCATCCTCCTCGAGATCACGCTGTTGTCCGGCCTCGACGAGCGTTCGCTCAGGTTCGAGCGACCCAAGAATGATTTGCTTGCGCTGGTCGTAGATGGGCTTGAATTTCTGAGCAAACTTCTTTTCGAGATCAAGAATGGCAAGCTGGAATTCGGCTTCGATCTTGCTGTGTTCGACTTGGAGGCCTTTGAGACCATCGACGCGGTTGAGCACTGCCGGTGGGAGAGATTCGATGTATCCTGAGGATTGTCCGACGAGGTCATTCAGACGTCCCTGGACGAGCTCGGCAAAGGCAGGATGCTATACATGACACCCAGCATTCAGCACGCTGCAGAGCTGAGTAGAAGAGTGTGACTAACAGAGGCAAGAGCAGCGCGTGCCTCTGCAGCATTGCCGGCAGTGAGCGACTGAGCAGCTTGAACTGCGACGGCCTGTCGTGCAGACGGTGTGGGCTCGATCACCTGATCTTCATCCTCATCGCCCTCGTCTTCAACGATGGCGCTAGGCACCTGGGGTCTCCTGTCCGTTCGCGCTGTCGTCAGCCATGGCTGGGACAGCCACGATCACGTGTTGGGACTGACGAAAAGGCGGTGGACGGTGGCTGGGCAGGCGTGTTGACTGGCGTGTCGGGTACGTCGCCTCTGCCGCCTCTCGGGATGGAAGAAGGGGTCGACATATTGGGTCACGCCCTCTGGGAGTGGTTTGCCTGATCGCACGAGGTCGACTGGATTGAGCGTCACTCTGGAGCAGACTGTCCTCTGAGGATACGCGCAGATCCGATGAGTCCCCGTGCCAGCCTGTCAGAGGCTTGACTGACCTGCTCAAGATGGGGCAAATGAAGCAGTCAAAGAAAAGTTGGGTGCGCTCTGCTTGCGTGACCTGTGGCACAGACTGACCTGGTCAGCTCTGCTATCATGTCGCATTGCAAGCACGTTCACGTACAGCGGACGATGCTGGCTGCAAGAGGGGAGTGTGAGCTAGCACTGGCTCTGCCCGCTGTGTGTCCAACGTTGGGCGCGCGCGTCTCGGTTTGCTCGCTAGAAAAGTGGTGGGCGCTGAATAATTGACGTTTGCTACGAGCATGGAAGCAGCGCCTGTGAGGGTTGTGCTGCAGGAGGCACGGGAGATCAAGCCGAGGGAAGCTCGAGATCGACTGGCTTCCTTTCTTCGCGAGTACAGCGTTGGTGATCATGCGACGTTGGCATCACTCTCTCGACTCGAAAGAGGCCTGCAGACCCACGTAGAACTCCTCAAAGCTCGCAAAGCAAAGCCACAAGATGGCACATCCCCAGCACGCAAGAGGCCGCTCGAGACAGACTCTGATGCGAGCCCCAAAAGGAGAGCAAAGGAACGCAAGCGGGTCGCCAAAGAGACGAAACAAGAAGACTGAGCAGCGGCCGGATGACCCGCTTGGTATACGCTACGCCACAGAGCTCATGTCTGCATGATCGGGCACCTCCCCGTCTGAGCCGGCTCGACCGTTGACTGTACGTGTACTGATGATCAACCAAAGACGCGCGCATCGTGCTGATCAGGAGGGATACCAGACACATGTCATAGTGCACAGCGAGCGCAGTCGCTTGACATGCCATGCATTATCCCACAAACAGATACAGATTTGTAGTCCGGCAGCGTTGAATAGTATTATTGTGCGTCGCATAGATAGCGAGAAAGTGTCCATGAAGGAGGATGCTCAGCAGATCAGACCCAGCCTTCTTCGTCTCTCCTCGCTTCTGTCGTATAGCTAGGAGGACCGACGGGTCTCCTTCTGCCCATGGGAATGCCCATAAAGCTTCGCGAGTTGGGCAGATCGGCCACTCTATCTTCGGTGAGATCGTCCATGGGTGACGCTGGCCCCGCACCAGAATGTGACGTGTCCAGCTCATTCACGGCAGCTAGCGGCGCACGGTGCGTGTCGCGATGGTCGTGATAGCCGCTCGTCGTCGTACTGAGCCGAGGCATCGAGACGGCAGATGCAGCGTTCGAAGGGGATCGATCGAGTCGAGAGGCGGGACCGTGGCTCTCGTCTGAGCGATCCTCCTGGTCTAGTGTGCTGCTGCTGTTCTGCCGGCCGTGTCCATTGGCGCCGAGGCCCGCTAGACCGGCAGTGGCGAGGCTGCCGTTGTTTCGCGCTGCAGAAGAGCGGTACGAGGTTCCTCGCGAGGCAGGCGAGCTGAGCTCTTCCATCACAGGCGGTGGTATCCGCGAGGAAGAATTGGAAGGCTTGCGACGGCTCGGAGGATCACTCGGCCTTCTGCTCGACATAGACGGCCGCTGTCTTGTGCTCGAGCTACGGTCTGCCGCCGCGGCCGCGCCAACTGCGCCCGCACCTGCTGCAGCCATTCCGCTGTCTGCATAATAAGACGAGTAGCCCGTTCCACGACGGCCCAATCGACGTGACGAAGGCATACGCCGAGAAGACGCCAAGGTGCTTCTCCGGCCCATCCCGCCGACGATGGGTCCGCCGTTGGCGTGGTGTGTGCCAACCGAGCTAGAAGGGTCGAAAAAGTGCTCGCCAAGTTTCTCGTCCTCTGAATCGTAACTATTGCGTCGGCATCGTCTGATCAAGAAAATGGCAAGCAGCAAGAGCAAGAGGCCTCCGATCACACCGCCCACGACGCCCCCGACAAGACCGCCATTGATGCCGGAGCCGCCAGTGGATGCTGTGTCCGAGGTAGCAGTTGCGGTGGCAGAAGCAGTGGCGGCAGAGGTCCCCGTGCTGTAGGGTGTGCCTGATGCAAAGAGCGTAAAGGTTGAGGTGGAGGTTGAAGTCGAGCTTGTCAAGCTCGAGCTAGACGAGGGACTGAGGAGTGCGCCCGAAGAAGATGTTGTTGGTGCGGCAATCGTGATGGAGAAGGGCTGTGTCTGCAATCCGGCTTAGTAAGGAACAGCTGGCGCCGAGTGCCGCGACTCACCGTGGCCGGACAAGTTGAGATGACGGTCGAGATGGGTATGAGAGATGACGACTGTGTCACTACGGGTACCAGCGAGCGCGATAACCGCGAGATTCTGCCGTGCCAACAGTCAGATCTGTGCGTATCTCGGCAGGCAAGGGCAGACTTACGCAGGAGTGGCTGTGATGACAGAGGTGGAGAAGCCTGCGGTGATGGTCGCACATTGCTCTATGCTGACGCCGATGATGTCGATGGTTGAGCATGACGATGTCGTGACAGGCACCAAGCTTGTCACGACCTGAGAGGGACGGGCTTCAGCCCAAGCTTGGAAAGAGCCAGATAGCTTTCGACTCACTGCCGCTGGCGTGGTGACGGTGAAAGTAGCCGTCGAAAAGGTCGTGAGAGCAGTCGTAGCTGTGCTGAACACTGTCGAGACTGCTGTCGGTGTACAGACAGACGTGGCGGGTGCGGCGGCCATGATGGAGCGTTCTATCGGATATCAAGGAGGTGCAGTCTGACCAAGACGTCGGCCGTGAAGCAGCGAGGTGACCTCAGGCGCAATGCCAAGCTGAGAATGTCGCCCTGTGCTTCGAGGAGTCGTGAGTGCGAGCTTCCTTGCCAACCTCCTGCCTGGACGGGCAAAGCGAGAGAGACAAAGGTACTATCACACCGCCCAGACGTCTTTCGAGCTCGAAAGGCGAAGGATGAGGTGGGCGCGACAGCAGAGATCTCAACCGTCGGAGCGCTGTCGAGCGTTATCAAAGCGGCTTGACGGTCAGCTGCAACAGCCAAGCCTCACTGCTGATGCCGAGCGCATGCTGATTTCTTGCTCGCGCACTTTCAATTTACCATTCGAGAGACATCTCAGAAGCAACGCCACTTTTTCGTCTGCGTGCGTTCCCCTCGGCTCTCCTGTCTTGTCCCGGGCTCACGAGGACGAGAGGATGATCCCGAGTAGCTGGTCTCATCGTGTACAAGAAAATGTCACGTTGAGGCTAAAGAGGCTTCAGCGCATCTTACAAGTCACCATGAGAGGTTGCGCCATGGGCAGAGTGAGCGAGACCTGGTAGAGCGGGGACGGCAGCGGGTCATTGAAAGCGATGCCCGTCGCCATCTTTGTGTTGTCGAGGTAACCGGGCGCAAAGGCGAGATCGAAGCGTCGAACGATGGCAACGATGGCCGCGATGCCTTCGTATGTCGCCAAGTTCTGTCCGAGACAGAGCCGCGGGCCGGCATTGAAGGCGTTGAATACATACTGATTCGGTCTGATGATGTTGCCCTGGTCGTCGAACCAGCGCGATGGCTTGAAGAGCAGCGCATCCGCCCCCCACAGCTCTTCCGAACGACCCAGCATCCAGTTGTTCCAGAAGACGATATCACCCTTTTTGACTGCCGGACCGCCAGCGGGTACTTGATCGTCATTGACCACTTGCTTTGCGTTCTTCGGCACAGAAGGATGTAGCCTCAGCGTCTCATAAAAGGTCGCATAGGCCTGCTTGAGATCCTTGTAGTTTGCATACGTCACTTTGCCGTCCGGTCCCAGTAGGGCATCGATCTCTTGCCGGATTGGCTCGATCAAGTGGGGCTGCTGGATCAGGCGGAAGAAGCACCAGCTGAGCGCTTGCGCTGTGGTATCTCTGCCCGCTAAGATGAGGTTGAGGATCGAGTCTCGCACTTGGGTACGGTCGACGCGGCTAGCATCGGCAGATTTCATGCCGAGATAGAGTCCGAGCAGATCAGTCTCACTACCGGAGCCCTTGGCGAGCTCTGACTCTCTCTGATCGATGATGTTATACGCATAATCGTCGATGGTCTTCTTGGCTGCGCGCATGCGCTTGCCAGAGGCAGAGAACAATTCGGTCGTGCGCCAAAACGGGTTGCGCAGACGAGAGTCGATGTGGGCTTGTGAGAAGTCAAAGGCAGCAGCAAACGGGAGCGGCTTGCTTGCGCGCATACTGTCGAGCTCAGCGCCGAAGGACATGTAGCAGAACGTATCGAGAGTGAACTCATTGAAAAGCTGACTGAGCGCAAAAGGCTCGCGCTTAGATGCGAGGACTTCGATTAGGATGTCGATATGCTTGTCAATTGCGGTAGCAATGACGGTATTGAATGACGTGGCAGTGAAGATGTGCGAAGTCGTCTTGCGCTGTTGGTGCCATAGCTGTCCATCGGTCGCAAAGATGCCGTGACCAAGAATGTCATTCATCGGCTCGGACTGGAGGGTGCCTTTGACGTAATTCTGAAAGTTGGTTTCTGTGGGGAGGCCTCAGTCTGCGTGAGCTCTTGCGAAGACCTGACTGACTCTGGAAGTATTCGATCCATTCAGGCCTGCTGCAAGAGTACATCCGGAACCAAGGTATCGTCGCCGTCCAGGGCTATACGGCAGGGTGAGCTCTTGCAGGCCGACAGCTTGTAATGTGGGCTCACCTGACCGTCCTTGGACTGGAGCATGTTCTGCTCGTACGCTCGGTCGGCGAACTTGACAGCGACATGATAGAGAGCGCCAAAGAGGGGTAGCGTCTCCGTTACTGATCTGGTTGTGGAAGGCGAAGTGCCGACTGCCCGGGATCGGTACCTGATGAGCAGATAGACCAGATAGACTGCACTCAGGCCGAGCACTTCAGTCAATGTGATCAATGCCATCGCTGCTGTCAAGCCCGGTCGAGGGTCGTCGGCTGACGCGCAATTGAAAGTCGCCGAAGATGTCAAAAACAACTCGCGCGCTTAAAATGAGTCCACAAATTAAGAGTCCTGATTGCCGCTTTCGAGCAGTCATGCTCTCGGTGAGCCATCCAGAAACAAAGCCTTGGCTACGAGAAGATGACTGCATTATGATCAAGTACTGATCCAGGCAACTCGCCGTCCTGCAGAATTCAACCGTCGCAATTCTGCTCGCCGACGGGGACGCAAGAGACGAGAGCGCCCTTGTATGCTCCGCCAGAGCGCAATTGGACCTGCGGCTCGCTTCCTGAGATGACCACAAAGTTGCTGTATAAGAAATTGAGCTCTTCTGTGCGTTGCTGGCGACAGCCAGGAGTCATGTACTCACAGGCCATCGCTGCTCTTCTGACAGAAAGCTGCCGTCATCTCCTGGCAGCGAATCCAGATGTTTGTGTCGAGCTATGTGACGCCGTAGTCAGCATGAGACACGTTGGGACCCGCCCGGATACTTGCGGGAAATTCTGTAGGGCGGTCAACCGAGCACGAGTGAGAGGCCAGAGCAGCTCACGATCGGGAAATATGCTGACGACTTTGTAGTTGCCTTTGCCAAAGTGGCCGTCAACGTCTGACTCGAGGCCTACGTAACGATGGCTCAAGGATGCTCTCCTGGAGACTGTTGTGCCACGCTCACCCACAATGCAACCGTTGACGGGATCGCATGGCGACTCGAAGGCTGACACCGAGACCGCGAGTAGTACGAGTGCGACGAGCTTGTTGAGCATTGTGGCTTGGAGACTTGGCTATGGATCGGTGATCAGCCCAAGTCGGCCCTGGTGCCCCTTGTTGGCTGGCAAGAACACAATCTGAGGAGCTGAAACGTTAAAACGAGATAGCCACGCCATCATCGCCCGAAAGTGTCCGCGGCTACGCAGCCTTGGGTCTCCCAGTGTATTCGACATGCAAGCAGAGGGAGGACAAGAGGCGCTGGAAGAAGAGGTAGGGCCGGTCCATGAGCATATCCGAGCGACGGGAAAGTGACGCGGTGTGCGCGCGGTACGTACATTACCGGCAACGTTCGCGGTCGGCGTAAGCGGCGTAAGCGACGGAAAGCTGTCGACCCGTATCAACTTGTGAGCCCCAGATCCGTACTGCTTGTCAACCCTCTACGATGAACTTTGAACAACTCAATCAGCATGTATTTGGCGATCGACTGGCTTCCGTGCGTCCTGCAAAGGGCTGAGGTTGCCTGACGAGATGCGCTCACGTTGCTCAATCAAATCTTCTGATCATCCCCGGCCCGTTCGTCACGGTAGCGCTGGCCGAGCTCAATGTCACGCAGAGGTGATGACATGGCAATGTCCGCCCTCCGAGCGCAGAAGAAAGCTCTCCGGAAGGACTTTACGGCTCGGCTCGCTCGCGTGACTGAGGCGGAGCTCGCTGCCCAATGTCGGCCTGCCCTACTGCCTACTACGACGCTGCTGAGTCTTCGAGACAGCCCAGAGGGTCACGGAGAAACTGTTTCAGACACCGAGCTATGTGCAAGCTGGACGAATCAGCTGTTACACCTCGCTCAGCGTTGGCGAGATCAGGACGGACGCCATCATCCGTGATGCTCTAGCAAGAGGCAAGCATGCCTAAGAATCAAGTGATCTATACCCAAACTCACGCGCAGTCAGGCAAGGCGGTTTTCATCCCGTATTGTCCGCCCGAGTCAAAGACGATAATGAGGATGCTGCGGTTGCTCGATGTGCACGCGTTTGACGAGCTGCAAGCCAACAGATGGGGCATCAGGGAGCTTGCTAGCGATCGGCAATCTATAGGGGGCGAAGGTGCGTTCTGTTCGCTTCCCGTCCGCGCTGCTGACCGAATGACAGCGCTGGATGAAGACGCGATGCTTGATATGATCATCATGCCCGGCCTTGCGTTCGATCAGGCTCGTAACAGGCTCGGACATGGGCGGGGCTACTATGATCGCTATCTTGATCGGTGTCATGCGCTGGCCAGCCGGACAGCCACGCATCCACCCCTTACCGTGGCGCTAGCTCTCACTGAGCAAATGAGCCATACGCCATTGCCTGTGGACGAGCACGATAGAAAACCAGATATGATCTTGTATGCAGGCACATGAGTGCAATGTCGCAAAGCGTACACAGAGAAGGAGTCGCTCGGTCGTGAAACAGTGTTGTTTGCAAACAATATTACGTTACAACACTTGCCTTCTTCTGTTTCTGCTCAACTGATCTAAGCACACAGCTCGCATCGCGAGCAAAGGTGTTGACATTCGGTAGGTGTCTCGCAAGAGAGGAGTTGAGGTTGAGTTGAGAGGAGCGTTGAACGCATAAGGGTTCGACAGTCTCGCCAATGTCTTGATCTATTGCGTCTTGACAGAATGGCTACTTACACGATAGCACGCGCTATTGCATCAGGTCCGATTCATCGTTCTGCGGCAGATATGATTCTGGAGTCATCTGCGCAGACCGTGCATCGGACATGTGCATCCGGGGCTGACCGTACATCGTGTGAGTCTGAGTCTGCGTTTGGGTAGTGGAAGTTGGAGGAAATCGTGACGACGACGATGATGATGATGATGGTGTTGGTAATGACTGCCCGAATGCTCCCGTGTTACCGGGAGCTGGCAGTCGCAAAGGTGCTTGTAGCGACTGCTTCGGAGCAGGGCCGTCCAGCATAAAGTTGGCGCCGTAGTTGCCTTCCATTCGCGCACGTTCGGCATGATGCATGGGCATCAAGGGACGTTGGGCAAAAGGCTGTCTAGGGTCCATCCATGGGTATTGGTTGGCGGCCTCAAGTGACGCCTGATCAGACGTAAAGGTGGGTCGGGTGAGTGCTTCGGCGATTGAGCGACCTCTTGGCTCTCGTGTATCTTGCATGCCGGAGAAGTAGCTCGGTTGTTGGTATCCTCTTGCCTGTGTGCTCATTACAGACGATGTCCCGGGGCTCTCCCAGAACGGCATCGGGCTCAAGAGAGGACCGGGCATTTGAGCTTGGCCTTGTCCGAAAGATCTGCCAGAAGGCCTCGACCGCTTGCTAGGCGGACCGCCGCTTTCAGGATAACTATCTTCGGGGTCGCTGTAATCTTGGCCAGTGTTGTCGCGATCCCATTGAGCATTATTGTTCATTTCGGGTGAGATCTCGCGTGAGTCAGAATTATGCTGTGCGCGAGAGGCAAGCCGGGCCTGCTCCTGAGCTCTAAATTCGCGCAGATAGGCTTGATAGCTTCTGTACTCTGGTGATTCGCGGTATTCAGCCATACGATGTGACCAATCGTCTTTTTCTATGAGCGGATGCGCGTCAGCGCTGAACGGAGATCAGGTCTGAACACGTACGACGAGCAGCCTCTGTTTCTCTCGCTTCTTTCTCGTTCGGAGGCAAGGCTTTCCACTGCAGATCCCGAGCGATCAGAGAAGGCTTGGAGGAGTCAAGCGCGACAACATACGCGCTCGCCGACGATTTTTGCTAATTCAGCAAAGGTTTTGCCTTTGACTTCTTCGCGAACCGCACTAGCAAATTGTACATACGCTGATGTAGGTTTCTCAAGCGCATTGGGACTGCAAGCTCATTGAGTCAGCATGTCCCTCTTTGCGGTCGTACTAATGATAGACTAACTCTGGCTTGGGATGCCGACGATACTTTCGGCGCGGTCGCGGATCTTTTTCTGCCGATCTGCTTCCAGACTTGCCTTGGAATTTACCCTGACCCTTGAACACGAATACTGCAGAGTTCTGCTGAGTGATCTGACCTGACGAGGGTCGCATGGCTGAGCGCGAGTCACTACTGTCTGGCGCTTCCGCTTCCTCGCTTGAAACCTTGGCCTGGCCGTCAGAGATCGAGTGGGAGAGCGGCAGGCCCTGCAAAGATGCTACCTCACGCTGTATGACACGTCGATGGCCTCGCTTGACTTTGAGCATGTCAAAGTCGGCCTCCGTGGCATCTATGAGCGAGCCGAGGCGGTCGAATCCGTTCTGCATAAAGGTATCGAAATACTCGTGCAGGTTGACCCTGCCGAGGAATGCCTCGACGTCTGCTGCCTTGGACGATAGGTCCCGCGAGGATCCGATGCGGCTGCGTGAGGTGTTCGAGGTCGATTCATTGGGCAAAGTGCTGCCAGAGGATCGCTCGCCCGAACCTATAGCTGATTGCCCGTCGCTACTGAAAGGCGTCTGCGCAGAAACGAAGGTTGCGCTCGAGCTCGAGTACCCTGGCCGCCTTGGCGGTCTCGGCAATCGAGGCGGCAGATTTTGTACGCTCTCGAGAGAGGAGGCATCGAGGTCTGCTTGCGGCTCCTGATTGCTCGGCAAAAGCAACCTGGATAGATCTGCTGGAACGCCCGAGCCCGAAGAGGCATCACTGTATCGCCTGCCTCGACCATAGCGACTTGAGTCAGGATCACCAAAGTCGTGACGTGAAGTCGGAGCTGCAGAATCAGAGACGTCTCTGCCGTGTGCTGGAGCTATCGCCAAGCGAGGTCTGCTGACGGCAGCCATAGGCTCATCGGCCTGACGAAACGATGATGCAAGCCATTCGTCGCTGCCACGCGCAGTCGGCGAAGCTTGCGAAGGATAAGACGTAGTATTGCTCCGCTGACCCTGGACAGTTTGCGAGCCTGAAGCTGCTGACGGCGCTGCTCGACCAGACTCCTGTGCGCTCTGCTGACGCCCCTGCTCGGGCCGCTGACCTTGCTGATCGTGAGGCTGTTCTGCTGTTGACGCGCTCGCGGATAATGTGCTAAGGTGGCTTCCGTCGCCTGCTCCCCTCGCGTCTTCTCGATCTGAAATGGCGCTTTGAGCCGCGGCAGGCCCATCGCTGCCTTCCCTGCGATTCATGCTCTGACTCGGGCTAACCCTTCTGGGCGTGCCCGAGTGTTTTGACTGGGTTGCTGTTCAATCTCTTCTCTTTTGATCGAGTGAGGTTCGCTTCATTCTTTGGTCCGGGAGTTCCCCGTGCCGAGCTAGCCTCTGAAAACGATCTGAGGGCTCTTTCTGGCTATCGAGGACAGGCAGCTCGGCTGACTGCTTTTTCGCCAATATGTTGCCACACCAGCTGACCCCGAATTTTTCGATCGGACAGTCGGTCGCAAGTTCATTCGCTTCTCGGCTGTCCACGAGCCACTCCCGCTTTTGTCGTTGAATGTGTACCTGACGGAGCTCTGGCTTCTCGGCGTGCGTCGACGAGGAATTGGGTCGTCTCCCCCCGAAGGCTCTTTTCTTCTTCTGCTATCCTTGCTTCAGACAAGCCAGCTGCCATCGAGCCGCCCCAAGAACCGCCCCCTCTCTTGCTGCTGTAGATCTAGAAAGGCCTCCGCTAATCGCTCATACAGGCAGGCATCATGCAGATTTCTCGCAAATTCGTTCGATCTGGATGCTTCAGTCGAGGATCTCAGGTCGGCAAAAGCCACCAATCGGCATGCTCCTTTGCAGAATCTCATCATCATCATCGACAACAGGCGCAAAAGTATGTTTTTCCATCGACGTTGATCGCACGATGCCGTTGTGAAAATTAGCATCTCGTCCAAATCTGCGATTTCGGGAAACTTGTGTCTAGATCAGCCGTGCGCGTGCTGCGTGAAGCCCACTTGATCTGCTCGCCCTTGCCGGGCGATCGCGCTCGTGCAGGACGATGCATGTGACTGACATCAGCTTTATGGAAGCTCAAGGGGCATTCTGCAACGAGCGCTTACCGGACTGTCGTCAGGCCTTTGCCACAGTCGTGCGGCCTTCGACGTCAGTGCACTGGTCCTCGCTGAGCTGCTTGCCGAGGGCATCGCAAGAGGAAGAGGGCATGCGACCAGCTCGTTCGGACGGCAAGAAGCTCCGAAAGTAAGCTCCCACAAAGGCATCACTCGACCATCCGAAGTGGGCAAGCGATCTCTTGTGTCACAAAATACCGACAATGCTGGCTGGCATCAGGGACGCACGCACCGCGTCGCTGCCCGACAGAGTCTGTTGGTATTTTCAGCTACGCGGCGCTTGTTGAGCACGGAATATGCCAGAAATCGAGTCAAAGCTAGCACAAGAAGGCCAATGCGCGCGGACTTTGCAGCAGAACGTGTCTGTGCAATTCCTGCCTCATGCATATCTGGCTGCAGCGTACTATGGTGCTATGTCCAATCGCCTTCGAGAGCCTCTGCTGGATTTTCCTTGCTGTCAAGGTGGAGCTCGCGTTGTGCGTCACTAGGTCCGAGCGAGTGTGCACTGTCAGCTTCCTTGCTGAGCTCTTTCGCATCCGCTTCACCGACGGTCGCCTCGACTTTATCAGCTGAGGCTATTAACAGCAATTCAGCGCCAACATAATCGAGAAGCGCTGTCGGATTGGCAGGTCGGTTTTTCGTCTTGAACAGCGCCTGTAGTTCGTCTGGATACTTTGCACGCCGCTCCTCGGGCAAGCCCTGAAAGCCTGCAGCTGACTGGTGCGGATCCTTGACTTGAAGCAAGATTGAGGACTCCTGCTTGATGCCGAGCGACTTCTGCACCTCGCCCAGCTGATCAGGCACCACCGTGATGTAGTTGAGGTATGACTTTTGCTGGGATGGTGCATCGCTTTTCTCGCTCGGAACATAGTGAATGGAATAGTTGCCCCGTCCTGCCATTCGACAGCTCGGCTGGACTCGATGGCCAGCCGTCTTGGTGTCATACTCGCTGCTTGCCAGACCAGCTTTCAGAGCCTCGTAGTCCGAGCCTGCTGACATGACGCAACTCCAGAAGATTTCTTTAGGCAGGGCACCTTGACCAGGCCGGTCAACGTCGGGCAATCTTTTCTTGCCGACATCGATCGAGCGGTAATATCTGAAGTCCTTATCGTTCGCCTGTCTTGGCGAGAGTACGACGAAGAACTTGGAAACATCGTCTAGCGACTTGGGATCATCGTCGTCGACCTTTGGGCGATAGAAAAAATAGATGTGGCCCTTTTCGATCGTGCCCGCCGGCTGTTCATCCATCTCACCCACGTCTGCTCTGCTCGTCCTTGAGGCTTGCTCGCCATCTTCGGCGGTCTCTGCCTTGGTTGACGCCTCGGTCTTTGCCTTCTTGGAGCCACTTTTGGGTTCTTTCGCTGGTCTCTTGGCGGAAGACTTTGCTGGCGTCATACTCACCTCGCCTCGCTTGTCTGCAAACAGCGTGGCCTGTCCGTCAGGCTTTACTGTATCTCTCGCGGACATGATGTCTCTGTCCTGCTTGTGCCTATGAGATCATGAGCCGATCGGATCTTATCAGATCAGATCGCGCCCGCCTTCGTTTCCGAATGGGCATCATCCCGTCACCGATGTCCGAACGGGCCGAGTAGCGAGTGCTGCCGACTTGGAAGCCTACGGCCGGAAAGCTAGCATAGCAGCACATTCTCAGCGGCGCTGGTTATATCGAGCAAGCATGAGGGTCTTGGTTCTAGGGTAGGCCAGCATGCTCGCATTCTCTGTCGAGCTGACGGACCGCAGTGCGACCGGCTTTATTGGCTTCCCAGTAGCACAGGCGCTCGTCAGGAACGGCCACATTGTCTACGGCCTGACTCGCTCGGACGCAAAGTCAAAAGAGCTTCAAGCAGAGGAAAGTAAGCTCCCGTTCTCTGTCACATGGCATGAGACCGCGCTGAGACAGTATAGCCAGTCATCCCCATTGTAGGCGATCCCGCAAAGCCCAAAGAATGGCTAGAGCCGCTCATGCCGACGCTCGACTGTCTTGTTGATACCGTGGGCGGCTCGGCGGAGATCAACAAGTTGCAAGAGCTCCTGATTGACACAGCCATTTCTTTGGCGAAGGCTACCAGGCCGGCAGGCTCGCCAAAGCTGTCCTTCATCGAGACATCAGGTACCTGGGTCCACGGAGACGACAATGCGGAGATCAAGAGTGATTCGACGCCGCTGACTACACCTCAGGAATTGACGCAATGGCGCCTCGCCATCGAGACAAAGCTGACCCAATCCACCGAGCTGAACGGCACCATTATCCGTCCAAGCCTGCTGTACGGTCGCTCTGGCTCGCTTCTCGCAACAGCCATGCAAAGTGCGTCCAAGGGCAAGGTTTCCTGGATCGGCACGCCAGATCAGCGTCTTGCCACGATTCATACTGACGATCTGGCGGATCTGTACCTTCGAGCAGCAGAGAACCCGGCTGCGGCGGCAGGACGTATCTTTGACGGAACCAACGACTATTCAGTCGGTGTTGCAGACTTTCTCCAGGTGCTTCAGCGGACATCGAAGGCCGAGGGTGAAGTCGAGTATCAGAAACCATCGAACGCGTTTGAGAGTGCACTCGCTTCGTCTGCCGTTCTCAGACCTCATCTCGGAAGAGTCTTGCTCGGCTGGCACCCCAAGAAGGCCAGTCTGGTCGACGGTATCGATGTCTACTACGCTGCCTGTCTGGCTGCGCAATGAGAGATGTACATACAGATTGCAATGATATGGTTCATCATGAAAGTACTGTGTAGCCTGACCCTCTGTCACCCCTCCTGAATACATCCCGTACGACGTAGGGCAAATCAGCCCACGCTTCTCGATGAGGAACCATCCGCCAGCCGGTCTCGCCGTACGTGAAGTGGTTGTGCCACATCCCGATGGCAAAATAGGCAATGAAGCCGAGGAAGAGCACCAGGAAGAACCAACCGAAAAAGCCTCTGCCTTGATTGTTGCTCGGTTCGCCGGTCTGGGGCGTGTCTCCCGAGGGAGAATGTGTAGCACAGGCGAACTTGCTGGTCCAGCTCATGGTCAGAGTCCCGTTCGAGGGCGTATATGCATCTATGACTGGCTCGCTCTGTTTGACTGGGTCAATCAGACTGCTCCGCTTCAAGATTGGCTGTGACTGACGTTGGCCGTGTCGGGGTCGCAGAGTAGCTCGAGCTCAAGTTGCTGGGCTTGCTCTCCATACTGCCCGCCATGCAACTTGATCAAGAGTGGCTCTGCGGATAGAACGGCATGAGGTCCAAGTGGGGCTGCAATGCGAGACAGAGCGTACGTTGAGACTTTGACGAGTCAAGGAGTGATAGCGATGGATCGAGTCTGTGCTCGTTCGCTTCCATCGCGAGCGGTATGACGCTAATGACCCTCGTAGCGTGAGGGTCTTTGTCGTTGGTGACGATCATGCAAGCTCGTGTGCCGGGAGGACATTGATCCTCTGCTGGTGCATCCTCCCGTACAGGGATCGGTGCACAGAGCGAGAGCGTGTATGTCGTCGTCGTTCGCGATGGAGGCGTCGAAGCGACTGAGCTGACGCTGACGAGCTTGCCGAGCTGCATGTTATGATCATGGAGGGCAGCCATACCGAGGATGGACCAGCAACGTACCTCTGAGAGATCATAAGCATGTCCTTGTACATTGGGCGTGCAGCTGAAGAGATCATCGGCGTGTGACCGGCTCGCCAGGAGCAGCGCTGCCAGGACGGACAGTCTCAGTCTTTGTCTGTGCAGCGTCGTGCCCATCTCGGGCTGAATGAGGGAGCGCCTTTCGAATTGCTCGCGCTTGGCGTCAGCAGAGAGATGGGCGCAGAGGTCGAGCCACTGCCGCTGTACGAGCAGTCTAGCCAGGACAGGCAAGCACGTGCTTGCGCTCTACGATCAGTCGGCTGACGAGACAAGACAGGGACTGGCGGTTCTCTGTGAGCTCACTGGCCAAAATGCGACAAGACCTCAACCGAGCTGCCATCCAGCGGATCAAGTCGACCCTAGAAGAGGACAGAGTGCGCTGCAAGTGCAGATTCCTGTCTACTCAGCTGACCGGATGCGTAGGCGGCGACAAGCGCAGGCACAGAGAGCGACGCGGCAGATCCATCAGAACTCACTTTCCTCTCCGTCCAGGACGAGCAGGCCCTCGTGTCCTTCTACTTGACCAAGATCGCTCAGATCTCCCAAGCACCCTTCTTCCGCTTCTCCCACACCGTCGAGTCGACCGCCATGACGTTCCTCAAGCGTTTCTACTTACGCAACACGTGCATGGACTATCATCCAAAGAAGATCATGTCCGTCCCGTCTGCCACCCGCCACCGTGCGCTGATCGATACTGAGCCCTTCAGGCTGACTTGCTTATTCCTCGCGACCAAGACCGAGAATCAAATGGTGCCCATCGACTTCTTTGCGAGCAAACTCAAGGAGGATCAAGCTGCCATACTTTCGCTCGAGTTTGTCATCAGCCAATCGCTCAAGTTCCAGTACTCTGTCCATGGAGCTCACAACGCTCTGCGGGGCCTTTCGCTCGATCTGCAAAGCCTGCCCGGCTTGGATGAGACGCGCTCGGCCGGTGCTCTCGAACGCGCACGAGAGACCGTCAAAGCCTCCCGTCTCACAGATCTCGAGTTTGTCTTTCCGCCCTCGCAGATCGCTCTGCTTGCATTATGGCAAGCAGACACCGAATTGGCAGAGCAATGGCTCCAGTCGAAATTAGATCGTCTTCAGCCGCACCAAGGGCAACTTAAAGAGATGTCCGCCCTTGGCAATGTGCTTACCACAGCGCAAGAGCTACTAGCCAGTCAATCGGCACAGTGCACAGCAGCAACGACAGAGGTCGTCAGAACGATCGACAAGCGGCTTAGGTTGTGCACCAATCCTGCCAAAGATCCCAACTCTGCAATCTCCAAGAAACGCCAGGCACAGGTCGAAGCCGAACAACTCGAGAAGAAGCGAGCCAAAGCGGAGACGCATGCTGCGAAAGTGGAAGAGGAGGATCCATTCAATTGAGCGATTGTCGCAGCTTGTCGTTTCCTTCCGTCGTTGCTGTGTGTGACCAGCTTGACGCGTTTGGCGATTCGTGCCGACGCTCAAAAGATGCTAGCGAGGCTTACCTGGACGCTCTTCCTGGCTGCGAGCGTGCATGGACTCGTATGGAAGACGTTCAAGATTGTCTTGCAGGGCACGTCCGCTCTTTACCGCGATATCTTCGGCTGATCGCCCTGATAGGCTCACTCAGGCTTGACGACCCGCTCTATCCCGCGGTCCGGCTACTTACTGTCAATGCTGACAACCCGGGCAACATCTATGCGACCTTGTACGATGACGGGCGCAAGCCCACATCGGTGCGCGGCTACCTCGCCAGCCCGGACCAAGCTGACCTGGCTGGCTTGACAACGACAGTATGGCGCTTCGAACAAGAACATAGCTATCGTCAACCATGGCTTCGATAGCAAGTCGCTGCAATATAAGCTGGAGATCAGCACATCAGCGACGATCGCGCAAGACAATACATGCTGTCAAGCCGCTAATCTCGCTGCAAACGTCATCTAGATCCTCAATGCCGCTAGATTCAGCTGACAAATTTGATGTTGCAGTTCGTACTCAGCGTGAATGACGATGTCGAGAGCAAAGGAGCCCATCTCGTCTTCGAGACGGTGAGTAGCTCTCTCGTGCAAGTGTTCGCGCAGCTCATTGTGAGAACAGTTCTGTACAGGCAGTAAGCCGTGGTGCGACATCAAGCCCACCATCAGAGTCTATGCTGCCGAAGACGATGGCACGACGGCTACACCGATATGATGCTTGCAATCATACAATCCCTTTGGGCGCTTCCCGTGGTGCCGGAAACATGGGCTCACGTAATCGGCTCGCCCGAGCTCGCACGGCGGCTGCAATGAGCAGGTAAAATGCGCCGTCTATGCTCTGGTAGACGAGCGATGCCAGGACTGCTGTAACGACATAGAACGTGATCTTCACGCTGTGATGCCTGTTGAGGTGATATTAGCTTCTGAGCGTAGGCATGCGCGTTCACTCACCGGTACAAAGCGGACTGCCGTAAGAGAGGCAGAGGCCACTCGAACGCGAGCATTATCAATGCGTGGACCTGCAGAGGTCGTCAGCGAGCATCTTCATGCTCAACGCGGCTGCATACGATGAGGATGATCTGAATGGCAGGAACGCGCACGATGAGCGTCAAGAAGACGGCATCCCGTTCTGGAGGCTGATCACCGTGCGGGCCTAGCGGCGCATCGATCATGTCCCAGAAGAATTCTGCGTGGCTCTGCATCAGCTCCGCCCGCAGGCACCGGGCAGAGCGGGTAGCGCACTTCGATAGGCAATCGCCCAAGACGCCGCCCAGAGCAGGTTCGTGGCGCTTGCCAACGCGAGCAAACGGGCCCATTGTGCCCAGATCAAGTTGCCCATTGCTTCTTGGCGTATGGCATGGCATGGCAAGCAAGAGCGCGGGTGATGCGGTATGCGAAGAGACGATGCGCTTCGACCCTCTTCAAAATCGCATGGGGCACGAGAGATCAGATGGGCACGAGGAAACATCCGAGCGTGCCCCGACCGCTCCAGCGTGTCGGCGTAAGCTGCAGCAGTTTCATGACATCGCGATCATCTGTTGCATGACGGCGGAGCAGCTGCACGCGTAGAGGCTTGTCGAGCGATTTCTGGACCAGCGCACCGACAGCTTGGAGCGATTCTGCAGGCACGGGATGGGGTCCCGTCGCTGCAAAGCGGATGATCTTGTCGCCTTCGTGTAGACCCTGCAGAGGAGCCGTCAGCTCAGACCAGTGAGAGCTGACACGCGACTTGCAGCTGATGCTGCAGGCGAGCCCGCATCGACTGACTTGACCAGCGCAAATGGGTCGGGCGTGCTAGCAGAGCCATTGAGATACACTTGTGCATCATCGCCAGACGTCTGAAAGACATCTTGGAGCAGTCGAGCGAGATTGCCCTCAATGGTCTTTAGGTCGTTCCTGATGACTCGTATGCGTGCTCTTGCTTCGAGGATGGCCGAGATGTCGACGTCTGCTCGTGGGAAGCCTTCTCGATCTACTAGCGCGCTGTTGAGAGTGACGCCGTGCTGCGGCAAGCATGTATGAGTGGCTGATGGTCTGCACACTCCCTTGGGCGACTGACAGACTGCAGAAGCTCGAGATGAACTTCGAGCTCGGCTTCTAGGTTACTCCTACGCTCTGCTAGCCGGAGAGCTTCCTGACGCTGGTTCGCTGAGGAGGACATGCCACTGTGCCGGTCGATCAGTCTTGTGGTGACGTCGTGACACTGACGACGCGCACTTGCTTGCTTGCTTGCTTGCTCGACACGCTTGACCTCACGACGGTCTAAGTGGCGTCAACCTCGCCAAGATGGTGCGTTTGAGCCTAAATGGATCAGCTCTGGAGCTGATGTTGCCATGCGCTGACACAGTCGGCCATGTACGGTCGCCGGGATGGCTGCAAGGCAGCAAAGTGCTGACGGTGGACATGACAGGGAGATCAACGGTGGCTCGGTCATCGCCATGCTCGGCAAAGACTGTGTCGCCATCGCCTGTGACCTCAGACTGGGCAACCAAGCGCTCACAGTGGCTTGCAATCAAGAGAAGATCTTCAGTATCACCCCTACCACCTACCTCGGCCTGCCCGGCCTAGCATCAGACACATTGACAGTGTGCGTGCTCAGCCTCACGACCACGCATCGAGTGTAGCTCACTCTGTCACGTATGACCAGCTACGAGAAGCTGCGGCATCGGACCAACATGTACGCCATGAGAGAGGACAGGCTCATCACACCGACGACGTTCACCCATCTCGTCAGCTCGACGCTATACGAACGGAGGCGCGCGGCCCTTCAAAGCGTGTGGCTACTTAGATTGACAAGACATGGCACAGATTCGGGCCATACTTTATCGAGCCCATCATCGCCGGACTCGAGGCAGACGGCACGCCTTTTGTCGCGACGACAGATCTGATCGGCTGCATAAACGCTGCAAAGATGAGTAGCATTCTCAGCTCGCATGCGTTGTATCGCGCTGACGAGGTGATCGCACGACTTTGTTGTCGCAGGGACGGCGAGCGAGAAGCTATACGGCATGTCGGAAGCCTTGTGGGAGCCCGGACTCGACGCGGAAGCGCTCTTCGAGACGATCGGACAAGCGCTACTCAATGTCAGTACTGGTCCATCACAGCACAGCAAAAGCCGATCAGGCTGATGCTTCCCTGACAGGCTGTCGACCGTGATGCCTATTCAGGCTGGGGTGCTGTCGTCTACGTGATCGAGAAGGATAAAGTCACCAAGCGAACGCTCAAAGCCCGGATGGACTAGAGCGCACCCTTCTGTAGCAGCATGCATCTAAAGTGTGGTGTATAATCTAGCCGTGTCGCTCCGTGTCACGCGTGTCTACTTGAACGTATCTCTTCCTCTTGCGTCCTTCTTCGTCCAGATGGAGACGCTGCTCGCCGGACAGTGAAAGTCACCCCATCCATCGTCGCCGATCGTGACTGTACCCTGATGCCATCCGAGCACATCGGTCCATTCTTCTCCCTTTTGACCTGAAGTCTGCATGTGTTTCTCGCCCTCGTCACCGTTGCTCACAATCACCGCACAACCATCGTGATCTTTGTCGCCTACTCTCACCCAACCAACGCAATTAGCGTGGTCCCAGTAATCTCTCTGCTCGCCAAAAGCGAAAAGCTTTCGCGCACGAATGAAGGATGCCAGACCGGATGCAGGCTCCGCAGCTGCACCTTCTTCGTCAGTCTTGATGCCGAATAGGTCGCCGGCAAAGACACAGGGATATCCGGCTTCTCGCAGCAGGATGAGTGCATAGCTGATCGGTTTGAAAGGTCCGCCGATCCAGCTTTGCAGACTCTGGCCTTTCTGAGTATCGTGATTGTCGACGAGCGTGACGGCATCTGTAGGATTCGTGGAACACAGGGAATCATCAAAGACTTTGCGGATGTCAAAGTTGCTTCCTTGGTCGTCTGCCTGCTTGAAGTTGTAGTGCAGGGGTGTGTCGAAGAGCGAGAATTGCTGGCCTTGATCGGCGAGGTACTTATTGAGATAGGGAGTGTTATCTTCCCACAACTCGCCGACAGCAAACAAGTCCGGCTTGCCTGTTCTTTTACGAACTTCCTTGATGAAGTCTCGGATATAAGCTTGAGAGATATGCTTCACTGCGTCGAAACGGAAGCCTGCAAAGCCGAACTCGTCGATGATCCAACATCCCCAATTGAACGTATCTTCTCGTACTTCGGGGTGAGACTCATCGAGATCCGCGCCCATGAGGTAGTCAAAGTTTCCCTGCTCGTTCGAGACATCCTTTGCCCAGGTCTTCCCGTCACCCATGATCCTGAACACGCCTTTCTTGCCCGTCGCGTTGTCAAAGTCGACGCCGCTGAAGTGATAGCTCTTCAGCTTGAGCTCAGAATGCTTGCCGCTCCGGCCGGCAAAATTGAAGCCGGTCCAACCCTCGATGTCGTATTTGCCGCTGATGTCCTTTGTGCGGTCTTGCTGGTCGACTTCCTTGACGAGAAACTTCTCGGTCTCGTCGCCTCCCAGTCGGTGGTTGAGCACCGCGTCACAATAGCAAACAATGCCTGCATCCTTGGCCTTGGCGATCAGACTCTGTAGCTCTTCCTTTGTGCCATACTTTGTTGCGACGCTGCCCTTCTGGTCAAACTCGCCGAGATCCCAGAGGTCGTAGATGCCATAGCCGACATCTGCCCAAGCCAAGCTCAGCGTGAATTGGGTGCGCGCAGGAATTACAATACCTTCTGGCGAGGAGCCCTTGGTAGGCGGTGGCAGCCAGAAGGCGGTGATACCCATGTCGGCGAGCATGTCGACTTGGCTCTCGAGCTGTTTCCAGAGTCCCTTGGGCGAATGCCAGTCGAAAGCTTGCATCATTGTGTAGTTCTCCGTCGTCTCATTGTCGGTGTCGGCCTTTGAGCGCCGCCGGTAGGCTTTGTTGGCCTGGAAAGCCATCTCGACGTGAGCCTGACCCGGTGCTATCGCGCGCACGTTATCCGGCAAAGACGCGACGGTCTATTTCAAGATTGGATGTTGAACTTGAATTCGTGGTGACGCAAAATTCGAGCAAGCAGCCAAAGTCGTGCAGCCGCAATGGTAGGCCATTCGCCTGTCGATAGGCCAACGCTGATCCTGTTGAGTGACAGCCGCAGAACGAATACATCGAGGAGCATCAGCGGCGGTATGGCAAGCGACTCGATCACGATGTCAGCACATATCCCTTGTCCGCCTGAGAGACTTGCTCATCAAGGCATCTGCAGGAGCGCAAACGCAAGCGAACAGCGCGTGAAGTGCACAAAGCATCGGCAGTAGCCCAGACCTTGCACGGTCACAAGGCCAAGCTGCTCCATCAGAAGCGCTACTCTGAGAAAGTGGCACTGCGAAAGACGATCAAGAAGCACGAAGAGAAAGACCAGAAGACACAGTCGGATGCGCCGGTGTCAGAAGGTGCATTGCCGACGTACCTGCTCGATCGATCGAACGAGAATAATGCCAAGAAGCTGTCGACCGCGCTCAAGCAGAACAGAAAGGAAAAGGCTGGCAAGTTTGCCGTGCCGCTGCCCAAAGTCAGAGGTATTGCCGAGGAGGAGATGTTCAAGGTCGTCAGGACGGGCAAGACAAAGCGGAAAGGCTGGAAGCGCATGGTCACCAAGGCCACCTTTGTGCCAGAGAGCTTCACGCGTAAACCGCCCAAACTGGAGCGCTTCATTCGCCCGACCGGTCTTCGTGTCCGGAAGGCCAATGTCACCCATCGTGCGTCGGCTTAATCTTTTCCCGTCTCACAGAGCTCATCCGGATTCTGTTGCGATGCACAGCTGAGCTCAAAGCGACGTTCCAGCTACCTATCGTCGGGGTCAAGAAGAACCCACAATCGCCCATGTACACTCAGCTCGGCGTGCTCACAAAGGGAACCATCATCGAGGTCAACGTATGCATCTGTCTGCTTGAGCTCCTATACGCTTGCTGAAGCAGCAGTTGTTCCATAGGTTTCCGAGCTAGGTCTCGTCACGACGGGCGGTAAGGTCGTCTGGGGCAAATATGCTCAGGTGACGAACAACCCCGATCTGGATGGATGTGTCAACTGTGTACTACTGGTCTAGACCTTTGCGTATGGCTGTATATGTACTTGTATTGCATCAGTCGCATCTCATACCATCGCCTCCATCAGATCCGTCGCGTCCAAGGTCAAACATGTGCCCGCGTTAATTAAGCTCTATCACTGATCAGCCCCTAATGACGACATTGACTCTACTGTGATATTGATTGGTGCCCCAAGCCAGCATGCAGGCAGAAGTCGCACACAGCCATGTGCAGTATGCTCTTTGGCAAGGGCACGGCGACGACGACGACGATGACGTCGAAATGCAAGATGACACCGTCGAGTATCCCTCGCTTCAGCTTGCTCAGCACATGCACGCCCACAGGTCCCCCTCGCCTGCTACTCCTCAGAGCGCACATGCACGAGCTATGCAGCGCACGCAAGACTGGGGCAAGCTCGTCATCGTGCTAGGTCGGTCGAGACACATTGTCCCGAGGCCACGGAGCTCATTGCCTCAACCGAACAGACACCAATATCCTCATCGACAGTCTCGACCTCGTCGCCCGTACTGTCGTGAGCTATTCCCGTCCTGCGCAGACATCGCTTGCCTCCTCAGCTGCAACTGCGAGCCCAACACTCTTTGCGCCGCATCCCGTCACTTTCATCGTACCGTCTATCGTCGTGAACGAGCTTGACGGCTTGAGCAAAGGCTGTCAATCTACTCGAACGGGTGATCATGCGAATACGGTCGCATTGGCTGCTCGAGAAGCAACGACCTGGCTAGCCTCCGTCACTCGAGAGCTTACTCAATCAACCGGCTTGTTACAGATTCAGAGCAAGGGCGACGTGCCGCCGCGGTCAGCGTTGCACACCACCCCCGACGACGTCATACTGGACTGTGCGCTACATTGCAGAGCTCAGAGACCAGATCTGCCTGTCTTGCTGATGACGAACGACGAAAACCTCGCGCTCAAAGCGCAGACAGAGTCAATACGCGTCCTGAAGACCAACGGCAGGGCGCGAGTGCGCAGCCCCGAGGGCCTTGTAGCTTCAGCAGAGCTACTAGCCCGCTCAAGCACAAACACTATCTCGCCAGAGCATTCACCGAGTTTGTCGAACAACATCAGCCAGCTGTCAGCATCCGATGCCGTCTCCCTGATCATGAACCAGATCTCGGACTTCATAGCACACAAGCTAGCCTGGCCCGTCTCTTACCACATCTCACATTCGTCAGATTTCGACGCATCCGATCTGGCCTATACTCTCGGTAACAGAGGACGCAATGGCGCGAGGACGCTCACGATGCACGACTGGCACGACTGGGATTGCCTTCGTGTACTCGAACTCATTGTTCGCTATTGGTTCTTGACGTTCGAGGCTGTTCTCGCCGCGCCGTCCCAAAAGACCTCGAATACGCCAGAGTCAACAAGATCACGGTGGGCGACACCCAGACGATCTGGCGCTACACGAGCACGCGCGGATCAGATCAAGGACCGCCTTGAGCGCGTCCGAAGGCAGATGGAAGCCTGGATGGTCGGATCGGCGGATCCTTTCAACTGGTCCCAATCACCCTGGCTCACTTTCCTTGGCGACGTTGCCGTGCTACTAGACGCAGACTGGCTCAACGAGCCTGCGGAGGAACGTGACAGGCCAATCAGTATGGACGATGATGTGGGTACCTGGCCAGGTCGGCATGCCGGTCAGGCAATGCTCGAAGAATGGAAGAGCATCATCAGAGCAAAGATCGCAGCATGACCACAAGCAAAGTCCTTGTTAGATGTTGTTTTCATTTGCATGTACAGCAACACACTTACACTTACCCCTTGGGACCTCGTACGCTAGCCCATATGTGACATCTCGACCGTCGCTGATGACCAAGGCAACGAGATACGCATTTCTCGTGGTCTGATCTCAATCGTGCTGCGGGAGTGACGACCGCGCAGCAATCTATCATCTTGCGTTGATGACCTGACAGGCGAGCTGACGCGGATCTGAACGGTCAAGCCCGGGGTTTCATCGTGCAAACTAGATCCACCAGGCTCACAAGATACCGACATGCGTGCTGCGCTAGGAGACAGAGCGTCCGGCGATACGAGCTGCTCGACAGGAGAATGCTGATCGGGCGAGGTCGTGTCGACTTGCGCAGGATGATCGGCTTCGAAGATGTGCACCTGAGGTGCCCGAGTTTGAGCGAACGGGAGGACGGTCTGGCTCGAATCGGCGTCCACAGATCGCGTGGAAGTGAGCAGATCTTCCTCGGAAGCATGCGAGAAGGGAGGCACGTCTGTGTCGGTCTGGAGAAGCATCTGGTCAAGATGCTCCTGCGAGTTGAGGAAGCGCATCTGAGCTTGCGACAGACCATTGCGCGGACTGTAGCTCATTTGTCAGTTTGCGTACCTACAGAAGAGGCAGACGCACTAGATGTAATTCGTATGCACAAGTGTGTCTCGTAAAGGCTCAGAGACGTCAGTCGTGCTCAAGGGAGATGCTCCACCGACGGTATAGCGTCGTGCGCTCGGGCCAGTCTGATGGGAAGTACGCGAGTCAACTAAAGTGAGCGTTGTGCAGCCATCGCTGCTTCTCGTGCTCGTCGGCGCCAGATGAGTCGAGTGGCGATAGCTATGTCGTGCAAAAGGGTTGAACCGGTGACGAGGCCTTGCATCCGATACGGGCTGGTTGAGAGGCAACAGAAGCGTTTCCGGACTTGCAGAAGTGGCACGAGAACCGACAGATGTCAGACGAGTAGTATCGCTAGTGGGAGACGCGCGCCATCGGTGCGGTAGCCAACTTCTCACTTGGTCGTTCCCTGGTGCAGCCTGAGTGGAATGTACGGTGATGCTGATATGATCTCTTGAATGGTCTTGGTCTGTCACGTCACACGAGGGCCGAGCAGAATCTGGGACATGGTATCGCGAGCCATCGAATGGATAGCCACCGGGGTACTGCCCATGTGCAGCACTGTCACTTCCTGAGGTACGTGAATCGCCTGCCGAATCGAGCGGCCAATGAGCGGGCGGCTGATCGCTTAAGATCGCCGCAGGTGATGAATGATCGCGAGCAGGATGCAAGTAGGCAGGTGGTAATTCTGCAAGCGCCGAGCGCACTTCTTCGTAGAAAGTGCCTGCTGTGCCTGAATGGATAGTAAGTCTTGTGGGATCTTCGTTGGGAGCCGCTGTCATGCCAGATAGACCGCGTGAGGTTCCACGAGAGACTATGTCCTCGTCCGGCCGAAAGTCAGGCAGATCGGGTAGGTTGGCGTCGTGATAGACAGTTTGACCTCCCACAGTAGTCTGAGACTGCCGGACGTGACTGCTGACGTGACCATGCCGTCCTAGCGGCCTGATAGAGAGCGTGGTCGAGGCTTGACTGGCGCGATGATCTGTCTGCGACACAGCGGACTGTCCGCGCGACAAAGCTTCTTCAACGATACCCTCGAAACCCATTCCGTCCGAAGCAGCTTTAGCGAGCGTCATCTCTTCATCGGCAGGAATCTCGGAACTGCGTGCGCGTATCAGTGTACAGAGGGCAGCTCAAGCAGACCAGACTGACTAGGGAGGGACGGTGCGTGTACTGGAACGTGACTGTCGCCGTCCTCTGCGCTGTTCGCGCGGACCCTGAGGTCGCCGGGAGCTTGCATTGGCCTGCGCGTCCGGATTGGCCTGGGTCGAACCAGCTCGAGCTTGTTGCGCGGCAGCGTTGGTTCTGGCGGTACTCGACATTTGTGCAGTGCTACCCCACAGAAAAGTGCGCAGGAAGCCAGGCGTTCTTGGTGAGGCTGGTACATTGGATGCGAGTCTTTGTCGGAAGCTTTGTGGCTGTGTCTCGCTTGCTTGGCTGCCGTTGTTGGGAGGAGATGTTTCGAGATTGGTGAGTGCTGTGATGCTGCTTGCCGTAGACGGGTGAGGAGCATGTCCCACCGGTACCGGACCTCTTGCCGGCTCACGAGGACCGAGTGAGGACCATGCCGGGTCAGACTGGTCGAGCCAGCCCTGGGTCTTTTTGATTCTCCAGAAAGCAAAAGAGAGTGCGATGACAAGCACGCCAAGCGTCATGCCGAGGATCATGCCAAGCGTGGGTGCATGGAGACCGACTGCATGACCATCTGTGATGCTTCCCGGGGCAGGTGCAGGCTGAGGACTCTCACGAGACACCTCAGACTGACGTCTTGTGATCGCTGACATGACGGTTCAAGCTAGCGCCAGCGTGGGTCGCTCGCGCCCACTGACAGTCGGCCGTAAGCTCTCTGATCAAGCCAAGCAGTGTTTCTGAGCGGGGACAGTCGGCAACGTGGGTGACTTGCGGATAGGGGCAGCATCGTCGCAGCTTGGCATCCTCGGCGTCCTCGACGCGCTTCGTTGCCGTCACTCTCACTCTCATCGGCTTCATTGATCGAGCTCAGGCGTAGCGTCTGTCTCCATCTCTTCTCGGCAACTATCAAGTCCGTAAAAGCTCGCTGTGTCGTAGTGCCTCCGCAAAACTTAAAAGCTCAGACCTTCGACCGATGTCTCACTGCAAAGTCCCATGGCCATGCACAGCGCTACATCCGCGATGTGGCATCGCCAATACCGTCCCAACAGGGGATCTGGATCGCAAGCATGCCGCCGCAGTCAGAGCCGCTCCGGACCCTATACCTTCTTTGGGTCCTATGGACGATCGGCTTCGTGTTTGTACCCATCTGGTCTGTCAAGTATCTCATCAAGAGCATGCGTCCTGTACCTGAGAGAGGCTGGCTGGAGTCAATCTCGGTATCAGGCGAGTCTTTTTGCCGATCTGTAGCTCAAGATCTGAGCGTAATTGCTCAGCCGTGTACAGAGGCAATGTAATCGCAGAGATGGGTTATGCTTTACTCGGTCGCAATCCGACGAAATACGTCGACAGCTCGACTGCGCGGTGTGGCTATTTCAAACCTGCGCCACGACACATCCTTCGTGGTATAGCGAAAGCGTCTCATTGCGCAGAGCCCGTCGAATGCGTGGGCTACTTGTACGAAAAGAAGAACGCGCCAGAAAAGGACTACGCCCTTGGCCGCGGGCTTGTCGTGCTCGTGTCGGTCTCGAGCGATCACTGCACGCAAGGAAGCTGACCTTGACCGAAGCTTTCACGGAGGCGCTTATGCAGTTCTGAGCGCTCATCCTACTGATTTCTCCTCTGCAATCCCCAGGAATCTCATCAAGTATGATTCAGTGGACGCCTGCATCAGCGTGGAGTACAGGTCTGTCAATCGAGGCTGCTTCCCCACTCAGCTTGTGGACGCTCTATCCGCTTACAATCATCTGGTCGACGTCAAAGGCATCGATGCCAAGCGCATCGTACTCTGTGGCGATTCAGCAGGCGCGAATCTCGCTCTCGCGCTGACACGCTATTTGCGTGATGAGGGCGTGCTACCTATGCCTCGCGGACTCTTTCTGCTGTCACCTTGGGTAGACATGTCGTGGGCTTGGCCGGAAGGGCCCAAACAAGGCGAGGAGCCCTCCGGATTCGGCTACGCGGAAGACATTATCGACATGAACACTGCGGGCAAGTATTGCATCAACAATTTCGTCGGTGCGGCTAATTCGCCGTTGATCGTCTCGAGTCCTTATGTCTCGCCTGCTTCCCAAAATCTCACGTCCGACGAGCTTGAAACGCTATTCAGCGAATTCCCCAAAACGTTCATACATAGCGCCAAAGCAGAAGTCCTTCACGCAGAGATCATGCGGCTTAAGGTACGCACATCAGCTTTTTCGGGGATCTCACCTTGACAGAGGTCTGCAGGAACGGATGAAAAACTGCGGCGTCGACGTAACGAGCGTGAGCTTCAAAGCTGGCGCACACGACATCCTGATCTTGCCTGCAATCTTCTTCGGCGGAAGTGCGAGACGGAAGCGGTTCTGGCAAGGCAAGGCAAAGACGTGGTTTGACGAAGTCTTCGAAGGACCAGTGTGAGTCACGATGCATATCTGTACAAGCACATTTCCGAAGCGCTAGAATAGCGAGCTGTTGTTACCAGTAGAGCCGCCCGAGCTCTGCCAAATGCTGCTCGATGACTTTTGTGCTGCGAGAGAGGCCATACTCGTCTGATTGCTGCCAGTTGGCTTCTTACTTGATGAGCCCATGAAGTCGAGTAGATCGTCAAATGCGTCTGCCTTGGTCGATGCGGGCAGACTTGCCTGTGCGGTCGCTTGGAGCTGGCTAGACGAGCGATAGGTCGGCGCACCGTTGCCGTACGAGGGCATCGGCGCAGCTGCGGCCATATAATTGGGCTTGGCCGTCATCGGTGCGGCCGTAGAAGGTCGGGCGGTCATGGGCTGCATCATCGGTTGAGGCGCCAGAGCTGATTGGGCTCGTTGCTGTGCAGGAAGAGGCGAGACAGCAGAAGCGGGAGATGCGCGCAAGGGCGTCATTGTGGGCGCAGGCGAAGCAGCGGCAGGCTGGCTTTTGACAGGCGATTGGTTCATCATATCGAAGAAGGTAGGCTTGGCTGCCTGCGGACGCGATGCGGCCTGAGGTTGCGCAGGGGCCGGCATGGCTGCGGGCACAGGCGGAGAGACGGGAGCGCTCTGGAAGTCGTCAAAGTCGTCGTCTGCAATCGTCGCGGCTGCGGCCGGCGCGAGCGCCGGCGCAGGCTCATCATCGCCAAAATCAAAGAGGTCGACTTCTTTGACAGGTGCAGGTTTCGCGGGTGTAGCTGTCTTTGCCTTTGCCGCAGTGGTGGTCGTGTGGGTAGATGAAGACCGAGCTGGCGCACGATCGTCTTCACCTTCGTCATACTCCTCCCAATCCTTGTCTTGTCTTTTCGCAGTCGAGGCTGCATCGTTGTAGCTATGCGTCACTGGCTCGTCCCATCGTGATGACGATGGTCCTGCAGGCGAGTCAGATGATAGGTTCGGCAAGATCGGTTGTGAGCTTGCCTGTGTAGGAGTCGCTGCCAAATCCACCGTATTTGCTTCCACTGGCGGTCGTGAAAGATGGGCCATTGCTACTGTTGCCTGTGCCGGCATACTTTGTCTTGGCAGCGCGAGCTTTTCTGCGTTCTTGGCGGACCCTGTCTATGTCTGAGAGGAGGTCTGCCAGCTCTTTGGACCTATTGCGAACTGCATCGATCTCCAGGTTCAGCTACCCTGACAGCCGAGTGTAAGATCACTTGCCATTGATCCCTTGGTCCTTGCCCTTTTCGTCTATGTAGTGAAAGTTGCGGAGGATCTTGATCATCGCGACATGTGTGCGCGCATCATCGACGACGCGTTCTGATCCGTGCTTGACGAGATACTCGAGCAACTGAAGCGCCTGCACCATATACGACACGGTCAGCATGAAGCTGAATGTGACGAGACAGTGGACGTGCCTTGTAGATCTGACGCCATTGATGTGCTTCTTTCTCGGTAAAGCGCGAGTATATCGTCGGCATAATCTCGTTGAACAGCGCGCTGGCGCACAAGCATCAGCAGGCAGCGAAGGTGACATATTGCTGACCCACTAGTCATTCGTCCTGCATGGCTCACTGTCAGCATGAGTCGGCAGAGACAAGCAGGCCGCTCACGCTTGGGCTATCTCTGTCATTGAGGTCGACGAGGCTCCCCAGGGATCGTCGTTGGTTGCCTCCCTCACTTTGGCTTCCATTTCTGTGTAGTTGAGGACGACATTCTATCGAGGTCAGGATGTACTCAGCAATCGCTAGGCTGAGTGCACAGATAGGCCGACCTTGGCCTGATTGTACATCGACTTGACGTCGTACATCCTGCAAAGCACGAGCACATCAGATCGCAAAATGAGCGCAGGAGATGGTGTGCCTGCGTTATCTGGGACGCCTGCTTGGCCAGCGACTCGATAAAGTCCATCTTGCCCGCTACGACGCTTGCCAATCGCCGCTCAAGCGCTGTATCGATGAGGCACGCCGCGCCCAACTTCGTCGCGTCGTTTTGCCAGAAGACCGAGCTTGCCTGTCAGCGCCACAGCGACATCCTCCTACAGCGATGGTCAAGCGGCTGGTCGTCTTCGACTTTGACTGGTCCCTCGTCGATCAAGACACGGACCGCTACGTCTTCGAGTGTCTCCAGCCCGAACTGCGCAAATCGATGAAAGTCGACAAAGCGCACGTTCAATGGACTGATCTCATGTCGGCCGTCTTTTCTCCTTGCATTCTCTGGATCTCAACGAGCGACACTGAATGCCAGGGCGCGCAACCTTGGCAAGCTGCACGAGCAAGGCTTCACTAGACAGCAAATTGAAGAATCTCTTCAGGAGCTCCCCTTTGCAAGTCTCTTGTGTCCAGCTTGTGCCACTGCTCAGACTGGCAAGGTGGCTCGCAGCATAGAGCCATGCGAAGAGGCGTACGGTCGCTCAAGGAACGTACCCAGACGACGTTGTTCTGTCTGAGCAACTCCAACTCCATCTTTATCGATACCATCCTCAAGGTCAGCCAGGCACGCCCTGCGCCATTTACGCCTTTGCTGATGTCAGGCATCCGATAGCATCATAGAATGACCGACATCTTCAGCGAGATCGTCACCAATCCGGCAGAATGGGACGACACAGGCTTACTCAAGCTACGACGGCGGATCAGCCCAGAGGAGCAACAGCACAATTGCAAAGTCGGCTGCAGCCCGAATATGTGCAAAGGTGAGCCTACAGACCATATGTCTTTGGCTGGCTGACGAGCGTGCAGGCACGGAATTGGCGGCCTACCTCGAGCGACATGGTGGATTCGATCAAGTCATCTATGTTGGAGACGGTGGCAACGACATGTGCCCAGTGCTGACCCTGCGCTCGTTCGTCTCCGATGGTGGGCGAGGATGTCCGGCTGATACAGACAGACAGACAAGACCTGGCACTCGTACGAACTGGCCGCGAGCTACAAAGGCGAATAGCCAGAGAGGGGGGCACCCGATGCGAGATCAAATACTGGGGAGGAGCGTGGGAAGTAGAGCAGATCTTCAACACAATGCAATGATGCGGCTTGCGCAGTCTAGTAGGCAACATAATTGACAGTAGGATGATAAGCATGTTCGTCCGCATTGATCGGTTCGGAGCTCTGCGCGTATCTGATCTTCTTCTGCGTCGGGGGCAGAGGCGGCTTCCAGCTCGATTGGGTGGGAGCGGCTTCTGTGAAGTAGAGCGAAGAGAGCGAAGGTGGCGGTTGTGGTAGCGTGGCGAGCGATTTGCCGTCTGCCGAGGCGATGTTGTCCACTTTTGCTGCACCCGGCTTGGGCAATCTGCTCGCGCATCAGCGGACACGAACTCATGAGCAAGGACGCAAGCTGACGCTAATCCCTCTGGCTGGGCGAGGAGCAGGTTGGACAGATGATCTTGGGTCACCATCTCGACTTTGGGGTACATCCGCCGAAAGTCACGTCTGTCAAGCAGTCAGTGCGGGGCCAGTTCAATGAGCATACGGCATACTTGTAGTATGGATTAAAGGCAGGATCGGTCGCTGTACCGTGACTGCGTGAGCTCTGAGACGATCAGTTTTTGGAGATAGGACGTACCCTTGCTGGCGGGCATGCGATAGCCCTCTTCTCGCGATCCAGGCGTTGGAAAGCGATTGCTCGTCGCCAGAGGTACGCCAGTACTCGACTCCCTTGTGACATGGCAGCAGTGAGCAAGCCTGGGCGAGCACAATGCGGCAAACTCACGGATTGACGACGAGCGCTTCCCTGAATTTGCGCCAAAAGGGTGACTTTTCAGTCGTCATGTACCTACTCACGAGTCAGCTCAGCTCTGTAGACGAACTCGGGGCCCGGCACGGACTTGAAAGGGTTGGCTGACATGGCCTTTTGCGCCATCTTGGCTCGCCTGACGCTGTTCGTTGACAAAACGCGCGAAAGCGAGGAGAGACTGGCCAGGCCCGGTCAGGCAAAAATGACAATCTACAGGCAAGCCAAGCGCAGACAGACAAGCTCAGAGCTGATGGAAGTGCGAACAGTCTCTTCATCTACGATCGCCATTGCGAGTGCGTCTACTTTCATGACTTTCGAGAGAAGCCAACAAGCTACCGACCGGGCGCATCGACTCTACCGGGTGTCTGTCCTGCCTTTGACGCACCACCTCTCCGAGCACAAGACGACTCGATCGTGCTCGACAGAGCCAGCGTAGCTTCAATTACCGCGCCCGTCTCGAGACGTGATTTGCCATTCGACGAAGAGGCCAAGCTGGTCTATGGCGTCGTCTTTTCGCTGCGCAACATGGTCAAGAAGCTCGCCGGGAGGTTCGCCATCATATTCCTACTCTTGCTTTCGCACACTCACTGTGCACCTCAGAGAGGAAGCATTCCTGTCCTACTCAACGTCGACGTACAAGCTACACTTCTTCGAGACCGTCACCGGCTACAAATTCCTCTTGCTCTCGGATCTCTCCGCACCCGGATCGCTGCGCCACGTCCTCAAACAGATCTACCAAGGCGCCTTCATTGAGTTTGTCGTGCGCAATCCTCTGATTCAGATGGACAGCCACCAAAGCGGCAGAGGCATCGACAATGTCGCCTTTCGACGCGCTGTCGGCCAGTTTATCGCTACCATCTCAACTTGAGCTGCCTTGCTGCTGGCACTTCTCAGACACTGTCAGATAATACAGAGTGTTTCGTCGGCGCAGCTTGACTTCGAACGAAGCCAAGCACCCTGTCGCCATTCAGGGACGATAATTCCTGATCTTCCTCGCTCGGCTGGCAAGAGATGTCTTTACTGCTAACGATACAAGGCGACGCGGACATGGAGACAGCCCGCTCAGCTAAGCGTGCCCACGACGTCGCTGCCCATGCGCACTCGGACAGTAGCGATGACGAGGAGCATGTCAGCGAGAGTGCCCTTATCCGTCGTCGTACCGGGCTCGATTCTGGCATTGATGTCGCTTTCGCCCAGCTTTCTGTCGATGCCGCTCCGTTCGCCGGGCCTGACACCGCTAGCCCTCAAGCCTTGACCAAATCTGCGCCCGCCCGTGATGTCAGCGCTCAGATCAAGCGAGACAAGCGCATAGAGATCAACTTGCTCAGGGGGCAAGCTCACGAACTGCGCAATGAAGCCGAACTCCTGCGACGAGCAGCGATGGGCATCATGCGTGCCGAAGTAAAGCCCATGATGGCACAGGTTGTCCACTTGCATCGCGAGTACAAATCGTTGCGCAAGTCAGCAGTAGCTCCCGACTTTGGCCGCCAAGAGATCAATCCCAAAGCGTCTCAGCTCGAGTACGAGGCCGGTAGATTAGAATCATACGCTGATCAGCGCGAATGGTATGCCGATCGAAAACAGCGCAAGGCCGACAGACTCGACGCCAAGGCGGCCATGCTCGAAGCGAAGCTCGACGTACTCATGCATGGCAGCTCCAACTTCGCACAGTTGGACCCTGCCATAGCCTCGTCCGCGCATGCTTCGACCTCGAGGTCAGTCTTGCGTCGGTCGGTCGAATCCATCTGATGCTTGCTGCTGCCGCCGACCTAGATCGAAGGCAGGCGTCTACATCGACAAGATGACCGTCGAGTCAGACGGCACGATACAACTTGACAAAGTCGTTGTGGACCGATGCGGCCACGGTCTCTGCATCAAGTGGGTCTTCCCCTTCATTCGCAATCACGCTGGCTGATCACTCAAGAGCGCAGCAACATCACGACGCAAGGCGACGGTCATCTTCATCTTGCTGAAGCCATCAAGGCCATCCCGCACTGGTGAAAGCTATAATTGCAAACACGACCGGGTCAGACAGTCACAGGATATTTGCCTTTGACCATGAGCTGCTCAGCCTGAAAACAAAGCGTGTGAATTGCGCCCGCGACGCGTCTTCGTCCTTTTCCGTCGATCGCGTCGTCTCGTGACTGATCACGGATGGACAAAGGGCCCAGTCCTGAGCACTGAGAGCGTGTCAGAAGTCGGACAGCGCAGTGCGGCCGTGCGAGAAGGAGGTAGGAGAAGACGCTCAGACTCGACATACACGGTTGCGAGGGAGTGCAGAAGCCAGACTTGTCTCGCCTGTTCGCCGCTGTCAACGGCCGACTCTGGGCGTTGCTCTGCCACGAACATCCCGCAAAAAACCTGAGCAGGCCTCAGTGATATCACATTCAGCAGAGCATCTGCTGCCGTCCTCTATATAAGCTTGATCAGGTCGTTTGCTGGGCTACACGACAACGAAAGCTCGTGCCTGAGCAACCACGAAAGGGCACCACCTCGTCCTCCCTATCGATCAATTGACAGTCAGTTGCGCCCCAGACGCTCTGTCTCTAAACGGCAGCTTCGTCGGCTGCGCCCGAGCTCGTCAATAGTGCAGTCAGGGGATCTCAGACGATGTCAAGCCAGTCTGCATCCTCCCGACCGACCCGGACGAGACCCGTCTCTTGCTCTTACAGCGGTACTGAGAAGGAAGAGAAGCTCACCAATGCTCGCAAAAAGGTTCGTACCTGCTAGCATGCACGTCGCGGAAGACGATGCTGAGATGCCTTTCATTAGCTACAAGCCTATCGCGCGCGAACGCGACAAGCCTCAAGCAATGCCTCGACGAGCTCAGTCCTGTCAGTCTCTGCACCACCCACGATCAGCCAGATTGGGGCAAGTAGCGCTCTGGGCAACGGTCGATCTATACACGAGCGCAGGCATAGCAAGACGCACTCTGTCTCTCGCAAACGGGCTAGCGTTGTCTTGCAGCTTGCTCCTGCGGCGACAAGACCGCTCTCTGGCAGCGTACAACAACGATCCCACGCTCATTCATCATCTACTTCTGGTCAGAACACGCCGCTGCCGACAGCTTCGTCTGGCGCGCCGAGCAGCAAGACCGCAACACCCGCGGACTGGCCACCCGCCTCGCCAGCAAAACGATCTTCTTGGGCCAGAAACCCCTCAGTCCCTGTCTCTCCGGTCAGGCCGAGCCATAGACATAAACAGAGTCAATCACGCGGCTCGATCTCGATGCTTGTCGCGAGTCATCTGAATAGCGCTCACTCGACGCCGACTTCCGCCCTACCTGGCTCAGACCGAAGGCGGTCTCTAGCCGCCGCAACACCCGCGCCCGAGCCTTTCGAGGCTTTTGCAGCGCATGCGCACGCGTACGAGCACCAATCACAGGGCTACAATCCGCGCATGAGCCTGCCACATGCGGCTTTGCTCTTTGCGAGTCCAGCACAAGGCTCGCTCGCTAGCTTTCCCATGTTTCAATCGGACTCGAACAGCAGTCAAGCGGCAGAAGCATTACAAGCCAAGATCACACCAGGCTCAAGCATAGCGATGATGCCGTCGCGTACTCAGCCGCCCATCTCGCCCGCGCTAGCGAGCAGCGCCTTTCGGCGGGGCTCAGAACCTGCAGCTACCGCCAGCGATGCCGCGAGCAATCGTCAGTCGGTGCGGCATTCAAAGCGACATTCGCGTAACATGTCCATATCTGTGCCCGGCTTGTCTGCGTTCACTTTCGGACCGCCCATCATCACGCCTCCGTCGCCAATGGTGCTCTCGAGCAGCTTCGGTAATAATGTGTCCGCGCTACAGTCAGCACCGATCAGTCTATCGGCTTCTTCTCCTGCCATCGTCAGCGCTGTAGATGAAGAGACTCCGGGTAAGCATAGTCGGAGACAGTCGAGGCATATGCGCAAGTCCAGCATGGCGACCAGACGCGAATCCATGGAAGTCATGTCGGGCATGCAACTTGATTGCGCGATGCCAGGCTCGCCCTCACCCGGGGGAACGCCCAACATGGGCGGGCTGCGGTCGCCTGGAAAGGATGACGAGCGCGAACAGTCGCCAGAAGAAGCCGCAATGGAGCGCTCAAGGTCGCTGATGGCCCTCGAAGGGCGACGTATGTCGGCCTCATCATCATCGCATTCCTCGCCAGCGTTCCTGCAGGCGCCGTCAGCGCCTAACGTCATGATGGGCTTTGACCAGATCCTCATGCCCGAATCTGCAGAGACTTTGCGATCGCCCAATCCTGCTTCACCCCATTTCTCGCCTGCTCTATTCAGTTCGACGGCTTTCTCGGCCAGTGGTAGTCCGCAGCACGCGCAATTCATGGGCTCGCCTAGCTTCGGCGGCTCCTTCCAAAGCAGTCCGCTCTATCAGTCTAGCAAGGCGAGCAAGCGCAGCAGCTGGAGCGCGGGGCAAGGACTTGGCGTAAGCAATGATGGTGGCACTCCTCTGAGTGCAAGTCTGCTTGCCGGCGGCCGCGGTGCGCTAGATTTAGGCATGCTCGTCGAAGAGAACGAAGAAGATGAGGACGATGCTACGACTTGGCAGGACACATCTGTCACATCCTCCTCCTCACTTTCGTCTACAGGTCAGACGGATGTATAAAGACCGCATGCAGAGCTGACATGGACTGCACAGGTTCAAAAACCGCAAAAGGACCTCGTCCTCGGCCAGCTTCGATAATGGTCCCTCCGAGTCAGATGTCTCGATCTGCGACTATGTCGCCCTCAGATAGCATGCCACCGAAGCCCCTCGCCTTGCCGGTCGGCGCGACGCTCTCGAAGTCTACGCCGGCAGGTCTGCGCACGCTCAGCTTAGGCACGGCCAGCTCAGCTGCTCCCGTCAGTGGCCCTTCAAGCGCTCCTGTATCGACAGCGCGCCGCACCAGCATTTCATCAAAGAGGAGCTCGCTTGGCTACAAGACGCAGATCAATGGATCGCTGCCACCCACTCCCAGCTCAGCAACGTCTGTCTCTCATCGGTCTCCTTTGTCGTTGGCGACAGGAGCTGTACCGCTGCGAGCAATATCTAATCCTGTCGCGCGCTCGCCCTCTACAACTGCCACCTCGCCGGGCGTCACAGATAGCAACTCAACGCCCAGATCTCCCACCTCTTATTTTAGTCAGCCGCCTTGGATGAGCGACAAGACTGCAACAGTCTCAACGCAGACTGAAGCTACCACCGTGCCAATGTTCAGCCCCAATGTGTCCATGCTCGCACATAGCCAGAGCCAGGTAACGATCCCGTAACTAGCTGTATGCAGAGCTAATGCAGCAGGCAGGCCGAAGATGATAATGCACAGATTGCTCGCCTCGAGGCAGAGGTCGAGCGCTTGACCGTAGAGCTTGCGGAAGCGCGGCAAGTCGACCTCACGGAAGCAACACCACTTCGCCAGCGAGTTGCGAAGCTTCAGACGGATCTCGATAACGTACATGCTGAGAAACGTGCCGAAGCATCGCAACACAAAGCCCAAGCCGACGCGTTGCGCGCCCAACTGATGGAAGCAAGCGAACAACTCGCGGATCTCGAGCTTCAACGAGGCGTTCTGCAAGACGATGTCGATGGCTGGCGGGGCCGTTGCGCTGATCTCGAGCGTTCGGTTGAACGCGAAAAAGACCGGATAGACGAAGAACGCAAGGAGAGTGCGACCGCACGCGAGAAAGTGCGCAAACTTGGCGATAGGTTAGCCGCCACCCAAGCCGAGGTCAATAGCCTGCGTCAAGCAATGGCACCTACGACCGACGAGCACAAAGCACGCAAGTCCAACGCAGAAGACATCGCTCTAGCGGCTGCCCAAGCGCGTCTCATTGGCGAGATGCGTGACCAGATCTTCTCAATGGCTGCGACGCTCGAGAAGGAGCGCTCGGAGACTGCCAAAGCGCGGAGTCAAGTCCAGCATCTGCAGCGCCAGCTTCTCGCACAACCTACAACTAATATGCTTGGAATGTCACTGCCTACAGGCGAGACGACGCCCGTGGTAAGCTCGGCGCCCCTCGATGACTATTCACGACGTCAGGCAAGCGATGCGTCGACGAATTCGTACGGACAAAGCTTCTCGTCCGGACAGATGTCAGAGGATCTGTCATTCTCCTCAGAGCCTTCCTCGCCGCCGTCTCATGCCACGTCTTTCGCATCAGGCCGGAAGCAGAGTGAACAGATGAGCATATCTGCCTCGCAGACCATTCGAAATCTGCAGACGCTGCCAGAAGAAGACGAAGAATTGGACGATCAGATCACGACGGTGATGCCGGGCTCGCAGAGCACACTTTTGCCCTCGTCAGCCAGTCAATCAGACCACGAGCTGCCTGTGCCTGAGCTCGACTCGGATGGTGATCGCGCTTGCTCGACTGCGTCGTCAGATGCTCATCCCAGGACGCCGTCGAAGGAGACACTGCCTCTACTACCAGTACAGCCCTCCCATGGCCGCAGCGATTCTTTCATTCGCGCATGGTCATTCCCGAAGGGCCCCGTGGCAGATGTCAAGCAACGCGATGACCGCGACGATGGCTTCTTCCAGCTCGGCAAAGCCCTTTTACCTGCTGTGCCGATTCCTGAGCATCTATTCGGCAATCTGCCGTTCGGCGAGCTTGACGATGAAGATGCAGTAAGTCATCGGACGTCGATGCACAGCTACAAGTCATCAGGCCCCCCCAGTCCAACGATGTCGAGGTGGCCAACGAATCGAACGAGCGTCTCTTCGGCTGGTTCGGTCTCGTCAGCTGCAGGAAAAGGACGCGTCTCTCTACAAAGCATCTCATCGCTTCTGGGGTCGTACGTGTCGTCAGCCGTTGTCGTTGCAGGACCGGGCGACGCGTCCGGTAACACGACAGTGCAAGACTTGCGCGAGCACGAGTCTCGTGTCTTCAGCGATCAATCGACCACTCGGATCGCTCAGAGCATGCTAGCTTCGACTGCCAACGCTAACCTCTATTCAGAAGCTCAGCTCATCCCAGCAAGGTTCGGCAGGCTTGAGCCCAAGCAACTGCGACCATCGCCCCTGTCGCGACTCGACTTTACGCTCGCATGCGGCGCACTCAGGAGTGAGCTTATCAATCTATAGATGTTGTATGGTGCCATGTTGCATGTTGCACGATGCCTGCCTGCTTACCTTGCGGTGGCGACTTTGTTCGTGTCGCGTGCCTTTCGTCACATCAGCGATTCCGCGCTGGGCGCCAGCGCTATAGGCACAATGTCGTACATACCGAGGCCAAGCACACCAGAACCGCCTGGCTCACCTCGCAAAAGGGTCAGCATGGGTCTGCCGCAGCCGGCGCCTGCAGGCGGGACTGCGGCCATTGAGTCGAAAGAGATGGCACTCTTTCGAGAGGCAATGAAGGCCAACAATCCGAGAATCCACGATACCATTGATCCTGCCACACCGGTCACGTCAGTCCGCACACGTACACACACGTCCAATTCAGTATCATCGTCGGTCAATGGCGCTCAGAACGGCACACCACTTCAGCGCGCGGGCATGGACAGATCCATACCGCCCCGACCGGGGTCATCGTTGCTACGGCCAAATTCTAGACTGTCTCAGGCGTCATCGAGCAGCGTGCGAGCTCATCGTGATGACACAGAAGCCAGCTCAAAGACAGCGCTGCCGCGACCAAAGACACCAACATCTGCAATGCGCAAGAGCGTAGGGCACGCGGTTTCAACGCCCACGAAGACACCTTTCCGAGGCTCGACATCCGTGCAACCAACTGATTCCGCGAATGTGCCTGCTTTGTCGATAGGCGACAGCGTTCGCGCGCTGGGATATGAGGGCATCCTCCGGTATATTGGCACTGTCGACTTCAAACCTGGACAATGGGCGGGACTGGAGCTTGCACCAGGTTTTACAGGCAAGGGCAAAAATGATGGCAGCGTACAAGGGTATGCACGCGCACGCAAGTCCAGAGTCAGCTGATCGGGCCGCAGAACGCGCTACTTTGAATGCTCACCACTATGCGGCATCTTTGTTCCTGCAGCAAAGGTCGTCGCTGCTATGGCGCCGCCGCCCGTCCCCGTATCGCCCATCCGTAAGACTGTCAAAGCTAAGCCACGTATGTCGGTTGCGCCCCAGCGGACGTACAGTCAAGCCAGGCAGGCAGAGGCAAAAATCACACAGGGCTCCAGAGCAAGTCAGCTGGTAGGCATATCCTCTGCTCAGCTGGCCAAACGGCGCGATGGCTCGACATCACCCACACCTGATGGACCAACGAGCAAGTCAGGCAAAAGCCTATCACGCTCAACTGCAGCCGCGCCTACTCCGCCCGCCTCGACGCGCAGATCGATTGGGCTCGGTGTACCTTCAACTTCTGGAACTGCTCAGGGGCGAGTACTATCGGCGAGCGTGACGAATCGAATTGTCAGCACGCCTGTACGCGCAAGACAGCTATCTGCAAAGCCGACACACACGCCGGAAGTGCCACCGCTTCCCACTGCGCTGGATGCGAGTCTGTCCCGGTCTGTATCTAGCGTTGCACCTTCTGTCAGCAGGACCTCTAGCGCACTAGTCGGTCGGCGGCAAAGCACCGATGTCCGTAATGCTGTCGATAGTCGCCGACTTTCGTCTGCAGATCCGCATGCACAGAATCTAGAGCAATCTCCCGTCCGATCAATGTCTCGACAGGCCTCCTTCAGCTCCATTGGCAACGCTCCGCGCTCGCCCAGCGTCAATCGACGCGCATCCTTTCAGCTGCACGCACGAGGAATTTCGGGCGACAGTGGGGGCTTTGAGACTGCTGGCATCCGCGAAGAGAGCAGCACGGCCGAAATCAAGCTCCAACTTGCTGCAATGGGCAAGATGCTGTCCGAGCAAGAAGCAAAGACAGATCTGGCGAACAAAGATCTTATGTCGGCTTTAGCAGACAAGCAGCGCCTCGAGAAATCGCTGGACAATGCAGGGTCGACAAAAACTGCGCTTGAGGCTCGCATCAACCTACTAGAAGCAAGCATACAGGATCTGACGTTGCACAAAGATCGCGCTCAGCAAGCGAGCGAAGGACATGCAGCAGAAGTCGAGAAGCTGCGTCAAATGAGTAGCATCCATGCCTCGACACTCTCGGAAATCGAAAGCCGACACGATCGCGATCTGCAAAGTATGGGCTCGACGCGACGAGACCTCGAGCAAGAAGTCGAACGGCTGAAAGTTGCCGGCGCAGAGCTCTGTGGACAATATGAAGCGAGAATAGCTGATATCAGAGCTAAGCAGCAAAGCACGGAATCAGAGCTACTGGATGCACAGCGCGAGCTGGACAGTTTTCGTAACGAGCAGGAGAAGGCTGTCACAAGCGCCGATCCCGGATCGAGCGTCTTTGCAATTGACAATGAGACGCTCAAAGCTGATAATGCTCACCTAAGGCGCAAGATCAATCACATGGAGGAGCAGCTTGAGCAAGCCAAGGAAGCCCTCGAGCAAGAGCTCGATGCCGTTCGGGGCCAAGCGGATGATCACGAGGGCAAGAAGCTGCAAATGCAGACAGAACTGACAACACTCACAGTTGCGCACGGTGAGCGGTCATGAGATTCTGTTGACCACCGCCAGTACTGATTGGACTGTAGAGCAATTGCGCGTCTCATCGGCAGATACCGCTAGGAGGCTGCAAGCCGCAGAGCATGCGGCAAGGGACAGCCAGACAAGATTGGAAGCCGAGCGCGACGAGCTCGAGACCCTCCGACACAGCTCGACAACCATCGCCACAGTCAATGACGAATTAAAGCGAATCAGTCAGATGCTCCTCGCAGCGCAGGTAGAGCGAGATTCGGCGCTCGAGAAAGCAGCAGAGGCGCAGGCACGACAAGATGAACTCATTGAGGAGCTAGCTTTAATGGAGGACATCAAGCAAGATAGTCGTGATCTCGCCGAGCTTGAGGCGACACTGGCAGCACGCGATGCGAAACTAGCCTCGCTGCGGACGCAAGGCTCCACGTTCAAGGTCAACGGGAACGGGCATACCAATAGCAGAGACGATGCGAATGTGCTGCTCGCGCAACTCAGGGTCGAAAACGAGGAGACTTTAGCCCAGAACAAAAATCTTGTTGCCGAGATGGAGAGCATGCGCGATGTTCAACAAGCGCTGGAGGCAACAGTCGAGAACTTAATGGCTGAGATGGACAGGAGCGGACCAGGAAACGCGTCCGGGTCGAATGAGCTGCAAGAGGAAGTGCGGCGACTCAACCAAGAGATAATCGATCTCGAATCGCTCGTCGAGGCCAAGATCTTCAAAGAGGAGGAGATGGATCAACAGCTCGGTCAGATGGAACGCTATGTCAACCTTGTCAACAAAGCGAGGCTGAATGGCTTCATCGACGAGGACGACCCCGGCCAGCCTGTTCTGGCTAGCGATGATCTGTTCTGTGACGACTGTGGAATTCACGGGCATTCTACCGCTGAGTGTCCTGCAGCCGATGAAATGGTACGGAGGCCATGTCACAAACGTGCAATGCTCACACATGACGCAGTACTAAGTCTAGCAATGTTGATTGTCACAACAACAAGAATGTACATCTACGTGTCGTCGAGGCCTGCATGCGATGTCTTCCAAGAGCCTGCGCTCTGATGAGATACGTAGGCCACTGGATCCCAGGGATCTCTAGAATTGCTATGATAGGCCCTCATTCCGTTGTTGAACGACGTCACAGGCAGCTGCAAGCACTGATCAGCCATGCGCGAAAGGTAGCAATGAGCAACCAACCACCAATACGTCGCCAAAGCGTCTGCCAAAGCCCTCGAGATCTCTGAGGTCTGACCAGACGACGCCCGACTTTGCAAGCAAGTCTGATAGCAGCTCGTCAGCCATAATCCGCACAAGCTGCCAAGAGCTTACAACGCATAATCGCATCTGTCCATGGGCCAGGACCAGTGAGCTCGCAGATGTCGCGCTCGCGTTCGCTGCTCGTTGCCCAGTGCAGCTGCTCTGATTGATCGATATTGTCAAGCACGCGGCGCATTGCATCGATGAGAATGGGATGTCCAGGCGCAGCGACGATAGTCCACTGAGAGAATTGGATGGGGCGATTGACCCATTCGGGCCAGTTTGTCCTGTTCATCACATCGATCTCGATGCCGAGGATCATGCTAGGCGGCTCGTCTGCGCGAGTATCGTTGTCACCGGGTCCGTACCAATCGTCGACCGGCTTCAGACAGACTGTGTCAGTGTCGGTGTAGATGCCACCTTCTTTGGCAATGACCATATAGCGAAAGATATCGGCGCGTAGCACTGGTACGGCAGCAGTCTTATTCCAGACACGGGCAACGAGGCCGTCCGTGCCAAACTCCTGGTAGACCCATGCGCTCAGTCGATCGTCGTCGAAGTAGTCGTAAGTCCAGCCAGGATTATGCGTGATCCATTGGTTGTGCTCGAACACCTGTATCGATTGATCTGTGTGCGGCGTAGGACCGGTCTGAAAAAGCTGGTGGGGGATCCTATCCTCTGGCTCATAGCGCGCATTGGTAGCAGCAGCATGCTCTGGCCTGGCCATCAGCCAGCCGAACAAACCGTCCAAGAAGTCACCCAGGGTGGATCGAGCGTTCGGCAGTGGGAAGTACTGCCGTGCGAGATCTGCAATGGAATCGTTCGTCCTTGGTGCAGTCTGCAGTGAGCCTGCAGCATTGGCTGCTCCGCTCGCTCGTGAGTCCAGTCTGACATTCGAGTTGTTGAACGTCGAGCTTGCAAAGTCGAGGATCTCTCGGGCATATGTCTGCAAGTCCACCGAGCCCAGATTGGCGTAGATGACATCTGCTGGCCAGCCAAGCTCGGGACAAGAGGGCGCGCTAGCGTTGGCCCAAGTGATCCATCGGGCTGTGGTGATATTGGCAAACGGCAATCGCTTGATAGCGCTCGACAGTGCCGCTTGCTCGTATGCAGCACTCGTTGCCGACTTGGCTGACGCAACGTTCAGGCTGCGTAGCGCTTGCGAGCTCGAGCGTGTGCCCGTCAGAGCCAAGAGCAAGACACCAGCGAGCAAGACGGCAAGGATCACATGTCGGATTCGTGACAATCTATCGAAGACAGCGTCCAGTGTCCCGACGAAATCCGATAGTCGGGCTTTGACATTATGAGGTCGCCACTTGACTTGTCGATCATTTGCCGAGCGTGACTGCCCGGCGAGCGGCTCATAACCGCCTCTCATGATCGTCGCATCCGCTGGTGATGAACACTTGCGTGCTGTTGCCGAGCAGCTGCGGCTATCGCATGATGCATGATCGGTAACGCGTCGGTGCCAGGACAACAGCACTGCGCGAAACCTTGTATCCCGCAAGTGATCATGACAAGACGAGGATTTTGTCAACAACAGGCACGTATATATACACATGCTAGATCAGCTTGCTCGTCACAAGTCTTCCTAGGTTCAGTTCCGCGTCGTCCTCGAGCGACGCTTTGACATCTGCTTCCGAGACTTTTGGACGGACGCGCAGCATGATATCGTGACGCGAAGTCTCTGCGAGCACAAGCTGAGCAGCCTGCAGCGACTCCAAGCACGCGAACAGTTCGCCTTTGGTGGGCTGAGTCAGGTCGCCGAAGTCGCGACAGTACTTTGTCTGCCAGCGTAGGAGCGTATCGAGCGGCACGTCTGCTGCTTTGCTGTCTTCCAGTATCGCCTTTCTCATGCACAAGGCAAGTCCGACGAGCATCAGCTTCTGATGGTAGCACGCATTCTTGATGAATGTCGCCGGACCGCCGTTGTTGACTTCATTGATTGTCGCAAGGATGTCTGAAGGGTCAATAAGCCTCTCCTTCTCGCCTTTTGCAAGCCGAATGAGATTGGCCTGCTCGACCCGCTCGACCGTTCTTCTGCAGATATCGAGACTGCGCCGAGCATCCCCCGACACGGTCGAGACACGTTTGGAGACGAAGCTGACTGCAGCCTTTTGAAAGACCGCAAGGTTCTCCAGTCGGGATTGGATGATCTTCTCGAGCTGAGCAGACGTGTAAGGCCGATACGTGATGCGATTCCCGCCAAGCCGGCTCAGTATTTTGCCTTGCAGAGCGCGTTCAGGCAGATCCATCGTGTTTGCTATCGCGACGACGATGAGACCCGAGTGAGGCTGATGAGGCCAATTGAAGAGGTTGTAAACGACTTGGTTCTTTTTTGTCAAGAGCTGATCTAATTCGTCGATCAGCACAACACTGATTCGCGCTCTCAGCTCGGTACCACGATCCATCAGAGCTACGTACCATGTTTTGCGACCCGGCTTGGGATGCTTGAAGTACTGATCGAGAGAAGCGAGCGCTTGCTTTGGCGACGCCTTCTGCCCGCCAGATACAAAGTGCCACAGCTTGACAAATGTTTGCTCCGGATTACTGAGTTTCATGCCGTTGATCTCGAGATATCGGAATGCACGTCCATCCTGTGGTGCGTACCCATTAGCCTGATGGACTCGAGGTCTCCTGTGAACACGCACGCTGGTCTCTGCTTGCGATTGCAATTCCTTGATCACGCTCTGGACAGTAGCCGTCTTGCCCGTTCCTGGCACACCAGCGATATCTGCACTACGAATCAGCGGAAGCTCGCGGCCGTGAGGGTGGACCGCAAACATACACAGGCAAGTGCCGTTGCCTTGCTCGATCGCATACTCTAGATGAGCCTCGATCTCGTCGAATTCGGCCTCACGTCCTGGCAAGTAATCCGGCGTGGCGCCAACGTGTAGAGCCTGCCGTGCTTGCTCGAACAGACTGAGATTGGCTTGGGCAGTCTGGGGCATGGCAGGCAGCTGGGCACCGATCGCACGTGCAGCCTGCCTCTTTTGTCGAAGTTGCTTTGCGCGTGCCATGATGGCCGCTTTATGCTTTGCTGCCCTCTGATCCGCTCTTGCGTTTGCTCGTTTCTGTGCGGGCGTCTCGAGCTCGTCATCAGATGCTTCGTCTGCCTCATCAGCGGAAGCATCGCTTTCCGACTCATTGTCCGTGGTGACGTGATCCTGCCCTCCATGTCAGCGTCAGTAGGATGATGGGAGCTATCAGAGACTGACCGAGAACGCATCTGCATCGTCGTCCTCGTCGCTGCTAGATTCCTCCTGGCCATCGAACGCGAGCAGCTCGTCCTCGACGGTGGGCGCGACAAGTCTCTTCGACACTGTCTTGGCAATCTTGCTCTGTTTGTGCTTTGAAGTCTTGCTGCCGTTGTCCTTCCTGACGTCGACAAAGTTGATATGCCAAGTCTTATTTTGACGCTGATACATAGTGATCTCGTCCCAAGACCATTTGTCGAACCACCGCGTCATGTTATGCGTCAACGTCGGTGTGAAGAGACGACCAACCCAAAAGACAGGCGTGGTATCGTCTCGCTCGTCTTCGTCCATCATGCGTTGACGCCTTGTCTGTGTCACCGAAGAATGGCTCTTGAGGTACTCTTCGTGCGAGACGACTTTGACGTGTCCCATGATGTGAGAGACGTGTACCTTGTCCTCAGCTTGCGGAAGCATTGAGGCAGCATGTTTGGAGAGGCGCTCATATTCTGCAGACTGAAGAGCAGCTAGCTTGCGCGACCTGCCAAGCGTTGCCAACTTGGCGTGTACTTCCTGGTACTTGGCATCCCATACGTAATAGAGCTCGCCCTTTGCTGTCGTAAAGGGCGTGTTGTGGATCGCTTCTGCTCGACAGAACTCCTGGAAAGCTTCGCGGCCGCCCCAGTTGGCCCAGACATGCTTAGGACGGGCGAGCCAATGTGCGGTGATGCACATCTCGTCTTGCTCGTCCTTGTAGAGATCTGCTATCACAGCAATCTTGACGTCATCCTCCAGTCCATCGTCGAAATCTGCCTGGGTCGCCTTCCAGCTCTTTTCGGATTCTCGAAGCAATCTGCGCTCCTCGCTCGTCTGCTCGACTTGCATTTCACGTTGACGAGCAGCATTGCTGCGCACGCCCGGAACGAGCCAGTCCGTGCTTGTGACGATGTCTACGTCGCCATCGATCATGACTACATCGCCGACGCGTAGGGTGATTGCGTGTAGCATGCCGTCTGAGCTCGGGCAGCGCGAAGCAGCTCGCACAGTATGAGTTGCGCTAGCTGACGGACTGGCCAGACTGACGGGCGTTGGTGGCCATGCGGTCTTCTTGAGAGGCGAGCTCTTTGTAGGCGACATCGAAAGACGGTGACTCTTGCTCGGCGAGGTAGGGGGCGATCTGTCGAGCGTGAAGGAGTCGACACGCGCCAGATTCGACAGACCTGAGTATCTGGTCACTCTGCGGGTCGATGGCGTCTCTGGCGATTCCTCATCTGAGGAACACTCTGCCTTTTCTGGCCCTGAGCTCTCTCCGGCTCGTTCAGGGGATATGCGCTGCTTCTTGCGCGGCGAAGGTGTGTTGCTTCCCGCGCGCGAGACAGTCTTCCTGTCGCTTGCCATACTCGCTGCAAAGGGACGTGCGACACCAGAGAACAGAGACAGAGTGAGTCGACGGCTCGCTGACCTTCAACTCGCGCGACGTGACGAGAACGCGCGTGCGTCAATCAACGTGACGATGACGTGTCAGCGCATATCAGCGTACCCCCGAAATGCTCGATGAGGAGGAAGCGCCGACGGTGATCAAGCGCCGTGCGAGACCTTCTGGCGGTGCGAGAGCTGGAGGGCTGACAAGCTCGACTTCCTCCTCGAGTTTGAGACAACCCGAGACGCCCATTAGGAAGCCAGACGACTTTCGAGCATCGACGCCCTCAAGCCTCCACGGCCACGAGGATGAGGATGATGCGACGGTGTCTGTTGTGGTCAGGAGAGACAAGCAAAAGACGCCCGCCGGTCGCACGTTCTTGCGTGGCTCAGCCCAGTCTGCCACCGCCGCAGAGCGTCGAGCTGCCAATTCTGCTCTTGCCAATGAATTCAAGCCGTCTGCGATAGCACTCGACGATGACATCACAGACGAAGGTCTCAGCAATCAGGCAAGCCAGGTGGTGATTGATAGGGAGCTCGGGACACCTTCAAGGAAGCTCACCAGAGGATTGAGTCCGGTCAATCTCGAGCGAAGTAATGCACCCTCTCCGATGGCGTACTCAGCAGAGCATCTTGCAGAGCTGCGACAGGCGACCGCCATCGCACCCGCAGATTCGCCTCGGTCGGCCCCAGCCTATGACGAGCTCACTCTTTCCAAATTTGCCTCTACCTCTGCACTGTCGAGACAATATGACACAGGCGCGTCATCCCCCTGCTTGGATATGCAAACATGCTCATTTGGATCTATCGCAGAGGAGCCCGAGACCGCATACGAAGCCGTCGAGCTGCCCTCATCAGCGGCGATAGCGGAGGCCAAGTCTAAGCGCGACTACATGCGCAAAATGGGCATCATTCAACCGCAGAACAGCAGCGCCGCTCAAGACTTTATCTCGCTCGACATTGTCAATGCGCCCGCCAAGGGCGGCGATTCTCGCTTCGTCAGGGAGGAAGACGAAGTAGGCGACGGGGATGATGATATGGCCGACTTCACCGGCGCCCGAGAGACCATGCCGCTCGTCAAGAACCCCTTGGCTAAGATGGCCAGCGATCGTAGAGACGATATTATACGGATGATAGATGATGCCGACGACGATGCTGCAATGCCGATGGACGAAGAAGACGAAGAAGTCAGGGAATGGGAGGACGCCCAGATCAAGCGAGGCGACCAGAGCAGGCGCACGCAAAATGGAGCAACACAGATCAAGCGTGTGCATCGATCTAGCAAGAGTGAGTTCATTAGCTTCCTACCTGCCCATCACGCGAGCTAATCCATTTATGACAGTTCCACAGCTGACGAGTCTGCCAAGCATAGGCTTCGTACGCGCCCGCCTACGCTCGAGCTTGACCTTTGCACAATCGACACACTCCTCTCAGGCCGATACACTCCAAAAATGCGAGAAAGAGGTCGAGAAGCTTGACCAGCACGAGCTCGAGCTACGAGCAGACATCGATGCCACGAATGCGCGCTTCGAGTGGTTCCAAGAGTTCCGTGCCTGGATCGAAGACGTCGCTGCTTTCCTTGAAACAAAAGTATGACCTCTTTCCCTTTCGTTTTCATGCATCTGATTGCTCTCACGGACGCATAGTATCCTGCATTGGAGAAGATCGAGGCCGACAATCTCGCCATACAGAAGGAGCGGCTAGATTTAGTGCAAAGACGGCGCTACGAAGACGATTCTGATGATCTCGCGCTCTTCACTGGCGTGGCTACCCCGTCTATCTACAGGCTGCCAACTCTGATCGAGGCAGAGTCAGATGACATCGTTGACGACCTACAGCGTATCCCACCGCAAGACGCGCTGCGGGAAGCGCGTAGGTTGGCTCGGCGACATCGACACGCTCAGAGACGGCAATCTGCCTCATTACCAGTGCAGGACCGCGAGGAACCCGAGGGTGACTCGACGGACGACGAGCTCGAGCCGTCAGACACACTCGATCTCGAAGATGCAGTCAGAGATCTGTATAGACAACACCAGCTGCTCTTCCAGGACGTGGCTGCCGAGGACTTTGTCGATCCTGATCTCGGACTCAGAGCTCGGTTCGGCCAATGGCGCGAGAAGCATCACGAAGAGTATGCAAATGCTTTCGGCGGTCTCGCCATGGTCAGTGCTTGGGAATACTGGGCGAGGGCAGAGATGGGTCTTTGGAACCCATTCGATGTATGTAGGCTGACCACACACGCAATCTCGGGCTGATCAACGTGACGCAGATTGCCCAATTTCCCAGGACGACGGCCAGTCTTGAAGAATATAGGTGGCATGCGAGCTTAGGCCAATACGCTCACCGCCGCGAGTCATCTGCAATGTCGGAAGAAGAGCATGCCGCCAACGGCAAGACCGAAGACGACAATGTGCTTGCAGCGCTCGTCGCATCTGCCGTCATGCCACGGCTGGAAGCATTTGCCAAAGACGCGCTTGATCCCTACTCATCTCGAGCTACACGTCTAGCCCTGCATTGGATTGAGGAAGTTGGCTATGTCATCCAGCCCGACTCTACTCGTTTTGAGGTCAGTATCGATTCATATATTTATTGGCCTAGCTTACGCGACCATACAGACTCTTTTGCAGGCATTCTTGCTGCCAACGCGCCAAGCTGTCACTCGCTTACAGTCACTTGTGGCGCCGCTACTGGATCAGATAAATCTGCCTTCTTCCAAAATTGATGCTTCAGCAATCCACGCTCGTTCGCGTATGCTCCGAAGATCGTTCAAATTGCTCGTGCAAGCTATGCGGTGGCGACGCTACGCCGTCAAACTTCGTCTGGCATCATCAACTGCCGTCGTCGGCACCGCAGGCACATGGGACGACTTGCTGGTCACAGAGATGGTCACGAAAGTTCTGCTACCACTGATCGAGGCGAGCTGGGACACCGGCGGTCACGAGCAAGCGCGCAAGATTCTCGACCTGCTGCCTGCCGAGGTGGTACCCTCGGCTTTGGCTCGGCGGCTAGGCAGGAATTTTGCACGTAAATGAGATGCATCTCAGCTATGTTGTTGTGCTACAACGCTCTATTGGTGTCTTCCCGGCGTGTCATCTTCGTTTGCTGGCGTCATCTTTCGTAACCTAGAAGTCAGGAATGGTCGGTAGACGGTAGTCTTCAGAGCCGAACGCGCCCAAAGTATTCGAAGGGTACCCAAATTCGAAAGAGGCGGCTCGCATATGCAGCGCATGCGAACTGGTACGAGCGTGGAAATCGCCCGAAGGTACGCGCGAGCGAAGGAAGTCCTGTGATGGCGTGCGCGCATGTGTCAGACCCTCAAAAGCGCTGAAGCCAGCTCTGATTGGGCTGAAACCTGGTCGCACAGGACTGAAGCCTGGGCGAATCGGACTGACAGACCACTGAGAGGCGAATGTCTGCTGCACGGGTGAGCGAACAGCTCCTGCGCCAGATTGCATGAAGGTCTGAAACGCAAGCGTCGTCGGCGTAGGATCAAGATTGATGCCCGAAGTCTGATCGCAAGGTCGGACGCTTTGCTGAACCAATTGCAGGGGTGCGGGCGCATACGATTGGTACGCATGATTCATGAAAGCCGGCGGCGCAGGCAAAGGCGGAAGGGTAATAAATTGCGTCGTTTGGCCATGATCTGACATATTACTACCCATACTGCGATGACTACGCGCCGTGCTTGGCGATTCCGAGCCGACTAATGTAGGTAGCTGGCGCCTCTGGGGCGTGTTGATTCTCTCAGCTTCCGAAAGGTCGCCATCGTTGCTTGAGAAGCTACTTTCGGGGGAAGGAGCAGACTCCGACTTGAACGATTGATAGCTCCCTTCGCTATCCGAATCTGGCTCAGATTCAGACATCGCGTCATCGAATTCGTCGGACGAAGGAGTCTCTGATTTGGCGCGGCGACGTCGCACAATGCGACTCGGGCGACGGCGAGACGTGGAAGGGACGGACATAGATGTGGCCTCCGCAAGGTCTTCATCTGAATGCGTGCGCTTGATATGCTTTGTTAGCGTCACCTTGCGACAGACTGCTGAGGAATGAGTTCGTCCTTATCGTCACATCAGCCTATCGACGTACATGTCTTGCCGCAGCCTTCGACTCTACATCTGTAAGGTCGTTGACCAGTGTGAACACGTCTGTTGCACATTAGCTTGCTTCGAGCCGAGAGATATCCTGAGAAGCTTACCTGTGCCTCGCGAGGGACGAGCTGTCGCCAAATGCCTTGGTACATCCACGCCATTCGCACACATGAGGTCTCTCACCCGAGCTGCGGCACCGTCAGTACTGCGCGTGATCCGCGTGAGCCGCTTACTGGACGCGCAGATGGACTTTCAGTGCAGATTGCTGGATAAATGCTTTCGGACAGCCCTTGATGGTGCACTTGAACGGTCTGATATTGCGGTGAATCCTGTAGACGTGACTTATTGGTTTTGCGGAAAATCGAAGCCCGTTGTTCGCACCTTTCATGACGAATGAGATCCTGTTGTAGATCGTGGTAGTAAGCAAAACGTTGCGACACAGACAAAGAGCAACGTACACTCTTGCGCGAGAATGCGCGATCGCAATTCTGTGTCATTGAGAGTTGATGAGCTTGTGACTTTTGCCTCCCGCAGGACGCGTCGCTTACATCCCAATCGCACGCGTGCGGCCGTTTTGATCGATCAGACATATCCTGCACCTGAATGCTAAGCCTGGTACGACCCAGAAGAGCGAGCGCCTACCTCGTGAACGAGCTCGAGCACGTCCATCGACAACTGAGCGAGAGCGGCGGAGGAAGATGCGAGAGGGGAGAGGAGGGACGAGCTTATAAGATGGCAAAGCACAAAGAGAGAGACCGAGCGTTCGATCTAGACCAGAATGGCGACGAGACGGTGAGCGGATGGCTAGCGTCGCGCATAGAGTGTCCGAGCTTCATCAGGCCCTTTCGACTAAGACGCCACCGCGCGGAATCACGAAGACTTCGAGACCTCATCGATGACGATCACTTTTGTCCAAGCGCTCGCAGTAAGACTGCAAATTCTGCAGATGACCCTGACATTGTGGCCGGCTCCGAGCGTTTGACATCGATCAAGATGGGTGAAAGGCAGCCCGTGCGCTTCTTTTCTGGTGACCAATGCGTCAAAGTTTGCGCAAGCATAGGGCGCGAACTGAGACACAGTCGAGCGGCGTTTGCCGTGCAGATGTGAGTGAGGCATTCAGCGATTGCAGCGTCTCCGAATTGCGAGGCTCTATCTGTGTGAGGTGGGGTCTCGCTTGATGGGAGATTGGCTACGCTCATTGCCTAGAGATACTTCTTCGCGAGGCTCTGAAGCTTACCATCGAGCAGATGATGCTTGACAGGAGAGTCGAGCTCGTGAAAAGGATTCAGTAAGATCTAACAAGCCTTTAGCAGCGTTTGGGGCGGCACTTCATGAAGCTCACTTTTGTGTAGAGCTCCCATGTCTCGTGTAGGAAGAGTCTGATGCCGTCGTCATTGCGTATGTCATGAAGCAACATGATCCGTAGTCCTGGGGGCCTTAGCTTCAGTCTCGCATTGATTGAGGACCATGCGCTGCTGTACCTCCCGGCGACAGCCAGCCTGAGACGGTCCATTCGTAGAAGCGGTCGAAACTTTTGAAGTACCTGCACACGCTCATGAGTCAATCGAAGCTGAGAGTGAGCGGGCTGCCGACATATTGCCATTGGACATCTGGACATCCTCCAGAGCGTCGAGCGCGCTGTAAGCCGTAATTTGCATGACATGTCGTGCCATCCTATTGCCAAACCCGACTGCATTGGGCTGTGGGCCTAGCTGATATGTCGATGTCTTGTCATCCGTGTCTATGCTCGTCGAGCGACGAGTGTCTTGCTCGAAAGCAGCAAAGAGCGAGGCAGCAGATTGACTGGGTGGAGGCACAGTCGCTGGCGGTGCTTTGCTTGACTGCAGCGTGATCTCGTACAGCGGATTGTCTCTCGTGCCCACGAGGGCGAGGTAGTAGCTCATTCGTCCTGTCGATGGGACGTGAAGGTACACTTGACTTTCGGCGCTGCTTGAACGCGATCTGGAGTTTTGTTGGTATTGACAACTTTGCCGACGCCAATTGGCCTTGTTCAAGTCGACGGGAGCGACCACTTGCATAACGCTGGACCATTCACATACGAAAATCATTTTTCGTTTGTGCATAGCTCAACAAAGACAAATCGATTCGTTACAACAAAGGATTACACTCAATAAGCGGATGAGTAGCGAGGAGCCGGACCGCGAACGCTTGCCCGAGGAACCATGGATCGTCTCGGAGCCGGCAGCGAGGGCCGCGCGGCATTGTTTGACTCGTCATGCAGTGCTGCGCGAGGCGCCTGCATGCTTGATTCTTGCAATTTGTTCATCGTCTTTATCGCTGTCGGGTCGTCGCGCCGCGTAGTCAGAGCATGCTGAGCCTCTGCCAACTGGTTTGTCAACTCGAGATTATGAAGTTTGACTTCTCTGAGCTCTTGTCGGATGCGTTCGACATGTTTGATCTTCTGTTGGTTGTTGCCATGACTGAGCAATGCGTTATTGAGTTCGGCGAGCTGCTGTGACTCGCCTTCTGCGAGTGCTTTCCTACGAGCGAGATCGCCGACGAGAGCGTGTAGCTCTTGATAGTCGTGCTCGTAACGCTGCAGATCTGCGATGATCGTCTCGGCCCTGCGGCAACAGCATCAGCAAGCCGCATGCCCAACCCTGCAGACCGCGCACCTCTCTAGCTCCTCGCGTGCGGCAGTCTCATTAGCTCGACTGGTATGGAGCAGGGTAGTCATCTTGCGACGTGCATCGGCGTCTTTAGCCGCTTCTGTTTCCGCCTGTTGCTTCTCGACGTGCATGCTCTCAATCTCGGCTTGATACGTCTCGAGATCGATGGATCGTTCGCTCTTCTCCGTCCTTACAGCTGCTTCGCTCGCCTCGAGCTTCGCCTGCACTTGGACGAGCGTGTTCTGAGCCGATGCGAGCGAGGTGGCGAGGTCAATGTTCTGATTCTCCACTCGAGATAGCTCTTCACGCAGTTCGGCAAGCTCGCGAGCATCCTGGCTGGCTTGCGCAGATACTCTGAGGAGCTCTCGGTTTGCGACGGCAAGCCTGGCCTCATCTGCGGCCTCTGTCTGTGCGGCTGCGTTTCTGTCTGACGACAGTATGTGTGCAAAGTGGTCTCGTTCTTGTTGCAGGTCGGCGATCCGGGTCTGCCATTCGGCTTCTTGATATTGTACGCTCAGACATTCGCTTCGTCGCGCGTCGACGAGCTCTGCGATGACGTTCGCATGCCAGCTAGACATTCGTTCCAGTTCGTCTTCGAGGCGGTCGAGGTCTTCTTGTCCGGTCGCGAGTAAGGCGTCCAATAGCTCAACTTGGGTTTCTCTGACCGACAGCTTACGATGCAGTCGCGCATTTTCCTCCGTGGATGCGATTGCTTGTGCCGTCGCTCCATCTGCCGCTATCCGTGCTTTCTCACGAAGGCTGTCAATCTGCTCTGCGGCGGCATGCGTGATCGTGTGAACGAATCGCGTGAGAGTCTCCTTGTCGGCCTGCGATTCGGCAACAATCCGTTCGAGCTCGGCCCTTTCACATTGCCAGCTTTGATTATTAGATGCGATTTGCTCCGCGTGATTCTTGATCTGCTCTGCGTCGGTCTGGCTCTGTTGTTGGAGTGCAAGGATCCGCGCCTTTGACGTGCTGAGTTGGGTCGTCAGTTGTGCTGCTTCGGCCTGTCGCTTCTCCTTGGATGTCTGATGGATGTCGACGAGCTGGCTGAGTTTCGCTTCGAGTGCGGGTACTGATTCTGCCTGGTGTTTGTAGGACGCTAAAGAGATCTCGAGCTGATCTTGCTTCTGCTGTACTTTGGCTGCGCGCACCTGCGTGAGACGGTCTGGCTGAGAGACCTCCAATGATGGCATACCTGCTTCGATCGCATGCTCCTCCAGCAGGTCTCGCAAGAGCTTGTTCTCGCTCGCCAGGGAATCTGCGTACGCTTGTGCCGCCTCGAGTTGTTTCTCGACCGTCGCACGCGAGCTAGAGGCCACGCCAGTGGCCATCGCCTGCTGCTGTTCACCTATCGCAGATCAGCCGAGCAGTATGCGTGCAGTATGTACCCACCTTGGCCTACTGTGTCTGACCTGAGCAGCCGTTGAACGAATTTCGCGACGGAGGGGTCAACATCACGTGACTGCCTAACGGGCTGGTTTTATATCAGTCAAGATTCCCAAGCATGACTCGATGAAAAAGGCTGCCGCCGCTTGTCGACTTGCACCGACGAAAGAGCAAGCATCATCATGGCGCAGACAAAGTTCCCAGCTGCTCTGCAGCTGACAGAGGCCGATACGCAGCTCATGCTTGCAGGTCAGTGCCCATCTGGACAGAATTGACAAGGTGGGCTGACGCTGCCGAAAAATGACAGCATCGACGCACATTGGTGCTCGCAATTGCGACACACAGATGAAGCCATATGTCTGGAAGCGTCGCTCAGATGGTCCGCAACATGCTACATACATCTTGTGCCAGCACTCATCCGCTTGCAGGCATCCATATCATCAATATCGGCATCACCTGGCAAAAGCTCGTCCTCGCTGCAAGGGTGAGAACAAGGCGCAGTCTACCGACTCGAGCGAGCTGAGCATGGGGAGAACAGATCATCGCAGCAGTTGAGAATCCGCAGGATGTGGTCGTGATCTCCTCAAGACCGTACGGACACCGAGCGGTATTGAAATACGGCGCCGCGACAGGTGCCCAAGCTATCGCTGGCCGCTTCACACCCGGCAATTTCACCAATTACATCACCCGGTCGTTCAAGGAGCCCCGTCTGATCGTTGTCAACGATTCGCGAACTGACGGCCAAGCCGTGCGAGAGTCATCTTACTCCAACATCCCCGTCATCGCGCTCTGCGACACCGACGCCTCGCTCAAGTTTGTAGACGTAGCCATCCCAGGCAACAACAAGAGCAAGCACTCTATCGGTCTGCTCTGGTGGCTTCTCGCCCGAGAAGTCCTGCGCATCCGTGGCACTATCCCCCGCCAGGAACAATGGGCGACAGTCAGTCTCTTGGTCATTTCGAGCAGGACTTGGCTCATCAAACCTGTTGACAGATGCCCGACATGTTCTTCTTCCGTGATCCCGAAGACGTCGAGCGTGAAGCTCAGCAAGAAGCAGGCAACAAGGTCGACGAGGAGGGTGCAGCTGCACCAGCAGCAATCGAGCCTGACTGGCAAGTATCCGGCAACGCCGGTCTTGCTGCCGCCGCCACCTCTGGTATCGGCGGTAACGTCGACTCTGGCCTCGACTGGGCCGCAGATGCCAGTCAGTCTTTCTTGAGCGTATTGCAAACATGCGCTGATCTGGATCCACAGCTACTACTGACTGGGCTGCACCAGAAGCTCAACAAGGCGCCGGATTCGAGCGTGTCGCACCCGGCGCGCCCTCTCAAAACGTTGCTCAGTGGTAGATACTCTGGCGAATGAGGGCGAGAGCATCATGTGTTGTGTAGTGCGCTGCGAGCGATCCTGAATTGCAATTCGCAGATTGCACCATTGATGCGCGCTTCGACTATGATGCATTACAACAATCCCACGTAAATGTCCGTCTTACATTGTCTAGATGGTAGTGATGAGATTAGCTGTCTCCGCCGCCGATGCCATTTGACGGCGTCTTGACGAAGATGTCTTTTATTGAGTCGGCCAGGGCAGAAGGAGTCGGATCTGGCTCGTCAGGTAGCGAGGGAGTGGGCGATTCGAGGGCGTCTGTAGCATTAGCCTTGGGTGTGCTCTCGGCGCTTGACGAGGCGATGTTGAGAGGACTGACGCGGTCGCACTGCTTGATACACTCGAGCAAGTGTTGCCATAGCTTGACGGTCTGCACACTCTCTCCTACCCACACGTTCTTGCCGGCTGGACCCCAAGATTGAGCAGACTCTGGCTCGGCCATTGCAGCGAGACTCGCTGACTTGGCGCCATAGACGTCTACGACGGTCTGACCGAGCGTGAGGGGGCTAGAGCGCTCCACGTCGACTCTGTAGCGCTTGCCGGTGAAGAGCTCGGGAAGGGCAACGTACATGACGGTGAGGACGTCATGCATGGGCGGGCCGTGGCTGAAGCCAAAAGCGTCTCTGTAGGTCTCTGCAAAGAAGGTGACGAGCGAGGATATCATGGTTCGTAGCGGTGAGACTGCAGGCGTTGTCAGTGCAGCGACAGTGTCTTTAGCGTCTGGATTTCTGATGAGAGCGTGTGTAGGACCGTCTAAGATTGCTTGGTGGGTACACTGGAGGGGGATCATACGAACGATGACTTCCGCATCGAGCACAATCTGAGCTGCATCCGGATCGCAGACGATATTGTATTCTGACATGGAGCGGATGAGCGTGGGTGAGCGAGGGCTGATTGAGTGGCAGAGACGTACCTGCTACTGGGGTCTTGTTGCCGACGCCGACTGCGCCTCCCATGATGACGATCTCTGCCAGAGCATCGCGAACGAGCAGAGGATAGAGGGAGACAAAGAGGGCTACGTTGGTGAGGGGACCGGCAGCGACGAGGGTGAGCTTCTTGCCGCGCTTTTGGGCGACTTCACATGCGAGCGCGATGGCCGTACTCGGATGTAAGCCTCCCGAACGATTGACACGACCAAGTACTGCGGCATCCGATAGCGTCCGTAGTCCCTCTACCCCGCCCAGGCCATCTGAGCCGTGAATGTCTGCTGCGTCGACACGCGGCCGCAAGAGGGGTCTGGAGCAACCTGCGTAGACTGCAATCTCTGGCGGTGCACCGAATGCTTCGAGACATCGGGCAGCATTGAGGGTCGTATTGGGCAGGGAGGCATTGCCATGTACTGCCGAGACTCCCAAGACTGCGATCTGAGGCAAATGCACGGCGGCGAGGATGGCCAAAGCGTCGTCGTGACCGGGATCAACGTCGAGCCAGATGTACTGCGCTCGACTGTCCTGACATTGGGCAGCGGCGGCAATGTAGCTCAACGCATGGGGCGGCAATGACATCTTCCCGCCAGACAGGAACGTCGCCAAAGCGCGGTCAATCAGCAGACAGAATGAAGACAGACCACCTGCGGGAGATGTCACCGACCTCGCGGGGACTGCGTCACCATGGCCAAACCAAGATCCGGATTTGCCACTTCATCAGACACACATTCCTCTTGCACACTTCTACTTGGCTGCAGACATACCACACACAAGATCATGACTCGCATCTTTCTCGTCACAGGCACAAGCTCAGGCAAGCAACCCTGCCGTTGGTCAAAGTGAAGCGCTGAGAAGTGGGACACGGCACAGGGTTCGGAGCCGAGCTTGTCAAGTACGTGCTCGAGCAGGGCGATTATGCGGTTGCCACGTCTCGGGACAGCTCGAAGCTGGAGAAGCCAGCCAAGGCGACAGATGACAACTACCTCGCTGTGGACATGGATGTCACGTCGCCAGACAGCATCAAGGCTGCGTTCGACAAGGGCCTCAAGAAGTTCGGTTCAATCACTCACGTCATCAACAATGCCGGCTTCGGTCTCTCTGGCGAATTTGAAAGCTTGCCGGACAAGCTCATCCGTCAGCAATGCGAAAGTAGGTGCATATTGCGATATAGACTGCTCCAGCTGACTGTCCTTTCACAGTCAACTTCTTTGGCGTGCTCAATGTCACGAGGGAAGCGCTCGAGGTCATGCGCGAGAAGAACAAGCAAAAGGGCGGCTTCATCCAGCAGATCACGAGCATTGGCGGCCAGACCGGCGTGCCTCTGTTCAGCATATACTGTGCCACCAAGTGGGCCGTCGAAGGTTTCACGGAAGCGCTCGCCCAGGAGCTCAAGCCAGAGTGGAATATCACACTCCAGTGTATCGAGCCCGGAGGTTTCGCCACTGGCTGGTCGAGCCATAACATGATCTACCCGAGCAAATCAGACAAATGCCAGGCTTACGATCATCTGGATGGCGAGTCTGCGATGAAGAAGCGACACGGCACACAGGTCGGTGACCCCGCCAAGGCCGGCAAGGCAATGTATGACTTTGCCGTCATGTCAAACCCGCCCTTCAGAGCCGTGCTCGGCAGCGACGCCCACGGACGCATCATGAAGAAGATCGACGACTATCAAGGTCTTTACACCAAGTTTGAGAGCCAGAGCAAGGCGACGGACAGAGATGATAAGTGATCGATCGAAACCGAACACTACCGAGAGAATGCATGAAATCTGATCAAGCCTGACATGTCGGCTGATGATTAGTGAGCTGAAGCGAAAAGCTAAACTCACGCGCGTTGTTGCGCGTTGCGGCGTTGAACATCGGACGCTCTGAGGGATCTGATCGCTCGTCGATGGCGGACGATCATCCTGATGCCATCAGAATCAATGTACCCATCACTCTCATCCTCACGCCCATCTGCGCAGGCACGTTCGGCTTCGTGTCAGGGTGCGTGCGATCGAGATCTACGCTCGCGTGCGCTGAACGCCGAACAGACTACTGACATCTGCCGAGAAGGCATCCCTACAGTTTCTAGCAGAGAATGCTCACAGGCAGCCCACGACAGTCCAGGGCTGGTATTTCTATCAAAAGACAAAGAATTATCGGGTCCTGCTTGGAGGCGCAAGGGGTGGTCTCCTCACTGGAGCTAAGCTAGCTGGATGGACGACCGCCTTTGTCGGACTGGAAGAGGTCTTCTGGCGCCATGGCTTCTCACGCTCTCGCACGAGCGCAGCTCAGCCAGGCTCCGGTTGGACGGGCTCAAGAGCAGCAAGTGGAGCCTGTTCTGGTACCTTGCTTGCAATCGCTGCCGGCACATTCTGTACGCTCCCTGGCTAGACACAGCCAACGGCCAAGCTGATGATGAGACGTAGACAAGCTGCCATGGCAGTCTGCGAGCCGCAGATTGCTCCTCGGCCTATCGGTGGGCGCGCTAGCAGGCAGTCTCGAGGACTTGCAAAGCTACCTCAAGTCTCGCTTACCCGAGCGTGAATGATGTCTCATAGCTTGCCGCTACTCCCCTGCAATGGCGGCAGGAAGCCATCGAGCAGCTTCTTCGCAGCTCCCCCGAGGATCATGTCGAGCGCAACCGAGTCTCCTGATGTCCATCTGACGACATCTCTCACTTGATCCTCTACTCGGATGGCGACGTTTGGCACATCAGACCCGAACAGCACGCGACCCTGCCTGGCGAGTTGCAGCAGCTTCTCATGCAGCTCGGGCTCGTCGCGCATGTCTGGAAAATCGACGAGCGAGACGACGACGGGCGTGGTGTCTAGATAGACATTGTTGTGCTTCCTCGCAAGTTCGATCGATCGCCGCACCGCCGGATGGCCAGAGTGTGCTGCTGTCATCATCAGCTCAGCCGCGGGTCAAGCGAGCGCCGCGCACCGATGACCACGATCGCGTCTGGGTATCGACCGGCCAGCTCATCAATCTCTGCCAATTCTTCGCTCTCGGTGACGCCCATGATGGACGTGCCAACATGCACAACGGTCGGGAAGCGATGGGCTTGAGCCAGCTCCCACAGCGGCGCCAGATTACCATCGAGCACGCTCAGACGCGAGACCGAACAATGCAGCTTGCATACTCTGCTGCCAGTAGCAAGCGCGACTTGAGCCGTCTGCCGTACACCCTCCGAACCGTCCAGCGGATGGACAGTGAAGCCAGGCTGGACAATCAGCTTGCCTTTGCTCTTGCTGCTGAGCTCCGTCGCGAGCTTGGTCATCTGCTCGTTCAGAGAGTGTGCCATGCCGGCCTTGTGCGCGTAGGGCAGGGACCAGCATCTCCTGGGCTGATCTGCGTCTGCGATGAGTTCGGCGAGTAGATCATCTTCTTGCACGGGATACAGTCCGGGCGTCGAGTCTGAGGAGCAACAGGCAGAGGCCTGACTTGCTAGGCCGTAATCCTCGAAGAAGCTCCTCACTTTGCTGGCGAGCCGCTTCGGCAGAAAGTGGGTGTGCGCATCACACAAGACTGGCGGCAACGCCTCGTCCGCTTGCATCGACCGACTGTCCAGCCTGGGCCTATCTCAGAACCCAGCCTGAGTCGGCCGAGTCCTGCGCACTGTGTGAGTAGCAAAGCGCGTGGCCGACCGGTCGACGAGGCGACGAGACCTGCCGAACGAACAAACGCACGAACGAACGAACGAAGAAGCCAAACATCATGAGCTACGGTGGACCGAATTGGCAGCCTAGCCCAGCGCAGGCAGCAGCGTATGGCGCGCCCCCATCGCAGCAGTACTCGAACCAACCCCAAGGCGGCTATGGCAGACCCCAGAACGGACCACCGCCTCCTGGTCAGCGACCGCCCCCGAATGGAGGCTATCCCCCTCCTCCTACACAGCATCATCACCGTCCTCCGCCTGCGCAAGAACCTCAGGACCATAATGACGAGCTTGCGATGTGGTTCAAGGCCGTTGACCGCAACAATTCGGGCTCGATTGATGCGAACGAGCTGCAAGCGGCACTCGTCAATGGCGACTGGACCACCTTTGACGTTGATACGACGAAGTTCCTCATGACACTCTTTGATCCCAACCGACGCGGTACGATTGACTATCAAGGCTTTTGCGGCGTGTGGGACTACATCAAGCAGGCGCGTTTTTGGCCGCACAAAGCATGGCTCGAGCCCACGGGTCTGATGCATGCGGTCCTGCAGTGGCAAGGCATCTTCAAGCGCTTCGATCAGGATCGCTCCGGCACCATCGAAGGACGCGAGCTGGGTGCAGCCCTCAATCAGTTTGGCTACAACCTCTCGCCCGCCTTGATCCAGTTGCTCGAGAGGAAGTACGGTGAGTCGTCCTCGTGCACGCATCACAGCGATCCAAGTCGAGCGAGCGTCTCACTGCTCGCTTGGGCTTCTCTGACATAGTCTTCCTGGACCCGTCAGGCTCTCTGTCTGCTTCCGGTCGCTCGTCCGGCATTCCTTTCGGTGCGTGTCCATCTATAGGTACATCTCTCGGGCAAGTAGACTGACAACACTCGTAGATCGTTTCGTACGCTGCTGCGTGGTCGTCAAAACGTTGAGCGACAGCTTCCGCGCCGAAGATCGACAGGGCCAAGGTAGTGCGATGCTCTCTTACGAAAAGGCAAGCCATCGATTGTTCCACCAGCGCAGACGACCAGACCTGACGTCGTGATCGCTGCCCAGTTCATGACCATCGTACTCCAGTGTCCATGACCTGGCTCGTCATCGCTCGAGATCTTTGAGCTTGCGAAGCACGACAGATCTGAGCGGGCAAGCCGTCGAGCCCGCGTCGCCCTTCTCGCCCTTGCCCCTCCGACGGGCAGAACCATCGCCGCCCCCTTCGCGTTCGTACATCTCTGCGCAGCACTTGTAGAGTGCTGTCACGCTAGACTGACACCGCTCCTGGTTGTACGAGTTTCTGCTCAGACAAGTCCTAATGCACATGTTAGCCTCTGCTGGTCTGCAATGGCCACGCGCACTCACTGGATTGCGCATGCTTCCATCTGACATGGCGGATCCTCAGATACTGGCATCTCTGCAGATTCAGTCAACTCCCTGAGACTCTTTGGAACGAGTCCGACCGCGCGCTAGCGGTCGACGTCAGCTGTCGTCGCTCGATGCAAAGATGTTCCCTTTGGCCTATCAGCGCACGACAATTTCGCCCCGCGTCTCATGGTCTCAATGACGCCCCAGTCCGCTGGCAACACATCACGGCATCGCATGCCGCTGGTGACTTTCTCATCGCCAAGTCGACAGATCTCTATCCCTTTGGCCAGCCAACGTCAGACCGCGCCAAAGCAGTCCTACATGATCTCACATGGAGCCTGCGAGATAGGCCGGACGAGGCATGGGCAGTCGTCGGACCTAGTGCAAGCGCATTTGTGAATGCAACTGTCTTTGGTCAAGCTCGAGCAGATCCTCCTCGTTCGCTTGTCAGACCCTTCCTCGGCCAGAGATACAACATTGACGATCTCACTGCCAGAGTGCACTTCAAGACCCGCTTGGAAGCACATGGCGGCGGGTCCGGCGAGTTCAGAGACTACACGTCGCGCTATTATGCTTTGCGAGAAGAGGAGACTCTGACGCTACGTGACCATCTGCTAGCTCGTGCAGATGCTAGCGTGACGTCGGACCAACTCAACCAGAGTGCAGCTCTACTCAATCTGGACCACCTGCTCCCATTGCCTCTCGTCACGCTATCGAACGGTCAGACGAGACGCGCCCGAATTTGCCTTGGCCTGCTCAAACGGCCAAACCTGCTTTGCCTCGAGGAGCCGTTCACAGGCCTAGATGCCAGCAATCGTGCTCATCTGACGACGATGCTCCATGAGCTTCACCAAACTGGTTCGCCACGAGTCTTACTCGTCTTGCGCCAAAATGATCCTCTACCGCCCTGGATCTCCCACGTCATCGAGACTGGACCGAGCTGTGCGATCGCTTACCAAGGCCTGGCGAGCGCTTGGACTAGACAGTCAGATGGCAAACAGACAAGTGGTGCTGAAAGACCGAAGCGGGTACAGGGAGGCAAAGAGCTTGTCAAGCTCAGCAAGCTTCAAGTTAAATATGCAGATCGGCCTGTACTCACGAATATAGACTGGACCATCAGAGCAGGGGAACGATGGGCGCTCAAGGGTCCCAACGGCTCTGGAAAATCTACCGTCCTGTCTGTCATACTGGGCGACCATCCGCGATCCTATACGCAATCTGTCGAGCTTTTCGGTAAGCCGCGAGCATCTCAAGCGACCGTGCAGTTGCGAAGTCAGATGGGCACCGTCTCGCCTGAGCTCTACAATGCCTTCCCTCGCAAGCCTGCGCACAGTGGCGGTATGACTGCGAGAGAAGCGATTGCTACTGGCTTCGACGGCATCTTTTCCTATCGTAGACGCACGCAAGATCAAGACGATGCGATTGATCGGTTGCTGACCGACTTTGATTACTCAGAGGTCATAACAGAGAACTTCCTGGCGACTCTGTTTTCAGAGCACTCATCGGGCGCTCAGTCGCTCATCCTGCTGCTCCGTGCTCTCGTCAGTCGGGCAGCTCTGATCATACTCGATGAGCCTTTTGCGGGCATGACAGCAGACGCCATCGCAAAAGCAAGACACTACCTCGCTCATCGTCTTGATGACGACCAAGCGCTGGTCCTCATTTCGCATCATGACGAGGAGTTCCCAGACTGTATCACGAATACGCTGCATCTAGACGCAGGTATATCAAGGTTCGAATGAGATTGCATCTTGCAGGCAGTTGAGTGAGGGCAGTCATTTGGGAGTGACACAAAATGAGATGTACGCCTTCATCCTTGTTACACATGTGCACAGCTAGGCAGCAGGTGCAGCAGGTGCAGCTTCGCTGGCAGAGGCAGCAGGAGCAGCAGTAGAGCTGGATGTAGCACTTGAGAGACCAAAAGTCGGCAGAGGAGTCAGTGGTGCCCCTTTCTTGGCTTCTGCGATTCTCTTGGCTTCCTGCTCGCGAGGACATCAGCGAGGCGTCATGCGTAGACGGCAAGCCAATTGCGGACCTCATGCACATCTGCGACCGTCTTGGCCTGCACAGTGTAGAACTCTTGGACGCGATGGCCGACGGAGGAGTTGAGAGCGGCGGTGTAGTACTTGAGACTCTGCTCGTAGGCAGTCGAGGCTTGCTTCTGTAGTTCTGGGTGACGCTCTTGGATGTCCGTGACGGAGCTCTGCACTTTGGTGGAGATGCCTCTTTGCTCGTCGATCGCCTGGGCTCGAGTCTTGAGCGAAGTGAACAAGCTAGTGAACTTGTCTGCGATGCCGTAGGTCTTGTCGAGATCGATGGAGCGCTGGATAGCCTGATCGCCTAGAATGTAGCCGTGCGAGAGCAGCTCTGCAGCACGGGCAGCGTGCGGCTTGTCCTCCTGTGCGAGGACAGGAGCCGAGCTGATATCGTCTGAGCCGTCAGCTGCGGAGACGTTGATGCTCTGACCAGCGAGACTCGCCCCCGTGAAGGCTACGGCACCCCGGGCCGCATTCTCCTTCTGGTATGCGATCTCTGCAGTGCCGGGCGTGTGACCATTGCCTCTGCTGTATTTGATGGAATCGATGACGCCAGAGAAGGAGAAGAACTGCTTGAGAGCCTCTTCGTCTACATGCGGATGGATGTTGGTCACGTGTACCGTGCTCTTCGACATCTTGGCTCTTCAGAAAGTGCGGAGTTGCCAGCTGGCGGTGACGCGGTGAGGCAGAGGCGCGCATGCTCTTTGCCACGACCGGCTTCACCACCGCTGGCCACCGGGCCGTGGGGAGCGCATGTCTTCCTTCTATCAGAGACGGTCAGTCGCGGACCCGTCATGCCCAGAGAAGCGCTCAAGGCTGTCAGCAGGTCGACTTACTCTGACGCCTGGCGGTCACACTACCCTCGGCTACACTCTTCGGCCTTCAGGACGGATGAGACGGTCACGAACCCGGATGAGCCGCGACCCTTGCCGCCTGCTTATAAGCAGACGACGAGGGCCAATGAGATTCCACTCGAGCATACCCGTTCCCGGGGCGAAAGGGCGCTTACTACAAGCCGGTCAACCTTGCACACCCTCGAATGGCACTTTCATCCGGCACTGACCGGCTGGAAGCGGTCACTACACTGCATACAAGGTCGAGGAGAACAGCTAGACGATACCTTTCCACTCGCCTTCTCGTACAGATGCCAAGGCGTGGGTCCCCTTATTGACGCGCAAGATCGGTCCATCGAGCTGTCTCAGACGATGAGCTCTCATGCCTCGTCATTCACTAGTCATGCTCTCTACAAACAGTACCAGACCCGCTTGGCGTTCCTCAACGAGTGTATACCTGCTCATCTCGTCAAGACCCGGCTCGTCATGGTCCTGCTTGAGCTCATCAACGCACTCTGGCTAGTCCTCCTGATCATCGCTCTCGCTGTCGACAGGGCTCAGCAAAGAGGATTCCTCACCGCCGTCGAAGTTACACTCGTTGTGATCATCATCGTCAATGCCACCGGTTTCAACTTCATCCGCATCCACAGATGGAAGCTTCAGCGGACACTCAGAACAAAGTCTCTCGATTGGTCACCCGTCCTGACGACATCCACCGCACGCACGCTACTTGCAAACTATGAAGGCGATAGCCAGAGCCAGAGAACAGTCATTGGTCCTCAGCCTGCCTTGCGTTGGAACTTGATCGCAAAGGAGGGCAGCTTCTGGACAGCGTGGCGACCGATCTGTCGCGTAGAAGCGAGTTGCAAAACGCTCAAGTGGATCTGCGCTGACATGCAAGCAGCTCATCATGCCCTCCGAGCCTCTGACGGTGCCTTGCGTGGAGTCCGAGGATGTGCCTGGCTATGCTGCTTTCGAACCTTCTCAGCCGACGTCAGAGTCTCTCACTCAGACGGTCTGATTTCGACCGCCTTGTTGTTGCTCACTCATCACTGCATTGCATTCACACCCATCATTTCGATCTTCCAATACATAGCGGCATTTTGCAGCCGCCATCACGGCCATCTGGCTGACTATTTTGAAGGTGGCACCGCGTAGCCGGGCAACACTCTCTCAGCAGCTCTCGGAGTCAGACTCAGCTTCTGCGTCACATTAGGCGATGTGGCGCGATGGAAACGTCTGGAGAGGGGAAACTTGCTGCGTTGGTGGGTGGCTGAGAGCGTGTCGTCAAGGCTGTGTATGCGTCTAGTTTGACGCTGACCAAACGACTCGCGCGATCCGCGCAGTGAAGAATGTGCGATGACGGAGCTGGCGTGCTGAAATTGGACATTTAGGGACAGACGTGTCCATGATTCTCTCGGGTATGGCGTTGGTTGCTCGACAGGGCAGTCGATCTGGTGAGAGAGTGAGAGAGTGAGTCAAATCATTCATGAGTCGCAACGCCTGGCTTGCATCACAGGCTTCTCTGCCTACCCGCCAACTAATCACCCGTCAACTGCTGAGCGGTGAGGCGCCCGGACAGGTAAGCCCCGGTCGATTCCCTACGGTCTCTGGAATGCTTGTCCCTAACGAGCAAGCTCGTCTCTGTCCTCACTTCCTTTGTCTGTCCAAGCAGGAGAGACGCTCCTCTGCACTGTTGCGAAAGCTGAAGCTACATTCGCTGCGGGGAGGAATGCTCGGCATGCACGGTTCTGGAGGTCAAGTTTGATCGTTCAGAGGCATCAGCCCAGGCATTGGCTATCGCCTATAGCTACACGTGTACGTCCATGTGATCAAGATCAATTATTCCAATCGATCTCGGATCTATTTTTGTCTGGGGCAATTGCACGGGGCGGGCGCCGGCGGGCGACTGCGCCTTCTAAATTGGCGAGTCGAGCTTCTACATAGCATATCGCCATTGAGCAGCCTGCGACAGAGTCTGCTTGTGCGCGGTCGGACGGACGACGCAAGCGGCTGCCATGACGGACCAGCACGATCACAGAGGTCTTGGGGACGTCGGCCCATCTGACAAGACGTTGGAGCTGTGCAGCAACGGTCCAGTCTTGTCAGACTATCTGCGCAAGCATCCCAAGAGCTCTCCTGGCAAAGCTGCCCGACGGTTGTACAAGCGACCTTTCGTCGCCAAGCGTATGGTCTCGCGCTTCGTCATCAAGCACGACCTGTACAAAGGCAGAGGCGAGCCATCTAAGGCCCACCTCGACAAGCTTGCTTCAGCTGGTCACTGGTCAACACGCCCCAGCGACCTGTTCTTGAAGATCTGGGGCGATGTCCTCTTGTGCCTCGACAGAGATCCTCTCGCGGGAGTGACCTCGCCTAAATTGATGGGCCTCGACGGCGTGCTTCCCTTGACTATCCTGAGCGTGATACCTGACATCATGCGACACTATGCCAACTGCATCCTGATGGCCGAAGAAGAAGTGCTCGTTGCCACCAATTTCTTGCAGCCTTCCAACAGCACGACACTAGTCGCTGACGCCCTACGCGAGCTGTCCAAACGGGTCGGAGAGCGCAAAGGCAAAAAGGTCGCTTTCAAGATGATATACGACAGAGGCACGTACAAGCAGGCATGGGAAAATCACTCGCCTGCCACACCGCAGGACTGGATGGCCTTGACGCTGCCGGACCCCAAGGAGGTCCCGAACGTGTCAATGCAGATCGTCAACTTTCATCGACCGTTTGTAGGCACTTTTCATGCCAAGTTTGCCATTATCGATCGCAAAGTCGCCCTCATCTCGTCCAACAATATTCAAGACCGACCCAACCTCGAGCTCATGCACCATCTCGAAGGCCCGATCGTGCAAGCATTCTATGACACCTTCTTGATAAGCTTTAACAACCAGCTCCAACCCGCCCTCCCGATGATTGCCAAAGGGCCCCCACCGCCGGTGGACCATTACAAATTCAGAGATGAGAATCCCTATCTGTCATCTATTGATCTTGCCAAAGCATCCAAAGCTGCACGCGCCATGCTGCGCAAGGAAGCAGATCAGGAGCGCTCGCGAGCCCCAAAACAGTCCCCAAATGGCTTCGCAGACGTCGTCATGCGTGCTCTGCAGAACAAGGACGGGGGTACGCCTGGCTCTAAAGCGAGCAGCCCGACAAAAGCTTCGCCTGCAGACGTGCAGCAGATGTTCGGGGGAACCAACAAGACGAAATCTCCGTCGGATGCCAATGGCGGCAATCCAGGTCTGTGCGTTTCTGAGTGATTGCGATGGGAGCTGAACGCGCTCAATAGCTCTACGGCGCGCAATGGATAAAATCAAGAATGACAGCCAAGCAGGCGCCATACCAGAGGATGAGCAGACACCAAGCCAAAGCAACGCTGGTGCCGCGCTCGATCGGCCGAACACCTCTGCGGCCCACCCGGACGCTACCCCGCAAGCTGACAGGACTACAGAGCCTGCGTCGGAAGACAATGCTAAGGATACCACTGGATCTACCCCTATTCACCGCGCCAAGACGCCAGCAGGACCTATGCCAGGAGTCGCGATGGGAGATCTACCCAACGCTCACGATCCTGTGCACGGTATCAATGGGAGCGCTTCTCCAGGAGGCAAATCGGCAGCAGCGGCTACAGCTGCCAGCACACGCTTACGATCCTTGTCACATACACTCAACGCCGGCGCGCAATCAGAAGCGCACGCAACGATTGCAGACGCTGCTATCGAGAGCGAGTTCAATCCGCACTATTTGCACCATCCTCACGCGCCCGTGCCGATGGCAATGTGCTCCCGCAAGCCCCATGGCGCACCGGGGCATCAAGACATTCGCGTTCCTCAATGCGCTGCATGGCTAGCAGCGTGTCGGTACGCAAAAGAGAACATCTTCATCCAGACACCGACATTCAATGCTCGGCCGATCGTGAATGCCTGCGTCGAAGCTGCCGTGCGAGGTGTGACGGTAACCCTTTTCATCTCTATCGGCTTCAACGACAAGTCAGAATGTGCGCATCTCGTCCTCGAGCAGTCCTGATCCCTGTGGCTGACTTCGGTTCAGCGCTGCCATTTCAGGGGGGCACGAACGAAGAGGTAGTCTTCAAGATGTACGATCGCCTACGGAAAGTGAAGAAGCAACAGTTCCTCAAGGTCTACTGGTACATCGGTAAGGATCAGACAGAGCCGCTGCCGTTTGTCATCAAGCAACGCAACTGTCACGTCAAGTTCATGTCTGTCGACTCGCGCGTGATCATCACCGGGTCGGGTAACATGGACTCGCAAAGCTGGTTCCACAGCCAGGAGATCAATGTCCTCATCGATTCGCGAGAACTGTGCGCGGATATGGCGAGAGCGTTCATGACGCAACAGAACACTCATCTCATGGGTCTCTGTGACGACACCGGTACCTGGCGAAGAGCAGACGGTAAGACCATCCGGCAGATCCACGACGAAGATGCTGCCGAAAGGAAACGAGCAGCCAAGGCTGCGCCGAAGAAGAATGACAGCGCCAATGGCAAGGCGAATGGTCAAGCGGATGGGCAGGCAGACGGTAAGGCCGAGCCGAACGGGACAGCGCCAGGCAAGTGAACAGTGATCAGCTTGTTTCTTCGTACCACACACACGCTTGTAAAGTCTTCTATGCATTGCTTATTGTCAAACGCGCAGCAGCCTCATTCGAGGATCTTCTTCTCGAGAACCTTGCCAGTCTTGTCGAGCTTGTAGACGATAGGCACGCCAGTCGCGAGCTCCATCTTGACGACTTCTTCGCCTGTCAGTCCTTCGAGCTCCATTGCAAGAGATCTGCGCAGCAACCAGTCAAAGTCAGCTTGAAGGTTGCAGAGGCTCGTACCTGAGTGAATTGCCGTGAGCAGCGATGAGGACACGTTCTCCTTTGAGGACGCGAGGCTTGATCTCCTTCTCCCAATAGGGCAGGACGCGCTTGGCGGTCAATTCGAGCGATTCGCCGTTGGGTGGAGGGACGTCGAAGGATCTCCGCCAGACGTGGACCTGCTCCTCGCCCCACTTCTTGCGAGCATCGTCCTTGTTGAGCTGCGGTATGGCTTATCAGCTCTGCTCGGCTTGCGCGCGATAGGGGAAAGGACGAACGCCTGTGAGGTCGCCATAATCCCGCTCGTTGAGCGCCTGGTCCTTGATGGTCTCGAGGGACTCTGCATCGATCTCCTTGAGGATGATCTTGAGGGTAGTCTGTGCTCGTTGTAGGGCAGACGTAAAGGCGATGTCGTAGTGGTCATAGCCATACTTCTTGAGCTCCTTTGCGCCCTTGAGCGCTTCCTCCTTGCCCTTGTCCGTCAGTGCAGGATCCTTCCAGCCCGTGAACAGGTTGAGCTTGTTCCATCTGACGGCAGCACAGGATGGCCGTGGTCAGGAATGACGTTGGGCCCCCAAGAAAGTGCCACTCACTCTGACTCGCCATGACGGACGACGACAAGCTGTGGCGCCGAGCAGTCAGTCAGATCTGCGTCCAGCGCTCTGTGTGAGGCTCTCATGCCCACCAGATTGCTCTCTGTGGCCATTGTATAGCTGTTGGGTCGAGTCAGGTCGAGCACTGCAAGTCCAGCAGAGCGCGCGCCTCGAAGCTCGAAGCTCGACGCTTGACGCTCGCCGGTCTCCAGCAAGGCACAGTCGCATCAGGCCGGACAGCATGCGGACCAGCTTTCCCGGGCCATCACAGGCACCAGCGCAGGCCGAATCGCCCAAAACTCGACTGGGCTTTGCAGTCAGCCGCTCCAACTCGCTGCAGACCGTACCTGCGCCTGTCGCCTCGACATCTGAACCTCGAGCGACAACACGATGGCAGCCTCACCTCGTATCAGCACTCGCGCACCATACGCCGGTCAAGAAGGACGTGGCTCCGTCTGCGCAACCTTCAGGATCGCAGATGGGCACGCTACCCAACTATAGCGCAGTCTCTCACTGGCCGAGTCGACCTGTCCAGACCCCTTCGCGGGCAGCCATGAGCGGTACGTCTGCACCAGCCGCCACACAAGGCCAGGGCACACGGGCCAAAGTCCAAGTCGCCCACAGTGTCCTGCTGTCGGCTCAGAGGACGCGCATGGCACAGAGATGTCGCGTCAACGTCATGATCGCCATTGGCCTGTACTGGCTTACTTCCACCATCTTCTACGAATCTGTGCGAGCCGATGTGATCTCACTGCTGCCTTCTGCCAAGCCCATCATCAATGCCACCAGCTGGCTTGTCACCCTGTTGCTGACTTGGAACATCCTCGAGGCAACCTGGCTCCTCGCCAGAGCCTCGCCCGGCTTCCTGCTAGCTGCGCCCCGAACTGGCTATGCGCTTATTGACGTTCCTCTGGCTCCGCAGCAGCGTGCCGTGCCTGGCAGTGCTGCACCGCGGCTCGAACGAGGCTCCATCGGCTTTCCGGTCGCCCGATCTTCGCCCCAGGTGCGTGCCAGGAACCGAGAGAAAATGTGAGACCATGCTGATGCGGCAGTGACAGACTCGGCCTTCTGCCCCTGAACCAGACTTCACCTGCTTCAAAAGGTTTCCCTCGAACAACTCGACGCCTAACCGTAACGGCGCGTCCGTGCAAACGCCCACCTCGGGCCGACCTTCGTCCGGTTCGCCAATGAGCGAATTCCGCCAAGTCCTTGCGACCGCCTCCTCGCCCGCCAGCAGGTCTGGCACGCCAAACTCGCTATCGAGATCAACCAGCACGAATGTCAACCCCAATGATCCGAGCGGGCGGATCAGCGCTTTCCTTAGCCGACATCCATCACCTCAGCAGTCACCGTACCGCGAGCCGAGACGGGCCGAGCCTGCGCTATGATTGCATGCATTGACGTGCTTTCATAGGAACCCGAATCCGTTCTCAACCTTGACCTGGTCTGACAGATCGGGTACTAAGCAGAAGACGTCGGCGCTGCAAATGGACAGGGCTCTGCTCTGTATCGTGTTTGCAGGGCGACCGGAAGGCCTGATACGACCGTAGATGAGAACGTCGCCCAGTGGCTGGCAGTGCGGGCTCTTGCCGACGCCATGCGTTTGCTGCTAGCACGTTCAGCAAAGGAGCCACAAGCTATCCCATGCTGCGGGCTTACGATGACAGACCGAGACTGCGATAGTAGCGACCCAGCGTGTGGATTGAACATGAACGAGTCCCGTGAGCCGTATGTGAAATGGGCCTCGATAGTAAAGTCTGGCCTAGTATCATCGAGCGTCTGCATGCGCGTTCAGCAGCGTTCAGAGACAGCTTTCATGTGGTCGCGCACGATGACGACCGTCTGCCTAGCGGCAAGATTTGTCTGGCGTCTCATAGCTTCGAAGATGTCTGCCGGATGAAATTGTCGGGAGGCAATACGATTGAGCGTGAGGCGATCCTTGCGATGCAAGATCATAAAGTGAACCATCGGCCCATCCACTGCGCCATCCTGCATAGACCGCAGCTGGCGCGCAAAGAAGGCGCGAGCAGGATCTCGTGGCGTTGCCAGGGCGAGATACTGTCGATACTGATGGCGGGTGAAGCGCCGTCGGACGATTTCGAGCCACTCACGCTCGCGCAATGGTGGCCAAGTGAACTGATCCAATAGAAAACATCTTGCTGCCTCACTGATGATGTCGATGAACACTTTGCGGGGGATGATGGCTGCCCACACAAAGAGACACGCCAGTCGTGCTTCATCTGATTTGTCCGCAAGAACTGTTTTGTTGGTCTCTAAAGACTCCTCGGGTTGGCTGTCTCCTTCGTGTTGACATAGCAAGGTACGATAGACTGGCCCTACCCAGGGTATGAGAGTATCGGAAGCGCACTATGACGAGTCAAAGGAGCTGTCACAAAGTGGGGAGATGCTCACGATTGACCGAAGCGCCGCGCAAGTTTGTGAGCATCTGACGAGACTGGAGAGGGTTGTACAGGACAGGATCTGGGCAAGAAGTTCATTGGGCAAATCTAGTAGTCGGCATACGCTGCCATATTGCATCTCTTGCCGACTGAGCGCTGGTCATCAGTCGCCCTGTCACGGTCACGACCGGTCACGCGGTCACGAGCGCTTCAACGCGCACGCGTGTTGTCTCGAAAAGACGAAGGGCCGGTGGGCTCGAGGACCTTGACAGGCCGTGTCAGGCCATGTCAGCGGTGACGCCCAGTAACAACCGGCTGTTGACCGGTCAGAAGACGCCCGGCACAGCTAATGGCAAGGCGAGGCTCATCAAGTCACGCTCCAATTCGCCTGCAGCTGGTCTGTTAGCGCACAGCTACAATAGTAACATCGCCGGCCTGAATGACCCGCTCTTCCTGCCAGTGGCTTCATCGTCTCGTGCGCATGCATTCAGCGGCACGACGAGCAGGAGTCGGAGTGGCTCGCCTGTCAAGACACCGCGCAACAATGATCGCATCTTATCCTCTGCCCACTCCGCATCTCGTCCGGCGAATGCAGGACAACGATCTGCCGCAAAGATCGGACGTACAGCGGCTACAGAGACAGTGACTAATGCGGGCTTGGGAAAGACCGACATCGCCAACCGTCACTGGGATCAGCCGGGCGCGGCGTCTTTGGTCAAGGACTCGCAGCATAGCGTCAAGAAGAAAAAGTCTCTGACGGGACAGGCGAGTCTGTCACTGCCGACTCATGATTTGCGCTGACGAGCTGTCTACCAGTACGATCGCTTTATCCCACAGCGCGAGAATAGCACAGGCGGATCCTCAAACGCATCAGGTAGTACGAGCGACTTGCTCAGCGACAGATTTGACCGCATGCAACTCAGCACGGCCGCTCAGGCTAGGCCAGATTCGTCTGGTCGCCACAGTACACCCGGTCAGCCTTCCAGAGATGAGCTATCGGCGTGTCTGGGCATAGAGCCCTCAAAACGCATGCTCTCTTTTGGCAGCAGGCCCGCGAGCCTTCACGGCGGCTCGTCATCAGAGTCCGACACGGGCGTCTTGCGTAATGACATGACAGACTTACTTGCCACAGCGTCTCGGCAGCAATCGTCCAGCGCCGTGCAAGGGCGAGAGAGCAGCGGCCGTGCTGCACTGCGACGCATCCCCGACAAAGCCTACAAAGTCCTTGATGCACCAGGGCTCGTAGATGATTACTACCTGAACCTGATGGACTGGTCGTCGACCCAGCTACTCGCCATCGGACTAGGTCAGACAGTCTATCTCTGGAGTGCTCGAGACGGCTCAGTGAGGGCACTCTGTTCGCTTGCTGATCAACCTTCGCCTCCTCTGCCCTCCGAATCTGACGAAGAGGCGGAAGAATACGTGAGCTCACTCAAGTTCTCAGAAGACGGAGCCTATCTTGGCGTGAGTTCGTCCAGAGGACCCATTGCTATCTACGACGTCGCTGCATCGAGACGAATACGCACCATGCAGGCTCACACTTCTCGCGTCAACTGTCTTTCGTGGTCGGGTGGTATACTCTCGAGTGGCGCAAAGGCCGGCAAGATCTACAATTCGGACGTGCGCATAGCACAACACAAGGTCGCAGAGTGGGGAACAGGCCATCGCTCAGAAGTATGCGGTCTGGCCTGGCGACCCGAATCTGCCGACTCGCTTTCGCAGGGGGCGCAGGGCTTATTGGCCTCTGGCGGCAACGACAACATCGTCCATGTTTGGGACGGTCGCAACACAAGCGCGCCGCGGATGACTAAGACCGATCACGTTGCTGCCGTCAAGGCAATCGCATGGTCACCCTGGCAGTCCAACCTCCTTGCGACGGGCGGAGGCACATCCGACAAGACCATCCACTTCTGGAATTGCACTACGAGCACTAGACTGAGTACGGTGCAAACGCATGCGCAAGTGACTTCCATTGTCTTCAATCCTCATGCCAGAGAATTGCTCTCATCACACGGTGCCGCACGAGGTTCACCCGAGAACAGTCTCACGATCTGGTCATATACTAGCTTGAGCAAGCTTGCGAGCATCGACGAGGCACACGATACACGTGTGCTACATACTGCGCTCAGTCCTGACGGCTGCTCACTAGCGACTGCGAGCGCTGACGAGAGCCTCAAGGTATATATTGGCATACATAGATTGGGCTTCTGCTGATGTTGCGTGAGCAGTTATGGCAAGTCTTTGACAGTCGAGTTGGCCAGAGTGGCAGACGCTCCGATAGCGTTGATGCGCGAGCTGCGACAGATCGCGCAATCAGTCGCGGCAATAAGACTGCCAGCATCTCGATCCGCTGAACGTCACTTTGTTGTGCTCTCTGCTCGATCGAGGTAGAGCCTAACGAGGCGGATTGCAGAACGCGCGTCCTCCAGAGAGTCGTGTCCGGCACCGGAGTCGTCCTGGATGAATTGCTGAAGGTTCTCCCTGACAAGATCGCGCAAACGCTTGCGAAGCGGCAGTCCTCGGGGATGGGGAAAGAGCTGAGCGGTATCGATGACCTTGTGATGGACTAGACGGAGCGCTCTGAGATCGTTCTCGAGACCGTGGCCGACGATGATCGTATTGACGTCAATCATGCCATCCAGCAAGCGATCTTGGAGTTGTTCGAGCGTCATGGTGGCAGCTTTGATCTGCGCGAGCGTCAAGCCTGAGAATTGAAAGTTGGTGTCGATGACATCGCCGGGAGGTTGGATGAATTCGTCGAGCAGCAGGCGGCCACTACCATCGGCGATCGACACGCGAGCGAGCGAGAAGCCGGCTGTGCTATGGACCATCTCGCAATCGATGGCGAGGATATGTAGTGGGGCTGGCTTTGTCGCGGCTTCGGTCGCGCGAAAGGCGACTATCTCGTGCAGATCATTGATGTCTCGCTCCGAAAAGACATGCGGGCCTTCTGTGCAGCCACTTGTGCCGTCAGACACGCTACAGCACGTATAGCTCCGCTGCTTCAATCCTGCCGACGCTGTGAGGGAGGACTGACCGGGACTAGAAGGGCAACGTACCATCGACGAGGCGCATCGGACCGAGCTTACCGGGATGGTAGCGGCAAGCGAGACGTTCTTCAGCTGATTGGTCTCCCAAATTGCGCACCTCGAACGCCGCCTTGCAGCGTGAGCAGTCCCGTAGGGCGCCCCGTCGGTTACGCTCCGTGTGATGCGGAGCATCCGGGACCTCTACCATGTAGCCGTACGACACAAGATCTTCAAATTTCATGACGAGCGGCAAAGCAGCTTCGTAGGGGACACTGACCGCGCTTGCTTTGCGCCGCGCGATGCGTCGTTGCTCGACTTCTTCATTTGTGCCGCACTCAAGTAAAGCGGCTGGATGAGTCCGCTTGACAACCTTGGAGACCGCCATGATGAGCATCGATTTGTAGACTGCCGGGGGCGAACGAGCCTGATAGAGCGTCAACTCCTGATCGATCGCGTCCTCGCATGCGTATAGCTGGCGGTGTTGCTGGTCGATTTGATCGTAGAGCTTGTGGTACTCTGTATGCAGGAGTCGCAGGAAATGCTGTCGTTGTGCTAGAGGTATCGTTGTTCCCTGGCGGCCGACTGAGATTAATCTGGGCGGCCCGTGAGACGGCAGGTCATAGTCATTGAACCTGATGCGTTTGCTCGGTCGCTCCTTCAAATCGCTCGAGCTACCTTGCGGTATTGCAGGAGGAGGCACAGCCGCTGCTACATTGACATCGACGGCCTGCGAGGCAGCCTTGCCCGGTTTCGCGGGCACTGTCTTGGATTCAAGTGAAGGTCGACTGGCCGCTGACTTTGGCTTGGGCTTGCTCGTCGCACCCAAGGCTATGTCGTGCGAATACAGACAGGGCTCTCGGCTGCAACTATCCCGTTGTGGACAGCGTATCCTGATGAGACCGAGCGTGGGGAGCATCCAGACAAACGGACGTGGTCGGAACTGTGATCGTGCTCGCCGGGAGCTGCGTGCTTTCTGCCGACCACGTCTGCCACGACTACCAGCTAAAGCATTGCTGTCGCCTGTCGCGTGAACGTAAATCAAGCAACGCGATTGACTGCTTGACGGCTTGGCAAGCTTGACTAGCAACCCCTTCTTACCCACCCTCTCCTAAGCAGGACAACGGAAACGCAGATGCATTCGTGTACACGATGCTACAGAGCTCGCATCCGACCTTCTCTTCGATTCGCAATGTCAGATATGAGCATTATTTTCCTAACATACATGACGGTGGGACTCGTGATGCGGGTCGCTCCGTACTTGCTCGATCTGTCAGGTTGCCCGGGAGACTCGGAATGCTTATCTGCGGACCATCTGCGTCGGATCGCTAGCCTCTGCGACATGCCAACGAAGTGCGTGACCCTTGTTACGGCAAATAGACGACCTCTCCTCCGACCACGAGCAGGCTGCAGCTATTCAAGATGCTGGTCGGGACGCTATACGCCCTTGCAGGCATAAGCTTCGCTGGGGCAACGACTTTTCACACGCTCAAATTGGGACGCAAGATTGCTCAGGCTCGATACGTCGAACAAGCAGTAGATACATCGGCTGTCGACCCTATATACTCCTTCTCCCAGCCCGTCAACCATTTTCCCGAGGATGTGAAGTATGCTTTCAACTCCAAGGCCACGTTTGAGCAGCGCTACACCTTCCGGGCCGATTATTACAAGCCCGGCGGGCCTGTCGTCCTAATCGATGGTGCGGAGGATTCTATCAGCGCTTATGACGAGAACGGTCATTACATCGCGCTTGATGTTACTTTCGGACGAGTACTAGCCGAACAGACCCATGGCCTGCTCGTCAATCTCGAGAATAGATGCTACGGCAGCTCGAATCCCATGCCAACCGTTTCTACGGACGACCTGCGATTCTGTACAACGGAGCAGATGATCGAGGACTCTGTGCGTTTTGCCCGCGACGTCACATTTCCCGGCATCGACGCGCACATCAATGCACCTCGAACACCCTGGATCTACCTCGGCGGCAGCTACGGAGGCGCGAAAGGCGCCTTCACGCTCACCAAGTACAAAGACGTGTTTTACGGTGCAGTGCTCAGTTCGGCTGTCGTACAAGCCGTGCCGTTCTATGCCGGATATGTAAGCCGGTGCACACCCCATGCTTCTCACTGCCTGTGATTGACGCCCTTTGCTAGTACGAGCAAATGCACAAGGTCGCCGACCGGACTTGCATGGACACTATCGCCACCCTGACCGAGCTCATCGATGAGGTGCATGCAAAGGCGCCCCATCACCTTCCCAAAGTCAAAGCGCTCTTCGGATTGGAGGATGTCGTCGATTACGGAGACTTTGCTGGAGCTGTCGGTATCTCAATCAGTACGTACCAAAATCAAAAGCTGATCTCGCCTGCGCCCTACATCTACGACACGACGTTTAACCATCTCTGCGGTAATACGACCGCCAAGCCCACGCCAGAACAGGAAGCGCTTGAGACGATGTTCTCTCCTTTGACGGGCGGCAAACGATGGACCGGCCTCGGCGGTTACTCGGCTTTCATCAAACGCGTCACTGAAGAATTGTGCCCTCCGCCGTACAGTACAAACGACGCCGACTGCTTCGGAACAAAGAATGCCACCTACAACAGCAATCCGGTCATCGATCCCGACACGCTCAGCGCGAGAGTGTATAGCTACTCCTCCTGCACAGAGCTCGGCATGTTCCAAGTAGCGGCCTCTCCCGGGACGCCCAGTCTTCTGTCTCGTGCGCTGAACGAGTCGTACTTTCAAGCAACCTGCTACAGCTACTTTCCGCCGGGCAAACATAACAGGATTCCCAGCAAGCCTGACGTGACTGCCTGGAACTCCTACGGGGGCAACAAAATTTCACAAGGTTCGCTGGTTCTGTCCGCAAAAGACCGCGGCTGAAGATAGACTCGTGCGCCCAGATCGCGTAGCTTTCATCGATGGAGCTCTCGACACCTGGCTGCTCAGAACCGTGCATAGCCCGGAGCTTCCGCCGCGCCGGAGCTCAACGCTTCGTCCCTCTATCGTCATCAAGAGTGCTCGACACTGCGACGACTATGTCTCGCTTGAGACAAGCAAGCCTTTTGCGGGCGAACCTGCAGAGCTTGCACATGCGCACGAAAAGGAGCTTGCAGCCGTGCGTGCCTGGCTTGCCGATTTCGGTAAATGGAAGCCTGCCTTTGCTACTGTATAGACCACAGTACGTGCAGAAGCCGTGCAACCATGAAACGTCACAGGACTGTTGCGCGTGGATTGCCTGGCTTAGACACTGTTGCACTGTGGCGCGCGTGCCGACGCTGCACTATCTGGCACTATCTGGCACGCGGGCGCGCGCGCGCATTTCTGGAATTTCTGTGTTTCTGCTGCGTCGATCTCGAGGAGCTTGCAAGCTTGAGCCTAAGCGATATAATACAAATGCTGGCTTCAGTGACCGACGCCTTGAACTTCATCAGCGATCAAAAAGCCCTCATAGAACTCGAACGAGACGTAGAAGTCAGGCAGACAAATTTGCTGTCGTCAAATTGCTCGATCAAGCAGCTCGAGCGCTCAGGACTTGCGTTTGGCTCTTTGGACGTGGTCAATCGCAGTATAGGCTTCGGCGACAAGACGATTATAGAGCTTCAGCGCTCGTTGGCTCATCATGCCGATCGCGTTCTGCCTTCGAGTGAGATCAGAGTCGGCGACCTGATCAAGCTCACAGAGTCGGCGACCAAGCCGAGCAAATACAAAGAAAGACATCAGAATGGCACAGAAGCTGTCGTCTACAAGCTTACAGAACACAAGCTTGTGCTTGCCGTCTCAGAATCCTCTCCTAAAGGCATCGACGGCGAACTTGAACTACCATCTCGGTGCAATGTCGTTAAACTAGCCAATCTGGGGACCTATGATCGCATTTTGAGAAACTATGATAGTCTGGCCAAATCTCTCTTGAAGCGTGAGGAGGTTCGCCGACACGCGTCGACAGCAGACGATGACGCGGCACGTCCAGTATATGATAGTGTCATTCCACTTCAGAGATCAGAAGCACAGATGGTAGACAATGGGGTCCAGCCTGCATGCTTAGAACCAGCCATAGGAGCAGACTCTGACCGCAAAGCCAGACTTGACGAGACCAGCGCCTCACTAAGCCTCTCACAAATACTACTCGGCATGCAAGAAATATCAGAGCCACAGCAAAAGTCGGATGTTACCATACTGGATGACGCGCTCAACCAATCACAACAAGACGCGGTCAAGTTCGCTCTACACGCACGAGAGGTCGCCTTGATCCATGGTCCGCCGGGCACGGGAAAGACTTCCACTCTGATTGAGATTATCCGACAGCTCGTGCGGCTAGGTCAGCGCGTGCTCGTCTGCGGCGCGTCAAATCTCGCCGTCGATAATATTGTGGAGCGTTTGCAAGTCCATTCGGTTCCTCTAACTCGCCTGGGCCACCCTGCTCGTATCCTGGAAGCGACACAAAGATCCACGCTCGACTATCAGACTGCACACTCGGCCAACGGTGCGCTGGCTCAAGACGTGCGCGATGACATCGCGAAAATTTTCGCCGATCTAGCAAAAGGCAAGCTGCAGGGCAAAGGCAGACGGGCGAAACTTGACGAAATCAAGCTCTTGCGCAAAGAGTGCGTCCACGCAAAACTCAATGGATGGCCGACTGATTGCCTGTGCAGACTACGCGTGCGTGAGGCCGGCGTGACGAGTAGCGTCATCGGTCAGGCTCGCGTCGTCTTGTGTACGTGTCATGGTGCAGGAAGTAAGCAGATCATGCGTGATACTTTTGATGTGGCAATCATTGACGAGGTCGCGCATGCCCATTTCTGCCTGCCCGGGATGTTGACACCGCGATACAGGCAGCGCAAGCCCTTGAAGGGTCGTGCTGGATCCCGATCCTCAAAGCCCAGAAGCTCGTACTCGCGGGCGATCCTTTGCAATTGCCTCCTACTATCAAGACGAGTGATAAGGATTTCAAGCAAGCAAAAGTCTCGTTGGCAAGCATATCAAAATCGTCGAAACTCTGTTCGGCACGCAATCTCGAGACGACATTGTTCGATCGCCTGCTGGCCATGTACGGCGCCAAGATCAAATGTCTGCTCAGTATTCAATACCGTATGAATGAACGCATCATGCGCTTTGCGTCTGATGCACTTTACGAAGGCAAGCTTGTGGCTGCATTACAGGTGAAGGACCGTCTGCTGTGCGATCTTGTCGAGACGAAAGGCGACGACGTGCTCGATCATCCTGTCATCTTCATTGATAGTACGCTTGATGTGCCAACACCTTCACATGCTGAATCTCTGAGCGCAGCCACAGGTAACGATATGTACGAGCGCGCAGACGAGGAGACAGGTGTACGCACGCTGAGCAAATACAACGAGAATGAGGCTGTACAAGTCGTCAAGCACATCTCAGAGATCGTTTCTGCAGGCTTGCCACCAAAGTGCATCGCGGTCATCTCTCCCTACAACGCGCAGGTCTCGCTCTTGCGTAGCCTGCTTGTCCATCTTCCGGATATCAGCGTCGGTAGCATCGACAGTTGGCAGGGCAGAGAAGCAGAGTGCATTATCATCAGTCTCGTTCGAAGCAACGACCAGCGAGAGGTCGGATTCCTCAAAGAATCGCGACGGCTCAATGTCGCGATGACGAGGGCAAAACGACAGCTCTGTGTGGTCGGCGATGCCGGCACGGTGCGGACCGGATCGTCCTATCTGGAACGCTGGATGACGTGGCTCGAAGATGAATCCGACTACCGTCTTGTCCTTTGAGCGGCGCACAGACCATCCTCGTTGTCGACGAGCCGCGATGTCGTCGCTGCTGCTCACTCTGATAAGTACGAGTGGATATGCCAAGACTGCAACTTGTCGTGCTTTGGTCTGTCCTGGGCGTGAGCTGTTTCGTCACGGTGCCTCCGATAGGACCGCAGCCATCACCTTTGGTCGTACAGGATACTGGCAGCCCACCGTATGAGCCAGGCCAGCCTCATCATGCGGACAAGGTCCGGCTCTTGCAGCTGACTTATACCTCCTTCAAGAACTCGGGCATATTCTCGGACGGTCTGATCGGGAGCTTTTTCCCCAAGGCATTACTGGACGTTCGGGACTCAAATGGCAACGGGCTGCCATGTGGATGGAACGCGACTCTCGACGCGGCAGCTCTGTTGACTGCGCCTGCGATACATCTGCAGCCTGCTACAGACGCAAGCACGATCTCCTCTGTCTTGCTTGCCATGATAGACTATCCGCAGCACGCGAATCTTTTGAACGAGACGATTTCCAGTGGGTCGCTTAGTAGCTTGCTCGAGCCTGTCGCCCAGAATGGCTATCTCTGCCTGCTAAGGGAGCATATCCAAGTCGGGTCGCATGCGGACGCTTACTCCTCATATGCTTTGCTCGAAGGATCAGACATCACGCCGTATTCATCGCCTGATCCTCCAGCGGGTGACGGCGCTCATCGCATCGTCCTTGCCGCTTTCGCAAGCAATGGCGACCTGAGCCAGTCCGCTACCAGTCTTGCTCAGCAGCGTGGCAACTTCAATCTCACTGCCTTTGCTGAAGCTGCGAATCTCGACACTCCGTACGCGCTAAGCTTTTTCATTATCGATGCGGGTGGCGACCGGGTTCTAGATACCTACAACAAGCTCAAGAGCTCGCCCGCACCTCGATCCGCGCTTCCCAAGTCGCTAGTATGGCTCACAGTCTTGGCTTTTTCATGTGCGAGCTTGTAAGGCGCCGAGATAACCGATGGGTGCCGAATGATTGATCGAGTGAACGTCAAATCATATCGAGCACGCCGGAGCCCGCTCCTGGGGATCCGGCTGCAAGCTGACGTCTGTTAAGACTCTTCCCGGAAACGGTGCAAAAGCGTCATTGAACCGTCTTGCCCCCTCGCCGGCGATGGGTTCTGTGAGGCCCAGCGCAAGGCTTTGCCAGCTCCTTTCAGCGGCTGCTCGCCAATAAAGTCATATCATCCTTCTTGCGCCGGACAATACGAAGTGCGAGCTCCCAAAAAGTCAATCGAGACATGAAGCGAATACTAGGATGCTGCTGTGATGAGCCATGTTGAGCAAATTTGAGGTCCCGAGACAGATCGATCAGAACTCCAGATGACGTTGGCCTTTTTGCGATTCCCGAAAGGCGGCTTCATCGCCGCGATTGAGTGCTAGCCAGCTCTGAAAGCAGATGAAGGGCTGATGTTCTGGTTTGACGACTGTCGAGTCGGATTGATTGCATGTGCATTGGTGCTCTTCGTATGCAGGCGAAGCAGGACAATGTAGTATTGGGCGGTGGTAATATCCAATGTCATCGAAATAGTGGACCTGGTCTCGGGGCAGAAAGAGGCCGAGAGCGAGTGAATGTACCGGTGCATCGCCTGTAGTAAAGATGAGAATGCGCGTGTGGACATGAAGAGAGTACTTAGCCCAACGTTCATAGAAGAAGCCTCCTGCTTTTTCTAAGTGATTGAAATATTTAGTGTAGGCTTCTGAGCGCCAGAAAGATATACGCCCAATCTCGAAATTGCTCCTGCTTGAAGTGTCAGCATGACTCGGGTGAGCGGTGACCCCATGCACCAAAAGTGACAAGTCTGCAAACGCAAGCGTATAAGCTCGCTCGAAACCCGTCAAGAGATCGCTCACACTGTAGCTTCCATTGGGATGCAGCCATGGCATCAAGTTGTTCTTGGCGAGATACTGCGGATTCCTCTTGACGAAGATCATGGTCTCGCGCCAGAGGGTAGGCAGCGAGACGGTGTAGTCTTTGGTGGTAATGACGAAGCCATAAGTCTTGTTGAGCCTCTCCAGGCGTAGGAACGGATCCTGCTTGACCTGACAGGAGTAGACGACGTCAGGCTCGAGGCGCCAGTACCATTCGAAGCGGTCCAGAAGGGGATGCCGGAAGATGTAGCCTGACATGTATCTGCACATTTTGCGATACGAGAGTCGACCGCCGTAGGGAATGCCGGTGGCCGCCATCTTGATCATGGCCAGTCTCTGCTTGAGCCTGTTGATGTGTTCGGGCATATCCCACTGCTCTGCAGGCACGAGTCCGTAGTGTGTCTTTGCACGGGTGGCAAGCGTCGTCTTTGCGCGCCAGTCGTAGCTGAAGTATTGCTCGTTCAGGAAGACCCAAGGGTACTGGTGCTTGTTGTTGAAGATCTCCTCGACATTGCGCATCATGCTCAGCACGCCCTCGAGATCTGTCTCGCGAGCAAGGACGAGCAGGCAGGCGCTCGCTCTTTCAGCTGGCGGCTCGATCACTTGCAATGCCGGCGGATCTTTGAGGGGCCACTGCCATAGAGCAAGCACTGTCCGAGCGATAGCCAGCCAGACGAAGACAGACCACATACTGACGGCCTGTGTGGGCGCCGACAGAGACCGCTGAGATGTGAGAAGGATGTACGTGTCAGTTCGGTAATTCGGTCGATCAAAGCCAATAAACGCGTCGACGGCGCGAACAGGCGCTCGAAAGGAGGCGAGGAGGTCTCCTGGCAGCTTGCAGGCTGGCCAGAGCTATGCGGTGACGGTTGTGCGCGATCGTAGGTCTAATGTGACATGCCTGACATGCATGGCTCGCTGACGCGTACTTCTCCTAAGGTGAGGCTGCAGAGCATCGAGCGCTTTCCTTCCTGGCCAAGATGGCAGGCCATGTGGATCCAGTCATTGCGCAAGCCTTGGCAAACCTCATCGCGGTCCTGCCTGCTTCGGTGCAGCAGCAGCAGCAGCAGCATATCCAGCTCAACCAGACCAGCATAGGCGCTAGCCCCTCCTCTCAGACCGCGACCGCGGCGAGCTTCTATGCGCTTGCTCAGCAACTCGTGCAGGAGCAGCAGTCTCAGCTGGCCATGACGGGTACGCATTCTCAAAGCAATTCGGGACCGCATCCCAGGCATGCTGCGTCCAACCTGCAGCAGCTCGAGGGGCAGCTCCAAAACAGGATCGGATCTCCCACCAATACGCCCAGCCTACTCGAAGCAGCTCGACGCTTGCAGCAGCAACAGCAGAGTCAGACCAGTGCACGCTATACTGCTTACCCTTCCCCGGATCCCCAGAGCCAGCTCGAATCCCTCGCTGCATTGTACACGGGCTCCCCAGGCATACTTCAGCCGGGCTATCCGGACGACCATCGCACAGCCCGATCCGACCCTTCTCTGAGACCAACGCATGCGCCGAGTCCGGCTCCGTCAGGCTCGACTACCATGTCAAGCTTCAACTCGCGTCATAACAACCTCATGGCAGATCATACGGGCTACAACCTGGCAAACGCGCAGGCGCTAGAGGTCCTTGCTCGCATGGCCTCTCCCGCTGCATCGCCAAATCGCCGCGGAGACTCAAATACGAACAAATCTTGCGGAGGGAGCGCTACCAGCTTAGCCCTCCCGAAGCAAGCTCCGAGCTTTCTGCGCACCGCGAGAGGCTCGTCCGCCCAAACGTCTCAAGTCATGAATTCGTCTGACTCGAGGGCGCAAAGTGAATCCTCAGAGCTTGCGACATCGCCTAGAGATACCGTCAGACCTTCGTCCAACCAATATAAGCCACTGCCGACTCGCTCCGGTCGAGTGCCCATCATGCCAGCCGACCCGAGCAATCCGACTTTCAATCTGAACTCGTTTTTCGAGTTTCCCTCTGACAGCGATTCAGACGATCCTGATTTCCAGCCTGGAGGGGCTGAATGGCTTGAGATGGGCTTGCCTACTGTTGCCACCGAGGGCGAAGAGTGGATTCCAGACGCAGATGATGCGCAAGGCCAGCATGATGATTGGATGGACGCTCTGGCCGGTCAGCAAACAAATGACGCCAGCCGTCGACCTAAGCGCACGCGTCAGAGCTCAGCATCGCCCAAGACACACGGCCGCGCCATACCCAAGGCATCGGGTGGAGCCACTGTTCAGCCGGTCGACAGTTCCCCGCCGGCCTTCATCCTGCCGCCCGCGCGCTCAAGAGACGCAGCTGGCCAGACGCCCGCCGTTTCGACGCCTGATGCCGACGAGGATAGAGCGACCCCTCAAGCAAAACGACGATCGCTCAAGAAGCTACCAGAACCAGAGCGCGAAGAGCTTCAACGAGAGGAGCGCCGCCAGAAAGCACAGCTCCAGCGCGACCGCAAGAAAACCGAGCTCGACAGCCTTCGCAAGCAAGTCGCCGAACTCACGCTGGACAAAGCCAAGCTCAGCAGGGAGCTCAAGCTTATGCGCCAGATCAGGCCAGATCACACTGTCTTGTGTGACTTACTGAAAGTCTATGGCCATACCGCAAGCCAGGAGACTCTCCTGAAGATCATCGATATCACGACCAGGATACACTCGAGGAAATGACAGACTATGCTATACGTTAAGCTGTTGACAATCTGTAAATGTTGTATGTCCGGCAAGCATCGTCAGATGGGATACAACAGAGATTGCCAACCTGACGGTGAGAGCCGATCCAGCATCGATTGAAGCTCCGAAGGTGCGGGCGCAGCGTGCGTATGCGACTGTGCTTCCAGTTCTAGGAGAATCTGTGAGATGTCTTTCGACAGCGTCGGCTGCATTGCAGCAGAGGAGGGTGTCTCGATGCTTGATGCCGGCGTGGCCGATTCTCGCGAAGAGGTATTGCTAGCTGCATATTTCGCTCTCCAATTTCGGGTGTTGACGTGCATGCCGATATCCGATGGACCAAGCGCTTTCGGCAAGCAAGAGTCAGAGTCCGCGAGCAGGCCACTCAGCGTGCCGGCGACGATGATACCGAGTTTGAAGCGTCGACCGACGATCCTGAGCGCTTCGATGATCTGCTGAATGTCACGAAATGCTTCTTCGGCGCGTGTCCGGTCGCCCATCTGGTTACGTATCGCATGTTCTCTAATGAAAGTCCGGCCGGCGACAGACCAGCAGTGTATTGCAAACGTCGCGAGCAGGCTGAGGTCATATGAGGACGATCTCAAGACATTGATGATGCTGAGTATGGACCGCGCAGAAGCTAGACAGCGCTCCCTAGGCAGATCGGTCGCGTTGAGACTGACGAAGGGCTCATGGAGCAAGATGGTGGAGCAATGCGGCACAGTGTGCGCGGTGATGAGCTCCACGTCAAAGAGTGCACGTGAGCGGTCGCCCAACGCTTGGCTGAAATTACGATAAGCAGGAGGAAAGCTCAGTCTGAACGCGACCAGCTCGGCGTCAAGACGTCTGAATTCTGGGGACTCTATGAGGCTTTCTCTTGTACAGCCTGGCAGAGCATCTCCGTCTCCGAAAGGAGGTGGCAAACGTTGGACATAGTACGTAGCTCGTCCCAGCAAGATGACGGCCTTGATGTCAAGCTGTCTCGGCCCGACAAGGCCGTTCGGATGGCATGTGAAGAATTGAGGCGAACGAATGAAAAGTGCAGCCACAGCCTCGTCCTCTGTCACTGTTTCTAGGACCTCTGGAATTTGACTGGGCAAGAGCGAAGTAATGTCCTTTTCGTCGATCGCTCCCGCCCAGCCTGTACTAACGCTGGCGAAGCGATCGCACATGAAATTTGTCCAAAAGGTCTCAGACCGTTCATGATAGATGTGACAGTCCTTGCTCGGCGGAAAGAAGAATCTACGAGGTCGATTGTCGACTGCCCCCGGGTCACTCCTGAATTCCAGTCGTGGGATCTTGTTGAGCTCGAGGGGCAGACATGTTCTTGTAGCGAGGCCGCAGAATGCCCACACTTCTGTGAACTTGGCAGTCGCGAGGGCGAAGAAGACAAGCAGGCTAGTAGCCTGAGCCATATCGAGAAGCTTATGACCATCTGACAATCCGGCGACCCATGCATAGCGCGCCTGATTTGCATGGTAAGCGGCAGGGCTGTGGATGGCGGATTAGCCGCGCGATCAATAATAGCACGAGACTGACCTAGGATCGCCTCCTATAGCCCAGTATTGCTCGAGGTGGATGCCGTAAGCTTCGGGCGCGAGCAGCGAGGAGCCGATGCAGCAGACGCTGTGGATCAGGCTGGTATGAGGGAAGTCGGGATGACGCGGAGGAAGGTCCAACGCAGCTGCACAAGTCAATTCAGAGTGGTTCGGCCAGACGACTGGTGTACAAACCCATGAAGCGGGCCTTGCTCACAGTATGCGAGCAGAGATGGGATTTCGAGAAAAAGGCGTTGCAGAGGGCTGAGACAAGAGCGGGCGAAGGCAACGTGATCGGCCATCCCGGATAGAGCATCTGCTGAAGAGACGCTTCGTCTGCCGGCATGAGCTGTGGATCTAGCTCGAAAGATGTCAGATCGGGCAATGGAGTGGCGGCTGCAGGCGCTGTGGCGAGATTGGAGCTGCCGCTGACGCCTAGGAAGACGTTGCCGTTGGCTTGCAGAGCGACTTCAGGCCAGATTGAAGCTAAATCGGTAGCGGTCGATGACATACCGGGCGATGCTGCCGTTGCCGTACGTGCGCTTATGACCGAACGTGCGTGAGAAGCGGATGCGAGATCAGCAAGCTGACGCTCAAGAATCTGATTGCGTTGTTCTAGCGCTCGGATCATCTCTTGCCAGTCTGGCTGCGCATCGTAGGCAGTCGCAGGCGCTTCCGCCTTGAAGACCGGCGCAGATGAGCCAGCGGATGATCGCAGGCGTGGTTGAGCCTCCTTGCGGGCATATTGACAAACGACATCGTCCGGCTCATTGCCCGACGCGATAGCTGATCGCCGGCATGGAGTACACGCGGGCCTGAGAACGTCACATTTGACTTTGCGGTCTCTGCAACGTTGGCAAGCTTCGAACCTGCTGAGCGCCGGTTGACGCCGCTTGCGAGGCTTGTCCTTGTCCGGCTCGGTCGTTTCAGACAGTCTGCGCGTATTCAGGGGAGGCAGTCTGTGATGCTGGCTTGACGATGGATGACTGCCTTGGTCATTGTACGGCTGACCGACACTGCTGTGGTAGGGACCCAGCCTGAGATCGCCTACATGAGACGCAGCTGGACTGGATGACTGAGTCTGCGCAGCAGGCAGCCCTGCCGAGCCGAAGAGCTGTGTCTTGAGGTCGATCGGGGCATTCCATGGCGAATCCATGGCGCACCGTCCGACGTCGAGCGATGGGCGAGCTTGTCCGATCGACTGCGGGGAAAGCGGAGCTGAGCGCTGACCACGGAAAGCGCGACGACAGTGATCTGAGCGAGCGCGCGCCCAACGAATCATCGAGCCCGGAGTGCGTCAGACATCCATGCAGCTATGCCCTCATCACCTGGCTGTGCTTGCGCTTGTGCCGGCGGGCTGTCCTGGACCAGCATGCGCTCCGCCGAGTAGGCTGGCTCAGGTTCTCGATGTCTTGTTCGACTGGATCTACGAGGCACGTCGGCATCGTCACCGCTATATTCTGCAGCTCATACATACGGACTTTTCTTCAGATCGTGCCAGAAAGCGCTAGTCTGGCCGACTGCATACAACGAATGCCCTGTGGTCTCGAAATGCAGATCAAGACCGTGCATGGTGTCTTTGAAGCACTGCAAACGCAGGGAGCAGACGCGCTCGCTCGCTACTTCGAGGAGCTCACTGCACTACTAGATTCGCCCGACGAGCCTGCGAATGAGCATCTTCCTCTCGTCTGTATGCTGTCCGCGCACCGTCACCGAGCTGACATTGGACACAGAGACGACGATCGCCCTTGGCATTCTTTGTTCGACGATGCCTCTTGACATATGAGAGCCTCGACATCTCAGAGGTCGAGGACTTACTGGCCAGCGTAGCGGCATACGTAGCCGGACTACCCAATTTGCGCGTGGCGCATACAATTTGCGACGAGAAGCAAGACACCCTCCACCAGTCTGTGTCATGCGAGCACATGAGATGCGCGCGCTCATGCTACCGGACAGGATCCTCAGAGATATCTGCTCTGGATGTTCTCAGAGAGCTCTCGAAGGTGTCAGACGTTATGCTGAGCGACTTCCCTCATCAGATGCCAAACAGACCGAGTCAGCTTCGAGGGCATTACGCCGGGCATGCATCATTACTGACCTATCGGCTCAGATTAGAAGAGGCAGATAGCTACCTCTATCTTGCACAGATCTACCTAGACGACGGGATGTACGAGTCGGCTCACTATGTTGGTTTTACATGTCCCTGTCGATGGCGATGAGCTCATGCGCGGAGCAGTGCCTGCAAGAGGCGCAGCAAACAGCTCGATCGAACAAGGATGCACTCCAGCTCGACGCCTGCGCCAAAACTCGATACAACATGGATCGGCTCACGAGGCGCTTCTCAGTCGCTGTGCCCTCGTTCGTCAGTTCTAAAGAAGACGACAATCTTGATGTCTCCGGTCTGAGCCCGACGCAGCCACAGAAAGCTCCGCATAACAATCCGATACCACGCGGCCAGCGGGTGTGGGAGGCTTTCCTTGGCGTAAGCGGGCTTTCTCGATGTAATGCGCCATGCTCAGGGGATCGCGACAGGGCAAGCCTATCGGCGCGCTGTTGGTCGACCTTGCATCATCTTCGGCACCCACGGCCGACGATAGCAGCCGCACGTGCACCAAGCTGGCCAAAGACGAGGTCGAAGAGCACGCTGTTGCCGCATTTTTGCATACCTCACTCGGCGCGTCTAGCGTGGCAGCCGCCCATGAAGAGATCGTCATAGCTGATGGCGGGAACTCTGGCGAGACTCTCTCGCTGCTTATCAACCGGGCCATGCGTGTAAGCTTGTAGCTTGCGAGAACGCTGTGCACGGTGCCTGATCATGGTGATAGGTCGCGCGCAGGGGCGACTATGAAGCAGCACTGGGCATGCTCTGGTCACAGCAGCCGCGACTGTCTTTGAGAGCATGCTCAGAGTTGCAGCGTGCCAGCTACGCGATTCTGCGCCTGAGAGCCGACCGCGCATACATGCCCACTATCGTGCAGCTGATCGATTGTCTTTTGCCGGTCGCATCGTCGTCGAGCTTGGCTGGCGAGGCTATCGTCCTGAAGCAGCACATCACAAGTCGCGACGCCATTGAGGTCGGCGAGACGGCTGCACCGGACAGTATCGAGAGAGTCGAAGGTCTTTTGCGCCGGGCACGTAAATATATGGTTAGCGCACAGCACAATCAACGGGATCTTGTCTCACTCGTGCGCGGCAGATCGCTGAACGCCCTTCGCAAGCTCTCGCGCGCGTGTTGGAAGCCTTGACGCTTTCGTCACCTGTCGACGGGCAAGGCCTTTCGCGGCTCTATCACCTCGCACGAGTTATGCTCGCCGACATCTTGCTCGCTCACGGTCCGGACGGGACAACGAAGGCTTCCGAAGCGCTCGATGTTTGCTTTGCAGGAGTCGTCGCGCAAGGAGATGCCGAAATCTCAGCGTATGCGCATTTGACGCGAGCTCGGGTGCTCATGGCAGCAATGGCCACGGAAAGTATGTGATCCACCGCGAGCTTGATCAGACGAGCACTCACACGATTGCGGCAGAGAACGAAGCTGCATTGCGGGTAGCGCTCGACAGCCTACACGAAGCGCGAAAAGGTAGGCTCATGAGAGTCGCAGATCACTCTCTATTGACACGTCGGTGAGCAGGCTACCATGCGACAGGGTGTCTCGCCGATGGACTGCGCTGTCTGAAGTACATTGCGCAGATTCAGCACGAGCTCGGCGATCTGGCAGGTCGTGATGCAACGGCGCGACTCTGGCAATCGGAGCAAGCGAGCATGACGGGGTCTGCTGGGGACGCGGCGCTGACGAGGGCAGCGAGAGAGCTGAACAGACTTGCTGACATCATGTTGGCAATGTCTGACGGCATCGCTCATCATGCTCGGGCTGTATAGACTCACACGAGATTTTTGCCAAGTCTGGCGAGATCTGTTGCGTGGCTTGAAAGTGAGCGGCACGCCCAGCTGGCATCGGGACACTCACGATAATTGATGGTCGGCTTGTTGAGCTTCTGATACTTGCCGGCCTTGGCCATGCACCTCTGGAAACTCCGCACAGAATCCTGGCAGCGGGTGCTCTGGCTCTTCGCTTCCAGAGCAGCCTCGGTGCTCGTCAGTGAGGCGAAACATGCAAGCAGAGCTGCCATCTCGGGTCCACAGGCTGCCTCTGCTGTCAGCTTGCCGGGCTTGATCTTGAGCTTGGGGATGTGCATGATCGCCAGTGGAAACGCTGGTTGGCAGGCGATTCGCAAAACCGGCAGACTCCTCGCAAAATCGCGTAGGTAGGCCCGGCCCAGTCTACGCAGGAACAGCGCTCGCGGCCCGGCAGCCCGGCAGCCTGGACTCAGCTAGCAAGGCCGGCCTCGACGCTTCTCGTGGACCGCATGTCCAGTCGATCGAGACACTTGTATCGCAAGCTTGTCGGCTTTGCAGGCTCAGCGGTGGGCTATGATGGCACGCCCAAGCGGCAGCTACGGAGGCTTTACCGCAACTCCATCGACGATCTCCTGGCTAAACAGCCGACGACTGATGAGTGCAGCCTGCGAGGTCAGACTGGTGTTGTGATGATGTATCAGACGGAGGACTCATCGACCGCTACAGTACAACGCACGATCAAGCTGCTTCATGCTGCAGCCGAGCGAGAGCGCGTCCCTGGCCTGACGATCAAGAACCTCTGTCAGCTCTACCATCATCTGCGACCAAACCACGTTGCTCAGATGACCCGACGCAAACGGGGCCTCCACAGATCATACATCGCCATCCCACCAGATCTGTCTGTGCCGCACGGCACGGCAAAGCTGTCTGCAGAGCCGTCTAAGCTGCTTCTTTCGGAGCACAAGTCGAGAGCCCTCTATGCCCTTGCCGAGCTGGTCGAGATGGCAGAGGGCAGCCAGACGATCCTGCTGGGTCGCTTGCCTCCCAAGCCCGCGCTCGAGTGAATGGTCATCATGGCCTGCCGAGTCTCGCGATGATGGCCAGACTGTCTGCCACAAAGTCAGGTCGGATATCGCTTGACCTGAGCGCGTCCCGCGAAGTCGCGCCGCTAAAGACGAGCAGGGACTTGAGACCCGCGTTCTTGGCGAACTGGATGTCTGTCGCCAGGCTGTCGCCGATCATGAGGGTCCTACTGCTGTCCATCTTGCCCCTGCAGGACGCGACCAGTCAGCAGGCACGAGCCAGTAACGGCGTGCTAGAGTTCTCACTCTCGATTGATGCTGTCCCAGAGCGTCTTGTTGGGCTTTCCGCAAACCGTCACAGGATTCTTCGTCGCCGGACGGAGGGTAGCCGCCATCAAGCCCTCGCCCGGGCAGGCAACATCCTGACCGACGACGACCTCGACATCGTCATTCGTCAGCACCAGTTGGCAGTGTGCATTTTTTGCCAAGTGATCATACGCCTGGCAGATCTTGCGGTAGTTGAAATGCATGTCAAACGAAAGCAGCACAATCCCGATGCGTGGGTCTGGCTTGATGGACGAGAAGTCCTGGAGAGGCATCGGCTCATTCCATTTGGGATCAGAGCCTCCCCTAAAGTTCGTAATGCCTGCCTCTCGCAATTCTTCCTCGAGAGCGGCCTGACAGATGAGGAATATATCTCGTTTGGCTGGGTCGAGCCTGGGCAGCAAGCTCGCGAGATGATCTACTGATGCCGTCCCACTCGAGCAGACGTCAGTGTGCAGGATCTCGTGGAGACCGATGTCATGCAATCGCTTGACATACGTCTTTCTGCTGGCTGTTGCATTGTTGGTGATGAACTTGACTCGCTTGCCAAGCTTGAGCAAGTACCTGATCGCATCCACACTGCCGGCTATTGGCTCCGAGCCAACCCAGATGACACCGTCACAATCGAAAAGGAAGCTGTCGTACTGTGCGAGGAACCCGGCCAGGTCCTCGTGCTCGTCTAGCTCTTTCGGCATGTCAGCGCGGCTGGGGCAGGCCACAATGTCGATGCCTGTCGTCAAGTCCGTCGTCGAGCGTAAGGGATCAATAGAAAAAAGCGAAAGCAAATGATCAGTCAGGCGGACAGGCCGGCTGGACGTGCTAGCAGGCAGACTTCCACGTCGGCTTGTTTGCGTACGTCCCCGTCCTCTCGCGTCGTCGTCGCGTTGTTGGCAGGAGCGCGGGCAGCAACGCATTGCACTTGTATCTTTGTCGGCCGGCCTGACAGTGGCAGGAGCGGCTGGCGCGCAAGATGATGGTACCCTTCCCGTCTCATGTGCTCAGGCTGTACTACCTCCAGATGGGCTGGGATGAGCACAACCACTACGCCAATCTGACCAGGTCGAGTCGGGCCATCCTCGATTTCGCGATACCAGCCCAATTTGGCATCACCATCAGCAAAGCTCCGCTCCGTCAGTTCTCGACGTCTGCAGCATTGACCGCGCCCTCCCTGCGTGGCTCGCTTGCTTATCTCTTCATCCAGCCTGGCATAGACATCGGGCAAAGCGGGATAGAGAACCTCAAAGAGCTTGGCGAACGCTTCAGAGTGCCTCCTCTCCCGAGCCGGCCAGTGATGAACAGCGGCAGAGGCGGTAACTCTCACACGCGAGCCTTTGCCGGAGCGCTCGCTGATTCGATGTAGTCAGAATATTTCCTATACGGTAAGATGCACTTGCCCACCAATCGGCTCGACGCGCTCTATCTGCATCGTCTCTCGCCGACCGTGCTGCTCATGAGCACCCTCGTCTCCATGCCTCCATCGCTCGCGTCTCGTGCCATTCCTCTGCCAGACCATGATCCGCCGCCGTCCTCAGTCAGCAAGGTCAAGGGTCAGATCGACACAAATCTCGTCCTCTGCCTTCAGCAAGATCGCGGCAGATGGAGCTCAGAGTACAGCTACAGCGCCGCCGATGGCCTCGTCGGTGCTCGCTTCCTACACAATCTCGCCATCTCGCGCAAACACGCCGTGCCCATTCGACCGCGGCGGATCGACGAAGATGTCGATTCGGATGTCTCAGACACCGCCCTTCGTGGTCGCTTCTCGCTCGGCGCAGAGGTCTTCTTCTCTGCTCAAGAGAAGTCTGCTGGTGGTTCGTCTCGCATTTGCCTCGCCGCAAAGCTACCATGTTCACACAATTGTTACAGTCTCGACGGGCGTCAGGTTTAGCACCTTGCCAGATGAGCCAAGTCAGCCACCTACCGTCATCACTGCAACATTCAATCCGATCATGGGCCACATCTCTGCTGCCTACGGCGCCAGGGCTAGCCCCGACCTCGCGCTGTGCTCAAAGTGAGCCGACCGCTCTGTTGCGCGAAGCACATCTGAACTCGGGCAGATTCGATTTTAACATATACTCGTACGATTCCAACGTCACTATGGGCGCAGAGTGGTGGCACAGACGGAGGAGGATGCTGCGTTCTGCGAGCACAACGGACAAGACTGGTTTCGTGCAATCATTCTGGCGAGCTGCCGACCAAGGCGAGGTCATCGGCTGCCTGAAAGCACGTGCCTCTACCACGTCTGACGTTGCCTTGCTCTGGGAATCTCGACTACACAATTGCTTGATTGGCTTTGGCGTCAAAGCTGACTTGACCAGTCGTGCAAGACCTATCAAAGCAGTCGGCCTTGATCTCAAATTCTTCTCGAGTGATTGATTCAGGCCGTGTACGCAAAATAAGGGTTCTGCTTGTCTGTCAAATCCGAAGACGCTGCCTTGGCTGCCTCTGCCGCCATCTCGACCTGCGTCAACTTCGCGGCTCGTAATGTAAGCAGAGCGGCCTTCCGCTGTTGCGCTGCCAACGTCAGGCGTCTAAGAATCAAGCTGAGTGTCATCTCGATGACCAGCACGATCAAGCAGAGCAATTTGCCGGGCATGAAACTGCGACCGTCTTCAAAGATTTCTGTTCCCGCCAGGCTGCCCAGTGCCGCAGAGAACATGACTGCTGCACCGGCGAAAGCCTTCTTGGTGGACCCCGCCACGTTGGCAGCTATCCACGAGAAGATGATGGCAGGGCTCGAAGAGGCAATGCCAGCTAGATACAGGCCTAATAGGGATAGCATCCTTGGGCCATCTGATGCCGCCAAGAGGACTATCCAGCCCACTACTGAGGGTGCTATTGCCAATATAATTGGCCGCGAACGATCTTGTCTGCGATCAGATAGCGTGCAAACGATCAAGGTCATTGCGGACGCCAGCAGACCCATCGGACCGGACAAGAGCAAGACTGTACGATCGCTGTAGCCGTATGTGCCCATGAAAATGGTCGAAAATGACACGAGCGCAGAGCTGGGCAGAGCTCCAAGCAAGCTCATCAAGCAGAGTAGCCAGATTTTGATATCGTAGCAGGCTTCCAGCATCTGTTCGCGCTGGTTGCCATCGACCTTGCGGCTGGTCTGCTCCAGAGAAACTCTCTCCATGGCGATGAACTGGACTATCATTAGCTTTCGGGCAGCCTCGATGTCGGCTCCGACTTTACTTTATCTTCGGGTGCAGCAGACGACCAAAGATGGGGGGCCTCGGGCAGGTATAGCGTGACGATCAGCCCGACCAAGACAGCGAAGATGCCAAGCAAGATGAAGAGAAGCATGTAGCTCTTGAGCTTGTTATTGTGGGTATATGAAAGTGCATATGCAAGCAAACCGCCGAGAACTTGCGTTAGGCCATCCATTGAGTAGAAGACAGCGATCCGCTTCGCCTTCTCTGAGCTCGTGTAAAAGTTGGAGACAACAATAATGAGCAGGGGCGAGACACACGATTCGAGGGCTCCCAGCAGCATCCGACATAAGAAAAAGGCGACAAAAGATCTCGCGATAGACAGAAGGGCCAAAACGATGCCCCAGACGATGAGATTGCCGCCCAGATATAGCGGCAAGGGGAAACGCCGAGCGATGATCTGTGTTGGAAAGACCCACAGAATGTAGCCGAGATGGAAACTGAGAGCCACGAGATTGTACTGCTGGCCGACGATGGGCAGATCAAGCACGGTCGCATAACGCAAAGCTGTTTTGTCAAGATATTGGGTCAGATATACAGCTGACAGACATGTTGCCACAGCGACATCGATCTTTCGGAGCACTCTCTGCCTATCTGCGGCCGAGCTCTGGAAGACTCCGCAAGGTCCCTGTGCTCCCTGCTTGTCAGTGTGCTCGTGAGTCAGATTCACAGAGTCCGAGACGATGGCGGTCATCTGTCAGACAAGACCGATCGCGACAGCATGCAGAGTTTACACGCCAGACAAGAGTTTGAGCAGCGCTAGGAGCAAGACGGCACTAGCGTGAGACCTATTGACTTCTTGAAAGGGCCCGAGCATCACTCGATGGGGCCTTGAGGCGTGAGGGTTAGGGCTCGTGTACAGGCTGATTGAGGTCTGCTGCCTGTCGCACATGACTCTTGACGCACGGAAACGAGTCATAGCTGACTGTAGCGCCGACACTGCTTCGCTTGAGGTGTCCTCGAGGCTTGGGTTGGCAGTATCGAGACTGTCTCGCTGCTCTGCCAATGCCGGCCAGATTCGATGGACAGCTCGCCGTGTTGAGTCACTATGCAAGCCAGAGGCATGGGATGCTGCTGCAGGATGGCCGGACAATGGGATGCTTGATGCTGGCTCTGACCAGCATGACGTGTCTCTTGTGTCTCGTAGAACTTGAGCAGCACGCAGGCGCCGAGGCGTCGTCCGTGTTCAGGCCCAAGTCCTGAGTGTCTGCGACCGACACGCTGCCACCATCTCGGCACAACAGCATGTGGAGGGCAGTCACGAGTGCCAGACGGGTGCTCGCAGGTGCTCAGGACGACGGCCGTCCCAGTTGGAACAACACCGCTTCGTCTGCCCAACATCCTTCGACCAGCTATGACCGATCACGTCAGCGTCCCTTTGGCGCAGCAGTAGCGACAGCAGCAAGCCGACTGACCAGCCGGGACGATGAGCTCGACGCCGCTTTTGACAACGAGGCCGATGGTGAGGCAAGCATGATCCTACAACAGCCCTATGATCGGCCGCCGAGGCACAGCTCCGACTCTCTACACGGCGACGGCGACGGCAATGAACACGATGCTGATATTGACGACGACGATGATGATGCTCGAGACGATGACCAGGACGATGAGGCGAGACCTCTGCGATCGCAGGCTCACCGACAACTACCAGGCTATGTCGATTCAGGCATAGCATTGTCTACAGTCAGCAGCACCCGAAGAGCGCCCACGAGCATCACGCGCTCGGATAGAAGACCTCCCGGAACATACCATCCCGTCGGCTCGACCGCAGAAGACCACTCAGATTTGCCAGTCCCCGTCACACAGCCGACCGCCCTGGCAGGCTCACGGATGCGCGCTTGGCGACACCGACTGCTGCCGAGCTCGCTCCTTCACCCGGGCGCTCCCTCTATCCACACATCTCATTCCGGTCCAGGCTCGGGCAACGATGGCGTCTTTGCCAACCTGAATGCAAAGCCGGAAATGCGTCGGGGCGAGCATGGCCAGCTAGAATTCGTCGGCGGCGATGACGAAGGGGCAGGCAAAGAAGTTCCACCTGTACGTCTTGCAGCAATGCGAGCAAAGAATCATTACTGATCACTTTCCTGCAGTCATACGAGGCAGCCTCTGCAGACACGACCCCACCCTACTGGGAGACCACCGTCATTGCCCCCTCTGGCTACCTATCGGGCAGTGACGATGTACTCGTAGATGGTCTGCCTGTCGGCAACTTCTTTGCTTTCGCCTGGAACCTTCTCGTCTCTATGAGCTTCCAATTTATCGGTATGTTCCGGCAGGTCGCGTGGGAGAGTACTAATCATCAACTGATTGGGCAGGTTTCTTGCTCACGTATCTCTTGCATACCTCTCATGCTGCCAAGAATGGCTCACGAGCTGGCCTGGGCATTACTATGATCCAATATGCGCTCTATCTGAGAAGCAGAGCTGCCATGATTGCCAGAGGCGAGCTCGACAACGAGATTATCGGTCCAGGCTACGATCCGGCCGGCCAGAACAGCACGACGGCAGCTGCAATGAGTACATACGGGAGCGGTTGGGGCCTCTTCGGCACACCAGTCATGTCGGATACAAACGCGTCGTTACAAGAGGACGATGGCTCGCTCGCCGCCGCGACCACGCGTCGCCAAAGTCGCGGTGGTCTACCGCCAGCCAATTCATCGCTCTTCGCAGACGGTAGATTGGGACGAAATTTGACACTCATTGGCGAGCAAGATCAGCTCGATCCAGAAGCACGGCAAGGCATCATCAAAATGGCGGGCGCGGCGAATGACTATCTCTCATACGTCTTGCTCCTCATCGGCTGGATACTCGTGCTCGGGTCCTTTATCAATTACTATAAAGCAGTCAGATACGCTCGAGCGATCCGCGACTCCGAGATCAATGCGCGAGCGAACGCGAACATTCTGTTTGACGCCACTGTTGCTCCACGGTCTGCCTGATTTCTGCCGTCACAAAGCTCATCCATGTTGTCGTTAAGCCATTGCAGGCCTCTGTACAGCCGTACACGTAGAGGCGTTCTCGCAGAAGACTGACCGAGATCGACCAATTTGTACATCAACATCACGACTTGTACTGCGGTATCCCACAAACTGCAAGGATTGGCTTCAACAAGGAGCTGTGACAACAACGTGCTTGACCTTGCATCGACAGAGCTTGGGGCTTGCGCCGCCAAGGATTCAACAACAATACCAAGGAGAGGGTAAGTGGGAGACAGAAGACCAACGTCTTTGTAGCCTAAAATCATATAGCTGACTGCGAGCAGAGCAATTAATTACATCGATTCCCGTGAAGCTCATCGCTTGCGCTTTGCCGCAGCGGGAACCGCGGCTGATCCTGATTGGACGCGAGCGGCAAGGATTGGCGCTGGTCTGAGAGAGCGCCGAAAGTCCCTCGCCCATAACGCATCAGTCAACAGCGGTGTTTCGGAATCGAAGGTGCTACGCTTGCCGAGCCCTCTGCCTTCGTTTTCTGTCCTCGGGTCCACACATTGGTCCAAGATACTGACGTCAAAGTCAGCAAGATCCAATGCGCGCGTGTTCGCCAGGCCTTTTGTAAGGCTGTCTGCGCTGGCGCTAGCTTCGACCGATTCGATGAGGTCCCAAGTCGGTAAGTCAATCCGCTCACAGCTCGTGTCATCTTCACGAATATGGGAGAGCAGGCCCAGTTGGCTATCGATCTCGGCTGAGAACGCCATCTTGTATAGTCTGGAGAGAACACGCTCGCAATTGGGTCCATGCAGAGCGTGTCTCGTTGCTGACTCGCGAGCTGTTCGTGCAATTCGGAGCAGTTCCTGAGTCTCTTTCGGTATGCCAGCGACAGCTGCGGTATATCATTTAGCTCTCGTCTCACTAGGCTGCTGCCTAAATTACCTTCGAAGCAAGCTGACAGGCAATCGAGGAAATACACAAGACAGCTCTGCTCGCGCATAGCCTAAGATCCCTCCGTAATCAGCAGGGTGTCAGACGCAGACTACCTGCAGCTTACTATCTGATGCGCTAGTCGAGCAGTCGATGTGGCTTGACATGACTCACCAAGTCTGAGTTGCAATGTCATGCAGCGAATCAAGATGACGTTGTCAGATTCTACAGCAGCAGGCGGGGTGAAGCGCTCAGAAGCAGAGAGGCTGAGCGCAAGACATACCAGCCGGCGGGCGGCGAGTAGCTGCGCTGACGTCTGACAATCACTCTCCAGACCAAGCATTTCGAGTTCGCGCTTGACCAAGTTTGTTAGATGATGCGTCATGAGAGGTTCTCGCGAGGTCAAGCATTCGGACATGAGACGGGCAGCGATCTCTTCGGAAGAGAAATTGGAGAGCATATCTTTACTCATCGCGTGCTCATCCTGACTGATGGATAGGGCGTCGGCAAAGAGCTCGATCTTGCAACGATGCGCAATCCTTAGCCAGGACTGGCAGGGCGGAAGGTCCGAGTCGCTCTCCTGCACGGCCGCAGATGCCAGCTCGCGCATGAACCGCGGTTCGAGGGTATCTAAGCCGTGGACTTCCCGCCGCTGATTCCAAGAGGCCAGTATTTCGACTGGTTTTGCCAGGAAGTTGATCAAGAAGGGTGGGCTGGCCAGCACCAAACGGCACAGATTCTGTTCGCAGCCAGTTGCGCGAGCCTCGACGAGGTCGAGATCAGCAAGCACGTTCGCGACTAGCTGAACGTCAAGCTGGCATGAACAGACTGCACTGTCCGCTCGCACTTGTTCGATCGCTGGCAGCGAATGCGGAGCAAGAAGTAAAGTCAGACTTGAAGTGAAGACTGTGGTCATGGAGCCGATGTGGCTCGACCCCGACACCGCGAGACAGCATGGTGAGATGATATAGCGAAGGGCATCTTCGAGCAACAGTAAACCCTTCGCGACCAATCGAGGCGCCAAGGCGAGCAGCTGCGGCGCAGTGCGCTCTGAGCTGCAATCTGCCAAGGCAAGCTTGGCCTCGCGTTGGCAGATCTCGCCCACGCGCTGGTCAAGATCGACTAAGAGCAGGAGGACTGTTTCAATATCTTCCGCGAAGACACCGTCGCTGGGCGCTTCCGACAGCCAGTGTATAACTGCTTTGACAATGATGGATGCTGAACCTTCGCAGTCGCGATATTTATGCCACAGAGAGCTGCCGAGCTGACTTATATTAATTTGCGATCGTAGCAAGGCCTGCAAGTCATGTAGCACGTCCGCGCTGACGATGAAGCGCTCTGATACGGTCGCAATGGGCGAGGGTCGGATGTGCGTGGGGACCAAGCTGCTCAGGGTTTCGCGATCATGCGCGCTGATGCATGTGGCGAAGCCAGGACGGCGCAAGGCACAAGTCAGACGGGCAGAGCAATGCCCACTGTGGTGTAGCTGGAAGCAGATGGTCAGCATGTCCTTGACTACATCGTCCAGGGCGACAGCGACGATTTTGAGAACAGTCAGGTTGCCGAGCACTACGTCGCTCAAGAGTAGTGCACATTCCTCTGTTCGACAATGCTTACTAAGAGCCTGGAGGCAGCCTTGTAAGCTCAGGAAGTCGCGCGTGGCCGTACAAAGCAGCAGCAATTCGGCGGTAGCGTGTATACTCGATCCTGCGATAAGATGCGGGAGCAAGCGGGGGATGACGTGCCTGCGCAACACATTCATGCTCGTCGCACGACTTCGAGACGCAGATGAGTCGCTGAGCTGTAATCGGCAAGCTTGTAGCCATTCAGCAACAGCGGGCATGTCAGAGGCGTCCACTTGTCCCAGGAGTGCTAGCTGTTCGCGTAGAGCAGCGCTCGAAAGATTGTTATCGTGCAGAATTTGCAAGCTTGCTATGATATCGATCCGTGGCGAATCTGAGCTATGACGCCTTCTCGTGCGCCCCATAGCAATCATACGCTGTCCATATATTGCCAGATCGAACACGTTTTGCGAGATCAGACAATCGAAGACGGTCAGCACAAGATCAGGCTGACATGGCGATGAAGCGTCCATCTTGTCCAACCAAGCAGCTAAAGTCGACTGCAGATCGCGGGCAAGATAGCCGTTCGAGTGCAGGTGAGCCGCCATGAGCTTGGCGACGGCGAACTGACGGTAGTTCCCAGACCGAGTCCGGGACGTAGCCCAAGCTAGCGACAGCTCGAGTGAAGCTACCAGAGATTGTTGGCAACCGAAAAACAGGCGCGCGAGCTTTGCAAAGTCACTTGTCTGCAGATTGATACCGTCGAGCAGGTCTAGGGGACGCAATGCGTTCCCGTTGATGTTGGCTTCGATCGACTGGCTAGGGGAAGCACAAGTAATCCAGAGCGACCGCTGCGCTATGCACTTGAGGGCTTGAGCAAGCGCGGTCTGTTGCTGTATCGTGGAGCAGCCTGTCAGAATAGCTGCCTCAAGCTGCGGGCTGTGGCTCAGCCAAAGAGAGGGTAAAAGGAACACCTCGGGATCTGCGACGAATAGTCTGTGCAAGAGTGCTGACCAGTAAGAGATTCCCTGTCTGGAAAGAGGCAATGTTTCATCCGAGCTCAGCATCCTCTTCGCACAAGCAATGATAAGCGCAATTGAGAGATGGGTAGATCGAGCGTATGAGTGCACGAGGCAGATGGCAAGCTCGAGAACGTAGACAACGCGCGGCGCAGGCATCGTTTCTATCTGCTCAGTGATCCAGGCGAGCAGCACAGACAAGTCGAGCAGGTTTTCCGTTTGCAGACGTTGGACAAGCTCGAGACTGCAACCGATGTTAGTCAATCTAGCCCAGTACCGGCTGCAGTGGACGCACGAGTGCGCAACGCGCATTGTCCACCGCAGTCGCTGCTCCTCCTCGCTCAACATAGACTTTGTCTTCGTCACAAGGCTCATGCCGGGCCGAGGTTGCAATGCAGAAGACGGCATGGTGATCTCGGCGAGCTGCCTGCGCAGCATTTCGGTGATTTGCACGGTAAATTCGCGCGTATAGGTGGCGACCGAAAAGCCGGGCTTCTGCCGCTGACTGGCAATGTCTGAAGCGCCCACGATCTTGATGTACCAAAGAGCGCGCGATATGGGCACGCGCCGTTGAACAAGCATGCTAAGCAATTTCTCGCCCTTGAAGCTATGCGGTACTGTTTTGGAGAGCTTTGCAAGAGGCACGTCTGGACTCGCGAGATCACAGAGCCAGGCATCTCGTTTCTGATCGTTCAGAGTCGCACGCGCGGGCAAGCGAAATGAGGATGGTCTGCATGTTTCAAAGCAGTAAGTTGCAGGAGCATGCCTTGAGGAGAAAGACAGACTAACTCTACGATGCTTCGAGCACGGGTTTGCTCCCTCAAGACGGCTTGCACCAGGCTCGACATGTGAACGAGCTGATCGGGCTTGCTGAGCTTGTCGTAGATCATCTGGTGAGCTGAAAATGTCTCCGAGTGCACTACTTTGACGTTAGCTAGTCCATCCTTGACTTCAGACTCGTCGGGTTCCCTCTGAGCTGCGTCGCAATGGGGTCCGAAGCCAGGGAAGCCGAGTCGACCGTCCGTCGTAGTCGACCATGCTCGTCTCCATTCGGGCGGCGAGAGCTGATAGGGGATCAAGGGCTGATCTAGCGCATCATGCGCCATGCCTTGCAGCTACTACTGTCTATCAGTGAGGCATTGGCGGGCAGGTAGACTTAGGAGCAGGGCCAGTCCTGCACTCGTGAGGCGCGAGCGCTTCTTGCCTCATGCTTCGAGATCAGCTTGGTGTATGATCGATATCGATCACCACTCCGATCATATCGATCATAGCGTGCTGGCGCTGGCTAGCTGGCTGACTCACGAAGCTTGAAGGACGTATCTGTAGCTAGCTAGTCGATGCAGCAGATGCCGGACGAGAGTGAGCCCTTGCTGTCTCAGGCTGGTGCAAGCGATGCAGAAGCGGAGCGAGGGCAGGCCGGGAGCCTAATCGGCCAGCTCCGTCGTCGAAAGACTTACGTTGGCTATGCCATCGTCTCCAGCTTCGTCTCTGGTTTCCTCATCCTCTTGATCGTCCTCATCGCTCAAGAGGCTCACTCCGGCTCACCTGACTCCCCGGCAGAGACGAAGCCTGTCTTCCCGCAGCTTCCCAAGCCTCAGCCAGGCCTCCGCAACCCGGCTTATCTCGTTCGCGGACGCCATGGCGCTGTTGCAGCGGAATCGGGCATTTGCTCAGACGTCGGGGTCGATGTTCTCAAGGAGAACGGCACGGCTACAGATGCAGCTATAGCTGCCACGCTGTGCATTGGCGTCGTAGACATGTTCAGCTCAGGCATCGGCGGCGGCGGCTTCCTCGTCATCAGACCACCTGACTGCATCGCCGCTCTCGACCGGTCTGCCTGCCCTGTGCCCATTTCGATCGACTTCAGGGAAACAGCGCCCGAGGCCGCACACCCGCGCATGTTCGCAGACAATGCTCTCGCAAGCAAATTCGGTGGGCTTGCGATCGGTACGCCTGGCGAGCTCAGAGGCCTCCAAGCCGCTTACCAAGCCTACGGTGGCGGGGTATCATGGCGAAGACGTACGTGCTTCCTAGCGCCAACATCAGCGCTCAATGATCCGAACAGTCTTCGAGCCTAGCATAGAGATTGCTGACAAGGGTTGGCCCGCAACCGACGCGCTGATCAATAGACTCAAGGTAGACTTGTTGCCTGTATCGCAAGCTACGACCGAGCTGACGTAACAATCGATCAGCTCTTCGGAGCCTGGATGCTGGATGCGCCAGAGTGGGCTGAAATCTTCGCTCCCGCTGGCGACTTCCTCCGCCCGGGCGAGCTCATACGTCGGCCGGCCTTAGCACGAACGCTGAGGACCGTCGCAGACAAGGGCGCAGATGCGTTCTATAAGGGAGCGATAGCGCACTCGATCGTCGAAACGACGAGAGCGGCGGGCGGTATCCTCACAAAAGCCGATCTGGCAAATTACAAGGCCGTCGTCGAGCAGGCTGCAAGGGGGACGTACCGCAATCGTACGATCTATACGACTCAGCTGCCATCGTCTGGTCCTATACTTATCTCGCTGCTCAACACACTCGAGCCGCTGGATTTGCTGGAGCAAGGCCGCACGGTCAAGAATATACACATCTTTCTCGAAGCGCTCAAATTCTCATTCGCACATCGCACTCACTTTGGCGATCCCGCTTTTCATGCCCAACCAGCTTATCTCGCCAAGCTCATGACGAAGCAATTCGGTCGCGAGACGCTCGCAAATATCACTGGCGGCACACACTCGGTATCCTACTACAATCCTTTGTTCGATGTCAAGACCGATCATGGCACCATGCATCTGTCCGTCGTCGATGCGCACGGCAGCGCGGTCTCACTGACGTCTACCGTCAACCTTCCGTTTGGCTCGCGCGTCATGGACCGCGAAACAGGCGTCATCCTGAACGATGAGATGGACGATTTCGCCACTCCCGGCGTGCCTGATTACTTCGGCCTCGAGCCTTCGCCATTCAATTATCCAGAGGCTCGAGCCGGACTCGGAAAGCGACCACTATCGAGCACAAGTGCTGTCTTGATGGACGATGCAGACGGCAAATTTCTACTTGCTCTGGGCGGCAGCGGCGGCTCGCGAATCTACAGCGCAGTCGCTCAAGTTATACTCAATCTTGATTGGGGTCAAGATCTATCTGCAGCGATACAAGAACCTAGAGTACACGATCAGCTCCTGCCAACGTACGTTTCCGTCGAGGGATCCTATTCGCCCGGCATTCTTGCTGGCTTGGCTCAGCGTGGCCATCGCGTTGAGCTCTTTGACATCAACATTGGCATTGCAGCCGTGCAAGCCGTTCAGAAGCTCGGCGGGTGGTTTTACGCCGCATCAGACAGTCGCAAGTGGGGACGAGCCGCTGCATACTAGGGTCTCAAAAGTGTGCCTCTGAGCACTGTCCGCCCCCACACAAGCCATTAGCCCCGCGCAGCGCTCTTATTTGATGACATCTCGCGAGCTTATAGACAGCACCAGCAGCTCTGCTCGTCGAGATATACAATCTGCGCCAACTTGCGATATTGCTATTGCTGAGGCGGTCCGCAAGCCGAAGCCCTGACACGCAGCAGCTTAGAACGCTCAATGTTTTGCACGGAAGAGAGCGGACACAGTTCTGCCGAGGTCGTTCATGTACACACAGGTACGCATTCAAGACAAAATCTTACAAGTCACAAGACGCATGCACGTTTCCTGTGATCGGATCAGTCGTCAGCGGGGTAGCAGTTGCGCTCGGCCGGCGCTCGTATGCTGAAGGACTGCCAAAGAAGGCTGCTCTGAGTGAGGACTGACTACGCGCTTTACGTGCTGCACTCGGTCGTCGCACGGCGAGTGAAGACGACGACCCAAATGGACTTTCCCTCGGAGAGCCATGCTCGAGCTCTTCTTGGACGGATTCCTCTTCATCTCTCTGCCCCTGCATATTGGCATTGCTATGCACTGTCATGCGAAGAGGAAAAATCGAGGTCGCAGGCTGCTCCGCGATCGGATCGAGTATTGTGCTGCCGCGTCGCCCAAAGCCCTCTTGGGCAAAGGTCTGGAGGCCAAGCGGTGAAAAGCTATACGAGTCAAACGCTGGTTGATAGTATGATTCTCCGGCAGAGCTATCGGAGGCATTGTCACCACTCGCGCTTGGCTGATGCGTCGTAGGCATCGACCAATGCTGGAAAGATTGGATAAATTCTGCTGGGCAGCTGGCGCGTCTGTCGGTGGAAATATTTGGCTGCAGATGGCTTGTTTGGAAACCAGCGGAGCCAAGCGAAGCTTGTGTAGCGGGCGTACACATTTCGCCAGCGCCGGGGGCGTACAAGGAAAAGTCGAAATTGGTGAACTGAGTCGATGCTGACGAAGGACCGCTCTGCGCAACGCCGAATTCGCCCTTGTATGCCGGTGAGATGGATAGCGACAAGCCTGCCTCGTCTGCTACTCTTTGATGTGGCAGGAACGCCTTGTTTGAGAAGGACTGAAATCGAGGCTTGCATGCATCAAGCTTGCTCGCGTCAGATACCGGCGATCTGATCGAATCTCCTGAAGCTGAGGCCATACTTGTGCCAGGCGTTAAACCAGCCGAGCTGAGAGTCTGATGCGAGTCACCGGGACTGATGCTTGGGCTTAGGCTATTCGTGGTCTGGCTGGGAGCAACCGAAGCCGCCGATGGTGAAATTGCCGACCGAGCAGAATCTGAGCGCGTAGAGAGCAAAGGCGGTGGTGGAGGGAACTCATACTGACCGAAGCCAGTAGATGCATCCGAGCCAGCGCTAATTGGTGGGGGCGCCATCATCCCTGGCGCCTGTGAGAGCGTATCGAGCCACTGAGCCATCGATTTCGAAGGCTGCTGATGCGCTCCGGCCGCAATACCGGGTGCAGCGATCATGCTTGGCGATGAATAGGGACTGGCTGTGTCCTTAGACCGTGACAACGTTAAAGGCGTGCTGCTTCCTTGGCCGTGCACTCTGGCATACATGGCCCCCGCTCCCAGTACGGCTGGCGAGCTCTCTCGGCGGAAGGCTGACACTCTGCTCGGAAACTCGGGAAGATCATCAGAAGCGTCGTCACGAGAAGCGATAGTAGTATTGCCGGGGTCGTCAAGGCCCTCAAGACCTTCGATCGGCGTTTTGCCCAGCTTTTTCCATTTTGCACGTCGATTTTGGAACTGCCTTGACTCTCAGCAGCTGGCCAAAGAGCTCGAGAACAATGCTCACCCAGACTTGCACTTCTCTCGCGGTCATCCCAAGCTGTGCTGCGATTTCCTTGCGGCGACTGACGTCTGGTTTGCAGTTGACATCGAATTGTGCCTCCAAAACTTTGAGCTGGGCACTTGACGTGCGTCGGCGAGGCTTGATCCTGCAAAGCAGTCTTTAGAAGGAGCAAGATGGTAGTGTGCCAAAGACTCACCCTGCGTTCTCGTACGAAGTCGCATGGGGTGACATGTCATACAATGGGTCAGGCGCATAGTTGTAAGCCGCTGGCTGTCTGTAGCTAGACGTCGGAAAGAACTGGATCTGCCCGCTAGTGATTGTACTCGTATAATGAGTGTCGACAGCGGTGCCGGTATGCATCATACTCAAGCCGTCTCTAAAAGGCGGTAGAGCCGATGGGCCGCTTGCGAACTGCTGGTGATGCTGCTGTAGCGGGTAACGCTGCGCTTGTTGCACCATAGACTGAAGCTGCGGCTGGCCATAGAGGTTGCCTCCTTGTTGAGCTGGCCCGAGGAGCTGGGACTGCGCCAAAGTGTGCTGCTGATGATGTTGCGCCTGCTGCTGATAATGCTGCTGCTGGAGCTGCATCATAGGCGTCCACTGGGCGACGCGAGGCTTGTAGTCAACCGCTGAAGCCGCTTGGGCGGATCCATATTGCGGGCCGTGCGTCATTACTGCGGCCGCATTTGCATAGGGCGTAGTGTCTAGATGCAATTTCTGACTTTGTAGCAGGACATTGCGAGTCAACGGCAGATGCACGTCTCTTGGCGGCTCAGTGCGCGTATGCGCGTCCGTTTGACTCTGCCCAAGCGCAAAAGGCGACATTGAGCTAGATGTTTGACTATGTAGAGCTGCCAGGTTGCTCGGCTGTGACCTTGCCTCGAGCGCATGTTGATAGGCAGCCAATTGTCTCTGAGCGCCAGCAGATGATTGCAGCAACGGCGTGTTGTCTTCTGCTTTGATGGACAGCAAGCTCGACGGGCTCAGAGATCGGTCGGCAGTCAGGGTCGTCACGGGCGAAGGAACGGGCCTTTGAGAGCTGATCAACATATTCGCTGACCGTCGGTCACTTGGCGGCCCCTAAAGACTCGAAGAATCTGCCTTGCCTGGCGTCGCCCTGTGCAATTATTCACGGCCTGAAGCAAGTCTCTGCTTGAGCACTGCCGATATGTTGCGCGACGACGGCGATGCGTGTAACGTGCTCACTGGTCGGCAACTGGCGTTGCGGGCCGATAGACACAATCTTGCGACACTGCTTCAGTTTACACCCTGGGTCGGCGCTACCGTTGATTGGCCGTCACTGGTCGTGTCACCTTCGAAGCATCCTCCACAAGACCTGCCCACAAGCCTGAGATGTTTGCTGTCTATCTCGAAGTGATCTGCCGGCCTCGTGCGCGATGAATGAGCCATGCAACTCCACGCCTCAGGCACGGCAGCCTCCCGAAAGTCGAGAGCGGACTGGATTCTCTTCTACTGAGTTCTGATTCGAGAGCGGACTAGGCCCCCGATCGCATGCCGATCTGGCTCGATCAACAGTCGAACGCGGCAATAATTTTCCCGAGAAAACACGGATCGTGTGTGGGCGGCGCGTAGCGCGCAGGGAAACGTTTTGAGAAATACTGAAATGCCATCAAGCAAACACTCGAGCGATGAGAATCTTCAGATCGAGCAGGACATGTCGCAGGGCTCTCGTCCAGGTCTCATCGGAGGAGAACTGCAGCTTGATAGACACCTGTCCGGCCTTGTCTTTATGAATCGCGTGCGGGAGTTTGAAGCTGGGATCGGCACTCGTGCAGTGATCGATGACTTGGCGCAGGCAATCGAGAAAGGCGACCATGGCGAAATCGAATCTCCGGTTCTGGAAGACCCGCCCGAAGAGCTCACCAGAGCCGTACAACTCCATGCTCGCCTTGTCGCCCATCAATCTCTCTATGCGCGAGACAGAGCCCATCGGGACCAAGCGGTACCTGGCGAAAGGACTCTATCAGCAGTGTCGGACATGCGCTGCGAGACTGAGCCCTACGTATCAAAAGTGAAGTCGAGCTTGCGTGCGATGGTATGCAGCAGAAGTAGAGTATGCCCCCAAGCCGCGTTGATCTCCGGCCAATCGATCTGCCTTGGCATTCAGCTCCGTAAGGTCTCTGCTGAGCAAGAACGCACTGGCACATTTGGCAGCCGTCCTAACCTCAACCCGTTGATAGTTGCAATGCCACTGTCGTGCCCAATGCAGAAGGCATCATCTGCGCCGAGCACGTAGGAAGTCAACAAGATGATAAAGAATGCTCATATGTCCAGGACGCACTGTAGACGTTGGTCGCCTGAAGCTTGACAAGCTCTTGGGCATCGTGTTCGAATTGGGTCCGTAACGAGCGAAGTTCGGCTTCTCGTCGCTGCAGACCGAGCAGGTATGTATTGTGCTCCTGCCAGAATCTGTACGGGGCGGGCGCTTAGTGTGATCGCGAGGGGAGGTGGTAGGCACGAACGACTCCTCCTCGCGCGCTAGCCGGGCTTCGTCTGCGTCTAGAGCGCTCAATTGTGACTCTAGCATTTCAACGTCTCGCTCCAGCTCGCACAGATGCTCCTTCTCCCTGATCTCATCGAGTGCAAGCTGGTTGATCCGTGTCTCCAGCGACGCGGTGGCTTCTGGCGATGTTTCGGCGCCCTGGGATTGCAGTGCTTTCTCGTAGGCTGCATATCGGTCTCGCTCTGCCGCAGCTTCCGCGAGTCTGACTTTCATGCTCTCGACGAGACCATCTGCGCACTCGTTACATAGCGGATGGTCCGCATCGCCGCTTGCCGACAGTAGGTGGAACAGCCTCTGGGATGCGCGCAAGCGATGACTGGCAGCATCTTGAGCGGAGCTCTCTGACCTTTCTGGCCGAGGCCGGGCAAGAGCAGCAGGTGTGGCTACCTGTCGGGCGTGAACTTGCGCTGCAGGCGATTCTGGAGCTACGTTTGAGTCTGCTAGTACGACAAACGAATCTGTCGTCGCAGCTGGGCTAGAGAGGCGTGGGGTGCGTGCTTCTGGATAGGATGTACCTTTGCCGGGCAGTACGTGGACGCCATAGGCTGCTTGAACAGCAGAAGGCAATCTTGCCAGCTTGTCTCGAGAGACTGCCGCTTGGGGGCTCACTCGGGCTGGCTCTCTGGATACGAGGGTAGCTGCGACGCTTGTATGAGCGAAGACAGGGATGTTTGAGCTGCAGTGGACACACAGGCGAGCATGTCGTATGATGAGGGCGCAAGATCAGCCAAGGAGTCGTTGAGTCGCAACGGCTGCATGGCCCGTGATGAGAGCGAGCAGCATGCACGATGTCTGCTCTGCTCACCTGTCTGCATCTCTGACAGGTGAATTCGAATGACATTGCGGCCGTCCAGGAGGAGCGTCCAGATCTTCAGAGCCAGGAGCGAGTCGGCCTGCCTGCGTTGACGCGCGCGTTGACAGTGACAGCTGACAGGCCATCAGGCTTGACAGCTTTACGAGCCTGACCGTCGATCAGCTTGACATGACCAGCGAGCCAGAGGATACGCCGACGTACAAGGCGCAGACGATCAGTCAGATCTTCCAGTCGGCAATCGATAGCGATGCTCGCAGTGCGTGCCACTTGTCGGGCAGCGCCGTGCTTGCGTCAACGCGCAGCTCGAACAGTGAAGAGCTCGACGGTCACACTCTCGACAGAATATCTCCGTCTCCTCGCTGTGGAGCTTTTCCATGCAGCCAAGGCAGGTCTCGTCCACAGCCTGCCTACTCCCCCTGAAGGCCTCCTGAGGGTCTGCACAGGACAAAGCGAGACAGGACAGCGCTGCGGGTGGCTCCATCAAGGCTAGTTCCGCCATCTGCCCGCTCACGGGCTCAGCGCCTGACTGGCTCGACAGCCCGAGCACCTCGAAGTAGTCCTAGCGGGCGTGTTGCTCGACTTTTGAGTCTCGCTGGTCATCTCACTCGCTGGAATTACAACAGACACTCCGGTATGCTACCATCCTCCGGTTGCCGCCGTGCAATCTCTTTCGCTCTTGGCTGACAAAGGGCCGGCAGGATCCCAGCGCAAAGACGGCGACGCGACGACTTGCTCGACGTGACCGAGCCATAGACCGACCCATCTAGACTGGTCGCCGGCCCTCAAACGCCAAAGTAAGCGGCGAGCGTCCACTTGGCAACGTTGAAGCCGAGTAAGCTGACAAAGTACAGTCCGAGCAACAGTACAGCCGGGAAGAGCAGCAGCTCTGTCCTTATCAGGAAGGGCAGCGCGTTGTAGCCGAGATCTGCAAGCGAAGCTCGTCAAGTGAGCCTTCGGGTCAGCAGCAACCACGCCGAGCTTGAACGCACAGGTCACGTAGATGTACTGCGCAAATGCTGCCAGGTAGAGCGTGTTGCCGACCCAGAGACAGACCCAATTGTCGCGTGTCACGACAGCCGAGAGCACGAGCTGAGCCAAGTAGAGATGCAGAAACATGGGAAAGAAGCTGTTGCAGTGCACGTCGAAGGAGTAGCCCCTGCATGCCAGTTCCATGTCCAGCCAGACGCGCGAGTGCCAGCAGACAAGACGCGCTTACCATTCTACTTCTTGCTCAGTCGCATGAGTATGTGACGAGTGCGTCATGAATCGATTCGACAGCGCCCTGCCGGCATGCGCCCTGTGTAAGCCAAGACACCATCGTGTCAAGCTGATGTAACAACCGACCAGAGCAAGGTCGCGACGATGACACCGACGAGCAGAAAGTCCACAAAGACCATGTAGAGTGTCGTCCGTACGACCATCAAGAGTGAATAATGAGCATAGAAGATCGACCAGAGCAGCCCTGCCGTGGTCAGACAGAGCGAGATGAGGAGCAGCATGGCCGGATCATCCCTCGCCCATGTGTTCTTGGTCTCTGGCAGACAGGCCCTGACATGAGCCCAGCACGTGAGCCGGCACGTCTAGGCCGACTTACGTTTGTGATAGTACACATTGCGGTAGACCCGCCTTGGAGCGATACACAAGTAAGTCAGCTGCCAGGCTGCCAGCTCGAAATCCATCTGGTTCGAGCTGAGGATCCGTCTGGCTAATATCCTCGCTTTGGCCAGTGCAGTCTTGCTCCTGCTGCCCGCGCTCCCGGCAGGGCTTGCGTAGCTAGTCGATCCGCGAGTAGGCCCCGGCACTCCTGACCCATTACCCGCCGTCGACGCTACGTCAGAGTCTTTCGTCGTCGGTAGCAGCGGCGCCATGGCGAACCAAAAGGTCAGCCAGCTCGCCCTGCGCACTGTGCGGCAGCTGCTTCGGTCTGAAGATCTGCAGGCGGGAACGCGGCGCTCGGCGAGGTAGACCTGATCGGACAGGTCGTGCAAGAGCGCGCGCGAGCGACGTGCGCGTGCTAGTTAGTGACCATCCCCATAGCAAGGCCACTCTGCGCTCGTCCCATGTCACCCGAATATAATAGCAACAAAAGTCATCTAGCGTATGTCTAGTGTCCGTTTGGCCCCGGACTAGTCTGTCGCCGAAGTTCCGTCTCCCTCAGTGGGAATCCAGCCCGAGTCGGCGAAACCAGCCCGGCCAGCTCGTCCTCTTCGTCCTCTGCTGCACTGTTGCGCTGCGCTGCTAGCTGTGCAACACTGCTCTGCGAACGGTGGCTCGCCACCGCCGGCTCTTGACCATGGAGACCGGGTATACGCGGCAGATGTCGGGGCAGATAAATGCCGTGCGACCTGGGCTTATTGTGCTGTTGGGTTTGATAAAGTGGATCAGTGTTGATGCTTGGCAAAGGTCGAGGCGTTCGATCCGTACCTGAGCTGGCAAAGACGGGCGGTGACGGGGCCGGTCGAGGGCCGAAATCGGATGGCGCCATCTCGTACGGATCTTCGTAAAGTGCTTGCGCTGAATCTGCCTGGTCATACGGCCCCAGCCAGAGCTGGCCCTTGCCAGACTGGCCGTACTGCGACGCCCCTCGCCGATGATCAGAGCGCATCGTGGTCGCAGCGCTGTCACCCGAATTCGTTTTGTGCGCATGTTGAGAGTGCACAATGCCCGCGCTGCCCTGCTGAGGATATCTGTGCTCAGTCACGTTGTCGTTGAACCCGATGGTTTGCGCTCGTGATGGTCGAGACGTGTTGCTCTCGAGATGGGGCAACATCCTCGCTGGCTCGGCGTTTGGCGAGTGCAGCCTGATCTTGTCTGCCGCATCATCCGGCATCGGCTGCGCTTCCTATCAGTCTTGCGGCAATGAGACGAGATGAGACAGGCATGCCTTGTCCCAGAGTTGATGACGCGTCACGGCATCATAGTGTCCGTTCATTCGGTCGAGTTCCTTGCTGTCGCAGGCGTCGCTGGGACGCTGGTGATGTTGCTGGCGACGCCGAGGCTCTAGACTGCTGGCACTCATGATCGAGTGACGTGCACTCCTGGCTCGGTAGATCGAGCCGATGGCGCCAAAGCCGCCTCGTATTGCGTCAACGCCAGGCTCTTCGTGCTCGAGACCCTTTTCGTCCGCGCTCGGCTCGACGCGGCTGTGCGAAAGCAGGATGGTCGAGCGCCTGTCGAGCTTGAGCTCGTTGGGATCGATCTTGCTCATTTGTAGAAGCGTGATGCCGCAACAGATGACGAGGAAACCGAAGACGACGGTTACGATCTGGGTCACGCTCGCCTTGAGGCCCTGAAAGAGGATGACAGAGGTGACCAAAGTGGCTGTCGTGAAGAGAACGTAATAGATTGCCGTCGTGGTGGCCGTATTGAACAGCTCTAGGGCCTTGTTGAGATAGTTGATCTCTGTCAGGAGGGTGACGACGACGAAAGCGAGCAGAAAGTAGATGAACCAATGCTTGAACTGGTTCTGGCCCCGGATGCTGGTCACGATGGACGAGCCGAGCCCTTGCGTGCACGAGACGGAGAGGCCGCCGATCAGCGAGCAGATGCTGATGTAGACAAAGATGTTCTCTTTGCCGTACTTGGGCGCGACGAAGAAGATGAGCACAAGACAAGCGAGGATGACGACGCTGCCAAAGATGAGAAAGCCGATGCTCAAGAACAAGTGCTGAAACTCGAGAATGGTTGCAGCGGATTGTTCCTCGGGACCGTTGAGAGCGATGATCGTTGCGCCGATGATGCAGAGAGCACAGCCGATCTTGCCAAAGAACGTGAGGCGCTCCTTGAGGAAGATCGCAGACAGGATGGCACATATGACGACGGACAGCGCGCCCAGCGGCGTGACAAGAATAGCGGGCGCAAAGGCATAGGCGATAAAGTTGCAGATCTCGCCGACGATCATGAGTGTCATGCCCGTCCACCACATCGGGCTCTTGAGATACGCGTGCGACTCGCCGGCAACGACGTTGGCATCCTTTTGGGCGGCGAGCAAGCCCTTTTTCTTGAAGACAAAGCTGGAGCCGATGAGCACACCCGAGACGACAGCGAGCAAGACGCCGATGAGCTTGTAGCTCGTCGGCTGTATCGCGTTGCCAGACGCAGAAGCGGTTGCAGAAGCCGCTGCTGCGCTCGCTGCAGAGGCAGACGCAAAGACAGACGAGGCAGAAGCGAGCACTGAGCTCAGCACCGCGCTCGACGCAGCCGGCGTCAGGCTGCTCGTTGCCGTCGCCATCGGTCGCGCAGATCTTGCTGCTGGTTCCGACCACTGTCGACGATCAGCTCGTGCACGACAAGCCGGCCATGTTCAGATTTGAGATGCGCGATGTGGCATGTGCACCGCTCGCTCGCGCGCTCACACGCCCAGGCCCACACACGTCCCACGCGCGCTTCGTCGTCGTGTCGCCCATCCTCGCGTCATCATGTGTATCGAGCCATGCGTGCTCTCGTCGATGCTCTACGAGCCTGTCAACGGTGACAGCCTCTCGGATGGCATCCATCTCTGGTCCAGGCATGTCCAGCGCATTCAAGCTGCTTTCTCAGCCTTTGGGCAAGCCCGTCCGAGCCAACCGGGGAGTGCATGGCGGACAGACAGGGCACCGACTGCCGAAAAGCTAGCTTCAACTGTGTCGGAGGTCATCGCGTGCTCAGGCTCAGACCGCCTACAGAGGGTTCGTCATCATCGATTGATTACGGGCGCAGTCTGTTGCTCAGTCGGTTTCTAGCTGCGCCTCACAGTCGATAGTCGAGGCCACATCGATGTACGCTCCACCAGGCCTGCAAGCCCGCCCAACGGTGCGCCGACTCGGATGCGTGCCTGCTCTCATTGATGGGCAGCAGATGAGCTCTGCCTTGCGCTGGACAGGCAAGCAACTGTCTACGATGGTGACATCACGCTCTCCCACAAGACCACCAGTCGCAAAGTATACGATGATGCCCGGATTCGCTGCGGCGCAACGCTCGAGCCTAGAACTGATGCGCCCTTTGATGTCGTCATGTACAACGACAGAAACGAAGTCACTGAGACTACTATCTCCAACATCGCATTCCGACGGAGCGCAGACGATCAGGTTTGGGTGACTCCTAGCGCGAGCTGCGGCCTGCTGCCCGGCGTACAGCGTCAGGAATTACTCGACACTGGCTTCTGTACAGAGGGAATAATCCATGTCGCAGATCTCGAACAGCTCGAGATGATCTGCTTCAATGCTGTCCGCAAGGTCTATCGTGTGAAGATGCACGTTCGATCCTAGAAATCGAAACTTGCTCGGAATGGATCGAGCTGACGGTTCTCGCAAGCCGCAATCAGATCATCGCGTTCGAGACTGGGGCAAGGCATCAATCGCGCAATGGGTAACACACTTAGGCACTCACAAGGATGACACCATGCGAAGAGTCGACCATAGCGCTTCACTCGTGACTGCACCGGAATCGGCAGGCTTGTAGATGCTTGCGCTATCTGCCGCTTCTTGAGCAGCCTCTGTGTTTTGCAACTGCAGAGCCCGCAGGAGGTGCACCGCCGCAGTGTCGTAGGAAGACAAGCAGATACTCGATACAGCAAGGTTGTAGCGCGCTCGTGCGTATGCGGGCTGCAGTTCGATCGCCTTGTTGTAGAATTCGATCGCCTCTCGGGGCTTGCCGCTGTTGGCCAATGTCGCGCCCAGCCGATTGAATAGAAGCGGATCCTGTGCAAAGGCTCATAAGATACTACGTTCGCACTGCGGATGCCGAGACGTACCTCTGGTCGAGTCGCGAGAGCAGAGGCGAAACAATCGCCTGCCTTGTCGTAGTCCTCACTGATGTTGAACAGTACGCCCAGCGCAATCTGCACATCTGCATCGAAATGTGTCGTCGAGGCTTGGGCCATGCGAATAAGTAGTCCAGTCAGCCAGCTGTGTGTCTCGATCATGGACGATGAAGTCGGACGATTACCAGCCTGGCTGGCGTACGCAGACACGGTCGAGGCGTACTCGTCGCGTGAGAGCGCCCAATGCTGTATCGCATCGTAGGCCTTTGCCCTGTCGTTCTCGTTCGTGTGACTTACCGCCAGTGCTAGCCAAGCAGGGGACATCTGTGGATCGAGCTCGAGTGCACGGGCGAGCGCTCTGATGGCCATGTCCTCGCGCTCGTTCTCCTGCTGCTTCATGCCGAGCTCCATCCATGCCAGAGGGCTTTCGGGATTCTCCTGACAGGCAGCCTCTTTCTCTAGGATGGATTCGTACGGAGTCACTTCGAAACGGCCCCCCAGGGTGTGCACGCGGTGCTGCTGCGTCAAAGGTCTATTCTTGATGAACGGATTGCTTGGTTGGAATCGATATATGCCTTCAGAAGTAACAACCGGACCTGGAGTTTGATTAAGCTGACGGACACCGGAAGCGGTCGCTTCGTATTCGTCCCAGCTGCGCTGCAAGGTCTCCCATTCGGCTTGCTGTGCCGACACTGGCAGCCGGCGCGAAACTTGGGCAGGCTGCGGTGCGCCAACTATGCTCGCTGCATCAAAATCTTCTTCCCAATTGACACTCGCGCCTGGCGTCTGACTGTCTAGCAAGACATTACGAGCCTCTTCCTCCACGAGAAGACCGCCGTCGCCTTGAAAGTGCGGTCTATTCTGCCACCGCTGCTGCGCCTCTCGTTCTCTCGCTGCTCGACCCGCATATTCCTCATCCCAGATGCCGTTCATCTCCCTCATGCCGCGCGCTTGCTCAGCTGCCCAATCATCGACTGTCGGTACATTTCCGCGCAATTGCGCCGCACTCGCTCCAGTGGACTGCGTGATGCATATCGGAGTGGCGCCAGATCCTCTTACTTCGAGTTCAGAGGTGGTCGCCAGGGCCGGTGCGTCTTGATCGAGTGACCGCATTTTGCCCTTTTGCTTATCCGAGCTGACGACGGGCAATACTTGTTCTATGACTTTATTACCCTCGACCGCGACTTCGTGATCGCGTAGCTTGCGCATCAGACTCATGAAAGTTGAACTCGCAAATTTTGGGTTCGCAGACTGCTCAGCACGGACAGCTTGAAGCAACTCGCCAGCCGTACGAGCGAGATCATCGTTGTCAACGCCCTTGTTTTGGGGTGATATCGGGCGTGCTGTGAGAGACTCGTGGATGTAAGCCTTCTCGGCCTGTGAGAGCGTTGTCGAGTCTTCTAATCCCTTGAAGGCAGCTTCCCAATCCGCAGTACGCTGTGCTCTAAGTAGCGCATCTATCACTTGCTCACTTTGCGACACGACACTCGAGCTTGTAGGCTGTGGTGCCGAGTAGCTGTGTTGGAATCGATGCAAGTCTAGCATCTGATGAGGGTGCGATCGAAGCGCGGGATGATGTGGACCAAGGTGTGTATTCGCTTGAGAATAGCTGCTGTCCATGCGAGCCAGAGCCATGATATGTGTCTGGTCGGCTGAGGGAAGCTTGGACGATGCTAAGGCATCACTTTCAGAATCCTGCTGCCATTGTGTCCCACCAGACGACTCATGGAATGCCTGAGTGTACGCCTCGTGTCTTGGTAGCGCATTTACTTCGTGAGCTGCAAAATCCATCGCCCAGGCTGGCACTGCTGATTGCTGAGGATGCGACTGCACCTGCAGAGCAGATTGCAATGAAGCCAGGTCGTATGGCGCTGCTGACGAGCTAGCGCTGGCAAAGAAGCGAGCGGCATCGTCTGTCGCGATTCCGACATGCGCACGACGATAGGTGCGGAAGCTCTGTTCCGTACTTCAGCACGTACGCCAGATAGTCCGAGAGGAGAAAGCCTACAGAGCCTGTATGCGCTCGGCCAGTATCGGGTCGACTGAATTGATCCTATCACATGGGTGTTAGTCAGCAAACGAGAAGACGATCCATCGTTGCCGGAGACGGACCTGACTGATGCCTCTGTCATTATTGAGCTGTTTCTGAAATTGCTGAAGCGGATTGCTAGGGCCGCAATCCGTCCCAGCACCGCTGAGGAGCGAGGCCATGACTACCGTCGGTGCAATTCTCACGATCTCCCACAGTCGCGCGGGAGGCTGCTCCGACGGAGCTGATAGTAGAGGGGGCGCAGCTGTGCGAGATCAGAGTCCGTACGTAGCTGCGCGCAAGACACAGCCGCAGCCTAACGTGGCACACTCGAAGCTCGCCCCGCCCGCTGTGATCGAGAAGCGATCGGAGAAATCTAAAGAGACAAGCTTTGTCGCCCGCAGAGACTGTTCTGCCGATATAGCCGTGGCTGCCCGGCAGTGATCTCGCTGCGTGGCCGTAATGAAAAGGACCCTTGATTGATTGCTGAAGACCTAAAGATCATCAGTCCTTGCTATGAAGACTGTGCACGCATGCGGTCGTCTCACGACTGAGCGACAGCTCTGTCAAGTCTGATACGGGACAGTTCGGCCAAGCTGGAGTGAAGAGCTAGCTGGTCATCAGAGCAGACTGGCCGGCCGCCTGAACGACGACTAGTCGAAGGGCGCTGACGCGCAGATCTCACGAAGATGCTCAATGCCGTCCGCACTACCAAGAAGTGAGAGCAGACGCTCACTGTGACGCCAACAATACAGGGCCGTCCTGAGCCATCCGTCTTCGGCATGACCGACGCAGAAGAACGGAAGGACAACACGTCGATAGAGCCTACCCCGCGATCAACTGGCCTGGTTGCAGGCTCTGCCAGCACGGTGCTCCACGGCCACACTGCACATGGAGGGCACAACGAACGAGACATGTCGAGCCATGACCCGAGCATGTCTAGTCAGCATGGCCTTCAATGCTACCTTCCGCGCTGATTTGGCGCGTGGCCAGGTCTGCTCTCCAATGCAAGCGAAACCCGACAGACCGTAGATCGCGAGCGACTCAGCGCAGTGCGCTCGCACTCGCCGAGCTATAGCGACGCGCCCATCACGAGCGGCTCGAGATCGCCAAGTCAATCTACATCTATGACATTTTCGATGAGCGCGCAAGATCAGCGACAGAGCGAACGATCAGCCCGCCAGCGAGCGCGGGACAAGTGGCTGGCAAAGAAGACGCCCGAGGAGCGGGCGGAGCTAACTCGTCGCAACACTGAGAACAAGCGGCAGTCGAGGTTAAATCAGAAGCGCCAGAGACAGCAAAAGATGCTGGAGCAACAGCAGCAAGACTGGCGTGAGCAGCAGAGGACTATCGGGGCGACGCACTCTTCTGATCGACGAGCGAGTCCAGACAACCAGAGCACACCCAGCGGCTCTTCTGACTACCAGCACTCATCAGGGCCAGCCTCTGCGCACGCTGCTTTTGCATCACCAGACGAGTCAGGCTCACCGATCGACTACCGGCCAGCCGCTGGCCCTTCTTGCGAGTCTGGTACCGTGCCTGCTTTGGCTTTACCTGTCGCCCTTTCGAGTCCGATCGTCCGGCAAATCCGTGAGTATGCTCGCGACCGTCCCCTGTTCCCTCTCACGAACCCCGCAGGACCGAGCGCAGTCTCTGATGCGACACCAGAACATGGCGCACGAGATGGTAATCTGGCTTACTGTCGATGTAAAGGCTGTCGCGAAGCAGCGCATGCCAACGGCCGATGGATCCATAAACGAACGTTCAGTCGGCATCGCCGCTTGTTGCTCGACGAGCAGGCCAAACGTCGTGCTGCCCAACAAGAACGCATGTGCTCCAGTCGATCAGCCTCTGCTGAGCAGTCTGATAGTGGCTCGTCCTCAAACCAATCAAGACAGGGTCTAGACGCCGACTCTTCCCATGATACCCCGCTTCGATCGCAGACTCTGCCTTTGTCGATGTACGAAGTCAGCACGACGCATGCATCCTTGCCCCGTCTGCGTCTCCAGACATCTCTCGTTCGCCAAGTCGACGAACGACCCGAACCTGAACTCCCGCAAGCAAAGCGTCACGCTTTCTCCCGAGGTGAACACTCTCGTCCTATTCTGCCTCCCTTGCCAATGCCTAGAAGGCTCTCTTCAGGCGGTCCAGAGCTTTCAGGTCGGTCCTCTCATGATTCGAACCGCAATGCTGCCATGGAATCTTATCGGTCCACGCACGTATCACCGCGGCCCTCCTATGCTTATCGTACCCTTTCTGCATCCTCTGCTATCTCGCACTCGGTGACGCAGGACTCGGTGACGCCCTTGACACCCTTGACGCCGATGACAGAGTCGCCCGCGTACAAGTCCTCACGGCGAGAGTCTTTCGGCTTTCCCGCCATCTCGACGATGGCACCGGCAATATCAATTCAGCAGCAATTGGCCTCCCGTGATCCTGTCGTGCGTCTGCCCGACCCGACGTCACCCCGTAGCGTGCGACCACCCAGCAGAATAGACACATCTTTACATCTTAGACAGATCATTGACACACAGACGAATCGGTCCCGAGGCGAAGTGTACAGCGAAACGTTCAAGCAGCAACTGCTGCGCGAAGCATCTGAGCAAGACTTGCTTTCGTCTAAGAACCCGGCGTACATCAGTCTTCTCGACAGAGATGCTGCTCGCGAGAGAGAGCTACTACACCTGAGGTAAGCGCTGCTTATGCCCTCGTCAGTGATCCCGTCTTGATGCGTCAGCCACTGGCAGGCAAAGATTGAAGCAATTCGTAGCACAGCAACCCACCAACGCGATGCAAGGCGAATACACGTAGCAAGCTTCCGAGGAACTACCTCTTGCGCTGTAGAATTGTACATGTCCACGACAATGGATGCCTACGCATGGACTCCTTCTCCTTCGTGAAACAATGCTTCTTGTGGGGTCTTGCGAGGAGTCAGCGGACACTTGCGAGCTTGCGCCAGCACCGACGCGTATCGTAATGCATACGCACGTACGCACATGCGCCTCGGACTATTGACGTCAGACCTGAGATGACCACCAAGACGGCTTTGGGCGGCTACAAGGTCGGCATACCCATCATTCCGCCCGTCGAGGCCCTGACGAGCTGCACGCCAGGCCCACGACCAGCTTCTCTTCGTCAACTTCAACCAGGACAAGACGCAAGTACTCGAGCTCAAACGTAAGATGCCGCTCAGCTTGCCTTGCAGATGTGTCTCTGTCGGGACTCGCAAAGGTTACAACATCACCAATTGCGATCCCTTCGGTCGAGTCTACGCACGCAGTCAGCCGCTTGTCTGCCCTCGACGACGCCGTGATCTGATGCCTCGATGCGTAGATGACGGACCGGTCTCTATCGTGGAGATGCTGTTCTGCACCAGTCTGGTGGCACTGGTCGGCTCTGCAGCCACCGGTCAGCTGTTCACGCTGGCTGACACGGCCATGACTGATCGATCCGACCGTCAGGTGGAGGTGCCCAAGGTGCGATGTCGGGATCCGGCAGCGCACGCAAGCTCAGCATTGTTAACACCAAGGTGAAGGATCTGTAAGCGGGGATAGTGCCGGCTGTCTGAACGAAAGCTGTGCACCACAGAGGCAATCGACCATCTGCGAGCTGACCTTTCCGACGTCTATCCTGTCCGTCAAGCTCAATAGGCGGCGGCTCGTTGTCGTGCTCGAGGAACAGATTTATCTCTATGACATCTCCAATATGAAGCCTCTTCAGACCATTGAGACCAGTCCTAATCCCGCAGGTCGGTGGAACAAACAGGTGCAAGCGCATCTAATCTGAAGCACGAGAGCAGGCATCTGTGCACTATCATCTGCGCCAGACAATAGCTATCTGGCCTACCCCAGCCCATCGTCCTCGACTGGTGCAGCTTTTCCGAATAGTCCCAATGCTGCACCGGTCACAACCAGCGCGCATACCGCTGGCGACGTGCTCTTGCTCGATGCGCTAAGCTTGAGCGTCACAAATATAATCCAGGCTCACAAGGCGCCGTTGGCTGTTTTGACTTTCAATGCGCAGGGCACCTTGCTTGCCACCTCCTCAGACAAGGGAACAGTCATTCGCGTCTTCTCGACCCCCAACGGTGACAAGGTGGCACAATTCAGGCGTGGTTCATATCCTGCCCGGATCTTCTCAATTTCTTTCGATGCGACGAGCTCGCTCGTGTGCGTCAGTAGCGACACTGAGACTGTGCACATCTTCAAGCTTTTGCGAGCGCGCCAACGGACCGGTATTGCAAATACAATCAGTCAACAAGATCCCAGCCAATCGCTGTCTGGCTTCAGAGCCATACGCGATGGCTCAGACTCCCTGATAAGCGAATCAAGTCAGGTCGCCCCACAGCATGAGCCGGACCGCCGCGATCGATCGTCCAGCGTTGCGTATGCTAGTGTTGGGTCCATTCAGCGAGCAGCTGACAGGCTTATGCAGGGGTTCGATCAGAAAGCGCTCGATCAACTTGGGCCGAATGGCAGCAGGTAGTCTAGGCGGGTATTTGCCGGGCGCGGTCACGGAAATGTGGGAGCCTCAGAGAGACTTTGCATATCTGAAGCTGCCTCTGGCGGGTGTTAAGAGCGTCGTCGCTCTCAGCAGGTTGGCTTCAGCATGGCTTTGCTGCGGGCATGCTGAGAAATCTGCCTGCAGTACATTACCTCTGGTCAACGTCGTGACCAGCGAAGGCGTCTTCTACACATACAGCATCGATCTCGAGAGCGGCGGCGAGTGCATCCTAAGCAAGTCGTATAGTCTGATGGAAGGCGTCAACGAGGCGAGCGCCCAGGCAGCAGCCGTGGTATGACGATGGACCAGACACTGTTGTACTTGCCCAAGTGTATTGCCGTGTATCGTTCACCGACGATCAAGTATGATCTTCGAGAACTTTGAAGAGCTCATCATGGCCGAGACAGATCCAGATCCACTGCTGCCGTGTCTCGTCTGTATCGTCCGTCTCGATGTCCATATCGTCTTCGGGCGCATTCGAGCTCGTCTTGACGAGGTCGTGATCTCGGAATTCGTGCATCAGTCCCTCTAAATGGTTCTGATTGCTGACGATGAGCTCATCCTGAGTACGAGAGTAGAGAAGCGAGAGCCTGATTGCGCTACCTGGCGTGATCGTCTGGTCGGATGTGACCATGATGGACGTCAGCTTGCTTCTCGCGTGCGGCTGCATTGCTTCGCCGCGGCGAAGTTGGAGCTGTCCTAGCATAGCGAACGCGCGCTTTGCTTTCTCGGTGACGCTTGCCAAAATGTGTGCGGCCCCACGTATCCTGCCTCTCGGCCCACCCTGAGAGGCCGCTCCCGCTGCTGCAGATGGGTAGATGCTGCTCGGGAAGATCTTTGCAGGCTCTAATGAGCTCGCAACTTCGGCAAGATAAGGCGAATAGGTTGGCGTGTGGTGATGAGACCAGCAGAAACCTCTCGCGCCCTGAATATCCTCTCTGGGGCGCTCCAAACTGGCGGGAAATAGCAAAGTCGCGCGAAGATGCTCGACAGACGCGACGAGGGCGATGCGTGGACTGGCTGCCAGGATGGCCAGTACAGACTGAGCTCTGGCGCTCTGGCATTGCAGGGCATCGACTGAATGTATAACGAGGAAGATGTTATCACCAGCAGCACGGCGTCGGAGGGCATAACAGATCGAATGTGCGCGCTCTTCATGTTTATCGCCGGCATCGCTCGGCGGCTGTATTGCTGCTGCACCATCCAGGCGCGATTCCGACGTAGCCGCGCTTTCAAGCGACGCCAGCGTGTCGGTGATGCTGTACGTAGACATAAAGGCATTACAGATGATGACCTGGCCGTGCTTGGCTAGCACCTTGCTCGCGAATCGGTTCAACAACTTTCGCTTGGAGCCCAACCCGCGAAAGAGCAAGTCGAAGCCTTGGTGAAGTTCGAGAAGCCAAGCGGGATGACAGACGTCATATGTCAGCTGGACTGTCCTGCTCTGAGCCGCCTGAGCGGCATAGGATCCCAATAGTCCGTTTGCCCTCGAGAGGGCGGAGGTGTACTCCTCGAGCGTAAAGGTCTCGATGTAATCCTGAGCCCGCCTGTCGGACGTCTTGAGCTTGCGAGCCTGGGCATGGAAATAAGCTTCTGGGCCCGTGGCTGTAGTGATGAATCCTCTGTCGCCATCAATCCTCGCAGGCGCATGTGCCTGGTCGAGCTCGCCGGCAGTGTCGTCACTGCTAACATCTGAGCGTTCACCTTCGTCAGCGTCTCCTAGAGCGCGACAGTCTCTGGCGACTGAACAGTCGAGGCTATTATCCTCCTCCTCTGGTTCAGCTCCATCCACTCGTGACATTCAAGCAAAGGCCCAACGGCAGGCGTCGCGCGACGGCCGACGGTGCGTACGGTGCCGCTGAGCGCCAGCGCTAAGCGCCAAAAAGCGAAAAGACGCGGCGAAATTTGGAAAGCAGCAGGATCTAGGAAGCGACAGAGCTGAGCTGAGCGTCGAGAGCCAGAATGGCGCATCATGATCATACGAGGGATCCTTGTCCCGTCAGTGGAGCATCGCTAGACTCGGATCCTCGACTGATCGCCTCTGACCTGCTGCGCAGTGGGTCGTCTTCAACGATTTTGGCGGCGCATTTTCAAGCCAGTCGTCTCCCTTGTGCTGCTATGGCCCACGCTGACGTCCGTAAGGCTGCAGTGGGTGTATGTACGATCGCGAACCTTGACGCTTGCACTCAACTCGATCGACGCGCTCGAGACAGGCCGTAGGAGGTACGATCTGGCATGGCATCAAAGGAGCTCGCAACTCGCCAAGGGTGCGACAGTCCCCCTGGCTGACAGTCCACGCACTCATCTCCACCCCTTCTGTTTGCGTTCAGGGAGACGCCCTCATAGGTTCTATCGCTGCCATCAAGGCGCGAGCGCCCGTCGTCGGGGGGAATTTTGGCATCTGGGGAGGCAAGCTGCCCGATTGCAGTCTATCCGAGGCTCAAAAAGCCAGAACCTTCTCACAGGCATGTTCTCCTCCTTCGATTGCGCTGTCAAGGGCGTCAGGCAAAAAGAAGATGCTTGGAATGCTATCATCGCCGGCTTCTTCACAGGCGGGTGTCTGGCAGCGCGATGTGAGTCTACGACGCTAGCCCTCAGATTCTGCGTTCTGATTCATCGCCTCGTCTCACACAGCCGGTCCCCGGTCGGCACTCGGCTCTGCAATAGGTTGCGGTATATTACTGGGCGTCTTCGAAGGTGTCGGCGTGCTTGCCGGACGCATGTTTGCGACAATGAACAAGCCACAAGCGCCGATAGTCTGTCTCGTGGCGTCCGGCTCGAGCCGAGCTGATACTTTTCATTCGGATGCAGATGCCCGACGCGCCCATGACCCCTGCATCTGGTCCCGCTGCCCCCACGCCGGCGTGAGCGCCGGACTGGCCCGTCCCTTTTTCTGTCCGTACACTACTCGCAGACGAGCCCTGTATTCGCTGTATGCAGACTGCATCTTCGCAAGCCAGCGCGCAGCTCGATCTCGCATGACCTGAGGGCAGGTGAGAGTAGCGCTGTCTGCATGGCGACGAGCATGCGACGAGCTACGTGCGCGATCTGTGGACAATCTTGCGGTCTGGTTGGGCATGCAACAGTCACCCGTGATCACAAGAAGTAGGAGATCTTGAATGCAACAGCTTCATCAGGTCGGCATCCTTGCTGAACAGGTGATGTCTCACCGCTTGCGGCTGCGGGTTGCGCGCGGCATCATTGGCCTGCTGGGGACCGTCGACCTCGTTCTCTGGTGCGGCTTCGAAAACGTTGAAATGTTTTTCCCCGCCCGGTCCGATCTCGAGGATCGAGGCAGCATTGCCGCACCGATAGCAATAATTAGGAGCCGACCAGACGGTCGAGAGTCTGTCGTCGTACAGCACGGCGAAGCCCTCCATGCAGAGCTGGTGAGCCCGTAAGATATGGTTCATGTCGTTGATCTCGAGAAATTTCTTCACGACTTGGGCGCCGAATGTGTAGCCAGCGCCCCTACGCGAGATCAGCATCCGCCCGTGCCCGTCTCCGCTTGCTACACACCTCGGCGAGATTGCGAAATCCTCCTTGTCGGGATCTGGATCGGACCAGACGAGATCTGCCATCGGTCCCTCATGGGGGATCTCACGAAACCTGTCGATGATCTTGATTTGGTCGATGCAATGTAGAGACGGCGACAAGCCTGCGGGCTTCGTTCAGCGCGGACCACAGCTTCACGATCGCTGCCTCCGTGCCTCCGTGAACGCAGAAGATGCGGTCGTCGACGACGACGCTGAGCGTGAGAAAGTCAAACATGTCGGTGAAATAGGTCCAAACGTTGGCCGAGCCATACTTGCGCTGACATTCAGCATAGAAGCCGTATGTCTGTACATCGCATCCCGATCAATCCGTGCAGGCTGTTTCTCGACGATCTGGACGGACCTGGGTGACCGCTCGTGACTCGTGATTGCCGCGGATCAGCTGGACGCGCTCAGGGTAACGAAGCTTGAGGCAGGTGAGGAGCGTGATGGTCTCCACGCTGAACAGACCGCGGTCGACATAGTCCCCTGGTGTGACCATTTGAGCGCCATGCTAGGTGATCCTACCCGCGAACGAGGCTGACCCAGGAAGAGATAGTTCGTGTGAGGCGAATAGCCGCCAATCTTGAAGATCTCGACGAGGTCGTAGAATTGTCTGGTGCGCACCGGTCAACACGACAGTCTGGCTCGTAGACGAACTCGCTTGCCCGTGTATGTCACCTACGACGGTGACGGGGGCAGAGATGTGGACGACATTGGACTCTCTGATGAGGAGTTCCTTTGTCTTCTCGCACAGCTCCTTGATGAGTGACTCTCCGAGGAGCTGCTTCTTGAGCGACTGCTCGATGCAGCTGTCCAGGTCGAAACTCATCGGACGGGCGCCAGACCCAGGGGCAGCAGTCGACGTGCGATTGACTCTGTCTGCTGCACCAGCCTCGTCGCGATTTTCTCGAGCCTTTCGAAGCTCGACGACGACGACGTCTTCAAGCTTCAGGGCCCGGCTTGACAAGCATGCCCAAAGGCAAGGGAGAGAACACCAAGAAAGCAGCCGGCAATGCGAAGAAGGCAGAGGTCGCTCAGGCCAGAGCGAGCAAGGAGAAGCAGAAGGTAGAGGCCACAGAGGCAGAAGATTGGGCCAAAGGCGCCAAAGACTCGGTCAGTCCGCACCGCGTTGCACACCCATCATGCGGCCTGACCTCCGGCTGGATCGCGCGGTAGTCTAGCAAGGAGGCCAAGGAGCAGAAGGCGAGAGAGGCAGCGGCGCGCAAGGCGGAAGCGGCTCGTCTCTTGGCAGAGGAGGAGGCCTCACTGCCCTCCAAAGTCAAGGCTGCACCCAAAGCGGGCGCAAAGAAGGCTGTCGCTCAACAGCCACCCCGAGCCAGCATACCCGATCCCATCGATACTGCAGACGACACGCCTGCTGTCTACAGCGCTTCCGGCATCGTACGCTGTCCTGAACTCCTCCATCCCGTCGCGCGCTCAATCCATCTCACCGGTCACAGGATGATGCACTCGATCTCCTCTCCATTGTGAGCGACAAGAACGACAAAGCTTCGCTAGGCCAAAAGGCCGCTACGGGTGTAGACGTTCGTCCCTGTTTCCCTCTTCCACCCTCCAAGTGCGCACTGACACTCATCGACCGCAGACCCATCCCGAGAGACGTTTCAAGGCAGCATTTGAGACCTATCGAGAGCGAGAGCTGCCCAGGCTACGACAGGAATTCAAAGGCTTGCGTCTACAACAACTCAACGATATGATGTACAAGGACTTCCAGAAGCAGTACGTCATCACTTGCCCTGCCTCTTCAGCCCGACTGATTCGCCCGATAGCCCGGACAACCCTTTCAACCAAGTCACGCTCTCCTTCGATGCAACAAAGGCCGACAAGGTCGAAGCCATCAAGGCCAAGCGTTCCGAGATTGACGCCCGTCTGAGGGAGCAAGCAAGATAAAGCGAGGTCCGAGCGGCCATCTCGTCGTCCCCGGGAACGGATCTCATCTCTGGCTGTACCTAGATGCAAGTCTATTTCAGCGGACAAATTCGCTCCAGTACCATGCTCCTCTGACAATGCCTTCGATGATCTCGCCAGCCAGCTATGTAGACGGTCAGTACGATCTCCGCCTGGACGCTGCCCGGGAGCAATGCCATGCGCCAGCTGACTGGCAAGACCTTGGCGAACGTAACGGATGTAACACGTTCAAGAGCTACCTTCCAGGCCTCGAAGCGCCTTTCCTCAAGGGCGAAACGGTTGTATCCGGCGTCTCACCCGAAGCTGTGCTGGCGACCTTGCTCGATGGTACATGTCGCGCCGCGTGGGACGAGTTCTGCGGCAGCGCGACAATTACTCATCGCTTTGCACCGGATACCTTTGCTTTCTACGTGGCTGGTCGCAGCCCCATTCCTCTGATCTCCGCTCGCGATGTTGGCGCGGTCGCTAAAATCTACCGCGGTGGCGATACAATCGAGCTTGTCCAGACGAGTATTGACGGCCTTCACCCTGCTCAGAAAGGTTTCGTTCGCGCTACTGTGCAAGCCAGCTGGACCCTTGCTCCTTCGGGATACGACACAAAGATCGTGATGATCCTGCATTCGCTGCCGAATGGCAAGATCCCGGTCTCAATTCTCGAGCGCGGTGCATCCATCGCCGCTGCTGCGCCCGGCCATCTTCGTGACTTCATTTGCAAACACGGCACTGTACCCTTTATGATCGGCAGGCCAGACGGACTCGTCAACCGGGGTACCGAGACAAATCTGAAGAAGAGCCTGTGGTCTCAGACCGTTACCGCTGCTCAAGGCAAGATCACCATCGCCTTTGATAGCGAGAAGATGTACAAGGCAGGCGTGATGGTCGTGCTCTCGGGTGAAGGCGCCCATGGAGCGGCGACGGCAGTCGACAATGACCGCGTGACGATAGTATCACCAGCGTGCTGCGACGGCCTCTCGATGACCATCAACCTGTCTCCAAAACGTGCGTAGACGTGTACAGTGACGAGCAATGCATGGCATGGACATTGGATGTCATTGATGTTCTATCCGTGGAACGTTGCTGAACGCGCTCGAGAGTCTTCCGAGACCGACACGGCGAAGCTGTCTCACTTTGCGTATACCAAGCACAGCGACAAGCCCAGATAGTCCGATGGCGCCGGCAAAGACGAGGCCGAAAGCACGGGGATCGCTTTCCAGACCTGTCGCCAGATTCATGCCAAGGGCGCCTGTAATGAGTGCGCCACTGCCCAGGCCCATTGTTGCGATAGAGACTTTGAGATCGAGCGCGAGTAGTGCATTGCGGCGTGCGTCTAGGATGAGCTCGATGACGTCCTGAGTCTGCGATACATTGGCCACTAGGCCGTCGACTTCGCTGACAATTTCCTCTGCTTGTTTGCCGTAGCTCTCCAATAGCATCTCGATCTCGCTGTGATCGTCCGTAGTTCGGCGATCCGAAAGGTACATGCCAGCCATGTCCTCGTCTGTCTGTATCTCAGCAAGGCATATGGATGTACGCAGCGTCGGGCGTACCTTGGTCGAGGACTTCATTGATTGCGTCTTGTACCGACTTTGCCCTCCTGTTTGACGGGGCAGATAAGCGTTTCGGGGCATAGCGGATTCAGACTCGACATACTTCTGCAGGGCAGCGAGCTTGCGAGAGAACTGTAACAAAACGCGCAGTCGATCGGCTACAATGTCGGACTCGAGACTTTCTAGCAGGTCGAGGACGAGGTCGCGCACATTGACGACTTCGCTCTCTAGGGCCGACATGGCGCTATGGAGCATCGAGTCGAGAGCTCTGAATTCGTACGGCAGGCTGTTGCCACCCTTGTTGGAATGCCTGAGATTGCCCTGCGCGAGATAGCGTGAGCCCGGGAGACGAGGCTGCGCGCATGCGACCTACCTCGAGGTGGTATAAGAAAGTGCTATAGAGGCCGCTGCTGGATGACAGTCCGGTCGATTCGAAGAGCCAGACCTCGTCTCTCTTGATCAACGCGCGTACATGAAGGATGTTGACGAGTATGGCCGATTTGCGAACGAGAAAAGTGGGAACGACGTTGGGCACCCGAGAATCGAGTTTACGGAGATCGCGAGCCTGTAGACAATGCTCTGTACATATCTCCGTCTTCTTGTAGGATCCGCTGATCGTCTTTACATTGCCAAGTTTGTCCAAGATGGTACACTTCATGACGAAGCTGTCCTTTGCGCCACCGTTGCCGGTTGATGCGAGAGACAGTGGTAGCATCTTGTCACTCATCTCTAGATCCTCGTGCGGCGCTACTTTGCCGGCACCGTGTCTGAGTCGCTGTCGCGCAGACGCGGATGCTCGTCGAGCCGCAGGGCTTGCTGCAGTCTCGATCGGTGTCGGCTGAGTCACCGTCTCACTGGCTAGGTATCCAGCAGACTGGCTGAACAACCTCTTCTGGCTGCACATGCCTCTTCGTGCTGCCGTCCGGTTGTCATCGACGAAGAAAGTGACAGAGGCCATGAATCGCGCCAAAGACGCCGTGGTGTCCTGTCTGGCGACGAGATCACATGGCTCTGCACGGCTAGGCACTCGTAGACGGGCAGCCGTCCGAGCTCCTCGTCGAGCGAGCGTGCTCATGCTGGAGCGAAGCGTGAAGCGTCGACGACGACGATGATGATGATGACGACGACCCGTGCGCGCGATCGCGACGCTATCTGGGTTTCGCAGGCGTGCCAGGTGCACACGATCTGAGTGCCCATGCCAGCACGGTCCAGCAACGATGGCTAGCAGCCGATAGCCGCTCACGAGCATCCTGCAGTCATGGCAGCAGCAGCGCGAGGATCGCCGAGCCCCGCACAGGGGTCAGCCAAAGTCAGCAATGTAGCCACATATCGCTCGCCAGTCGCAATATTTCCGACACAGGAGGCCAAGCCGGCCTCACTGACCGCTAGCAGCAACATAGACCAGAGCGAGCTCAATAACAGCGACTGGAAAGTCGACAAGATCAGGTACCGTATCCACGCCTATTCGACTCACTCGGCATCATACATTCCTCAAAACATCCTCATCGATTCGCCCTTAGATCAGGCTTCAAGATGGTCGGGCGCATCTACGGGTGCCCAGGCTGCGCCCGCTCAGCAATCGGGACCCTCTGCGTTCGCTGCCTCTACGACAGTCGAGACGCAGACGGGCGACGACGAACGCGCCTGGACGCGCTTGCCGGATCGCTCGGGTGTTGGTCAGGACAGCGATGCGGACGGCAACCCCGTCACAGCTACTGTCGACACCGGATTGCAGCCCGGACTCGCTCCGCAGGCGGCAACCAGAGTGGCTCACGATCTGCCAGCTGCGCTTCGCCCCGTTGATCTTACACGCTCGCTTTCGGGAGAGTTTGCCAAATCATCGCGGCAGTTGCAAGACTATCTGCAGGGACAGGAGCGTCTCGTCAGCTCAAGTGCTACCGGCATGCAGTACATCACTCTCATCCTCGACCAGGTCGCCCTGGTCACCTCGGTCATATTTGGCAAATACCACAAGCCCGTGAGTCACGGCACGGGTTTGCATCCGCTGCTGACACATGTGTGCAGCACCCTTGCAATCTGCGCGAGTTCAAGATCTATGGCGGTCTTGACGCTGACCCGGCGCAGATGAATCTGCTCTTTGTTGGCGGACTGCGTAACGATTCGATCAGCGAAGAGTTTGAGATTCGCACGCTCAGCAGCGAGGCGGTACACTATCCCTGTCGCTATCTCCGCATCGAGCCTATCGCCGCGCATTCGCAGAATTACAACCTTTCCATATGGTCCGACGCTTCCTGAAGAGCAGCGCATTCCTTGCTAACGACAGGACTGTAGGTATGTCGCGCTCAAGGGCGTCACAGATCAGCGCTTCGTCGAGCGCATCTGCAACGTCTTCTCAGATGTACGTCAGCTCTTGTTCAGTCAAGCGAGGCATAGCTCAAGTCTCTTTGCAGTGTCGAGAGACGAAAGCGCTCAGGCTGATTCAAAAGCATCTCCGCCAGCGCGCTCTCTTGCCAGCATTCTCTGCCTTGCAAGAGCAGACCCGCTTGTCGTTTGAGCACGATCTCGTCACCAAGTTGCACACCGTCCTGGTCCGCAATGGCGATTTTGACGACGCCGAAGAGCTCCTGTCGCAGATGGCAATCCAATTCCAGCTTTTTGACGATCATATACAGAAGACTGCACCCACCCCGCTTTGGACTCGCCTGGACGACGATCCTGCTACACATTCGCTAGACGGAGATATGCCGCCCGCGCGTGGTGGCCATCAGCTCGTGCTGTGCAGTGAAACTTCTCAGATCCTACTTTTTGGTGGCTGGAATGGACACCAAGATCTCGCTGATCTCTGGTCCTTCTCCCTGGTCACAAAGCGCTGGAAACAACTCAGTGGAAACACTGCGCGAGATGGAGGCCCTTCAGCTCGTGCCTGTCATGCTGCGACGCTCGACGAACGAACCGGCATGATGTACATTCTCGGTCGCTATGAGGACAATGCTTCCACGGATGAGCCAGGCAGCGATCTTTACTGCTATTATACTATCGGACCACGCGCTGGAACCTGGGAGCTCCTCAGCGCCAACACTGCTGCTGATGGCGGGCCCAAATTAATGTACGTCTTCAGTCTACGCAGCGCTTTGCTCGAGCTGATGTGATCGCTTGCAGTTTCGATCACCAGATCGCGTTTGACACCGGTCGAGCATGTCTATACGTCTTTGGCGGCAAGATCGTGCAAACCAAGGAAACGCAGGCATACAGCGGACTCTACCGCTACGAGACAGTTGCGAGAAAGTGGACCCACATCCTGTGCGTGTGTTCCTACACTCCGCCTTAGATTGCTTACAGATCCTAGCAGAGGTGACCCACACGAGAACGAAGAATACTCCGCCGAGCGCATGCTCGCTCGTATGGGTCATTCAATGCTTTACCTGCCAAAGCGCGACAGCCTGCTCATCTTTGGCGGTCAACGATTTGATGCATACTACACAGATATGTGGGAGCACACCCTCGACACTCATCAAACGGTTTGTCGCCAGCGTCTGCCAAAATGCATCGCTCACCTTTCAGCAGATACGGGTATCAAGTAATTACACGCTTGAAAATGGTCCGCCTGGCGGTTTCACGCTCCGCGCTATCTGGACCGGCTCAGAGGCTCACTTGCTGTCGGGGCTGATGCGTGAAGGCAAAGCTGGACTTTCGCCGAGGAGTAACATCTGGATCAAATCTCCAACTGGGCCATGGATCAGAGTCGAGTCAAGCCGAGCAATCGAGCCCGATGAGCTCGCTGTCAGCGAGCCGGTTCCGCGCTTTGCTCATCAGGCGAGTCGCCGGTGTCATTGTCTGTGATAAGCTGACATTTGGCCGAAGTTCGTCTACGATCCTCGCGAGGATGCGCACTATGTCTTTGGCGGTAACCCGGGCGAAGACAAGGCACCGCAGACCAGGCTCGCCGACTTTTGGCGTCTCAAGATAGCAAGGTAGGGTTTCCTTGAATCTTACAAACCACGCTGCATGCAATATGCACAGGCTCGATATCGGCGAAGTGACGCGCAAGCTCAAGTTTCTAATTCGCAAGCAGAGGTCGGCCGCATGACTATCATGCTCGCTTCGCTTGCTCATAAACGTGCAGATTTATCGAGATGTGTGGCCAGTCACCTGCCATGTCTGCGCTCGTCTATCTCCAAACATCCCTGTCGTCGGTGACAAATCACTCTGACGAACGCGAGGCTGCTGCTTTTCGCGCCTGCATGGCCAGCCTTCTTGCACGACCAACAGAGGGCGTTCCGACGGACGTTGATCTTTCGATGTCGGGTAATCTTTACCCGGCTTATCCGCTCTCGGTCAGCGCCAAGGCGTGGGAACAACGCACTCGTGTCTTTGAGCGCATTACCGCGCTCGTCAATCCCGCGGCTACAGAGCCTGCTTCTAATCTGATTGATACCATCTCTGTCGTCTAGTGCTGCTCTATGCTTGTTGTTTAAAGACTTGCAATGTCAACTTCAAGATGTGCATTCCATCGAGTACAAGAAATTGCAAGCCGACCGAGCGCAGCCTGGCTTAGTCCAAGAATCATGCGAGCAAATGGAGGACTGGCTACCAGCCGTGCTCGTAGTGCTCAGCCGTCTCGTCCAATTGGACGTCGAGGTCGACAGCGACAACGTGGGCGTCAGAGGCTCGGAAGCAGCGGGTGCGCAAGAATCACTGCGGCCAACGGACAAGGCGACAGGTGCCGGCGTACCCTTTCTCGGCATCGAGCGACGGACACGATTTGGCGAGTGAAGGTGAAAGTCTTTCCACCATCGCGCAATCTCGGGCGTAGGCTCAGGCAGAGCGCGGCTCTCGATGACTGCTCGCGTTGCGAATGGATTGAGGCGTCCTACCTGCGCTCCGACGGGAATGGCCGCCACTTCGTTGTGTCGTGTTGGCATGAGGGCAAAGTTGTCTGATCGATTTTCGCGCGTGCGGTCGGCACCAGGATCTTCGTGCTGGTTGAGACTTTCGTGGTTCGCGAGTGGCGATACATCACCACAAGCAGAGTCGCGAGTGTCATTGAAGACAGCATCGATCGGGTAGATAGGCGCCGATCCGGCCCGTCCGGTCGAAAGCTCGCTGATGTCGATCCCCGTCAGGTAGGCTGTAGGTCCCAAATAGACGGCGGAGGTCTGAGTCTGTATCGAGCGCGGTGCGGCTACATATGTAGCGACATTTGTAGGTACCAGATCTATCGTGCTGACCGCTACAGCCAGGTGGCTTGAGCAGGTGGATTCGGTGCGCTTGCGGATCTTGCGTCCCTTGCCTCGCGTGCCTCGTTTGCGCGCGACGAGACGAGGACTCTTCTGGCCGTCGCGATCAGCAGCGTTCGGATTGTACTGCTCCCCGAACAGGATAGCGACTGATGACAGCGATTCATGCGCGAGAGGGCTGTCCAAGTCGACAGGATGATCAAGACTGATTTGGCCTGCCAGCTGTGCAGATGTACGCGTCGTGCCCTGGTCACCTGGCGAGGGAGGCTGAGGATCGAAGCTGTACAATACGCGAGCATGTTCCGAATAATCCAACGTCGTGAGTTGCCTGCGAAAGGACGAGTCAGCTCTTACCCTCGTCGGCAGCGCCCACGCTCACGTAGGCTGATCGCTATGTACACGTCGTGGATCGAGGACGGAGTGCACGACAGCAAGAGGCTTCAAGTACAGTACAGCGCGGTTGAGATACATCTCGCTGCTCAGTGCAGGGCGATGAGGCGCATAGGGTGCCTGACGTCGAAGAGACGGGCGTCTCTCCGCTGGAACGAATGCCATCGCCTTGGCTGCTGCTGCGTGTGGCTTCGCTGGCTGATCAAGCTGCCACTGACGCAATGCTGAGACTGGTATCGCGAGCGAGCGTCGAGCGAATCCGTGTGCCTGATGAGAGAATGACAAGCAAGCGTGCGAGCCTGTGCCAGGCGTGATGGTGGAGCGGACAAGAAGCTCCAAGTTGGCCAAGCGCTTGTGCAGGGTGTGCCAGTGCACCGAAGAAGCAGCGTCATGGGTCAAGACAGACCGCATGACTCAACGGAAGGCGTCGAAGACGGGTTCGCCCCCGGCTCTTCCCCCCGAGGCGGGTTGCTGTGTCGACAGGGACGGACACGTGCATTGCTCGCGATACAAGAGAATAGAGAGTTGCGCAGCAAGGAGGGTCTCATGCCTCGCCGTCCGAGCCAGGACTGATGCCTTCGCTCCTGTTGACGCCGAGCCCGTAGAGATTAGTCCTGCTACCGGATTGGCGGGCCCGCACGTCAAAGAGGCCTCCATTGGCAGAAAGAGAGGTTTTGCGGGAGTGCAAGGGCGAATTTTTGTCGCTATACCGCAGACCGCCGTTGACGGTGTTTGCGAAGTGCTCGGCAGCGCGCAGTTGGTCTTCCTCGTACTGACTTGCGGTGTCTTCTTCTAGTGGTCGGGTGCGGAACAGGACGCGACTGAGACCCGACGAAAGCACGCCGGCTAGCTTGCGCTCAAAGTAATAGACTGATCCGATCACAGGTATCAAGCCCTCGATAGCTTCCTTGATTCCCCACGTATCCTCGTGAAACGTGATTCTGCCGGCCTCGTTGAACTCGAGGCGAGTGACGACCTTGAGCTGCACGGACGTCAGAGCAGACACGATGCGTTTCGGATGAAAAAGCGATACCGCAGCGCGTATCGGCCATGGCCTCGCTGCCATCGGGGCCTCTTCGTGCTCCGGAGAGCGAAATTCGGCAAACGAAGCACGAATGGGTGTACCTGGCGCAGGCGTGCGGGTTGCCGGTGTCATCGACGACCACGGTGTAGGCGGATAGGATGGATTGGCATACCGGACGCCATAGTTGCCGTTGAGGGCTTCGTGCATGCTCGGGAGGAGCGCCAGATTGAGTGTATGGGACAGCAGCAGGACGCGATTGCCATCAAAGGATTCGCGCTCACAGACATCGTTGAGCTCTGACCAGACGGTACCGGGCAGGAGAGCAAGCAGCTGGAACTGATCTGCGATGCTTTGTTTGCCCTCTGCTCTCGTCAACGGATTCTCAAACACTGCGATCGCAGAGGGTGCGTCAGTCAGGCCTCCCTCAGATGCTGCGAAAATACTCGCCAGCCGCAGTCTCGTAGCATCTCTCCACGGTCTCTATGATATCCTCACGCTCGACCGAGCTGCCGCTATATAGGACCTGATGAATCTCTGCTAACGTGGCGCGGTAGAAGTTGGCACTTGGATGACTGCTACGTGTCGTGCCTGCGTGAGAGGGGGTTGCCTGACCTTGCCGGTCGCCGAAACCGATGCTCGACTGAGAGGCTGACATGATGGATTCCGAGCCAGGCGTGAGGGGACCACCAGATCGGAGTTGACGGTACGAGGTGGGCTGTTGTTGCTGCTGCTGCTGCTGCTGCTGTCTGCTGCTACCTATCGCTGCCTGCTGTGTGCGATGATACTGATTTTGCTGGGCTTGGTAGCTCGAAGCGAGACTGGCCGTGCTCGCGCTCGAAGCTGAGCGTTCTCTCTCTGTACTTCGCTGCATCTGTGGCGAGACAGGTCCGCTTGACTGCGGCGGGCTGGCGAGCGAACTGGCGAAGCCGTTGGCGGGCAGAGCAATCGAGAGCAATTCACCCTTGCTCTTACGCGAGATCGTGCCTGGTCTCTGAGCTGCTTTCAGAGGGAGGGCACTGCCGGCGGCAGGCGAGCTTGTTGCGTTTGTCGTCGTCAAAACGCTCGTCTTCATTGCCTCATCCTTCCTTGCTGTCTTGCTGCTACCGCTTGTCCGTGTCCGACTTCTCCGTGTCGCTAAGCGCTCGGAGGATGATGGGCCAGTCACGTATGACGAGATCTCCACGAGCAGCCAGCCGGTCGCTCGGCAAGCGCGCAAGATCGCCGTGTCGGCCACGACGCCACGCGACACAACCGTGCGCGCCTCCGCGTTTCGAGCCGGAAGAAATAGCTCAAAGCCCAGCCAAACCTCGACCGTCATGCCTTTTGCACCCCGTCCAGCACCCGTCAAGGACTATCCGACCGAGCAATACAGCTCAGAGGTCCAAGCAGCCCTTGACTTCTATCACAAAGAAGTCGTCGAGAGCGATGCGTGGCAAGGTGACGAGAGCTTGATGTGCCCACAGAGCCGTCGTTGACGCTGGATACTCGTAGACGCCGGTGACCGTGATGGTACGCACATCTGGAAGAAGCCGGACGCAGATCCGTACGGTGTCCCGACCGTCAAAGGCACCTGTCTCATCGAGAATGCCACCACCGACGAAGTCACCGGCGTGCTCGTCCTGCCCGCCATGCGCAAGCTCTGGGACACCCGTGTCGTACAGGCTAGAGCGCTAGCAAGGTTTGTACAGCGTCACATGCTCAGCCAGTGCTTTGCCTTGACGGATGCTGCAGATACTCACCCCGCATATTCGCCTTTTACACTGAGATGGCCGGCCTGAGCTGGCTCGTCTGGCCGCGCGACATCTGCGGTGCAGGCTCGATCATCAGAGGTAGCGAGGAAAATACAGAGACATACATTGTCCAAGTGTCTGTCGAGAATCCCGAGCTGTGCCCAGAGGTCGACGGCAAGGTAAGAGCTACGCTCACCTCTTCAGTCTGGCATCTCGTCCCCAAGGGCGATGGCGTGGAAGTCACCTACCTCGTCAAGATTGCCCTCAATGGTGCCATTGCTGCCAGTCTGGTCCAGGCACTCGCCACAGAAATCCCTTCCTGCGTCTCGCGCGTCAGAGATGCTTACTATGAACGTACGCAACCTATCAGACGTCTGGCCAGACAGCAAACTGATGCAGATTGTGTAGACGGACATTCACCATATATCGTGTTGCTCAAAGGCAAGGAACCCAAGTCACAGATCAACATTGAAGACATCAGTCTCAAAGATCCCGAGCGAACCTGGATCGCCAACATCAACCCTGCAACAGGTGACGACGTCATCAATCTACGCTACTCGACTAGAATGTACCCCGATGGTGTCAAGATCACTAGCTCGGGTTCAGGTGCATCACATGCTCGCATCGAAGACCACAAGGACGGCAAAGCGACCGTCACGTTTGCAAACGACGCCGACGGCACAGAGATTGAAATACAGATTTCACCCGCCTGAGCGGCGCCTCACTACTGCACTGTCTCATGTAATGAATGTATCACTCGTCAATACAAAATCAATGCGCTTGCGAAATCGAAACGAACAACAATCTACAGCGTCAGCTCTATTCTGCCTTGAGTGATTCAGGGTTTGCCTATCAGGGGATCGGGTTGCGCCCAAATCCAGTCCTGGAAGCCGGCTTGGGTGAGGCGTTCTTGAGCGATCACAGCCCAGTGTGTCATTTCGTCGAGAGCTGCTGCAGAAGAGCATTTGCCGTAGACGAGCTCGTAAACTGCCAGAGCCTCCTCGACCTCTTCTGGAGATGAGAAGCCTACAGCAGTGACTGTTGCTTGCTTGGCCAGAGGGCTCGCACTCGACAGACCATATGCAAGGGCCACCCGCTCGATCGTCGTTCTAGGAGCTTCGTGCCCCTGCACATCGCTCGCCAGACCTCCTTTGGGTGGATGACTCTTTATGATCTCCTCCGATAAGTCTCGTACGGCTTGTCGAAGTTGCGCTGGCGCCGGATGCCAGTCAGGGGCGCCACGACGAGTAAGCATGCCCATTGAGAATGGAGAGGCATTGACGACTTGCAACAGTCCAGCATCGAAAAGCATCGGTAACCATTGACCGAGCGTATCGTTCTGAATCGAGTGATGGGCATACGAGAGGACAATGTCGAGGGGACGTTTGTGATGATACAGTATCAGACGGGCCAGTCGCAAGATCGTCGGTAGAGGGAGGCCGCTGATGCCAACGCGTCTGATCAAGCCTTTGTCTTTCAGCTCAAAGAGTGCGCCTGCAGCTTCCAGAATGCTGCGATCGCCGTCGCCATGGACTATGCCAGCCATATCCTTTGATAAGCCCCATCGCTTCTCTTCAAGTCGGCCCTGCTTGTTGAGCAGCAATCGAGGTGCCTTGTGTAGACCAGCAGCATTGGCATCCTCTACATCCTCGGCGACGAATTCGACATCGTGCAAATACACTACATCGAGATAGTCGGTCTTTAGTAATCGCAGCGATTCTTTGACAGATGTCTTTATGCGATTTGCCGAATAGTCAAAGGCTGAGCTATCTGCACCATAGCGCCCTGCTTTTGTCAGGATATGGTATTTGCTGCGTATCAGATCTGCATCAGCAAAGCCTGCTGATGCACCATGACACGCACTGTCTAGGGAACTGCTGTCTAAAGTTTACATCGCCGAGCACGTTGCCGATAATTGCCTCTGATCCTCTGTCCAGAACACATCAGCTGTGATGCTTGATCAGACGAGAAGAGCTTGCCGATAGTATGGTGATGTATCGATGGCATTGATGCCTGATGCAAATGCACGTCGGATGGTCTCCTCCGGGATCGTCGTCTCGGCAAGTTGCCGTGAATCATTGTAGGCATGTCCAAACGTGCCCGCACCAAAGATGATGGGCGTCAGAGGCAATTTCTTGCCATCGTCAGCCGAACCGATCCGTCGAGCCGTCTCTGGCATGCGATCGGCAAAGATGCGCTCGACCGCTTCTGTCCCTCGTTGCGACATGACGACCACCTCGCTCACGTCGTGACAGATGCGAGATGATCTGCGGTCTGCGACGCGCGAGTCTGTCGCTGTTGACGAGAGGGCAGTTAGGCCGGCCGTCAGATCTAGCTTGTGACCGATGCTGACGACGATCGAGACTGCGCCCAAATTGACGTCGATCGTGGGCGAAAATCTCGTCGCCGTGATTACGCAGCGCGTCCACGTGACTTTATCGCTATCAAACCGCTCGCAGGGTTGGATGCCTTGCAGAGCGGATGAGCAGCGCTGCTCGCTCTTCAGTCAGTCGGTTCGAGAATCTATTGCCAACATGTCGGCCTCAAGAGCAGTCAAATTCAACGAAGGCATCGTCGATGTGAGCCACCGAATCCGAGGAGCATATTGGAGCTCACGTTGTCCTGACAGGATTACACGCCCGTACAGACGACCGCTATCAGTGGGTGGTGTGTAGAACTCTTTCCGGCGCGCTGAGGACCTCGCCTCTCCCTCAGTGATGGAAGGCGCAGTCAAGAAGCACCAACAGCGTATTGACCATCTGTTCATCAAGTCAATCCTGGCCGGTATACAGCTTTCCGTTGCTGGACAGCTCGTCATCACTGTGGCAGGACCTGTCTATGCCAGCCAGACTTTGATGCCGTTCTGGCATCTCATCGCAGGCTTCGTCTATCCCGTCGGTCTCGTCATGATTCAGCTGACCGGATCCGAGCTCTTTACGTCCAATATGTGTGTGTCCGGCAATGCTTAGGGCCGAAACCTGACGCGCTTAGCAGGATGATCATGTCGTGTGCATGCTGGCAGCGCAAGATACCGGTCTGGTCGCTCGGACTATCGTTGCTTGTATCATTCTTCGGAAATCTCGTCGGTTCGCTCATCGTCTGTGGCTTGCTCGCGCGATGGTCAGGCCTTGCCTACGAGACCGGATTCAACACGTTCGCCATCACATTTGCGCAACAAAAGATTGCCAATGGCGTAAGATGGCATGAAGTTTTTCTCAAAGGCATCGGTGCCAACTACCTCGTCTGTTTGGCCGTTTTCATGTCCATCTCGGCAAGGAGCATCGTTTCCCGCGTCCTCGTTATATGGATTCCGGTATGGACGTTCGTGTCTATCGGCTTCGAACATACTGTAGCTGGCGAGTGACTTCTCTATGGTATACGCAAGGACTGACTATCGCCTTGCAGATATGTTCTTCATGCCAATTGCGATCATGGTCGGCGCCCCAGAGATAACGACACGCTACTACGTATCCAATGGGATCATACCGACAGTGCTCGGGAATTATGTGGGAGGCGGTCTGTTCGTTGGAACAGTCTGTAGGTCAAAGAAAGCAGCAATGTTACGACCCGGACCTGACCCTTTGATTCTGCGACAGATTGGTGGGTGTTCGGTCTCTATCAGGAAGACGCTCTGCTGGCGGAAGAGCGAGGCGAAGGCGTGGCCGTTGCAGGCATGACGCCCGGGCCTGCAAACGCATCGAGGTCACGCTCAAGATCACGCAAAGGCTTGAAACCGGGCAGCTCGCCATCTCGGCCAAGCAGGGTGCAGGACAAGACTTATGCACATCGAGCAGGTCGCTGGCGTTCCTGGCGTCGCTCGAGCGATGCTACTGCAGTCGATGCTTCGCTCAAAAGTAAGTCCGAAAATGCAAGCGCAGGTCGAGATGCATCGAACAGTCCCATGACGGAGAAAAGTAGCTCCGCGCAAGCCTATGTACGTCCTGCTGACGATCTAGTCTGACCTGCGACGAGCTTTATTTACAATTGTTGCACGGTTATGTGTATCCTGTCTTAGACTTGTGTTGTCGACCTGCTTTGCTCAAGCCGGCGTGACATCGTTAAAGGGGACCTCTGGAGCAGATGAGATGAGGAGCATCCGGACAAAAGACTGGACATCGAAATAGCTGCTTGCTGTCTGTGTCCCCAGCCGTTTCGGCTGAACGTCTGACCAAAATATTGTTTGGTGGTCCACGCCCACGCGGCCCGGCGACCATGGGGGTGCCGAAACTTGAAAGAAACCTTGAAAAAAGGAGGAGGAAGGAGGAGGAAAAGAGAGAGTCTATCAGGCTCCTCCCAAATTTTATGCTCAGCGCTACCGCTGGCGTCATTCTAGGCCCGTTGTACATGATTTGACGCGTCAGATGATTCTCAAAATTTCCTTTGTTTTTCCAACGTGGCCTCAGACCGGGGGTTTCAAGTCAAACGGCCCGGCGCGCTCTGAGGCTGCTTGACCGGCAGCTGCCAGTTAAGAGACGGGAACGCCGATCAATATGTCATATACCAGCAACAAATGAGCTCCTTCATTGAAGACACAGGAACGCCTCAGAGAGTGACAGCGGTGGTCGAGGCGAACAACCGAAATTGAAGACTATCCTTCTGATAATGTCAAATGCGCAGTAAAGATATGGTGAAAGGTGATCTCGCCCAGCAAGCCATTTGTCATTCGTACAGCTCGCCGTGTCACCTATCAGACACTGTGCCAGGCCTGTCTTTGAGACCTTAAAGCTGGTGATAGTCTACTGCTTGCAATGATCTGATGAAACATATCACCTGCATGAGCCCACTCAACGCAGCGATGACCATCATGTCAACATCAAACACGCATCTCAGCAGCGGGAAATCATCCACTGCTGTCGACGTCCGCTCGAGCAATCAATGCATCAGTCGTCCGCTAGATACCATNCTGGAGACTATTGATGTATGGTACCGTCTCAAGGTACGGCTTCAGTCGTACTGCCGGCCACACAGTCAATATCGAGCTCTCTGATCGAGCTCTCTGATCGAGCTGATATTGCGAGTAAAGATAGTTCCGTCTGCTCCGGAGTACGAACACATGTTTGTTGATAGTCTCTTGGCGAAGACTAACTCTCCGTCTCTTTGAACCGTCGTAATTGGTGCAGGGAGTCTTGACGCGATCTCTCAAAATGCAAATCGAGTCGCGTAATAAGTGATGGCAACTGGATGCTTACCGATGAAATGCAGCAGTGCGACCGGATGAAGAGTATGAGGGTCTTCGCTAAAGTCGCTGTGGTCAATCCAATGTCCTGCCAACGCGCCTAGATAAATCACGCCAATCAGATACACGGGTGATTAATAACTTTCCCATGAATTACGCAACATTGACTTTTGGCGTGGCAAATTGAAGAAATCCCCTGGCATTTCACTACTCGACAATGGCAGAGCGGTGCTATCCTTTCTGATCGTCGACATAGAGCATGGAGATCACTCGGTCCTCTGCTATACCTTCCTTTCGCAACTTCTCGCTCAGTCGTCCAGTCCGATTGTGTATCGTCGAGTAACGCATACCTTGCAGAGTCCAATCGACACGACTGCCACGAGCTGCCAAGTCACGCCCAGTCACTTTGCTCATCTTCCTTCACGCCGCAAACAGCAGCTGTGGACACTGCGAGCTACTGTCACTGATGATACGCTCAAATATGGTCAGATCATGCGTCACCACGCCGATAGTCAGAGAGCGTGGGACACTAGCCAGCAATCATTTTTCACTGGCGACTAGCTACGAGCCAATACGTCATGCTGGAGAACTGCCAGCAAGACGATCTCATCTACTCCAGTGACAACAGCAGCGCTTCGGGGAACAGACGCTGTCGCCTGCCAGTATATGCATCTCACTGATCGCACATGCACACCACATCGAGTCATCGTCGAGTAAGACCACTCGATAGACATGAGCTCTTTCTGTCATACTCGAGCTGATGATCTCAACTCACTCAGCGGGTGTCTATCGTGCTCGCATGATACAACATCTGTGCCTTGCGGCTCGTCAGATTGCTCGAATCGTCCGCAAGATGGCAACTTGGTCTATCGGCGCCCTACCAGCTTGGGCTTGTCTATCTCGGGAATGACCCTGACCAACTCGCACTGCCGGCACCATTCATGTCCCGCGATGATTATGCAACGCTTACCAGATCTGGGCGGTCGTCATTCTACTCTCAATAGCTGTCCACATGTGATCTCGTCTTTCAATTGTACATCTCTGAGCTGCCTGTCTTGCACTGCACACTGCACATGTTCAGAGTACC